CTCTTTCTACGATATTTACTATCGACTGTCTCACATGTAAAATATTTTAGTTACACTGATAGAAATATTTTGTTATGAGAGAGAAAGAATAATCTTAATTTTAAGTTTTTCTAAAAGTTTTTTCGTAACTAGCAAGATTGTTGCATATTCAGGGTGCATTAAACATCTCTCATTCACGATGTATTTATCACGATTTGACATTAAATGAAACAGTGACATGTTGAGTGATGTTAATAATTAAAATATTTAAATATCTAGTTGTTTAATATTTTTTTCGTTTCATCGTTAAGTTCAATATTGAAGTTAAAAAAGAATTTAAAGAATTTTGCTCGTTCAAAGCTTCATCAGTTTTTAAAACTTTCCAGTTGAACTTTTCAAAATGAACAGAACTTCGTTTTTTTTCGCACTCGTCTTGTGCATTTATGGTAAGAAAAAATTATTTTTGATGACATTAAATGAAAGTTTTCTCTTCCTTAAGCTTTTGCCATCATTGGCTTTGTTCATGCTGGAGGTGACGACACAAATTCTTCCCCTTTCTGTGATTTCAGTGAAGTCGCTCCTTGTGGAACTTTTACATGCCCACCTGGATTTGTGGTAGTTACTTCTACAGGTACTTTAACTGGTGACTGCTGTTGCTTGTTTTGATCACTGCAGTTGGACACTTTTATGAAAAATGAAAATTATTTTCTTCTTTTTCGAATTATGTACCTAATTGTCTAAAATTCTAGTTTTTGACTTTTAAAATAAAAAAATTGACNTCGAACACTACCGCATGTCACATGGTCTTCGTGGTGAAGTTTACTGTGGTAAGTTTCGTGTCGGGATTGCGCATTTTTTCTCAATTCTCTTTCTACGATATTTACTATCGACTGTCTCACATGTAAAATATTTAAGTTACACTGATAGAAATATTTTGTTACGAAAGAGAAAGAAAATCTTAATTTTGTGTTTTTCTTAGAAGTCCTTTTGGAATTTGTTAGATATGATTGTATGTCTAGGGCGCATTAAATATCACCCATTAAAGATGCTTCTATCACGATTTGACAATAAATATAGACAATAATAATTAAAATATTTAAATAGTTATTTAATATTTTTTTCGTTTCATCGTTAAGTTCAATATTAAAATAAAAATTTTTTTAAGAAACTCGTTCAAAGCTTCATCAGTTTTTTAAAACTTTACATGCGTTAAAGTTAAACTTTTCAAAATGACCAGAACTTCGTTTTATTTCACACTCATCTTGTGCATTTATGGTAAGAAAATATTATTTTTGATGACACCAAATGAAAGTTTGCCTTTTGTAAGCTTTTGCCTTCATTAGCTATGTTACTGCTGGAAGTGACGTCCCAAGTATTTTCGCAAATTGTTTTTTAGGTCAATTTGCTCCTTGCGGAACTTTTACTTGCCCAGATGAAGCCACGGAAATTGCTGATGGTGGTGAATGCTGTTGCGCGATGTTTCCTTAAGCACCTTTATTAAAAAGGAAAATAATATTTTCTTTGTGTAGGTATTTTCTGAAAATCTTGAATGAAAATCTGATAAATGAAACTTCTGAATATTTAATTCAATCGAAATCCTGTCTAAATTATATCGTAAAAATATTTTCAGTGTATCGAAATAAATTGGAATCTCAAACTAATTTGAAGCTATTTTCATATTAATTAAGTTCAGATTTAATTTTGTTTTCAAGTTTTCTTAAATAATGCAATGAATTCATTTCATAAAACAAATTATTTTGACATAAAACCATATATGGATAAGAAATTAATATCTTTCCTGTGGTTATTCATTTTTAGTTATTTCTAGAAGTTCTCCTGGAATTAGTTAGGTGTTTTTACATATCTAGGCCGTGTTAAATACAGAGATGGGCAAATTGCAAGCTCAACTCAATTGACTCAGTCAGCCAGTCAAATCACAACTCTGGTTAAATATCACTCATCACGATTTGACATAAAATTGAAAAATGAAATTTTAAGCACATTTGTGATTATTAATAATTCAAAATTAAATAGTTGCTTAATGTTTCTTTCGTTTTATCGATTAGTTTTAACTAGTAGCAACAAAAAGTATTTAAAGAACTTTTTTCGTTCAAAACCTCATCAGGTTTTCTAAAGTTTCACTTACATTGAATTCAAACTTTTCAAAATGACAAGAACTTCGTTTTATTTCGCACTCGTCTTGTGCATTTTTGGTAAAAAAATACTATTTTTGATGTCACCAAATGAAAGTTTTTTCTTCCTAAAGCTTTTACCATCATTGGCTTTGTAAGAGCTGGAGGTGATGTCCAAAGTACTTTCCCAAGATGTAGTTTAGGTGAATCCGCTCCTTGTATAATGTTTGCTTGTCCAGTTGGATTCGGATTATATGATCAGCTTGATGGTACCTGCTGTTGTATGTCACCTTAATAACTTCAGTTGAACACTTTTATTAAAAACAATAATCAATTTCTTTTTTTACGAATTTTTTGTTTTAAATTCTATTTTTTGGATTCTAAAATAATAAAATTGACATCAAGCAAAGTTTAATTAAAGAATTATAATTTATTATATTTTTCTCTCCGTGTAACTATCTCTATGGACAGGTTTCTCAATCTTTTGATTGTGTTGAAAACATTTCTTATGAAAGATTTACTCGTGTGAAGGTAGAGAAAGAAAAACAAAATTTATTCTCACAGAATCAGTTGCAGTTCGTGAGTCGTTGAATACGCTAGCATTCAAGTCTTTCTCCCGATCTTTTCGTAAAGAAAGAAGGAAGAAAATTAAAATCGGAAAAAAATCGAGTTAAAAGAAAGAGACACGTTTTGTGTGTGGTGTAACAGGTGAATGGATGAAAGGAAGTGCTAAACAAAATATTTACCTGTAGATGGTAATCTCAATCATTAGTTGGATCAACTTTGATCTTTTTGAAAATTACCGAAAGGTAAATTACAAGAAAACATTCTCAAGAACTCACTCGTTAAAATTGAAAGTAAACATTTTTTACAAAAATTGATGATAATTTCAAAAGTCACGTAATACTGAAGTGCTTTATTAGACAAAAAGAAATAAAGAAAAATATTTGAACACCATCTTCAATGAAAGGATAATTAATCAATAGAAATTTGATAGAAAGTAAGTAAGCGAAAAATTTTATAAATAAATATTTTCGCGGTTGGAGGAACTTTTGACATGTCCATAAAAAAAGTTGCCTCTGATAAATATTTATGAATGTTTAATGAGTTTGGCAAATAAAAGGAAGAAATATAAAAGTTAAACATGCAAACGACGAGCATCGATCAATCAAAAAAAGATTCATAAAGATTATTAAAAAAATGCTGCGATGGAGAGACATACAAAAAAAATTATTTTTTAATCACCTTTTGAAATATTTGAGAGAACTTTTTTTATTCTCCTATCATTCCATCTTACACAAATGTTAAATCGAAAATTACAAGACGTGGTTTCATCTCAAGGGAAAGATCAGTCTCTTATTGAAACATCATTTAAGAATGAGCTTAATTAATAATACATAACAATCACATTTATTCTTCAGTGAACTTTACACCAGGGCTTTTGTGGGCGAAGTCTCATGTTGATGGATTTAATGAAGTGATTATACAGGAAGTTTTATTGTAACGATCATTTAAAAAGCCCTGAATCATACTTTACGTCCGAGAAGGAATCATATTAAAGCAAAATAAATAAATAAACAGAGGAAGATGAGAAAAAAATAATAACAAAGTCAGAATGTTAGAAATCGTCTTTATAATGATCAGAAATTAAAGAGAATTTCAAATCTTTTTGAAATGATCTTTGTTATGTTTACTTTCGACTTTATTCTTTCCTCTCTTCATTTTTCCAACATATTTTTATATCGAAAATAAAATTTTCCTTTTCAATGCCGAACATTTGAAGACTTTGTTTGTTAGATGACTATCGCACTATGCTTTAGTGTACATAAATATGTAGGAGACAAGAAAGAGAAGAGAAATCAACAGTAAAATAAATAAAAACACCACATATCATTTTGTTCTGATTCGTAACTTCAGATAACAATTAATGAAATGATATTATTATGAAGAAATCATTTTGTTCGATTTCTTCTCTTCTCATCTTGGACTTTAATGTCTTTAATTTCGCCACTGGGATGTAAAACCGCAGGAGAAGAAGAATAAGCCGAAAATTTTAATGATTTCCGAACAGTTTCACAAGAAAATGAAGAACAAACTAACATGAAACACAAACTTAATCATTTATTAATGATTTTTCTATAAGGATAAAAATCTCAGACTTTTCTTCTTCCACTTCGTTTTGTGGTTTTGTTAATTGAATAAAGAATATCATTACTGATTGTTCATCTTCATCTTTTCTTTTGAGGGGTTTCATTGAGGTTCTATCTGCTTCATTTATCATACCTCTTTTAATATTTGTTTAATTATTTAGCTTTGAGATATTCCTGGAATTTGATAGTCTTGAGTGAAGCGAGAAATAAACTTTCTTTTAATAGCTTGATTATTTAAGTAACTCGAGTGGAAGAGGTAAAAGCATGGAACGTCTCCGTTCGGAATGTAATCCAATTATCAATTGGAAATCGTTTTGGAATGTTATACTTCTTCAGAGAGTTCTTGTGTCTCGCGTTTCTTGTCGTTGTGCTTAAATAACCACAAACACCGAATCTAACATTCACCTGTATTGTACCCAACCCGGGGCTGGCCTTTTTTATTTAACGATTAAACCGAGGCCGAGAAGAAATAATAGAAGTGAACTGGTTTAAAACATTTAATCTTTTTTCACTTTAAACTTTAATGATGATCTCAGAATATCAGAGAATATCCCGAGATACTTTTTATTTCCTTTCACAAGAATGAATCTGAACAAGAACAAACTCAACTAAATTCAATTGTCACACTCGAGAACACCGAACAATGGATTAATAACGATATAAATTCCATGTTGATATTTTAATTCTTCGCCTTCTTTCCACTCTACTCTTCATCTAACCTCAGTTCCTGTGAGGTTTAAATCTTTAAAGAATTCTTCGGTCAGAAATTGCAAAGTGAATTGAATCTTTTGTGTTCAAAGTTTAAACTTTAAAAAGAAACAAAACAAAAGAAAAAAAATATTGACAAATCAATAGAATTTTGATCTTATCTACAATACCGCATACTCCAAAAGCCTTCATTCCACCTCTCCCAACAGCACTTACATGAAAATTTTAATTGAAGCAAGAAAAAGAAACGAGAGAATCGCAAGAATTCATTCCAACGACGATGCGATTTTCTTAAGTCCCTACAATGCTTATTTATTGTACTTTTTAATGGAATCAATAACAAAAGAAAATCAACCTTATTCGCAAACTTAAATGTTTATTTAGATACTTACTGATCATTCACTTTCTATGCTTGCATAATGTTTTTAATGATTATTAAGTAAATAGACTTCAATTATTCAACTTAAAAATGAATTAAAAAGGTCAATGTGATGCAATATAAAATAATTTCTTAATGTAATAGTCTTTTATTTATTTTTTCACATTTTTATGGCATCAACTGTATCATGTTGAATGTTTCTACGCCCACACAACCTTGTTCCTAAGAAATTCCTTTTTAAACATTCTTTCGCGAATCAATTAAACTGCACTTTTAGCAATAATTTACGTCTAAGGCGTGGAAAGGGAAAGAAATAAAAAGTTAAGACTCTTGATGGAGATAGAAGATCGTGATTAAATGAACCTGAAGTGCGTAATTGAATTGGAATTTAAAGCCGTTCAATAAAAACTGCTGTAAAATTAATATTCATTCATTCGCGTTCGCTTAAAGCAATATTATAGTTCTATGATTTTAGACAAGTCGACTCCAGGATCTCTTGTTATAATTGATTCAATTTATTTTGCTTTCAGCGCAACTATTAATTTTCATTATTAATTGCCCTCGATTTAGGATCAGACCTCCTCTTTCGAGTTGCGCGAAAAACAGATTTTGTGGCTGAATGCTTGGCTCATTTTATATCTGTTTTGGTTCTTTTCTTATTTATTTTGTAACGTCGTTAAAGCTTTCAATTACAAGGCTATGCTGTGGGGGATGAACTTAAAGCACGTCTTGATCACTCTGTCATTAATAACAGCTTATCCTAATTGATTAATTTATCATTTGATGTCAACAAATTTATTCCTTTTTCAATCTTAAATAACAAATCCTATCAAAACATCATTGGTGAACTATTCGTTTATGGCACGTTTGGTTTTTCTTTGTTTTCTATTTCAAATCTTGCATATATTTACATACTTAATCTTGTATGCATTTTTAAAAAATCTTTTCTCAGCTTAATATTTTTACTTTTCAAAAGCACATTTTCTCATAAATAAATTATGTACATAAATATCCGCGAAATACAGCAGAAAAATTTTTATATTTAAAACGATAAAATAAATAAATGTTTCCTTCACTCTGCATCGATAAATTTCTTAGCTTTCTAAAGATCGTTTCTGTTGCTTGCTTGTAAATGCCAAGCTAGAGAAATTGAAAGGAAAAGGAAGAGGTTTGTGGTCGCCACTTTGCTCTCCTTTTTAAAAGCTGCCAACTATTTATTTAAAAGTTTAATTCAGGGCTCAAAGTTGTAGCCAAAAGGAAAATATCTTCACAGTTCATCGAACACGAAAAAGGTGAATAATGAAATTTGTTTTCTAAGTTACGAGATTGAGTAATTCGATCTGAGGAAGTGGCGAAAATTATTGCCCTGAAACGACTTGATAAAATGAATCTTAAGTTGCAAAACCTGCCGAAAAAAAAAAAGTTGAATTTATGACTTACCGCAGAATTCACCGCTTGAAAGATTTATTTCGATGGTACCGTAAAGCATGGGCAAAACTCTTTCACCATGCATTAATATTGTGTCCAAAAAAACGAGTTTATTGAATCTCACTATCGCAGATTTGTTTATTTTCTTCATTTTGCTCTTTTCATCTACTACGGAAGAAAACGTTTTTACTCACAAGATGGAATGACATTTGCATAATTAATTAATAAAAACGAAGTTTAGAGTCTCAAGATATTTCTTTCTTTCTTTTGGAACTGTGAATTTTTTTAACAACTTAATCATTTACATATACGATCGCAATGATGACAACGAAAAACCCAAAAACTGAAGCAAAGATAGAGAGAGAGAGAGGAACAAAAAGCAAATGAAGATTACTCGTCATAAAACTTGATCATATAATTCAGTTAAGATGACAAGAAAACGCTCGTGGACATTTGATACTCACTATCCATGTTTGAGCTTTAACCGGCATCATTTTTAAGAAAAAAACTTTTTTCAAGAATGTCTTAGAGATATTTGGATGAAGATAAAGATGTTCTGAAATGATTGCAATCAGTAATTTATCTTTTCAAAGATGATGGAGAAATATTTCGCAAATGTAATTAAGGCGAGCATCGTCACAAGAGTTTCGTCAATGCCCTGGGCAGTGTTCACAATTTTCAAGAGGGTCATAAAATGTTTATCGCTGTATTTCTCATTTTAACGCTAATGCTATGGGTCACAATAAAACATATCTCTTTCATAAAAACCTCATTTCGTCTTCAATAAAGCATCGTCGTTAGTCACTCGATAGATTTTTTTTTATTAGCGATTCTCTTTCCACATCACAAAGAAAATTCATCGGTTTTAGTGTTTTATGGTCTCTTCCATCAACCGTTGGTTCGCCGATAAACTCTACATTGTCTAAATCATTTGGTTATTCAAATTGAGGTCTTTCTTCCGCGATAGAGAAAATTAAAATTTGTTTTTTACATCAATTTTTTATTTGATTTTTAATTGTTTTTAGATTTGGTTTTTATTGAAATTGGGTGTCGATCACTTTGATGAGCGCTCTTAATGGGATTTCTATTCACAACGATCGACTTTTTTTTATCTCCATTCGATTTGTCTTTTATTTTTTTCTTAAAGAAAATTGAAATAAAAGAGATTGTAGGAGAAATTTAAATGATCTTTCTTTAAAAAATGTGAAACGATTTCAGATCCATTATAGCAACATCGAATTGTAAAAGAATTCTATTAATTGGACGAGATACTAATGGAGACACCTGATTTCTTTTAATCACTTGCTGTTTATTGTTGATATGTGATAATTAATTTTCATTCTTATCGAGATATAAATCAGAATGTTTTGAGACAAACTTCGTGTGTTGCTTGCAAGAAACTGTTATGATGGCTTAACTTTAAGTTTATGGAGCGTGTGAATGTTGCGTCACAAAAAGAAAGAAATTCGACTTTTAAATTTTTAATTGATTATCATTTCATCACTTCAACTCAAGAATGTACTTAGATGATCTCATTTGAAGTTTCTTTCATTCACCATTCTCATTTTAACAACTGATTGTTATATTATTTATGATCTTTCCCACATAATAATTTCAAAACAACATTCCCAACGAAATAAAAATTCTCGATAAATTCTTATAGGGTTTTAAAGAGAAAAAAAATAGACATTCACAGTTAATTTCTCACCTTTAAAAGCATCTTCATCGACATTAATTAACTAAATAAAAAGAGCTAGAAAAGATTTCTAATTAAAAGAATGTTTACCTCCTTGCTGTAGAAATTGATTTTTTATTTTCAATACAAATAAATTTCTCTTCCTGGATGAAATATCGTTTCAATGAAATGTAAGGAAGAACATTTGCTAATTTCTCTTTAATACTTTTCTTGTACATAGTTAATAAATATTTCTTCTATTTGGTTGCCTTGCCAGTAAATAGTTATGACGATGTTCACTTTTGAAACAAATTAGAAATGCTTTTCTGAAACGATGTTTACCGTTACTGGATGGTGCTGATAATTTTAATTTATATTCTCATACGAAGAGTAATTTCCGAGAGTTCATCTCGTCGGATGAGCAGTGGTTAAGTGAACGAAATGAAAGAAATTCATAACAACACATTTCATGACCTTCAGCAATTGCTAATTTTTTTGTTTTGTTTGTTTATCTTCCTTTCTCTCTTAAAGTTCTTTATTTAGATTTTGAAGCGAAATAGTTTAAGTTAATGGCATAATTTTCTATTTGAAATCGTGATGAAACAATTACCGTTTCCATGTGTCTTACAATTGTCTTTGGCAAGGCGGGAAGATCAATTATAACTAAATATTATTTGACATGCCCCTTCAAAGTAATCTCATTTTGTGAAACTCAAATGATTTAACATACTTCAGAGATGTTTTCCTAAGTGACTAACGAAGCCCGTGAAACAAAATAAGAAAACGAACATCAAATTACTTGTGCTGTATAACGGAGAAATGTTACATTTCATGATTGACATTTGATTGCGAATAGGAAAAGGAGACTTGGATGAAAAAAAGATGAGAAGACATAAAAGCGATCGCAATTTTCTAATTTTCTTGTTAGTTTTTTTTAACCGTTCTCGTTCATCAGCTTCTGATACAGTGTTTCATTGAGTGCTGTTGGACCAATTGGTATAATTGACAATAATTTGATGTCAGTGGATAAATAATCATGAATCACGACGAAGAATAGCGAAGTGGATACATAATAATGTTAGGAAGAAAGGAAAATCAATTTATTATTATTATGTTTTATTTTAAACTTTAAAAGCAACCGAGTGACACCTTTGCACATTTGAAGTCGTCTTCAAAATTATTCTCAAGAAGCAATTTTCTTTAATTTTTCGGTTGTCTTTCATCAAAGCTTCGTCATTGTTGCTGCTAATTTGATTCCAAGAAAAGTGAGCGGTCAAAACAAACGATGACAGCCGACATAGTGTCTTTGTTATCTGACAAAATTCCACAATGTTTTCTTGATGCATCAAACCATCAATTTTTCTTGTTCATACACAAGCGAAAACTTTTAAATTAACGCCGTAAATTATTCAATTTTGAATATTATGCAAGACAATTTTTTTTGATGGTGCAACAAGTTTGAATAAAGAATCGAAAGTGTTAACAACTTCATTTGCATCTAACAATTCAAATCATAAAGGTTGTTGAAAAAATATTTAATTTATGCAATTTTATTCATCGAAAGTATGCAAAAAGGTAGCAATATCAAAGAGAATTGCCGTATTTCGTGACGATAAATTGTCTCAGCCAAGATCTTGTGCGCAATTGAATGTTGGAGTTGTGATGCTTACACTGACGTTAGACTCACGAATAGTTTTTAGATCTCTTTTGCTGTTGTTACAGGTATATCGAGTTTTCTGGTGGTTTTTGTTTAGTTTATAAAACTTATCGTCAGTGCACATTGTATTAAATCTACAATCACGCATTTGTTAATAATGACTTTAATAATAAATATTACTTTTTCAATCTTGGCACCTGTTTAAGTTTCTTACTCGAGCTCGACAATCGCGTTTTGATTTTTTTTTCTCCTTTGCTTTTGGCTGGTTTCGTTTCAACATCGCGCTAAAGCATGAAGCGAAATTTGCATATAAAAGAGGTTTCTTGGAAATTAAATCTGGTTTAGAATAAGAAAAGACAAAAAGTAATGTATAATAAACGATTAATGACACCTACACGAAGCTCAAAGACTGGCAAGCACAGAGACTTAGAGGAATTTTTTTTGCGAAGAAATTCTTGTCGATTAAATGATCTCGAATAATTCCTGGGATTGTGCTGGAGTTGTGTCATGTTGATGTCAATAATTTATGCAAAAATCCTGTTAACAAGCAGACAAAAAGACGCTGCAAGTCGAACAGCCTTCACCATAATCACACGAAATAATCAGAAAAAGGAATACAAAAATTTTCACGTTCATGATCGGATTCTGGAAAATTGCTTTGAATGTTTTGAATGCTTTGAAGAATTGAATTTGAGTGTAAGAAGAAGATGAAGAAGAAAAATCAATTTGTAACCTTGGTTAAACATGACTCCTTGCAGAGGCCGATCTTTGGTGTGGTTTGGTTTAGGTCTTATTAAAATAATAAAAAAAAAGAAGTTTTGCTTTAAATCCACGTTTCGATCGCTCGACAAAGCTGCGGTAGAGCAAGAGAAGCACAACAATAAGTACTTTTGATTGATGTTTAAATACATTTATTTTTGTCTGTTCATTCATTCATTAAAATGCTTTTAAATGACGGAATTTCATGATATTGCGTCGTCATTTTTGTTTTTATTTCTTCTTTTTTTTGCATAACGACTGCATTGAAATGAATTTAAATTAACTTTTCTTTATTTCTTCTTGTTTCCTTTCAGAAAGTTTTGAGATATCGCGAGTGACAGACAAAATGGCAATGTTGGGTGATGAATAAACATCGAGATATTGCATAGAGTTGCCGCCCGACTCGTTCGTCTTTCAACACAACAGTAGTCGGCTCACATTTTCCACATCAAACAAAATTTCAAGACGAAATTGATTCGCGAAATCAAAATTACATTTCAGTTTGTGGATAAAAGAAAGCATTCGATGTTCGATAAATTGTGAACGCGAGTAACACAAGCTGATTGTAAAAATAAAGAATTGAATTGTGGTCATAAAAGTGGATTAAAAAGAGGAGAAAATTGCACAGTGAAAGAAACAAGAAAAATAAAAACATTGGATTTGTGTGTAACGTGAAACAAAAGAGAAGAAAATTCGCATCGATTTATGATAAATCTTTGATGTTATTCAAGTGTTTGTTTGATAAGTGGTGAATAAAGCTCGAGACCGCAAGGCTCACTAAGCGCTTATTAGAACGGCCTTTGACTGCCCATAAACGTTACAAACAGACCGGCGGAAAGCAATTGCAGTGCTGCCTTCTCTTTGCGTAAAAACAAGACAAGCGAAAGGAGAAGAATAATGCTGAAGAGATAAGTGAATCTCTTAGGAAAGTGATTGTGAAATAATAAAAGAAAAAAAATCAGCAAAGGAATTTTCATAAACTTTGCTAAAACCAGAACATGGTTCAATGATTCCCACTTCAACATTCGCACTCTTTTTGATATTTCTCTCGTTCGCTTCGGTTTCAAGATTAAATTATCAATTGTGTTAAATTATAATTTTATAAGCAAACGGTCGACAGTAAGAACGGGATTGAAAATCGGATTCCCGAAGGAGAAAGGAAGAGCCATATAAGTTTCATTTGACCATTCCTGGACCTTTCATTTGTCGGTGAACGACAATAAAAATAACAAGTGAAGATTAAGCTGCAGCAAAGACCTCAAAACATTACACAATAAAAATGGTAAGTGCTGGATTTCAACTTCCTTTTGTAGCCCTCTTTAAAAATCCTGTTTATGTCAGTTGTCTACTAAGCTGTTGAAAGATGTCTCTGACTCACAACTTTGACGTTCAATAATTTACATTCGCAATCTATAATCACATTCGAAATGATTGATTTCGTGATTAAATGTAATTTATATCTTTATAAATTGACTTTTGGTTCTTCTTGTGAATCTTCCTTCAACTTCTTTCCGTTTGTTTCTGATGAGATGACTGCTGCACGTAGCATGATCGCGATTAATAGCAATAAAGAAGGAAAAGAAGGCGGTAAATTGATTATGCTACATAATGATAAATTTAATTAAAACTCGAATGTCTATGACGAGAATTCTTGTTTTTGCTCATCATTTGTCGTCTATCAATCGACAATTTCTTTCTCTTATTTTCACTCGACAAACACTCAACGATCTTTTCTATATTTTAATCAAATCTTTGAGAGATCAAGAACAGCGTGAGATAATCTCCGGTTTATTAAATTCATCGTCTCGTAAGTCGTAATAACGAACGTCAAACTTGACTTTTTTAATATTTCATTTCTCTACCTCGAAAAGAACTCACAATAATCCTTTCGTGATCAACTAGAAAATGTTTCCTGTATTGAGTCATAATTCAAACAACTCATTGATTATAATAACCAATTTCTATTTATTTTCTCTTCGGCACATGCTTTGGGTCTATCATTAGCCATCCAAGCGGCTTAAATAGCTAAGCATCGATCTGATAAATTATATATTAATACGAACAAATATTGAAAGCCAATATTTCATCGAGATGAATAATAAACATTTAAAGTTTTCGGACAGACTCACTGGATTTTTAAATAACTATCAAGATAAAGCCATATTTTCCCATTCAATCCATCACAGCAGGTGACGTAGCAGAAGAGAGTTTATTATTTTATTATTTCCCTTCTTTCTCTCCCTCATTCGATCATTTGAATATCGCAAGATCTTTTAAATAGATGTGACGTTTATAGTGAATAGAGATAGTAAAATAAGAAAACTTTCAAACATTTTCGTGTTTCAATCCCATCGATATTGCATATAAATTTTAACTTAATTTTTGGTCTTTTCTGTTTCTAATTCTATATTGATATGTGTACATATTTAACGTCGAGGAGGCCGAACAGTTTGACATCCCACCACGAGAATACCATGCATAGCGCCAATATCTTTTAATGAATCAATAAACAAACCGAACAACATATTGGTCAGTTGCCCTTGTTATTGAACGAAAGAAATTTTTTTGCTTCGAATATGACACAGAAATTCAAAACGAAAGCAATTTCTCATTGAATGAATTGAAATTAGGTTAAGCTGCTTCCCTAAATACTCATTCACTCGATCTTTCGACATGAAAACACTTTCTCTAAACTATTAGACTTTGATCGTAAAGGATGCTATTATGATAGGCGATTTTTTTTTGTATTTATAAAAATATTTCTTTATTCATAACGGTTTGCGAGTTTCTCTCAATATCTTTTTATATATTTTACCTGTGACTTGAATATTCACTCCACCATTGCCTACCTTTCTTTTCTCTCGATCAGTTGAATGGATTTAAAAAACAGAAAATTTAATATGTAATGTGAGAGAAACGAGAAGATTGTTAGAAAAATTGTTTGTTAAAGAAGCTTATATACATGTTGTTGCTTTAAGTGCACTTATAATCTCTTAAGCGATGGGATAAGAAGACGAAGAAGTAAAGAAAACATTCCGTTCGTTATTAATAATGGTACACTCTAGAGCAAATCGTAATTGACAATTACCCCAGGTAGCATCAGCTTGATGATACGAAAAAATATATAAAAATATTTCTTTTTTTCTTTCTTAGAATGCAATTAGTATCAGTGAGTAAGAGAAATCTTCAGAATGCAATCAATGGTTAGAGCTGTGTGAATAAATATGCATGCGAATGTATCGTGTCGTGAGAGTTAATAGAATATCATTCATTCATGGAATTCGCTTAATCTTATCGCGTCTATTGGATTAAATAAATGTTACGCTTACTTAAGCTTCATTCTGTCTCCCACTTAAATCATCAAGTGCATAAAAAACTATTAGCGAAGAATTTGAACATGAAAGGAGAAAGAAGACGTGTTTTATATCATAACTGTATACAACACCCATTACAACATCTCCAACTCTTTCTTTTATAACATTCGAAAAATAAATGACGCGTTCGAGCTTGTTCTGAACATAAAAAATTAGCGTGAAGATTTTTTTTCCTGTCTTCAGGTCAAGTTTCAGGCCGTTTCGAATTGATTTTCTATTCGCCTCGTTCTCTATTTGCTGCCGATAAAGAACTCCTAGTTTGCTAATGTGATTATGTAAAAAAAACTACTTTTCGATATGCCCGCAATATTTTGACAAGCTTGTTCACCTTGGTGTTTGCATCGATACTATGCAGCACATGTTCACGTACACAGCAAAAACAACCGAATCAAATCGACATGGCAGAAGAATTGAAAATCAGTTTCGCAAAAATTTACCAATTATCTTCATCAAGTGAGCGGTTCTCTCAAGATGTATGCTTGCAATTACTGAATGAATTTATAAATTAATCATTAGACGAAAAGTTTTTTTTTATCATTTATAAGTGCTGGGAAAATTACTTCTCCCGTTTTGTTTTTCTTGGAAAAAAAAAATTTTTGGGAGCTCTGATGGAAGCGAAATTAGTACTCGATTGCCTAAAGGCAATTAAGGATTGCGTGAGATCGAATACCTTCCACATTCAGAGAGAGAGAAGACGACGCAGATCGTTTGTTGATTGTGTTTTGTTTGCTACATTATTCGACAGAGCAAGAAACATTTAATTCGTCGTTTAACAAGAAGAAAATTTGGGCCAGAATAATAAACAAAAGTCTCTGCACGGCCCACGAATTGAAGCTTAAACATGCTTGTTTTTTGTGGCCGTTGTTTTCGTTTGACTTTTGGGTCGTACGCGCTTCAAGAGTTCATGGTAAATGAAAAGAAAGAAATTTTTCGTGAATTGTTTTTATTTTATATTATAAAAAAGCGAAGTTTTCGATGAGGAGTCACAGGCGAAAGAAAAAGAAGAAAAAAAGTTTTTATTACAATTTAATGCTGATCAGAACACCCAAAAAGTTTTCCTGTTTGTGGGCGTGCACAAATAATGTCTCGTCTCTGTCCTATATTAACTAAACTTAATATTTTTGATATGACAGTCATCGCTAGATCGCATTTTCTCCGGTATTTTTATTCACTCCATACGTTCTTCATAATTAAGAATTTAAAATAAGAGAAGTCTCTCGTTTTATTGAAAAAAAAAATACGAAAACGCGAAGAAAGATAAAAAGTTGAGAAACAGAAAAATGATAAAAAAAGCAAAGAAAGAGTATGAGAAAGAAATGATACACTTTAATATTTATCGGTTTGTTGGCGTCTGCAGATTATTTCAACAGCAATTATTCCAATGAAAACACAAAACTCCAGAAGGGACGACCGAACAAAGAACGAGCAAAGACAAAACCAAAATCGCTGCAAGAAAACAGCAAAGAATGTTTCCAGTAATTAATTATTAAGTTCCGTTCTATTAAAATTCCAGTTTGAATACAAAAATGCTTCTAACAATGAATACTTGGGGTTTATGGGAACAGCGTGGACATTAACATGATTCTGCTATTTTCATGAAAACTTGTTCACTGCTTCACTTCAAAACTGCAATTTGAAAATAATTTAAATTAATTCCGAAACTTACACTGGCAACCGCGAGTTGACTCGCGCAGCAAAAAAAAACGTAACCAATTAAATTTATTATTTTTATGGAGATTCATTATCATAAATTTTCCCACTAAACGATGGAAATAAATGCTTGTAAAATAATAAACACTTGAATTAAGAACGATTATAAATCTAGTTTCTAAATCTGATTTCCATGTTTGACTTGGAAACTTCAATTATGATTTCATAGTTGAGTGAATTAAAAATAGTTCAGCATTGTTCTGTTCACAAGTCGTTGAATGTTTCATCAACTGCAATATTTATGTTGAATCTATTAAGGAATTTAATTTAAAAACTTACACAATTAACTTAGATAATTGATTATCTTAATCATCTATCTAGTTGTGGAATTTTAAACATGTTTTTCCCATCTTACTTGAAATATTGAAAAGGACATTAGCGATTTTGTGTCGATCATAAAGATGTTCAACTTTATGGAGCAACATTACTTGAAATTTATTGCTAAGCTTATTATCTAAATTCTCTATAACTTATGAGGAATTAATAAGTTATTTAGGTATAATCAAGATTTTAATATTTCGTCGCGACTTTTACGATCGCGAATAACTGTTTAATTCGAATGTTCAATTATTTTCTGAGCAAAGACAAAAGTTAACGAAAACCTTCAGAATTATTGCTTTAAACATTTTTTTTTCTCTTTTCATTGAAATGAACCAACATCCGACCAATTCTCATTTACCTTCATTCCCCCTCACACTGGAATTGATTAACATTTTTATTGTACAATTTTTATATTTTTATTTTTCATGTCACCTCACATATTGTGTCGCTTTAAACTCAAGCAGACAATGTGGCTCTGGAAACTCAACAATCGACGAGTGCTGCTGACGAAAGTGCTTTTCTTGTTACTTAATCAACTGATGGTGATAGGCATTTACGGAAAACTCTGTGAAACAGAAACGGGACAGAACAACATTATACTCGATATCGAAGAAAGTCGAGGCGATGGTAAGTGCAAGTGCAAGTAAAGTGATTTAATTTAATATCACATTTTTTTCTTCTTTCGAAAGTGATAAAAGATATTTTAAGAATGATATAACTGCAGTCGACTTGTTGCTTATTAAATTTACATCGCCAAAGATGTCACTTTCGAATATTTTTTTATCTCGTTCATAAGAGTTACTTGATATTCTCAGTAAGTGAGATCGAGTTGCGCAATTAACTTTAAAGTGGTGAAAATATTTATAAAATTTGCACATTTCACCATCATTAAGTGGCAGTAATGAACAAAAGAAAACAGCAAAAAAAAAAAATTAAATAAAAGGACATCAGAATTGTGAATTTCGTTTTCATCCATACATGGATTGTGTCATGAAAATGTAAATTCCATTAACTTTATTTGCAACATCGTGCAAACAATGCAGCAGATCAGTTTACCTCTCTTTGCCCTGTGATTAAGTTCACATTTAACTTTTATGGTTGACTACGCTCACTTGCCTTAAATGCCATGGCATTGGCAGTTAAATGAAACTTGACATATTGAAAATCATAAGTTTGATAAGCTGAAAATGACAAATGCGACAACAAGTTGGAGCTTATCTCTGCCGCAACTTCTTAAGCTTCATTTTCTTAACTCTTTCACTTTTATTTCGTTTTCGCGCTCTCTTCTCGTTTCACCTCCGGAGGGAGTCAGGAAAACGTGAGAAACTTTTCAAACATTTCTTCACTAGGTAATCATTTGTTGCTGCTGCCAAAGTTTTGTAATAATTGTTGTGATTAAAGTGCATGGATAAATGTTTAGAAAATTGTTTTGTTTTTATAGTTGCATTGATGGAACAATGAAAGTGAATTTTTCCTTGATTAAACAATATAAAGAAATGAAAGTTTTTTTTATTATTTTTCTTCTTAGCACAGCAAGATATCGTGTGGCAGTGCAGTGGCAGAAAAATTAATAATCAATAAGAAAACAATTCGCTTTTATATTGCTTGTCATGCTTACTCAACTGTCGCAATAAGCAAACACATCACAAGCTTGTTGTTGTTATTCAAGCTTCCTTTGATCAAAAATTAAACAAAGGCATTTGATCCATGATTAAAATTGAATTAATTAATAAATCTATTTGTTGTTAGTCACGACTATGAAATGATCCGACCAAACATAAATAATCCCTAAATAGATTTTCGTTGCTTACACACTCTGTGGGTGATTTTTAAACTTACCTTTGATACTTTTTTTTTGTGAGTTGAAAACAATGAAGTCAAGAACTTATTCGGACTTTTTGGTCGTTTAATTAATGACAGGGCAACTCCACGCAAGGCAAACAAAAAATGATCACATAGCAAGTGAACTCGAACAACACAAAGAAGGAAGAAAAAAAAGAGATTAAATGAAAACAAACATAGAAACTGATCTGAATTAATTAGTTATTAATCATAAGATCATGATTAATGTTTTTATTGTCGACTGTGGTGGTTTTTTTTATGAGATAAGATCGATTTCTTTCTTATAAGTTCTACGTTAATTAAAGTCTTAATATCCATCGAATTAACGTCTCAACATTTCATTTCTTTCTTTTTCTCTATCAACAGCGATCGGTTCTCATGAAAACTCACCAATGCTTCCCATACATGGAGACGTGGAGGACGAAATCACACTCGGTCTCAATTTCCCTGAAGGAAACAATAATTTATTCAAATTGAATGGTAAATTTTTGCAACTTGTCCATCCACTCGATCGAGATAAAGAGAACCTGAGTCACATTCAGTTTACTGTGAGTTAGCAAGCGCAGCTTGAGATCAAATGGAGCAAGTGAATTTTTATTTTAATTTTATTTTTTGCTTCTCGCTTACAGATATCTTGCACAATTAAATCAACGCCGAGTCGTAATCGAAACATTCCTATAATCGTTCGAGTGTCAGATGTTAATGACAATCGTCCAGTTTTTGTTAATTCTCCTTATGAAACAACCATTGCTGAGGTGAGTTAAAATAATTAAATAAACATTATCTTCTGTTTGGATATTATTAACATCATCTGACTTCCCTCATCTGAAAACTCATCGAAACTGGCACGAGCTTCATGTTGTAAAAATGATGACGACAACTTGAAGGTTCAATTTCCATTCCATCAATAAATAATTTTTTTTTATTGAAAATTTTTATTCACTTTGATTGATGGCTTAACAGAAAGTTTCACAAGGAGTCGTTGTTGCTTTCATTCACGTTATGATGGACATGACTTTGTTCATTATTAATTACTGAAAAGCTTTTTGCACATGAGAAAATTATTTAAATATCTACTTACAACATAAAGTCATGTTAATTAAGATGCGCGCATATATTTTAATAGCTTATAATGAAGGTTTCTTTGATATTTACAAGTAATAGTTTCAACGACAGGTTTATTGTTCAATAGAAGAAGAATTGAGGCAATCAATCACAATGGGACATACTTAAGAAGCTTTCTGCATTAAATACTTTAACAAAAAAGGTGATTAAGAAGAAAGAAAAATCATAAAAATGAAGTGAGCTGCATTGCATAACATCTTGAGATAATTGTTGCCTTAAAAATATCAATAAATCGAACTTATAAAGGCTACCTACATAAGTCAGCCACCAGCAGTATTCTCTATAAAATTGAAAGGCTTTATGAGTCTCTTTGTCTTTCAATTGCCAATTGAAAATCAATCAAAAGACGACGCAACGGTAAGCGAACGGTGCTGTGTTGTGCACTTGATAGATGATTATCTTTTACTCACTTCACTGGCACTCATGAAGATGACATTAAATAGAAACGATGAATCGCTTGTTTTGTATTAAAATATAATTTGCTTTTGATATCTTAATCGATCAACATAACGTTAAGTTTGAAGGTGAATGGAAACGTCGAAATGTCTGCAGTAGAATTAAGAGAATTGAAAAATTATTTAAATATTGACACAAATATGAATTCTTAGAAATATAAAGTCAGAAAGATTAATGTTTAATGAGAATTTATCTTAGTTTATGATATGTTATTGTTTGACACAATAATTTCTTAATAATGTTGCTAAGTGAGTATTTAACTTAACTTGTTTTTGATTCTATCATTAGCGTTCCTGATCAAATATTCCCATACGAATTAATACTTTCGGTTACCTAGAAATGATCAATGAATTACGAAAATGGGAAGTTTGAGTTCTCAATCGCCCTAAGCCAATAGCCGAACGCATGTTCTAAAAAAATATGTTCAAAAGCCTAATTGTCAATCAAGCTCATTACTAAAGCTTAGCGTTAATATTTATTTCTCTCCTTTTCTATAACTATTCGCTTGTCTATAAGTAATCTCGCTCGGTAATCGTTCGTTGGAGAATGAGAGTTAAAAAGGAGAAGCAAAAAATCGAGACCTGTCAATATATCAATAATTAAAATGTAAATATTTGATTATCAAGCATTAATCAAAGTATAACAATGTAATGCCAAATAAGCGTTTAAATGTTCAGTTTTTGTTCCGAAGTGCTGTCTATTACGCCACAGCACTTACTTCTTGAACAGTTGAAGGTTATTCAATCAACAAACCAAAACAAATCTTTCTCTTTGTTGACCGCTTGATCGTGCAACGTTTGAAGGCGCTTTACGACTTTGATTTGAGAATTTTTCATGCTGGTAAATATTAATGCAGCAGCTCAAATTGCTATTGCAGCTATTTGAGACACTACCTTACATTTTTAGAGTCTTACAGTCTATAAACTGCGGTAAACTTTGTTTAATTTGCATTTACATACCTTCGGGTGCTTATCTCGCGCTTGCCAAGGAAACTAATAATTTTTTGTAAGTGAGATTGATATTAACTTAAATGAGCTTTTGCAAGGGGAAAGATCAGAAATGATGTTATGACTATTATACTCATATCCGATTAAATTATTCATTTCTCATGAAGTAGCAAAACTGAAGTCTTCTCAATTTAAAATATAAAAAAATTAATTCTTTTATAAGCTGATTGTGAGTGATTGCAAATATTTATAAGAAACAGTTTAAATAATTGTCAATCAAACATCATTAAACGGTATTTATGATGATTCTTTGAAGAAGAAAGAAAGAAAAAAAAATTGTTAAATTCTTCAGAAATTCGTGTTGTTTGTATTTTTATTTTTTATTTCATATTCTTCATTTCTAGTTTCGAGTTCAAAATGTTACCAAAATAATAGAAACTTCAAGTGATGTTTTATAAGCCGCTAAAGAGAAAATTTATCTTTCACTGGCATTCATATTTTGCGCGATCACAAAGAAATCTCATCTTAATCGTTAGACATTTAATAATCTTCCTTAGTTGATTACTTACAATTCTTCTTTTAATATCTTTCATCATCTTTTGAATGTTCGAGTAGTTAAAAAGTTTTGTCGCGTTAAGTGCCATTGCGTGTCAAATTTCTTCAAAAAATGAGATTTTAATTTCATTGTATTGACAGTTGTGTAGATGTTGAATTATTCTCTTGATGTGCAAGTACTTTATGACTTTTGCTGCTTAAACCATAACAGAAAAGGTTGGCAGACAATTGGAGGAAATTAGTGAAGAGAAAGTCGCAAGAAGATGGAGGAAGACATTTTTGTAGCTGTTGATAATTTGAACTCTCTTATACCATCATCTTCGTAAGAGATACTTCGTAACAACATCTTTCGTTATGAGTACAATTGAAAGCTTTGCAAACTTCGAAATTATCTTCAATGGGCAAGACTCCATTAAGACGCATTTTCTTTCTTTACCAGCTAAAGGAAATCATGATTTGTTTATGACATTTTCAACCATGAAACTGCAATTGTCAAGACATTAAAATTGTTGATTGTTTAAGTCAATTGTATCTCACGGGGTTATTGAGTCACACATTGCTGTGATTATTTATTTCCTTCCAAAAATGTCTCGAATTCATTCTTTCGTAAAATCTCTGAAGTCGGAATATTTATTACATGTTACGACACTTGAATATTTAAGTGTCAGAAGTAATCGACAAGCTTCATAAAAGGAAAAATGAAATGCAAAACAAAGTATGTAAAATATTTCAAATCAATTTTCCATTTCAAATGCTTTGAATTTTCAGTGTGCAAACATTTGTGCATCGAATAAAATTCATTAACATCGTTGAGTAACTCACTCAGTCAAGCTTAACTTGCAGCTAACTCCTAAAATGTTTTATGAAGTGTTTTTGCAGCATGTTTCGTTTCATTTCGTCTTATGCTCAAATTCCGTTTACATACATTTGCTGTCCATTAGGAAATTGAAAGAAAGAAAAATCTTTTTTTTCTCTGCTCCATGCGAGCGACACAAGCTACGATGGTGGCAAGCGGCGCAACCAATAAACATAAGAAATAGTTTCCTCATTCTTGTTGGCGTTTTCTTTCTTCAACATTTTGTCGACATTTCTTCGCTGTTTCGCTGTTTGCTGCTTGTGGAATCAAAGTACATGAGAAGTGGATGCAGGAAAAGTCGTAGAATGTTGCAGTCGATGCCATGTTTGGTCACAAATAAAACTAAAGCACAAGCTGTGCAAACAAACTATCATCAATGAAGTCTCTAACCGTTCAATTGGAATTTTCTTTATTTCACAATTTGCGCAATGAAAAATGCATTATTCAGATGAACAAATTGGAATTCAAAATAAAGTAACATTTTTGATTTATGTGCAGTTGATTTCATTGACTTTATCATTTGTTGTGTTGGGGCGAGAAAACCTGCTTTTGCTTTAAACAAATGATGACAAGACGTGATATGAATTATTATGCACTAGTTTCTAATGGCATTTGAATCAAAGTTTTTTCCCTTCCATATCTTTTTGTTGATGATCTTTCAACGACAGTTTCCTTAAAAGTTCAGATGAAATGCTTCGTGACAAGAATTTATTGACATTTTCTTTAATTATTTTTGAATGTTTTGGAAGTGATCATAACAAGATATCCAAACAACAACCCGCATTACTTACTTAATATGTAATCATGAAAACAATTTTAATTTCTTTTTTCTTCTCTTGTTTCATGTCTTCTTTGTAAACATCATTAAAGTCAACTCCCGTGGGCACGACTATTTATAGTAGCATTAAAGCAACTGATACCGACGCAGGTGTGAATGGAGCTGTTGAGTATTTCCTCGTCGAGGGATCACACAATCTAACGGATAACGATGGAAAAGTCGCTGATGGCTTTGGAACTTTTGCCATCGCGTATCCACATCAGGGACATGTAAGTTGGAGAAATCGACCGTCATAAAATGAAGTTCTTTGTTAATTTAACGCTCGACTTTGTAGGTCACTCTTGTCAAGACATTGGATTATGAACGTGTTCAACGATATTACTTAACAATAGTTGCATCGGTGAGTAATATTTAACAACACAATTCTTTTCGCACCAACAATTGGATATAAAAATGATGTGATTGAAGCTTAACAATGCATTCGTTTGTTAATTAATGATTATGATTCTCATGTTGTGAATATGATAACATGAAAGATAGTAAATTATGTAAAGCAATGGGAATGTTACTAAATTAACGTGCAATTATTCTGTCGAATCACGCGAAAATTTTTGATTCATCCACGGCATGAGAGAAAACAACAAAAAAATTGCCCATTTATAGAAGAGAAAGATTTCATTATGCGAATAGGCCGCGATCTGAGATCTCATGTGGCGCTTAACATTTAATAGCCAAGCCTTTTTACCTTCTAGATGCGATGCGGTTTAATTGAAACTAATGAGGCCTGCAAGCGAAAAAACGTTTGGATTACAAAGCTTAAATAAGGCAACATTGAATCTCATAATACAAAAAAACATTTTTGCATTCACTACTGTCTCTAATTCTATCGATCTATCTGTCGTTAAACATGATGTCAAACATATTAAAGTCAATGCTTCAGAATTAGTAAATAAACTTGTTACAATTTAATCGCTGATACAAGCAAAACAAAGTGGCGATAAATTTAACAATGAAAAAAAAAGGAAGCATAATCATGAACATAGCTGTATGTTCAAGTTGAATAAGACAAAACCGTATTTTGGATCATTAAACACATAAAAATAATTCGTGATTCTCTTAATCTAAATATCGTGACTTGAATAAATTCTTTTCCCTTTAATTCCGACTTTATTTCATTTCATGCACAAATAGTCGAGAAGAATGATGCCAATTTTGCGCGTGTTTGTTGCCTTTTCTTCCTTTCTTCTCATTTCGATCTTGACCGAATGCAGAATGCCTTCTTTTGCATAAAACGGGTGCTATAAATTCTCCCTGACTCAATCGAATAAGCGTCGATTTTCTTTCGTTACTGTTCTTTCTCTCTTTATTATAATTTTTTTTTGGATAATCTTCGATTTACAATCTCATTAGAGATGATTTCATTTAAGATATTTGACATTGTAACATGTTGTTTAATGTTTTCCTTTCCGCGCTTTTTAATTTCTCATTTTCTCAAGCAATTGGTTACTTTCGGGAAGAATTTCAAAAGAATGTTAATCATTAAAATACTTGTAGAAGATTGAAATAAATAACATCACTGATAAAGTGTCCCCTTTCATGTAAATGTCATTTAAAAATTTTTTAACTTCATTTCAATACGAATTGAATTAAGATTTCAAAAGAAATAATTCGAGTTCGTTTTTATACTCGTTTTAGGATCGAGCACGTAATGTATCTGAGAGATTATCTGCATCGACGACATTGATTGTGGATATTGAAGACGTAGACGACCAAGATCCGTCGTTTATCTACCAAGATTGTCTCTCGTTCGATGGATCTTGCATAAATCCTGAATACACGGCCAACATAGTTCCGGGAACAGTTCAGAAAGTTCTCGATATTCTACCTGAGAAAATCAGAGCCGTAGATTTAGATGCACTTGCCACTCCAATCCGATATGAGTTTATTAATGGAAACCCGTCAAACTTTAATGAATATTTCGAGATCGATGACGTCACTGCAGAAGTCAAACAAGTGAAACTTGTCGATTCATCAGTCACAGATCGTCAATTTTCAATTACGATTAAAGCTGAGGAAATGTCGGAACAGAGAAGATTTACGACAGCTAAGCTTACGATAAATGTGAAGCCTGTTGATGCCTTTCCACCGATTATTATGGCATCAGATCTCGTCGGCATTGTTGAAGAGAATTCGCCAATTGGAACAAAAGTTTTGAGTCTCAAAAATAAGCCAATAAAGTTCACGATCAGAGATGAAGATTACTCAACTGACATCGACCTTCCAATGTATGCTTTTGAACTCACGACGCCATTGTTCGCAGTTAAAGATGGTTTTCTTGTGGTAAGTGACAAAGGCGTTGACCGAGAGCAGTCGGAAAAACTTCTTTTTCAAATTATTGCGAGAGAAATTCACGGAAATGCTGCAAGTTCGCCATTAAGTGTCAACATTACAGTACTCGACGTTAACGACAATAAACCGGAGATTTTCGAAATTGATCCAGTTATGGTAAGTGCGGGAACGACAAAACGTTCACTTGCACATGTGCATGCTAAAGACATCGACGCTGGAATAAATTCAAGTGTCACTTACTCAATCGTCAGCAGTAAGTCAAGAGACTCGCAAAAGTTCTCAATCAACTCTAAAACAGGTGAAATATTTGCTGATAGTCGATTGAATGCTGATGAGAGGTTCAATCTCACAATTCGTGCTACCGACGGTGGCGGTTTATATTCCGAAACAAATTTATTAGTAACAGTCGTAGCGGGACCGAATACGAAACCACCGATATTTACAAGAAACATTTACGAAGTGCTAGTGAATGAGTCAGCAAAAATAAACACAACGGTTGTTGTTGTGCAAGCTGACGATCCCGAAACCGATCCCGTAAACTATTCAATATTGTCAGGCAATGATCTTCGTCAATATACAATTAATTCAGAAACTGGTGCGATAACAATCATTCGAAAATTAGATCGCGAGACGCTGACAAAGTACCAGCTGACAATTCGAGCAGAAGACCTTGGTGGGCTTTACGCAACCGCACTTGTTAACATCAAAGTCCTTGATGCAAATGACAATGCGCCGGAATTCGATGAAACGTCAATGCCTTATTTGTTCTCTGTTGATGAAGGAAAATTGAATGCTTTTGTTGGTACAGTTCAAGCTTTTGACATGGATGAAGGCAGGAACGCTGACGTTGTTTATTCGTTACCATCTGATGTTCCATTCACAATTAACAAGCAGAGTGGCGACATTCATACAAGAGAAAGACTGAACTTTAAAAGACGAAATGAATACGAATTCATGGTCACAGCGACCGACCGTGGTGTGATGCCATTATCCACTGAAATAAGAATTAAAATTTCAGTTAAAGACGTTCCTGATATTTTACCGATGTTCTCAAAGACGCAGATTGAGGTGAAAGTTCCGGAGAATCTTCCTGACACTCTCGTTGCAGTTGTTAGAATCAGCAATCCTCAAACAGTTGAGACAGCAACTTATACAATCAAGAAGACTTCATCGAAAGATTATTTCAGAATCGATCCTGAAACTGGTGAGATAAGAACAAAGAAAAGTCTCGATTATGAGACGAAATCATTCCATGAAATTATTGTTGGAACTGTTGAGAATGAAGGCAAAGGTGCTGGTGATGTCATCAAAGTGAAAGTGACAGTTGAAGATCGAAACGATGTTGCGCCAGTTTTTCTCATAACACCTGAACCGGTGTCATTAACAGACGATCAACATGTTGGTGCTTTGATTGCTTCCATGCCAGCTGTTGACACGGATGGAACTTCACCTGGTAACGTTGTTCGTTACGAAATGATTGGAAAAGGAAAAGCTTTGAAATTCTTCCACATTGATCCGGAAAATGGAAATATCAGAATCAAAGATGATCTTCGAAAAGATCCAACATCGCAATATGAAGTTGATGTGCGAGCTTACGATCTTGGCGAGCCTCAATTGAGTTCAGTTTCATCGCTCATAATTTTTGTTAAGCACATTCAGCGAATTAACGTTGGAATTGAAACATTGCCTGCTGAAAGTGATGACAGTGAAGAGCTGGGATTGGCATTTGGTGATGAAATTTATGTCACAAACATTCCTGAGTCAACAAGCATCGATGCAACAATTAAATTAATTCAAGTTCTCAACATCAGAAAATCAACGAAAGCTAAAAATGGATTCTCATGTGAGATTGTTGCTGGCAATGATCTCAAACTATTTAGTGTCGTGTTAGAAGACTCAACATGTGCAGTGAAGCTTAAAAGCTCATTAGATTTTGAAAATCGGACAACGCATGAATTGAAGCTTAAGCTGATCTCGACAAAACAGCGAGTCAATCAAAATAAAAACTTTGCGACACTGAAAGTTCTTGTACAAGACTCTAATGATAATCCGCCAATATTCAAATTCAAAAATAGTATTAAGAAGTACAAGAGAAACGACACTTATTATGGAGCTATTGATTATGACGCAACGATTGGAACATCAGTGTTGAAGGTTGAAGCTTATGACAACGACTCGGGCACGTTTGGTTTGATTAAATATCGTTTGGTTGACGACGAAACGAATGTTATTCCGAAAGATGATCTTCCGAGTTCATACTTTGTTATCACTGACGTTGGCATAATTAAAACCAGGCAAAGTCTTCACAAAATTACAAATGGACATTTTCAATTTCAAATTGAAGCTTCGGATAATTTCGGAAAAGATTCAGTCGCTGTTCATAAGTCATATGCAAGAGTTGTCATAAATGTTGTCACTGATTTGAATCGAATGACTTTAGTGTTTCCTGAAGCACATCCAGATGAGCTGAGAAGACATTCGAGAAGTTTGGAAGAAATTTTAACTGAGAAATCTCACGGATTGATAGCAACAGTTGAGAAGATAACAAATCGTCGTTCATTAATGCAAAATGGTTCAATTGTTGAACTTAAAGATGCCACTGATGCTTGGTTCTTCATTGTTGATCCAATAACAGAAAAAGTTCTCCAAAGAAATTCATCAGCAATCGCACAGAAACTTTTAGAGCCGAACATTCAATCACAGATTAATGTTGCCGTATCTCGATTAGTTCGATCACCAACTGAAGGAATCTTCGGACCTGTTGAAGCTGAAAATGAAATTCATCATCTTGAAGTGTCGAATGCAGAGAGTGACGATGACAATTTGATTCACTACACGATGGTTTCGGTTGCTTTTGTCGTTACAATTGTCGGAATCACGGGAATAATTTTTGCTTTTCTTTGGTGGAACAAGTAAGTTTGAATAATTTATTCTACTTGTACTTAATTTAATTATTTTAATCATTTTTGAACAGATATCAACACTCAAAAGAAGCAAATGTGCCGTCAAATTCAATCGTCAACAATCGAAACACGATACGATCAGACCCAACGAAAATCCACCATTTACATAATGTTCATGCAGTTCAAGTTAACATGAAAGATTTGATTGTAGCATTTGATGGATCACCCAGATGACAACTAGAAGAAGAAATTATTAGTAGATATTTAAAATAGAAGAAAATTGGGAAGCAAAGTTTTGAGAAATTTTCTAGTCGATAGGAATTGAGCAATGAACTGACTTGCATTGTCTCCCAATACATGAAACATTTTTTTGACAAATCTTTCATTTAATATGAAAAAATCACAAATTTTGTACATTTTCTGCCTTTGCTTTTTGAGACGAAAGCATAATTTAAACATAAATAAGCATAAACATAAACATTGTAGGAGTTAAATACTAGAAAAAAAATTATCTGTGATATTAAATGACTTAAATGTAAGTAAATGAATTTATTCCAATCATTACATAATAGAAAGTAAAAGTAAGATAAACATTTGTCTCCCAGCTAAGCTTGTGATGTATCTTAAGGTCATCAAAAAATCATTTTGAAATATAAATAAGAATTGAAAGAAAATTGTTTTTTATTTTTATTGGAATTTACAAACAAAGGTGAGTAAAATAAATTAAAGATTTGTTTCAGCATTTGATTGAAAATGTGTTAGATTCGCCTTCAGATTTTTCTTTCTCTTGTACTCCATTAAATTAATTTCCTTTCGTAACAGCAAACAGAGATTTAAAACATGTCCGATGACACAAGACAAAGTCATTACCCTGAGAGAAATTAGAAATTTCATGAGAAGTTTCAAAAAGTGACGAGAATCTCTCAAGTTAAAATGATGTTTTGCTTAGAGTTTTCCTTCAGTCGCATTTTGTGAGTCATAAAATAAAACAAATTGAAAGTTTTTAATTTCTTTCTTTATCTAAACATAAACAAAATAAACAAATTAAAAATTATAAATAAATTAAATTATTTGATCAGTTTAAATTTCTTTAAAAAGACATTTCGATCTTGAAAAATTGATTTCTTGATTGATTCCTTCCTGACTTCTGTGAAATTTTGTGAAGAAAACTAATTTTGTGCTTCTCCGACTTTTTCTCGTCAACTGTGAAGCTAAAAATAAATTTTCCACTTGTTTATACTCGCTGTGTTGATTATACATAATTTGATTTTGTATTATACATCGCGTAGAAAATTCGCTGACACAATCAACGACGCAAAAAATTATTCGCTTAAAATAATAAAAGAAATCGTTTACAATGTTACATCAAAAGTCGAACGAGAAATCTGAACAATTAAGACATGAAGGAAACAAATGTTACTCGAATCAAAATTTCTTCGAAGCTATGCTGAAGTACAATGAAAGTTTGTGTTATGCTGACCCGAAGAGTGAGAATGTTGGCTTGGCGTATGCTAACAGATCAGCAATTTACTTCGAGATGAAGCTTTACGATAAATGCTTGAATAATGTTGATATGGCTAGAAAAAATAGTTATCCAGAAAGAAATCTGGAAAACCTTGTCAAAAGAGAGCAGAAATGTCATGAAATGGTGAAAACTTCTAATCAAAAGATTTCAAATCCTTGGAACTTCTTCAAACTTTCATATCAACCAAACAAGAAACTTCCTTTCATCGTTAACTGCTTAGAATTGAACTGCAATGATAAATATGGAAGATTCGTCACAACCAATCATTCATTAAAAGTTGGAGACATAATTTCAATCGAAGAACCTTTTTGTAAAGTTTTATTATCCAAATCAAAATTTCGTAAAATTCCAAAATCAAATATTTATCAAAAATGTTCAAACTGTTTGCGAGATAATTCTTTGGATTTAATTCCATGCAACTCGTGTTGTCTATGTAGGTTTGAATCAACATTTTCAATTGTTAAACTTGCCATTTGAATTAATTTTTCATTCACTTCCAGCCATGTTTTGTTCAATCGAATGTATGGAAACTGCATTGAAAAGATTTCATCGTTACGAGTGTTCAATAATGGCTAAACTTTTGGAATCTGGCAGCGTTCACATGGCTATGCGACTTTTTTTCATCGCACTATCTAAATTTGATGGATGTTTTGAGAAATTAGAAGATTTCATATCAAATGAGAATAAAATGACAATTTTTGATTGCGATTTAAAATCTTCGGAAAGGGAAGGAAATGAGAGAATGCTGAGATCGTTAATGTCACTGATGAAGAGTCCTAAAATATTTCCAGTTACTCCACTAATGGAAATTCTGAAAAATCATCACGAATTAGGCGATTCTTCAGAGAAACACGAGAAGTTCATCGCAAATTTCTTACAAAAACTTCGTCAGATATCTGATTGGAATTTTCATGGCATCACCAGTGGAAGTTCTAAAAGTGTTGACGTTAACGAAACAAAGCGTGAAGGCTTGGAAGAAACTATTGGAAGTGGATCTTTGATATTTTGTTCTCTTATCAATCATAGTTGTGCCAACAACGTCATGAGAATTTGTGTGGAAGGAAAAGTTCTTCTTGTTGTTTGCAGACCAATTTCAAAAGGAAGTCAATTGTTTGATTGTTACAAGTAATTTCATTTGTCTTTATTTGCCTTTCAATAACATAAAAATAATTAAATAATTACAGAATATCTTTTCTGCAACATCAAAAGCAGGAACGTCAAGAAATTCTTCTTAAAGATTTCGGATTTGCATGCGACTGTGAAGCTTGCACACAAAACTTTCCAACTCCACCAATGTTGAAGTTTAAAGATCCGAAGCTACTGAAATTCGCTAAGAAAACTGACGATGAAATGTTAACACTTCAACATAATCAAGCTTTTAAAAAGTTTCGTGATTGTTGTGACATTCTGGAGAAAAATAATCAAAATTTTCCATGCCTTGAACTTTGTCTGTTACTCAGATGCATTGCCAACTTTCTATTCAAACAAGCTCAGCCTTCAGTTGTATTTCCATAAAATTATTACACAAAACTTTAGTAAAAAAATAAACATTTACATGGTGAGATTATTTTGTTTATTTCTTTTAGTTCATTAAGGAAAAGATATGTTCGATTTAGAAGCCATTAAAAAACATTTAACTGTACAAAGCTCAAGCAGCACGATTTCCCTGCACGGGTAATTATTTTCACGATAACATCTTTGCATAATTTTCGAATATTTCAAAGCTAATTCACGTGCTTCCATTGGTGTCAGCTTCTTCTTTGGATTGCGTAATTCATTGTAAGCTTGTTGTGCGTAATGAAGAAGAGTTTTGTCACATGCTTGCAAAGCTCCGGTCAATAACTCAGGGAAATCGTAAGTACACGCTTCGCAATCACAAATGAATTGATAATCCATCAATTCCATGTGACGTGAATTTTTCGTTTTGAAGTAAAAACTATCACTGAAATTCATTTTAATTCAATTGACTTTTCATTTTAAAAATCATGAGAGAATTTCTCACCCAATGTAGCAATCAAAAATTTGTTCTCCTTTCTTAATAGGACGTTCAACAATCACCACCATTCGATTTTCAACAACGATTCTCATAACATTAGAGCAGCATGAATGATTTAATAATGAACAGAATGCATAACCGCCGTCACCTACAGAACTTCGGTAAGGATTGTTTCTATCAAGTGATCGTCCTTTGATGCCATGAAAGTTGAGAATCTCGATTTGCATCATTCTTTTGAGAAATTTCTTGATAAATTCTTGATGAGTGCACCATGCACTTGACAGCAATGGATGATGAGTGAAAAATTCGCTGAAATTTCTAACAGTAACGACAACTCTTCTTGCCAATCCAATCATGCATTTCAAATGATTCTTCACTGTATCAGGATCTCTCTGATCATCCATCGCGTAGTTGTACACAGTTGGTGACTCACTGTCACTTTCAATCATCAACTTTTCTAATTCTTCAATCGAATCATCACAAATTGATAATGAATGAAAGAAGTTACGCAATGGCATTCGCCAATTTCCAGTGTTGTTTAAAAATTCCAAATAATTGCATTCATATTTGTGAAAACTTTTGTTTGCTTCTTGTTGGCATCGTGTTGAACAGAACATCGTCGTTAAGCATTCAGTGCAGGGAATCAAATCCATTAGGTTGTCATTTAAACAGTATGCACAATAGACGTAGATGTTTGCCATTGGATATTCATTGTCTTCTGGATCAGATTTAACAATCTTAAAGAAAGGTTCTTCGATTGCAAGAATGTCACCAACTTTCAGAGGTTTATTTGTGATAACGTGACGACCATACTTGTTGTCACATTTCACTTCAAGACAATCAGCTACAAAGGGAAGTCTTTTGTTGGCAGGATAAGAAAGTTTAAAGAAATCCCAAGGATTTTCATTTGTCGTCTGATCTTCATTAAACTCTTCCAAACACTTTTCCTGCAAGTCGTCTAAGGATTTCATTTTGTCTGGAAGACAATTTTGATCTCTCGCTAGTTGAATGTTGTTTAAGCATTTATCATAAATCTTAAGTTTGAAATATGTTTCAGCTCGATTGGCATAAATTGTTCTCATTATTTTTGTATCAGACTCAGCATTGCACAAGCTTTCATTGAATTTCAAAATCGCTTCATAAATTTCTCCATTTTGCATTGAATCAAATCCTTGTTTCCTTAATTTCTCCGCAATTTTATTTGATTTTACGATTTCACTACTCATGATGACAAGTCAACTGAAAAATATCGAAAGCGAAATATTTTCTGATAACTTCAATATTAATTAACATTCAATTGATTGAGATATTATCTCATTCAGATCTTAATCAGTTTTCCGACCATGGCAGATCATTTCAACCTTGATTTATTATGTCTATAGTGTCGTTGATGACTTCTTATAAATATTTGTGGTTTTAAATCTCAAGCCACACGAAAGACACGCTACTTTGTGCCAACAACTTTTCTCAAACTCACATGTTGTGGCAAAAATATGTTTCCGAAATTTTATATTTTTAGACACATCAAATGAAATCGAAATTTTAAAATTTTTATTTCATTAATTTTGCAAAGCTGGGATTTAAAGTCATGACCAAAATATTACGAGAAAATCTTTTGGAGATTTATCATTTTTTTATTTCAACAGACCTTCTTTAGAATGCACGTTTGAAACGAAATGAAGATTATTCCTCCAAATAAATTTTACTCAAGATTTCACAATGAGATTAAAAAATGAATGAAAAGAAAATATAGCAACGAGGAGCATTTAATTTTCAACCTCTTTTCTTGAATGAAATTCGCGAGACTGTGAAAAGCACGCGATCTTTTCAAATCCAACGAAAATAAAATTCATAAATTGAAAATTTTATTTGGCAACGAACAGTCGTTTTGATGAGATTGCTGTGCGGCGTAAATTTTAAATATTCTTTTGTGTACATTTCTAAAAGAAAGATGTCAAGCTACTTGTTGTTTTTATGGCTTAATAATGAGGCCTATAAAACTATAGAAACATTGTTATTAAGATGACGTCCTTAACATGAATTATTTAATACAAATGCAATGATGAATCAGATCAGAAATTTAATCTTTCTTATAATTTCTTATTATTTAACTGAATTATTTAGAAAATTAAGAATTTCTATGACATGCAGACAAAGACAATAAACAAAATTAAAACTATAAATTAAAATAAATTGAAAATTACTGACTGACTATTAAGAAGAACGTTTCATCAATTAAAAAGTCAAATTTGTGTTAATAAATATTTTAACGGAAATTATAACAAATTTTTAAATATGATTGTGTCTGTGGTTCGACTGTTATAAATAGTTGAGGTCTCAACCACCAAAATATGGGAGAGGAATCAGCGTAATCCGTAGAAATTGGAGAGAGAGAAGAAAATAACAAATATCAATGTGAATCGCGACATAAAAAGTCCCGATAATTTAATGAAAATTTTGTGTAAAATTAAATTTAATAATCTTAAAACATTGTTACAATGGTGAACTGACATGAGAGCTATCTGCTCATCATAAATTTATACCTAAAAACTGTGAAAATTCTGTAAAGAAAGCTTAAAATATAGAAAATAATTTCTTTTCATTCAATTTGTGCTTCGACAACTGAAAGATTAAAAAATGTCTGCTGCTGATTCCACAAAACGTGTTTTTATGTCAATGGGAGACTCTAATGAGTTGCTTAAGAAACCAGAGAAAAATACCGGCACGATAGTGAATAAAAGCAAGACATTTCGGCTTGATCTTGACCTGTTTGAACCTGATGAACACAAATTCCCTGAATTTAACTACAAAAAGTTGGCATATATTGAAAAGGTAATTTGGAAGAAATTTTTTCTTCTTCTTTTTAAGTGAGAGAGTGAAAAAAGAAGAAGAAAAAGAAAAGAATCCATTTTTTTATTCGATACATACAAAGTGTCGTTGTTTGTTTTTTTTTCTTTTTGTGATGCATTTAATGTACCGTTGACGCACATTAATTTATTTTTCATTCAAAAGTACTTCCTCAATTATGAACTTCAATTAAAATTATGCAAATTCTTAATAGATTAAAAATAATTGTTTCATGAGATTGTAATTGAATAACAAAAATTCTCAACAGAAAAAGCAAAAGAAGATTGCAAAATTACCAAACGGAAACCATGATGATCCCTTTGCAGAAGATGATGATAATGTCGAGCGTATTGCACGGGAGCTGGAAGCTAAATATGTAAGTAAATCATCAAGTAAATTATGTGTAAGAGAAAGAGAGAGAATATGAAATGAAAGAGAAAGAGAGTAAGATTGTAAAAGTTTCATGAATGAAAAATTCTCTCACGTTAAATAAATTTTTGTTTACTACGAGTTACGATTTGATGTTTCTTTGCTTCTTATCGTTCATAGGGGAACGCGAGCTCTTATGGAAAAACTGGTCGACATACGTACATTGATCGTGCTGCTGGATATGATGCTTCAGACACATTTATTGATGATACAGAAGCTGTAAATATTTTAAATGAAAAAATGTTGTAAAAATTAATTTTGAAACATTTCAAAAACTTTTCAGTACGATGAACTTATACCAGATGAGATTGAAACAGATCGTGGTGGATTCTACATTAACAGTGGATCTTTGGAGTTTAAGAAACTTTCAAATTTTGAACGTCCTGGAGATGAAATTCGAATGCCGAAAGCTAAGAAACGTGCTCTATCTACCAGCAGTGAATCCAGTGGGTCTGATGATGTCAATGAAGAGAAGAATGTAGAAGAAAAGCTCAAGAAAAAGAAAAATCACACAGAAAAGAAAGTTAAAGTGAACACAACGTCATCATCCGACGAGCAAGGAAAAGCTAAAAAGTCGAAAAAAGAGAAACGTGAAAAAGTTGCTGAAAAAGTAGAAAAGGTTGAAAAGCCAAAAGAAGTGCAACCGGTGAAAGAGCCTGAAAAGAAGAAAACAGTGGAAAAGGAACCTGAAAAAATTCTCAAAACAACAACAGTAAAAGATATGCTGAGAGCTAAACGTGATAATTTGCGTAAGATGGAACAAGGGAAGCCAACAAGCAGCGGTGCTACAACAGCAACTGATGATGAAGGTGGCGAGAGTGAATCAGTGAGTAGTTTAGCAGTTTCCGAGTCATCACGAGATAGTCAACCAGAAATGGCGCCTCAAAATGAAGTGAAAGAAGTTCATCTGCCTGAAAACTTGCCAGCACCAATCGTCCAACTCATCAACAACTTAAAACAACAAGCAGAATCAGCGTCAGCTTCAAAATCCGCCTTTTTCAACAACAATACGTTAAACCAACTTGTGACAATCGACAATGGCGCCAAAAGTGTAAATGCAACAGTTCGCATCAATGTCTTCAACTACCTCGAACAATTCGTTCCATGCACGAAGAAAACTCTTTTTGCGAAGCTTCGTAAGCATCGTATACAACAAATCGAGACAAAAGTCAATAATGAAATTAACAAAATGCGTAAAATTGTCGCCGATGCAATGCCCAATGAGATATTGAAACATGAACAAGAAATGCGGATTTACGAAGAGCGCAAAACGACACATCAGATTGTTGGAGATAATTCGTTTGAACTTCATGTGCCAAGAAAGAAATTTCATTGGAATGACAATTCACGTCTAGTCTTAAGTTTGATTGTTCAGTATCTTCAAGAGCTTCACAAGTCGACAAAGGTAAAGAAGGAAAGTGAACAAGAATTTCTGTTACGTCGATTACGTGACGAAGTTGTCGCATTATGGCCTGAAGATTGGATAAAAATTGAAGATTTCAGCAAGGAATTGGAGAAAAAGAAGAAGAAAGAATCAAAATTAGCACAAAGTAAAGCAACTGCCGCGATATTATCAAAAGAATCGTCACAACAAATGCAATCGCAAGTGCAAGTTCAACCAAAAACTATCACTGCCAGTCCCATTGCCACAAATGGTAAATTGCCAGTTCAAACTCCGCCTCCAAAGACTGAAAATTGCGTGAAAAATTGCGAAAGTGAAATGACATCGCTCATGAATGGAAAATCGCCGACATCACAAAAAACTTCTCCAACAGCATCATCAGCCACGATCTCTGTAATTAAACGTTCAAGTGATCACAGCATTAATAGCATCATTTCGTCCCCATCACCGCCTACAACAATTCATCCGCCAAAAGTGCAAGAGTCGATGATTAAGCCACGTGTCATTGAACTCGAGAAGCTTGTTTCACCCACCGACCTTCTAAAAGTTACGCAAAACTTAAAGTCAACGTCAATGCAATTTATTTCGCCACCCATCGATGCTTCAACATCTGACAAGAAGGTAAATGCTGAGAAAGCTCGTCGCTCTGACAGCAGTGACAGTGATTGCGTTGAGATTGTAGGTGAATTCAATCCTATCCAACCAGCAAAATCAGTTTTCAATCACAACAACAACAAGGTAATTCTAACTCCATCACCTCATCCAACTACTCTCGTTACGAAAAAGAGTAATAATAAAAAGCAAGGTTGCGAAGATGGAGAACACGAGACAGATTATTCGAAGATTATAATGGGAATTCAATCTTTAACTGTGAGATTTCTCTTTGATTACTTAATTAGTATTAGATAGTTGTTAAGTTAATTTCCACTTTCTTCTTATTTTTTCATTAATAAACAAAAATAAACTTTTTTATCTTTTACATCATTAGGATCCAAAGAAAACGAATCAGTTTAATGTGAAGAATCCTCTAACGTCACCAACAATCAACCCACAACAACGGAAATCAGAAACGTCGCAAGGTAAGAAGAGTGAGAGATTTAATTCGAGTGTGTGTTTGTGTGATTGATGTCTTTGAATGTTTCTTATGATAAAACGTAAATAATCTTTTCCATTCAATTTTTTTCTTTCTTTATTGTCACCAAATCTAATGTCTGCTGCAAAAATAACTTAAACATTTTATTAAATTCCATTGAATGAAGGAAATTCATTTGAAATGAATGGAACGAGTGATCACTTTCTTGATCCTAAACTGCCAACTAAAACTTTCACTTATAAAAACCTGCAGTATACGATCGGTGATCTTATTGCTCAATCAAATCGTGGAAATAACGAAGGAAATTTCGTTAAAGGCAATCACAAGAGGTTCGTTTTGAGTACCTTGCTTTCAATGATTTAGATTTTTCCTTTCTTTCATCTCGTTTGTTGTTATTTTGAAAACTTTAATCCGCCAAAAATTTAAGATAAAAAATGTTTTTTGTTCTTAAAAATCGAATTAAGCTCTGATCAACAAAAGTTGTTGTCGCACCACTTCAATCATCAACAGCAATTGTCAAGTAGCACCAACAATAATTTGCACTCAATTTCAATGTCACTGACACCACCATCACGACAATCACCGAGTCGAGATGGAAAATCGTCAACATCATCCTCGTCTGCTGGTTATACGATGCCATCAATTTTAAATTTGTCAAGCAAGAAATAGAAGTTTTGGTTTTTCTTTCATTTCATTTAATGAGATTTCGATGCAAGTATCAATCAATTGGCCTGTTGCTGAATGTTTTTACTTTTTATTTATTTTTTCAAATAGTTTCGTGTGCGATTTTGATTGTGTTGAAATTTATGTTTAACTTTTGTTTATTGTTTATTTAGTTTTAAGCTTTCGAACTTAGAGAAATTCAATGTTTTTGTCCTTTAAATCCCTTAGGGTTTGACATGACAACAACAAGTGAAAGCGACATGTTGTTCTTTTCTGATTACACGTACAAGTACAAGCGATATGAGCCAAACAGTTGAAACTTAAACGTGGTTTGAATTTTAATTTTTTTTTCTCTTAGTTTTGCTTAGTTAAGAAAGGTAAAATAATTCTTTCTCTTCCCTAATTTCTTAAATCACTTTACTAACTGTTGGTTCCTTAATCATTAACACAAAAGCTTACAATAAGTTTTATTAATTTATTTATTTTGCACAAAAATGTTTCAACTAATTTGGTTCTCTTCTATGATTTCTTTAAATATTTTTATTTAACATTTTCCTAATTTTAGATTTTTCTTTTATTTTTCAGATTAGCATAAAAGCTTGGGAAAGATCAACCGATGACGAATCTTTTTCACTTACATCTAAATGAAATTTAGTTACTTTTCCTTTTTTTCTTATTTAATTTATTTTTCTTGTCTCAATATTTCATCGTAACCAAACAATGTAAATAGCTAGATAAGTTACTTAAGTTCCCATCTCGTTTAAATTAAGAATCTTTTTTTCTGTAGTTCACTAGTTAATATCTCAAATGAAGGAATTTGTGAAAAAAAAAAAAAATGTTTCGTGATATTGAAAATTGCGAGAAATTTAAATAAATAAAATGTAAAATTGCGATCGTTATGAAAGTTTAAAAAAAATTGTTTTAATTATAACAGGAATTGAGAAGAAAACTCTTAACTCTTACGACACCATCTGATATTCGCGTGGTAAATTTCATCTTATGAGGAAATTTCAAGTAAATTATCAAATTTTATTTATTTTTCCGATGTCAACTTAAGATAGAAATTCAAAACTTTGTGTTTAATGATGCTGACATTTAATCTATCGGTTAATCATTAAAAAAGGCTTTCCGGAAATGACTTGAGTTAGACGAGTATTTAAATTCGCAAACTCAATATTAAAACTCAACAGTGTCAATAAAAGCTTCAATAATTCAGCCTAATTTTTGAGAGTGAAAATGAAAGTTTTTGATGAATTTCGTTTCTCAATTCTGATGCTATTAATTAAGACAATTGTGATTTTGTTTATTATTGTGTTTATAAATTATTTTAGGCAATTTATTTGTAGGCCGGAGTTCGTAAAGCTACATTGAATAATGTCATTTACAGCTCTAACCCAAAATACGCAAATGCTTCTGCTATCATTTGGCAACAAAGTGAGAAAAGTTTTATAAACTTCTCAATGGAAACTTTCGAAGATCTGGAAAAGATGATCATAACATTAAAAATGGGATTTAAGACTTCAAAAAATTCAAATTCCGAAATAAGCCTCATGAATACAAAAATCAATTCATGCAAACTTAGCGAAGGAAATCGCGGCAATCCTCTTGTTAGATTGGTAATGGATGCATTTGAACAGTGCTCCGATTTTAACATTACATGTCCATTCACAAAGGTAATTAAGACTGCCAGGTTTAATTATTATTTAATATCATTCCTTAATTACAGAAGAAATTCCATTTTTCCAATTACACACCAAATGAAAAATTGCTCATTCATTCTCCGTTTGCTGGTCCGATGAATTATTTCTCGATCGACTTAAAGTGTGAAGGAAAACATTTAAAAAACAAAAAGCTTGTTAGTTTGTTCACTTTTAAAATTTATGGACGACAATCTAATTATTAGATAAAAGAACAAGATTTTCAATTCGTCAGAAATTCAAAAAAAAATGAACAACTTATTATCTAAAATCAAGGAGTATTTCACCGTAGTGCTTTTTCCGGCTAAATGATCTTTCAAAACGCACTAGTTTTTTTAATGGCAATTTTCCATGAATTTCTTTAGTTTTTCTTGGAATTTGTCTAGGGCTTTTGCCGGGCAATATTCTTCGTAGAAATACTCCTTGTTTCAAATGAAAGAATTTGTAAAAAGAGAAAAAATAAATACAGTTGAAGCTCGATTAGCGAAAACTCAAGGGAGTATCAATTAACGAGCTTTTTCTCTAAACGAACAAAAATTGTTCAAAAATGTGAGTGTATGTCGACTTTTATCGAGCTTTTTTCGCTAATCGAGCTTCCGCTGTAATATAAAGTTAAGTATTATTGAAAATTGCGAAAAATTTAAACAAATAAAATGTAAAATTGCGATCGTTATGAGAGTTTTAAAGAAAATTGTTTTTATTAATTAACTTTGCTATTTAATTAAACACCAATTAAGAAGAAAACTCCTACGACACCATCCGATATTCCCGTGCGAACTTTCATGTTGTAATATAGAAATTTGAGATAACTCATCAAATTTTATTCATTTTATGATGTCAACTTTAGACAGAAATTCAAAACTTTGTGCTTAATGATGCTGACATTTAATCTATCGGTTAATCATTAAAAAAGGCTTTCCGGAAATGACTTGAGTTAGACGAGTATTTAAATTCGCAAATTCAATATTAAAACTCAACAGTGTCAATAAAAGCTTCAATAATTCAAAATAGTTTTTGAGAGTGAGAATGAAAGTTTTTGATGAATTTCGTTTCTCAATTCTGATGCTATTAATCAAGATAATTGTGATTTTAATTAATGTTGTGTTTATAACATATTTTAAGCAATTTATTTGCAGCTTGGAGTTCCTAAGATCACATTGAATAATGTCATTTACAGCTCTGACCCGAAATACGCAAATGCTTCTGCTATCATTTGGCAACAAAATGAGAAAAGTTATCTAAACTTAACAATGGAAACTTTCGAAGATCTGGAAAAAATGATCATAACAGTAAAGTGGGGATTCAAGACTTCAAAAAATTCCGATTCCGAAATAAGCCTCATGAATACAAAAATCAATTCATGCAAACTTAGCGAAGGAAATCGCGGCAATCCTCTTGTTAGAATTGTTATGGATCCATTTGATCGTTGCTCTGATTTTAACTTTACATGTCCATTCACAAAGGTAATTAAGACTGTCAGGTTTAATTATTATTTAATATCATTCGATAATTACAGAAGAAATTCAATTTTTTTAATTACTCACCAAATGAAAAATTGCTCATTCCAATTCCGACTGCTGGTCCGGTAAATTATTTCTCGATAAACTCAAAGTGTGAAGGGAAACTTTTGAAGAGCAAAAAGCTTGTTAATTTGTTCACTTTTAAAATTTATGGAATATTTTGGTATTAGATAAAAGAACAAGATTTTCAATTCGCCAGAAATTCAATAAAATTTATTCATTTTTTTTTTCGATGTTGCAACTGAAAAGAAAATTGTTATGAAATTCTTTTTATTTGCGTGGAAAATTCAAAATTTATTTTAAGTTTGCATGTTTATTTTATCTGAATTGGAGCATCAATCTGTGATCATAATCTCAATAAATATTTTTCTCTTTCTTCATGCTTAATTCCATTAATTAAGATAGAGAAAGGAATGTTTCGTCTTCTTTTAATTTTGTTTTCAACATCTAAAAATATTAGCGAATAGTTAAGTGGAAGAGTTCTCAAGCCTACATAAATTAATTTTTAAATATTTTTCAATCTTCGACATAAGTTGCAGAAATAAATTCTCCAAACGAAATTAAGGAAATTAATAACGCGTATTCCATCCCATAGCTATCTCCTTTCAACCGATGTCGACGTTTGTGGTGCATCTGAAGATTTTAACGTCGGCCTTTCAATCTTCAATGAATGTTGTGGAATTTCTTTATCAGCTTCAACGCCTAATGAGTTGTAAATTTCCTTAACAATGAAGAGAATTGTGTCAGCACTTTCCCAATAACAAACATGAGCAGTCAAAGCGAAAAGATATTCGTTGAAAAATTCTAAAGGAGCTTCTTGAAGCACATAATCAAATCGCTTCGTTTGATTTAACTGACCAAGTTGTAAATTGTCGTTGGAATCTTTCGTTTCATCATTTGCTGATTCAGATTTTCCCTGATTAATCTCCGAATTTAATTGTTTATCAATGACTTCATTGACTTCTTGTTCAATAGCTTTGTGATTGACATTTTTTGTGATTGGATTCAATGCGCAAACAGTTTCAGTGACGTGTTTGAATGAAGACATGAACTTTGTCTTGATGTCAGTTGACACCCGATTCATTGTCTCCTTAAGCTCCAAATGCATTCGTTTTCGTCCTTTATGGTGTGGAATTAACACTGGTGGAACATTAGCAAGTGTTGGATTAACTAAAGCTTCCAAACGATATGCAACTGGATCGTAAGGATGGAAAATGTTGAAAAATCCATCACAAGTTGGCAAACGGAAATCCACGCCAAGTTTATCAATTCCACGAATTGTCACAAACATCCCAATTGGACTTCCAAGTGCAAAGAAGTTTTTCGGTGCAAATGTTAGTTGTGGATACTTCATGAGTGGTTGGCCGGTCCCAGATAATCCCACACGATAATCAATTTGCTTCGATTGAGTTCTCTCAAGAACTTTATGACGCACAACTTCTGGTTTTACTAATTTCACTGCTTCAACATTCTCATGACTATCTCCATTAACAACAAGTGACTTTTGATGACACAAAAGATCGAAAAGAATCAAAGATCCAAGTGAATGTCCGGCAAGTGAAACTTTTCCTTTAAAATTTCGATTTCGATTCATAAACATTCCAAATTTTTTGTTCAATGAATTCGCAACAGTGTCAACAATATTCTGCAATTAAATTTATATTAAATACAAAACAGGTAATCAAAATTAAAAAAGATAAGCAAATTCCATTTTAACTGACCTGGCTAAACACTGGACTTGTATAAAATAAAACATCCAACAAAGTTTCATTTGTAAAGTTGCGTAACTTTGGAATTGATTCGAGTGTGATTGATTTCAATTTCTGATCAATGCCCGACTCATCAGAGTGAAGTGAATTCCACCATGAAACGGGTAAAACTTCAACACGTCCAACTTCCCCTTCATCGTAAGCTGTTCGATAATGAGCTTGAATTAATTGTTGCGCAATTGAACGAAACTCATCAACAACTTCTTCCACTGTACGAAACTTTAAGTCACAAACAGATCCAATTCCATGGACCATGAATAATAAATGATCAATTTTATCGCAATCTCCATCTTCAATGTTAAAATCGTCAATTCCTCGTTTAACAACTCGTGGTTTGCTTATTGGTGATGTTGGTGTTCCCCAATTGTCAGGAGTTGATTTCTGTTGGAAATGAACTATGACATTAGCATCATGAAAAACGACTTGTTCGCCATTAGGCAGTTCAACTCTTCGATGCCAATCTTCAGTTCTAAGTGCTTCTTGATATTCATGTTCGAGAAGATCGGCGATTCCTTCTTCGTAGGGAATTGAACGAGAGTCGACCTTGTAAAACCAGCTGCAACGTCGCACTTCACTATTCTCGCCTTTCCAATAAACAGGAATTCTAATTCGCTCTGGTATGTTGACGTCAAATCGTCCACCGTCTGTTGTTATGATTGAGCGATGTGAGTCGTGACTTGTAAAAGCCTCTTCAAGTGCTTGTGAATCGACGAAGCTAAATGGCGTCCAACGCTTTTTTGCATCAATTGTATGTTCATAGAACCAATGCTTTATGATTGAGTTGCTGTCTGATGACTCGCTTACAGGACTGTCACAATTCGATGATGTCATCTTGGCGACTAATTAACTGTAATGAGAGAAAATTTTGATGTTTAGAGGTTTTTCTGTTATTTATAACTTGATGAACTTAGCAGCTTAAATGATAACCCACGTTTTTGACAGTATAAATTTCTGATAAGCTTTTTTTTCTAATATAACACTCTTTTCAATGATGCATTCAATCTTAATTCCAAAGGTCTCTAAACATTAATTTTTAATAGCCCGAAAAAAAAACTTTCTACTTTGGACTCAAAAATGATTCACATAAAAAGATTAAAATCGATTATTTCTCTATTAAAAGAAATCTCGTAATAATTCACACTTCTCACTGATAATGAATAAAACAACAGCTGTTCGCTTCAGTCACTGGAAAAATATTGCAGCGAAGATAATTTTGAGAATGACGAAACGAAATGAGATGAAAACAAAAACCCAGCGAGAAATAAACTGCTTTGAAACTAAATTCAAAAATCCATGTTTAGCATGTTTGTTTCATGAGAAGCACAATTCAACCATTATCTTTGGTTGTTTGTTGAATTATTTATGTGAATAAGTAACATGCTGAAAGTGAATGAGGAAGTTAATGAATTAATTAAAATTTATCAAGAGTTTACTTGCTGGGAACTCACATTGAACTTTGCGTAGCTTTGTCCCCTCGAGTTGTTTACTTTTCGCGACACACACCGCGCGCTTTGTAAATTTTGTAAATAAATAATAAAATGAACAAAACAATTCAACTGAGGCATCCTCTTCTGGTTGACTGCATTATGGAGAAGCTGTCAAGTCCTCAAAAGTTAAAATTACCTCAAATCATTAGTTTGCCAGCGTCAAGTTTGGTGAAAGTAAAAAGCGGCTCAAGAAGTTTTCTTTGTCGGATTTACTACTTAAATCAAGTTTATGACGAAAAGAAAATTGCTTTTATTGATGACTCAGTAGAGTTGCTAGCAGATAAATCAAGTCATAGTGATGAAATAAAATATATCCAAGAAATTGAACTCGTTTCAAGTCCAATGAAATTGTTCAAGGAAATTCAAATAAATTTGCATTTAAACATAAACGATCTCAACTTAGATGTGATAAAACAAGCTGACGATTTAGAAAAGTTAGTTGTTTCCATTGTGAAGTATTATACATTCTGTATGAACTGTGAAATGCGCTGCAATCGGAATGGAATTTCAAAAGTTTTTATAACAAAAACAAACTCAGACGGGTATGGAACGATAGAAAACGATGGAAAAGTTGTTATCGAAAAAGTTTACGTTGATTCAAACTCATTGATTCGAAGAAATCCATTGGGTGGATTAAGTGAAGCTGAGACTGCTTTAGCAGATTTATTTCAAACTAATATAAAGTTTATACAAAAGCCAGAAACTTTCAATTACAAACCACATCGGCAAATCCTTATTACTGGTCCCGTTGGATCAGGAAAAACCACGCTCGTCCACAATATTGCAAAGCAATTTAATTGTATTTTATTTGAAATCAGTGGCGATATTTTCCAACCATTTCCAGGCGAAACTGAAGAGAATCTTGAAAGAACATTTGAAAGAATCAAAACTGTGAGTCGATTTGTTGGAAGAAATCAATTAACTGTCGTGCTTATCGAGAACTTGGAAATATTTTGTCCAAAATTCAATGCAAAAATGAAGGAAAATTCTCATTCATCACGAATTTCGTCATTGCTTCTCTCGATATTGGATGAAATTAGTGAAAGTTTTCTTCCCATCTTAGTCATTGGTACAACTTCAAAGCTTGAACTTCTCAACAGTGCCGTAAGGAGATGCAACCGAATGGGAAGTTCTGAAATTATCTTAGACATGCCGAACGAATCTCAACGTTTTGAAATCTTGAAAATTTTCTGTCAAGAATTCGGAGAAACGTCAGATGAACTTTTAAGTTTTGTCGCTCAAAGCACCCCAGGATTTGTTGGGGCTGATCTCGAAGTGCTTTGTCAGTTTGTAAGACGACGATTGATGACAGAAAATCTTGAGAAGAGTGCAGGAAATTGTCTCGTCTCTTTCGAATTAGGATTAAAAGCAGTCAATCCAAGTGTAATGCGTGAAAATCTCGGTTTCGTGACAAGATCTACAACACTCACTCTTGATTCAATTGGCGGCTTAAAAGATTTGAAGAAAACACTTCAGACATCCGTCCTTGGGCCTTTAAAGCATTCTGAAAGGTTTCAAAATCTCGGATTACGATCTCCAAGTGGAATTCTTTTCTACGGACCGAGCGGATGTGCGAAGACAACAATCGTCAAGTGCCTCGCGGGTGAATCAAAAATTACTTTGATTTCGGTCTCTTCAGCCGAAATTTATTCGCCTTATGTTGGCGAAGCAGAAAAATTCATCGTAAAACTCTTCAATCAAGCTCGTATGAATGCACCGACGATTTTATTCTTCGATGAAATTGACACGATTGTTGGTAATCGAAGCATGAATGGTGGCGGTGGAAATGACTCTCATATGAGAATCTTGTCGACACTTCTGACTGAAATTGATGGCTTTGGAAGGAACGATAGAAAAACTGTGTTGATTGTAGGAGCAACGAATAAGCCGCAAATGATTGATGATGCATTGATGCGACCAGGACGCTTCGATAAACTCATTCACGTTCCAGCACCTGATATCGAATCAAGATTAAGCATTTTAAAGTTCATAGCAAAAGATATGCCAATAGCAGCAGATGTGGACATGAACATGTTGGCAGAGAAAACAGAAAACTTCTCTGGTGCTGACCTTGTTAATCTTTGCAACGAAGCAGCTTTGAATGCTGCAACAAAAGACCTTCAAAATGATGTCATTTCTATCGGAGATTTCCAAGACGTGTTTGCTTATCTTCGACCATCATTGAGTGCAAAACAAATAGAATTTTATGCAAATTTCGAAAGCTTTCATCGCAGTCAAGCTTAAAGGGCAAAAAACTTATTCTGAAGAATCTTTTTTATAAAAAAAACATTAAAATGGCACATTTTCTAACAGAAACAATTAAAAAGAATTAAAAACACTTGACAATGTTCATTGAGTAACTTTTAATATAATTAAAGGTTTCCAGATAAGACTTTTTTCACATTAATTAAAATTTTCTCAACAATGTTTCCATAAAACTTGGAATGTTTAAAATTAATTTTTTTTTCTTCTCTTCGCATTTTCAGTTTTGCACTTCTGAAGTCAAAGCTGATAAGAATTTCTCGTCATTGTGCTTAGTTCAAGTGCAATTTCATATTGTGTGAAAATGTGTTCAGGGATAAGAATTAAAACTTTTTTCTTTGAATATTAAAAGACTTAAATAAGCAATAAAGGAAAGTTGCAAAAAATCATTCGATAGTCCTTAATGTAGTAAATATTATCGATTCAAATGAACAAGTTTTTCTTAGTTTCCAGTAGGTAGTTAAAAAAAATCAGACTTTCTCCATTAATGAACAGTTTCATTATCTGATTAATTGAACCATTCAAAGGTCATTGAGATTTTGCGTTGAAATAATTAAAAATCAATTAAGAGACTGCTTTGGAAACAATCAGTAAATATGTATGAAATGCAATTTTTAAGTTTTACGTCTAAATCATTTCTTCTCTGTTCACTTCACTTGTTTCAAAACTTTACACATTTAAACATGCACAAATCTAGAGAAGAGAATTTATAATAGATTAATATTTTAAAATTATACATGCCAACAACATTTTGCTAATGCCATAAGATTAATCAAAAAGTTAACCAATATTTCCATTCATTAATTAACTTACATAAGGAATTATTTTGCGATCATTGATCGAATTTAAGTATCACTCATTCATGATGTATTTATCACTATTTGATAGCAAATGAAAACGTGAAATGCATTCCTGATGTTTCATTTCCTGGTTAAGTTCAACAATGAAATAAAAAGTGTTTAAGGAATTTTTCTCTGTTCATCAGTTTTTTAAGAACTTCACATGTACTAAGGTTGAACTTTTGAAAATGAAAATTCTTCCCCTTTATGTGGTAGTGGTTCAGCTCCTTGCGCAGCGATTACTTGCCCAGATGGACTTGCACCAATTCCTTTAGGTGTTTCTGGAAACTGCTGTTGCGCCTTCTCCTTTGCTTCAGGTGTACNNACTGCAGGAAATAGGACAAGCCCATTTAGTCACTTCAGTTGGACACTTTTTCTAAAAAGAAAATTTCTTCAGTTTCAAAATTTTCTTAAATTCTTCAATGAAAATCTGATTAATAAAACTTTTGAATATTTCATTCAATCGAAATCCTGCCTGACAGTAATCGCTAAAAACTATTTTCATTGTGTTGAAAATTTCAAACACATTTCATAAATTATGCAATAAATTCTTTTCATCTAAAATGCAAAATTTTTTTGGTATTAAATTCTTGGGTGTTCTAAATTATCCGGATATTCAAAATTAGGAATATCTTCAAAGATAATATTCATGCTAAATGTGTTTCAATTACTTTTTACGATATTTATTGTCGACAGTCTGACCTGTAAAATATTTAAGTGGCGCTGCGCTGAAAGAAATATTTTCTAAAGATTTTACAGATTTCTTTAATTTGGCTTTTCAATGTAATTTCTTTTAAAAAGTTCTTTTGGAATTAGTTAAAGGTATTGTTACATTCATCAACGATGTAGTTATCACGATTTGACATTAAATGGAACAGTGACATATGAAGTGCATTCGTGATGATATAATAAGAAAAAATTATGAATATTTAATTGCTATTTAAAAATTTTTTTCGTTTTCTCGTTAAGTTCAATATTGAAAGAAAAACTATTTAAAGAACTTTTCTTGTTTAAAGTCTGACCAGTTTTTTAAAAGCTTCATGTACTAAGGTTGAACATTTCAAAATGACAAGAATTTCGTTCTATTTCGCACTCGTCTTGTGCATTTTTGGTAAGAAAATATTATTTTTGATGACATCTAATGATATTTTGTCTTCCTTAAGCTTTGACCATCATTGGCTCTGTAAATGCTGGAGGTGACGACACAAATTCTTCCCCTTTATGTGGTAGTGGTTCAGCTCCTTGCGCAGCGATTACTTGCCCAGATGGATTTGCACCACATTCTATAGTTTCAATTTCTGGAAACTGCTGTTGCGCCTTCTCCTTTGCTTCAGGTGTACCTATTTAGTGAATGAAAAATTGCTTTCTTCAATTACGAATTTTCCGAATTCTTGAATGAAAATTTGATAAATAAAATTTCTGTCTGATTCAAATCGTTAAAATATTTGCAGCTTATCGAAATAAATCGGAATCTCGAATGATTTCTAGCCTTATTCATATCATCCAGATTTAATTTTATTTATAGCTTTCATAAATAATGTGATGAATTCTTTTCATATTAAAAGCAATTATTTTGTTATTTATCCATATCGGAAATGCATTTCATTCTGAGGAGGTCTTAATTATCCATATGTTCAAAATGACTGATACACGGAAAAATTTCAATCTGAAATTTTCTTCAATTATCTTTATGCGTTATCCACTTTCGACTGTCTCACCTGTAAGATATTTAAATTCCGGTAAAACAAATAGTTTTTTAAGCTTTCATAGATTTTCTTAATTTGTGTATTCATTGTTACTTTTTCCTAGAAGTTCTTTTGGAATTAGTTAGATATTGTTGCATTTCTAGGGCCTATTAAATATCTTTCATTCATGTATGTATTTGATCTCGATGATGTATTTATCTCGATTTGACATTCAATGACAACGTGTAATGCATTCGTGATGTTGAGAGATATTTGAATAGTTATTTAACAATTTTTTCGTTTTATCGTTAAGTTCGATCTTGAAATAAAAAAAGTATTTAAAGAACTTTTCTCGTTCAAAGCTTCATCAGTTTTTTTTAAATATTCACTTGTGCTAAAGCTAAACTTTTCAAAATGAATAGGAATTCGTTTTATTTCACACTCGTCTTGTGTATTTGTGGTAGGAAAATAATTTTTAATATGACAACAAATAAATGCACTCGTTTCGTGCATTTTTGGAAAGAAAATATTATTTTTGATGACAACAAATCTTATTTTGTCTCCCTTAAGCTTTTGTCATCATTGGCTTTGTTTCTGCTGGAGGTGGCGTTCCAAGTACTTCCCCAATTTGTAGATTAGATGAAGTCGCTCCTTGCGAAACTGTACAATGCTCACGTGGATCCGTTGTACTTAATAAAGGATCTGGTAACTGCTGTTGCGATTGACCTTATGTAGTCACTTTTAAAAAGAAATATTAGTTTATTCTTTTTCAATATTTCTTAAATTCTCCAATGGAAATTTGATAAATAAATTTTTTGAATATTTCATACAATTAAAGTACTCGTAAAGGTTTCAAGTTTTATTCATATCATCCAAACTTAATTTTATTCCAAGCTTTCATAAAAAATGCAATGAATTCTTTGCAAATAAAACTGTTGCATTTCTAGGGCTCTTAAAACATCACTCGTTTATGATGTATTCATCACGATTTGTCATTAAATGAAACAGTGACATGTTAACTACATTCGTGATGCTAATAATTAAGATATTTAAATAGTTGTTTAATATTTATTTCGTTTCATCGATAAGTTTTACCTTATAGCAAGAAAAAGTATTTAAAGGAACTTTTTTCGCCAAAGCTTCATGTACTAAGGTTGAACTTTTCAAAATGAAAAGAACTTCGTTCTATTTCGCACTCATCTTGTGCATTTATGGTAAGAAAATATTATTTTCGATGACATCTAATGAAAGTTTTTTCTTCCTAAAACTTTCGCCATCATTGGATTTGTAAATGCCGGAGGTTACGTCCCAAGTTTTCTCCCAGATTGTGATTATGGTGATGCAGCTCTTTGTTCGGAGTTAACGGAATGCCGATTTGGATACGTATCAGAACCTATTGATGCTTCTGGTAACTGCTGTTGTATGTCACCTGCTTAGTCACTTCGTTGGACATTAAAAAGAAAATTATTTCTTTTTTTACGAATTTTCATACATTTTTGAATTAAAATCTAATAAATAAAACATGAATATTTGAATCGATTCAATTCTTTCTGATTTGAATCGGTGAAGTATTTTAAAATATGTATTTTCGGTGTATCGAAATAAATCGGAATCTCAAAAAGATTTGAAGCTTTTTTCGTATTATCCAGATTTGATTTTATTGAAAGCTTTTATAAATTATGCAATCAATTTTTTTCATATAAAATATAACAAGTTATTTTGATATTAAACCATATATGTATGTATATATGTAATGTATATCGACTGTCTCATTCATGGTTTATTTATCACGATCTAAAATTAAATAAAAAATGAAATGTTAATTACATTCGTGATGCTAATGAAAAAATTAGTTATCTAGTTATGTATAAATAATATTGTAAATATTTATATATCTACTTATTATGTATTTCTTTCGTTTTCTTGTTAAGCTCAATATTGAAATAAAAAGTATTTAAAGAACTTTTCTGGTTCAAAGCTTCATCAGTTATTTTAAAGAACTTCACTTGTACTAAGGTTGATCATTTCAAAATGAGGAGAACTTCGTTTTTTTTCGCACTCGTCTTGTGCATTTATGGTAGGAAAATTTTATTTATTGATGACATCTAATGGAAGTTTTCTCTTTCTTAAGCTTTTGTCATCATTGGCTTTGTTCATGCTGGAGGTGATGGTCCAAGTTCTTTCTTAAGATGTGATTTAAGTCAATCTGCTGCTTGCGGAACGTTTACTTGCCCAGATGGATTCGCACTGTTTCCTCTAGATGTTATTAGCTGTTGTTGCGCACCGTCACCTTAGTCACTTCAGTTGGACACTCTTAATAGAAGTAAAATTATTTTGTTCATTTACGAATTTGCTAAAATTTTTGAATGAAAATCTGATAAATAAAATTTATGAACATTTAGATACTTCAATTAAAATTCTTAATAAAAAGGTTTCAAGTTTAATCCTTCAGTACTTGTTAAAAAATTTTGGACTTTAATCAGCAAAATAAAATTACAAAAATTAAATTTTAAATCTTCTCGCTGAATCAACAAAGTCAACGAAATTTAAAAAATTGCGTTCGCTTTTATCAATTCCTCCAGACTTTATTTTATTCAAAGGTGGAAGGAAAAATGATTTTCATTTTAAAAAAATTTATAAATAAAAAGTTCTGTTCATCTGAAAATTTCAGCAAATGATTTTGAAGTTAAGACAAAATTAGAAAACGCCTGTCATCATTAGCAGTTCTTAGGAGTTCTTCCATTCTGAAGTACTTATCATGATTTGACATTAAATGAAACAGTGACATGTTGAGTGCATTCGTGATGTCAATAAAAAATTTAATTAGTTTTAAATAATATCTAAATATTTAAATACTTATTTAATATTTTTTTCGTTTTCTCGTTAAGCTCAATATTGAAATAAAAAGTATTTAAATAACTTTTCTCGTTCAAAACTTCGTCAGTTTTTTTGAAACTTCACTTGCGTCAAAGTTAAAGTTTTCAAAATGACAAGAACTGCGATTTATTTCGTACTCGTCTTGTGCATTCATGGTAGGAAAATATTTTATTTTTACTAAAACAAATGATAATTTTATGCCCATTAAGCTTTTATCATCATTGGCTTTGTAAGTGCTGGAGGTGACGTCCCAAGTACTTTTCCAGAATGTGGATTAGGTCAATTCGTTCCCTGCCAAACGTTTACATGCCCAGATGGAATCAGTAAATTTCCAATAGGTGCTTCTGGAAATTGTTGTTGCGCGTTTAATTAGTCACTTCAGTTTGAAGTTTCTTTTTTTGCGAATTTTCTTAAATTCTTCAGTGACAATCTGATAAATAAAACTTTTGAACATTTCATTCAATCAAGGTTCTTAAAAAGGTTTCAAGTTTTAATCCATCAGTACTTGTTGAAAAATTATCTCACAGTGGACCTTAATCAGCAAAAAAAAATTACAGAACTGAAATTTTAAATCTTCTTGTTGAATCAACAAAGTCAACGAAATTTAAAATATTGCGGTCGCTTTTATCAATTTCTCCAGACTTAATTTTATTCAAAGCTGGAAAGAAAAATGATTTTTATTTTAAGAAATATCAAAGTCGTTTCAAAACAGATTGCGAGTTGAACCGACATCGTGGTTGACAGGAAATCTATCAATTTAAGCGTAAAATTTCAATGGAGTTGAGAAGATTGATTCAATTTCGTGCCAACGAACGCTTTCATTGATTTTCTCATCCAATTTAATACCCTCAGGATTTTTCAATTTTTAATGATTCGATCCCACGGATTTAAACAATCGAAACTTTCTCCTTGTTAAAACGTGTTTAACGTTGCTTCAATCTCACCCACACAAAATTTCTTTATTTAATTCCTGAAATGTCACAAGAAAAAATTTAAATCTCACAAAATGCGTCACAAATTTAGGGAAATTTTCATCTGACAAATTCATTATTAATGCTTAATGTACAAGGATAGATAGAGAAATTTTGCTTGTTGGAATTCGAAGAAAAAAATCCACAATCGTCGTGTGAAAGCAAGTCACGGTTCAGTGATTTGACGAAAGCTTGAGATAGAATCAGATGAGAAACAATAAATTATTCACTTCTACATGAACGAACGACTTGTATGAATCACGTTCGAGAGTTGTTGGAATCCTACCTTCGAAGTCTGGCCGCTGCTGTTTTGTACAATTTATTGTTTGTAATCATGAAAATGGAAGACAAACTTTAAAGAGACGTGATTTCTCGTCCTAAGGTAAATGGAACGACAATTTGTGGAAAATTTTAAAATGCTCTTCACATAAGTGCTTTGTTATCATATCCTGGATTTTAAATAAATATTTGATTGAAAAAGTTTTATTGCTTTTGAAGGGTTTAAAAGCTCGAACTTTCACTTACTGTTTGAGTTTCAGTGTGAAGAGTTGAAAAGTTTGAAACTTTTTGTTTTTTTGAAAGCTTTTCAAACATTCAAATGAATTCTCTGTAAATTAAGGTATTTGGTCAACCATAATGAATTGTAATATTCATTACACAACCTAAAGTGTAATTAAGCAAACCTAATGGAGTTTTATTACATCATGAATTCAACAGGAAATTGAAATTAGAATTTTCCAACATTTGGACAATGACAGAATTATGATGAAAAATTATTTTATGAATGTTTTGAAAATTACTTCGTCAATATTTAAAGGAATAAAAATGTGTAAAGACGTGAACAAGTCAAACATGCGACAGCATTTAAATTGAACACTTGTGCATTTTATAACAAGCAATGAATTTCAATAACGTACTCAAAGTAGAACTAAAAATTTAATAATTATAGCTTAAAACTTTTTTATTGAGAGAACATGACTAGCAAAATCATTAAAAAATGTTTATTGATGATATGTAGCTTGCTTCTCATTTATTACCAAAACTTATTTAATGAAATTCTACCCGAGCTAGAAATTCAAAAGTTTTAATACCATTAATTATCCTTTTATGTGTAAAGCTTTTAACATTTTGTTAATTTATTCGTTTAGCGAAGGTAAAATGATGAAATAAATCTTAAAAATTGCTTTCATCTTGTGTAAACATACTTGTTCTCCTCGCCCCTTTCATTCATAATACCCTCGTCGGTTACACAAGCTTTTTGTCTAGAGTTACATTTTGTTGTTAATAAAAGATGCCATTAGGGTTTTAATCCACTACAATCAATTTGAAGGTAAAACAGAAGAAATTAATAATAATCTTAATTAGTACATATTTCATTACCCATCCTTTCACTGCTGTAATAAACTTCTTTTTATTAACGCTTGCTTAATGATAATGGAAAAATTATGAAAACACAATCAAAATGCTTTTAATATATTCTCATAAATACTTTTATGAATCATTTCAGAAGTAATCTTATTATGATCAGTACATGAAATACTCTTTTGTTTCCATTACTGCATAGTGCAATATTGCTTGATAATAATTCAATTTCATGTCTAATTGAATGAAAGTTCTTCCTACGTTGAAACATCCTGTAGATTGTTTAATTGAAGGCTTTCACATAAAAGGTAATTAAGTTTGCAATGTCATGCACAACAGCTTGGCATTTGCCATCAAGCAACACATGAAATCTTATTTATAACATTATTGAATAATTTCTCATAAATATTCATCCTTAGCTTAATTTATAGTTGTGAATATCAATTTCGGAAAGATTAATAATGTCAATTGATGTTGTTTATTCAAATGGAATTAAATAAACCATGCGAAAAAGAACAATTAGAATAAATTTAGAAAATATTTTAACACTTCAAGCTGACCGTCACATTCCATCCAAATGTCCTTTCATTTGTGTATTTAATGAATTCAACATTTTTTTCTGCTTTCACAATTTTTCTATCGTCTAAACTTTTTGAATAAATATAAAAGTATAAACATGTTAGGCTCTCTACCCAATTTTTTATGATGATGAAGGTCAAAGGTTTGCTTTTGATAGTTTCGTGGGAGTACATTTATGTACATAAAAATCAAGAGAGTGAGAAAAAAGGAAACTTTATTCAACCAAGTTCTTTTCAGCATTCTTTTTTAAAGGAGGAAAAAAGAACGAAATCATCAAACTTTAGTGGCTTATCTGGGCTTTTCTTTTTTCCACTCGTTTTCCATTTAGGTCAGTAAAATAACTTCTATCTGTTCAACAATTCGCAGATGGATCTTTGCATTTGTTATCCTTCGCTTTGCAGAACTGCTGATAGTTGAAAACATAAAAATTGCTGACAGCATAGTTATGTTAACAAGGTAGAATTTTTTGTTCGCACTAATGAACGAATGAACAGCGCCAGGTGAAGTAACTTGGTATTTATTTCTTCTAGAGAAACTCGTGAAACATTCATGAGATGTTTCGCTTGAAGCACACTCGTTAGCTATTCTTTATTCTCCTTCTTGTTAACAACACCAGGAAATTCATTTCCCACAATTTTACTAACATAGTTGCGCTAGAATAAACATTCATGGTATTAAATCTGAATAAAAGTATCAGTTGGCACCTGTGGTTCAAAAGTTGTATTACGATACAAATACGATTACGTATTCACAATTCGCTTCTCTCTAATATTTCGTTTGTCAAATGTTTTATAAGCGACTATTAGACATGGGAGCTTTGCCGCTTTTAAATACTCCCACGATACCTCAACAAACAGCATCACATTCATAAACATCACAGTCGGCTTTTAAATTTCGTGGTTTTTTTACGATACGGTCTCAAAAGTCTCGTATTATGTGTTGGTGGAAATTTTCAGACGATATCATAAAAATGAGAAGCAATTATGGTCGATATTCTTGTTGTCACTTTGTGGGTATGACTGACGAAAATGCTATTAAGTTGATGCGCGTCCATAATAACACTCGATAAATATTTTTGTAATGATTTTGTCACAACACCATTAGCATATAAATTGCTTGTTGCAAAGTGAAAAATATCGGTGTCTTCAATTTTCTTGCCATTATCATCCATAAGACAAGAAGAAATTTTCTATGTTCATGTTGATGACCTCAAAAGTGAAATCGTGGAGTTTTTTTTCTGCTCTCAAGTGCCCTACAAAAAAATTCATAAACAGATGTGCTTCGCTTTTAATAACTTGCCATGGAAAACTTTAAAGGTTGACATCATTTTTCTTTGTCATCAAAACGCTTTAATGATCCGGTAATGATTTTTAAGAGAAATCTTTATTCCTAAATGTAAGAGAAATGTTTTGATACTCAATATTTATGTCAACGCTGTAGGCGATTTTCCTTAGCAGCTGCGATAAAACCTTAGCGGTAAATATTTAAACACTTTCCCTTTGCTCATTTTTTATCTTGTTTTTTATACATGACTGGGTTACTTATCGCTGGTGTTTGTACAAGCTCTTAAAAAGAAAGTCGAATTAAAATTTCATTTTGTTGTTTACTTGACATTTTTTCATCCAAAACTTACACGAAAAGTTCTGAAATTAATATAATAAACCATCATTTTAATCATTTAATCCTTCAAAGCTTTTAGGTTTTGATCAAGGTTTTGATGGGAAAAAGAGCGGGAAAATAAAAAGAGAGAGAAAAGAGAAATTTCAAAAAGCTTCGTGAAAATTGAGAGCGAAAGCTTTCGTTGAGTTTTTCATATGAAATTTTAAATAGAAGATAAAACTTTAATCATATTGAAGGTTTCCAGTTTCAATCTGAATTCTTTTTCATTTCTTTTATTTACTAATTAGGTGATTATAATGCTCTAAGAAGCTCATTCAATCATAATTATTATAGAAATCTTATTGCTAATGCTAACAAAAGATTATCATTTCAAATTGAAAGCAAACAATTGGTTTTCTTCTTCAAACAAAAAATTTAATTCTGTTTTCAATTCATTTTCAAGATTTCTTATCTATCTAGCACAGATTGATTTCAAATTGAATTTTTAAGCATTAATCTGAATTGTTTTTTTAGATAAATAAAAAACTTTTCAATTTCAAATATTAAAAGTTTTTTCTTTCATTATAAAGCAATCAGAAAAGCTTCAGTAACAATCGTGACATGCATCAACTACGCTCTGGTGAAAAACAAAGTATAGCTTGAATATCTGTGACAACAAAAGTCTCGAAAAATGAGTTCAAATTTATTTTCGGTCATGTTACATATGAAAAAGTTTCAAGTCTCACTAGCAATGAAAAGATTAACTGGAATTTGAAGCACTTGGTTACAATAAAAAAGGGGATGATGATATCCATTTAAAACCGGGTGAGTCATTAAAACCATTCACTGTTGATTATGAATTGAAAAAATGGAAAAATGTGATGTGCATTATGTGACATTAAGCACAATGAAAAAAATGGAACATTAAAGCCAACACTTTCAGTCTCAACTCATGCAATTTTTAGTAGTCATTGTCACACGATACCACATCAGAATTGTTTTTGTATCACTTTGAAGCAAGATTCAAAACGAGGTCAAATGAAATGAATAAGGAAATTCAATCACTCAATTTCCTTATTGTTTCAGGGATGAAATATCCTTCGAAGGATTTTGAAATATTCAAATTATACGTTTATTGATGTTTTCATAACAAAGCTTGCGATTGAAAATGTTACTGTTTACTAGGATCGAAATTTAAGGATGTTTGTTAAAGAGATAGATTTGTTTCGATTTATGTACAACGCGTAGGTAGATCAGATTGGTTTTTATTTATTTGGAGTCACTCAAAATGAATATAGCTTTTGGCTACAAAGTGTCTTAAATTTCAAATTGATACTAAAACTGTTTGGGTTATTTTTTATATTCCATCCAAGTGTCTAGATAATTGAGTTGTTGAACCTTTTCTCTCCATCTTGTCCCACAACAAAACTTTATTTTGAATTTTAATTTAAAATAAATGACGAGAAAAGTAATTATTTTAGGAATGAGTCTGTTCATAGATTGCTTTAGTTCCACTTCTAAGCTATTAACAATTAGTAAGAACTTCAAGTCTGAACATCTTGAAATGAAAATAAAAAATCTCATTTTGTCTCGGTAAAATTATATAAAAACAATTTTCTTAGAAAATTGCTCGAACTTGAATTAAATTGACTTCTTAATTAAGCTGAATTACTTTTGTTGACTTTTCGTGCTATTAGAAGAGCTACGTGCAAAATAAACGTTCAAGAATAATCTGAAATAATCTTAATTGAATTTCCGTCGTGTCACGTTGGAAGCTTGAGAGCTTTTAATTGACTTTTCACGGCCTGTTACTTAGGATTTTAATTAAATTCAAGATTTTCTTAACGAAGTAGAGTTCAATGTTGCACGTTTCATTGTATCTAATCTACTCCAACCTTTTCAATTTTCATAACATTGATACGGTGAAGTCGACAAGTTTAATTTGTCTTTAAAAAAGGTTAAAAGTTTCTTTTAATTTTGACTTAGTGTTTGAAAATAATTTTCATGTCAAACCTTGATTAATATTCTGTCAATTTCAATGATAATAATTGAATTCAACATTTCCGTACACTCATTTAACTCCTTAATTATTCCTTTTTAATTCCTAAGAAGATTTGTTCATTGCCTTCAAGCTTTAAACACAAATTAAATGCTCATTAAAATCGAATAACTCATAGAAGTGAAAATTAAGCTTTAAATGTTCTGCGGCAAATTATATTTCAAATTAGTTATGGTCACTTACTTGGAAATCAAATTTAAATTTCTCTTTACATTCATTTATTCATTTTCCAGCAATTCATGAAAATGTGATGGAAAATTTTTATTACAAATTTTTATGAAGCTCAATTACAAAGAAATACCTATTAAGTGGAGTGACTCATAACTCTGTCCCAATACTAGTTCACATATTGCGTGCAGATATAATGGCGTAGGTGTAAACATGAAAAGTAAAGGAAAAGGATTGGATTAGTTTTTATTTGACATGTGACTTTTTGTAGCAGTTTGTGGTGACATGTAACATGGCTTGAAAATATTGTCGTCACTCAACAAATGAAAAATTACATTTTGAGTTCACATTACAGAATTCACTCAATCACTGTTAGTGGTCGAATTCCACTTTTACCTTCAACAGTGAAACTACGACCTTTAAGATTGGATAATGAGCTGGCAATTCTTGCTGAGTTGAATGCTAAGGCAATGTCAAATACGACATGACAAATGTCATAGCACTCCCAAGTTCATGTACAAAGGACAACTACAACTGACAACATCAGTATTCCAGATGCGTTCAAAACAATGATTAAAAGTTAGTTCAATGAATATATTTTCACAACCACAGCTGATATTTCAAGTTTCAGTGCCTCGAAATCATCGCAAATTGGCCACTTTACAGTAATAGAAGCTTAAGAAACGTCACATGTTTGTTATGCCATTACAAAGTTTACTCATGATTCGTGGAAAAATTTATTGCTTGCTTGCGATTATTCAACTGCAAACTTTGTCAATTTACCGGTCTATGACATCGGCCCTCGATTTGCAAACTGCTTGAGTTGACAAAATCCATTCCATTCAGGGTTATGCAGCATTCACGAAGCCAATTTAATAAGAAATGGTAAACATTTTTATGAATGAAACTTTGAGAACATGAATCAAACTTTGAAGTTTATTTTTATTCTCTTTAGTGTCTGTGAAAAGGGAAAAAATATTTTGGAAAGCTCCGTATGGCGCATAAAAATATTCTCTTTGTTAAAACTTTCAACTTTCTTGTCTTCTTTTAAAAGTTCTTTTATTTTCCAACTTTTTAAAAAAGGGACAAAAACTTTTCACTTAATTTTTATCACATTACATACTTAAAGAACATAACGAAAAGAGTCAACGAAAATAAGAATTTCTCTGAATGTCTACACTAAGAAAAATGATTTCTAGCTAAAAATAAATTAAATTTACTACGTTGGGACATGAAAATAAATTAAATTATTATTTTAATTATTACACAATGTTTCCTATTGCATACATAAATATGTATGATGTTATGTTGCGTTACATTAAGCGTAATAATAAACTGGTAACTCAATAATTAGTTTTTGGTACATTTATGTGACGCTTTATATGAAAAACGCCAGAAAATTTCCTCGGATTTCGGAATATCTCTCAGAGTTCGTTTTCCTGTATTATCTTAATAACAATTGCGCTAAAAACTTTAATCGTGTTTGTTTCTTTTTACCATTTTACCATATGCTTGTACTGTTCATTAACTGATATTCTTTTGATTGTTTCATATCCAAGAATGATGCTAAATGAGAAAGCAGCTGACTGAACGAGACGAGCGGAAAGACCTTTGAAAAACATGTGGAATTGTTCTTCACTCCAAAGCTCTAAACCAGCTCTTACAAATGAATCTAATCGTTGCACTTGTAATCGTGCACGAATGATGTCAAGTGGATTTGTTATTATTGTCGTTGTGAATCCACCAAAGGATCCTGCTATGCACTGTATAAACAGATGTGAGACGTTTGATGGTAAAATTTTGATGAGCTCGTCTGTAAGTTAAACAAGTTTTAAGTTATTAAAAAGTTTAACATTCCAAATGAACAAACAAACCTTGATAAAAATGATAAAATCCCCACCAAAGTGCTGAATTTGGTACATAGGCTAAGAGGCTTGCAGCATATCCACGATAAAAACCTGGAAGTCCATCGATTTTGTAAATTTCGCGGGCAATTTTAATGGCAAGTTCTGATTTTTTGGCCGCTGTGTTAATTCCGAGTGGATTAATTTTCTGTCCATGAGCATTCATTCCAAGCACCATAATGTGTTGTGAAATGACATCGAAAGGTACAATAATTGTTTGACCAACTAAGCTAGCAGCTCCTCCAGCGAGAATCGCTTTCACTCGGTCTCCACTTCCTCGTTGTGTAAGAAGATGACGAACGCCTTCGTAAGTGCTGATGTAGAAAACTCCGGAGATGATCTGGAATGACGAAACCCAGAAGCCACGATAAAGTCCGCGAACACCTTCCGATTTATAAATTTTACAAGCGCAGTCAATCATTCCTTTATAAACATCATTCTTGAACTGAACTTGTAGCTGAGTCTTGATGACAGTCAAAGGAAAAAGCGCACATCGAACAGAGAAAGATGACAGCATTGAAAGAGGAAAGAATTTCTACAAATAAAAGAGATAAGAAGAGTTGAAAATGAGATTATCAAGAATTTCATAATTCATCATCTGTCTTACCTTCTTGTTCATCATTTCCCATTCTATGGTTTTGAGGAATGGAGTTGCGGTTTCCATTTTGACACTTTTCTTTTATTCAACGCGAGAGAAAAGTCAAAGTTGTAAACTTGTTTTAATTTCGGTTGTTTATGATGTCAATGCCATCAGACGATGTTTTCTTTTTTTGATTTCGTGATTGTTTCTTCTTTTTCAGATGTTGATATGATGGTTTAAAATAGTTCAATCACTTTTAATTTCAAGACCAAATTCTCAACTACAATATAGTTGTATAAATAATAAATAGTTTTAGTGATGACAGGAAGTTGTTGTAACTTTGTAATGCAATCTCGTGACTTCAAGGATTTCGATAATGAAATAATTTCCTTTTGTTTACTTTTTTTTCTTGATTGTGATTGAGTAATCATTAAACTTCTTTTTCACTTTATAATAGAAAACTTTACTATGATACTTCTATGGGTTGTCATAAATTACAACTAATTAACACCTTTTTATGCATTATTGACAATGTTAAATGATAGAAAATCAAAATAATTAAGCCTGATCTTAGTTTTAAAAAAATATTTTCACTAAATGCAATTGAAGAGTTTCATTCCCCTCGATGAATTGGAGTGCGCCCGGGGCCCCCGAAGTATCTACAGAAAATTTAAAAATTCGAACTTCACTGAAACAATGTTGAATTAATGTTTTAATGAGTTTAGAATGTTATAAAATGAGTGAATCAATAGAAAAAGTTCCTTTATTAAACTATATTTAGAAAATATTCAGTTTATGAAGTCAAATTCGTTTTTTGTGTATTCCATATTTGGGCCACTATCCTATTTGAATATTTTTTTGTCGTTATTTTTTATGAAAACTTTAAATGAAATTAATGCTTACGAAAATTCTTAATTTTCTATTTTTGTCACAAAATTCGATTAAAATTCATCTTTAATGTTTTCATCAATATCCCAAATATTAAATTTAGGATTTTCCCTTCTGATTTTCTGCCAAAACTCTGCTCTCTCATCCCACAATCCACGCTCCATTGACAATAATTTTTCGGAATTTCCATTTTTATTGCCAATTGATAGATAATCTAATGGGAATTTCCTTACAGGAGACCACAATGGAAACTCAGATGCAGTCGACCACTCTGGAGTGGGATTTCTATGAAAATAAAAAAATAACTTTTTAACTTACTTTATGAAAGTTCATCACAATGTAATTACTTAAATAGAACAGAAATGAAAGTTAAACTTTCACAAGGTTTTTTCTTTTGAAAAAGATCCTTCAAAGATAACATAATTACTGTCCATATTTGTTTGCAACAAGCATTGTTATCTTTAAAAAGCTCAAGTCATCTCTTAATAAACCTTTTAATTTAACTCACAAAACTGTTTTTGTTTCAATATTCAAAATGTTTTGTGTCATGCAACTAAACTGTCTTACACAAATGTTTTCTTATCTCACCCTGTCTCAGCAAAGTTCACCCATAGCTTTGTCATTAATCTTGCCACTTCTTTGTCGTCTGTCTCGGGTATGGCACTGAAGAAGGCTGGAATTGTTTTATGACATGGGAAAAGATACAACAAGAGATCACCATGTGAAGTTCCATAGAAATTTTCAGCTCCGCCTTGCAAAATTTCTGTATAGCTTATGGAACCTTTGTGTGAAAACTGATAAACGAAAGTGTTGTCACGGAGATTGTTATGCAGTCGGTATTTAAGGTTTTCAACAAATCCTATGAGTAAACCATCACTCCAAAGCTACAAAGTAAATTGCGATAAAAATGAAATTCCCTTTCTGCTTGAACAAATTTCTTTACATTTGTTAAATTTTCCCTGTTTGATTCAAAGAACGGTTCGTTGTTGAAATAGAATTCATTCAATTCTTCAGAAATTTTCCTTTGTTCATCAGCATAGAAATGATCATAATAAAATGTGATTGGCAGTAAACGATCCCAATTCTTCTTCATGTCATCCATCAACTTTTTGTTGTTAAAGAATGCTGTGAAATATTTTGACAAAATTGTTCGAGATAAACGCGGAGGCTTTTCAAGTTTAAGTTTTTTTTTCTTTCATTTCATAAATAAGTATTTACCAGAAGTTTTAAAAAGCCCTTCATCGCTCGTAATTCCTGTTATCCATGGAATGTCAAAGGAATGTTTGTTGAAGCGGTAATCTGAAATGAAGCCTTCTTCTTCTGAAATTCGCTCAACAACAGGCGGAAAAGGAACGACTGGATCGTTGTCCCATTCCTAAAACAACATTCACAAGAGATTGAAAATTGCCTTCAACCTTTACAAATAAATAAATATTAAGCTCACATAAAACTCAAACATTGCCTCAGTGATTTTTTTCCCATCAACTTTTCTCAAGCATTCAACGATGAGTTTGAAATTCGTGTTGCTGATGGGACATCCAACTTTATCAGATAATCTTATTCCACGCATTTTCGCTAATCCAGGTCTTGGTGGATCTGCCCAAATATTCATGAGCGCTCCTGACTGTGAGATTGCTTTATCAAATAAACCTTTCGACATTGGTGAAATCATATGATAATTGACAGACGCACCACCTTAAAGCATCAGCTATAAATCTCTTTTTATGACAAAAACATTTCTCTTTCTACACCTACCAGCCGATTCTCCGAAAATTGTCACAGAATTGGAATCACCACCGAACTTGTCAATATTCATTCGAACCCATTTCAACAACATGACTTGGTCTTTCATGCCGAAATTTCCGGGACATTCTTCACTTTCAAATGAAAGAAATCCAAGTGGACCTAATCGATAATTTCCCGTTACAAGCACCACGTCATGTTCTAGGAAATATCCTGGTGGATAGAGAGAGTGACCTCCATGACCGTTAATCCAACCACCTCCATGAATCCACACAAGCACTGGAACTTTGCCTTCAGTCTTGTTGCGTTTCTAAAAGTAATTTATGGTTAAAAAACTTTTTGATTATAAATTGCGATAAGATTTAAATACCGGCGGTGCATATACATTTAAGTAAAGGCAATCTTCTTGTCCTTCTATTTTTCTTTCACGAATAAAAACGTTTGCTTGCATGCACATTGGTGGTTCCTGTTGTGCTAACAATATTCCTTGCCAAGGTTTCACTTTAACCGGAGCTTTGAACCTCAAGTTTTTTATGGGCGGTTCAGCATAAGGAATCCCCATAAAGGCACGAATCGTCTTTCCATTTTCTGTTGTTAAATATCTTCCGATGATTCTTCCATCGTCGATTCGAACTTTTAAATCTTTCGATGTTCGTGCCAAACAAAAACCACAAAGTAAAGCAAAAAGAATAAAAATCTTGATCATCATTCTCATTTATTGCATGAAGTCACGCACCTAACTGAATAGAAAATACTCAAAAAAAATGCTTAATCGACGCTTATCTATAGTGAAATGTAGCGAAGATAAGATAAGAATACAATCAACAAACTCTCGAACATTTCTCTCTCATTTTTTGATCATATTTGAGAACGAATGAAAGGTTGAAGTTTATAAGTGTTATGTTTAACCACAATGTGCGATTATATTTATTGAGATTTAGCAGACCGTTACGATTGCCATAAGTTTGAGCAATTTACAAATAAAGGAAAAACAGGAAAAACTATTCAAATGGAAAACCATTCGGTGAAAAAGGAACAGCAAAATTATTCGTGGGGAAAATTATATCAGCAATTGATACATCTACACACTTATTCGGAACAGGAAGCTGAGCGAGCATAAAATTTTTGGTGATTACGCTGAAAAGGCATTCAAAAGTAATAAAAGTAACAATGCGTATGATGGTTGAAAACAATAAAACGCCAAAACGTAACACGTTTCAGAGCATGACATGATGCTACAAACTTCTTCTTACATCAGTTCAGCAATCATGAAAAAGACATGAAATTACATTAAAAATTAATAATTCTTCTTCGCCATGTGTGTATGCATGACACTTTGTAGTCACTTTCTTTTCCGTTTTGAAGACGTGAGGGAAAAGCGAAAGAGACACGAAATTTCAGTAAACGCTCATTTTCTGTGTCTTGTGTTGTCTTAAAATCTACAAGACATAATTTGGTGTACACAAATGATACGTGCAGTGACTGAATATTTAACTTCTTTTCATTGCAATTTGCAACCAGTTTCTACCATAAATTTGTAAAGATAAATTTCAAAACCTATGAGGAACATAAAATCAAGACAAATTATGATGAAAATTTCCAGCGACAAAAAATTACCTTCGTAATGTCAAAAATTCATTTCGCGTAAGCAACGGAGTTATTTGTTTAATATCATCATGAATATACGCTGAACATTTCCTTTTCTTTCTTCAATGCGTTTAAACATTTTCCGTAAAAATTGAGAGAAAATTTAACGGAGAGAATGAAAAGCTTTTTAGCTCAGTTGGAAGCTTTTCTCATTTTGATTGTTTCAACGTATCTATGTACAACAAATTTACTTTTAATATTTTACAGACGTGAATCACTGAACTGTCATAAAGAAAAATCAATTGTGACGTTGTGACGAAGACAAATTACAGGGGGAAAAACATGAAACAAAGAGAAATGAGAAAAGAAATAGAAGAAAATCAATAAAATGAAAAAAAAGAGTTCTCATGTACATGAAAATTTTACGTGATAGTTAAAAGCTAGAACCTCACCTAGAAAGTGTAGGTGTTTCATTTAAATTCCTAATCCAACAATGAAATTGCGTGCCAAAGAAAATTTGTACATATTCGCTTCACTGCTTGCAAAAAAAAAAACACCGCGAACATTTTTTTCCCTCTGATTCTCCAAATAAGATTAAATTATCGATCTTTTTAGAATTTTCCATAAACACATGTAATTTTATTTCAACGACAAAACAAATTGTCGAATGTAAGGTAGGAATAAATAGATACTAAGACGACATACAGTATAAAACACAAATCTTCATACAACTGCGATTACTTCGATTTTTCAACTTATGATAAAAAGAAACGAGAAGAGAACTACGAAATGAAAATAAAATAAGAGAAATTTTAACTTTCATATGAACTGATAAAGGCAAAAGACAAGAAATTTAGGAAAAACATTTTAATTAGGCGATGGCTCCGAGAATCCATGAACGATGACTTGAAACACGATCGAAGACATCAGGGAATCCTCGGGCGCAGGGAATGTTCCATGAGACAATACCAACGACAGTGTTACCAGTAGACAATGGACCGCCTGAGTCTCCTTGACAAATTCCTTCAGTTGGTTGTGTGAATGTACAAATCTTGTGATCGAATACGTAGTTTCGGTTAATTGCCATGTGACGGCAACGGCATTCAGCGTTTATTAATGTTGATGTAGTTAGTTGTTGAAGGTTATTTGGTAATGGTCCCCCATCAACAGTAGTTCCACCCCATCCAGTGACGATTGCAGCTACATCACCACCAACATGAGCTGATCCAAGAGCGGCTGCCCCTACATTACTATTGAATCCAATTGTTGTTCCGGTTTGAACTACTGACACATCATTAGCATAGGTATTATCATTGAAGTTAGGATGGCTGATAATTCTTGAGCTGGTGTGAGCTACACCACCAGAGTTGAATAAAACTGTGCCTACAACAACACGGATTGAAGTAGCTCCAAGTCCAACAGTACAATGAGCGGCTGTAAGAACCCAACGGTTGTTAATGATGGATCCTCCACAGAAATGGATGTTTGCGGTTGTTCGAAGAGAAACTTGATATGGGAATCGTCCTAAAGGTGCATTTGTACCACCAACAATTCTTCCTTTAATAAGTTTCTTGCGTTCGTAAACGTTGGCAACTGGAGTTGCAAATGAAACTGCGAATAAAGCAACAAGCACGAATAGTTGACGAAACATTTTAAAATCACCAACTGTTGACTTCTGTTACTGTTACACTTTTTTTATACAAATATTCTTATCTTGGGAAAGATTTATGAGATTTAGTAAAATAGGCCGCGGATTTTCATATCTTTAGTAAGTGAGTCATGTTCGTTTTGTTTTACACATATTTACTTACAAAGCGACCTTAAAATTACATTGAACTAATTAGTCTGTTAATTAATCTTTTTTTCAATAAATTAAAAATGTAAAGATTCAAAGTTGCTGAGCCTCAGTTCAAGATCATTTCGTAGTAACAATATTTTCTCCAGCTCTTCTCGTTTCCTTTTTATCAGCCGCCAAAGTTGAAAAATCGAAGTAATCGCAGGTGTATGAAGAAATGTTTTAATACTGTATAGAATAAATAGATACTAAGACGACATATATCGCGAATCATGCTTTGAGGGGTTGAAGTCGTAAAAAAAATTGATCGAATTTAATCTAAATTGTAAATTGCATGAAACGTCGTTGTATCGTAAAAAAATCGAACACTGTTATAGCTGAAATTTCTAGAAAAATATCATGTATTATTAAAACATTTTGGCATATAAAAACAGCCTAATCATGCTGCAAACAAGTAAGCTCCTAATTTGCGTGACAAATTATATCAAATTTACTTGAAAAAAAAATTATAATAATGAAAAGTAAAATAATTTCTCAGCTTGTGGCAGGAGTGTCGGTTGAAATAATTCATTGATTTTTATCTATTTAATTTTACTTTCCGCATGACGCTTATTCCAAGGAGAAAATTATAATACTTTTGCTGGTGATGATGCAATCTTAAGCTTTCACGAATAAAAACAATTTTTTACAACAGAGGGAAATTTTCTTTCTGATATTTCCTCGGGGTGGCTGTTTTAAACCTTAATTGTGTTTCCGTTATCGCTGAGTATTTTTTCGTCGCTACATTTCCTTGTTCTTTTCACTCGACTTGGATGTGACAATCAAGACACGACTGGATTCTTCACCATAGCACCGCGGATGTCTTTGTTGAAAACGATGAGATGGCAAAATTTTTTTTTTTTGGACAAGAAATGAAATTTTGGGATGATTTCTTCATTATTAAGTTCCTTGATTCTTGAAATGCTTTTATGAAAGTATTCTGTTGATGAAGAAATCAAAGTAAAGCCAACGTTGTCTGGCAAACAGAATAAATCATCATTTCACCGGCATTTTCTCTTTTATCTTCTACAATTTTCCAGCTCATTATTTCCGCAATAAAAAGCACGATTTTGTAGAGATAACAGTTTTTTTTGTTTCATCTTATTTCTCTTCCTAAGAATAAAGAAATGAAGTCTCTTGCTTTTAGTTACAATAATATCTCTTCGTGTTCGTGCTAAAGCGAGGCTCACGTGGAAAATGATATAAATAATACAGATAATTAGGATGAGAAAGCGTAAAATGCTTCTTGAAAGAAATTAAAATCAAACACGCAGACAATCTGAAAGCTTCATAATAATTTCACCTCACAACAATCTCTGTCAAAAAAAAGGAAGAAAAAATCCTCCCAATAATCTTTTTCCCATCATTTTGAAACTATTCCTAGATTGGATGAAAGGTGGCTTGATTTATGAGAAAATTTTCCATCAGTTTATTTATTGTTCCTCATTTATTCATGTTGAAAAGATTTTCATTTCTTCATTGAAAAAGTTCCAAATGCTTAAGAATTTCCCTCAAGTTATGCTTCTTCGCAGCTTGTGTTTTCGACAAGAAGAAGAAAATTGAACGAGGAAATGATTTTTTTTTCTTTGTTTCTCAATCAGTAAACTTTATTTTCTGTTTTTTCAAGAGAAAACGGGAAAAAAAGTTATATTGAAGCTCGCCTCATGACACGAATGAATTGGAAAATGTTGGAGATAAGCAAAGTCATCAGAAAAAAAGAAGATACGAAAAATTTTGCTTTTACAATGAGTATCTATATTCAGTTGTTTGTTGATATTCATCTGAAATTCGACACGTAATGTGACGTAGGATAAACAAAATTGTTGTTTGCATAACTCTCATCATATTCATTTTAATTAAAGAATAATTAAAAAGGCTAAAATCGTCTATTCATGGCAATTTCATATCGCTTAGAGAATCAAGACGAGAATCAACAAAGCTTATTAAAAATATTGGATTATTTTGAGCTTCTTTTATTATTCTTTTCGCTCTTCTTCCATCTCGAATATCTCATTAATATCACAATAATAATTCTATCAAAAAATTATTGAGAATATAAATTAAATTTCTGACGATGTTATTTTATCGTTTGGAACGTTTTTGTTCAACATATTTTAGTAAAATTATATTTTTATGAAAATTTTTACTTTCAATTCTTAAGGAATGTGGGAATCTTGAAGCTTGAATAAAAAAGACGTTCATTAATTCTGCCGATTGATTTTTTATGAAATATTAAGCCTAGGTTGGAATGGAAATAAATCCCATTTGTTTCCATAGCTAGTGATCCGCTTCTCAAGGACATAATTTCTGTTACTTTATTCTACTTTTTCTTCTTTTTTATTAATAAATTGTAAAGAAAGAAGAAAAGCTTTTTGCAGAGCTTGAAATTAGTTCCCTTAATATTTTAAAGTCTATAAAATATAAAAATATCATTGGAAGTTATGTCAATCTCTGGTTTTAAGATCTTTAAAGCTTTTAAAAGGAAAGAAAGTAATCTCGGTACATGAAATGAATTTAAATGGAAATCGTGAAGATGAAAACATGAGAATGGATTTTACTATTTATTACTGGGATTTTTTAGACTGTAATCTAACAACTATTCCATTTGAAGTGAATGAAAAACGCAAGGGATTGGGACTTACCATGTCCTTTTAATGTCGTAAATTCCGATCCTTTTGTGCTTGAAATCATTGTCACGTTTCATTTTCAAGAGATGCTTCAAGAGATGGAAACGGTTTCCGTGTCCATAATTTTTTTCCTGAGAAAGTCTATTACAGTAGGCTTTAGATGAACTCTTGTGAAATGAGATAGAAAAAGGAAATTGAAAATGCTGTTCATTTAAGGAAATAGTAACTGTAACTAACGACGGAGAGGAAAAGTAAATTGGACTTTAATGTAACAAGTCTCGGGGATTTAAAATATCATGTTTAGTAGCAAAGTTCGTTCCAATCAAAAACTCAAAAGGGAATACAAAAATGTTCTCATAAAAGGCAGCTCATGCACGTCTCAAGCATATAAATAACTTTTAATTTTACAATCTAGAGATTTTCCATTTTCCCGCAATCCTTTTTAAATGAGGTTGTTTTCATTGAAATTATTCACAACGTCTGCACACAGTGTTGTTATGATAACGTTGCTTCAACTGCAAGGGATGTGTCAAAGCGAAAATTAATCCCTTGAGAAGCCTGGGGAAGTTTAGTAATGAGCTGGTTAAAAATGTAATTAAACCGACTAAAATATTAATGTTGATAATTCTTTAAATAATAAAATTTCTAATTTTAATTAGAATCTAATTTTGTTTCAAATAAACTCGTAGATATTGTCAAACACATGGAATAACATAAATTAATTATCTTTACCTCTTTTTGATAAATGAAATTTGTGATTTGTCTTCTTTCAATCGTTCGCATCTGTGACCATTTTATTCGCTTTCATCGAAATTTAAACATTTTTCATCCTTCTCGTGACATTTTCTAGAAAAGTTTTTAAATCACAGAACCGCAATAAACATCAATCACACTTGCCACAACTTGAAATTTGAGTTTGATTACATTTTTCATTCCGCAGTAGCGAAGTAGAGACGGAAGATGTTCAGCAAATTGCTATAAATGGATGTTTAATGATATAGAAACGTAACATGAATGGTTGCTCGCTAATTTCATTCGGTTGTCAAGAATAGCAGTAGTTGAATAGCACAAGAGTTTTCTATAAATAATATTAAAAACCACTCGACAACTTTGTGACCTTTTTAGAACTCAAAAAGCATTCTGAAGAGTTCTCCATGTTGTACTTACTCAAGTTTGACTTCAAAACATCACTCGCTCAACAAATGATTTATTCAAGTTACTTCACCCCAAAAACATTCATGAATATTCAACCTTTGCCTTACTTACAGCTTTAATTAGGAGCCTTTAAACAACAGCCGGCCAAAAATATAAATTTGTCAAATATGAACAATGAAGAGTATTCAGGAATATACAATCCTGTGGAACGCTACTGAAAGTGGAACCTTCATCATTCAGGTGATGAGACAAAGGGAGCGAAACAAGTTGGAATTTATATTCCTGTATTCTTAATCGCTTTAGTGTACAGTCGTGCACTCCCTACTCTGATGATGATGATGAACAACAGCCGGTGTTAACTACACCGAGAAGCTCATTTTGGATTGATGTTTATGCGTAAAATTTAAATATTCACCTAAATGCGGAAATGGAACAGCAAATATAAATACTGACGAAGGAATTCAGTGCTGACGAGAAATTTTTATTCTGAAGAACGAAAATTTATGACAGTAAAGGTGGAAAACTCAATTCTATTAAAATCTTGAAAGAACAGTGAAGAAAGCGAAAAGAAAATCATTAGAAATTTAGATTCACAATGGAAAAGCTTTCATTCTTTCCATCTATATAACTAAACCCATAAATTTTAGCAACATCAGTGAATGAAACATTTCAGGCGTAAAAACAACAAAAGAAGATTAAATTGCATTAATTTTTGATTTTCTAAACCTAAGCAGAGAGTATTAATAAAATTAAATTAACTTTTAAAATTAAATCTTCAACTTACGGTTGTTCTTGACTAAAAATAACATTCAGGAGTTCTTTTATGTAATATTTCATGGATTATTATGTTTGCATAAAAGTTTTAAAGCTTCATTTCGTAGATTTTATCGTCACAAGCCATATTGTCATCAAAATAAAAAGTCAAAAGCTTTGTTGACGTTGGTCACGGTCAGATTTCAGCATTTGTTACGAAAATAAACATTCCTGAGTAAGACTTCTAAGAGAATTTATTAAATTCAGGAGAAATTCAGATGCTTTATGAAATATTTATGTTATGACAAACTTCAACTACCCACGTAAAGTATCAATCCATAGAAACTTTGAACATAAAAAAGGTTTCCGGATTTAACTTGCTCATTTCAATTTAAACATTTTTTACACCCACAAACATGGAATTACCTAAAGTATCTACTAAATAAATATTATCCCCAGATTATGCAAAACTTTCGTGAAATCTTGAATAAATTCAATTCTTAAAGTTAAGCATTGACATTTATTGCGCCATTCCATATGTCAGATATGCTCGACACTCAACGAGACTGAGCTTTAAGTTGCTGAAATCAGCAAGAAATATGGAAATACGAATGCGATTTCTTTCTATTAAAATAGTCTATCTGATAAGACAATAAAGTTTCTCATGTTTTGCAAGATGTTGTCTTTTTAATTCACACATAAAAACTATCGAAAAGCTGTTGAAATTCTGATGTGATGTATGTTGTCAACCTGACTCAACATAACAAGATGAATCTCTGACATGACAACCTACAAATGACCTTAATTAAAATTCTTCCCTGTAGCAAATTTCTTTTAATTTCACCATCATCTTTTGTTGACAAAATAAATATCCGTCTAAAGAGAGACAATAAATTACTTTGATGCTTGGTCTTTATTGCGTTGTTTTCCGGTAATAGCCTTCGCTGCTGTTTGGCTATGTTTTGGTATCGTTTGGCACACATCTTAAATTGAAATTTATTACTGTTAGCCGTTTGTTTATTTTCCCCTCTGTGTCGTAATCATAATCAACGACGGAAGTTTTTAATGACTTTTTGGGGTCAAATGATTTTTATCCACTTTTCAAGTGTTTTGTTTTACAAATGAAAAATTAATGTTGAATTTAACCCTTTCACTGTATTATCACTCAGATTTTAAAGTGATTTTTGAAAGATTAATGAACGCAATCAAATTTTTACTCACATTTATGAAAGCTTTTTTGAAGAGCTAACAAAAAATCTCAACACAACCAACATTGACGTCAAAGAATATTTTTTATAAATATGAAATTGCCCAAAGCAAAATGTCCTTAGAAAGTTTCTCATTGGTGTTCTTTTTGATCTAAAAATGTTCACTTAATTGAGAAATGATGTCGAAAATAAAAAATGGAATGTGAGATTGTTGAAAGCTCTTTTATGTCTTTTGATATATAAGCTGCTAATTATGCATTAAGATTAAGAAACCTTGATTTACTTTATAGGTTTATGGTAATTTGATGCCTCATTAGATATGTATAAACAAATTTCATAAGAGACGTGTCAATTATAGTTTAACAAACTGTCATATTACGCTGTGAAGAAATAACAACCATTCCAATGATTTCATTTGATGGCAACTCAACTTTTACGCCAATTAATTAATTGTCATGACAAAAGTTTTAACCACGTGTATTTTTTTTCTCTCTCAATTTTCTTCCTTCGCTCTCAGAAATATTTTTGAGAGAGTTTTCGAAGCTTTTTGAACGAAAGCTTTCACCTTTTTGAATGAAAACAGAAGGAAAATTTCTCACAGTCTTCATTTCGACTCCGTTGCATTCAGACGTGTTTTTCCTTAGCAAAGCTAAATACAATCATTCCTCTTACCAATTTTATTCAGTATCAAAACAGAACACATATCCAAGAACATAAATAAAAAACAAAAAGTCATAAAGGAAGGAATTCGAGGAAGAAAGTCGATAACTTTTCTCCATTAAAAATAAAAGATATAAAATTGTCAAAAGAAAAATATCAAAGTGAAATTTTTGTGCATTTACAAAGTTTACATTTATTATTGATTTTCATCCCATATCAAAGAAGATACATTTTTTACTGAGAGAAAGAAAAATTATGGAGTTGAGAAAAATTGATATGAAATTTTTGGAATGTTTATAAATATCAAGAATAAAAACTTGTGATACGTTTATGATAAAAAAAAGTAGGAAAATTGGAGGAAAAATTATTAAAATAAACGAGTTGTTGAAGTGATAACAAATATTCTATTTTGTGCGCTCATTTATCAATCATATAAAGTAAGTTTGTTGTTCATTAAAGAAGGGGATTTTATACCACACCTTAAAGTAAATCATAATTGTTATTGATTTTACCATCAAGGAATTACATGAAAAACATTAAAATGAAATGGAAGCTTCAACTCATTACGGACAGTGAGTTCTGTGATGTCGTGAGTTGTTAGAACAACAGAATTGTAAACACAAGCTAGAAATAAATAATCAAATCCTGAAGTGTTGGTTGAAGACTAAACATATGAGAATTCATATTTAAGGATACTTACATTCCATTGTTTATCTTGTTCTATCGCACATGCTTTCAACTCAAATAAAGTGAGAAAATATCGAATAAAATATTCATAGTATCAAGCATTGAAATCTTGTTGAAACAACATCTGTATTTATGTAAAAACAATTCCTTCATTTTTCTGTTCTTACCATTGTGGGAATACAACTCGAAACCTAATTTGAGATTTTTCTAAAAGATTGAAAATAAGGAATACGACAATCTACGATCAAAAAGTATCGAATTTCTTTATTCTTCTTGATTTTTTTGTAAAAGCTATCAAATTGGATCATTTCAAGTCTTATCGTTCAATGAAATCTCTTCAAATTGGATTTATGTAAATTTGTATCAGATTCACCCTTGAAATTGCCTTCTAATTGCGGATGGAACAAGCGATCGAAAACATTTTTTTTGCCAATTTTACAGTCTTTTATCCTTATTTAAGGAATTCTTGAAAGTCCAGCAATGAAGGTAAAAAATCAAAAAGAAAAAAAGGAAGAAAAAAGTTTTCCAATTTTTTCCTTTTTCTTTCGTCTATGTTATCTACGAGCCTAAATCTTTTCAATCTTAAGAAAGAAAAATAAATGCTTTTGAAACGCTGTTTTCAACATACTTCTTCCCCTATTTTGAGATAGAAAAAGGACGAGGCAACAGAATAAAGTGTCTTAATTTTTATGGTCTACCGTCAGAAAATTGATTATAAATATTAAAGTCGTAAAGTTTCAGCCATAAATTACAACCTTAATTTACTGTCGAGAGTTGAGAAGCAGCGTCGTAAATTCATTCCAAAAGTTTTCTTAAGCATCCTTGTTTGCTTTTGGGGCCCAAGATAAATACACGTTTCAATATTCTAATCCTTACTTCCTGCATATTTCAATATCTCGGCAAAGGTTGTTTGTTTATCCAAATGTGATAAATATTTATAAAGAACATAAAATGAAAATAAAATGATTTCTTCTCACGAAGTATGGTAATTCGGGATTTATACATTTATATTCGTATCCGAGATCATCAATGATTTATTTCCATTTTAAAGTATCGAGGAAAATGAAAACAGAGAAGTGCAAACAGAGTAACGGAATCGTATCAATTTTCAAACGTTGATGTTTGTTCGAGATCAATCAACTGAAATTTTCCGCGTGGAAAGCTTTTTATATATATTTTTTTTATGTTTTATGCCGATGAAAAGTCAGAAATCCTTTCTCGTGTAACGTTTGAGTAAGCTTCCAAATATGTTCAAAGCGAATGCTTTACGAAGGTTGTTTGTATAAAAGACTTTCGAAGAATCTACCAACAAAACAGTGATTTATTGGAAATGTTTGGCTAATTGGATACATTTATCACCTGCCTTATTCAGATGGATACTTTATACACATCGGGTCATCTCCATGGATTCCCAACAAATTTCAACATATCATCGACATCATCGTTTTACAATGCGATGGGTTCATCGACGTGGGGAAGTCAAGAGGGAGTTGTTGCTTTAGGTGTTGTGCTTGGAAGTTCAATTTCATTAGTGGGATTAGCGTTCGCATTCATTACTTATAGGTAAGCAATAAAATACAATCAATCAGCATGCTGAGAAAATTAAAAGGAAAAATTCCTTCTGCATACTAATTGAAAATGTTTTTCCATTCGAATGAGAATGAGACACGTTCTGGGATTAATTAAAGACAAATCTGAAAGGGAAAGAAGACAGCGGGGATTTTCATGCCATTTGTTATTTAATCTCTCACAGCTCGATTTACTTTCACACAAGTAATGGCAGAAAAAAAAGGTTTCGCTTATATTTTTAATACTCTGCTTTATATATGATGCCAGAAAAAGAGTTTTTCCCTTCCCTAACTAATCTCTTGAATGATTCATCGTCAACATCTGGGACATGGTCATTCTCCTAATTCTTTCCAACAATCCAGACATTCCTTGTTAGTATAAATAATTTTGTAAAGACGAGAGAGAGAAGCTTACGTTAAAAATATTTACTCGACTTTATTCTGAATGAATTACCAAACAAGCTATTTTTAGACAAGATTTCCTAAGCGACTGCTCCTAAAAAAATAACTTAATAATGTTCAAACATGTAACATTTTCACTTTGATGTACATGAAACCTACTGAAACACAAAGTTCGTTGCTTGTTTATGAACATATTCCAACTTTCCTTTTTATTGTAACTTGCCATCTTCTTTCCAGGAATTTTCAACGTTTTTGTTTCTTTTAATGAAAACTTTTCTTACGACTTTTACTTTTAAGAAGTTTAAATGCGAAAGTTTTCCTTTTCTTTACAAGGAAGAAATTTTTTTTAGTAATGTCACACGATTTAAAATGTTGTGACAAAAGAAGAAGTTTAAATTTCGCTGTTCAGTGAATGCGAGACAAATTTATTTACCACCTTACAAATAGCGTAAAACATAAAACCTAAAATTTCCCTGGAAAATCCACAAATGAACATTATTTAAGTGCTCGGAAACTTTCACAACACTATATTCCATTTCATTTTATTATCGTCATCACAATTATGGTCTAAGTTAATGTTATGGAAAAATTAAATGTCAAAGTCGCTTCGCTGTGCGTAGCTCCACATGGTTTACCATAAAACGAAAATATTTTTTTCATGATAGCAATTTTGGCACATTTAAAATGGAATAAATTTATTTATGTATGTTACAATAAGCGAGCATGCATTAAACGATATTAGAATGAGTGTGAGGCACTAAATTGTCTCCTCCAAGCAATATCACAAAATTTATAATAAAAAAGCTTATGAAAGCCGTTAGCTTCTGTCAACGCTACGTGTCTGCAGAACATATTTAAGACTTTTCCCTTTGTTGAAAAAGAAGCTTCTTCTTCAACGATTATTGTCAACAAAATCGAAAATCACTTTCAATCCTTTTTTCATCTCTTCTTTTTCTTTTTTTATTAAATCTCTAGTCTATTCAGTGATTTGAGGTCATTGGCTGGAACAACGCTGCTGAGTTTGCTGGCAACTTTATTCATGAGTCAACTACTGTTTGTCATTGGTGTCGGTGGAATTCAGGTACAGAAATTTCTTTCAAAAACTTTTCTAAGAATGATAAACGACAAAAGCGATTAACATTAGAACGAGAAACTCACTCATATGTGTTATGAATTTCTATGCAGGATACCGAACTCTGTTTATCACTCTCATTAGCATTGTTGTTTATGAAGCTAGCATCGTTGTGTTGGATTTGTTGTTGCTGTCATCATTCATTAATTATTTTTCGGAAAAATACAAACATATCCCTTCAGCCTGAACAGAAAATGGGAAAAGTTTTCGCACATTACAGGTAAGAAAGAAGTTCAAAGAAAAAAATTGTTTTATATTTTCATCACATTCTTCTTTTACAAACAATGCGTTCGTTCATTAAGTTGTAAGATTTTTTTTGATTGAACTTTAATTAGTTGTTGAGTATGTGAGGAAATTTGATAAAGCAATTAACGTCATTCATTTCTTGTGCTTCCCAAAGTTCATTCTTTACGCTTCTAATTAAATAGAAGCCGTCCATCAGTTCAATTACAAATTTCATTGTTCTTATTCTTCCGTCTCAGATAATATTGGGATGTTTTGAGAAAATTAATTAGGAAACATTGAGACTTTCACAAGCTTAACAATTAATTTCCACTCGATTGCTCTCAGGGAATATTCTCTGATGAATTGAAGGCACGGTTTCGGATTTTTCTCTTCTTCAGTTGGTCCCTAAATCTTCTAAAGTGTCGTCTTTGTGTAAAACTCAAAGAGAAATCAATGAAGCTTTAAGGCTTAAATTTTCATCATTGGATTCGTCTCTGATCGAAAATGTTATTAAAAGATTCAACTTTAATGCTTTGTTGAGCTTTTAAAAGCACCTTTGACGAAGTTTTATGCGATCTATCATCGCTTAGATATTCACAAAAGTGGCATAAATACAATTTATCACATAAAACATTTCACAAAGCAGAATAAAGACCCAGTTCGGCTGACAAGAAGTATAAAAGATAAAAAACAAAGCATAACTTAAGCATTGTTTCAATTTCATGCAAGCTTACAAAATATTATCAGCCTGAACATTATTCACATTCACTCAAGCCTTCTGACGTAATCAAAAATATAAATGGAAAATAAAAATAAAAGTGAAGAAAATATGACGTTGATATGCCATGTTCCTTTCATAAATGTTTATTGCCTTCACTCTGTTTTTATTCATAGTCGCATTTATCGATTTCTTGAAGCTGTAAATTAACCTGCCGTTGGAAAAGTAACTTAATCGAGAACTTACACTTCATTTAACTTTACGCTGGTTGTTCAGCTATAAATTATTTCCTTCTATTCTTGGCAATATATAAAAAGGAAAAGAAATATTTATTTTCATCCGGATAATATTTTTGTCGCGCCAGGCAGTAGAGTTGAGCATGCTGAAGACCATCAAGTGAAACTAATTTCATTTTTTCTCTTTCTTTCCTTCGAAGTTTATTTTCATGGGGATTTCCATTATTGATGTTAAGTGTAGCTGCTGCCTTCATTTACAAAGAACGTGATGCTAAACTCTCATCGAAACTAAATCAACTCGTACATAGTGAACATAATGGTTCAAGTGAAATTCACTGCTGGTAAGCTTTATATTAAAAATTCTTTTCTTTAATATTTTTTTATTTGTTTCTTATTAATACTTAGGTTGATGCATGGATCGAGTTACATTTGGGGTTTTTTGGTACCAGCAAGCATTCTTCTTTTTGTCGGTTTCTATCTGTCGGCACAACTTTCAGGAGCTGTCAAACTTACTGCTGCACTTCAAATTGACCAACGAGCACGAAACAAAATCATAAAGCGACGTGGTCTACAAATAGGGTTGTTCTTTAAGGTTGGTTGGTTGTTTAACATTTATTTGATTTTTTATGTTTGAAATTTTATTTCTGAACATCATCACAAGTACCAGATGACAAGACCTTTCGTTATCACTGTCAAACACATTAAATTTTCCTTTTTGTGACAACCTCAATAATAGATTTCAATCTTTCCATTTCCCTGATTATTTTAATTAAACTTTACTGCACATTGGTAGTCTTGTCTTGTCTGTGATAAATTAAATTTCATTTGCGTTCATTTTCCTTTTTGATATTTTCTATGAATGAAACTTGAAATTGAAAAAGAAAAGAAAAAAAAGCCAACCGGAAGCTTTTAAAGGGGAAAAAAAGTTTTTCCTTTTTTTCTTGTGAGATATTTCAATGCTGGTCTGGATGAAGGAAAATGGCGTAACAAAAGTGAAGACAGAAAGGTTTAAAATAAAAAATTTTGTAACTTACATCACTGTTTCATTTTTCCAATCATAAATGTGAATTTCTCAAGCTCTCACTTGAAATTCTTGAGTGTTTTTCTATGTTAAACTTGAGTTGACATGGTATTTTTTTTTTTTTTTTTGATTCAACTTATTTATAGTGGTTTGAGCTTGTAGCCATTTCCCCACTTGTTACTAATAGTAACTATCTGTATATATTTATACTAAAGGGCCGAAGTATCTAAACTTCACTCTACTTCATGACCAAGTCGGGGTTCGAACCCGGGACGTATGAATTGTACGCCCGACTCCAAGCGACTTAAGCCAATGAGGCTATTTGACCCCTTTTTGACATGGTAAAGAGACTTTAATGGAAAAAGCCGATTATCTTCTCCCTTCAATACACTTATAACATGTACTTAGAGGGATTCGTAGTAACTTATCTTTTCTCTCATCTCATTTCAGCTTTTGTTAATATTGTCGACTGTTCAAATTGTCGGAGCAATTGCTTCTTTCGGTAACATTGAAGAGCTTTGGGCTGTTTATAGCGTTGTTCAAGGAATACAGGTAAGCTTACTTACTTAAGAAGCTTAAAAACTTTTTTCATTATTCTTCTTTTATTTATGTATGTTCAATTCACGATTCAATTGATTGAACTTTGATTTGTCTTTGTCACGATAGGGTCTTCTTGTATCAATGCTGGTTTCATGTAATTGTAAGATTCTTCGAATCTACGCTCAACCTCGTGGAACGAAGAAACGAAAAGAAAATTACACGACTTTGAGAGATGGCGAAGGCGGACGTTTTGGCATTTTATCAGTGACAAATCCAAATTATGAAAACTTCACAACGTCTCAATCACCATCAGGAGAATGTGATCAAAATTTCGTAAAAATGACTTACAAAGAAGACAACTTCGTAGAGAGAAATGAGAACATTCAATATCAATCAATAAATGACAAAATTTTTGGCGACTTGACAAGTGCTGTTCACATCAACGAGATTGTGAATGGTCCAACTCCTATGACTGTTTAAATATTGATAAAATAGAGATTAAGGAACCACATGTACTTGTATGATACTCAGCCTGCGGTAAAATTTAATGCTTTCAAGCGTATTGTTCACAGAAATGATAAATTTAATCAACTCTTCTATTCGATTTGCTTCTCTTCGGACTACGTGAGAAATGGATTTAGAAAGAAAGGACAATAAATTGTATTTTTCGAGCACAAGTCTACCATTGGTTCTTCAAACCCAAAAGAAATAAGAAAACAAAGGGAAACACAACATCATACATCAGAGGGAATGAGAAATGTTGTGAAGAGTAGCACCAAAGCCCACTGCAAAGTTTTGTTGTCGAGAACGCCTCAAAAAGATGGTTGTCATCGGTTGAAGAGACTGACAACGTTTGAAAGGAAACCTTCATTTAAAGATGTGAGGTTGACATGAATAAAACATTCTAATACCTTATCAATACAGAAAAGAACTCTAAACCTCACTTGATGACTGACAGAAGATGAGAGTAAACACTCAATACTAAGCCCAATGACTTAAGTCAATCATTTCGATATCTGTAAAAGATGAAAAATCATTCATCTACTGGTGAAATGTTTTTCAGTTCTTTTTCCTTTTCTCAACACAAAAAGAAAGAAACCGACAAAAAAGAATGGAAGAATGATTAAATTATGGGGAATTCTATTAAATATATTTTATGTCAAACAATGATGGTAAATCAATCAATATTGATATTTTAGATCAACTTTTTCTTTTTTCCATTGAACTGAAAGAATCCATCATGTCTGTAATGAAATGAGAAAGAAAATTTATTTATAAGAGAATAAGAAAAAGAAAAAAAAATAATAAAAACATTGGAATTGATGAACGTTGAAAGAAATTGACATTTGATAGATTGTTGTAGGTATCGATGACATTTTTGTTTTTGTCTTGACACGTCTAAAATTAAATAATTTATAGGATATTTTAAGCGTGATAAACTTCACTTTGTGATGAATTGATTTGGTGGTTGAGTTATAAGAAACTTCTTTTCCATCGCTTCACATAGCTTCACTGACAATCGATCTCAATTAAGAGACATTAATGAGTTAGACGAGAAATTCAGATCGTAAGTATTGTTCACTCCATTTACCCATCAATCAAATTATGCTGATGTAAAATGAACTCCTGATCGTCATCAGGTGTGTCGAATGAAACTTTTTCATTATCGTCAAGCTGTAATTTACTTTGAAAGCACATTGACGTAGGTTTATGTACTGAGTGAAGAGAACGACGCTGTAAGCGGTGAAAACTTTTAGCGGATCTGTTGAAGTAAACAGCAAAAAATCAATAACAATTTACATTATGCCGCTTATCATGCACCCATAAAAAGCACCGTTAAAATTTATGCAAGTCACGATGTTGAGGTCGTCATTCACTTTTCTTCGTGATCGGAAGATTGAGTTGAAAGAAGAGAGTTCTAAGGAAGGAAGAAGACGATGGAAATTTGATACACGATCTAGCACGTTAAGTGTAATTAACGAAGCAATTTACATAATTGATTTTCCTTGGAAATCGAGAAGTTTTTTGATGTTAAAAATAATGTGAAGAATTTTCATCTGAAATATCAATCGTCTGAAAGAAAATCTTTGTGGGAAAACGCTCGAGGCATTGTTTGAAGCGTTTGCTATAATTGAGAATGAAGTAACATTAAAATAGACGATGGAGGAGCTGGCATTTAGCTCAATGATATTTTGATTGCTAAATATTTGAAATAAAATGCTTTGCCTTTGAAATTTCATGTTGTCGGATCGTAATCTCCTTTTACATTTTGATTTTCTTTGGAAAACATTTTTGAAAATGAAACTTTACGCTAGGAGTAACCAACGCAACCAGCAATACTTGGAAACTTTTTTTTTCGTTAAATTTCTAAAACATTTATTCGTTAAACATGATCAGAAAATACTTTTCTCATCATCACATCTACTCAGAAATGTTAGTCATGTTCCGTATTAGGTAATGAAAATAAAAAGCTGCAATAAATTTTTCAACGAAATGCCTGCAAATTAAAAGAAAATTAGAAATGAATAATTCAAACTCACTTAATCATTTCAGTCTTTTATTGTTCGATTGAGACATGCCTTAGCAAATGAAAAGGAACGAGAAGAGAAATGTCTAAAAAGTTGAAAAGGGTCGCAAAAAGACTTTTTTCAGGTTCTTTTCTTTTAATTGCTAAGTACTTTTCAAAGAATTTTTCCCACTGAAGAGTGGTTCAAACAACTTTTAATAAAATCGTCTTCAATGAGTAAAAGTTTTGTTTTTAGCGAAAGTTCCTTCTTTATGCTCGATTTCTTAACCCAATCTAAAAGCCCGAAAAACATAAAAGGAAGCACTCAAACAAGAACGAAAGAAATTCCTTCTTTTTCTCGTGCAAAGAGAAGTTATGCAATCAAAATTTCCTTTTCACTCGCCATTTACCAAGCCATACTGCTAATATTCACATTGTGCTATCGATTTTATGACCATGAGAAACTTTCTTCCATTTCCGCTCTTGACTTTGAAAAATTGTTTTCTGCTTTTCACTCTACATAGTTTTTCTCGAAACTGTTATAAAGCGAACATAGAGCGATAAGCATTTGAATCATTGCATTCCTCGTTTTGGCTGTCAAGAAGAAGAAAAGTGAGAAATTAATGTTTGCACCATTTTCTTTATTGTTTCAACAATTGCTTATCCAAATGAATTATTTTTTTATGACCCCGAACATTTAATCTTCTTATGAACATCCCAAGCGACAGAGTAATATTTACTCGATTAATTTAATTATGCATGTTTCATTAAAAGCTTCGTTTTTATTTGCGATTAAGAAGAGAAAAGCTCTAAATTCTCGAGACATACAGCAACATACAAAGTCAGTGTTTGCCTTTCAAAATTAATTATTTTTCCTCGCGTCGTAAACTTTCTAAGCCTTTTATTTTCCTTGCTACATCTTTTGGCAAATTTAATTATGAGCTATGTGAAGCGTTATAAAAAGTAAGCGAATTCTAATGAGAAATATTCCAGCGAGAAATCAAAGCACACAATTAGGTTTCTTTCTTATGCTCGGAAAATTCTGAAAATTGACGGTTCAAAGGATCCCTTGTCGAACATTTTCTTCTTTCCTTTCTTTTCACATACGGATGAGTTTCTTGATTAAGTTTTGGCTTTTTCGAACTCCCAAAAGCAGCAAAAATCTTTATGGAAAAGTATTTTACGATATGAGGCTTGATTTCGCTTTTTTTATCGTAAAAATTTTTCAGCCTTATTTTGTGATTGGCAGAGTTTGAAACTTCCTCTTTCAGAGACATGTGAAGCAATGTGTAAGTTTGTTTTCAACTTCGTATCGACTGCTTTCCAATGAAAGTTCAATGATGAAATCTTTTCTTCAATTTATTCGAATTTATGACTTATGTCATCGGCAAGGAAAACCTTTTCAGATTATCTAATGTCACCGCTCTCATTTCATTTTTTTTTATTATTTTTCATTTTGAAAGAGTTGAACGAATCTTCTTCTCAGTTAAAAATTTAACATTCTTGAACTTTGATCGATAATTTCAATTTAGAACGTGAAGGCTTTTCGTCGCCACAGCCTTGCGTCGATTAAAATTTAAGAGAAACATTTTAATTTAAACCGTGAAATTAGCGCAATAAATGCTTCTTGAGATTCTCTAACCTGAATTTAATAAGCTAAACTATAAGCCAATTGTTCACTGTTGGTATCCGTTTCACATGCAGCTAACACATCACATTTAAACAGCAATTACGAGTTTTTCTTTCTTCTCAAAAAACTTCATGAAGATGAAACAAAAAAGTCGTCGTTGAAGCGTCGCTATAAGCAGCGAAGAAGAAGAAAAAAAATAAAAATATTTAAAGCGAATTAAGAAAACACTTCTTTTAAACCTCCCATGAATGGAATCATAAATTAAAGAGGAACGAAATGAAGATTCATATAGTTTCATGTTTTATGCTTTTTACAAGGCGGCAATGAACGAACATTAATAAAATTAAACTTTTTTATTTCGATTTAGATATTTATTATAAAAAGTTAAACATCGATTACGTGATGTTCTTCAAAATTTATTTCTCTGTTGACTTCGAGTACTTGTTTGTAAGCAACATCCAAGCAATTAAGATTTTCGAGATGTTTTGAGAGATTTATTTCGTATTTCTGAATGTAGATCATTCATGGCTGACCTTACATGAAACCCGAAGAGAGAAGCATCATCACACATATGGATTTCAAACGTGCAAAAGCAAAAGCAAACAAGAAAAAGAATGACAAATGAATATGATGGCTATTGTGGGATGAGGCTGCGAATAAGCATGAATTTGCCTTTTGATGATCATCGCATAAGTGACACTATGAACTGAACTTGTCAGATGAGAATTCTATTTTGACTTCAGTGGGAGTTGTTGCTTCATTTATTATTGATAGAAAATAATCATCGTCTCGATTTCCTGGAGTCTCATTAGACTTCAACAAATCTCCTTGAATTAGTCGAATAAATTCTTCAGATCAATCAAGAAGAGCTTCTGTATGAGTTTAAGTGTTCTTAATGGTTGTTAATTCTGTCGAGTTTCCCACACACTTTATCAGAATTTTCCCTCAGGGAATTCTTTCTCCGAAAGCTTTAAAGCTTCATTCTTTTCAAATTTGTGGATAAAAGTTTTGTTCTGTGTAGGCTTCATTGATAAACATGAATAAATATGTAGATACTCGCTCGCGTTCATGGTTACAATTTCCTGAAAGTAACGAGCAACTTTTTCAATAACACCGGATCTTTTTGGAGCATCATCATTATGTTTAGTTTGAACTTGAAAAATATTTTATTATAAATCTTTTCATAAACAAAAAGAAGAAGTTTCTTCGAAGTTGAGTCATGTTGGGTTGAGAAGAATGCATCATTTGCATAAGACAAAGTTGTCTCCCTCGTTCCATCAGTTCCTAATGTAATACTTCATAAATCATTGGGTGGAATATGGAAGTGCATTGTAAATTTTTACTGTGCGATTGTGCATTTATGGTTTTCATTTCATGGCGTGGCTACTTGACTGTTGAATATTTTTCTTCTATTTCATAGTTGATGTTGAGAATCTTCAACTCATTATGAGTTGTATTGCAATGACATCAAAGTGCAGTTCCAATTTATTTCTTAATAGCACTTACAACCTTTGATGCTTGACTTACGCTTTTAATAATAAGTTTGATTCTGCAACTTTATATTTATTAAACGTGCTGTGCCTTACCTTCAATTTTAACCATCGCTTTGTTTGAATTTAAAGCAGAAAAATTGATTTAAATCATCTGGACGATCTTGTTCGTCATTAATAGTAAGCTCGTTAATCCTCGTTGTTCCTTATGCTTGTGGAACATTGTGACGATTAACAACACTCATCCATTTTGAGCTGATTGGTGGTATTCAAGATCATATGTTAAAGATTGCGAGGAAGAGTGCTTCATAGTTTTCGTTTCGATGATTAATGATAAAATTGTCCACCAACTTTTCATCCATTTAGAGTTTACTTCAACGAACGACCTTGAACTTTTCTTCACTCGCCGTTGATCTTGCATTAAATATTTTCGAAATCAAAGCATTTACTTACACCATTCTTGTGACTATTTAATTTAAATTCATCAAGTTAACACAACATTTCGTTACAACCAGAAGATGAAACAATAATCCATAAAAATTCAAATTTTTTTGTTATTTCTTTTTCTGCCGATGCCGAAAAATGAGAACAATATGAACATGATCGTTGAACAAAAGTTGCATCATTTTACTTTACTTTACTTTAATGTTTAACATAAGTTGCGACTTTTCAACTAAGTACAAAATAAACAAGAAGGAATGATGTTTGCTGGTTTACTGGTTTGCTAAATAAACAAGAAATGTTGCCCGAAAGATCTCTCAACTCTAAACAATAAGCTGACCCGTGCTTGTGAACAAAAGATTTAACAAAGCAACAAAGGAAAAAGATGAAAATTGTTTGACAGACTGTGCACTTCATCAAGCCACTACATAACTTCTTCATCGCTCTTCTTGTCTCATAAGCAATATCGATGAGTTCAACATTCAAATCGAATGAAATTAATGTTACAAAATGATGACCTTCGCAATAAATTGATCATGTCAGATGATGATTTGATTTTCTTCTACAATTTATTTTTGCACTCAATTCACTTTCATATTCCAACAGAAGACTTGAACTCATTTCAAATGATTTTTTCCTTTGAAATCCTACGCGTCAGATCGTTAAATAAGTCACCCGCACACTTGTGACTGCTCATCAGCAGCGGAAAAACGATGAAGATCGGTTTTCGATCTAAATCAATGAAGATTTAATTCAATCATAATAATAAAAAAGTTGATGATCTGTAATGATATAATTGAATCGATCATTACTCAGCAGAATTGAAAATGAAACAGCGAGCATCAACCAGCGGATCATTTGTTTAAAAAAGTATAAAGAAGAAATCGAAATATTGACAGTCCAAGTATTCAAGTTGATACTTAGGCCTCTAATACTTCAATTAAACTTGCAATTTTCCTGAAGATCATCTTACAACAGTTACTCAACAATTAACTTTGTAAGTATTTTAACAACGCGTTTATGCAAAGCATTTATTTATGATTAGTTCATAGAACAAACAACGTTTCAAGTTTGAGAATGTAAATCATAGCATAAGTAAATAAATTATACAAAGCTTTAAGTAAAACCGCAAAAAGAAATAAGTTTCATTATTTTTAAAACATGTTCTTCTGATGAATCACATCTTTCTCTGTTTTCATTCCAAAGAAAATGGTTTGCAAAATTCAAGAAACAAAAGGCATCATGTAAAATTAGCATCATAATTTTAAAGTCATTCGTACGTAATTTATGATATTCTACACGTTTACTTCTCGCTTTTGCAAACCGTCACTCCGTCTACATGTTGCATTTAAATCTATTCGTTCAATGTCGAAATAGAGTGCAGTCGGAAAATCAAGAAAATTATTCTTTTCTTTCGAAGGCCTTTTACTATGATGTAATGTGATGATGATATTTAATCATGATTATTATGATGATGATGACTTTATGAATATGCAAAAATATACGATACTCGACAGATTCATTTTCCCATTAATCTTTCTCCCTTACGATCGACAGCAGAGTTTGTTATACAATCATAAAAATTCACTACAATTACTTAGTCAATGATTTATTTATGCTTTTAACTTCTTTATGTCTTGCAAATGCTCGCGGTTTAAAATATAATTTTCACATGATGTTTCTAATATTATCTGACACTGATGAAAACTAACCTACCGCATTTACTTCTCTCTGTTTGTGCTTCACATTATTGCATCGTAACATTCTCGGACGGTAATAAAATTAAACTTCTCGTCTTCTTCTTTTTCTTCTCTACTTTTTTAATTACAAAACAACACTTAGATGCTTGATTTTGTTTCATCTTTAAAGCATCTTTGATGACAACAACCCTGAAGAATGTGTTAACTAATTAAATACATTCTTCATTTGTACATTTTAAAAGCATCATTATTTTTAGTTAATCTCTTCATGCTCGCATATTTATGAGATTGCACATTAATTGAATGCATTTTTATGTAATAGATGCATAAATGTTACTTATGATAATTACTTTAGTCGACAAAATGATGCGCATTAGTTTGAAGTCAAAGGAGTGAAAGGATAAGTAACATTGACTTGAATCTAGCACCATTTGTAGATTGTCTAATGATCCAATTTGTAGCATAAATTAATCTTAATTTCGTAAATGGAACATATACATAAATTATCATCAGTCGGCAAGCACAACAAACATATCTACGACACCACATTTGCTGATGCTTATAATGACGAAAAGGATGGAAATTAAAACTGAATAAACAAAAGTAAAAGATATAAAAAAGAAGAATCTCTTTAGTGATCTCTAATTGTTTTTAATTTAATTTGAATCTGAATAATAAACAGAGCAAAGTGACTCTGCCATGATGTTGATGCTTTGTATTGCCTATTCAGAAGCAAAGTTGGTTAGAGCAATACTTTAAAGCATGCAATATGTCTAAAGATTTATCACAGCTCATGAAATCTCTTCCATTTCATCTTCCATTCCATTGCACTAGTAAACTTCATCAATTATGCTTTTGCATATTTAGTAAGTTAGGTAGTCGGTTATACTCGTTTCACATCCATGAACAAAACAACTTAATTCACTTATTATTGCATCTTCTTGTTACTTTTTTGATCATCTTTTAAAGATTTTTTTGTTTTGTTTTGTCTTTTGCTTCGTGTTTGTCTTTTATTGGAGTGTAAGATTACTCAACTGACAAGAACACTTCGCAAAGCTTTTATTCGTGACAAAATATTAATAAAATAGAAGTTTAATGCTTTTGGCACACATTTTATAGATTGTACAAATTGTTGGAAGAGTAAATTTTTATTGGCTTTTGTTGTTACATCGAAATTGCTTTATTTATTTTTCCCCCTCGTTGTTCATATCATGAATTCGAATCACTGCGTGTTAGGAGATAATTTTGTATAAAAAAGTAATTGGATTAAACACCAACGATATCAGCTGAATCAAATCATCCGAAAATTATTTCCTTCTTCAATAAATATTTAATCGTTAAATTGAGGAATAACGAAGAACGGTGTCAAGATCGTTAGCAGCACGTGGATAAGTGCACTCAAATAAAAATAAGATAATAAAATGAATTAAGATGTTAACGATCGACAAATGTTGCAGGCAACATACAAACATATTCAGATCCATGAATTTCTTTCACAACCACTTCAAGAAATCAATTTCACTTCATTAGACATTTGACATTGACGGAAATCAGGTCCACGAAAATATGTTTGCCTTTAATGTCGTTCATACCCTTATAGTCACAAAAATTTCTACATTAAAACTCCTTAACATTCATTAAACATAAAATCAAATTTCAGTTTCTTCTCTTTTAAGAAACAAACGCAAATTGAATGATATTTGTTTGGGCAACCAACCATCATCATAATTTTCTTTAATATTTCATTTCTATTCAAAATATTTATTTATTGTACTGCTCTGATGCTCTGCAATCTTCGGAACAATCTTTTTCTTCTATGCATCTATGTTGTGATCGCAGATTCACTCTCACTTGTGGGGATCAAAGAGAAGCGTTTTGGGATGATGAGAGGCTGACTAGACATTTACATGTTCAATCGTTTTAGCTAATTTTCAATGGAACTTCAAATTAAAACTTTTAAGAAGACAAAGGATAAAAGAACACTTAACGACACTTTAATTGTCATGCAAATAAGAGTTGTTAATGAATCTAGACACCCACAAGAAGTTGTGATCAGTATGTGTGCATTGGTAAGGTCTCATCGCATCGCCAACATGTACACTAATTGTTACAATTCTTCTTCCATTCATACAGCTGGTGGAGTGAATTGTAAGAAGAGAAAAACACGACCGAAAGAAGTGAAAAACATACAAAACTTCAATGAAACTTACTCGCGCTATACGATCTCGTAAGGCAGAGATTTGTGTTCCTTCTTCTTTTTTTTTTCTTATTTCATTTGCCTGTTGTTGTAAGTAGTGCTTTTTATTTCTTCTTTCAGCTAAAGTGTGGTTTACTCTTGAGACTTTTTTAGTAGACTGGGAGAGATACAGATTTTTGCAGGTCGAATCTCATATAAATACGCGATGTATCTTAGGAAAATTATTCATTCGACAATTAACAATCAAGCATTCAGATCTGTAGCATTCCACCTGAATAGAATCAAATATTCTTTATTTGAAGTGTTGTGAAAGCTTTAAAGTTTCATTCATTCATTACATCAACTTTAACGTTAGAATTTTAAAAGTGAATTTATATCCAACAACAATGATGAAGGTACGAAAAATAAAACAAAATCGAAAAAAATAGAAAAGAATGAAAAAAGTTGAGGCAAATGTTGATTAATAAAATCGTTTTAACTGAAATTGAATCTCGACACGATTCTAATATAACAAACGTGGTGAAGTATTGCGCTGAAACGTGTTCAATGTTATGCAAATGATTTATCGGGAAATTTGATATTCTACGCAGAAATATGAAAGAGAGAAAGGAAAAGAAAAATAAAATTAGATTTTTTAAATCGCTCAAATGGGAAAACATGCAATGCGACACTTTTTAAAACGATGTGGAAAACCAAGAAAATTTCTGTGAAAAATGAACTGTCACGTCGTTACTTAACCGTTTTGATTGCGTGATGAAAGAAAACATAAAAACCAAGACATTTCCACAATCAGACAAACATTAAATTAAAAGAGATTTTTTTCTTTCATGAAAATTCTTAAACTGTTAAGTGTTGTTTGAAAAGAAAATCAAGTGGAAAAATCTAACTCAATATGACAACTTTTTCATATATTTTCTCTGCACAGTTTGTAATGGTTTCAACTTTCCTGATGGCTGCTGTGTTTGCTGAACCACCAGCACCACGTAGTTCTTACTTGCCACCACAAGCTAGAAGCTTTTCATCTCCATCAAGCCAGTATGGTGCACCATCTCAGGTTTGTGCACTCAAGTGGAATTAAATTTAATAAAACAAACTTTGAAACTTTATTAAATAGGGACGAAGCAGTTTCGGCGGACAATCCCAGCCAAGAACTAACTACGGAGCACCACAACGTCAACAACAGCCAAGAAGCCAATACGGAGCACCATCTCAGGTAATTTCATCGAAATCAGTATTCAAAATTTTCTTATTTTCATGAAAATATTAAAATTGTTAAGCAACAATCACGTAACTCATTTGCACAGCAACCAAGCTCCAACTACGGTGCACCAGCTCAACAAATCAGTTCATCTTATGGAGCCCCAGCTCAACAGCCAAGCTCAAACTACGGCGCACCAGCTCAACAGCCAAACTCAAACTACGGACCACCCTCAACTTCATATGGCGTACCAGCAGCTCAAGATTTCAACAACTTCGATAGCCAACGTGCCAACAGCTACCAACAAGCCCCATCAAACTCATATGGCGTCCCATCTCAAGATTCTTTCAGTGGATCAAGCTACACTAACGGTGGAAACAACGGATATCCAAGCAGCGGTGGATACTCCAACGGCGGATATCAAGAACCAGCCAAATCCGAATTCCAATATGATGTACAAGACCAACAAGCTGATCTCGAATTCGGACACAAAGAACAACGTGACGGATCTGTTGCTACTGGAAAGTATTACGTGTTGTTGCCTGATGGTCGTAAACAAGTGAGAATTTAATTCCATTTCTAGTAATTCATTTAATCCGCTTATCTTTATCTTTCGAAACGAACATAGGTTGTGAATTACATTGCTGATGAGAACGGCTACCGTCCAACCATCACTTATGAAGATACTGGTCGTGGCAACGGATATAACAACAACGCTCAAGGTTACAATAATAACGCTCAAGGATTTGGCGGATATTAAAATTATTTCTACACCCACAACACGCGAATCATTTATGGACACGAAATGCGCTCACTTTGAATTTCTATTTTGCGAAGATTAGATTCTCAAATGCAAGAATCATATTAGTCAATAATTTCTACTTAATTTAAGGCTAAACAACGAGTTCAAATTGTTTATTGGTGCTAAACGAATTCATAAATCAAAGAAGATTTTTAGCTTTGATTTCTTGAGTTCAGTGAAACTTGCAATTTGACTGCGTTGTTGAAAAGCTAGACAAATATTTTTTTTCTTTCCCCCTACCGATGTAAAATCGGAAATTGCTAAATACTCTTAACAGGATGTCATCGTCCTTTGCATTGTAAATATTTTTTTTTATATTAATTTTCCTTTTATTCTATAATATGAAGAAGCCATGACAATGAGAAATTCTCTTTTTTGTTGGAAAAATAAAATCAGCGAACAAATTTGTACAAGACAAGTCAAAAGTTTTTTAATTTTATTTTTAATTTCACTTCGTAGCTGCATAAACATTGAAACAAAAATCATTTGAATTCTGTTAGTTACAATTGAATGGTGTTACATAAATCATTGTCCGATGCAGTTCGTTAAATATCTTCTATTGTACCTGACACTGACCTATAAACACAACCAGACATTTATGAGTTAAATTTCGAGAAAACCCAGCGAATGCAGTCACACGTTTAATGTTCTTCTCTCTCTTGAGTTATTTATGATCTTCAAATCGACTTTCAAAGAAATACAAAATATTTATGCAATGAAATTATTAAACAATAATTTGAGTGTTGATGAATCTCTTTTATGAGTGTTGATTGATCTCTTGATCAAAATAATAAAAATATTCTTTCAAGTTTATATTTTTAGAATTAATTTATCAAGTAAAATTTCTAAACATGTAAATTTTGTTCAAATGCAGGCCCCACCAGGTCATCTTAGGCCTCTGCAGGATGTTAGAACTCAATCTAAAAAGTAACAATTCATCAAGCTTATTAGTTTATGAATTTATTTATGTTCATGAGATACAAAGTTATTTATTTAGTATTAATCGATCTCGTTCCGAGTGCATGTACCTACTTGGAAAACATTGAAACAAATTTTCATTAAGCTTTGTGTAATTTATTACAACATTTCATCTGTTTACAAAGTATCGCAAACAATAGCAATAAGCGAAAATTTTATTGCACAGTTGAACATTTAATGGTTTTTCCAGAGAGCTGAGCGAATAAGATTGGAACATAATCGTCGTATTCAGCTTGATAGAAGCTTCCAGCAACAAGTTCTAAATCATAATTATCCATTAATTCCTTAGTTGACGTATTAACACGTTCTGGAAGTGAACGATCGGACACAAAAGGTAAATCAAAGTTCGTATATCCTTCAATTTGCTTGAAAAGAAGGAAGATGTATCGATGTAAACCAGTGTCCAGTGGTGGACCTGATCCAATGTATTCGACAATTGTTTCACCAACGTCTTGATTGTTTATGTTCACTACCAACCAATGTCTTACTTCCCCCAAAGATGGATCTTCCCTTGAAGGTGCGTCGGGGTCTGTAGTTAGTCAGTTGTGTGAAGCAAAGATCATTTCATATTGAAACTTGTATGTTACCAGTCATCAACAATGTATAATAAACGCCGTCTTCCTTAGTCCACTCAACTGTTGGTTTATCCTTTACTTGAGTTGGTGTTAATACGTTCCCTAATTCCACTGTGACACCTGAAGGATAATTTACACTCAACATCGCGATGTCAGGTATGTCATCGAGAACGTCTGGAACAATTTTTTCTTCAATGAATTTATCTCTGACTTCTGCTGATTCAGATTGATAGCAACTCAAGACAAATAGAAATATGATAGAAAGTGATTTTCCAGACATATTTAATTTAATTTGTTGATTGAAAAACGAAAAAAAACTTCGTTCTGAGGTTGACTCGACTCAGAATTTGAAAAAACTTTGAAAAATGAGACATGTAATATATTTTGATTGTTTTGAAACACGTAGGTAATAAGTATCACTAATTCTAAAACACTGAACACGAATATCGAACACTTTTATTACTTATTACTTTAACAAAAGTTAAAGTAATAAGTAATGAAAGTGTTCGGTATTCGTGTTCAATGAGACATGATTCGTAAAACAATTAAGCAGATGAAAATGATATTGACGTCAATTTGTACAAGTTTTATAAACATTCTCAGGTCTTGGAAATTTTGACTTTTAAATTTTAAATTGTAGTTGATTAATTTTTTTCGGTTTTTACCTTCAATTTTCTTTGAAAGAAACTTTCTCTGAAAGAGAACAAAATAATAATTCTAATTAAGTTTATGCATAGTCTACCGGCATAAACCAACATTAATGATTGAAACATATATGTTCACGTTTAAAGTTTCAAATGCATGGCTCAAATTTGTACAAGACAAGTCAAATTTTTTTAATTTCACTTTACAGCTGCATAAACATTGAAACAAAATTTAGTTAAATTCTCATTTGAATTCTATTAGTTACAATTGAATGGTGTTGCATAAATCATTGTCCGATGTAGTTTGTTAAATATCTTCTATTACACCCGACACTGACCTATAAACACAACCAGGTGGTCCGCTTAACAGACGTGTTTATGACTTAAATATGAAGAAGAACCAGCGACTGGTTTTGTACGAAAATAATTATTAAATCGGCACACAATCGAAAGATGCCCTCATCAAATAATTTTCACATGACTTACGCGTCAATTCTTGAACACGTTTAATGTTTCTCTCTCTCTTGAGTTATTTATGATCTTCAAATCGACTTTCAAAGCAACACAAAATGATTATGTAATGAAATTATTAAACAATATTATGAGTTTTGATGAATCTCTTCTTTGTTTGCCGCACTCGTCGTAAAGCTTATAATAATGACTTAATGCAATTTCCCTTTCATATCACGAATGCATTTTCAAGAGCGCCTTCCGAAGCTCATTGACCACGAGCTTTCCAAAGAAAAAATTTCCTAAGTTTGTGAATTTAATTAACATGAAGGTAATAAATTTACATCTAAACATTTAATAGAACAACTTTTTCATATATCTGGCATCTCAATTTTCAAAAACTTCTCCAATTGTAACACCTGAAAAACCCTCAAAATATTCTCATGCTGTGCTATATAAAGAAGAGAAAACAAAAGTAAAATTTCAAATTCAAACTTCATGATGAGCACGTGTTTTAAAAAGCATTGAAGAATAAACAAATAAACATTTAATTTGAATTTTGATTGTTGTGCTTTTCGGTTAATGTAAATTTTAATGAATCGCAAATATTTGCAAATGCAAACTGCTTAGCAATTTGCTGCACAAAATGACTCATCATATGTAATCGAAGTGTCAATAAAATTCAAATCAAGGCAATTAGATTTGAGGCGATGGATGTTAAATTACAATCAGACTCTTTGTGATGTACTCGTACAAGAATTTATCAACAAAACCTTGTCTTTAGATTTGTAAATTAAAAGATTACATTGCTTTAAGGTTTAACAATCTAAAGAGCGACGTTGAAAATTTATAAGTTGATTGTTATTAGCTTGAGAACTCAAAATATCCATAAAAAATGTGTTTGCAAAACGCACGTGGAATGTTTAATTAAATTGTAGTACCTGGATGAGTTTTAACTTCTTTTTTCGCTCTCTCGAGACCTTAAAAACTTTACTCAAAGTTATTTCTATAAGCTTTGGTTGTGTCACCAGATTGACAATATTTTTTCTTTCAAAAAATAAATAAATTTTCGAATATAAATAGTATTGATGAGTTGTTTTGTGCTACTCAGTTCTTTATCAATCGCTGCTGTAATAGTTTCGAAGCAGAACAAGTGGAAACATGATGAAGGTTTTAGTTGTTGTTTGTGCTTTATTCAGTTTATCTTTGGGATTTCCTGATAAGCTCCCGCCTTATCCAGCAAAAGGATGGAAGCCGCAGGGTGCACGTCTCGAACTTCCCAAGCAAAAATATGGAACACCACGAGAAGAACGTAAAGACGCTGATGGTGTTGAAAGTACAACATTAAGCAATGATTATCTTCCACCCACAACACCGACTCAGGATGAAACTGATATGTTAAAAGTGCAAGGATTGCCATCAGCCGATGCTTCATCTCAATTTCAACCAGATCGGAAATCAAACATTCAAGCACGTCCAATACTTGCAAGAATTCAAACTCCAGTTTTTGTCGGTCATCCATTCTTGTTATCTCCCATGTTTGCACCACAATTTGCTCCATCAAGTGCGCAATTGAAAGAAATAAGTTTTGAAAGAGTTGAAGAACCCTCGGATGAAAATAAACCAAAGGACGATGTTCAACAACTGCCTGTTCAATCGGAAAATGTTCAACCGCATAGAGCTTATGGCCCACCAGTATCAACAAATAACATTCCACCAGAAAACAACAACAACAACGCACCTGAACCTTCCCAAGAAGAAGATGAAGAGAAGAAACCTCAAGAACCCCAAGATGATGATGACGATGATGACGAAGAAGAAGATGATGAAGATGAAGATGAAAATGATGAAATTTTAGATGACGGCGATGATGAAGAAGGAACCGTCATTGCCATATCTAATGCACAAGCCAATGCAAACTATGTTGATGAAAAGCAACAAGGGCAAGTCGGTCAGTATTACATTTTGTTGCCGGACAACTCACTGCAAAAAGTGCGTTTCGCCACGCAACAAACGGAAGAAGACCGTCAAATTAATGGATTTTCCGCACAATTAAGGTGAGTTTCACGTTCTTCTTTGAGTTCGTTTCTCTCATTGACTAATTGTAATTAATTTGATCTGACAGATATTCGCCTGTTGAAGCCATTAGAGATCCTGTCTATGGCTATGATGAACAAGGCAAGCTTGTAAGACTTTATAAGTAAAAAAGACTACACGAAATCCATTAGAAAATCACGCATCAACTTCTAATCTTACAGCTTCTTGAAAATAATATAAATTTGACCGCTGTTCGCATAATGTTCAAATAAAAGAGAGGAAATAAAATGTATCTGAGTTTCAAGGCCTTTCCATTTCACAATTAAACTTGTACAAATTGACGTCAATACATTATCATCTGTTTAATAGTTTTAAGAATGCTCTTTTTTCGTCGCTTCAAACCCTTTACCTTACAAAAACACTTACATGTTCTTTCATGATGACCTCGATAATCGGATACACCTTGAGCCATCAGCTTATCAAAATTCCACTGTATACGAGATAATGAGGAGTACTTTCGCAGTGTCGTTTCAAATTTGTAAAAAAATAAGTTTTTTCAGAGTTTTCTAAAATTGAATAAATTTTTATCGACTTAATTTCTCTTTTAACAAGTTTGAAGGTTTCAAGCACTCTTTTTAAATAAACTTCTATCTCATTTCTCCTGCTTCAAACCATCAAACAGTGAGTGAGTGAGGATGTTATTCAAAAGATTTTTTGAATATAATTTTTTTTGTACGGTAGACAACAGCAGAGTGAAATTCGACGACTATAAACCATTTTAAAATGCTCATTTTTCAAAGTTTTGAGAATATTTAGTCAACTTCAGAGTCGAATCAACCTCAGAACGAAGTTTTTTTCCTCTTTTATTCAACAAATTAAATTAAATATGTCTGGAAAATCACTTTCTATCATATTTCTATTTGTCTTGAGTTGCTATCAATCTGAATCAGCAGAAGTCAGAGATAAATTCATTGAAGAAAAAATTGTTCCAGACGTTCTCGATGACATACCTGACATCGCGATGTTGAGTGTAAATTATCCTTCAGGTGTCACAGTGGAATTAGGGAACGTTTTAACACCAACTCAAGTAAAGGATAAACCAACAGTTGAATGGACTAAGGAAGACGGCGTTTATTATACATTGTTGATGACTGGTAAGTTACAATATTTATTATAAAATGATCTTTGCTTTACACAACTGACTAACTACAGACCCCGACGCACCTACAAGGGAAAATCCAACTTTGGGGGAGATAAGACATTGGTTGGTAGTGAACATAAACAATCAAAACGTTGGTGAAACAATTGTCGAATACCGTGGATCTGCTCCACCAATGGACACTGGTTTACATCGATACATCTTCCTTCTTTTCAAGCAAATTAAAGGGTACACGAACTATGATATACCTTTTGTGTCCGATCGTTCATTTTCCGGACGTCCTAATACATCAACTAAGGAATTAATGGATAATTATGATTTAGAACTTGTTGCTGGAAGTTTCTATCAAGCTGAATACGACGATTATGTTCCAATCTTACAAGCTCAACTCCTTGGAAAAACCATTAAATGTTCACCTGTGCAATAAAATTTTCGCTTATTGCTATTATTTACGATACTGTGTAAATAAATGAAATGTGTTAATAAAGTAGATAATGGTAAATGAAAACTTGTTCCAATGTTTTTCAAGTACTCGGAACGAGATCGATTAACGGTTATTAAATCACATTCGAAAATCACGCATCAACTTCTAATCTTACAGCTTCTTGAAAATAAATATAAATTCCACCGCTGTTCACATAATGTTCAAAAGAGAGGAAAAAAATGTATCTGAGTTTCAAGGCCTTTCCATTTCAATTGCACGACTTATTTCTTCTTCTTCATGTTTATTTCATTCACTGATTTTATTCCTTAGTCAACAAATGGAAGCGAGCGCTGAATTGTAATGCAAATTTGTACTACAAAAATCATGATCGTTGCTGTGAATGGAGAAAATTGAATCTTTGTTTCTTCTTTTTATTTTTCATAATTTTTTCTGATGTTTGATGGGCTTGATTAACACTGTTATGTAATGCCCACATCATAACAACTTTAATAAAGAGTCAATCAGAAGAGTTAAACACTTGAATGTTATCATTTGACATCACAGAAGAAGCTTGTGCAGCAGTAATAAACGTCTGCTTTCGTTTACTGTTTCTTCTTCATCTTGTTCGTTACAAATCATTCACGTTTAATTGTGCAAAAAAATAATAATAAGATGTGAACCCGCTAGTTGAGTTAACCGCTTTTTCATCGCTCTGATCTTATTTTTATAGAAGATCCATTTAAAGTGACAAAAGAATTTGATTTTGATAAATGACTCGAATGTACTTGGGCACCGCAAACGGCCTTCAATGCTTTATCTGGATGTGCAAGTGTCTCAGAGACACAATTGAATCGCTCACATGCGATCACGATGCGGCAAAGCGATTTCCATAAATGCGCTAATTAGTTTTCTTCTTCCTTGTCATGCAATGTGTGGTGAAATATAAAAGTAAATATTTGCTGGATAATTGATTTCCTAAAATAAAGATTTATGTTTTATGTAGTTTGTGGTGCACAGGTTAAGGTGATCATTAGGATGAAGGTGATGGTTTTTGTAATGTCAATCACGCGTTATGTTAGATAATGTTCGTTAATGTAAAATGAATCAATTTTTAATGATCAAAAGTCCTTAAAATTTTTATCTGATCATCATGGCAATTGTTACTTTTTACTATTAAAAGAAACAGAAGAAGAAACTTGCAGAAAAAGATGCCACAGATATTAGTAAAATGCTAACAAAAGAAGAAAATTAAATAATTTGGAAGATGCGAAAAGAAAGATCAGGTTTTGAAGTTTTCTACCACTGATCTTCAAAACTTTTTATCTACTTCAAAAGCTCGCAGAAGATCTACTTGAAAGTTTTGATTTAAATTGATCTACTTGTACCCGCTATAATGATTCATATAGAAAATAAAAAAGTTTATTTAAATTGATGATTTATGAGGTCATATCTTCTTTATGAGGAGATTCCCTAACCGAAAAGACTGATAGAACAAATTTATGATGAATACTAATATGAAAATGATACGCGTCTAGAAAACTAACAAGTCATAACCATCGTCATTGTTTCAAGAGAAGATTTTATTAATATTTTGTGATATATTGAGATTGTTTGGTTGATGAATGGCTAACATGTGATTAGAGGACATGAGTGAGTGAGAAGACATAAAATGAGAAGACAAAATTATGGCATTGAGTGGGAATTGACAAGACAATGATTAATTATGATTAATTAAGCAGCGTAGATTACATATTAGAATATTTTATTATTTATTAAGCTTTAAAAGCTTTCAAGTGTTTTTTTCTGCTTCAAGTTACGACTATTAAATTAAATCCCTTGGAATAAAGTGACTCAGTAAAGTAAATATTCAATGGAGAAAGCCATGAAATCCTCATAAATAAAAAGGAATTAACTTACCATTTCTGCTTTCATTTAGATGCTGAACAAGGAGAAGAAGAATTTAAATTTCCGTTGTTCGACGAAAATAAAGCCCCAAAAATAAATAAAAATCGTTATTGTTAGAAATCGTCTGTATCAAGTGTTTGCTGTTATCTGCGCAAGCATCAAACAAAGGTTTTTTTCCTATTTTATTATAAACAGAAGTGCCATGTGATGAATTTGATTTACCGTGACATTTCGCAGAGAACACTTCTGTTGACTGAAAACATTTGCATTATTAAAGTTCCCAACGAAACAACCATGAAATTAAGTTCACACGAAAAGAAGCGGATATAGTGCAAGTGGATTTTATTTGATAAAGTTTTATTATTAATTGATTTCTAGAGAATTCTTTCATCGAGTACATAGAAAAGTTATTTTAAAGTACTGATAATAAATTTATTTCTCGCAAGCACTTTTTTTTTATACATTTTGTTTCATAAATATTATTTTTTATTATCAATCGTTAGATCAGCACTTCATATGTTAGTTCTTCGAAGTGTTTATGAGTTTGAGGCTATAATTACTTTAAGATTCCTTCAGAATCTCCAATATGAATAATTTATCAATTTAAATTTTATTGTTAATTTGCTTTTTTTTTCTTCTTTCATTCTTTCAATTCCCTTAGAGGCGTGAGTCAGTTATGACATGAACATCGTGACGACGATTCGATTACGTTCAAGTATTATTTATAAATAATTCTTCTAAGTGGTAAAAAATGTCGGGGTGTTGCTCACAAAAATATCACTGAATAAACCTAGACTGGGAGTCTGAAATTTGTCATAATCATCATTGGAAAGTTATGAGGACAGATTTCCGGTCAAACAAAGTAAGTATTGATGAGTTCACTAGACAAGGTTGAAACAGGTGTTACCCACTGAAAAGTGAAGTGGTTATTTTTAAGATGAAATGTGGGTCTTTCCTTTCGATTGTCACGTCATGAATGTGTAAACTTCGATATTTTTTCATCTTCTTCAATAACAGATAGATATTTATTCGAAAAATCAGCATCTGAAACTCGTGAAAATCAATTTAAATAAATATTTTCTCGAATTGATACTTGTGTTTGCTTAAACTCAAGATAAAGTTACGGGGAAAAATGTAATAAAAGTTAGTTTTGAATTATCTATCATAGAACAATCTTGAATGCATGATAAAAGAATCAACAAGTAGTTCTTTCATGAAATTGTCTTCCATTGAAATTTGGTTTTTATGAATGCAAAAAGATTTACGATACGTGTGGGAAATGGCTAGCGAATTGCACAAAGTAAATAAGCCTTGGATTTGGAAATGAATGCAGGGAGTGTACGACGATATTCGTTTTCAAGTTTAAGGGATTGTAAAAGTGTACATATTAAATATGAATCAAAATAAAATGTAGATGAACGTTACAGTAACCCAGTAGAGTCCCACGATTGTTTACAAAAATATACATCGGAAGGAAAAAAAAGAAGAAAATATTAATTCATTAACGTATCCGAGTTTCGTGCGATGGAGAACGGTTTTCTGTTTACTTTCAAAAGATAAAAAGTGTGCGCTTAAACTCACATTTACATGAACTGTTCGTATAGAACACAACCAGAGCGTATTTTTATTTTATTTTTTCAGTAAAGCTAAGAAGGTGTGTTTCACTTATTCTAACAGAAATCGGCTTGAGCTTATTTTTAATTCCATTAAGCACCGGTTTAGTTGAGAACAGAATGAATATCTCGTCACGTTTCTGAAAGTCGTAAAAACGCTTACTTGATGTCAACATTGATATAATATTGGAAAGATTTTGTGACAACTCATCCGCATGTCGCCGTGAAATTGCATCGAATAATAAAATCTCAAATCAACGAGCAAGATATTTGTTGATTCGCTTTTAATTAACATAAAATACAAATTGAGAATTGTAATTAAAGAGATTTGAGGGTGGTCTTTATAATCGACAGAGTCTAGTTGATAATTGCAATGTATATTGTCGCCCCCTGACTTGACCCCTGTCGGAATACTAAAGAGCCATCAATTATCATTATGAAGATTTATTGTAAAAAAAGAAGACAAAAAACACAAGCGCTTCAATGTCACGCTATTTTTATTGCCACGGAATTCCAGAAGTGTGAAGATGAAAGCGAGTTTCTTTGTTAATTTAGCGTTTATTGAAAATCTTTTGCTATGTAGCAACACCAATCCCTGATTGTTATCGTCGTTTATGAAACTATAAAATCACAAGGCAAGGTGGCAAAGTGGATGGATGTTGAAACTTATACAAACAAAGTAAAGTGAGTCTTAGAACAAACTTAAATCTCAAGAGAAAAAATTACAAATTACTTCCTAATTTTGTTCTACGACTTTGCGGTGTCTTCAAATGTGTTGTCCACAACCATTCAAGTTGAGAGTCTCTAAAATTAGTGAATTCTTATATCAATCCTCCAGATTTCTAATTAATTCATATACAAAATATTCTCTAAGGTCACGACTTATCGCGACTACAGCCATGCACACACAGCTGAAGAAGCCGCCGCGCGTTAATTTGTAAGCGAATGTGTTATATGAATGTATTCATTCTTTTGAGTTTTTTAAGCATTTTTTTTCATATAATTTCATGCAGGAACATCAACAATAAGGCAAATGAAAAAAAGTCGTAAATTATTTCTTCTGGAAGCATTTGAATAAGGCGATGGGGATGTGTACGATCGTTTGTCACACTTTTTTTTAAAAATAAACTTTCTAAAATATTTATTCAATGGGAAGAAGTTGAGGAACTAAGAAATGGTTGAGATGGAAAGTTCAAGGTCGTAAAAGAATATTTCTAGATATCCACAACATTGCCGAATTAACTTTTTTTCATGTTTCATGATGAAGTAAAATTATCGAAATTAAAAAGTGCTTATTGGCGTTATTCGCTGCGTCCCAATTTAATGTCTTGTGTTATTATCATCTGTGATTAATTTGTTTTTGACGAGAATTAGTACCAATTAATACGCAGCCCCAACAAGGCAGCTTCGGTCACGATTGGCTTAACAGCACATATTCAAATCCATTTGGTTACTGCTGCTGGCTTTTCGCTACGAGCAATTAAATCAACAAACACATCATGGGGTTCTGTTTCATTTAAACACATCAAACTTCTTTTCTCTTATTAATATTTTTCTTACATTTTATTTTTTTTGCCTGATTTTATTCATAACAAAAATGAAGATCAAGGCACAAAGGTGGAGATAAAATTTTTAAAAAGAATTTTTTTCACATGTTAAAAGAAAAATCAATTTTCCTTAACAACTTCTGATTTTTGTCAAAGGTGCGGCTGATATTTCGATGGAAAATTCTGACAAGTAAATACTTAATTAATTGATTAAAAGCCGCCACTGATAATCCATTCATTACTTTCGCTACACAGTTGAGAATGTTTTATGCAAAATAGTTTCGATGTATGGGTGCCATGTCTCTGCAATGCTTTGAAAGCAACCGACACGAAGCTGAAAGTCGCTTACATCACCGGCAGCCAATGATGGTGCTTGAAAATAACGTCATTCTCTATTTTTAGATCATCGCGATGTTCGTTGTAAAATGTTAAACATATGTGAGTGCAAACTCATTTCAGAGTGTGATGCCAACGAAAAGCCATCAACTCCAATAAGCAACATTAACTCGACTTAGTGACTTTAAACAAAGCACATCGCATGTTGGATTTGTAATGGGATTGGTGATCGTTGTGTTCATACAATAGTAACATTAGCTTGTGTTTCGCGGAGACCCACGAAAATTTGTTCGCGGTTTTTATTGTCAGTTTTCATTCCGAAGTCAAGGCGTTCGCGCATATTTGTTTCTCGCTTAGAAAAGGCGCCATAGACAAAACGGAAACACACCACTAAAAATACTTCTTAATGTGCCTTAACAGAACCTTAATCATAGTCATGAAAACCCTTTAACGTATAAATCAACATTAACAAGTGTCCTTATAAACCATTGTGTACAAGTAAATTTTCCTCGAATTAATAAAAGAAAAATATAAAAAAGTGGAAAATTTCAATCAACGAAAAGGAAAAATTTCTTTCTGAACAATCATCGTGCAATCGCATGTGAGGAGAAAAAAAGAGAAAAAAGAAGAATTACGAAAGAAAAACAAATTTTCTTGATATCAACAAAGTGCTGTGAAAATTAATTACCCAAAATATCAAACTTTTTTTTATGTTGTTGTTGTTATAATGCTTAAGAAGAACTCAAAAAATATTTTTTTCGCTTCGAAACGATTCTCTGTTGTGTTTGACTGTTGCACATTGAAAGGAAATCCACAAAGTCGTTAACTGAAACAGAAGAATTAACGAAAATAAACATAAATACGAAAAGAAGTGATTCTGATTTCCATTAAACTTTTTATGGAGTTGAAAATTAATTAAAGCTTTATATACGAAGCAAAGTGAGTGAATTTTATCAAGTTACGATTAAATGCTTCTTCTACCAATTGGATATACCAAGACACAAGACAACCACGAAATTTCTCGTCAGTATTATTGAGCTGGTGAGTAGGAAACCGAAATAAATAAAGTAAAGAAGAAAAAAAAAGTTTTATGGGCAAAATGTGTTTAGTGGGAGGCGTTCACAATTGATTATGGCAGTTGAAAACTAACAAAAAAAATTCTCTTTTATATCCAATTCGAACATTACCGATCCCTATCTGCTCGTTTCATTTACATATAAATCACATTCTTAGGACTTTTGTTAAATTGATATCCTGAGCAGTTTCGCGAGCTTTTCAAACTGACACTTGATTGAGTACTTTTCATTGTATTCACAAAGTTGTAAGCGGAAAATTTGTGTCCTCCAGTTAGGTCGCACCCTATTTTTAGCATCACATCGATAAATATTTCTGTGAAGCTCATGCAAAACCTGATTTTACGATGTGACTTACAAAAAGCAAAATTTCAAAATTTCAAATTTGTCGTGATGTCCATACACACCCCGGTCCAGTAGAGAAACTTTTCTTCTTTTAATTTTATTAACTTTTATGTATTTCAACAACAGTCAACAAAATTCATTTCTTTCCTGCTTTAAAGACTCTAATGGCTCATTTGTTTTCTTTTTCTTTCCATTCGATTTTTGCATATTTCTCGGCGAATCACAGAACAGCTAAAAAGTGAAGGAATAAAAGAAAATAAGAAGAAAGACTTGTGAGAAGTGTCAGAGCTACTCGAACTATCCAATTTCCTGCCAAGAAGTGAAACCAACGAGAGTGAACAAAATGTACAATTGCAACATGTCGCTATCAACACCACCAATGCTTGGTGTTGGAGTTGATTTTGGCACGACAACCCCCCGAACACCCGAAATCTTAAATTCGCTTATCGCGATGACAAATCCCTTCGAATACTCATATGCTTCAGCACTAACATCACAATCTTCAGTCATTCCATCATCGAACGATGTTTCACCAGTGATAGCATGTAAAACTGAAAGCTTCCTTAACCAACAATACGACAACAATTCTCAATCAAATTGTTCATCGTCGTCTTCGTTGGAATCTCCAAGCACTACGCCTCTGCATTTAGCAGCAACAATTTCTTCGACACCAAGCCTACAACAGGTGAGAAAGATTATTCATCTTTACCGCTGCATTTTAAGCTTTATTTTTATATTTTATTTTAAATTAAATAAATGATTTTCGATAAATTGATCTGACGATGTTTGAAGCACCCACAACGGGAATAATTTTCTGTATATTTACACACTTTAAAGCCCGTAAGCTTTCTGAGTAAATTGAGGGCATTGTCGTTAATTAACCATAAAGGATTTCTGTATTCATTTTATTCAATATTCTGTGCATCATTTCAATGCACATTTCATTCATTTTATTTCTACTTACTTGTAGTTTGCACTGCACATTACAAAAGTAAGAAATACAAACATGAAACACAACCGAACGTTTAATTGTGGGTGGAACTGCGTTTCATTTACAACTTTTATTAATATTTATGCAAAAAAAAGAAACAAAAAACTTCAATTTGAGTGAATGAATGGAAATCAAGCTTGAACATGTGCGTGGGTGACTCATTGGACACAAAACTTTAACGGAAATATTTTTTATTCTTCTTTTTGGGATTCTTTTGGTAATTGACAGACGCGTTCTCAATTGATCAAAGCTGGTGTGAAACTTTTGATTCAAAGTAAAAGGAAGAATAGTGGAAGTAGTTCTTGTGATGCCGATTATCGACCACCACCACCTAAAATTCGAGCTACAAGCACAGCTTTACCAACATCTCGAAAGATTGTCATTCCAACGAGTGAAGTGGTGTCACCAACGATAACCTCACCTAAAGAAGAACCAATTGATCCTTTCCAAATCAAAACCGACTCAACGACGTCATGCGATGAAGATTCCGAACCGAAATTTTCGGCGAGTAAACATGAGGTATAATAAAAGTTAATTAATGTGATTTGCTAAGGAATGTCATAAATAATTTTATCAATTTATTTTTTCTTTATTTTCCGCCTTATCAGTTAACGCCTGAAGACGAAGATCGACGAAAACGTCGTCGCGAACGGAACAAAATCGCTGCTACAAAGTGTCGAATGAAGAAACGTGAATGTATCAACAATCTCATGCGTGAGTCGGAGACCTTGGAGGCTCAAAACGTGGACATAAAAGCACAATTGAAAGACTTGAGAGAGCAATATCAATATTTGACGGAAATGTGGCAAGCTCATCAAATGGAATGCAAGAATCCCGGTTTACTTGGCAATAGCCATGAACAAAATAATAATGGCAACAGTATAGACATCCAATTCAATGAGCAGGAAAATATAAAAGACACCAACAACAATAAACATCTTCAGGAGCTACCGAGTTTGACGCCGCTCATAAATTGTAATCTTTCCTTTGATTTCTACTAAGATCATTGAGCAATCTTTTTCTACAAATTTTCTAATAATTTAAAGATATTTTTTTCTTACTGGATATTTACATAAGAAGCAAAGTAGAAATGAAGGTCTCTACGATAATTTTTTATTACTTACTTATACGCTTTTAATGTGACGTTCAACCCCAGGGTTTGTGAGAATATTTTTAAAAAGAAAAAATACTTTAAATGCTTAGATATTGAGATCGTGACGTGACGTCTGCATCAGTGAAATAAATATCTCAAAGATCTCCAAAAAAAACAACAAAAAACTTCAATCAATCACAATTTTCTCTCATAGCCCGGCAAAAAAGCATTTTTTATGAAAAAGAAAAGAAGAAAAATGAAAAACTCGTTCATTCTAATTGAATTAGCTTGAAATGATGTTAAACAGTAAACAAAATTTCATAAAATTTCATTTCATATCTTGAGCGATCGTCTCAAGAAAAATGAAAGGAGAAAGAAAAAGAAAAATCTTTTTGGGAAAAATTTTAAATATTTTTTTGTAAAGTAAAATCATCACTCTCTCTCTCTCTCTCTAACATAATGTGAAAAATACTTTCGAGAAAGAAAATGCAATTTGTCTTGGAAGAAAATCGAAGAAGAGAAAAAAAATAAAGGAAGAAAGAAAAACGAATTGAAAATGTTTTCTAGACCAAGATTTAATGTGGTTTGTCTGAGTTTAGTTTTTTCTTTCAGCTGTTTTTTGTAGCTTGTCATTTTTTTGCGTATTTCGCTGACGAAACGTGAAAGGAAAAAAAGGAAGAAGAAAAGCAAAAGGACATTAATTAAGATTAAAATGATAAATTGTCACTTCAAGAAAGCAAACTCGGAATCTTTTCAAGCCTGAGTGGCAAAATCTTCGCTGGAAGGAAATTAATCTTCAATGTCCTGAGTCACAGATTTTTGTCTAGTCGCACATGCTTTCGTTTTTACTTTTCAACTCTGTAATGTCAAGTTTAGAACATAAATTAATAATTGAGCTTCAAATTCATTAACTTTATTTTATAGATAATTTTACGCACTTTAACAATACATTTTTGTCCGTGTCGATATGAAAGGAAACTTTCTAAATATTTGTACGATTTTAATTAGATAAATCTTGTATTCATCCACTAATTTGCATTTATTGCTGCCACGTTTGATCTTTGATTGTGTAATTACCTAACAGAAAGTTTTACTATCAGTTAAAGGAAACTTCGAAAGATTAAGAATAATTTCAAGATTTTGTTATATGATTATAAACTTTTTAAACTTCTTAATTTCTGACTAAGCTTATGATCATCTTGCTTAACATATTTTATTTATTTTGATTAACTTTTCACGATTTTCCAAAATTTTCTGCATCTTATTGTACAATTTTCTTTCCTTTTTTTATTAAATCGACAACGGGAATAATTCTTATACCTCTAAATTTGCAGTTAACAATTCTACGAGAACATTTTTCGTCTTAATTTGTTGAAAAGTTTTAAAATACCTTTTACACCAGTGATTCTCAAACCTTTTCGTTTTACTCCTAACAAAGTGAAGATGAAAAACATTTTAAGATTTAGTTTAATTTTTAACCAATTCTTAACTTTTTCTAATACTTTTGCATACAATTTAAGAATCACTGTTTTAAAGTATCGTGTGGGAATGATTTTGTTGCGGGGGTGGTGGTGAGAGTTTCATTTTTTTCTTCTTTTTGTATGAAAAATTTTGAACAGAATGATTAATAATCCAATTGAAGTGGACGGATTTTGTATTACTAACTAAAGACATTCAATCCTACGTGGCATGCACAGAAAAAAGTGATTTTGTTATTAATTGTAACTCATCTTGTTGCATTGCGACAGCCATTATCCACCTAAACATCAAATTCACGTTCTAAGTTCCAATGAACTTTCTTCTTATACTAGAATCGATCTTTCGATGCTGCACTGTACTCCATTTCAGTCAAGTTTTGCATTTCCTGAAGTTCTTGGAACTTTTCGTGACCACGAATATGAGCATAGTTAGCCGAGAGACACATCAGGTAATGAACTAAACTTAAGATGATGAGAAGACATGACAATGTCGCAAGAATGAACATCACTTCAGCTTTTTCAACTCCATCTTTGCAAAAAGCTTTCACTTCATATTCACCACAAACTTTGTAATCTTCTTCACGGAGATCAGCTGGAAACATGAAACCTTAAAAGAAAACAAAACGTCAAAATCCACAATGAAATTGAATCATTTTTAAATGCTTACGAAATTGATCCAAATCAATGCAATCTTTGTGGGTTTGAATTCGTTCGCTTTGACACATTTTCCAGAAAATTGTATAAAGAAATGTGACGATGCTAAGGAAGCACAAAATGACGATCCAAATAATTTTCAAGATGTAAGTGATGACCATAAAAACAGCACAAACAACTCTACCAACTAATCTTGATCCCCATGATCGATAAACTTTATGACGAGTTGCGCCGGTTGCCAGGAAGCCCACAAAAAGAATCATAAAACCTAGAGCAGCCATTGATGCCGCAATGCACAGGAAAATTATCTGAATTGCTTCAATCCATATAAGTTTCATGTAGAAAACATGATCGAACATGATGATTGAGAGTGAAGCACCACGGTACATTGTGCCACAAAATATTCCAACACCAATCAACATCATAACAGTCGCCATTAATGTTGCGAACGGCATTCGGGTCATGCATGACTTGCAGCAGGTACCTACAACATAATTTAGTTAATAACTGATTCAAGTAGCATAACGAATGAAAGTATGATAATTTCAACACAAAATTGAATGAATTGATATCAAAATGGGTGTGATTAAAGCATTGACATTGACGTGTGACACATCGTTTGATCAACAACAGCTTGCTTTATTCGCAATGAATTTTGTGCTTATTTAATTAACACCACATAAAGTTCTTGTGCTTTTTGTCACTTTTTTTCACTCTTTCTGACCTTCTTTGTAACTTTTGGCGGCATCTGAATATCTGTCGATGGAATAATTTGATCGATAAGCTCTCGGACGATTTTCAGCTGTATTTGCAAGTCGATTATTGTTTAAATGTGCTCGAGTTAAAGCTCCGTCGTCGTCAAAGTTAGTTTCCAACAGGAAATCATCACGTTGTTCCGTTAAATTTCGATTTCTTGTAGCCATTATTAAAGGCGTTTAACACTTTTTTTCATATACAGTTGCACTCGCGAAGCAAAGCAATTTTTAACTTGTTGATTCTCTCCCAGTGACTAATGGAATGTCTAACGTAAAGTTTTTAATGTTGCGACTCTTTCTCGCTCAATTATCTCCAACTAACACATTCAAGATTTAAAAAGTCCAACAAAGAAAGAAAGAGCTTGCAGTAGAAATCTTACAAAATTTATTGTTCAAATCTTCAAGTTCTCATCTTCGTTCTCTTTTTATGTTGTTTGCTCCCAAATAACAAAAAAAGAATGAAAAAAGTACTGTGTTGGCCCTTTGAAGTCAAAGCAATTATAGAACAAGTTCCCTCATGCAGATTAATTAGAAATTAATGTCAATTAAACGTAAAAAAGATCCGAGAAACTAAATTATTCAACTGGAAAAAGAGAAATGGCCCAGCCCAAAAAAACTTGTCATTCATAAAATTGCTTTTTTTATCTTATCAGTTGATTTCTTGATAAGATGTAACTATCGATTGGTGGTTTCTTACCCATTTTATCAGGTAGTTTGTACAACAGTTGAGTACACGACGTTTACAGCTTAATTCTGTTCACAAAATCTTCGATTTTACGACGTAAACAAAAACTAATTAAATTTTTATTTCACTCAATTTATTGTTTTTAATCAAAGTCTTCAATTATTTGTGACTTCTTTTAAACTAATCTATTGATTTCTGACATATTAATAATAATTTTCGTACAAATATCTTCAGTTTTTCTATTTTCATTTGTGTAGAAAAATTTCACTTTTACTTAGTTCGGATTAAATAAATTCAGTTCGACTGTGAGAATTCATCCGCACGTCGAAGTTTGACTGTGAATCTGAATCAAAACAAAAGTTGAAAAAAGTTTCTCTGGAAAAATAATAATTTAATAAGATTATAAGGAACACTTGATTAATTATTGTATTGGATTATTATAAAGTATGAAACGCACTAATCGCTTGTTATTGACACGTTATGCAAACGGTTGAATTTTAAGCCCAAAGAATAAAACCCAAAAAAGTATTCAAGGTGACAAAGAAGAAAACAACACAACTTCCTGGCCAACATTTTATTTACAGTTTCTCCTTTCAGCTTTAACAATGTCTTGCAACATTTACTACGAGAACAATAAAGTCAATTTCCTTGTGATTCAGCAGCACGTCCTCAAAGTTTTCGATTGCGGTATTAATAAAATTATTTTTCTTTTGACGAAGAACAATGACTTGCTTATCAGTAAGTCGCAAAGTGATAATAATAATAGTTTAACAACATTAAAGGAAGGTGTGAAAGATGCTGCATACAGCTATCCAATGTTTTATATCGTCGATTCCAATGGCGATATTTTTAAAACAAATGTCGAACAAATTAATGAGAATCGCTGGGATCGAATTGAAAGTGAATTTAAGATCCAGGAGATTAGTGTTAATGGCGATGGTGTTCTGATGATATCTGAAGATCGAGAATTGATTGGAATGGGTGATTTTGAGAACGTCATTAAGGCTGATGAACCAACAAAAATTGAATGCTTCAGCAATTTTAACATTCTTCAAGTTTGCACGGGCGATAATTTCGCAATTGTTCTTGTGCAACAAAAATTGCCAGTCGATGATAATCGCAACAGTTTTCATGAAGACACATTTATAGAACGAACAAAGCAATTGGGTTGCAGTATTCTTAAAACACAAGTTTGGTCTTTCGGGTCGATCAACAAAGGACTTCTTGGCACTGGCGATCACATCAAGCGAAGTGACACTGCAGTTGTTGTTAAACTAGCTGACATTGGAGTCAATAAAATCTTTTGTGGAAGCCATCATGCTGCTGCTTTAACACTCGATGGTCGTTTGTATCTTTGGGGCTTTAATGACTATCAACAAATTTCATTGGATCCAAATGTTTCCGATTTAAGTGCACCAACGGAATTTAAATCAGAAATCAATGGCAAAATATCTAAAAATGTTCTCGCTGTCGCTTGTGGTTTATCATCAACTGTAATCTTACTCAACGATCTAACTTTTAGAATCCTCGGAAGAAACGGCTCGCAAGATCAAAACGAAGAGTTTGCTAGTGAAATTAAGTACGAACATGATGCAGGCTCACAAAATCAGAACAACGACGATCAAAAGGAACTCAAATCCATTCCATATGTGGTAAGTCACGGAAAAGTGCTTCTAGTCAATCGAAAGAATATTCCAATGTTTCTCTTAAACTACTTTACGGACGAACAAAAGATGGTGAAGACGATGATTAATGCTCAATTGAAATATGTGAAACCTTTAAGAAATTTTTATGAAGAAACATCGAAATTGATTGAAGCATACGAGAATCTTGTTTATGTTTCAATTGTCAACCTTCAAACGTGTTTTGATTATTTAACAATGAACTGCGAACATCTCTTAGAGAACACAATCGTGAATGTTCATTTTACTGAAATAATTCGCGAGTTTCATCGATATTTGCGCCATGTTTGTGATATCAGATCGTTTTATTCGCTTGATCATTATTCGAAATCAATTGAACGAAAGATCTTAAAAATTGTTCTCGAGAAGCCTTTTTCTTGTCTCGAGACATTTGAGAAGCAACTTGACTTGATCTATGATCTTCATCTTTACAATAATCCAAATATTCTCGCTTCGTCGGTTGACAATGCTGTGATTGAAGAGCTAAAGTGCCAAACAGTTGAAAGGAAGAAAGCGATAAAAGATTTCGTGAAGACGACAATTCCATTGAGAATAAAGGAAGCTGACGACACGTACACATTTTGGCAGCTACTCAATGAATCACAAGGAAAATTTGAGCTTCATTCAATGGAAAGACGATTCATTCTTGATTCACAAAGCATCGCTTTGAAACTTCATGATCGAACAAACATTTTCAGTAGCAATCGATTTATTCTCTTCAATGACTACCTCGTGTGCCTTTTGAATCGACCAGAACTCATTCCAATTCATCTCGTTTGGATACAATCATTTAATACACAAAGCACAGCAAAGTTTTCGTTTAAGATTGTCACACCTGAAAGTCATCACAAAGTTTATGCTTTGACGTCGAATGATCGAAATGAATGGCAAACGAAAATTCGTGATTGTGTTTGGAGATCGTTAAGAATTAATCGTGGTAGCAATCAAGCACTTCCTTTAAGTCGATATGGAAGCTACAAGTTTTCAGAAAAGAATCCAAAATATCCAAATTATGAGGTTGAAGGACGTTGGTTTGAAGGGAAGTTTCATGATTTGTGCCACATTAGAATTCCTTCGATTAATCGAATTTTCAAATGTCGAATCAGTAAATCAGGTGAAGTCAATGGTTGTGGTTTAGTTGAAGATGACACATTTATTTATCATGGAGATTTCTTACAAGGAAAACTTCATGGATATGGCAGTTGGAGATCAAAATCTAAAGGAACAAATTATCAAGGATTCTTTAAATACGACAAATTTCATGGTTTTGGAATACTCTCGAACACAAACAGTGCTTATTACGGTGAATTTGTGAGTGGAGTAAGACATGGTTATGGCGTTGAAGATGATGGAATAACGGGGAACAAATACATTGGAATGTGGCAAGATGGAAAGCGTCATGGCGCTGGAATTCTAATCACAATGGACGGTTCATATTTCGAAGGAATTTTCACCAATAACAACTTATCAGGCGATGGTTTAGCCATCTTTCCAAATGGTTCTTACTACATTGGTGAAGTAACTGTTAATGCACCGAGTGGCAATGGATTGTTACATCTTCCTGATGCTGAGATTATTGAAGAGGTAAGAATTTCATTTTTCTTTGGAAGTTTTCCAGTATTGGAATGTTCCAAAGTTCAAAAACAATTATTCAAAGAGGGCGCGCTAATCGATATTTCTAAATCTAGATCATGGAACTTGATGATGGACATTTGAAGATGAAAGGAAATGTTTTGAAAGGTGTTCTTGGTGGAACTTGGGATAAAATTGCAATCACTAATGGAAACCTTCTGATGAATGAAATTTTCCTTAAAACTCCAAAGTAAGTTTTTCTTCTTTTTCAAATCTTTTATTAAGTTTTTGTAATTTTTCAACAGTTCTTCAAATTACTTGAAAATAAAGCCAGAAAAAAAGTGGTCGACAATATTTGACAATTGGAGAGAGTCAGTTTTTGGAACGACAACCTACCCTGAACAGCTGGGAATCCACGATCGATGGAATCGCGTATCAATTTACATGACAAGAAAAAAGAATTTTGAAAATGATGTGAAAAAGAATTTTTCGTTGATGGTTCGTGAGAGTTCAAGTGAAAGCTTAGAGTTGGATGAACAGCCTTTGACCAATTATCAACAACAGCCAATAACAAACTTTGGACGTTCCAACTCTTCGACAGAGCTTTACATGAAAGAATCCTCGAATGATTTCGATACGACGTCGTTAAGAAGTTTCAGCGAATATTCAATTGCCGACTCAATCATCAATGCAAGCAAAAAGTCACAAGTCAAATCAGTTTGTGAATTAGATTTTGTTCCTTCTTTTGTCAATAGCACTTTTGACACTCTTGAATCGATTGAAGAGCTCAAAGAATATTTTCAAACGAACATCGCTAACGATCAACATCCACTCAGCAGTCTCGTCCGAAACATTCAGCGAAGTTTCTGTGCAAGTTATGGGAATTGGAAATGCAAACCGACGTCGATTTTATCGAAGATTGCGATGGCTGAATGGATTTCTATAATTAAACGAGTTTACATGGTTTTGAGGCTTTTCTTTCCTGGCCTTCCACCATGCAACAACAATGACGACAACAAACAATTAAATGGCTATGAAGAGAAGGACGAAAATTGTAAACTTCTCGCTCCACTCAACTTCATGCATCAACTTTTGTTAAACGACGAAATTTATTCTTGTTTCTTCCTTCTTTATGCCAGTAAAAGTTCAAAGCAAGACGAACTTTACAGTCAACGTTTGATGACGTGCGAAAAGAAAACAAACGAAGAACTTCGTAATTTATTGAAAATTGAACCTTATTTGATTCCTTTACTTGAAGATGCGAAATTTTATGAAGCCATTCGAACATTTAAACGTTTGAGTGAGAAATATTGTCCATCAGAGATGCTTGAAGTGATTCGTGACACTTATCAATTGATTTCCGATTGTGCAGCGAAAATTTCTACACGCGGCGATCTTCTGTCAGCTGACAATCTTCTCGCTATCACAATTTATTTAATAATTAAAGCAAACATTAATCATTTGGGTGCTGAACTTTCACTTCTAACCGATTTAATGGAAGATGATTTCGAGAAGTTAATCAATATGGAGCAATATATTTACACAACTGTTAAGATTGGCTATTTGCACACAATTTCGACGAGATTCTTTCATAATTGAGTTTTATTTTAATTTAACTACAAAGGAAAACAAAAATATAAACAGAATTTTAATAGCGCAATTAACTTTTCTCTTCTTTTTTTGTGATTGAATCTAAAATCAAAAGTTAAACTTTTGAGTGATTTTGTCGACTTTTCAATATGCTTGAGATGAAGAATTCGCCAGCTTTGTAGGAACTTCGAACGAGTGGACCGGAAGCGACATAAAGAAATCCAATTTCCTGTCCTTTCACTTCCCATTCTTTGAATTTCTCGGGCGTCACATATTCAATGACGCTTAAGTGACGTTTTGTTGGTTGCATGTACTGTCCAAGCGTCACACAATCAACTCCAACACTTCGCAGATCTTTCATCGTTTGTTCAACTTCATTGTCAGTTTCACCAAGTCCAAGCATAATTGAAGACTTTGTGATTAAATTTGGATTAATATCTTTGATTGTTTTTAAACAGTGAAGTGATTGACGATATTCAGCACGACGATCTCTCACGAATGGCGTCAACTTTTCAACAGTTTCAATGTTGTGTGCATAAACGTCGACACCTGACATTGCAATTCTTTCGATACATTCACGATCACCACGGAAATCAGGCGCAAGACATTCAACAAAGATTCGAGGGTTTTGTCGTTTGATTTCTCGAATTGTTTCTGCGATGTGTGCCGAACCGCCGTCAGGAAGATCGTCACGATCAACGCTCGTTAAGACGATGTAGTCAAGTCCCCAAGTGGCTATTGCTGTTGCTGTATTTACAGGTTCTTTCGGATCTAACGGCGGTGGTGCTCGTGCTGTCTTTACCGAACAGAAACGACAGCCTCTCGTGCAAGTATCACCCATAAGCTGAAATCATTTTAAAAATCGAAATTTCTTATCAGTTGTTGACCTTGACCTGACTTTATTCAAGATGTAAATTACCATAATTGTAGCTGTTTGTGTTCCATGTTCGCCACCTCCCCAGCATTCTCCGATGTTAGGACAACGAGCTTCTTCACAAACTGTTGCGAGTTTCAATTCACGAAGTTGATTTTTGATTTTATCGTAATTTTTGCCTGGAAATATTTTGATTTTAGTGCTCAAGACCTTGTCATCTTATTATTCCTGTTATACCTATAGGAATTGTTGTCTTCAACCATGGTGGAAGTCTTAATCTGTCTTTGTCTCCTTTTTCCTTTTTTAATTTTCCTTCAAATTCATTTGAAAGTTCTTCCTTACTGTGCTTTGGATTCTGGATAAAGTCCTGAAAATTTGGCCCATTTTCCAATCGCTCACGAATCTTCTCTAAAGCAGCCGATGAATGTTTAAATCGAATATTTTGAGATAAATTAGAATTTTTTATATTTCGCAACATTTTTAGTGAGAAAATTTATTTTCACTAAACTTCGATTGGGGTTTTTGTTATTGTTCGGATGAATTATTCGATCGGATGAAAAAAGTCGGACATTCGACTTATACTTGTACAACGTGTTTGTTGACAAATTTTCAAGTAAATAATAAAATTAAATTTTAGGCTTAAAATAAAGGACTAATAATGCCGAAAATTAAATCAAATGCTGTAAGTTATTGTTCATTGTTAATTTCTTTAAACTTATTGAGTTATTTCTAGGGTTGCTTCGTCAGAAATCCAAATTTTGTAAAACCTGAAAGTGATGAGGATGAAAATGATTCCGATTCTGGTGTCAGCACAGATGTTCCAATAGAAAAGAAGAAACCAGTCGAAAAAAGAAAAAATAAAGTTAAAGATGGAAACAAAGCAAAGAAAATGAAGTCTGATAAGTTGACACTCGATGAAATTAACGAAATCCGAGAAACTGAAGATCTTTACCATTCAAACTTATTCCGTATGCAGATTGATGAAACGTTAAAGGAAGTAAGTTTGAAGAATAAAGAAAAGGAGTTCATTACAAAGTGGATAGCGACGTTGAGAAAGTTTTTGAATAAGCTTCACTCAGAGGATTTAACTCACCTTTTAAAATCGAAAGATTATCCATTAAAGTTCAAGCCAATGGAAGACGAGAAAAAACTTCAAATTGATTATCATCCTCCGAAATCCTTGGATGTATATGGATCTTTCTCAATAGACACAAACATAGGAAACAAATCAATTGTTGATGTTTTGTTAGTTATGCCAAATTCAAGTCTTAAGCATCACGATTATTTGAATCAAACTTTCATCCACAAGAAATGTCTTTACTTACTCCACATTGCGATGAAATTGAGGGAGAAGGAAACACTCGGTGGTAATATAAGAATCGAAAACTTTAAAAACGATCCTTTGAAGCCGGTTTTAATGATTGACGCTGAAGATTTCAACATTGCCATCAATGCAGTTCCACCAGAAGATTTCTTCAAATTAAATCGCTTCATTCCCAAGACCAACAACATTAAACTCAAAAAAGGAGAAGAATCTGTTGTTCCAACGCCTCATTATAACTTTGAAATTCTCTTTGATTGTGTCATTGAAAAGAATCAGAAAATGATTGCAAATGAAATTGGAAGTCATGAAAATGTTAAAAACGCGATAAAACTTTTGAAAATTTGGACCCATCAACGACAATTCGATTCAGGTTTTCATCCATTTAATGGCTTCATTATAACTTGTTATCTTCTTCATCTACTGAGAGTTAAGAAAATTTACCCCACGATGAGTTGTTATCAAATAATTCGTTTGTTTTGGAATCAATTTGGACAATCAAAGTTTGATGAATTTGGAATTTCACTTTGCAGTGATAAAAATCTTCCTAATCAACCAGAAATTCAAGATTTCTTCAACTTTTATGACATGGTTCTGATTGATTCTTCTGGTTATTGCAACATTCTCTCAATGTTGTCAGTTGATTTATATCGAAGAGTTCGAAGTGAAAGTTTGAATGCAATCAAAATGTTGGACAATAAATCAATCAACAGTTTCCATCAACTCTTCATGACGACAATTCCTTTCTACATTCAATTTGATCAAATTGTTGTCATTAAATACGACGAAAAATCTTATCATAATATCATTGAACGAAAAGCTTCGAGTGATGAGAAAATCGATTTTCACAATTTTTCCTTCCCATTGATAAGAAAACTTGTGATGTCAGTGATGAGGCGCGGTCTTGGTGATCGTGTCAACTTCCTCGTCCCACTCTCAGATGAAAGAAGCAACGAACTAAGCATTGGAATGATTCTCAATCCAGAAAATGCTTTGAACATTGTCGAAAAAGGTCCGCAAGCAAATGAACCAGAAGCTGAAGGATTTCGAAAGTTTTGGGGTGCAAAAGCTGAAATTCGACGATTTAAAGATGGATCGATAACGGAATCAGTGTTGTGGTGTTCAGCAAATGCGCCGTTTGGTGAAAAACGTTTGATTTCACATAAAATTGTCGCTTTTCTTCTCAGCCATCATTTCAACATCATCAGCAATAAAATTAACTTCATTGGCGATCAATTTGATGTTGTCATCAAAAATATCTTCAACGAAATGATTGAAACTATTGAAGAACGATCGTTAATCGCGATTAGATCGTTTGATGAAGTGAGTAAAGAGCTTCGTTCATTGAATGATCTTCCATTGGAGATTGTGAGCGTTCTTGGCACTGACGCAATCTTCCGCTATGCTGACGTGACACCACCAAGAGCCAACGCTTACATTGGAAATAAAAAACAGAAATTGAAGACAAATTTCCGTGCACAGAAAGTTCTCAATGGAATTATTCAATTGTCACCAAGTGGCAAATGGCCCGACGATACAGACGCGATGCGTCGAATTAAAGCAGCTTTTTACATCGAGATTGAGAAGAGAATGTCAAGTGAATTTCCAAAGACGAAAGTTCATATCAGCAGTGATTTTATTGACATATTGAAGAACAAACTCGTTTATCGATTGAAAATTGTTCATCCGAAGGAAATTGCATTGGCGAAGGAAGAAATTTCCAAGACGAATAATCTGACGAAATTATATCGAACGAATGAAGAAAGTCTGCGATTAGAAGTTGAAGGAACGATTCTTCCAAAGTTGACAAGTTCACTTCATGGACTTCATCATCAATGTCCAAGTTTTGGACCAACAGCAGCGATGGCTAAGCGTTGGTTGTATTCACAAATGATTGATTCGTTTCTATGGCCTGACGAAGTTACAGAATTGATCGTCGCTTATATGATGCTGAAGAATATTCCAATGTCAAATTCACTGCAACCACAAACAGGCTTCTTTAGATTTCTTCATCAAATTGCAAACTTTAATCATGAAACTGACATGATTGTCGTAAATTTCAATGACGAATTGCAAGATGAACAACTTGAAGAAATTGAAAGAAAGTTTCAAAAAAATCGAAACCATTTTCCATCTCTATTCATTGTTACATCGTGTGACTTTCAGAATTATGCTATTTGGACATCAAAAGCTCCTTCAGTGAATATTCTTCATCGAGTGAAACTTCTTGCTCAACATTCGATTAAATTGATTGAGGAAAGCTTCATGAAATTGAACACAGGAGTGGTGAAAGATATTTTCACACCATCACTTGTTGGATATGATTTGTTAATTGATCTTAATCAAGAGTTTGTGAAAAGACATGACGTCGTTCTCCATAATTTCACGAACTTCAAAGCCATCAAATATGAAGAGAAAGGTGCGCCACCTGCCGGGGTAAATTTCGTCGAGAAATTCTTGAATGAAGTTCGTGAAGCTTACGACGATTTTGCTGTTTTCTTCTACAATCCAATCGGTGGATCAAAGATTGCGATGCTTTGGAAGCCTTCAGTTCATGAAACGAGAGAGTTTTCAGCTTCACAAGTCAATGGATGTAAATTGGTAAATGGAAGACTTCGTGTTAATGTTGAAGCGATCATCAAAGATATTGAAATTATTGGACAAGGATTAATAACAACAGTTGAAATATTAAATGAAATCTAAGATGATTGAATAAAGGAAATTTACTGAAAGTCAGTTTTTGTTTTATTCTGAATAGTCAGAGTTATGTAGGTAAATAAGGAAATCCAGGAAACTACCAAACTCTGCACAAATGACAATAAAAAAACAAAAAAGATAACGACACGATTCGATGATTTTTATGACTTTATTTTGATTCAATAAATGATTTGATTGAATTGTAATCAAATTTATCTTTTTTGAATTTCATAATACATAGATATTGAAGTGAAATTTCTACAAACATAAATGTTTTCGAATATTTTTCAACTCACAATCGATCACGCTCATTAACAAAAAACCGGGAATTGAAAAGAGTTATATTAATGAGCCGTAAATAGACTGCCGTAAATAGAATGTCTTTTAAAATATTGTCAAATAGTTACCCGTTTTGTTATCGTCATTGGCTGATATTTGGAAACAACAACATTTAAATGTCGCTATTTATTTTGATAATGACAGCAAAAAAATGTGAATAAATTTTGTCAACGTTCTCTGTTGATAAATAAATACAATTGTAGACATTTCTAATCATTTGACTCTTTCCTAAAAACCTAATTCAATTTAAATCATTGCAATTGAATTAGATCGCGCGACAAATGATAATCATGATAAATAAATTGAATAACTCGACATTAACGGTAAAGTGTGTGGAAACGAGTAGAACTAATTTGTCAGCAGTGTCGGCTTATGTGGATTAGTTTATTTATCTAATATGTAAGAAGTTTGAAATTCAAAGTATCTGAGAAGTGAAAGTTTTGCTTTCTTCTTTATTAACAATCTATTAAAGTAGAATAAAGTGTAGGAAATGTAACCACAACTAAGCTATCGCGCCGCTACCTAGACGATAATCTAAACTCTCACTACAAACATTCTCTGAGAATGAATGTTTTGCGTTGATAAATATTTCACATCGTCACTATCTGTTCTGTATTTACTTGAGGGTTCTCAGCTCTCCCGTCTTAGTCTCTCACCACAGTCAGTTCAGTTAATGCTGTGCATGCGCGGAAAACTGTTGTGAAAATATTTTTCTCTGTGATTCTACCGAGTGGTTTATCGATTTTTTTTCTCGTGTGCCGGGTAAAAATACTAAGAAATCGAAATAAAAATGTTTCAGTAAAAATTTAGTTTCACAAATTTCATATTCATAATATTTAAAGTTGCTTTAATTTATTAATTTTAATATTGTGCTTGTCCGTCGAATGATTTTCGTTTCTTGATTGCACAACAAAGGAAGTTTAAAGTTGAACACAAGTAGCGTGATTAAGAAGATCCGGAATTGAGTTGAATTAAAAATTATAAAAAAATGAGTGACGAGGACTCAAAGCGAGTATTGAATGAACCAACAGATGCATCAATTGAAGTGCCGAACAATGCTGACAATAAAAAGACCTTGAAAGATGTCGTTCTGGATGGTCTCGAAGAAAAGGGGAAGGGAAAGGATTGTTGGCTTTGGTAAATATTTAATTCTTTTAAATGTGTGAAAAAGAACAAAAACACATTCACAAACAAAGAGTTTTTATCGACAGTCGCTGTAATTTTGGCACACATTTGATTGCCACGATTTTTGTGAATGAAAAACAAAAATCATTCGTAAACTTGTCAAAGTTCAACATTAATCGTTACAGTGACGTCTCTCGAAATCAAAGTTATCTCATTTTGATTACAACTTGAACTCACCAAAACATTATCTGCGCTTCTATTAATAGTTCATGTTTTAAAAGAGTTGAATGCCATCGAATGTGATTTTAGTAAAAATAAAAAGAAAACATTCATAGAGAGAGTAGACGTAGAAAAAGTCTACACGTGAACACCTCGTTAGAAACAGATGTTCGTGAATTACCATTCTCAGCCCACTTATCGATAAAAAGTTTCATTCGCTATCTGATAAAAAGTAAAAGTTCAAACATTATCGAATTTATCTGATAAAGGGAATTAATTGAGGTATTGAGTAAAGTTAATTAAAGTGAGAAGTAATAAAGTTTCAAGTGCCACTCTACCATTCAATTGTTCATTAAAATCACTTCTTTTATTCCATATTCAAGTTTAATGTAGTTTTCAAGTTTAACTAACACGCTGCTGTGTAAATATTTTTACCAGATGAATGTCGAAATTTCCTTACGAGCGCTCTGAGATATGCAAATATGGAAAATGTAGTTAAATGGACGAAGTTCAATGACAAATATTTCTTTACCTCGCTTAATTTCATTTAACTTTCTGAGATGAGAAGAAGGGAAAGTTTTAATTTATTCAGACATAAAATTCTTAAAATAAAATGTGCAGTTTGTCGTGGGAAATGATCTTTCTTACGTTACGTCATTAAATTTCTTCTGATTTCACTGAAAAGGTAAACAAAAGATTGACGGTAAAAACATTTCAAAGAAGTCACAAATATTGATTTGATTGTAAACAACTTAACTCCCACGTAATCTTTAAATGAGCTTCACAACGGTATCAGCGAGAGAAGAAGAAGAAGATTAAAATTCAGGAATTTCATTTATGGAAGTTTAAAAGAATGTTCGATGTCCAAAATATTTGATTGAAACAAAGTCGTGCCTACACGTGTTTACAATCAGCAGTCAAAAACGTCTCTTTCAATAAACTCAAGGAAAAGGTCAAAGCAAGGGTCAAAGTGATAAGCAATTCACGTCTCGTGAGATTAATTCTTGTATTTTGTTTATTTCTTTTCCTCTCAGGGTTTTATTCATTCTTTGCATCACGCCAAACATCATCAACGGTTTTCACATCTCATCTTACGTATTTCTAAGTAAAGTTCCCGAATCGTACTTCTGTCTAGTGCCCGAACTGCATCACAAAAATTGGACCAATGAACAGATCAGAGAAATTGCTGTGCCTGGCGGTCTCGAAACGAATCAAAGTTGCGAGGTCTACATGTGGGATTATGAGAAATTTTCTGATCTCAGCTATGCCCAAGCGAAGAGTTATCTTAAAGGCAAACATAAACCTGAAACGAAATCATGTTTCGAGATGAAAGATACGATCAATGACGACTACGCATTCCATTTTGAACAGGAGAAAGACGTCAGCTTTGTTCCCGAATGGAATTTGGTGTGTGAACGAACAGCATTGCGGTCAAATGTTCAAGTAGCTTTAAGTATAGGGAAGTTTGTTGGTGCATCAACCTTTGGGATTATCAGTGACAAGTAAACAAGCTTGATTTAAAACAAAAATCTTTAATAATTAATGAAACATTTTCATTCTATGAAATTTTAAAGATATGGTCGGAAAATGGCATTCAATGTTGCTGCGACGCTTTACATTCTGTCTGGTTTGTTGACAACATTTTCCCCGACTTACATTTTCTTGATCATTGGACGTATCGGACTTGGCTTCTGTGGATCGGGCGTTTTCTACTCACTCTTCACACTCATCACAGAGAATTCCGGACAAAAATATCGATCAAGCTTGTCGATAGCTTACAACTTTTCATATCCATTGGGATTCTTGTTTCTTGCCTTTGCAGCTTACATCACACCACACTGGAGGGACTTGTCGCTTGTGTTAACCATTCCATCATTCTTACTCATTATTCACCTTATGTGAGTTGTTTGAACAGAAACAGAAGAAGAAATTAATGATAATTGAATTGTGTAAATATTTTAGATGGCTCGTTGAATCTCCTCGATATCTCATCAGTAAAGGAAAATACAAAAAAGCTTATTTAATGCTTTACCGTAAAAAGCCATCACCTGATTATTTGCTTGAACTTCAATGTGACAAGGAAGCGATAATTGAGTCAATGGATGAGAAATCATCGACAGTTTCATTCGCAGATAAAATAGGAAAACTTTTTCATGAAATTATAAAAATTTATGGACCGGCAACACTTCGTCGTAAAGCTTTGATTTGCCACTTTACATGGTGCGTGACATCACTCACATATTACATGCTGGCACTTAATGCTGAAAATTTCAAAGCCAATATCTATATTTGGACGGGTCTGACTGGAACGGTCGACATTTTTGGTTACATCGTTTCTATTTTCATTCTCAAATGGTCAACCCGCAGACTTTCACAGTTCACGTTATTTGTCCTTGCCGGCGCTTTCCTTCTCTTTGTCCTTGCCATCGCCAAAGAAGCCGAATTTGTGCTGCTTGTGTTTGCGATGATGAGTCGCTTTTGCATAACGTCAGTGTATGCTATCATGACCTTGCACACCGCTGAGATGTTCCCAACTGAAGTGAGAAATTCCGTGTTGGGCATAAGTTCGACTGCAGCACATTTTGGGTCGTTCTTCGCTCCTTATATTGGTAAATTGATTGCTTAATCATTGGTTACGGTTGTTTCACCTTTTCATTAATGAAGTCAATGCCAAAACCGACATCTCTTAATGGAAGTCAATGTTTTATACTTTTTTAGTTGATCTTCTTGGGCCAATCGCTTGGTACATGCCAACAACAATTTGTGGAACTTTAGTTGTCGCTGCTGGCTTTCTGACATTATTTGTAAGCTTTTCTTATTTTAATGTTTTCTCAGAAAATTAATTTCCTTTGATTTCCACAGCAACCTGAAACAAAAGGCCACGGCTTGACTGATCATGTCCATGAAGACATAAATCGGGAGAATGACGACGCAGATGTTGAAATGAATTCGAAGAATTAAAAGACAATTATAATTATATTAAGCTATAAGTCGTCATGTTGATACACAATATAAATATCACTGACAATATCTTGACGCAACATTCAAGACAATTATTTCTACAGTAATTTAATAATAAAATAAAAAGAAATTCTGCTGAAAAGAAGACAAAAAATATTTTCATCATCAAAGAGACTTTCACTTTATCTAAATACTAATTTATTTTATTAGAAAAAAAATACAAAGACTGAGATTCTATTTCAATTACTCGTTAAATTCCAATGAAATTGCTTCTAAAATAAGAAAAATTGCGTGAAGTATTAAAATAAAAAATAAGAAAATTGCGAAGCTTCTCTCTAGTTTTGTTTAATGTTCTTATCACCGACAGAAATTTCGTTGTTGTTCTCATCGTAAACAATTTTCTTCTCATTGACAGCTGATTTCGCCTTCTTATTGTATGATTTGATGTAGAATGACGAGAACATGTAAGTGAAGAGAGCAGCGTTAATTGAAAGCAACATTCCGATTGATTTTGGAAATGTGCAGTTGGGTTGAAATTGAAGTTGAATTGTGTGACAGAAAACCACTAAAAATTGAATCTGTTGATATCATGACAGCCGCATTTGCATGGAAAATTAAAACAAGAGAATTACATTGAAGTAATTAAAACTTTCATTCACTTTGCTCGAGGATAATTAATGACATAAAAAATATAACAACAATAACAACTCACAATTTGCATAATGGTCAAATACCGTTTCCACCACAAATATTTTTGCATCGATGGGATTGCTGAGAGCATGTAATAGACGTACATAATAACGTGTATAAATGAATTAATTAAGCCCAGGAGTGTTCCATGTCCACCTATAGAAATCATAATATGAGAAAGAAGAAAAAAAGAAAACACGAAATGAAAGGATGGAAAAAAACATTCGTTCAGTTTATAATGTTATGTGAGGGCGTGTGGGGTGGTTGGTAAAAAAAGCATGAAATAAATGCAATAAAATGTTTTTAAAATATGAAACATAACTTCAACAGACTAAGAGGGAGATGGGATGAAAAATAATATTTAAAGTTGGCTTAATTCGAAAACGATGTCATCTGGTTTGAATTTAAACTTTGCCATCATAAACAATAAAGAAGTTGAAGGAATTTCACACTCTATGCCAAAGTTTCTTTTTTTTGAGGATGTCTCAACGAGTTTAATTCCATTGTGTGTAGTTTTGAGATGGGGAATGGAAGAAAAAGAGTTTTGTAAATGGTCAGAACATAACAGCAATGGAATGTGAATACCGTGGAGAGAAATAAATGAATAAACATGAATGTTGGAGCTTTGCAAACTCAACTCACACCACATGATGCTCAACCACAAAAGCAAATGCTTCATATCTGACATTGGTATTTTATGCTTTTTATTCAGAGTTATCAGCAGGAATAAATCATCAAAATGAAATCAAAATCCTCTTCTCTGTAACATTAAATCGATAAGTTTTATGTCAATCATGTTAAAGGCTCAAAATATTTTCGACGAAAAATGAAAAAAAGTTTTGAAGGTAACAAAATCACGATAAACACAAAGTTGACGGCTTTTTATCTTCCATGTTTGTCTTTGCCAAAGTTCAATATTGATTTGATGAAAGAAATGAAAGAAGAGAAAAAGCGACTTTCGCGTTCACAACGAAATTGGAAACATCAATAAGTGGATGGAATATCTTGTGGTAAAAGCCTAAACAACATGAGTTGAATCTGTTTCATTGTCGTTAATATTTATCAAGGCTGAGAAGCCTTCTCGTCTTTATTCGTCATCAAATATCAACGCTGTAAATACTCAGACTCGTGGGTGTTTTCAATTGAAAATGACGTGAATCTGACGTGACATTCAAGTTCAATAAACTTTTTTTCTTTCTTTCATTTTCCAATAAGTAAGTTAAAGCTTTTTAGATGAAACTCCCAATGCTTCAATTTAAATCCTTTTGCTTGAAATCTATTTGAGTTGACGTCATTCATGACTTATAAACTTCTTCAACACATCTAGTCAGAGAAGGAAAACCTCAAAGGGAATCAACAAGGAAGTTTAAGCGCCTCAAGAGGAAATGAATTCAATTAACTTTATCGACATTCAAAAATATAAGTTTGTCGCTTGAACTTTCTTCCCTTAAAGAGCTTCAATTTCGCACTGAATTTCGAATTTCATTCGTTTTCCTGTGTTTGACACACTCTTGGCAATTTATCGTCAGTTTGCCTTTATTTATGGATCTGATGAAATGTAAAACCTCCTTCGCGAAGAAAGAAAATAAAAAGGAAAAAAATTGAATTCAATTCTTGCTTCTTTTTCTCTTATTCATGTTACATATTTCAGCGTACATGTTTGTCGATTGTCGAGAGTGATGGTGGTGGTGGTGGTTCGAGGAACGAGCCAAAAAAACAAGAAATAGATCATCGAGGGTTACAAATGAAACTGTTGAAAGGTGGAATAATTTCTCTCTGTCTCCCTTTCTTTCTTTTTTTGTGTGTGCTTGTCTTTCTCCCTCCATTTCATCCTTGACATAGTAAATTTAATAAATAAAATAAAATAAAAACCGGCAAAAGAAGGAAACTTCCCACCCATTTCGTTTTGTTGATTTTTCCAACTTCTTCTTTCAACGAGTCATTCGTTTCAAGAAGAAAAGGAAAATTCAATTGGCATGAAAATGTTTTTCCAATTCAAATATTTAAATTTTATTAACTCGCACAATGATGTTGCGGAATTTAAAAGCGTAAAGTGATCCGGAACAGCAGAAAAAGTTTTCTTTTTTTGTTTCGCTTAACATTTTTTATATGTGATGTGGGGGTGTGCATGAAGATGGAGAGTTCTATTTAAAATTTATTAAAAAAGTTTACCAGCGAAATACTTAACGCCGATGAACGAGCAGACTGGCATCAAAGTATGGTGCCAAACATGCAAGAACGTCACTTGTGAGTTTTTCTTCCGAAGTACGAAGAAAACTGTATCCAAAAGTTCGACAACTTTCGCCATGTAATAAAGCCAAACAGCTCGTGCCATCTGAAAAAGCAAAGCAAAACGAAAAAAAAGAAAAGTTAAATAGATTGTTGATTTAAATAAATGACCAAGTAAAGAGTATTTTGCACATAAATTACCCTGATTGCATTTGGGTTTGTTGAATAATCAACAGGTTGACATCGAAAATTATAATGTTTCCGCCAGCCGCCTTCTAACCCCTAAACGAAGGAAAATTTTATGTTAAAACAAATTATAGGAAACATAAAATAAAAGGGAAATGGTCAAAGTACAGTGAACTTTCAGCTTGTTCCATTTCATAAGTTGAAATAGATTTGTAAGCAATAAAATTATTCTCATCGTCGTTTGAATTATTCATGATTTATTTTATTTCATAATTGAACATTTTTCATAGCATAAAGATGTTTGCTTTTGCATCAATCAGAAAAGCATCATTAAAATCACATTAAAACTTTTAATCAGAATGTTGCGATAATCAAATCAGGAGAATGGATGAAAGTAAGTAGAGCGATGAATGGCGACACGATCCGCTGATTTCTTTTTCTTTTTCTTTAATTGCGAAATAATTTTCTTTAATATGTAAATAAATCATAAATTCAATTTTAAAGAGAGAAAATTCACTGTATGTAGATATTCAAATGCAATAAAGAAAAAATTATTTTAATCGTTCAATTGTGTGTGCAGTTGAAAATGTCGGAGAGAAAGGAAATCGAGCACATGAAAATAAATTTTCTAATCTGACACTTGACCCAATGGACGCCTCAGATCACACAATGCGAGATAAATTAAATAAATTCCTTTTCTACCACACTCTCCAACATAACACATGCTGGCGATTATTGTAGTGTCGAACGACAGCAGAGTTCAGAACTCACCTCAATTACTAAAACGATACTGAAGACAACTTGTATGACGTTATATACGACTAATGTGTTTTTCAGTTGAAAGGGTTTTCGATTTTTCATGTAACGAGGCCCGGCATAGAGACAAAAGTATAAATATGTCACCAGAATAATAACCAACGGTCCAGGACTGTTTGAGAGAAACCAAGATTTGGTTCGTTGATCTGAAAATTTAATTTGTTTTCGTGATAAAAAATTTGTCTTTGTCTGAAGACCAAAACATAAGCGAAACAATTTTTTAATTTAAAATGACCGTCGTTCATTGTCGACGTTTCAACTTACCTTCGTTATCAACAAAGACATTAACAAAGCGGCCAAAAAAGTTTGTTGTGTCTGTCTCAGCCATCGTATGAACTATTTTGTGTCAATCTATTCAACCTCAAAATATCACCAGGTCGGTTACAGAGTTTTTTTCCACCACTTTGTCAAAGTGATTTTGAATGGTTCTTTGATCTGAAAATATGCACAAACAGAGGGTTAAAGGTTAGAAAGGGGAAAGAAAGAAATTTTTTAATAAAAGAAAAAAGTAAATTTGTAAAAGTCTAACGTCATGTGATTTCCTGTCTCAACGGTGCACATTATAGCATGCATCAGCATTAAAGTCGATTTAAAGTGCAGCAATAAATCAACGACATGACAATGAGGGTGCAAAACCTAAAGGGAAATCTTAACGTTCAAAGGAAATTGGAGGTGAATTACATGTCATTACAATTTAAAGTGATGCTCAACAATCTTTCTTCTATTTCAAAAGGAAATTTTTTTATGCTGAGATTGCAAGATAACTTTTCCAGTTCCTAGAATGGTAGTAAATTAAGTTCCCCAATCAACATGAGAAGGGTTTCGATATTAATTGTTTTCAACCACGCACCATCACGTTTAATTTGTAATTCCACCCGAAAAGTCACATCGTGATCAGACTTAAATAAATATGATGTTGCATTGTAATTATGTAGCTATTAGTGTTTGTGACTCTTTAATGAGTGAAATTCTACGCCATTTGGTAGTGGGAATGGCGATGACAGAGAAGTCTCTATGGAAGTAAAATATTTATTATAATTTAAACTAATTAATTAAGCATTAAGAGCATGATGTTTCTCGTGGGTCGATGACTAAGATATTCACATTTCATCGGAGAATTGTTATCTTAAAACAACTCACCCTTTCCCCTGTTTCCCCCACCCACATTGCTTCATTCAACTTCGACAAAACTGATTGCCATTCGATGGTGAATGAAATCGCAAAATGTTTCCATTTCATATTTTTGTAATCACAGAATGAAAGAAAAAAGACGGAACATGATCCAAATGTATTTGTCAGAATTAAGCCTTCATTTCAGTCACTGCATCACTCCCCCTCCCCTAACTACTCTTTCATCTTTCATACTTTGATTGTTTCCTTATTGCTGGCTGACAAACAAATCATAGATTAGAAAAATGTTTAGAAATCATTAGAAGTTGTTTTGAAATTGAGAACGAAATGAACATTATGCATGCCTTCGCTTACGAATTACGAAATAAGCAGAAAAATATCATTTTTGCGTAATTTATCAAACAAGTAAAAATAAAAGACTGCTATGAACGCTATTCAACCAACTGAACTGTTCGATTTTGACAGCAAACAGAAAAATAAAGAAGAGAAAGAAGAAAACTTTTGTTTTCACCCTTCGAGTCAAAGAATTTCATTCGCACGCAGAGCCAAAGTCCAATGAGAAGGGATTCGAATGGGATTACTTGAAGTCTTAGCAAGATTCCTCGTGAAGTTTTTTTCGCTTGTTCGTTTTTTCTCCCCTTTTCTTCGAGGCATATTTTCATCTTACAGAGCTTCGTTTACCCATCTCAAACGATGAAGGTAAAGACGGTTGGTTTCTCGCTAGCTTATGAAAGCTTTTTCTTGCCACTAGCAATGCCTTGCCATTCTTTATTTATTACAAAAATTACAACAAGCACCACGCAGCATTTAGCGGTGATCAAATCGAGGATAGAGAGCGAAGGAAAGAATGAAATGTAAACAACAGAGACACGGGAAAACTTTTTGCTTATGGCAACAGAAAAAAGGAAAAACAATTTTATTGCGTCCAACGTCCACAAAAATGTTACAACATAAAGTATTTAAGCGTTCTGACAAAGAAGAATTTTTTCTTCTCACTCTTTCGATGCTTTGGTTAACTAGACTATCAATGATCTTCTTGGGAATTTCCACCAGATGTTGACGAGAGTGTCCCAGAAATTAAACAAAAACTTTCCAATCATCCAAAGGTTTGTTCCATTTTCAAAGCATTTTTTTTTGTGAGTTATTTTTTCCGCTACTCAGTGTTTTGTGTTATTTTTCTTCTACTTACTTAGTTATCTTTTGTTGTTTTCTTTTTTTATTTCTCTCGAATTTCGACCCCTGTATAAAGCATTTCATTCATTGCTACTCAGAAATGGCCAAGTTTTGTTTTCTTGTTTGTGCTTTGAACGATTTCTTGTTATTTTTGTAAGCAGCAGCACAGCTTTAAGCAACTTATTTTGTGATGTTCTGTTTGTCTTCGAAACGAAGGCGTTTTCCAATGAGAGCAATGAAGTGGAATTAAATGAATTACGTTTCAATTAAGGACTTGTCACTCGCCACCCGATTTCTTTTCGATTCTTTGCGAAGACGAAGGGGAAAACAGAAAGTTAAGAAAGCATAGATAGATGAAAATTTAAGAAGCTATTTAAACATTTAGTCAGGCATTTAGTCAGCAAATAAAAGTTCAAAATATCGATTTAATTATAGCAAATTACATTTCATAGATATTATCTCATAAATTTCATTCCCACTGTCGTCGTTATGAACTTTAAAAATTATTTTCCATTGAATTGTGAATAAAATTGAAGTCGCCATTCCTTCTTTGTCTGAAACAGATTTCATAACATTTGATTGTATTTTAATTAAGTTTAATAATTGAAAACTTTTTCTTATGATAGAAAGAATTGTTTTTACCATTTCTCCACTGCTCACGTTCATTTATTCTTATTTAAAGATTGAAAGAAAAATCTTTTTTCATTGCCAACTTTTCCATCTAAATAAGTTCATAAAGAAAAGTGGAGAAAAAGTGAACATCAGGAAAAGGTGGTGAATGCATAAATCAATTGATAGGTTTTGCTGTAGCTCGTTGTAGCTTTGACTATCAAGATTTGTTTTTCTTTCTTTTTTTGGTGAGAAAAATGTGTAACAATGGAAGGAAGTAAAAGTTGAAGTTGGGATGACAGGTAGAGAGATGAAGCGAGAAAATTCGTTCACAAACTTTCAATGATGTTATCAAAGTGACTTGAAAAGAAAAGTTTGCAATATTAAAAGTAAATATGAATATGGCCAGCCTTCTAATACGTAAAGGAAAAGCAAAAGATGAGAGAAGCAAAGAAACATGGAAAAACTTTCTCATAAAAATTGATTTTTGCACTTTGTTACGGTTTTAAGGATTTCCATCGAGCAATTGTTACTCGATTTAAGGGAAAAGCAAGCGAAGCGAACGTGCAAAAAGCACAAAGCTCTCGTTCATTGAGTTTATGCCTGATGGCGAATATTGAACAACATCCAAAAGCAAGCAGGAAGTACTCAGATTTAGAATTTGGAATCGATACATAATCTCAATAAGAAAACCCAGAAAATTCAAAGAAATTATCTCGCAGCTTTTCTTTTGATTCATCCAAAAGCATCTGTCAAAGCAGATTTGTTATCATTGGGCCGATTTCAAAGCTCAAAATTATTGATTTCTGACCAAAATGTTTAATCCTCACATCTCTTCGGAAGGCAGCTTAAACCTTATCGCATTTTTTTTTCTTCTTTCCGATTAGATATCTGAAAATATCTCAATTTCCGTCGTTTTCATCTTTAGGGCAAGATAAATTCATTCCCCGTTCTCCATCTCCAGAACCCCTACACACTCACTTAAAGTGCTTTCAAAAAGAAGATAAAACTTTAATCTCGATTCGAAGATTTATTTATTTATGTTTTATTTTTGTGTAGTGATTACTGAAATTTATTATTATTGGTCTCCTCTCGAAGATTATCCATAAGATTATCCTTAAAAGCTTGATTCAGCCTGGCACAAACTTCGATTGCTTATCGTAGACTACGATGGAATTTTCTTCTTTACTTTTTCTCCTTCAATGTTGTGCATCTAATAGCAAATTGGACACTTATTTTATTTTTCAATCTACTCTTGAATCATTTCTTTGGATATGAAGATGTACATCAAGATTTGCCTTCTTCTTCACCTTCATGTTTCTATCGCAATTCTTAATGATACAATTTTCAAGCTGTGAAACGACGTACTTTTATTTAAAAAAAAAAGAAGAATATTGAAGAATGAATAGGAAAGAAAAAGCTTTAGAGACTTTTTCTTATCCGCAAAGTTTCCTTTTTGCAGTGTTGAAATCTCAGGAGAAAAGAAATTTCTTCCTCGTTCTTTCATTCATCATCGTATACTTATTAACGTGCTAACAACTATCGATTTTTCGTGCCGTTTTATCATGAAAAAAGAAAAAGAAATCTTAGTTTGGTGTTATCTTTATTTAGATATTATTTGTGCCTTTTTTTATCCCTGGAAAATTCTAAAATCACAAGAGAAAAACTTTATTGAATTTCCACCTATTTCTCTCTTATATTTTTTTAATTCCTGTTTTAACAATTCAATATACGATTCGCTTGTGTGGATTTCAACCCACACCCAAGAATTTTTGTATTTTTATTTAACAACTCGATTGGTAAAAACAAGCAATTTAAACAACACATTGCGAAATTGTTGAGAGAAAAAAAGTTTTTGTAGATATGTTGGTGGAAACGATAAATTGAAACTTGAAAAAATAGAGAAAATTATTTTAGTTCGACTTTGAACGATTGTAAAGCAAATATTGCCGATGTTCTCAGAGACTGACAGTTTACGATTATTTCTCTACAGCAATTGATTTAAAGTGAGTTGGAGTAACAAAGAAAACCATAAAGTCAGTTTTACTCAGTTGATTTTTCAACAACACAAAGAAGGAAATTTTCAATGGTTTTCCATGAAAATCGAGTACATGTGAAATCTTCTTCGGTATTAAAGGTTGCATATTAAGTAAGGTTTAACATTAATTAGTTTTTTCATAAGAAGCTCTTAGCGTGATAATCTGATGTTACCTTGATCAATTAAAAACGGCAGCTCAATATTTTGTTAAAACACGCAAGCAAATATTTGCGTTGTAAACATATCGAAACTTCCATTATGAAGTTTCTTAATTGATTTAAGCTGGTTATTTGTAGAGTTTAGCATGTTGACGAATGTTAGCAAAGAAGTGAAATCAATTTTATTCGATTTGCTATTGGTTGTGATGGATAAGTTTGATTCATTTGTTTTGTCTCTCAAGAAGAGTAAACTGACTAACTGACTGACCAATGAAATAACTCAAAGTAACTACACTAATGGATGCTGGTTGAATAAATTATGAATTTGTTTTAACTTTTTGCTCTTCTTTCAGATCTCAAACTTAAATGGAAATCGGGCTGTTATGTGGGTGGCGAAACAGATGATAAAGCCATCATCGATATGGAGAGGGAAATGTTTCATCTTTTCTTTCTGTTTTTCTCATGACTCTGATAACTAACTCACATATTTTCATTTTCTTCACACAGCTTTTACCCTTAAAACAAACTCAACTTTTAATGACTTCTCTTTGTTTTACTCGGTGTGATTTTAAACTTCTGATAACAAAAAAAAAAGAAGAAAAATCTTTCCACCCATCTCAAAATCAGCATGTGGGGGAGCGATTTGAAGTAATCCATTTATTTAAAGCAATGAGATCAAATCAGAATAATGTTTGGGAATGAAAGATGCTTAAAGTGTAAGCATAATTCACCCTTCCAAAAAAAAAAGTAAGAAGAAAAGAAGATTTCATCGCGACATAAAGCGACGTTTGAAAAGATTTTTTCTAATATTTCAGTCGCTGAATGTTCTACATTATTTGGCGAATCGTTCAAACTTTTTCGTCGTCTCTATTGTGTGTGTATGTGTGTGAGACTGTTTATATCGGATGAATGAAGAAGAGGCAGAAATAAGAAAAGTATTTTTGATCTTGCCATCTTCACCTCCACGAACGAAAAAGTCACACAATGGATTTCTGGTTGTTTTTGATTTATTCATCTTTAATGCCATGCGATATATTAAACTTTTTTTTTCTTTTGCCTTCAATTCCTTCATAGCCATTATGGGGATGAAAGAAGAAAAAAAAATATCATAAAAGACAGCGGCAGATATGATGCGGAGGTAGGGGGGTCGAATGAGAGATGAGTGACTTCTTTTTCGTGTCTTTATATTTTTTAATATAAAAAAGTGAATGAAAGATAACATAAAAAATAGATGAAGTTCATTGAAATATCGGTGTTTAAGGCGGGGTGGAAACTAGGGGCGAAAAAGGAAAGCTAAAAGTCAGCAGAAAAAAAATAGAATTCATCGTTAGAAGTGCTTTGAGGGTAAAAATTTCTTTCTCTTCTTTTTTTACGATTATTCACAGCCAAAAACTTCTTCACAAAGATACAAAAAAAGATGAGAAAGAAGGGAAATGAACGACATACGACGATGATTCTTTCAAAAAGCCTCTCAAAACTAAAGAAAACTAGAGCAAAAAAATGATTTAGGATTCCGTAAAAAATAACAAACATGATAAATGTTTCAGTTATCATTCCAAGTATTATTTATGATGGAATCGGATTGACAATGCCAAGAAACAACAATTATAAAAGTATATCACTGTACATAGATTTTCACACCCGCGCACATCATTTTGAGCTTGATTTGATATCGAGAGATGTTTAAATGTATAGAAAATCGATTTCAAGTGACTCGTACACGGAGTGGAAATTATCATGAACTGAAATCTTCAATTCTCACCACAATTCTCCGAATGAAAAGATTCTTCACAGTTCAAATAAATATAAACATCTTCAATCGTAGACATTTTCTCAGCTCTTCCCCCACTTAACTGTGATTTCGCTATCATAATTTATTGTTGTGATCCAAGTTGAAAGATTGTTTCGGTATGTGCTTGGGAAGTCAAGTCAAAATGTTAAACATTCCTTTACACACAAACAAAACTTCATCGACATTTAATCTCAATTGCTATTCTGTTCCCCCTAGCGATGCGTTTGTTTCTGACCAAAGTGTGGTTTTGTTTTTAGTCATGTAGGAAATCAATGACAATATTTAGCAATTCTGCGTATAAATTTCAATTTCAAAGAAGATTAAAGATGAACGACTTCTCCATTTCGAATACTTCTCAGATGAACAATTTTTCGTGAACTTCTTGGTACCGTAATGTGTAGGCAGTTAAACAACGATATAAACTGCCATGTCATGCACGAGATATAACTTCAGATTGCATCACCTTATATAAAATGCCCCGTGACAGATTTTTCTGTTGACAAAAGCTCATAAGAAAACTATAAAAGGGAAAGAAGATACAGATTTCGATTTGAGGTTCGTGAGGCATCGTAAAACATATTTTATAACTTCAAATTGGATTCTATTTCTTATGTTCTTTCTGATTGTCTACTCACTCACCGAAATCTAAGGGAATGAAGTCTTATAAATGATTTCCTTTACTGACGCACTTTTATTACACAAGGTAATCTTCTAGCACAACATTTCGATGTGGTAATCAAGGTCAATGAAATTCCAAAATAAAAAATGTGTCGACACATTTTTTTCTTCTTTTGCTTTGCTAAAAAAAATGTTAGAAACATATGAAACATTTACAACATTTACCAAACTCGTTATCGATTAAGACAAAAAAATTATTTTAGAAGAAATTGTGAGAAGGTTTTTGGAAATTTAAATAAAACTCGTTTTTTTCTAATTTCTTAATAGCGAATTCATGTGGAGGTAATTTTGAGTAACTAAGCGATAACTTTATAAGTTGACGTAATTTAATTTTAGTGACTTCATTCTTCTAACCACCCAACAAAGTCCGGTATCTGATTTATTTTAATTAGTTGGGAATTATTCAGAAATCACTCTTTGTATATGAAAGCAAGTATCAGTTTGTCAAAAGAGTTGAGTAATTCCTCAGACGTACCTACGGAGAGTAGTTCAAGTTCACCAGGTGTAGCAAAACCAGAAAACAAAACAACCATTGACGTTGTTTCTTTATTGCCAAATTAAAAATGGTGCGATGATGACGCGTGAAAGGCGATTAAGTTTTATGTTTGAATTAGCTTTTTGCTTCATTTAAGAAATTATTTGATGACAGAGTTTTCTTAAATAATCAACAAGTTAATGTGTCAAAATTGCGACTCAGTTTTCTCTAAATGCAAACTCGAGAGATTACATAAAGAAATATTTGCTTATGGTGCATCAGCCATTCATCAACTATCTAATGAAACCTTAAATAAAGCAAAAAGATTCAATAAAGTCAACTTCACTTATGTAAATTTCACTTGATTCATCATTCAGACTCAGAGAGGCTTACGGTAAATGCGACGTTTATGGTTTAATCTTTCGAGAGGCAAAATCCATAATCCCTGCGATGAATGGAGATGAAAACTTTATGCACAACAAACTGTTTACTACCTTTTTGCACAATCAATCATCTCCACTTTTACATAATCTCCTCCCACGCATTCAACAGTATGATGCATTGTATCAACGACGATAACATGTGAATTAAAATGTAATCATACGTAATCATATCGTCTCCCCTTTCTTTCCACACTCAACAAATTGATTCAATCAATAATCGCATCATTAAAATTTCATTTGAATCATCTGCAATGCTTTAAACTTTTCTGCTTTCTCGCCAACCCCTCCAATCAACGTTGAGCAAGATATGAAATTGAGGAAACTAACATAGAGCAACAAACATTTATCGTTAAAAGGCTCTCTTCGGATTAAACTTTTCATCCATTTCACAAAGCGGCTTTTCTTCGTGCTTCACTCTAAGCGAATTAAAGCAAATTCTCTGTTTACATACATCGCCCAAATAGTTATAATTTATGTAAATAATTTGTAGAGAGTGAATGAAGCCACAAATTGCTTTCGATCCCCTGCTTTTTAAGATAAAGACTTTTATTCGATACTTTGCTCACTGCTGTTTGCAATGAAGAAGCTGCAGAAGAAGAGCGGATAAAACTTTATGTACTTCATCCGAAACTGCTTTTTGTGTTGTCCTTTTCATGAACACTTAGATGGAATGGAATATTGTCAGACATCAAGGATTTTACGATTACAAATAGCAACTTTTCAACACCAAAACAATTTCTCTTCCCTAATAGTTATTGCTTTAAAACATTAAACAAACAGATAAAGTAATACAATTAAGTTTTCCGTCATTAAGTGCGCTCTGAAAGAAGGAGGAAGTTGACTTCAAGAAAATATGCTTGACTCGGATTTGAAGAATTGTTTAATCCATTCAAGAATTCTTAAATACATCGATGAAGAAATGGAGTTGGGGGGACAAACGAAAAGACAAGCGAAACCTTGTAGGATAAAAATAAAGAAACGTACGACAAAGTTACATGAAGAGGGATCGGAAATATTATGATAATTAATTATGTATTCATCTTTTCCTTCGTTCAGTTTTTTTTTTCTTTCCTCTGTCTTCCTCACTCACTCACGCTCTCTCTCTCTCTCTTTCATGTTTTTCTTTTTCGCTGGCAGCTTTCGTGACCCTTTTGTTGTGCCTTAATTAGTTCCTTCGTTTTAATAAAATTTCACAGAAATTATTTGCATAAATTTTCCATGGCACGAAGTCGCGAAGAAGAAGAAGTAAGAAGAAGAAGTAAATCTGTAATCTCTTGTATGCTTCGCTATATACATTTCACGTCTTAAGGAAATGACGGAATATTTTATGGTTTTCTTTTTATTCTTTTCCGAGAACGAATAAAAAACAGGAAGAATGAGGCTGTAAAAAAGCTTAGGGCGATGTTCTTTTTGGAAGAGATTTGGCTTTAGGATTTAAAAAAAAAATAAAGACAGGGCTGGGGCTTCAGTTTGTGTCGATGTGTCAAAATAAATAAAATTGTTTGTGCATCGGAAGCTTCTCGCTGTTTCCACTGACATTTTTGTACTTCTATGCGAAAACACGACCATTTTAAAATGTCAAATTTCGTTAATCAGAAAGCTTTACATTTAAACTTTGTGCAAAGTTGTCATGTGGAGGGTGATTGAAAATATCTAACAAAAAGTTTTTAACTTTATTTTATTCAAGGGAGGAGGAATAAATGTTGGCATCGACTTAAGCTGGATTTATCATGTTTTTGCAATTAATTCCAATTTCAGCATCGTAGCCACTGTTGACAGACTCACTGTGAAAGCGACGACATCGAATGACACTTGTATGACTCTCAAAATCCATTTTGCATTTGAAATGAATTCAAAGCAATAAAGAAGAAGAAGACAGCAGGAAATTATGGTCGAAGCTAAACGACTAATCTCTAATTCCATTAATTTTTATTTAAACTAAAATTCTTTACAGTCAATTACATGAGAACGCGTTAAAGTCGCATTTAAAATTGTGTTTTTATTCGACTATTTTTCTTCCTTTCCTTAGTCGTTTTGACGCCCCCACAACACGATGAACAGTCGAGGAAAATTAAATTTAAAAGATCACTTTTAATTTCTTTCAAGATTAAGAGCACTTTGCCTTCGTCGTGTTTTTTATCATGTTGGGTCTTATGGCTGAAAGAAAAAGCTTCAGTTTGTTGTTGCTACTTTCATTTCAATTTCCATCTTTTTTTGGATTTGTTTTTCTTCAATAAAAAGTATTCGTTCGTCTTCTTATTTCCTTATTTTTCCTCCTCAGGAAGTCGTAATGAAAATGAATGTTGAACGCATCAACCGAGGGTGTTTATTTTTCATTACATCTTTCTCGATCTCACAAAGCGCCGTTTCATAAATGCAATGCTTAATTTATATCAACGGCACAAATAAAAAATAAAAATAATAATCTGAGAGGAATTTAATAATGCTCAAAGCCCAGCCTGAGTTTTGTTGCTTCTACATTCATTTCTTATTATTCTTTTTAATAATTCTTTTCATCATAAAAGATATGATGAAGTACGGCTGCAGCTTTTAAATTTCATTCATTCTCAATCTGAATTTCAAGCACTTTCTACACGTTTCACTGAATCGCTTGAAAAGCACGCAATTTCACTCATATCTTAGACACATCCATCTCAATTGTTCTTCTCGTGCACAAATGAGAACAACGTTGACGTCGTCATCAGGAGCATGTTGAAGGTTTTTAATGAAAGAGCTTTTATCCATTCTTTGTGCGTTTGTATTCACTCCACTTCACCTCAAAACGCAGCGATGCATCACAAAGTAGAAGGAAATACTTTATGTTTCATACGCATGGTGCTTGTTGAAATCAAGAGACGAGAACAGAGCCTCAAGGGTGGTGGGTTGCTCTACATTCAAACACAAAAGTATTTGCAACTGCATTGAGCAAAGCACTGAAGTGTAGTTATCATTAAAAATGTGTAAAGGGTTTGGGAAAATTTTATTAAACATGGGGAAGAATCAAGTGGCTTGTTGTTGTGGGAATGTACGTATATGATGACAAGTCCATACCTTGAACCATTTGCACTTTCACGACACATTACTCATAAGCTTTCTTTAAATTTTGTAATGGAATATTTCCGAAACAAGTTTACATTACTTTTCATTTTCATTTGCTTGCGCTAATTGAACTGAAGTTTAACGACCTCGACTCATAAGCAAAAATTATTCTTTTCTTCTTTAAGGTTTTTTTTGCATGTATGCTTGAGATTCCATTAACAAAAAAAGATGAAAATGAATTTCAGAAGCATCGTGATGCAATCTTTGATGTTCTGGAAATTTTATCATGAAAATATTTTTGAGATTGAACCAACGAAAAGCACTCTCAACCCACATTTTTAAGAAGAATTCACTCAAGAACATGAGTAAGGGGTTGACAGTCGCGTATTTATGAAAGAAGAATCAACGACGATAATGACTTGCAAGGATTGTTTTTTTGTTTTACTAACAATTGACTTTTCGAGCATGTAAAATGAAAGAAAAATTAATATTAACAACGTCGTTGATATTTATGCATGAAATAACAAGCATGATGGTTGACAAAATCATTGTTCTAGTCGAAAGCAATACATGTGCCCCTTTTTCCAATTAAATTCTTAAGGAAAAATCAAAAAACTTGAACAAATAAATCACATTTGAACATTGTACTTTGGAACAGCTAATGGAATTTTTATTTGTTTAAACTTTGTCATTACATTGCCATGTAGATCGTGCAGACTGAGTGTAAAAAGGAAACAACGACTGGCAGCTGTTTCTAATGAAATCAATGTTGAATTATCTAACTTTTCAATTAGAAATTGCTTCTTAATCAAACAATTGATCAGATAAATTCATGAGACAGAAAACATATGAAATACTTTTGCATTCATACGAAGTTTTTGAAAGATTTATTAAGCTTGATATGCTTTTTTGATTTTTGTTTATATTTTTTATTGTTTGCGCACTTCATGACGTTAAAAATTGAAGAAAAAATTTGCAATCACAGTGGAATCAACACAGAATGTAATTGTAACTTGATATTTAGTGGTCAGCTGGTTATTGCAATGTTGTGAGATTGAGAATTAAGACGAAAGTTTGGAAATTGTTGCTTGCATCACTTTGTCTAATAAATTTGAGCTAATTGAGTTGCTTGTGCGAAAATTGGCTTTGTTAACTTGCTGCCGCATGACTTGATGTAATTTTTGGCTGGCTAATTTGTGATGAAATATGAATTCATTTGAATTATCATAAATATTCTTCGCTTGGTCAACCCTTGGCTAACTTATTGATGCGTTGAAATTTATCATAATCATCAAGCAAACATTTTATCCACTGAATATTTCCAAACATTCAATAAAGTTTTCTAATGATGGAAAAGCAAGAATCATCCCGATTCGATGGTTCTTTAATAAATAATTGATGATGATTCTTCAAATTCTTTTATGTCGTGGAAGACTTCAACCGATTACGTTGAGATATGCAAAAAATGTACATGCGAAACTGTCGAGTTTTCAAAATCATAGACCGTCCACATAACAATAATGCTATAAAGTTAAAAAATTAAGTGACCCAGAAAAATTAACTTAAAAAAAGAAGACACAAATTGCACAATCATCGTTGTTAGCTTTTTCTTTTTTTTTAATAACTTTGGATGGAGAAGACAATTGAGCTAATGAATATTTTCAAAAATTTCAATTGCATGGTGCGGATCATTCAAGGTTTTATAAATTGAATTTTTCTTTTGCTTCATTTGACGTCGTGTGCATCTGATGCACGAGAAAAACGGAAAATTCTCAAGCGGGAAAAATAGAAGATTAACAACAAACTTTATGGTGCAGAAAACTTACCCGAATTTGATTTTCCAAACTCTCTTTCTCAATTTTTGTTTCTTCAAGAGTTCGCGAACAAAGTTTTCAGACGATTTCAACAGCGGCAAACAGCATTAAGAAGTTGATATCATTCTCTCCACACTTGTGCTACTCTCGCGTTGATTTGTTTTTCTCCAAAAATTTTATTTTAATTTAAACTTTATCTCACACTTTTCACTTTGATAATTAATCGTTTATTCAATGTGTTTTTGAACTATTTAATTTAATTTTCCACTTTATTGTTTACATAGAAATTCCATTAAAATCTCCTCAGTTGAACTCACACTGCTGTCGCGTGTGTAAGGATTTGGCTTCAAATTATTTGAGTATGTTGCTATGCTGCTTTAAAATGAAACATAAACTTAAGCAATGCTCCCCAAAAAAGTGAAAAATGAATTTGGAAAATCAAATGCACTTAATTTGCAGCAATTGTTGTTGATTGCATGGAAAACTCTCTCGAAGGAAATGAAAAACTTCTTACGAGATCTTAGTGTAGAAGCAGAAAAAGTTATTTAACCCTCATGTGAAAAGTGCTGCTTTTAAATGGCAAAACATATAATGAAATTGTATCAGCTTTGCAGTTTTGCTTTTCTTTGGAACAAGAATTTTTTTCATTTCTTCAAAAGAACTTTCTCGCCTCACGCTCGATACGAGAAATATTAATTGAAAAAGTTATTAACAGAAAAATATTTAATTACAAATGAAAAATAACTCTTTTTCGTCTCAGTTTTTCTTTTCTCCCTTTTTTTTTCGGCAGCTCAACATGAAAAATTACACCAAAGTCAGAGATGGAATTTTTCCACTGCAAAGTCGAAACTTTTTTTTTGTACCCGTTCGTTCAGAATCGAAGTGAATGGAGATGGCGGTGGGATGAGTGGAAGTGGGAAAATATTAAAACTTCTACAGAACGAAAATCTTGATGGAATGAGGCAGCGAGGAAGAGTTGAGACTTTTATCCTTAGCTTGAAACAAGCGAGTAATGTAATATCTTGGTAATATCGCCTTTCTTCGCTTTGCAGAAATTATTTGAGTTTAGTATTTTATCGTGTTTATTTTTTGCCTTTATTTTAATTATTTTAGTTTGAGCTTGCAACTTTTATTTCTTCTTCTTATCCACTGCGTTTTTTTATTTAAATTTTTCTTTTTCAACATTAAACGCTTCTTACTTATTTTATTTATTCTTGACTTGCTGCTACACTATCCAAAACTATATTCGCGACTGATTTAAATCGGCTGTTTGTCTTTACTGTTTAACTTCACAAAGCGAAATATCATTTTCAGTTTTCTTTCCGACGCTTATTCATTTAACACTGACACACTTGCCAATCTTTTTTGAAGCGTTTTAACACAAAAGCAGTTTCATGTTAATGAAAAGTGTAAAATGTAAAAGCTTCAATACATGGGCTCGTGCATATTAACTCAAGCTTTTACTACAATTTAGTTTTTATCGTTCATTGACGCGTGTGTGGGTGATAAGTGTCAACTGACCTTTCCCATTATGTGTTTCTGATGTTTTCGGTTTTTGTTGTGTTCCCTTCACCATCGCATCATTTTACTTCTCTTTTATCTTTTATTTGATGTAACCTTTGAAGGATGGAAGTGAACTTGTAAAATAAACGACATGAAGAGGAAGAATCAGAAAGGGAAGTGAAAGAAAATCTGCATTGAAAGCGGTATTTAGTATTAACGAGCGTAGCTTCGGAATCTGATAAGAAATCGCATTCATCGTTTTCTTTAAGCGATTATAAGTAAAACTGATTTTTCATTGAAAACATTTCGTTGAATGTTCAACACTTCTGACGCAAAAAAAGTAAGAAAAAAATTGAATCAATAAAATGTTTGCAATGTTTGATTTCATTGCTATTGAAAATTTCAAGCTGCTTAAAATGTTTAAAGTTCGATGTTTCTCTTGAATGAACATCAACCGATATGAATATTTCTTTTCGTTTCAATTCATTCACGAATCTAAACATTGTAAATTTACAAAATAGTCGAAGCAACAGACTTAATGGTGAACATAATGATTTGACAACTCCAACCGAACATGGGACGATGAGAAAATATTTCATCTATCATTCAAGAACTCTCTAAGCTGATTTGGTTGGGGATTCTATTTTGAGTGCTACCAAAAGCTTTTTTGATAACTAAAAAAAGTTAGTGATGATGTGCGTTGCCATAAAATCCCATTAACTTTCGACATTTATTTTCACTTTTCTCGATACCACGGTTTTAAGAAGCCTCGAAAACTTTTGCAATTAATGGTTTTTAGCAAACATTTTCGCCTTTTTTTATCGAGAATAAGAAAACTTTAATGATGAAAATTTAATCACAAAGTGAACTGTACTATCAATTTGAGTTTTTAATTATCGTTGTTACAAGTTAGTTTAATTTTTTTATTTCTCCGGATTTTCATCGAAGGCGAAATGTGTCATAGAAATTTGTTTTGGGAATTACGTACTGAAAAGCAGTTTATGAAATTATCGACGTGCTTGTTCCTTCTACTTTGCCATTGAAAAAGGCGGGACGGGAACATCACAACATAGATTGAAAAATCAATACATCGAATAATGTCTATCTACACTGAACAGAGTGCTTCGTGCCATTTAACCCGTTTTTCTTTTTAATATGCTTTACACAGAGTTAGCAGCCTTCAATCTATTGAATTATTTGAATCACAATAATATTTTCAGTCTTCGTTGTCACTTAAAGTGAATGTCGTGAAATTATTTATGTTGTAGCAGTATGAATGTTGAAGTCTTGCAATATTGATTAAAGTTAGGTCAAATAGATACTCAAAAAAGAAGAAATAGTTGCATTCCTACTTATCTACAGCAAAATTTCTTCTGTTCGATGACCTTCATGTTTTTCTTTTTTTGTTTCGCTTCATTTTAGTGAGTAAACAGTTTCAACTTTTTTTTTCTTTGTGTTGAAATCCGTGGCAAGGTCGGGATAGAAACGAAGCATTTTTCCGGTTTATGCTCGTGACGTTATCACTCCATTGCGGCAGATTGTTTACAGATTAAAGTGATTTTTTTGAACGTTCAACGGTGCTATGGGAAAATTAATCTCTTGAAATGTGACTTGTGTCAACACATTAAACAATTCAATATTTGAGAATTGTTATAACGAGGAAATCGATTCTGCAATTCTTCTTGAATGATTTGTTTGCGAAAATGTTTTATGTCATCCTTGAAGCAGTGATACCACTTGACTGTCCCCGATTGTAGGAATGGGAAAGAAAAACTTTTCCTGAGCTTTAGATTATCTTCTTAAATCACTGCAAGCAATGATAAAGGGGCTACGAAGAGTCATAAAAAAACTGTTGACAGTTTTCAACTTTGCTTTCATTAGATTGTTTTAATTTTACCATTTCATGCAATTAGTTATGTTCTTTTCTTGTTCTCCTTTCATTCGCAACTCTTTCCCTTCTTCCCACCTTTTGCTGATAAGCTTTTGCCAGAATTTCAATATGATATCTTCGTTTTCTATACGCATAAAAAACGGTAATGAGAGCAAGTATCATTGACCAATGCGCTAACTCAAAAAATATATGCGCTATAGTTTTGTATGACATATAATTATGAATGTATCGTAGATTTTGTAGTACTAGATGAAAATGTTTTGTTTGGGCAAGCCATCTGCAGACAACTTCATTGAACAGGCCCGGAGAGAAAAATTTCTCTCTTTCTCACGCATGCTCTCTCGCACACGATTTTCTTTCATTCGTTTCGTCGAAATATTTCGATCAGTTTGTACTCAAACACTGTCGTGATCGGGAGTGATTTTTCAAAGCGCATAATAAATAATCATGATTCGAGACTATCAGTCAGTAAAGGTGTAAAGTTTTTCTCCATTAAACGATTTTTATTTTGTTGGTGTGTCCGCAGTCGTATTATTTAATTCGTTCTGTGTGCCGCGAACTCGACTTAAAACAATCGTGTCAGTTACTATTCCATAATTAAACGTGAACGCTAATTATTTAAGGCAGGAAATAAAGTTTTTTTTTTGATAAAATAGTTCTGGAATTAAAAGTTTTTACTTTTCTGTTGTTTTTTGTTGTGTTGTTGAATTCTCGACTCCACAGTTTTGTTGAGAATTAAGAGGCAAATAAATAAAAAGGCAAATATAAAAAGAAGATGAAATTATTATTCAACCGTATATGAATGAATTCTTAAAGTGTAGTGTTGAGTGAAACAGGTGTTTGATGAGATAATATTCTTGTGTTACTTGCAAAACGTGAAACGATACAAAAATATATAAAATAAATAAGAGAAAAATATCTGATATAAGAAAAGTAAATTAAAATTGATAAAATATTTTCTCTTCGCTAACACAAATATCCAATTAATGAAGAATTAAGAAATATTGATTGGTCTCACTTTTTTCCGATCACGATTGAGATTTTTTCTCATTTGGTTTTTTGGTCTTTCTCATCGACACGAAGGAAAAGCATAAAAAAAAAGAAATAAGCGGCTCAAAAGTAAATAAAGAAGCAAATGGATTATCGCTTGGATAGCGTTCTACCAAACGAATGATAAAAACAAAGGTAGATGAAATTAAAAGAATATCAAGCATTAAAATTTTCTAGAACATTAGAAACTAATCGCGAATGGGTCGCAAAGCAACCGTCAATAACATTCAATAATATTTGCTGAGAAAATAAATGTCGGTAATTTAATTATCAATTGGTTTTAACTTGCGGTTCGGTAGTCACAAAAAAAATCTAAAAAGCTGTTTGTAATCGTTGTTGGTGTGTTGTTAAAATGTGTTTGAAAAGTTAATTGGTTTTATCAGAGGGCAGTAATCTTAATTTCGAATTAATACTTCGACAACTTGTATGTTATCTTGTCTTAATCTTTTCTCGGCTGTTTCTTCAGGAGTTTGTTGTGTTTCATAATACGTTATGTGTCCATTGTTTAGTGAGATTTCGGGAAGGGAAATTTTCCATTCCATATACGAACAAAGGTAGAAATCAAGAAAGAATTTCTTACCTAGACGTGTCCCTTAAGCTGTTGCATCTTGCCGAGAAAAAAATTTGAAATATTTCACAAGGCAGTAAAAAAATTTAAGGATCACAAATCATGGGTTTCTATTCATCATTATTATTAAATGAGAAGCAGCAGCAACAGTTCCTTCGATGCATAAGAACCGTTCATGGTTGTTTAATTTTCAATAATTATCGTTGCACACACTCGAGAAATCCCAATGCAGTATAACGAAGGGAAGCAGAGAAGAGAAATTAGAAAAAAAGGAAAAAAATACTTAAAATAAATATATTGATGATGCCCTTTTGAGCGATACAAAGCAATAAATTTCAACTCAAACCTGAAGAAGCTTCTCGACTGTGTTCTTGAGAGCAAAACGATGTGATCGGGAAGAAATAAAAATAAAATGCATCAAATATAAGAAAACCTGTTCGTTAGAAGAGAATAAAAAGTAAAGCAAAGCGGTTGTGGAAAAAGTGCTTACAAGCGAGAAACCTTACGAAGAAAGGTCATTTTCTTAGTGGATTACATTCCGACAATTTCACGTTGTGGTTTGCTCGTTAAGCCAGTGAACATCGTAGAATCAATGAAGGGAAAACAACGAAGAAGAAAGAATTTTTTTTGTTCAATCTTTCCACTTGATTAACCGCGAATCTTTGTAAGAATGTTTTCTCTTCTCTTTCCATTCATTCAATGAAGCTGTGGCTGAAGCAGGGAAACGAACGCCTTTCAAAATTATAATTATCAGCAAAAATTTCCCTTCAATATAAGACAATTTCCGAATGGAGATGGAGTGGAAAAAATTATTTTTAATTGCCCTACAGAAATTGCCCCAAACATGACGTTTTTAAAAAGAATTCTGCTGCCTCGTCATTTGCAAACTTCAAACTGACGTTAAATGCGAGTTCCGACGAAATGACCAACAGTGCAATTTAGAATAAATAAACTAAAGGAAAACGGAATATTTCTGTGAATTCTTTTTTCCGTGTTGAGGTTTTTTTCGAGATATGAGGTATAATTAGATGGGCAATAAAGCTAAGAGCGGGCAGACGACTGCAAAACAAAGGCATCATTAGTGGAGAATTTTTTTTTCGTATAATTCGCTGTACACATTTTTGTTGGACGCTGGTTTAAAAAGAACTCTTTTGGTAAATTGCGATGTGTATAATCATTATAAAGGTATTCATGTGAAACAAAAAAGGTAGAGCAAGGAGAGTGAAAAACAAATTATGTTGAGTTGAGTCAGGAGAATATAATCATACTTAAGTGTTATTGTGAATCAAGGGAAGCAAAAAAAAAAATTCGTAAGGACATAACAGCGACATAAAGAAAAGCATTGAAAAAAGCATGAAAATTGAATTCAATTTTAACTTCTCTTTATTGCTCACGTTCACATCATGCTGATGTAAATAAATCTGTGTGCAGTTCAACATAATAAAAATTGCGAAACAAAAAGTTATGAAGCAAAAAGTAAAAAACAATCTTCTTCTCATTTCTGTTCATCTTATAATCTTTTTCTTTCGCATGCATAAAGAGTGCTTCAAAGTCGAAACAGGTGGCATGAAAGAAGAAGTGTTAATTGAAAAGCTTGTTCAAGAAAGTTCAGGTAACAAAGATCAGAAGTAAAATATTCTTTTTACCGTCTTCAAGTTGAGTTTTTATTGTTGCCTGCTGAAAGAAACAACATAATGTTGGCTTTAATTAATTTTCATTGAATATTTAAAGCAAAGCATTCAATACCGCCTTGAGATAATGTCTTCTTTAATCAAGCAGAATACATTAACAACTTCAATTGTCAAGTTTCTTTTTTCTTCCTTTTTTACAATGTTTTAAACCTTCTTTAATCAAACTTTGTAAAGATTCTTTTCTTTCTTTCTTTTTTTTGTTACCTCGTCTTCTTCTTTTTCTTATTCTTCTTCTTCACTCAGCTGTCATTAAGCAGTTCTAAGAGTAAAGTAAAAGAAACCTCCAAACTTTGGCCTCATCACTCAGTTTCTCTGAGTTAAAATTAAATAGCAATTAGTGTTCAATTAAAATTCAATTTAGAATCCATCTTACCGTAGTTTCGTGTGTATCACAAAATTTATTGAAAAATATTTTGCCAAGAGAATGGAACGTGAAAAAAAAGCGATGAAAGTTTTTCTTTCTGGTTGTTGAAAAAGAAAATTGAGATAAAATGCCGTTTTTACTCTAAACACCATCTATGCACGGAATGGTTTTTCCTTGCCTCTTTAAACGCTTAATATCCCTTCGAGTAATTCTTATTTAATTGCTATTTGCACATTATGGTTTGTTTTTCTTTTCATTTTCGTTTTTCATGAAACGCAAAAAAATGAGAGCGAATAAGTAAGAATAAATGGTTGCGGACAAATTGCACGGGAACAAGCGTCTGGAATGGGGAAAAGATTGTTAAAATCGCCCTCCAATTTAGTTTTTTTTTCGCCAAAGAACAAAATGTATATTTAATTGCATATTGTCATGTATCTGTCTGCTTCTCTTCCCTTTAAAAATTTGCCTACTTGTATCTGTGAAATTCAACAGAGCGGAGCGCAGCTCACCGCCGATCTTAATTTTGATAATGTTTTTTTATTACAAAAATTTACTGTTAAATATTTTATCATTTCGTCAGCGTTCAGTTATGGTTTCAAGGGGAGAAAAGCTGAGGCTGAACAACAGAAACGAAAATTATGAAAATATGAAAATAAATAAAAAAATATTTCCTTTCGAAACGATTTTATGCAGGAAAGTTTTAAAAGAGAATGTAATTTCTTTTATTATTTGATGGGTTGTCACTTCTGTTGCGGTGGTTAACATGATACTTTGTTAATTTAAAAAAATGAATCGGAAAATTCACCCTAATCCTAGTTTAAAATATTCGAATACATTTCCCATGTTTGTCATTAAACTTTGCTATTTTCATTCGAATCTATATTATTAAACCGGCCGCTTTCAATAATTCCATGTTGTTTGATATTTTTGTCTCGTTTTTCATTCCATTTATTAAAGGAGTAAAAGTAAAGTGCGCGCACGGAAGCGCACGTGTCATGTTCTAAAAGCATTAACAGATTGAGGCAAAAGTTACGGTTTTGTCGTCATTGAGTTTATTGAAAGGTTCTATTTTTATGTAACTTATTTACTATCAAGCCCGCGTCTGATTAGCCATTAGTGTTGGGGAAATTGTGGAAGGTTGACACGTCGATAAAGAAGACATTATTAGTTGTCGACGAATGTTGATATGAAATAGCGAAAGGGTTGTGTAACGGAAAAACTTTTCGTGTGTAATTTCTTTCTTTTATGTCTTACAAGATAACATTGAAAGAAATTGCTCAATCAATTACTTTTTCTTATCTTTTCAACTGTTGTTTACTTACCTACATAAAACTTTTTTTTCCTTCGTTTATTTCTTCCAACCTCCCATCATTCTCTTCATTGCCTTTAACCAATTCAACAATTCCCACTGAATGGTAATTAATTTACCCGACGATTTCTTTCCACCCTCTCGTCGAGAGAGCGAACAACTTTATACCGAATGAATGAATGAATGCACACAGAAATATATTTACAAACGTATGTATGTGATCAAAATATGTTGGGAAAGGAATGGAAATGTAAAAAAAGAGAAAGGAAACCGAAAGAAGTTTCGTCTATTTCGCTTTGTTTATGTGCAGAATAAATCATAGTAGAAAATTAATCATAATTTGTTCGAGAAGAAAGAGAACGTGAAAACAAGCTCAGATATTTGTTTATTTACAAGTTTTCATCCTCGCATATGCATAATAAAAGACGCGTACACGAGGCAACCTAACTAGTGAACGAACGTCTGTTGTGTGGATAGAAATAAACGGGCATGAAATTAAACAAAACAAAACAAAGAGATCTGAAATCTTTTCAGACTGATGTTGAACCTTTCTTTCCCCAACATGAATCGCATTCGGAATGTAATTTTCTGCTTTTGTTGTTATTCCACCTCAACAGAATCGTCCGAAAAAAAAAGTACTTGAACGAATCTACGTTAATTATTAATGCTAGCATTGGCATTGAACGATTCTGACGAACTAGCGGAAAATGAGTTTCAAGTCAGTGACATTCTCATGTCAAGAACATCCACGTTCACGATGAGATGTTCCCAAGCAGCATCACTCTTTAAATAAACATTAAGTAAAGTGAGCATGCAAGGAAGCGTCAGTTGATTGTATAAACTTTATGCTCCCTTCTTCTTCTCTTCATCTTCTGATGATGTTTAAAATGTCAGTTACATTCCGTTCTTTTTGTGCGAGCCAATTGTGCTTATTCCCATCAATTTGTTCAGCGTTTCCTTCTCACATTCTTTTTTTTTGACTTTGTTGAATTTAATATCTCTTATGTACATTAAACTATATTCAATGTTTCTTTAGATTTCCCAGTTGTTTGATGTAAAGTAGCGATGATAACCTTTAACATCCATACCGCGATTCAAAACATGCATTAATGATTCCCATTTGTGCATTCATCTTCAGATGCAGAAATGTTTTTCCTCTCCCTTCATGTTTTTGTTGCTGTTGATATGCAATGTGCAACGTGCAAGCCATTAAGTTTCTCACATATATCATCATACAGTTTCTAGCACTCAATGAATAGAGTACTTAAAAATAATTAGTTTTAAGAGATATTTACAACTGAAGAGAAGGGAAAATTAGCCGCAATAAAGATGAATAAAGTTTCAATACAAAGAGTTGTGTAACTTACAGATGAAGAATCACTTTTAACTTTCAGTCACTGATTATTGTAGAATGCAGAAAATTAAAGAAGATGAAGAAGAAGTACAAAATATCTAAAGTTTTAATTACCTTCCATACCTGTTTTTTCTGATATCAAAAGCATTTTCTTTTTGCCTCTTGTGCAAAGTGCATTTATGTAGCTTCGTTTTATGTGATTTATTGCATTTTTATTGCAGCGCTTGTTTTTCGTTACATGAGAACAATTTTATTTTGTTTTTTTTTTGGAATGATATTTTCTTTCATTATCTCTTCTGATTCTTCCAACTTGCACTTCTGCTTTATGCAACGTCAACGAGCATTTAAAATGTTTAATTTGTGTTTTATTTTTATTTTTTCCCTTCTTAATTTTCGCCTCATTCGCGATACGATAGCAGATGGAAAAGGGAAACCTTCAGGGAAGCCTCGAGTGACTTGATGTGAACTCGGGAAATGAGCTCGACTAAGATTGCAATTTTTTAAGAAATTTAAAACTCGCTTCGCTTTATTCTCGTCTTTAAGTTTTTAATCAGACAATTTCATGAACTATCTGCTTACACTTCAAATGACAGAGCACCGGGAAAAGTTTCACGAAAATAAAGAGAATAAACAACTAAGAATCGTGAACAAAACGAGGGCAATGAAAGAAGAGTTTCGTTTATAAAAGTAAAACAAATTCCGTCAACTGATCTGGCGAAAAATTTCTGTTCTCTGTTATTCCCTCTATCTTGTAGAGTGATAAAGAAGCATTAAAAATGCAAAATATACACGGCGAGCTCTGAGGATTATGAAATGTCGCTTTTTTTTATTCTCTTCTTTGTCTTCTGTTGTTGGATGCTGATGAAATAAAAGCAAATAAAAAACGTTGAAGCTTTAACAAAAATATGTCTCTCACTTTTCATACTCAACACAACCGACAAGACATCGACGATGACAAAAATAGTCGACATTTAAAAAAGCGATAACACCAACAATAACATCAGAAGTCGTTGTCGTGGAAAAACGTTGAGAAGCGAAAGATTTAATAAAATAAGAAACAAAAAATAAAAAAATTCCCTCAGCTAATAAATGTTGTGGCTTAAGAGAGTACGATGTGAAGAGGGAAGTGCCTCAAACTGCTCAATGATGTTAACTCCTTTTATTGGTAACAAGCCTTTTCATAAGTGCGGTAGCTTTTAGGGGATTAGGACATTCAAATGAAGATACTTTTCAAGAGCTTCTGTGACTGATAAAAAGCGCTGATACAACAATATCGGCGCACATCACCCAATTTTATGATTCCTTCGGTGCCTTTTATCCCTTTTCTACGCTTGACAAAAGCTTTAAGTTTGTTAAAAATAAAATAATATAAAAACGGAAGAAGGCCTTGCTTAAGGATATTCTCACTAACCTAACATTGTTGTAATCATCATAATCGTTGAGTAAACTGTCGGAAAGCAACTGTGCTTAATCTTCATATTGAAAAGCGGCTTTTGCACACTTGACCACTCTACATTAATGGCTATTATCGCTTGTTACTAGTTATCTGTCCTTAAAACAATGTGCCGACAATATTGCAGCACATCAAACCGGATTAATAAATCCACTAATCCATTTATGTTCGAAAGCTCTTTATGTTTGCATGAAAATTCGATGAAAAATATCAACAGCTCATTCTACAATGATATTTACGAAGTCATACATAAATATCTACAGCACATAATCCCACTGTCACCCACGCGTCAAAAATCAATCGATATTTCCTTTTATCCTATTTTCATTTTTTTGTTTTGCTTTATTTTCCATCGCGTTTCTTTGCATTGCATGCGATTTTTGAGTTTTTCATAGCAGAGTGAATGATATCTCGTGTTTGTCGAAAAAAATCCTTTGTTAAACTGAGATAAATGACATTGTCATGCATTTTATGAATTTTCTCCCGAAACAACCGTAACTGAGCGATTTGGTTTTTTTTTCATTTGTATTTTAGTCAACAAGAAAAATTATTTTATTTCCATTTAATTCATTTTCATGCGCATGCAGAGAATAAAACGAAAAAGAGTTTGATTGAGGTCCTTCAAGTTTGACGTCAGCAAAACGAATGAATAACAATAAAAATCGAAATCAGAAAACCGAAAACAATGATCTTAATTTTGTTTTAGGGGAAGGGAAAGAAAAACTTTTTTTTTGTTGATATTTTGTACGATTTTTTCAAACAATAAACGCGAAAATTCACTTAGAGTCAATGTCACGTGCTGTGAAACATGAAAAAGCTTCGCACTCGTTCTTTGACGAAACAAAAATATTTTGACGTTAAACACAAAACACGACGACGCACTAACAACTATGAATAATATTAACAAAATTTTTCATGCTCTTCGTTGTCGTCCTTTTAGTTGTGGGTGTACCTTTGGAATGTATGCTTCAATTAAAAAGCGTTCTCTGATACAACATTGTTTCATGGAACGAATTATCGCCTCTGAGAACCGGAAAAAGCTTTTAATAAATATTTCTCATCATCATAAACTCGTTTACATATCAAGTGAAGGTTGAATTCCTTTTTCTCTTACAGTAAGCAACATTCTACTGTGTCGGATTTCAATTGAGCTCGATGCTCGAAAAATTGAGATAACTGAAAGGATTCCTGAAATATGAAATGATGAATTCGTGATTTTTCGAGTGTGAAAAGAGGATTCCGAATTATAAACATGAAAACTTCTCCTTACCCTTTCATTTTGAAGTTAACTTCCGCTCACTAACAAACTTACTATGCACATGCAAACATGATTTATCGCTTAGCAATCCACTGTTGCTTTATTGCTGTATACAGTTATTAAAATTTTCATAAACACACAAAACCAAAGGCAGCGATAAGGAATTAAATGTTGAAAAATTCTCTCGTTTTCCCCAGTTTTTGCTTGCCTTTTCGAAATGGAAATTCAATGTACACACACAATTGTGGAGAAAGCTTAAAAAAGATTCAAACATGGTCAGTTGTGTCACAAAACAATTTTTTCTTCTCTTAACGCTTCAATAAGCAACAATTAATTTTTCTATTTCTCTCAAAGTTATAAAAATCTTTTGCAACTGATGGCCAGACGTTACATAATTTACCAAACAACATTTCACTCATCAGAAAATCAGTTTTGTGGAGAAAATCAAACATTAAAAGTGTTGTGAACACACATGAAAATTGTTTCGTTCGGTCAGTTGTAAAAAAAAAAAAAGCAGAAAGATCGAATCCCTTAAATGAACACAAATCAAATGCATTCATCCGTTTACACACTGAAAACGTTTAACTGAACCACAGTCCACAATACAGAGCGAGTTGAATTATTTTGTGTGCTCATTTAATCCTGATTAGTGCGATTTATATTTCTTTCCATGTTCGAGGGAATGTAGAGCAGCATGAAAGCGTGTAGCATGCATAAATGAAACGACTCAATAGTATTGAATCCCATGCGATAATTTAATGTGAGTTGCTAATCTATCGACGGTCATTCGATTCAATATTCTCCCATCGAGTCATAAATACTTTCATACTTATAAATAAAGTGTAAAAAATGTTTACGTAATCATTTCCTTCTTAAACAAATAAATTATTCAAACAACTATTTTTAATATCAATAGAAGAAAAAATAAAATAAAGCAAAACAGCATAAAATCAGCTTCCAATCGACATGAGTTTGATATAAAATATAATTAATGATTGAATTTACATTAAATGAATCGACTTGTTCACTAACAAACACTCGCCAGTTGAATGTTATTGTCGGGGGGTTTATCAGCTTACACAGTGGGAAACTAATGAATATGAATAATAAAACATCTCGTATGCTCTTGAATAACGAAAAATAAACAAAACATGAAAAAAAGAATTTTCTCTCTTGCTGTTGCTCATAAAAATTGTTTTCATTCTTTATTTTCAGATGTTTAATCACCTGTCGTTCGGAGGCTTACGATAGATTACACAAAGCAAACCAGTGAATAAAAAACAGTTAAAAACTCTTCTTTTTTTTGAATCAGCTAGAAGAACATGGATTTAATGAGCGCTTTATGTTCAGACGATTACAATCAACCAAACAGCGAATCTGCAACATTAAAACTTAAATCGAGACCTCAATCAAAATTGATAAATAAAGCCGTTGAAATGGCGTACACTGAGTGCTCAATAAATCGACAAAGTTCTACTTTTTGCGAGAAGAAAGTTACATTTAAGAAAAGGTTGAGGCCAAGCATGAGTTGGAAGCGCATCTTAGTGTTTAGTGTCATAGTGTTGATAAATGTTTCGTCTATAAATTGTATTGCAACGAGACATGTAGAAGGTGAGTTCATTTCTTTCTTATTTTCTTAAATATATGTACACGCACTTGCCCTTGTAATCTTTACGACTTTGAATTCTGATCTTCATTTCTGACATAAGAGATGAAGAAATGGGTGTTCCTTCTTCTTTTATAAATTGAAACTTATCTCAGATGAAACAGAATATATCGCTTCATATTACAACGAAAGCGGCAACAGCCAACTGCCAGCGCTTCTCGCAATGGCTCATAACATTTTTTTTACGATATTTTCGATACAATTTAATGCACGTGGGGGTTTTTTATGCTAAAGCGAATCGTGGGGCTGTTAAAGCTTCAAAACGTGGATTTGATTTCAATCCATCCATATTTAGATGCAAAAGGATGGATGGATGGATCGTTTCTCTCTTTTTTCTTTTGCCATCCATTGATATCCAAGTGAATTGAAGAAAATTTCTTTTTCTTAAATGGAAACAAATTTAGATTCATTACCTTGTTGTGCAGCAAGCTTTTTATGTTAATGGATGAAATCATAAATTTTTAAGTATGTACTTTTGTTCCCTTACGCTTCTGGGCCTAGTCCCCTGTTTGTTTGGGGTTGAAAGGAACAGAAAAAAAAGATGAGAAGAGAAGAAACATGACAGGAAAAGAAACGTGAAGGGTAAAGGATAAACAAAGGCCCAGTTACGGCAAACTCAAAGTGCGGTAGCGTGAGTCAACAAAGTTTCTCTTTTTTTAACTTCAGTAGCACCTTGCTGAAAGCTTTTTTCTGACTTCCGATCCAAAGAATGCCTCAAGAAGGCTTTTTAAAGAAGGCTTTAAATGAAGTCAAATTGAACCAGATTATGAAAGGGTTAAATTCGTGAGTTAGGTAAATTTGAGCCTGAAAACTTTTTTTCTCTGTCATGATATTTATACGCAAAGGGTAAAAGAAGAAGCTAACGAGCTTTTAATATGCAACTGTTTGATTTCAACCATGTCACGCAATTGACAAGCTATAACGAGAAAGTATTTCATGCATTATTGATTGAGAAAAAAATAACCGTGTACATTTTTAATGTTTTCGGTCTTTTGTTATTGAAACGACCTCTCAAATGTCTTCAACTCAAAAGCACTTAATGTTTTATCATTACAATTGTCGCTTTCCTTCTAAAAGGTAAAGAAACAGCAAAAAAGGGAGAAAATCAACTTAAAAGAAAAATGCGATCATCCAAAGACATATAAAGATTCATTAAGTATTTATGGAAGTAATGTTAACTTTCTTTCCTTTTTTCCAAGATGAAAAACTTCCCCATCTCTTCGACTTTTCATTTTCTTTTATCATAAACTCGCTCACATTTCATTTCGTTAAGCGAAAGAAGGCAAATTTTACTCACATTCACGCAATGTTGTTATCCATATTTGAGATGATGTGCCGTCAAGTTAAATGTGAAATTTATGACAGATGGAAAATGGAAGAAGGAAAACAATTTTTATCTTACATTTTTTTTTCGAAAAAGAAAGAAAATTCCTTCGTAATATTCATTTTTATGAACTTTTATTAATTCATGAAAATGTTTTGTGCATTTCGAAGACTCAAACATTCATATAAATAAATATATAAACTCATTTTGACAACGTCTATGAAGGCAACGACGATGTTGACGATGTGAAGTTTTCAAAAGCAACTCAGTATGAGAAATCCTTTAATCTTGCAAATGTATGATGTCAGTGAAACAAAAACATATCACGCTGCTGAAGTTTGATGTCATGTGTATGAAAAGTAGAATATTTATGAAATGTGTGTTTTGTAATAATTGTCAAGAAATTATCATCGTGAAATTTATTTCAATTTCAACTGTCGCATTCATGTTTTTATTTATTTTCGCTTCTTAAGATGACTAGCGACGAATGAAAGACAGAAATGTTCTTCCCACCTCCTAAAGCTTGTTTCATCTCTCTTTTTTTCGTTTTGCGATAAGACGCAGGAAAATTTCACGTGTCAAAAGAGAAAAGAATTTTCTCGTTGTATATTTTATCGTGCCCAGATCTCACATCACATTTTCAAATAGCTTTTCATCTAGCATGAGGAATGAGTAATTTTTCTTCATACTTGCGAATGTTCTTTAAGTTCCGACACAAAGTTGAAGTAGAAACGAACACTAAGCAGTGAATTGTCATCACAAATTTTAATTTCATAAGCAGAAGAATCGAGGATGGAATGATAAGAGCAAGAAGAAAATAAAAATAAAAACCTTTTAAAGTCCATGTTGACGTTAATACGCTCACCAGAACCATTCACATAAATTTCTATATTTCTGTCCATTTCCATAATGTGACATTTATTGGGTTGGCGGCTTGAGTTCTTGTTCGTGTTCTCTCAGTGAAGCTTTACAGTCTTTTTTTCCTATAATTCTTTTTTTTTTATTTGTTTACCACCAGTTAATGACAAAAGCACCGTCACTGTTGAAGTACGAAGTAGGAAAATAAACACGAGACTTGAGTACATAAAATATTTCGAAAAAGGTGTGATATCCGTCTATTTAATTTGTGTTTCATAAGTTAGTTGCACTTTTTTTATTAAATATGTTTTCTTCATCATGTTGATAAAATGTTGACTGAACATAAAGTATTAAACGAAATTATGTTTACACATACTCAAGCCGGCGCCTTTTTAACGTCGATAGCAAGTCAATATACTCGAAGCATATTCCTCATCGTATGCATGTAATATCGGCAACCGACATGATATCGTTTCCATTCCATTTCATCAGACATAACTCGCTTATTTCTATTTTTTTGCCTTATGTTTGAATGTTAGTCGACACTAAAGCATAGTCTAGAGCATCAGAGAGTGTTTATTGAAAATTCAGATTTACATTCTTATTGAAAATCAATCAACTTGTTATAATATTACATCATTCATCGTACATATTGTTTGTGGAGACTTGTTGTTTCTTTTGTTTACAATGGTTGGATATGTTCGTTAATTAAGTCACATACATGTTGAAAATTGAAAATTATTTTCGATATCTTTTTGAATATCAACATAAAGCAAGTGTAAAAGAAAAATTCAATTTCCTTTTCGCAATAAAACTTTAAGTTTATGCAGAAATATAAAAAATAAACATGAAGTTAGTTATCGCACGTCTTGTCCCAAGAAGTTAATTAAGCAGTTTATTTGTTTCATAAATCAGTTCTCATAAAATCAACAACAAATCAGCAAAGCTACAAAATATTTAATAAAACAATTTCTCGGTTTTCATTCCATGTAACTTGATCAACAAACAATTCCCATTTAAAAGCCTATAAATTTGTTGTATTTTTATTTGAATCTAAAAGAGTCTTTGATAGGAAGAGTTCAACAATATTTATTTCAATTTTGTTGCCGGATGATTAAACGTCTAACTCAAATATAGAAAAAAGGGAGAACATTTTTGAGGCTCCAATAATAATAAACTCACTTTGTTTATTGAAACGCAATAATTTAATTACTCGGCATGCTATAAATATAAAATTTCTGTTATAGGTTTTATGCCTATTTTGCCCTTTAGATGAAGCGAGATGGATGTAAGTGGATGGAAGCAACAACGTATACAAATCATCATCATCATCAACATATATCCATACAATGTTGAATGTTCCATTTCGTCATCCCATATAAGTTTGTTCTAGTCTCAAAATAGCTCCACAAATGAATGGAGAATATATTGACATGCATAAACACATCTACATGTTTTATGATGAAACATTATAGTCGACATTACTGCTTAATTAAATATTGATTTTTTATTACGAACGAAAGATGAATATTAATTTATCGTAGAGCTTTTTTTCGAGTTCATAAGCAGCAGAAGCAGCAGCAGCAGCAGCAAATACAGAAAATCAGTGTTTTGTTTGAAAAACCCTAATTTATATATGAACGCGTTGTAGTAGTTAAGTTTAAACTTCACGTCCTCAAATAACGTCACGCTATCAATTTTTGTTTAAACTAAACTTCGCTTCGGTCATTTGTCATGATGAGATCTTTATTATTTTTGACGGTGCGCTCATTAACCATGCTTTGTCGAGTGTTTATGACTCATTCGAAGCAAGCACGACAATCATCATTATAAAATGTGTTTCTTCATCGCTTCTTATCAGTTACGACGTGATTTACGAATAGCTTTGTGCTTGTTTGAGAAGTTTCTGGGGTTTGCTATAATGATAATTTAATTTTACACTTTGTTTATGAGTGCTTTTCAAACCTCATCTCATCTCTCTATCCCTCTTACTGCCTTACTTTTCCATACTTTGTGTTCTTTTTTACTTCTTTTTCCTTTCGATTACGAAACACAAAACGTGCTATCGCGCAACATTAAAAAAATACATAAAATCAAATTAATTTTAATTCACACATATCGAGCGCTCGTGCATGGATATGGATGGAAAAAGAGAGAGAGGGATGGATTGTGAGATAGAAGAAAGCAAACTCAAACTCAAGCATAGAGTGAAAAAGTTAATGGAATGCTGAGATTTACGATGCTGCATCTTTCAAGTGTAAGTTAAGTTCATTCTCTTTGTTTGGATGGTTGGCAGAAAGTTTTGCAGAGTTTTCTCCTTCCAGTTCGTTTCACGAACAAAATTAAATTAGTTACTTAATGAGATGCCTTTGTTTCGTGCTTCTTTCATTTTAACAAGGCATTTCAATATTAAATAGCAAGCTGAATCATTCGAAATAGCAAAGAAATGATTCAAGCATCCATCTAAGTGCTGATGATATCAGAAATACATGTTGAATTCACTTCAAGATTGTGTTCTAAATTAAGCAGATAAATTTGCTGTTTTTATTTTGGTTCCGGAACATTTTTCTTTCTGCACTCTTGTGATCTTCTGAACGATGTTTGATGGAATGAGAAAATAAAAAAAAAGAAAGGAAAAGACGAAAGAAATATCAGCGATGGTCATGAATTTTTCTATGTCATAGATTTGCCAAAAAACAGAAAAAGAAATCTGCCATATGTTGATATTCCATGTAAAAGTGTTTGGTCTTTGCAATATCTTTTTATTTATTTTGTCGATATCAAAAAAATGAAATAAAATAAATGCTTCAGATACGATTCGTGTGTTTGTGTGTATGTGGTCTGGATGTGTGCTAAATTTGAGTACACAACCAGAAGAAAGACATAAAAGTTAGACCACTTTTATTAGCTATCTATATGATGATGATACCTCACTTACACCAACATAACATTCTTTTTTATCTGTTCCACAACAAAACGAGTCGTTTAATGAAAATTTAAGGGAACCTTATGTGTGCATATATTGATACGTAAACCGTCCATTTAATACCCTCAACTAAGCAAGCAAGGAGAAGACGAAAAGTGTTTGTCGGTTGGTGATTTTTCCTTTCGTTTTCAACACAAATCTTTTGAGAGACATTCAATGTCGTTTCTTTAGTTTTGAGATTTAAGGAAAGCAAACAGCATTGCGTAACGAATGGAAGCATTGAAAAGAAATCAAACAGAGCTGTTATTATGAAGTGAAAACGTTCAATATCAAAGTGTGCTGTGATTTATGAAAATACTTTCTTTGCTTTCTCATTCCCGAATGATGAGTTTTATAGTCCCCCAAAGGCCCAAAGGATGTTCTCCACCGTTTTATGTGCGTTGTTACTATTATATTAACGGATGGGAAAGCAAACTTTTCAGACAGATGATGATAGCCTTAAAAAATAATAACACGAAGCGAGTGGAATCTATTTACACACTAATATTGAACCCGAGAATGATCGCAAGAGTTGTAAGACGGGCTTGTAGCACACCCAAAATTTATGTTAATGAGAATTTATAGCTCTCTCTCTGCTTGAAAGTCGAAGATTCATTCAACATATCCGATGCGAGCAAATATTTATTAAAATATCAAGTTGTTCTTTCCGAAAAAAGACGTCGTCGTGCTCATCGTCGAGTAAATCAGAAGAAAAGATTTTTTATTTAATTTTATTCATTCATTTTCCAACTCATTTGGGAATTATTTGTAACCGGAGATATTGAATTAAACACACAACAACAAAAAAAGAAGAAATCTCAATGCTCATATGGAAATAAAATAGAAATAGCGACGAGGTTGAGAGGAAAACTTATCCGGAAAAGAATATTTTATTCAAATCATCGCTGGAGATTTATTGAGATGTTGCGGTAGGGATTTAACCATCATATTTATGTATGTTTATCAATTTACGGGAATCCCACATCTCTCGAGCTCGACCAGTTCTTCAAATTGCTTCGTCGTTCTCCGTTTCTGTTCTTTTATAATGGAAATAAATCACTAAACGTTCATTGAGAGATTTATCACGACGATACTTAATCGCATGATATTGAAGACGGTTTGTTGCTGTTTTGTTATTGGCATTTTGTTGCGCGCTATTCTCTCTTGTTAAATTTATATCGTCGAAACATAAAATTAATTAAATATTGTTCCCGGATTTATTAGAGTTTTATCGCTTCGTCTGCTGACTTTATTGCTTCGATGCTTAGCGCACACTTGCATTGAACATCTCACTCGTTCTTATATAAGTCTTTAATTCAACTAATTCCTACTTCCAAAAAGAAAAAAAAGTTTATGTGAATCTGGAATAAATATCTGACTCGGAAGAAGATTAAATTGGGGAGAATTTCATTTTATATCGCCTCTCAAGTTGATCCCCAATGAAAGAAACCAAAAGGAACTTAAATGACATTCTTAAGAAGCAAAAGAAATTTTCCTATCACTTCGTTCGTTATATGCACAAAAATTTCTAAATACTTTCAGTGTGTAAAGTGACACATGGCTTAAAAGAATTTTTCATATTATCCATACGTCGTCCAAACGATAAAAACTAGCATTAAAGAATTTACTGGTGGGGCGAATGAGTTGAAGTGTAATAAAAATATTTTCGTGTTAAACGTGCTAGTCAAATGACAAATAACATTGAAAATGAAAAAAAAAGGCAAACGGACAAGCACTCGACGACATTTTTAATGTTGGACTTCGAGACAACTTGAGAACATTCACGGTCAATCAAAAGGTGTAATAACAATTTTTGGCTCGCCATATGGACAAGATGTGAAGTGAAAGATAAAAGTTATTTTTATTTCCCCAGGAATGAAAAAAATGGAAATAAAAATCCTTTTATACTTATGACAAAGTAAAGCAAATAAAAAAAATTGAAATGCGAAATGCAAACATTGAAGCGTCGAGAGAAGTCTGAACGTACATTCAACAGGGGTTAGTTCCCAATTGTATGTACGTACATATAATGGGAACATCTGTTAATTAAAACTAAAATGTTTTCCAAGCTCTCATAACGCTGAACGAATCAAATTGTCTTCATACAATTCACTTTAATTATGTTTGACACTTTTTTTAAACGGCACAAAAGCAGATCCTTAGCAGCATAAATTTCCGTATTTTCCCCTTTTTATGACGAGCGCATTAAATGTTAAATTTATTTATGTTGCTTTGCATTTGCTTTAAAAAAAGCTGAAAACAAAAATAAATAGCTGAGAGTTGTGGCATCCTTCACAGCGGAGTCTTCGCTGAACGAAAACAAACAGCGCTTGTTATGTGCTCGCTTTGGAGAACGTGAAAGACGAAAAACAAAAAAAAAATCGAAATAAAATATGTGCCGTGAATGTAAAACGCTTCTCAAACAAGGAACAGGTTGATAGCGTTGGATGCAAATGAGATACGTATGGAAAACAATCTTAAAGACTTTGAAAGACATCAAAGCGAAGAATTTCTCTCTTTTTTAGTGGATGTGGAAAAACTTTTCCTTTGCTTGCGTTTCGTTTCCTCGTTTGTCGTTTTCTGATGTTCGTTTTTGGCATAGCAAATAGAATTGAATAAAACAATTTTGATGAAACACTCGTCGTTCAAATAAGAAAATTTTCTTCTTTTTTCTTGTTGAATTATATTTATGTATTGCGTTGTTGAGTTACATCATAATCAGCATCTAATTGAAAGGCTTTGGTACTATATTTAGACACTAATTCCAGTTTTATTGTGCAAAGTGTAGCGACAGTTGTTGAATGTTGTCGCGAGGGGAGAGAAAAGCGATACGACAAGACTAATAGAACGGAACGACTTAACATACGCACATGAGTTATGCTCATCTCGTGATCAAGATGTGAAGTCGACTTAATGGTGGGATGACAATAAATAACAACCAAGAGCGAAGAACTAAGAGAAACAACACAAACAACCGACAATAAAATGTTTTAAAACAATTTTTCAAGAGCCAAAAAAATGTCTTTATGAGTGTTTCGTTGTTTTATTTTCTTGTTGATGTTGTGATAATAAATAAAATTGCTGTAACTTTTTTTTATTCTATTTGGGGTTGACGAGACATTGAATCAACTGATGATGAAGGAAATGAAACAAGCGAAACGCCAACCAACCAAGTCACGATGACAATGACTCGACTGAAAATTAATAAGTTCAACGTCGCTCTGAATGAGAGTTGAAGAGGACAAACGAATAATGGAAGGAATGAAATTAATTAAAAGACATGAAAGAATAAGAAGAAAAAAGCGTAAAGTCATGAAATTCAGCGAATGTGCGACTAAATAATCAAGACGAGGAAAATGACCGAAAAACAAAGTTTTTGATATTCACAAATTACTGAATAACGTTACCAAACATTTATTGCATCATTCCTTTTATTACAGTTGTGGCTTTTAATAAGAATAATGTGCGTGATATACACATTCCGTTTCTTTCCACCTCTGCACGCCTTTTGTGCCACCGCCATCCGCAAAACAAGCAACAAAACTTTTTTCTGCCTAATTTGCATGAATTATTGAAGGCATTTTTTTATTACGATGGTTTCTACTTTACTTTCTGCTTTCTTCCAGTGTGTAAAGGAAGGAAAGAAAGCTCGTGCACAGCATTTCTTTCTTTGTTATGCGAGCCTTTCGTCTGATGGTTTCATGTAATTTGAAATATAGTCCTTTGCTGCTGCTGCCACCAACATCACAACCACCACCACTGCCTTCGCTATATTCCCAGATATATAAATTCATTTTCATATTTTTTTATTATTCCTCTTCTTCTCTCAACCGTTCAAAGCACGGCCTAATGCCGACTCTTCCTCTGACGTTTTATTTGGTAATTTACAATCTCTCTCTTGCGACTAGGCATGAACGGGAAGTAAATTCATAAAATAAAAAAAAATTCTACGCTTTTTCTGCATAAAAAAAGAAGAAGGAAAAAAAAGCTTTGCCTACGAAATTATACGAATAGTTTTATGATATTTCTTTAAAATTCATATTGCTTACTGAATACATTAAACGATCGTATAAATAAGAATAAAGTTATTCGTTGCCTGTGCCTAATTTTATTGATAGAAAGTTTAATAAACCGTGAAAAATAAATTGGGTAGAATGTTTCTCATGGGAAAGTAAAAGGAAATCTGTCTCTTGATAAACCTATATAGCTTGTCCCTCCCCCAGCTCACAACTCCCAAGACTCCCAAGAGAAACCCATTCAACCAACCCTCAAGCTGCAGTGTGTGAGTCTCACAACTTTAACCATTTCGTAATTAGAAAGTTTATTCTCAAACAAAAAGCATAAATTAAATGGTTTTGCGAGCATTTAAGGTAATTATATCGAGAGGGAGTCATTTACTTTAGCCTCTACTGAAAAACACATTTTCGCTTCCACAATGAAATGACAGCAAGATGCGACTTGAAAAAGTTTTAGTTAATTTAATGTTGTTTAATTTGAGAGGAAATAAAGCGAATCAGCAAGATTTGAGACACATCATGAGAAAGGAAGGAAAAAAAAGAAGATTTTGGCGACTGCAAAGATTGCCGTTAATTTAATTCGACTCATTCGAGACTTTGCTCTTTCTCCCTTATTTAATGTTTTATTTTTTTGCTTATGTCTTCTATCCCCCTACTTACTCAACACAACAAGTCTCAGAATCAAGAAGAACCAAATTGAAAGAAAGAACGAGAGAAGTGCTCAAATTAACTTAATGTGGTGCTGATAATGGAGTCGAGAATAATACAATTATGAATTCCATGATGCGATTACAGCATTCAAACATGTGGATTATTTTAACTTTTGAGATTTTTCGTCTTGTTACGGTATTCGTTGCTTCTCCGTGACTTTCTCAAATTAATATTCGCGGAAAATGTTTCTGCAACCACTCGTTGAGAATGTCTGGAATAATTCAACTGTATCTGGTTCAGGCTTTCGTTATACATTTCATTTTTTTGTGACGGCTATTGTTGTCTGTTTGGAATAGTTTATAGCGAAGAGTTTTGTTGAATATGGAAATATTATTTCTGTTCCGCTACATGAAGCACACCGACAACGAGAGACTGGGCCAAACAGAAAAAAATTGAATTTAACGGTTGTTTAATGTGCTTTTTCTCGTTTTTCGAGGAAATTATCGAGATGAACTTTATTCCCTCGAAAATTCCAAACCATTGGCAGACGAAAACTCCAATTATAAACATTTTCATCAGCGAAATAAGAAAAGCACGAAACATATCGCAACAGTTCAACTTGATTCATTTTATTTTTTATCCTCTAAAGAACTCGCAAGCACTTTTTTCTATGTAATTCCAATTCGAAATAAAGACATCGAAAAAGAAAGAAAGAAAAGTTCTTTTCAAAGAAATTACGCCACTGGGTAGGATGAATGCATTAAAAGCATATAATTTAAGCCATTGCCAAACCAAGCGACGACCAAAAGAAGAGAAAAAAAAGCTGAGAAAGTTTTATGTAGTTTTTCGTTTTTTTTCCTCCTTATTTTATGCTTTCCATCCTCATCGTCGCTCGCTCTAAGAAAGATTAGAAAAGTTTTCATTGTATAACACACCAGCAGTGTTACATATCTAGAGATGAAATAAAATTATTTCACCAAGACGACGATGGTTGGCCAGTGAATGTTACATTCCTGAATTCAAAGCACTTTCGTTTCATTCCTTTCAAGTGTTCGTATGTATTCAGCCTTAAATGAAAGGACTTTTTCGGATGCTTGTTCGCCCTCCTCCTTCATGGCTACAATTTCACTTCATGGCTTTGTATGAACATAACCGTACAGCAAAATTTCTTTATATCATCACCAGATTGTATTAAATGTTCTTTTCGTAAACCGTCGCTCAATCCCTCCCCTTGCTACCGAACCGATTCCAACAAGAAAGAAACTATCAAGTGCAATGAAGCTATTTTCAAAAGTACCATAAATCAGAATGGCTTTCTTGGTTTTTCTTTTTACTTTTTTTTTGTGAGTGCGAGAAGACGAGAAGAACATAAGGCAAGCAGCAGCCCAGTTGTCAAACAAATACTTGTCATCAGTTTGTCGAAGCATTTCTTAGAATAATTGGAAATGTGCTAGGCGAGAAGTGACAACTAATGAGACTTGATCAAAGCTTAATTTTAATATTTCCCGTCTCACCAAACGTCACGATTTTTTTTTTTGAAAATTCTTTGAAACTTTTTTTGCTATCATGACATGAGCTGAAAGAAAACAACTGTTCAACTCACGACAAAAACATTCCCTCTCACATTAAGACTTTAGAATTAATTAACAGACAGCAACAGAATTGAAATAACTTCGTTTCATTTGTTTTAAACTTTGATGACTTTTTACGGCATGAAAATGTTCAAAGCATTTGAATGAGAAGAGATGAAAAATCGTGCTGAAAGGTCGACATCATAAAGATAAAGATACGAAATTGAGATTATAAAGAATAAAAAAAAAATTCGTCGAGTGAGTGAAGGCGATTGTTCAAAAACCCGGAAATATTTATTATTAAGAATATCTCTCAGCTACAATTTTTATTAATCCCTCTGAGATCTGAGATGTGAGAAGAAATTGAAATACAAAAGAATTCTATTCTCATGTTTCTTTTACGACCAAGACCGGTCTCTTCAAGATTCATTTGTTTTCGGGCCTTTCGTCCGCGAGTTTTTTCTTCCTCCTCTTCATATTCTTCTCTGATTTCCATGAGCCAATTAGAAATGCATAAAAAATGAGGCAAAGTCGTAAAAGATGAAATTAATGTTCGATGTAGTGTAATTAAAAGTTAAACATTTATAGCGCTTAGAACGACATTCTCCGTCCGTTCACGAGATTGCGTCCATCACAAGACATTCTTTCCTTATCGTGTTTCCGTAGAGTTATTAATGACTAATTATTTCAACCGAAAACAAATTTTTATGACATCTTGTCGATGTTTCCAATCGTAAGAGTTTAGAAACATTTTGACAGCTCTTCTGACTGTCGTCGTTTATTTCGATAATAACAACGAAAGAACAAAGTTTGTTGATAGATTTTTAGTTACAAACTAACAAGCTTCTTCGACCTCTCATGATCTGAAAGAACTGAAACTAAATACGATCATCAATATATTTAAGTTTTAAAATGAAATATCTAAGAATTCAAAAGAAGACGAGATAAAAATAAAATCAACTGATGCTTCCTTGTAAACTGCTACAAGCTTTTCAATTCGATAACGTTAATATTTGTTGAACATCTCAAAATACCTTAGAGCCAAATAATAATGTACGTATCGGATTTATTCCGCTCGAATTGCTAATGTAGAAGCATACAGACTAACACGAATCGAGTTTGACGTTGGTTGTGCTGGAAATATTTGAGTCGCTACGGAGAGAAGCAAAATAAGAAAATAAGAATGGAAAGCCCAAAAATAAACTTTAAATCCCATCTATCTTTTAAAAAGAATCTGCTCGACTTTTAGCATAACGAAGCATAGCAACATAATTTGTAGTCGAAGAGAAATGGGAAAGAAATTGAAATGATTTCTTTCAAAAAATAATAACTGTGGATTGAACCAGCTACAGTTGTTTGTGCAAACATAAAACTAATCAATATTCAAGCAGTCTTTTTTTATTGATGTTTGTAGAATATTGGGGATTGTCAGGGTTGTTTATTACCCTCTAGTTTGTTGTTTTTTTTGGGGTTGATTTTAAGTAGTCAATTTAATTGATGATTGATTGAGAAGTTTGATTAGCTTTCGAAAACTTCCATGAAATGAAATAAATTTAAGAACTCTTGACAATGATAAACCAGACAATATCGAAGACATTTAACATTCCTGACGGACAATCTCATATCGATAACATATTGGACATGGTTAAAATCGAGAAACATGCAGTCAATCTCGACGATTCCTTCTCGAATATCAAAAAGAGATATAAAACTAATAAATTCTTTGGTTGGCTTCATTTTTTTGCTATTGCGAATCACAAGAGAAAGATCATCATCATCAGAGTAGGGAGTGCACTAACCAGTGCACTAAAGCGATTAAGAATATAGGAGTATGAACCCCTTCTTGTTTCGCTCCCTATATCCCGTCATTTGATGATTGATGTTAGATAAGGAAAGTTTCAGAAACTTCCTTAAATTTTGCGTAAAAAGTGAAATGTGCTTGTAAATTTAGCTCAAAGCGACCAATTTGACCGCTGATACAGGAAGATGGGGGTGATTTAGGATTTATTCTACAAACCTTCAGAGATGAGTTTCTCTGAAGATGAGAACCCTCACCAGCCATCTCCCTGATCTCACTGTCCGCCGAAGAGGTCGAAGAAGGTGGACCGGACACTCGTTCTCCTCATAACAAGGAGAGGATCCTCCAGTTCCACCCCCGCGAGCTCCTCAACATTAATGACAGTGTGGTCAAAAATCCTGATGATTGACTTTAAAACGTGAAGGACGAAATAAGAGCAACAAACATGATTTGTCCGTTCGAAATCTTCAACACGAAAATCAGGAAGAGGGGGGAATTTTGGGAATTTATTCTACAAACCTTCAGAGAAAAAAGTTTCTCTGAAGATGAGAACCCTCACCAGCCATCTCCCTGATCTCACTGTCCGCCGAAGAGGTCGAAGAAGGTGGACCGGACACTCGTTCTCCTCATAACAAGGAGAGGATCCTCCAGTTCCACCCCCGCGAGCTCCTCAACATTAATGACAGTGTGGTCAAAAATCCTGATGATTGACTTTAAAACGTGAAGGACGAAATAAGAGCAACAAACATGATTTGTCCGTTCGAAATCTTCAACACGAAAATCAGGAAGAGGGGGGAATTTTGGGAATTTATTCTACAAACCTTCAGAGAAAAAAGTTTCTCTGAAGATGAGAACCCTCACCAGCCATCTCCCTGATCTCACTGTCAGCTGAAGAAGTCGAAGAAGGTGGACCGGACACCCGTTCTCCTCATGAAGAGGAGAAGATCCTNTTAGCTTTCGAAAACTTCCATGAAATGAAATAAATTTAAGAACTCTTGACAATGATAAACCAGACAATATCGAAGACATTTAACATTCCTGACGGACAATCTCATATCGATAACATATTGGACATGGTTAAAATCGAGAAACATGCAGTCAATCTCGACGATTCCTTCTCGAATATCAAAAAGAGATATAAAACTAATAAATTCTTTGGTTGGCTTCATTTTTTTGCTATTGCAAATCACAAGAGAAAGATGTTTATTAATATTCTTTTCAGTTGCATACCATACAAAAATGAAGCTTATTTGAAATGATTATTAAAAGATGCTGGTTGAATGGAGCGGAGGAAGAAAAAAAGAGTATCAAGTCAGACACGAGAGTCTATTATATGTTTGCTATTTATTTTTGTGCTTCGAGACCGGAACATAAACATACGTATTGGATTTTCATCTTTCCACCCATAACCTCCCCAAACAAAACAGTGGAACAATCATTTGCTTCTTCATCATCCATCCATGTTGCTCGAGAATAGCAAAAAAAAAAGAAAATTCAACTCTTCGGGTTCAAGATTGTTCATTTCCTTTTCAGATATCTACTCGAAATCATAAAAATGAGATGATTGAAAAATGGAAAACTTTATGCTTCATTTTTTCATTCTTTTTTTTCCTACTTTCTTGTTTGTCAGTGATCGATTTTTTTTTTTTTGGTGAAGCGCTTTCATTCATTCGTTTCTTTTTTCCTTCAATTCCTCAATAGACATCTTGAGAGGTACGATGTGTATATGTAGGAGGGCGAAAGTGACATAATTGAGGTATTATTGGATTGTGATGCCTCTTTTTCTTTATTCTATTATGTGACGTTTGTCCTCGAAATGTTCAACTTCTTTAAAAAGCGACATTCACTTGACTTAAGAAAACAGAAAGGAAGAAAAAGGAAAATTTGAAACAGGGAAAAATGGTTCATTGACAATTATCGATTTGTTTTTTGCCCTAAATTTTCTTCTTCCATTCCAACTTGTTTTCAATTGTTGAAAGCTTCATTCGCCTATAAAACTTCGCGAACGAGCGACTTTCTCGTTTAACAAACAGCACATTAACGATGATTGCGTGAGGTGAAAATTTGTTTTACTCGATCGATTGAAAGAAATTTTATTTTTCTTCATTTTCAATCAATTTTGAAGAAATCCTTGGCGACATAATTCACGGTGTTTCCATTATCGATATGCTTTGCTTTTGTTACGAAAGTGTTGTATGCTTGCGATATGCACCAATAAATATAAAACACATAAATAATCAATTCTATTGCCGATTTCTACCACTGCCGCTATTTACACACATGGCATTGTGAAGCATATCCTGACAATTCTCATATATAACAAATATATATGCTTAATTTATACCACCGATATGCTTTAGCAGGCAGGCTTGAATGAATATTTGTGAGTTGTTTTCAGAAAATTAATTTTTCCGTTCGATTCGCGTCCATTCGTCGTTCGTTTCGCGACTATCTGGAAATTCAAGTACTTGTTCAATTGATAAATCGCTTTTTATTGTCATTTTTGGTTTGCATTTGCATATTTTCCATATCGAGATTGCTCGATGGCTTCTGGGAAAAGGAAAATGTAGACATTTTCTGTGTCTATCGATATGCAGAGTAAATTTTATTTTCATTTCCAATTGTTTACTTTTTATGAATTAATGAGCATAGTCATAGTCATCCATCACTTTTGTTATGCGTAGGGAGGTAAAATGAATGGGGGAAGATAAAATTGATTGGAAAATTTAATTACGATTGCCATCAGACCGCCATTCCAATTTTATTAAAAAGATGAAGAGAGACAAAGAAACTCGACTAAGAAGACTCCAATCCATATCAATTGATGACAATGATTGACTCGACAGTTGAGTCTCGCTTTTCACATGAATTCGAAAAAAAATTCAAATTTCAATTTAGAAATTGAATCTAATCTACGGGAATGATTTAATCAAAGCACAAGAGGAGTGACAGTGGCGGAGGCGAAACTGTTAACAATTCCAAGATACAAAAAAAAATGAATGAAAGGAAGAAACATAAAAATTAATGTCATAGCATCACAATCAGACGAAAACATCTTTGAGACAAAAGCGGAAACATTATCGTTTCACAATTATTGTTTAATTTTATTAAAATCATGAATGGAAATGAGGGGAAGGTTGAGCTTCGGATAATGTTGATATTTGAATGATAAAGCAATAGCAAGAAGAATAGAAGAAAGCCTTAAAATGTTTTTAGGGAGGAGACACAATGAAGAAGCTTAAAAGAATAAAAAGATTAATAACATGAATGAAACACTTGTATCAGCGCGCTCATGTGTAAATATCTTATTCTTGAAAATGAATTCGTTTGGTTGAATTGTTACTGCTGCTCTCTTCTACTTCACTTTATAGTTAAACATTTTTCATCATATGTCGCTTTTGTGTTGATGTTTCTAACAACGTAAGAGAAGGAGAGAGAAGTGAAGAATGACAGAAAATAAATTACTTACAATAATTTAATGTACACATAAGACACGAGATGAGATGGAACTTCAGTGATGGAACATCATTCCGGAAAGAAAAATTATAATAAAATGAAATCACATGTGGAACAAGCTGTGTGAGAGCAAAGAAACATAATTAACTAAAACAATCACTGTTCGTTTTCCTTCGGGGTGCAGCGAGAAATTGAGAAGAAGAAAAATGCATTCAACATCTGATCAGTAAGCGGAAACTATTAATAAAGCTAATGCAAGTGCCACTTCTGTTGTCATCATGTTTTCATTTTTTGATGTGGGGATGATGCGTTTCACTACATGATAAATTTAACAACAAAATGAGATTTTGTTTCCATCATTAGATGATTTGTTAATCATTTTTTATTTTACATGAACTGCAAAAGCCTCGGCTTTCATTCATGCCATGAACAACATTCATCCGTGTCAGATCTCTAACATAATGTGTGCAACAGAAAAAAAAAAACAAATAAACGAAACGAACACCATGAAAATGAAATTAATGGCTTGCTGTGAAATCAGAATTCATGATTATGATGTGGAATAACAGTCATACGAGTAACCGAAAATTGGAGGTCATTGCAGTGGTCACACAATTGACATTTTGATATATTCTCGTCTTTCATCATGAACCATATATTTTTATTTTATTTAATTCTCTCTTCACATCTCGTTTCGCTGTTCTCTGACTACTTACAAACAAACATTCATCTCGGATTTAATTTTTCTCTTTTATAAATGATCAATTTAAATGAAGAATAATGTGCATATCATTAGCTTTAATATTTGAATGTTTCTGACTTAAAGTCAAAAAAGTCTCGCTTAAGCTCATAACTTGTAACATGAAACGCTTGTTTACGGTCTTTAATAACTGAATCACTAATAAAAATCACTTAGCGACGATGCTTTAATTCAATTTATTTCGTTCTTCTTTCATTTCTTCTTTCATACAACGAACGATAAGGCGAGAAGAAAGATCGCGCACATTTATTGGTGTCGTTGATTGCATTGCTAAATATTCAAGTAAAAAAGAGTTTTAATTTGATAATGTTTTTTTGCTAAAACATTGAGTGAAATTGATATGTTTTCTCCTATGCAATCAACTTGAAATTGTTAGAATTATTTTCTTCAATCTTTCTTCTTTATTTTTCAATTTATTTAAAAGGTTTTTCATTTCAATCGGTGAGAATTATATATTGCCGAGTGTCTATCTGTCTGTCGACATCATCATTGAGGTTTTTTAATTCATAAAAGTTATCTTCTCTCATCTAGGTACATGGCAATCGAACTGAAAACTCAAACCTTTTGATGGTGGTTTCATGATGTCAATTCAGCAAAATCCCATCAAAAAGGTTGTTTGCTTTCCACGTAACCACCCTGAAAACTGATGACAGCAAATATAATTACATACATTTTTTATTGTTGTTTAGTCCATTCTCACTTACTTTCACCCCAACGCGTTGTAACGTTGCTTCGTTGTGACGTGCGATCCAATATCATCATTCGACCATGATGATCCCCAAAACGAGCGAAAGTAACTTGATGGGTTATTAGACAGGGAAGAGAGCTTCAGTAGACGAGAAAAAAAGGAACACAAATGGATTATATCCTTTTACCTAACGCCAGTCAACAATGGACTGTAAGAAGAAGAGACGAGAGAGGAAAAAAAATCTCACCCGTCAATAGCATAACAATTAGTTTTTCTCCGCATTGTTTGCCAAACCATTCTTCGCACCGACGCCGTTCAATGAAAATTCAGTTGTTTACCTTTTTATATTTAATGTATTATTTGTACATTAAATGACGCATAATAATCTATGATCAGAGTGTATGTGTTCGCAATGCCCACACCCCCATAAAAGTGGTAAACTCACGCTACATAAATCTATAATGACATGCACGTGAAGGCATAAACAGAGTTATTTTCATCGCAGTTTTATCTTTTGAAATAAAAAAAAGGAAAAAAGAGAAGAAGAGGCAACAACATTATCATTCTATGCTTGGGTGGAAGACAAATTCATTTTAATTACTCCCCCGCCTGTTATGGCATTGAAACAGGGAAAGGAAGAGATTGAAGAAATGTGCCTGCCGACAGGAGTAATCTTTATGTGGAAGAACGTTAACACCCTCAGCATGTATGCTATAATGGTGGAAGCGATGAAAAAAAAAGAAGACTAGAAATCCCGTTGTATAAAAAATTAAAGTTAATTAAAAAAATTTTTTTCTCCCGTTGGAATCTTTCGCCTCGTCGTCTTTTCACCCCTTCCAATAATGTTTGCTAAAAAATCGAGAAGAGAAATCTGAGCGCGGAATGTATGTGGGTGGGCGAGATTATTTTGTTTGTTTGCTATGACAGGGGTTGATATTCATAAAAAAGTTTACTTTGGGAATCTTTGACGATCTAAATCTCATGTTACCAAACTCTGAACTGTTCTATTCACTGCGTGATAATTTTTTTCGACGGGGTTTTCTTTCCATTTTCCTTCTTAAGTAAAGGAAAATCTAAACGCAAACGTGTGATTATCATAAGCATAAGCGGTGGAACATCCAAAACAACATCACCCCATAAAATCGTTTTTTAGTATCACATTTCGCGATTCATGTGCTGTTGTTACACACAACAAATATATTAAATTTACTGTGAAAAGCGGTATTACGGTTAATGTGTACAACAAATATCGATATGAAGCTCTCTTCTCATTCTTTCACCTCAACACTCTTGAACATATTTTCAAATAATTCTTTCAGTATGCCGAAATAAAAATTTACATTATTCGCTTATCTGTTGTTATGTGCGAAAGCGCACAGTAAAACATCAGAACATCAAGAGTTAGAAATCATTGTGAAAACAGCTCCAAACCATTGGATGGCTGGTGAAAATTGCGAGCTGTTAGAAGTAATATTTTTCTACACGTTTGCGTTTACATACTTTACACCAAATGCTTTATTAAATGTTAAACATGCGTTCTGGTGTTTTCCTTCCGTTTTTTTCCATTTCTTTCCTTCCAGCTTCTCGCCATTCTATTTTTATTCATCTTTCTCTACGAAATTCTTTCATCGGAACGCAAATAAACTTCTTTTTACGATGCTTTTCTTCTTTCCTTATTGTTCTCCAAGATAATCAAATCTAGAATCATATGATAATAAACACCCCTGGTGATTGTCGAAAGGGAAAGAAAAAAAATATTTAAAGGGGAATATTTAGGTAGAATGAAGACAAGATTTGAATATCTTTTTCGTGCGACCATTAAATTCCATAGCTGATGCTTCATGTCGTTTTTCATCATTTGGAAAATGTTGTCATAAATTTTCTTCCTTTTTTTCTTTATGTCGATGTTGCTGGTTCGACAAAGATAAGAATCTTTTATTGAAAAGAAAAAGAAAAGAAGTTTAACACTTCATAGTGCAGTATTGGAAGTTTTCTTGTTCTTCTTTGATAATAACTTTTTATAGCTCATCAGGTTTCTCTGATGCAACTCGCTGTGCACTCATAGTTGGATGCATTTTGATGTCAACATCTCCACCCCCGCATCGAAGAAAACAACACGAACAAACAATTTTTCATATAAAATTTTCCCTTTTCTCAGTTTTATGTGCTTTAAAATCGATGAGCAATGTTTCAAAAAGCACCAGCAATAAGCAGCGGTAAAGGGAAAAAATGGTATTTAGTTACTGTGTCGGTTGAAGCTTCATGTCATTTTGTTCTCATGAACATATAAATATTTTATTGTGTAGTAATAAAATGTGCGGTATGTTGAAGATATAAAATGACATCCCAACCATTTCATGATATATATTTGTGTCAATTTATTCAATAAAAAACGTGAACAACTAAACATCAAGAGAAGTATTTTTGTATTTTTAAACAACATTAAGATATGTACATGTGCATTTATAACGTGACATTATGATATACGAGTATTGATGGGGGATGGTATAAAACGATACTTTAACACGCTACACTCATAAAAGTTCGGGAACATATTGGGGATCTTTGTCTTGACATTCCCTAAATTGTATCATAAAGCTTGCATTCATTAGTCGACAATATATCGTTGCAAACTAGCATTTCACTTCCATACTTTTTAAATTGGATTGCATTTTTAATCATCCAATCAACATGGACGAGTAAATGGTTCATTAATTTCCCGAAACGACACAACTCACACTCCAAACTACAACAAAGTTGAATTATACTCTTAAATTTTACTTTCCGTGGCTTCAACTACCTTGAAATGGGAAAGAGATTGGTGGTGTTTAAAAACGTGCAAAGAAAGTGAAATAAGGAAGAAAAAATTGTTTCACCATTCATTATGAATTTTTTATTTTACGACTTTTAATATATCGTGTGCGCAAGAAAAAATGGAGGAAAATCGATGAGAATTTTATTTAAAACATGAAGTATTCAAATCGTGAATCATCAACCACATCTCACATCTTTCTCCCTTGACACTCACAGCCAACAGCCCAACCAAACCCATTAAATGTTTGGACATTCATCGGGTGCTTGGGCATTGAAAAACATGAAAACACGCCACGTGAAACGGGAAAATATTTTTATTTTCTGTGGAAAATCCTATTATTAAATTGGGGTTACTTTTATGGCTTTTTCACAATTTTATTCTTGATTCCTCCGAAATGAAATAAATTTTTATTTATGTGTACATTGAAATATAATAATAAATGAAATTGAAGACCGCATGTTAAAATTGAAATCGAATTATGTTGTTTATGCAACATTAGAGGGAAGTTTCATTGATAGCATAGAAGACGACGGAAATTATAAATTTCATTCCATGCCAACCAACGTTCGTTCGTTTGATAAATATAACAAAAGCGTAAATTAAGCAACATATTCTTTCGTTTGTTTACATTTTTGCTGACATTTTTCGTTCCTCCTTCTTAATATTTTTCCACTTCTTATTGTTTTTGCGCAAGTGGCTGTGCATGTTGACAGAGAATGAAGCTGAGGGTGAAATTAACTCTGTTTTCTCATGCTACTGTGTCTCATGTGGCATTAATTATTGCTTTCCCAACCTACGCACTTATGCACATCATAAATGGCATCATCTCGCTTCTCCATTGTGTAATCACTAAATTCTTTTTGGTTAGAAAATTGGTTCCTTTCATGTTTAAATGATATTTTGTATGTCGTGACACAAACTTAGAAGCAACAATAGGTTGTAGGTGGAGAGGTGAAGGGTTGCATCATGCAACGATGTTTGTATGTACATAATATTGTGAATTCTAAAACCGCTACATTATGTTCACTTTATTGTTTGAGGGAAATTGTGGTTTTGTTTGTGATTCCTTTTTTTAAATTATTACTTGCTTTACATCGTTTAAGTTGCAACCTTAACAACAAGTTTTATTATAAATTTTTTTATTTCGCTCTTTTCATGAATAATGGGCAACTATTGTCGTTTGCCTCAAACCACAATTCTCTTCACCACATTCTGATGTCAGAAACCTCTTAACGATGAAAGTTCATAAAAAAGAACTTCCAACTCAAGTGATGAACATCGAAGAGTTGAATTGAAGGAGAGAAATAATAAGTTTCTTGAGTTATTTTATTTTTGATTGGATGTTGATGGCTTTGAACAATGCGGTCGGTACTTATCAAAGTCGAAGAGTTTTAAAATCAAAGAAAATATCAATCAATTGAAGACGATTGAAATCATCAGCGATTGTTTTTCAATTGCGCGATTTTAAAGGTGATGAGTTTGATAGAATAGAAAAATGAATCATTAGGACAGCAAGCGAGTCATGATATTTCTCAGATTCAAGAAATCGATGAGAGTTGACTGGGAAACAAGAAATCTTTTCATTATATTCTTCTCCTTTCAATTGAGGAATCAATAATAGAACAAAGCCTTGCTAAGAATAAAAGCATACTATGATATCCTTTTATTAACTAAATATTTCCATTCAAATGTCATTTAGGTTTTCATCTCAATTTATCGATTCCCATCGTTTGTTATTCTTTCGCAACTTAATAAAAGATGGAAAGGGAGAAAAAAAGTTAAGATGGCAGTTTGTTTGTTGTCATGCTGCGACAGACTTTTATGCATTGCACATGTTGATGTGGGTAGCAATAAAAATGTGATATGCTCGGTGTGATACGTTGCATTTACATGACTATAGAATTTTCCATCATTTCGATCGATAGGGGAAAAAGTAGAAAAGAAATATTCGAACATGAAATCAAAGATTTTCACATTGTTCAAAGTCATTGAACAACACAAGAGTTGACAGTGTTCGGTGTAATGTTTTTGGAGATTTTGTGATTTCAGAAATCTATTATTCAGAATAATTTTAGATAACTCTAATTGCCACAATGCCAAACACCTAAACCATTCTCTCTTATCTCTCATTTCTCGTCTTCTTTTGAGTAAATATGTGTTGCTAATCTTCATCTCCGGCAGCATCCAATGTTAAAAGGGAAGAAGCAAGAATCTCATAATGTTGAATTTTATAATTTTTGAAACGCTGCCAAAAATATGTGAATGTATCTTAGTAAACTCTATGCACCAGCATGAATTTCTTGTGAACAATTTCAAGGATTTTTCCCGCTATCTCTCATACCGATACCGTAAACTCAATTTTAGTTTTGTATGTCTTCGAGATTCGAAGAAAAGTGGAAGAGTTGGGTGGTGAAGCGGGCAAAAATTATTCTTATTTTCACTAGACTATACAAATCTGTTGGATTTCTCAAGTACTGAGAACATTGCTTTCTGCTTTCTGCTTTCTGCTCTATGTATAATTATACATGTGTACAGAAGGATCAGAGAGACGATGCAAAGAAAATCTTCCTCGAAAAACGACAAAGGGATTCTGTTTGGGGTTTAGTCGAATGACGACAAACGAGAAGCATAATAAGATTCTTCTTACAGTAAAGATTTAACTGTTTAAAGGATTTCAGCTTTTATTGGGTTGTGGAAAGAATTCTTGAGCAGAGTTGCGCTCTCATACTTTCAACGTCATGTCGTATGTAATAAAATTGGAGCTTTAAAGCTCCCTAATATTATTTTTTATGGTTCTGCTTTTTTTACATACTTCTTCAGCTTTAGATATTTTATTCAATGACAAAACTTGAAGAGTAAAAATGTTGTCGCCATTTTCTGTTTGTGACCAAAATATTCCATTTATATGACTTCGAAGAGGTCGCTCGTACGTTAACATTAGAGTGCTGAGTAATTTCGACACTGCTATATGCGCAAACCGCAAGCGAAGCGACTATGAAGAATTTTCTGTTTCACAAAACTTTCACCGAGATATGCTGGCTATGGTGGTGACTGTGCACGTACATGTACATACTGCAATGAGAAAGCAAGGAAAGAACAGGAAAGAATCTCATGATAACGGGCGTTGCATGTTCCTTTAAATCCACACCATACGTACATTATCATTCATGGAACCATAAATTCGCTTCCAGCCACGATGATACATAAAATGTCCATTTCCCCAACTGATGCACATCTCGTTGTCGAGTACCGACAAACTATATCATTAAAATTTTCATGTTTTGTTGCTCTTACAACGTCAAACATTCTTCAGGTCTCGTGCCTCACTTTTCTCTGTTCCGCTTCAGTTTTTAAAATACAAAAAATCATAAAAAATAAAAGTTTTCAATTTACATGAAAAGCAAATCGCTTCCAGATACATGTTCTGCACTTAAAGAATCAAGGCATCGTATTTAGATGAAGTAAGATGGAATTCTCTCTATCTTTCGACTCAATTTATTTCTTAAAAGTTAAAATATGTATGATGGAGGACGCAAATAAATTACTGCTTGCTTTCCTCTCAGTATGGTGGTTAGATTGGAGACTTCATTACTTTAACTTCAACATCATTCACACAAAATGATGACAAGATAAAAATATATTTTGTTAGTGAACAGCGAGCGCATCAGCAGGAAAATCAAGTCAACATGAAAATTATTATTTTTTTCCTTCCTTTCCTTGCACACAGAAAAAGCAAAACGTCAGGCAAAGGCAAAGAGAAGAACGATGAGAGAAGAAGGAAAAATAGCCTCAGGATCCTCAATCTCAACACACAAAAATTCAGTATAAACATATTGTTTTGATCTTTTTATGTTGTTCAATGCTTTCAACCGAGAAACAGCAATAAACTGAGAGAAAACGCTTCGACTCGCTTTCTTCTTCTTCCTTCTTGCCTTAAAGTCGAGATAAAGAAATGAAATCATGGCAATTTCTAAAGAATGCCTTTAACGACAGAATAATTTGATCTGAAGCTAAAGAAGCACGTTTGCTGTTTTTTCTTCTTTCATCTCTTTGTCGTCTCGATTTAACGTTTGAGGCAAGTGAGTCGCCTGATGGCTGGAATGAATGCAAGAGAAGTATCATAGCAACAATCGGGCGCGGACATAAAAGCGAAAACCGTCCAAGCAGACAAAATGAGAATTCAATTAAAAGGTTTATGAAGACGCTTTTGGCGATCTTGTTGAGTGCTTTTGATCTGTAAGTTTGCATTTTCTCATCCACTTCATGGCGTTGCAAAAAAAATTATCTTTTGTGCTTTTCACGGCTTTTGCCCTTCTAAACCTTTCTTTGTTTCCATTCAGTTTTTTTTGATTTTCCAAATCAACGAGAAGTTTTTCGCAATCATCCTCAAGCTATTTTTGAAGACATCAAAAAGCCTCTCAAGCACACTCATTCACAATTTAGATTATTCTTGTGTTTCGAGGAAAAAAAGGAGAAAAAAGAAAAACTGCGAGATGGAGATTCGTGCAATCACTTTTATTGGTTGTGCAAATTCCAATTCAAAGTCGACGAACGGGAATGATGAAATTTCAACTCACTCATCTGACTCATCTCACCCTGAATCACTTAGAAGGATGGATATGGTAGGGTGGAAGCGAAACAATTGAGCCCTCAAGGCAATCACTGATACCGACTTGATAACATTCTTCTTCGTGATCAAATGTAAGAAAGAAAATGTTGCCTTCGAACGAGATGGAAATTGAAAAACTCTCTAATGAATTAAAAATGATTTACTTGTCGAAGAGAAAGGTAGCGGGAGGATGTTGTTAAAGCTTTTCGCATCATTCAACGCCGTTGATTTTCGCGTGTTATCAAAACATACGTTCACCAAAAAAATACAAGAAAAAATTTATTTTTACTCCTCTCATTCGTGCCTCCCCGTTCACTGAGAGCTTATCGGATTATATTTTTTTTCTGCAGGATTGAATTCATCAATTATGCAAAATACATTTTATGCACACTGAACAGAGGAAGCTGGAAAAAAAATCTATCGCTCGCGGTATTTTCCAATGAGTAAACTGAAAAGTCGTCTCCACATTGTTTACCCACACTTTACAGTCACTTCAAAAAAAAAAAAGAAATGAGTAGAAATTATTTCTGTGCATGTTATAAAACCGTTATCATAACTTAATTTCAACTCTCTTTCATCTCTCATACCACCCACGAAAACCTATAATTTTTTCTTACGATTAAAAATTCAGAACATTTCATTCGCTTTACTCTAACAATTTTCTCTTTCATGAGCTCCGACAATGCGTGTTTCAGACAAATGATTTTTGCTTTTATTCACAATGGATAGAAGAAAAAAAGAAGGAAATTTTCTTTTTTGTGTATTCAAGCTTTTCATTCGAATGCGAAAGTCTTGTATTCCATTTCAAAGAAAAGAGAATTGTTATTCTTCATATGGAATATAAATCCTGGAGACCATTAAGCTTAGAAATAAACTCCATTTGGTGTTTGCTTGTGTGTTGCGATAGAAATATGAAGCTTTAATTGGTCATGGCTTAATGAATTTTCTAATAAAACTACCATACACAGCATCAGCAACTAACGGCACAAAGTCCCAAAGCAATAATATTATTGTATCCACAAAGGACTTAAATTTTCCACGTTCTGTTATGTCAGATTCGTTTCGCTCTTCATTCGTGCCCTCTTTTTATTCTTTGCTTTCTCCCACACACCCTCCCCAACATCAAATGAGACAAACTATAATCACTTTATATGACCGAAGGCGAGGGTGAGGGCAAGAACGCTACATGATATGAAGTTTGATACTTGTAAAATCAGATTTAACTCTATAAAAGTCTGAGAAACTCATATACACTTTGTAAGGGATAAGTTTTTGGTTTTTCTTATCATTTAACAACGAAAATGAATTTTTATTTCATACTTTTACTCTCACGCTCTTCTTCGATTTTAGATTGAAATTCAGTTGAGTGAACTTACTCATCTTATTGATATCTTCCTTTAAAAAAATGAAGATATATTTGAATTCAACAAACATTCTTCTTCGATTATCATCTCGACCGAAAGATGAAGATCGAAGGCATTCCAAATAATAAACATGAAATATTTGTTCGGTTACACAATTTCACAGTCGAGAAAAGGGAAAAAAAGGGAAAGATGAAGAAGAAGCGCTTTTGAGCTTTGCATTCATCTCAATTTCGGAAGGGATTTTGTTGCTACGAGAATTATGAAAGCGAACCGAAGCACATCTCGAGTGAAAGCAGTTTGTTTGTATATCATTACATTGTATGAGCCCATTGTAATCTCATATCATTATATAATACATGCAGGGAAATATTCCATAAATTCAAAACAACAGTCAAACCCCACATTCATCGTTCTCGTCCCCAGACTCCAATGCTTGAATTCAAATCATCCTGTTTCGATATGGAACGTAAAACCATAATCAAATGGTCTCCTTCCTTTCATGTCTAAATGCATGCATATGTTCATAAATACGTAACGAATCGAAAACTGAAAACTGATATTTATGATGTAAAATACATTTTAATCCATCCATCTTTGAAGCTTACATTCGACCATTAGTTAATCCTGATTTAAAAAATTTATTTATGTTATTTCCTTTAAACTTATTGTTGTCGGTTCTTCCCAGTTACTAAATCTCAAATCTGCTTTGAGTACAAAGTTTATAAAAAAAATAAAGAGGGAATATTTGTTTCTGATATTTCTCCACCCCCACAGCACCCACCCTCATATACATTGCAACAAATGGCTTCAGGTTACGTTCTGTTGTTTTGTTTTCAACATTCTCATCTCTATTTCATCAATTTCAACAATATTATTTATTCAAACAAGGAATAAAAGAAAAACTATAATAAACAACAAAAGCTTACAAGGGAAAAGTTTAATTTCATTTTATTTTTTTTCTGTCTTGTTATTGTTTCACAAATATAATTCCATCATGAAGTTGAAAGCTGAGAGAAATCCATTTAAATTAATTTTGTAAAACAACTTCATGCCATGATGAGAACTTTGATATTATTTTAAATAAATTTTTGGGAAGCTTTCGACTTGCATTTGTTATTTAAATAGAATAAAAACGAAACTTTTTCTTTTCACTTTGGATTATTTTATATTATTTTATTTGTTTTTGTTTTGAAAAGAACATTTAAGAATATTAAAGTTCAAAATTTGATGTTGAAATTACTGCAGTTTAAAAGTTTTTCATTCTTAAATTAAGAAACAAGGAATGAGTTTGCTGTTGCACCTACGTTTGCGATAACATACGAATCTAAACATTTCCTTATTTATTAAATACAAATTCAGCGTTTCCAACATTTAAATGAAGTTTTGTGAATGTTCTGAACATGATAAATTGTATTCGCAATGTAAACGATTTTCAAAGACAGACAATTTCCTTACAATTTCAAAATGAAGCTATTAAAGATCTGCTTTTAATTTAAATTGAATATTCATCTCAATCCTATCAGAAAAGAGATTAATGAACTTCGTCTGTAACTTTCAAACTTTTTTTAAGAATGTCTCTTTCTATTACTGTCATAAGAGAATTCAAAGATTTGCAAGTTTTTTACTCATGAAAAGATTTAAACAAAGTTATAACTAATCTGAATTTTGCCATTTTCTTCTATTTCTAGGTAAGATGACTCTTCATCATTCAACCACGAACTTTCAGACAAACTTATGAACTTATGATCAACAAGCAACTCAAAAATTATGCAGCATCAGTAAAGTTAAAGTTCTGACATATCGAGTGAAGACACTTGCAGGTTTCCATTCGAATCATTGTTTCTCGTTCAGAATAATTATGAAGCAGCTTATTATCCACTTCCAACATGCACTAGCTGCTCTAAGGGAGATTAATTTAATGCTTTCAGCTGGTAGATTCAGTGTAAGAAAAATATTAACTGAAGCAGCTTCTTATGTGTCAATTTATTTACATCATATATGTGAAAGTGTTTATATGCTACTGCTTGCCCTCTTTCTTTCTTCTTTTTAATTTCAAGCTCAATTTAGAATCAAGTATCCTTCATTTACTCCCTCACCAGACCGAAGCAAACCCCAAAAAAAATATGAAACTAAAATAAACACACAACAGAAGCAGCAACATCAGCAAGCAGCATAATATTATGAAAACTGTAACATGTACGAGAATGTGCTTTCCCCATTCGCTTACTCTTTGTTTTCATCCTTTAACATCGAGTTTAGTTGAGTCGAGAAATGTGTTCTTATGTAGAACAACATTTCTCATATGCTTTCCGCTTCGGTTATAAAAAAGAAATGAGAGAAAAGCTTCGCAGAGCTTAAACTAAAGATTATTATACATTTCATAACTGCTGTCTGTTCATTTTCTTCTTGTTTTCTTTTTAGATGTTTGGTTTGATGTGAATAGGAAGAAAATAAAAATAATAAAAATGAATGATGAAGGGAAATTTTGAAACGAGATTTAAGAAATTTTCGATGCACATTTCTGAAGTGAATATAGAAATGTGGGCGAGCTTTAAACTTTAATTAAAATCAAAACACTTTGTTATCTCTCACTTGGTGGTTGGGAAACTTGTCTTGCTTTATTTTATGTTCATGTTTGACTACTTTACCTCACACTGTTGTTTATATTGATTTTAATGCATTTTTGGTTGTTTGGAAGACAAAAGATAAAACATTAATTGAAAATGAAGAAGAGATAAAAGAAAGCAAAAAGGCAAACATATTTAAGTCGACTTTGTGGAAACTTCAGATTTTAAAAAGCCTGAAGCGACGGAATATTCAAAACAAAAGCAAGAAAAATATTTACATCTTCATACCGAAATATCATGAAAATTTGATAACTTTTCCCTTCTTATCTCTCAAAGCTGACAAGCGAACTGTCGCGTTCAGTTCGCATGTAAACAGTTTATGGATTTGAGGCTGAAAAATGCTAATGCGTAATATAACTTTAATGAATTTAATCCTGATTAAATCGAAACGAATGAGTTAGAGTTGTTTTGTAGGAAGAGAAAGAAAAAGAAATTTCCATTAACTTTGCCATGTGCGATGAATATTTCAGGCAATTAGAATAATTACCATGCCATCATGTGTTTATACGCAAACAAATGCTAATATAAACATAATCGCTTGCTGCCGCTTTTTGCGCTTCTGCCTTTTTTCCCATCGTTTACGATAAGTCAAAGAATCTTTTTTAGATTTGACTCTGTGTGTTGTACGAGTTGGATGCAATTAAAAATTCAATATTAAATTAATTTAATTTCACGTTGCATCGTACGAGCCACCGTCGCACTCATACTTGTGTTCGACTGCTCATAACCCACACAAACGAGGACAAAAGTTTCACTTTAATAAATTTGCGTAGATTTACATGAAAATTGAAAAACATAAATCCAGACATAAATCTCATTATAATTAAATCAGATTATTAAAATCAATTATAAAAGTGATTAATCGTTTCATTTGTTTGTTGTGGAATAAAAAACAGAAAAAAAGTTCCCGCTGGTGAGCTTCAGTTTTATTCATTATTGAGCTTCATGATATTTTCAGTTTAATCAGAACTTTTGGCAGGGCTTTATTTGAACTAATTTATCAGTTGATTCAACCTAAGATTGCATGCTAATTGAAACTAAATTCAATCTGATTGAATTGTTGTCATTGCAAGTTTAACGAACTTTTGTATCTTGTACATTTTCCGTCTGTTATCGAATGAAATGAAATGACAGAAAATGATTTTGAAAACATTTTTTCCGTGATTCATTTTTGCTATTCTTTATTTTTTTTATTTTGGGTCCGTCATCTGCTCGACAGCGAAGCATTCGGTTTGGCAATCAATTCTTCCCTCTCTCTCTCTCCCTTTCCTATCAACGGTCTCACTTTTTTCTGTTCATGTTTCATTCGATCCCAATCACGCACACACGCTCTTTTGTTTCTTCATTTCTGACAGTAATAGACTATTAAATCGAAAGCTTTTTATTCCACTCTCACCTCGAACTCAATTTCGCCCCCTAATTTTTTCTTTTGCTTTCATTTTTCGATTGGAAACCCTTGAAGTTGGGTTTAACTCTCTTTTTTTTTTTGCTCGACATCCATCCCACACATCGATTGTCATAAACAACCCTTTCTGGCTTGTGTACGTGCTTTTGGAATGATTAGAGAAATTTATGGGATACCATGATCAATCGCCTGTATTTAAGATGATTGATTTTCCTTGCTGTATGTGTGAAGATATTTGACTTTAAGCGTAGAAAAATTGGTATAGCGAATAAACCCTTTTAATCCATCCATCCATTTGCTATTGGAAGAAAATAAGAAAAAGACGATGAAAGAAAGAAAGAACAGAAATCCTTTTTCGACTACTCCCAAGATTCATGCCAAAAGCATAGAAAACATAAATTAAAAAATAAAACGGCTGCAAAATTTGTTGAACCAAAAGAAATAAAGAATAAAAAGAGTTTGCGTTCGCAATGATGTTCAAGAAAATTGATTTTATTGCTTGCGCAATTTCATTTTATTTTATGTTCGAAATGCATTCTTAGATCTCGATTTGTGTTTTATAGCAACACAAGGAGATTCACTCGAACTCGGTCAAATAGATATAAATTTTCCTTCACTTATTTTATGAAGCAACCACACAATATTCTTCCATGCATCTGCTACTATCTCAGGTCAAAGCATAATCATGTCTTTCCCCTCTTCCTTTTTTTCTCATTTCTCTCTATGTTGATTCACCAACAAGATGGATTAGCGTAGGTAAAATAAGTATAAGAGAAGAATAATTAGAATTTCACCTTAATTTTGTTTTTAATTCACCCTCAACCACAGAACAAGAAGAAGAAAACTTGCTCCCACCTTTCAACTCTTCTCGTTCTCATCGTTCTCTTGCTGACGTTTCCGAAAGTCCCTCAACCGAATGAAAAGTTTCTGACGTTTTACGTCTTTCAGTATGATTGCAAAACTTACTTTATCATTTAAGATAAAAGGCGATGTCTTATGAGACACTGGAAAAATGTCAAAAATATAATTAGTTTTCCTTTCTTCGAGCCAAAACGTAAGATAAGTTTTTTTTAATTGAATTCAATTATTTTTCTTTTTGCTTGTCTCATGATGATAAAGAAATGCATCTGGGTTTAAGCCTCATCCCCAAAGCAATCCCATTTCTGATTGCTATTGCTTTCATCTTCGCTTTTATTTGCTTAGTTGTTGCTGTTGTCATTCTCACTCACACGCTAGAAAATGAATGTTGATGATTTGAAAGATGGAAAATTAAAAACATTTTCTCTCCTTTGATTTGTGGGGGAGAGTGAGCCAAGAATAACCGTAAAAGATGCACAAAAGCGTAGAGCGGAAACAAATTGTAATCAGAAAAACAATTAAAGACTTTTTTCCATCGCCTTTCGACTCGGACTGTGCCATTTCGAGTTTGATTGATTGATCGAGAAATTGTTGTGTTGTAAAAGACTTAATGAGAATTTCTCGAGAGATTATGAGGAAAAAATGTTTGCTTTCCCATCACAAGTAGCAACAACTTTAAGTGAAACACGGAAAATTTGTCATCAGCTTTAACATGTCTGTTTAAGACAAATTATTTGCTTGAAATTGTGGCAGCGAAGGAAAGAAATATAAAAGTACAAGATTGGCTGAATTGGCATGTTTGCTCGCTCATATTACTAATTAGCTTCTTCCGAGAGCAGCAAAACTTTTCCAAGAAATGTTTCATCTAGCAGAAATGAGCATACGCGTTATGATATAATATGAAAGCCAATCTTGCGATATTCTACCCGGTAGAATGACGAGCGGACTTTGAGCCAAATGTTTCATTCTTCTATGATTTTTTTTTTGGAAAAGTTCAAATAAAAAAGTTTGAAGATGAAAAATTCCCGTTTTCATCTTGTTCAAGGCGCACATCATATCGCAACACATGCTTCATTCACATCTATTCCACGCTCACAGAAAGAAAGCCTTTCATAAGTCGAAATTGAATAGAATAAATTTCCGTATGTACAGAAATATTTTGATTTATATTCGCTCATGATGCGCGGGTGGAAAGCGAAAGATTTTTCTTTCCCTTTCATACTTGCTTTTCCAACCAAAACATTAAATTTACGTGAAATCTTTTATCACAATGAGAATCTGAATCAGAGAGGAGAGAAATGAAAGTGGAAAAATCATCCATGCGAAAATTAAGAATACTTGATACATTGAAAGGAAAGGAAAGTCGAGAGTGAAATTTTACGAATTTTCTTTGGTTTTTCTTTTTTTTTTAAAGATACGCAATGTGGCACAAAGCGTATCATGGGCTAAATAATGTGGGAAAAAAACAGCTCAGCATTCCGTCTCGCCTTCGTTGCTCTACTTTGCAATAAATCTTGAAATTCAGTGATAAAGAAAACTCCGTGCCGGGATCCGTAAAAACTGAATCCACTGGATCCAAAAAATGTTTCTGCTTACGATCAAATGTGAAGCTAAAGCAGCTTTTTCCTTCTTCTTTTTATCCTCGTGAAATATCCTTTGTGAAAATGATGCATAAAATATATTTTCCGACCTTTTTTCTACACTCGCTCCTTTCATCTCTTATGAATGCCTACAATTCAAAAAAAAAGTATTTAGGTTGTGATATTATGGCCACGGCACATATTTGCTCACTCAAATATCTGCGTACATGACGTAATTTAATTTTAAAATTGTGGCTGAATAAACACATTTACCAACTCACATATAAAAAAAATATTCCATTCAGATTTGATGCTTTCAAAAGTAAAATGAAGAAAGTTTTCTTTCATTCAGAAAAGGTAGGCTTGGAGAAGTTGTGGAAGTAATTTTTATTGTGATTGAAATTGATATCATTATGAAGAGATGATAATAACTTTTTACAAACTCAAACATCAAATCTCATCTCGTTTACATCTGAATATATCGAATGAAATCTTTTTATGTGAGTTTAAAGTATGTTAATGTAATTTTGAGGAGAAGATAGGAGAGAAGGGTTGGAAAGTACAATGTCTAATGAAGGCATGAGACTAATATTTACCAGAGGAAGAAAAAGTATTTTTATGACTTTTCATGCCTTTCTGATGGAGAATATATTAGATTCGTTAGGGGGCTCTTCATTACACATATGATGATACTCTTCTAACTGATAACGAAAATAATGACATTCTAACTATCTCTGCATACACTTTCTCAACTTGAACAAATTTGCTTTTAAAAATTATTTTCCTTCCTTGTAATAAAGTCATTTTTATCGCATGTCTCTCTCGTTAACATCTTTAGAAGGGTGAGAGTTCATGACGTTTGGAGAAGCAGCCAAGTTCAACATGTTATCAGACTCAAAAGAAATCTTTTAATGATTTGAAACGCAACGTTATCAGAACGCAAATTACCATTTCCCTCTTCAACTGTATTTAATCAACGGGATTTATCTAAAAGTGTCGTCAATATTTTCTTCCTTTTATTTATTTGTTCATTAAATTACTTTTCCCTTCTTTCGCTCTTCCCAAGTGATGCCACAGCACGAACAATAAATTTACATGATTTATGAAACCATCCTACTGTGCAAAACAATTTCTTTCGTTCTTCCTCTTTTTTATTCACAATGTCATTCGGTTTTCCCCCCGTTGAGGGAGAGTAAAAGAGACCAATGCTCCTTCTAATTAGATTTGTGTGTCTATTAATTCGAGAAAGCAAGAGAGAGAAGAAAAAACTAATTAAAATGTATCTACGAGTTATTCCCTTAAGGTTGCATACCCAAGAGTCGGCTGAAAGTTGAAAGCCCACGATTTTGATGGAGTTAAAAAAATGCGGAAAAAACAGAGAGTAAAGACATCATTTTTAGGGCTATGGATTAAAATTTATTAGCTTTTTTTTACAAGCTTGTTGTGTGCATATTTAAAAATCTTCAAGATTCAAATTTTGACCCTTTCACTTCTTTTGATGTCGTTTTATATTCGACGAATAATGTTCGTAAGTTGAAAAGCATCCAGAAAAAAGGACAAAAAAGTTTTTTTTTCTCTTACATGTATTTTTCATTGCAGTTTTTACTCCCCCGCACATTTGCTATGCCTAAGAAAAAAGAGAGCAGAAAATTATAAAGTTTAATGTCCATGAAAATTCATTTTTGAATTTTAAATTAATGAGAAAAAAGTGTTCTCGTGCCATAAAACATAAAGTTATTTTCACTTTCCATCCGTTTTCTCAAATATCCCAGTCAAAAGGCATGAAAAAGTTTTACTGTTCCCCACAAAAAAGAAAAAAAAGGAGAAAACGGAAAGATTGGTGTTGGAGTCAGAGATACTTTCTCGTCTCCCCTGGTAGATAAAAACACATTAAAGCTGCTCGGAAAACATACACGAGACACTAAAATATTGGGCAGAAGGGACCACACAATGCCAACATTTCAACAAATTTTATGCTGTTTGTTTGCTCGATGTCCCTTTTTTTTGCTGTCGCTTTCATTCGGTCTCCTTACCGGTGAAAAGAAATAAGCAAGCCGACAACACAAGACAAACTAAAAAGGGAAATGAAACCATATAATGGAAATATTAAAAGGCGTAAAAAAGGAGCATTTTGTTTGTTTTTCAAACCAGAGGGGGGCACTCTGTGTACCATTCTGGGTTTCATTGTTTATTTATGGGAAAAATAATTATGATTTTCAATTAATTTAATGGCAAACATTCGACTACTGTAGGAAGTAAGTAACGAGATACATACGTTTATTTAATTAAACTTTCAGGCGTGTGACCGATAATATTTCTCTCAGATTAATAGTTTAATGATGAAGGAAGAAATAAGTTTGGAATTAGATGATGCAATTTTAGATCATAAAATTAAGTACAGGGATTGAGCGACTGTTACTTGTCGTCGTCGTCGTCGTCGTTGCTGTTATTGTATTATGGGAAACTTTTTCTTCCTGCTTTAATTATTCCATTATAATTCCACTTAATATTCTATAAGTTTTCATTTAATTAAAAACAATGAAAATCAGAAGAAATGAAGGAAACAATTGTTGACAACTTTATACCTAAAGATATCTTTACCCAAATTTTAAGTCTCAAAATTATAACAAAAGCAAGCGAGATTCTCTTCATGGAAATGAAATTGCAGGCTGCCGACCGAGTCAGTAACATAAATTTTATTTTTCATTCAAAAAGAAACTGAGAAAATTATTCCCATTTCCACTTAACCTGTCACTCTTTTTAAGAAAATGTCATTCAACTTGAATTTAAATGGATTTATCATTATTTATTATTCACTCCTTTCCCTTGCTGACAGAACTGAATATACTTTCCGCTTCTTCTTCCTCTGCTCGTTCGCCATTATTTCTCTTTTCTCAATCTCAATTCAAGTCGCTTTTCGTTGGAGGTCCATTCGATAACAATTGAATAAAGAAGTGAATAAAATATAAAGTAAAACGAAAGCTTTTCTGAACAATAACAATTCGTTGATGGGACAAACTGGATTGTGATGTAAACGCTTTTCTTTTTCATACTTTCAAGCGAAAGGATGCGAATAAAAATAATAAAAAATAAAAAAAAACGCTCCATGAAAGATTTTTATTTGATTAAAATACAAATTTTATGTTCTGTTGTTGAATTTATATTTACTCACTCGATTCGAGAGCGAGATTTACAGGTAGCTAGTAGCAAAGCATTTGGTGTTATGAAAATTCAAAGCGACATTTAGAAACGGAACAAATTCCGGTTCTCCTGTAAAATGGAGAGCAATAAATTATTTCTATTCAACTCCCTCCAGTTACCCCATCATGCCCTTCGGTATACACTCAAATATGAATGCCATCTTTTTCCACTTTACTTGTGTGTCTATCTATAGTATTTGTTTAGGTAACATCGTCCCATCGTCCCATATGCATTATCAATTCCCTGAACATCGAAAAGGTAGATTTCGCATTAGAAAGTAAGGAAGACAAGACAAAAAAAGAAGAGAACGAAACTTTCTCTTCAATTTTATAATATAAATATTAATTTACGGGAGGCACACATAAACAACAGAAGAAAGAGAAGAATGTGACATCGGCCAATAATAGTTTTGTTTGTTTGCTTAGGAACGATAAACGACATTTTATTATTTGAGTTTCTTGTTTAGTTTACATCCATTAACATCAAACACATTTGTGATGCCAACCATGGCTCAATTATAAATAAAGATTGTCTCAAGGGACTATAGAAAAGAAATAAGAAATAAGAAATAAGAAAAGTTGTCAGAAGACAATCTCTAAGACATGACATCAAAAGGATGTTGATGATGATGACGATAACGATGATTTTGTCGTGTTCATTTTGCTGTTAACAACTCGTCTTCCAGCAGTTTCGTGAATAATTATTTAATTTCTTCCACAAGAAAAAGTTATTAAATTAAGCTTCTTCGTTTCTTAAGATTGTTGTTTGATGCAGAAAATGAAAATGAAAATGAAAATTCAAGTCAAGTTTAAAAAAGACATAAAGTACCAGCAGCGTAATGAATTTTAAAACAAGCATGGCATCATGAAAAGCAAAGTTTACAATTGCTTTTTATATTCCGTTTCACAGAGATTGCTCTAAGTTGTTCCCTTCACGACCCTTTCTGTTCTCAGTTTTTTAAAAAATATTCTCATTGCTGTAAATTTTTAATTTTTATTTCATATCGAGTAACGAACTGTTTGCATTACTTACTTACTTACCACGTGGAATAAATATGTTGGCGCCGCCATGTAAGCAAACATTGGAATCACAAAATCCAAGCTAGGAGACGGCAGCAGAGAGAGAAATTTAATGCATACGAAATTTTTATAGAAAGAAGTAAAAAAGAAGCGATATTGCTTTTACACTCCCGAAGCTTAAATGTATGTATTCGTTTTCCAAAGAGCTTTATGCTTTATTTCAAATTGGAAAATCATAACGTAAACATAGAGAAACGAAACATAATAAAAATGCAAATTTCTTAAGTAAGCAGGTTTGGGGGATGAATTGTTTTCTGGGGATATTCAACCGGGTTTCTGCTTTTCGAACAGCTTCCTTTCCATTCCAAATGTCATCTTTGTGTCTTTTCCTTCTTTCTTTATTACAAGACAAAGTACTATTGTGCTTTATGCTACGACTATGCTCTATGCTCTATGCTCAACATTACATTCATGAACTCAAATCTTTTCGCTAGTTTACAATTGAAAATGTTGTTCATTCATCCGCCTTTCTTATGCTTGCACTTAAGTAAGTAATCTTGAACAAGAGAAAGAAAGCTTTTTGTATTGTCTAAAAAATATTCAACGAACTCCCGCTTTGCCACCCACAGAATGATCGATACAGACACCATCTGCACAATGTTTTATATTAATAATTAGGAAAAACACTTAATTTCTTTGTTATTAAAGGATTATCCTTTACGCTTCGCTTTTCTTATTCTCTTTCTGCTTTCTTTCATTCATTCTTTCTCTTTATTCTGTTTGAAAGCCATTTCGAGGGTATTTTTATGCTTTCTTTCAACCCAGGGGCTTATGATATTTTCCTCTTCTCGGTTTCCATCGTCTCTAAAAAAGTAAACTTTTTTAATGAAAAATCCCCCTTTGCAAATAACAAAAGTTAATTTTAACGAGGCTCAATGCTTTGGTCCCTTCTCCAAGATAATGGTGGAGCGCCGAAAAAGACGAAACATAAACTATGAGGCTTAAAGAGCTTAATATTTGATGAGGAGTTATCTCGGAAAATGTATAACTTTACATTTCCAACTTTTCCTTCAGTTCAGTTCAGTCAATGGCAATGGCAATGGCAATGGCAAACGCTAACGAAGTAGAAGCCGATTTCAAGTCTTAAAATTCGTAATCGTAAATGATGAAAGATCATTAAAATGGTTCTTCAAGCTATGACTTTTCAATTTTCTTTTTCTCTCGTAGTCATAAGAAACTCGAAAAGTTAATTTTACAAATCTGTAAAAAACATTTTTCGGGGTTTTTTCGGTTCATTAGAGTGAAATAAGAGAGTTAGTCACAAACTCACATTAGCTTCCCTTCATGCGATGAAAATTCTTCATTCAACCACCCACACAAATCTTCTCACTTGGACTCTTTAAACTTTAAACTAAAACTTCCCTTAACAATTAAAAAACATGTCTAAGAAGAAGAAGATGGAAGCAAAAGGATTAAGTTCTTTCAATTGCCATGAAAAGCAATTCAAAGTGAAAGGAAATGAAATAATAAATTTCGTTTTCAACCACATTCATCCCCAAACTACAAAGTGTGTAAAATTTAGAAATTCAACAAATCGAGGAAACATCTTTTTATGTTCGCTAGAGTTGTTCTTCTCTCCAATTGTGTGTCTACCGGAGAGCTGTGGTTGTTGAAAAGATTGCAAAACTATCAAAAGGACAGACACACAAAATCATGGTCCACAAACAATTTTCGGTTTTTTTCTCTTCTTCCTTTCAGGGAAAAATCTTTTTGTTCTGTTCGGAAGGAATTCAAACACAAACGAATTTCCTTCGAGAAGGAAATATTTTCTTATTGAATCATGAACAGTTGGTTTTGAGAGAATCTCACGAGTGTCTTCATTTCATTTGATTGTTGAAGAATTGTCATAAATAAATAGATTGTTGGACTGAAATTCGTTTACAAATTCAATGAACTATCTCATCATTCATTCAGTAACTAAGTGATCGAATTTACTGAGTTGTTGACGTATTCAGTTTCCAATGAAGTAATAATTAATTCCTTTGACTTATCTACTTTAATATTTCATATTTATTTTCATCAGCCACAACAAATGTTCACCACAAATCCCACGTTTCCCTTCTTCCACTTGAAAAGGAATAAGCAATGTGAAGTTTTGAAGCAAAACGAGAATATAAATAAATTTTCACAACCCTCCGAAGTGAAATAATTTTTATTCTTTTAACATTTCATATTCGGTTCCAAACATCTTTCAAAAGCAAAGTCATTTTTATCATTCAATTTTATATGCTGTATTCAAATACTCATTTTACATATTAACGCTATGTCACAATGTATTATTTCGACGACGAATTTGAATTTTAGACACTTCGTTAATCTTCACCCAGAAACTTGTTCTTATTCACGTCAATCCACACTCTCCGCCCTCGCACTCTCGTGTTACTTGCCTTGCTTTATCAAACAAAGTTGAATGAAAGAAGATGAAGAAAAAGAAAAGAGAGAATGTCAAGTGTCTTTGAGTGGTGAATGGCAAACATAAAATCCATAATTATCATAATTTTAACATCCAAAGTGTAAAGAGATTCATCCGAGCTGTCATAGCCGTGTTGCGAGATTAAAAATACATAAATTAAATGAAATTGCATAATTATAATTTCTCCATTATCGAATACGACGAAGATCCTTCAAGTCGACGATGAAAAAGTGGTTGTTGTGTGATTTTCGTATCTCATATTCCTTGTGGGTTGTGGTGACAAGCTTTAAAATTTAATTCACGTCATTTGCTTCTCGTATTACGAAAACATAGCAACAGAAGCGTAAGATGTTTGCAAAGAAACACTCATTCGATTAAGAATGAAAAAAGTCACTTAAAATTCTTCAGAAGTAATGCAAGAAGTTGGATAACATTTCTTGATATCAACAACATACACACATCCACCCACACAGTGGCATATATTCACCCCAAATCAAGTAAAACTTCTGACAAAAAAATGTTATATTATTTAAGGACTCTTCAAGTGAAGGGAGCAACAGCAGCGGAAATTCTTCGAACTTCGAGTAGTGGAAAAGATTGTTACACGAAACAAATCACAACACGTGTTACATTTACTTTCTTGAAATCATGAAAATTATGAAGAACATATTTATGCTACGAACGGAAAACATTTTGCCATTTAATTCTCCATTTGCTTTCGAATTATTTTCATTTGCAAATTTTCGGCAAGCAAATGTTTCTTATTTCTTTCTTTTTGTTGTCGACAACTTTCTTTCGTTGTTGGATAAGAAGGAATGAAAGAAGGAAAAAGTTTTAGGGAGCTGTCAAAGTGGCATGCATCGCTTACTATGCCGAGACATTTCCTGCTTACGCTTTGAAAGCGAAAGCAATATATCATAATTGTATCATTTTTTATGTCCTCAGATTTATGTTGATTCACACAGTTTTGTTACGCATTTGGGTAGTTGGCGACGGTTCCTTCTTCTAATGCTGCTGTTTAAAACAATGCCAGATTTAAGAGGGGAAGGGAGACAGGAAAAATGTAAATACCGTGACTGACTTCCTAGATTTCAAAACTCTTCTCAAAGAAGAGTTAATCTCTGATTTCCATAACGATTAAAAATGAAAAGAAAATACATAAAAACATAAAACGACCCTCGGAATTGTCTAGTAAGAAAGTATTATAAATAAATAGCTTACAAGTGTTTTCTTTTCGCCTCAATCAGATGAACATTAGAAACCTCGTAAATATTATTTATTATGAAGTAGCTGTGTGCTATCTCGGCACAAGGTCTTTAAGTGAATAAGTAAGCGAGAAGACAAAATGAAAAGAATTGTTTGTTATCTCACATTATTCGAATATTTCTTCGTTTTCCTTTCATTTTTTGGAGCTCATCTAAGATGAGAAATAAACATAAATCTTTGAGAATTTATGAGCAACGAACAAATCCTCCATAATTCATTCGTCAAATTAGATTAGCCATGGTTATGCAGTAATATTTTGAATATCAAATCCATTACCGCACACACAATTTGTCGTACAATTCTTGTTGACTCTTTTAGTCGATGATTGCAAAGTTTTGACTTCTTCGTTCATATTTATTTCACTTTGAAAGTTATCAAACGAGAAGACGAAAGAAAAAGATTGAATAATGTCTTTCTATTAAAGAAGGCAAGTGATAGCAATGAGGTGACATATTTATGGATTCATATACAAAACAGAACAAAGTAAGAGAAGAAGCAAGAAACATCTGTTTGTTCTTAATCATCTTAATTGATTAGAGTGCCTCGATGATATTAATAATTCTAATTATTTCTTGTTTCTCTCTTTTCTCTTATTTGTAAGAAAATTCGCGGTAAGAAAGTTTTTGCGTTTCCTTCGAGAATATAATAAAAAAGTAAAAGCGATGATGAAAAATTGGATGTTCATGTCGCTCGCAAATGACGGATCACTTTCATGAATATATAATATCAACATTGTCATATAATTTAACATCAGCTATAAAGGAGTGGGTGATGAAGGAGGAGGGTTGATGAAATATCACCACAAGAGTCAACTTGTTTTATTTGCTTCTAGTTCTGTCATTTCACGAGACATCACATCATGTACTAAAAGTCAAAAGTAAAATTTTTCTTTCCAACTGATCCCTTTTTTCAATTTTAATTTATTCCATTTTTGAGTGACTTTATTTGGATCAATTTTCTGTTTTCTCTTGAGCTTTACGTCACGTTGCTAAAATAGAAGAAGAAAAAAGTTAGATTTGTAAGAAAAGCCGAGTAAATTATTTCGAGGGATGATTTTCTCATCGACAGTTTTTGAAGACGATGGAAAATGAAAACACCACACGAAGAATCTAATAAGAGTATGGAAAGCGATATTTTCGCCATCCATGATGAAAGAAGACATTGAAGGATATTTTTTTATTTTATCTAATTCAGTTTGTGTACACATCGAGTTTTCAAAGCACCACATAGCAAATATATGCGCACTTTTCAATGCTTTATTGATCCTTTATTTTCATCACAGATCACGTACCAGCAACACCAACCAAATTGAAAACTAATTTGCACTTTATCTTTCTATCTTACCGTTGAGATGTCACACAAAGCGGAGGAAAGTCTCTAACACACACGCAAAATCATGCTATCATGTTTGGTTTCTTTCCCTTAATGTATGCGACGACTGACGACAGTGAATTTTAGCCTGCTTCATATGCTTGTTCGTTCTCCTCCCTCAAATCTAAAAATCTTCTTGCATGTACTGTAATGTAACGTAAAAGAAGTCCTTGTTGAATATAAACATACTTCTCATTCCCTTTCCATCTTTCCATCTTTCTCTTATTCTCATTCCACCACGACGACGAATGTTGTGTGTAAAGAAGAAAGTGTAAATATGCATATCACATATTCGGTTACGTTAGAAAATTCTTCTAAGCTGAGAAATAGTAAAAGGAAAAGCCTTTCTAGTAGATGGAGAAGGAAAAGATATTCAAACTGTGATGTCAGATAGACGACAACATTTCTTTGTGAAGTCTCCCTAGAAGAAACTTTTAATTTAACATCAAAGAAATGTTATTTGACTCATCTTACTGTGTGAATAATATGTTTGATGTGTCTGATGTTTAATCTGATCCAAAATACCTGCTCTACACCACATTCACATTTTCACAGCAATAAAAGTTTTGGCTTGATATAAATTTAGAATGGAAGGGAAGTTTCACATCAAACACGCGTCTAAATTAACTCTACAATGCCATGAAGATGATTTTAATCGCATGAAATCTTACAAATTGTTTGTATGGTGACGCATAACAATCGATAGTATTAAACTACATGCGAAGCTTCTCTTTCTTGATGTCACATCAACTTCAGATGATGATTATGATTATCTAATGCAAATTTAAGAAAATATCAAAATTTGACGCTAATAATTTATCAAGCCGGAGAAGAAAAAATTAAAATTTCATCATTTTAACATAAAATCTGTCAAAGTTTTTCCTTGATAATCTGCCACATCGCTTCTACCTTTCTTTTTTGAATAATCACATTATCATGAGACATGAGACGTCGCTCTCACTCACAACTTTCTTTCTTTCTCTCTCTCTCGAAGAACAGTTCAGAACGGATGACGACGACGAGAAAAAATGCCAATTTGATTGGAATACCAGAAATTTTGATATATCGGAAATATTTGGCAATTGAGTCACGTCACTTCACTTTCTTAAACTTATAAAATATTTCTCAACTCTCAAGTCAAGGAAGAAGACGAAAACTTAACAAAATTTGTCATTTTCATTAATCTTTCCTGGATTTTGACTTAAAGCAACTAAATGTTTAATCGAGGTGACACAATTCACGTATAAAACCAATCAAGAAGAAAAAAGTAAGAAAATGTTATCCTCCACGCTAGCGAATTTGATGGCGGAAAATGTTATGAAAATATGCTTCATGCTCATAATTTTTCTCTGTTCTCGTTTTCCCATTTCAATTATTCCGTTCAACAAACATCCACCCCCACTCATGACGTTGAAACATGAAAAAGTCTTTTGAATCCAATTTATTGATAAAAGGCACTTTGTGCAAGCTTCTGTCCTTTTATTTTTGAGAAAAGAGAAGAAGAACAAAATAATAATAAAATATTAAGAAGGTTGTCTCGAACGAAATAAGCAGCAGAGGGAGTAGAGTAAAATGACTAAAGAGAGCTGCGTAGCGAAACTTGAGATAACGAGACAAAATATGTAATCAATAAATTTTAGATTGAATCGACTTCTGTACGTTGAACCCTTTTATCATCACCACGGCATGATTCATCCCCTCGTAAAATGTTTCCAATTCAGAAAAAAAATAACGAAAGAAGCGCGCAAAAAAGGATCAAGAAAGGAAGAATGAAAGAAAGAAATGTCGAATGTCACACTTACAGTGAAATATCGAATCCACTTTGAACTCAATTTGAAAATTAAGGAAGGAAATTTGCTGTGAATTTTGCACTTTATTTAATTAAATTCTCTTCTTTTGCCTTTGGCTTTTGTAAAATGTGTTTTTCTTCTCTAAGAATAAGTATCGACAATGAGATTGGGTTGCAAGTGTAAGAAGAGCAGGCGAAAGTTATTAAATTACTTACATGCTGAGAAACGAGAGTTGTCGACTTATTTTGTGTGTTACCGTATATCGAATTTTCTACGTGTTAAATTTCTCAATCGTCAACGTCGATTCACTCGAATAATTCTTTGATGAAGTTACATCAAAAGTAATAAAAGATTTTAACAAAACATTTTTCAACAACTTCCTCCTGAATTCTTCTCTTTTTTTTTGATTCACTGCGGAACTTCACAAAGTTATTTATTCGCCACTCGAGTTTGTTTCGTTAACTTCCCCCTTTTTATATCTGTTTAAAGGGATGAAGAGAAGGAGGAGAAGAAAGAAACGCGTTGGTCCATTAATATTTATATTGATGTGTTCGGCAAGCTGTCAAAACTTTATTTTCCTTTCTCCATCCCGTCGATCTATTTTTTCGCGTCTTTCCGAAATTAACTTCTAAGGAAAGAAAGATCGAAGTTGATGAACTTGACAAACTCTTCGAATTTTTTTCTGTTCTCTTTTCCTTGACTTTGCTTCTATTTCCGCACGCTGGATAATTTCCACTTCATCAATGTGCGGAAAATTTTCAAACGCCGTTCGCTTTTCTCCCCACAAGAATTATGTTTTGTTGGTTTTGGTTTTGTTTTGTTCACCCGGTCGAGCAATGAAGGGAAGAACTTTATCCACATTTTTTACAAACACACTTCGACTTTTTTTTTCGAACGTTTTTTCATTTGTTTTTCTATTAAAGACTTAAAAGGCCAGGCCGCTCTCCGCCTCCTGTCTATGTTATTTTTATTTCAAATTGTTTTCATTTTACTGTTTGGTGTCTTCTTCGCGTAAACATCGTGTGTTCGCCCAGGGAAACTTCAACCTTAATGGATCAGTTGCTATAAGGATTTTCCTGTTGCTATAACTACAAAAGAGTTTCCATGTCTGTCCGTAAAATGTTTTTACTTTTCAATTTTTTTCTGCTCTCCTGTTCATCATTAAATCTCTTAATGGATACACCAATTTATGAGTTGAACAACAACACAACAACAAGCAGATGAAAATTAATGAGAAAAATCTCTAAAGTAGGGAACAGTCAGGAAAGATGCGACAATTAATCATTTGAATTACGCATGAATGTTTGTTTATCTCGCATTTCATTATTTAAAAATGACTCAAAACTCTCTAAAAATTTGGTCTCGGAGGATTTCTGTCATTATTAATTTCGAGTTTTTTTTTTGCTTGTTGACTTAAATGCTTTTTCATTTCAACCTTTCTTTGTGGGTTATTAGACTCAAGCAAGTTACCCTGAACAATTTTTTTTCCTTCCATTATTCATTATTTATTGTTTAGCATGTTAGATGGGAAAAAATAAATTTCGAATTCTTTCGCATATACGCTGGGCAAGGAAGTAAACAAACATTGAATGGTGGCGAACAATGAAGAAGTAGAATGAGATGAGAAGAAAATAAATCATGAGAAAAATATTTTCCTTCATCTCATTTTCATTGCAATTCCGTTGAAAAAATTCTTCTTAATGTACTAAACTCAAATGTCGACTCATTCAACAAGGAATGACTGGGGATCAATTTTTTACATTTTCTTCTCTTTGATGATTTGTCTGTTTGCTTTTACGGTGTTTGTTGCCATTGGAAATTAAGTTCATGTTATTACAATTCCTTTTTATTACTGTCAGCAAGCATTTAAAGAGAATTGAAACGGTTCGGAGTTGGAGGGTGGATGGATATACGAACGAATGTTTTGATGATGTACATGCTCGGATTTCAAACGCTTTTAAAACTTCTCTTGGCTTTTCCTATCGAAATCAACAATTAAATTGAGAAAGTGAGACTTTGCAACTATCTAAATAAATGAATGAATGAAGATGGAAAAAGTTAAAAGAAAATTAAAATGAAAATTCCTTTCGTTTCGTTTCGAACACGATGAATCATTTCGATAAAGAAAACTGTAAATGAAACTTAATTTATGAACATTCTCAAGTTGGAATTAAGTTTTCTGCAATTTAACTTAATTGAAAGTTTATGGTAATTCAATTTCATAAAATCTCACTTTAATCAGTTAGCTTTTGTCGTGTACGATGAGAGGTGGAATTGTGGAGGGTGGTGGTGGATTGGTTACGTTAGGAATAAAAAATTCACAGCACTCTACTAACATATGCTTGCCGCTCGAACACGAAAGAATTGCAAATAAATCTCGGTAAAGGAAAGAAAACTTTTGTCGACATAAAAGGCGAATTTATGCTTCCAAGTTCCATTTCTTTTATTAAATAAATAAGATTGTGGGTGGCTGGGGCTTGGGCTTCTTCTTTAACGTGTTTCTCTTCGTGAGTGTGTGAAAAATGGGCTTCTCAGTAGTCGGTGAGTTGTGAGTAGCAAGTACCATAAATAAATAAATTAGGGTGAAATTTAATTTTCCTTCTCAACTCGTACGTGTGTCTTCAGTCTTCTGTCTTCACTTTTTCCTTCATGTAGAGTGTTGATGTGGCAAGAGGAGTCGTTTTCTATTCTACCTAACATTTTGTTTTATTCTCAACGTTCTCTTACAATTTATTTTCTTTTTCATTTTTCCATTTTCGTGTCTTTTTTTCTATTCTTCTCGTCGCTGCTCACCATCTCCGATAGCATTATTGTTCTCATTGTTTGTCGTGTCATCAGTCTTGTGCCTGTTGTCGCTTGAGAAAAGACGAAATGATAATAAGTCTACCGTTCAGCTGTTTCTTTCTTTCTTGTAAACTGACTGACTGATTGCCCTCGTTCCGCATAACAAAATGTGGATGGTGGATGTGACAACGCCTTAAATCCTCCCTCAACTCACTAAAGTTTTGCTGTGAAGCGTTTTGAACTTTTCTGATCAGTTTCAACAGATGTGGAGTAAATCAATTTAGTGACATTTAAAAAGAAAACAGCAAAAAACTGACTTTATTATTTTTCCATTGTTTTGTCGCTTGAAATTTTATTTCAAACTTCAAAAGTTTTCTTCATACCCCGAAGCGTCTCGTTGTAAAGCATACATTGTCGCGGTTTTGTTTTCGATTTCATTTCTCTCCCTTTCTTGTTGTTATTGTCTATGATGTGACAACAAAAAGCTTCGACTTCTCTCAAACATACATTCCCCTAGTGCTTTTCTCAAAGATTTATTTAGCTGCGGGTTGTCTAGTTCATATCTATTTATTATATCGCTGCTTTGCTTCTTCCTTCACGAATCGTTGCTTATTTCGTTTTTTCATTTCATTCAATGTCATCTGTGTCGTTCATTTCGCACATTGAAACCTCATGGATAATTCACATGATGATGATTATGATGATGACGATGACAACGGTGATGTGAGTTGAGATTTGAAAATGTCTGTTTTATAGAAAATCAGTCCATGAAGCAGTTTATTGCTTCATTTCATTTTTTTTCTTCCCTCTTCTGGGATCACAACTCCTAATGAAATCTTCTTGCCTTGAGTTACTTGATAAAGTGTCTAAATTTTTTCTTCCTTCCGCTGTCTGCCAGAAACTTTACTTACGCGGTTGATTGAATCAACGAGTGTGGCGTAAAAGTGTCGCGAATTTTCCACAAAACAGATGAAAAAGCTTTTTAAATTTATTATAACATCGCAAATTTTACGACATTTCTAAATGCTTTTAAGTCTAATTAAAATAAAACTTTAGCTGTGCTTAAAATAATTCTCTTTAGAAATTAATCTTCAATGAATCTAAATTAATTTAGAAAATCACGCTCTCGATGTCAGGTGAGTGTGCAAACACTTGATTCAGGAGCGTCATAAATTAAAACTACTCTCTAGAGTTATTGTTCATTTTTCTTTTCTGTCGTTCTGTTTTTTTTTTTTTTGATTCACAACACCCCACAATTTTATATAATTTTTCTCTCTTTTTTATTTTGGGCCTCGTTTAACTCACACCATGCAAACATCAACAACCGCACATAGCGACAGATATAAAAGCGTTGCTAATAAATTTTTTGTTATGACAAAAATTTCACATTATGACAGAACATTATGTGGATTGTAGTCGCAGCCATTTGAGCCATTATGCGGAGGCACAGAAACGTAGTCTGTCGACCCAGGACGAGAATGTATTGCGTGATAATATTTAATGAAAAAATTAAATTAAAAACTTTTCTTTCGTTCAGTTTCCTTCTCTTTCTACTTCACTTAAAAGAAGCAAAGAAATAAAGTGAACATAATATTGAATACATGGCCGAAAATGGAGTTCGAGTTGCCATCATAATGGGAAAAATTTCCTCCTTGGTGTTCATGGTGGAAAAGTTACTTTGTACTCGTTCCAATTCCAAGAAGTCTCGAGAAGTGAACGAAGAAGGAAACCATAATTTGTTTGGAAATTTATGAGCACTTCAAAACAACTTTTTAAATGGGAAATTTTCTTTCTTTTCCAGTTTAAAAAAATTTATTGGCATTTTTTTTCTTCTCCCACGAAAATTTAATTACATGGAATAACTCAAAGTTTGCTGAAAGTTATACATCGCGGAAAACTTTTCATGATAAACAGAAATTTACTTATTCACTCTTTCATTGTTTTTTTCCTTTCTTTCTTTACAGCGTCAACAAATTGTGTCTTTCCCCAACAGTGGAATGGATCGTGGTTTCAGTCGGGGGAGCAACAGCCAATTACCTTCAGCGGTTCAACCATGAGCAGCCGAGGTCGATGTGTAGCTAGCGAGGGTGATAAATATTTACTAGTCAATGAGTAAGTCAAATATTTTCACTCAATCTTTCACGGTGAACTTTATTCTGTTTGCTCGAAAAAAGGAAGAAAGAAAAATATAGCGAAGGAAATCAAAAGTTTATTTTCTTTTTGAAAAGTCAAGGAGTTTGATTTTTAAGAGAAGGAAAAAAACTTCCAAAATCTCCCTCGAGCTTTTTTCATCTTTTCGTTAGATGAAAACTTTCATGGAGAAAAGAAAGAAAAAAAAACTTAAACTTTACAAATTAGATTATTCGTTGTGAACTCTTTCGGCTCGATGTGGTGTAAAAGTCTTGGTGATGATTAAAAGTTTTCATTTGAAGGCATTTTAATGTACTTATCTTGGTTCTAAGAAACCATCCGCAATCTTCACTTTTCAAGAAGTTCAGAGTACTTCGTGTTGTTGGCTTTTCCACGTAACTTCACTGAGTAACATTTATTTGTTCATAAGGATGGAAGTTCTACAGAATAAACGTGTATGGTATGAAAAGGAAAACTTTTAGCAAGAACAAAACTGCATGTTTAGTGCATGTGAATTATTCGTTCATTCGGTATATCGACGTGATGATAAAGTGGAGTTTTTTTTGTTCTTTTCCTTTACCACCTTTGGAAAGCAATTCTCGTTTTCACAACAAAATGTCGTTGCATTTATAGAAATGTAATACATATTATTATTCACGTGTTGTGCAATTTGTTGGAATGAGAATGAAAACTTATCAAAAAAGAAGAAAGACGAGAGAAAAGAAGCGAACTTATGAAACTTTTATTCGTCACATCTGCTTTTTCCAGCCAAAAAATAAGAGAAACTTTTTCGAAGTGAGAGAAAATTTCATAAATATTGAAAAAACGTACACGACAATGCCCCAGTTGACAGTGAAGTAACCTTTTATAGTACTTTAAGGAAAGCTTTCGTTTGTAGTTGAATCATAACTGGGATGGTGTGAGAAAGCGTTATGAAATGTTTCAAAAGAAATGTTACAATAAATTTCATTCATCCTAAAGTTGTGAGGATGTGGAAAAAAGGAAGAAAATAAGAATTCATCGTTACGAACGAAACTTCTAACAATATAAAGTTGATGTAGTCAAATGAAACTCTTTCCTTCTTCCACCGAATATTGCAGGAAAAGTTTATCGTCTTTAGAATTAAAGATTTTCCATCCATCGGTGTTATTACATTTATCTAATCTTCTTTCTCATTTCTTTTCTTTCTTTTTTTTCTCAAAACAACAGGAAAGATTGTAAAAGATGCGTTGTCATCTATGAAAAGCATCAAAATGTTCTTCAATACAAGGAGAGTGAATGTGAATTAGAACAAAACAAGCCGGCCTCGGCAGCTATCAGTAGCGTAATAAGAAGTGATTATAACACAGATTCCAGATTCCAAGGCAACGAGCAGTATTTGGATCCAGAAAGTACGTATCACATCATTTCTATCTTCATCTTAACAACATTTTCTTGCTTCCTTTTCCTTTCCACTTTTATTTTTTGCTATGCCCGTCCGTCTCTCACTTCTTTATTTTTTCTTCTTGATAAATTAAGATTAATTTTAAGAATTCTGAAGATGTGGAATGAATGCGTAATTTTTATTAATTTCCTCTTGCAAATATTCTATTCCTCGCTGCTTCGTCTTTTTTCTATTCTTTGTTTTTGTTTTGTTTTCTTTTATTTCACGTCGAGTGCCTGTTGTGAAAAAGAGTCGCCATTTGACGTGATAGAAACGAAGGTGGTGGATGAATGACGAAAAGAAATAAGCACAATTTCCTTGAATCATTATTCCTTATCAGTCGAGTAAGAAAATGTAAACCTTAAGACCTTACTTTCAGGTTGTTAAGTAAATTATAAAATGGTTTTCGAGGGAAAACGAGCGACGTGACTTTCGTTGAATAAAATTTTCTTATTCTTGAAATTTATGTTAAATTTCTATTTTTTCTCGTTCTAAATATACTTCAACTGTGTGACTTTCTTAATGCTGCGACAAATTCAATTTAGGTAAATAAGAAATATTTAAATTTAATTCCCAACATTCCCAAATGAGATGGGACAAGCGATGAAAAACTTTCAGTCACTTTATGACAAAAATATTGACAAAAGTGATGAAAATATTGAAACATAATTTACTTTGTCCGTCGCCCACCTCCACACGATGACTCATGCCATGTCGTCAAGACGAAATTTGTCAAGTGTTTCTACATATTTACCTTCAATTATTACGGCGATAAATTAAATTACTAAATTGAAAATGCTAATACACATTTTTCTCTTTCTCCTTATCCTCAACGCCCGCATTTTACAATGTGCTTAAGAAACGACTTCACATTTTTATGAATAAATTGAATAATTTTTCCTGTCAACCCCGCAACGAAAGTTAATTTTAATAATTTTCAATATTTCTTTCATTTTTTTTCTTCCTTTTGTTGTTTCTTTGCCTTTAATTCCATCCACTTTATTTTGCTTATCATTAATCAATTTAATGAAGCATCTTTTCGTTTTCTTGTTTTTTTTCTTTTTTTCTTCTTTTGGTTCAAGGAAAATTTTCTATTTCGATGTTCTTCTGTTATCGCAGATTTTCATGACTTGAGAATGCTATGTTCGGTATTTTAAGCAACAAAATGGGGATGATTAAACTTGACTTTCTTCTTTCCTCCGTCATGTCTTGCTTTTAAATGTCATTTGAGGAAGTAAAGGAATTGTTCTTTTTTGTTCTTTCATTCCTCGTTGTGTCGCAATGACATTGGAAAATTGGAAGAATAAATATTTGTGTTGTCATGATATTATTTCCATTTTTAACATAAATAAATGCTAGCTCGAGTTATTAGCGAAATTTTTTAACTTATAAAAGGGACAAAACGCGATGTTATCACAAAGGAATTGACAGAAGTTTTAAACTGCTGCTTTTTCTTGAAAAACAATTTTTTTTTTTCGTGGAAGATTGAAAAGACTGAAAAGATGATAAATGCAGATAGCGATCTCCACCCTCACTCATTATAAGTTTTTATTTTTCCTTTTAATGAATGAAATATCCGACAAGTTCTAAGCGCTTGATGCCCAAAACAAAAATATTCAAAATCGATTTTTAGCTTTTGCCAACCAACAGTAAAATCTTGTTGTGAGAATTTTCTTGTTTCGAAAGCATCTGGCCACAAAAAACAAGTGAAGCGACTGGAAAGGTATGAAAATCTTTAAACATATTTCAACATGAATCATTAAAATTCTATTGAATATTTGAACTGATTTGAAAAATTCATATTTGAGCGTCCGAAGATTTCTTAATTCTTTGCAAGATGTTAAAGTAGAACTTTTTCTTAATTTTCACTTTAAAGTTTAAACCGAGAACTGATCTGATTGAAAAAAAGTTTCATCTAATGTTTGATGTTACATCTGAGAGTTGATTTGAAAAATTATTTGACTTCCCGTGAGAAACTTTAATAAAACAAGTTGAAAATCTCATTTCCTGTATCAATTCAAAATATCTAAAAGTTTAATGAAAACAGAAGCTTTCTACATGTGCAAAACAATCTGAAGTCAACATGTATGAAGCTTACCGAATCTAAAGAGAAGACAAAATATTTCGACAAATTCATTCGTTTGAAAACATGTGGAAAGTAATTTGCAATCTGTTTCACATCCAACAAACTCTCATACATGAAATTTCCATTCAATCCAATCATTCCTTTATTGATCTTTTCAAATAGTTATCGGACGAGGTTCGACTAGGATAGCTTCACTGTTACCCAGCATGTAAAACGATAACATTCCATTGTTTTTTTAATGTTATTTCTTTCTTGCATCACAGATCTGGAAAAAGAAAAATAGAAAAGAACTTTTCAAGCATACATTGATCGAGAATATTAATGCTTGACGGAAGAGAATGAAGAATTTACTTTTAGAAGAGAGATAATCATGCATATATTCCATGCTTGATAGATTTTAAAATCTCTTGAAAAACCGACATTATGAATAAACCTGTAAAACATCTCATGAAATATTTATTTCAACTCTTGTTCACTTTTGTGAGAAGCTGGAGAAGAAGTGAACCATCCTCCCGGAAAAGGTTTATGTCAGAGTGAAAAACTTTTCACCTGCCAGCAAAAACTAACCCGTGTGCTGGGTTAATTTCCCCATGTTTAAACTCGAAAGACTTTCAAAGAATATAAAGCGAGCAGTTTCACATCCTACTTTTTATTTTAACATTTCTTTTCTTTCCTAAGTCACTCAAAGAGTTTTAAAAGTAAACTTTCCTTTCTAAGCGGAGGATAGTAAAGACGAAAAGCATTTTTTTTTACCTCTTCACTTCTATTCCTAAGAAGAAAAAGTGTAAGGAAAAGAAAAATTCAAAAGTGTTTGCTGTTATACAAAAAAAGAAAGAAAGAATTTCGATTTTTTACCTTTCCAAATTTCTCGTTCCTTTGCCAACATATTTAAGGGATGAAATTGCTTGTTGTGTCAGAAGTAAAAGTTTTAATTTTAATTTGAAAGGAAATAAATTATTTCTCTCCGACAATACATCACAATCTCCAATCTCAATGTGTAAGATTAAGCGGGTAATACGAGAAATGTTCTCCTTATCATCAGCCTGTAAAAGGTACTTTTGTGAAAATTCGATCGACAACGGATATGTTTGTATGTAGGTTTAATACCCGTGCTTATGTTAACAGCGAACATCGATGAAATAAGAGAAAAAGGCAAAAGGGAGTTGAGGATATAAATAATTAATAATTTCAACAACATTTTGATTGATTAGACCTTAGAAAGAAAGGTCAGTGAGTTCGATGAAGATACCAAGGCTTATTCTACTCCTGATAAACGGCCATGAAGTGTTTGTTCAAGTCTTGATGTAAAGATTTCATTTCACATTGCTGACAACGAAAAGAAATATTTGTCATTTTCTTATTGACAGTTAAGCTTCCTCTAGTAGCATAGAAAATTATTTCTTGTTGTTTTATGTAATTGTCAGGAAAATTGAATCGGGTTTTTGCTTGCTTTATGTTTCACACATGATGTGTATTGTATGCCTACCACAAAGGATAGCATAGGCAATTGATTGAAGCCACAACAACAATATTTCTCACTCATCCCGTTTAACAGCACAACGCTGTTTTGTAAGGTATCTTATTCTCGTATCACTCTCTATTATGGCTTAACCAAATATATATCAAACATATATCTCTTCGAGGAGGCAAAGATATATCAGATAACAACATCAATCATTTACGAGAATAACAGAGCGGAGTCAGAAGCGTCAAGGATGAAGAAGAAATATTGTGTCGATATCCCATGAACAGCATCGATCATAATTTCGTATTAATCTTATCCAATCAGCTCTGTTATGTACATCTAAAAAAAGCTGTTCAACGTTTTTCTTTTCAATTCATTAAAGTTCAACTATGAGATGAAGAGGAAATTTCTATTAAAGTTCTTTTGAGTGTAGCTTTTCTCACTAATTAAATAAATCCAACAACTCGCTTCATAATGCACTTTCCAATAGTTGTGCAACAGAAAAAAAAAACTTTCTGCAATAATTTTTCTGTTATTTTTCTGTTGTTACGTTTGATTGCAAATTGAATTTTTCACAGTTCAATAAAGTTGCTGTGCAAATAAACAAGCAACAAAATGAGAAATAAAAATATTTATTTAATTGAAAATCATATTTTTCTAGTTTGTTGTTCTTACGATTGCGATAGCGATTGCAATTGAAAAAGCAAAGCTGATTCACCCGAACTCAAGCACACTTTGTTACGCTTCAATTTATTATTTTACTTTTGTCATTCACTTGGACGATGATGACGTTGATGACTCCAGAATCCTTGAAAGATTCGAGTTCTAAAAGTTAAGGAAAAGTTTGATCATGTAACCTTTGTTAAGTGACGTCTGAGAGCTTTCGTTCATTGACTTTTTGTTCATAATTATTCTCTAAAGAAAAACATTTCATTCAACGAAACTCTCATAAATAATGTGAAATGAATTTCAATCTAACAAAATGATTACGAAAAAATCCCAGGAAAGTTTCGATATTTTAATCTTAAGAGTGGGAAAAAATTTGCTGTCTGTTATGTCTGAAGGAAAATGAAAAATATTCAACATAAATCTAACGTAAGCTCTCCAAGAACTTTGAATGGAAATGAAAATTTGTTGAACCACTAAAATAATTTAGCTTTCGAGAAAACAGAAAACAATTGCAAATGAAATATTCAAATGCTTTGAATGCCAAATACATTTTCTAAATACTTCTTACACTTATTTTAATGCTTTCAACGATAAAAACATTTCACCGGAATTGGCATTTGCTTTTGCCTACCTTCCCCATCGTTGTTTTGTCTGTTATCTGTTTTTGCTTATTCTTTGTTTGTGTAAAGAAATGAGAAACACAAAAACAGCCCTTGACCAAGCAACGTTATTGTAACAAAGTTCGAGGCTGTTGGTTACCTTGGCAGAAGGAGAGAAACATATTTTTCCAAGCATAAAATCCTATTTTGAACTGCTTAAATATGTTTTTAATATCTATTTTTTCCTCTTGCCCCATTATTTTTATGAGCCAATGAAGAAGATGACAACAACACTCACTCTCCTCGCTATAACTTTTAAGACGATACAATTTCGAATCCCTCGACGTCGTGCTTAAATAAGTAGAAGAATGCCTAAAGTTTGTTTGTTTTTAACTTGAGTAGGTGGTGAAAAATGCGTAACAAGTCGTTAGAATCAGAAAAATGTTAAATATAGCAACTTCTTGTTATTCCTGCGTAGCAGCTATGTAGGTTGAAACATTCATTGTTGCTATAGCCTCTTCAAACTATCCCAACAATGGATGAAACTTTTCAATAATTTTTCTCGACTTTTCTGAAATTTATTTATCCTTAAATTGCCAGCATTCCTGCAGAATTTGAATTGCTTTCAATTTTCACAAAAAGTTGAATGAAAATCTCTCAAAATAAAAAAGAAAGTTTTCCGTCTATTGTGTTGGGCGTGAAATTAAATTAAAAGCTATTTCGTTCGTGATGACATCAGTCGTGAAGAAGCAGTGCTGGAAAAATACTTTAACATTACTTCCATTGTTATTATTACTTCTGGACCTTCTGGTTTAGTTTTTCTTTATTCCAGCACTCAACTCTACATTGCGGGAATTGTTAAAAAATAAAATAAGTTGATGGAACAAATGAAATACATTAAACATGGATTTGAGAAGGCGGAAGATCCTTGTCGCTTTTACAGGAAGCTAACACAAAAAGTACTTTAACTTTGTATTTCCTTTCACTCATTCCAATCTTCTGTCGTCATCCATTAACCGAAGAACTACTGACTTTGTGATGGAGTTTAAATTGCTAAATTAGTGTTTTGCCAAGGCAAATAACGAGATGGCAAGCTGTAAAGTGGAAAGTTGAAAGTCTCATGAAGTTGTCGAGCAGCGTCGAATCTCATTCTCTCGTTTTGCTGAGACATTGAAATAGCTTTCGAATAAATAAAGTTTCAAGTCATCTTCCATGTTGTGTGAGAAAATATCATCTTGACTTGATTTAATTAAAAACTTTCAACTATTTTCTCTACAATTTTAATCATATTCTCGATTAAGGCAAAATTTTACATGAAGGAACGTAAATTTGAGTGAAAGGTTGGATGGAAGCTTCAAGCTTTGATTTAACTTTATGCCACGCATTAAGCACAGTCTATCAACTGGTTTGTTGGTTTAGGATAAAGCAGAACCTTCACAAGGAAGAATTCAACCGCATATAAATAAAACAATAACTTTCATATTTTTCCCCCAACTCATTTTCCGGTTATGCGGTGACGAATGTTTAATAGAAATTTTCTCATTTCAATTCAAACAAACAACACAAAAGCATGGGACGAGATGATAAAAGAAAAGAAAAGAAAGGAAAGGAAAAGGAAGTAAAAAACAATAAGCAATCGTTCATCCTCAAATATCTACTAAAAACACATGGAAATTAATGAAGGAAAAACAATTTTTCGAAAGGTAAAAACGAATGAAAAAGTTTTATCTGTCTGTTAGGAGTCAAATTTCGTGCCATGTGGAAAAGGTAGACGAAGACGTGTGTTTATATTTCTCGAGAAAAAAGTTGAAGTCTTCGTTTTCCATATGATTTGTGAACTGAAACGAAAACAAGGAAGAGAAAAGGAAAAACAAATAAAATTTTCGGTACGAGTAAAGACGATCTGTTGAGAATCTGAATACTTTGAGACACCTCAGCAACGACACAAAGTGTGAGGCAATGAAGAACATAAAAGTCTATTTGAGTGGCACTTGAGAGAATTGTTAGAAAACACATAAAATTCGTCTGAAGACATCCTCCGTCTTATCAATTATTTATTTTTAAATGAAAACTTTCCATTCCAAGTTAAATTGGTTAAAGTCATAGAAATCAATAAATTATTCAATGTTTGATGCTAGATGAGAAATTTATTACTCGATCATGTTACAGAAAACGATAAATTAATTTTAACAAAAGGATTACGGTGGAGATGTCGACGGAAAAAAGTTTTATATCCAGCACATGATGATGAAATTTAATCCTTTTTTTCCGTGTATGAGCATACAAGTACTAAGTGTTTAATTAAAAATTAATCACAACTTGTTCTCGTTCCTTCTAGCAGCCTATCGTGTCTCCAATTTTGTTTTTCTTCTTTTTTCTATTGAGTGAAAATTCGTTCGGTCTTGTGGCGTTGGTTTCCCGTGATTTTGTTGACAGATTTATTGTGATTGGTGATGATTTTTTTTATCACTACCACCCACATTCGTCGTGTGTTCAAATCACGTTTCTTGATTATTATCACACAGCAACTTCTCATTCATAGACGGACACTCAAACTGTGAATTTTGCTTTAATTATCGTAAAACGCCCTGCTACCATAATTGAAAATTGTTTTTATGTTTCTATGTTCCGCTCCGAGGGTTTCCATTGAAACGTAATGCGATTTGTTCCCAAATTGATTATTAACACTCAACTCTTTTTAACTTTTTTTTGGCAAATTTATCAAATTTATTTTGCAAATGAAAATCTCTGTTTCATTTTATTTCCGCTTTTTTGTATCGAATGAATGTTCGAGTGCGGAGAAAAATTGCTTGAATGACCAACGATTGAAGCCAATGATGATGGCTGTGCTTAACATCACATATGTACATACATGCAATAATAAAACATGAAAAAACGACCGTATAATTAAATCTTATTTGAAATGATTCAATTGAACATAAATAACCAATTTTTCGAAGCAAACCCTCTTCACAAAATGATTTTCGGGGGTTGAATAATGTGCCACGGCCGGTTTCGCTTGAGATCCTAAAATCATTGAATCATCAATTTAAATATTTCGTCGTATTCATTTGAATTACACTTAATATGTCATCGACGTTTTGATGGTGAGTTGGTGGGAGGTTCGTTTGAATAATTTCTGGTGGAGGGCGGGGGCGTCACCAACATTTTGATGTGATTTTTTTTTATTGTTCTGATTTTTCATTATCCTTCTTCCGCTTCAATGAATGGTGGAAAAACTAATTAAACAAAAAATTAACACCGTAAAGAATGAACAGTTTTGAAATTGCTGACACGTGGAAAATTTTATTTTTATTGCAGGTGGTCGAGAGCTGTTGAATTATTATTGCGAGCAGATTCCCGGCGATGCGATGCTCTACAGCATGTTTAAAATTGATTCCGAGCCAGTCAAGTGTCCGGGACCATTGAAAGGTATGTAAAAATGTTTTTATTTTGTTTGCTATCATGCTGAGAGTTTAGGAACAACAATGACGATAAACTTCAATCAATTTCCTTTGAACAATAAATAATTTTATTGTTAAATGGGACAACGATGTCATTTTAATTAAAAGTAGGCTTCTCTTGTGTATGAAGTCATCAAAGGAAATGAAACCGTCACTTTTTTTACCATGAAAATATAACAAAAAGTTTAATTCTTTTATCTTCCGTTTAGGTCAATTTGCATTCACCTACAATCGGGGTCATGGCGAGTGCAAAAATCCAATTTCAAAGATAAAAAGTTGCACTGAAGATACTCGAATGATGCTCAACTTTCAAGCCTGTCCGGATGTTGATGGCACAGAAAGCACAGGTGAGAATAAAGAGAAAGGAAATTTAATCAATATCTAGAGGGAAAAGAGAAAAAAAACTTTTCCAACTTCATCATTTGATATCAAGCCTCAAGGGTTTTATATTGAAAATTTTAATCAAATTTCTATATTTTCACTTCTTCCACTTTTCCACTTCCTGAATGATCACACAATGCAGTTGAGGAACTGACTTGTTTAGCAACATGGAAGGATAATAACGCTCATTACATTGTTGGTACATTATCTCATAGTCTCGCAACATCGAATGAGGAACGCTTCCGATGCTTTGTTTACGAGAAAATTAATACAAACTCCGGAAAGCATGGTGAGTTGTCGTTTGTTAAATAAAATGATAGCGAATATAATTTAGGTCAGGAATATGTATTTACATTATTGCAGCACTGCAATGAATAGTGTTAATTTGAGCACATGAAACTTTCATTTGTGTAAATAACAGTGCTGCTACACAGTTCATTGAGTGTTGCTCTTAAAATTAAGTTTACAAAGTGTTAAATAACTGTTGAAATATTTTGAGGTGTGAAAAAGCTTAGGACTTTCTTACCCCCCACTTCTTGAAGCTTTTTCAACTTTACACCCCTTTACTCAGCCATCAACGAATATAAAATGCTTCAAGTTTCACACTTTGACTCTCTCAAAAAGTGTAATTAATTATTTTATTAAAGTCTTGAGAAATCAGGTTTCTGAAATAAGAAGACTTTTAGAAAACGTTCCCATTTGTAATGAATTACATAATAATGAAAGACTTCATTGAAATGTCTTAATAGAATTTGAAAGCTTTCAATTAAATCAGTGAAGTTCAACTGATACACTTCACAAACATTACATGATTAATAATTCAAAAACGAGTTTGGAAACAAAACAAATGTCAACATTTCAACAAATTCGTTTATTTTTAAAAGTTAAACACAACTTTAAATTCATTTTAATGAGTTTAAACAATCAAAACAATTTATATTAACCCTAAACATACAAATAAACAAAATTTTCGTAGCAACTATCACGAAACTTATCAATAATAAATCAAGTTTCATGCTTAAAGCAAAGTTCTCTTGAGTTGATTAATTCGAGCACCAAACACTCTCGTCGAACTACTTTATTTGTCGAACCCATTATTGAAGAAGGGATCGTAAATTTTCAAAATGAAATCACTCATAAATGTCGATAAAACATGTAAAAAGTTTGTGCTTGAATCCATCAACTTAATATTTTTTCGGACTGTATTTGACTTGATTGTAAAGAGGACACACTCTTCAAAGTCCAAGCCTCCCCTTTCGTTTCATGAGTCATGACATTCAGTATTTAATGATTGCTTTTGTTTCATTACTTGCCCATTCCCTTGATGAAACGAAACAAAAACCCATCAATGTTAACAACATGAACTGTTTTTAATGCTTATATTTATTAGTAGGTTCGAAAGATGTCGAGTATCGATTGGCACAGTCAGGCGATGCCACTTGTAGTGGATTGGAAAATTCTGAATATGGATCAAGGATCATGACGTTGAAGCGTTTCGGACCAGCAGAGAGATGCGACTTTCCAAAATGGTTTAAAGAACCTAAACATTGGCACTCACTCAATGGGGAATTGTCCTACAATGTTCATCAGAAGTATGTCTTGAATTTTAAATTATTTTATTTATTCCTTGCTGTGACGATTCTTGATGAGAATTTCAATGATAAATGATGAAGAAGTGAATGCTTGTTGAGTATTCGAAATAGCAAGGATATAGAAATTGCATGCATTCAGGGATTAGAAATGGAATTTTCAAATGCTTCCAAATTTTTGAACAGTAAACTGCCAGAATTTGTTGGAAAAGTAAAATAAATTTGAATTAGAAAGAATTTTCAATTATTTTTAGTTCCTGGAAATATCTTAAATCATCTTTATGCTATAAATTTTTCATGGAAAATATTTTACTATTATCTTTGAATACAGAAATGACGGAACAATTCACATAACTAAGGAGAAGCCGACACAACGTTTGGAATCTAGAGCGGTTTGTGAACAAATCAACAAGCAGACAGCAAATGAAACAATCATGGTTGTTGAACAAACTACTGGATGGTATGTTACAAGAAACCATTTCATTTCTGGATTATTTATTTAAATTTTCTTTTCAAAATAGTCACATTGAGAAGAGACTTTTCTCTTACAATGTCCCACATATTTCTTCAACATTGTTCTTTTGAATGAAATTCATCTCATACTATGCATCCACCATGTCTCATGGCTTCGAATATAATTCATGCATGAATGTATGACGAAGCCAGAAAATACAATTTCGCTCCATAATGGGAAAATATCTCTTTCGTTTCGTTCTTGTTCTTCTCACTGGTTTGTAACCAGAAGGAACGTGTTTGATAGGGGGAGGCAAAATATATAAATTGCTTTTAATAATTTTCAAAAAAAAGAAAAAGAGATGGAAGACGAAATGAGTTTAATATTCTGGTAATAAATAAAACAAAAGAGGATCTGAAAATATAACAAGAAAAATCAGTTAAAATGCTACACAATGCGAATGAAATATTATGAGTAAGATATCTATGTTGGTATATCATTCCACTCGTCTTCACTCATCATCATCATCCGTGTATGCAAATGCGCTGCCAAATGTGTTTTTTGTGTTGAATACATAATTGTGGGAAGCATTGTAATGAAAGGAAATCTAATTGAGAAAAATATCATTTTACAAAAGGAAATTTTCGTAAATATTTTCGTTACGAAATTGTCTCATATTTTCATAGATTGTGGGTGGAGTGAAGCATTAGTTTTGTCACATGATATCTTAAATAGATAATATTTCATAAATCGAGAAGAAGAAAATTCTTTATTGGCTTTCAATTTGTCATTCTTAATGGCGTCATTTTTCAAAATTTCTCAGATCACGAAATATCCATTAAAACATAACCTAACGTAAATTATGAATGTCCCCAAAATATAAATATTTCACTTAATTTTCATGGCATTAAATTTCTCTTCTTCGTCTTCCTTTCATGAATAAGATGAAGGAAGAAAAAAAAAGTGGAAAAAAGTGTGTGCATGGGTGGAAGTTTCATGAATGGTTGTGGGCCTTTAAAAAAGCGAAGATACATACAGAATTGATAATTTATGTTGCTCGTGTTCGTTAAATGCCACTTCTTCTCCGTCATCTTTTTATGTGGATGGAAATAGAAAAAAATTTTCTCATGGTTGACGAAATTTTGGGAAAAGCTTATAGAAAAGCTTTCAACAAGAAGCTTTCAGTAGTTTCCAAAAATAAATAACGACTTCACTGCCGCTTCATGTACGACGAGAGATAAACGAAATAAATCTTCTTTAAATTGTAAAGTTTGCCTTTTTCCCGGGAAAATGTGGGATGCCCAAACTAAATCCTTCGAATTGTCCTTTAATGTTAAATTACCAAGAAATGAAATCAACAGCAGAAAGGGAAATTATAAAATAAAAATTCCATCATCTAAATGGAAAAATAAAAATTTTATGTTGATTTACATCTTAAGCTTAATTTTATTACATCGTTACGCTTGTGTGTTTGTATTTGTTTGTTTTCCTCTCATTTTATGCGTGCAAACATTCAATCCTGACTCATGTGCTTCATGGTCTTACGTTTCTCTCTTTCTTATTCGCAGTAACACCGGCTTCTTATGTTTGGTGATATATCGACGTGACACACATGTTGTTGAATTACAAATAGGCAACCTAACATCACGTTTGGAAGATGCCTGCGCACCCGATCACTATGATGTCTCTAGAACACCATTTACCACTTTGTTAGGTACGATGAAAACACATTTTTCACGTTCAGTTGAATTGTAACCTCTCCCCGCACCATGCGGCATGAAAAAACAATGAGCGCGTGGATGAAAAAAATAAAAATCTGCGGCGTTGTTTTGTGGAGAGAGTGAAAAGCGACTGGCAGTAAAATGCGTTGAATAATTTAATAATTAATTTCATTTTCATCACAATATTGTTCTAAAATCAGCTGCAGCACCAACAGCAGAGTCACAGGAATGTCCCCTTAGTGGGTCGTATACTTTAACTGGTCCCTTAGGACCGCCATATATGATGTCACGTCATAAACGCAATCATATCAATGGCAGCAAGCAACATCATCATAATGCGCCGACACGTCACGACGTTCTCAGTTTCCGTAATGCTGATATGTTTGAACACAATTTACATCCATATGATCGATTAAACAATCAAAGACATCGACGGGATTTATCTAAATGTATGGGAGCGCATAAACAAAGACGACGATTGTCCATTGGTTGTTCTCGCGATGACATCGTCGAAGTTCATCCACAATGCAGCGAAGCTGGCGATGAAGGTTCGTAAAATTTTCTTCACTTTTTTATGCTTTCAAAATCTCGATTTAGTTTCGGGGTTTAGTGTGAAGAAAGGAAATTTTAGAGGAAGTCTCAAGAAATGTAAACTTTCAAAATCCCATTTCTTCTGTACTCCCACAATTTTCCTATCTTTTGCTCCATTATGGCACCAAGTCTTCCTTCCGATTTCTTCGCTTCAAAGTTTTTCTCTGTTTTCCTTTTTTTCTTCTTTAATGTAAAGATAAGTAAAATAGAAGAAAAGTGATCTGAAAAGGAAAGAAGAACAAACTATTCCATATATCCAAACTGAACTAAATTTCCTTTCTTTTTGTTTTCGATAAGCGACCAAGAGAATGACTTTTGTAATTTCATTTGCCTTTTTCTCTCCATTGTTCTTGTATATTTCATAACACAGAATACGTATGTCACGGTTCATGGACGGAAAATGATACAACATTCATCATAGCCCGTCACGCAGGAACCAAGCATGGCGTCTGTATTAGCTTTAAGCCATCAACGACTGACTCCACTGCTGCTCAATTAATCGTCGGTGACTCATGTTATCGTGAAACAATGTCATCAGAAATACCTGAACACCATTTAATATCAAATGTTACGGGTATCGTACGTGAGTATTTCGCCATTATCACATCTTCTTTTTTTAATTAATTCTCTCTACAACTCGGAAGAAAAAGCATGAGAACCATTAAGAAAGTTTGCGTCGGAATATTGCTTGCAAAGTCATTTAAGAAGACTTTTTTGTTACACTGAATATTATGCTCGAACTTCGAAGCGAGCTTATTATTGCTAGATAATATCAACAACAAGATTCTGTAATTAAATGACAAGAAAAACATCTTTTGGTTTCTATAAAAATACTGAAATAAAATCTTCCAACTTTCTTTTTTTACTCTCGTAACTTTGATATTTAAGCACAAGACAAATTCATGCCAACACTTTAATGAAACTTTTAACTTCAATTCCATGCTTCAGTTGTAGAGAACTTAATTACTCTCAATTGCGAGGAAAAGATTCCAAGCAATTGATTTAACATGCTTTCTGTAGAATTTAATTACAAAAAATTTTCTTTTTCAATTTTCTCTTTCGGCACATGTAGGAAAATGTGGTGATACAAGTTCATCTAGTAAATTATCAAATTACTCACTACTAATTAGTCTGACATCGTGGACTGCTATAATTTTATTTAGACAACAGCAACAACGGGTGATAAGATAACAAATAAATGTTTAAAAACTTAAAGATGAAAAAAAAAATTAAAAAAAACTAAAAAAAAACTTTGTCATTACCGTCATTTTTCGAAATTTTCTGTACACTTTAATTCTTCATGTTTAGACATCGCCGTTTTCTATTAGTTTAAAAAGAAAAAATGACGCGATGATGATAAGAAAGTTTCTTTGATATCATCAACAACAATCAGAAGAGAACGCAGAAGGACTTAACTTCATCCTTCAAACTATTAGACATGCGATTATAAGTATTTCACGAAGAAATGTACAGAAAAAAATGGACATTAAGAGAGATGAATTCGTTTCACAACCACACACATACATGAGATAAATAACTTTTGCTGACCAAGTCGAATAAAAAAAAAACAGTAATTTATAGAAAGCACTAGGATGAAAGATGAAAACATTATTTTGTAGCTACGTATGTGTGAGTGAAAACGTAATTAATGGAAATGACATAAAACACAAGAAAGAAGACGAAGGAAAGAAAGAAAAAAAAACTGGAAAAATCTATTTATATATCTTAAGGGACACGGAAGAGAAGGAAAAGCTTCGATTAGAAGAGTGATGACATAAGCTATTTTTGCTTTAGTTTTATCTTGTTCCTTCGGTTGACTTTAAATTCTCTAAATGTTTTATCGCCCATGATAAGTAATGTACAAGGGCGAGAGAGAGAAAATTCGATTTACAGAGTTTTTCGCTTTATATGAGATGGAAGAATGGAAAAATACGAATCGAAGTTAAGCCAGGAAAAAAGAAAGGAAAAAAATGTAAATCTTTAAATACCATCATGTCTAGGACTTAACCTGGACAACCCCCAGTGAACCTTTAGGATTTATTCTAAGATATTGAATTGATATTTAAAGTTAATGCCCTTAAACACAATAACAACACGATAGAAAAACGTTTGATGCTTTTTTTTACTGTTCCTTGCAAAACTTTTCCTTTTAGGACTTGAGTTTTTCATTACTTATTTTTTATTTCCTTTTAAAACAAAAAATAAGCACACAAAAGAAGAAAGAAAGAAATAAAAAACGATAAACTTGTAAAGTGAAAACAAATAAGGTGAAGAAAACTATTTAATGTTGCATTTAAGTAAGAAAAAATAATGAAATTACATCTAGACTATATCCCAGTATTTTAAATAATTTTTTGTCTGTTCTTTTTGTATAAAAAACATTGCAAATGATTATAAAAGGGAGAATTTATGCGGGTAGAAGTTGAATTTAAAATGAATGATAATTTTTAAATCTCTGTTTCTTGAGAGTAGCTTAAATCAAATTCAATGGAAATGAATTTACAAACGCTTTTAATTTCAAATCAAAATTCATCCTTAAACATATTTCAGACATTCAGCTTAATCCCGCATAAAATGACTCTCGATTTAAGAACATACCAGAAATTAAACTCTTGAAATTCAGATTCAGAAAAAAATTGAAAACTTGGTGTATTATGTAAAATTACTAAATATTTTTATTATAATGGAAAAAAATAAAAAAAATGAATGAAAAAAAAACTTGCAGTTCTTTTTATAGTGACCGCTGGAGTTTTAATTAATTTTTAAATTCTTCTGACTGATGTACCGAGCAGCTTTCTTTTGCAGAATTCATACAAAACTTCGCCTCCGGATCATCGTCGAATGAAAAAATTCTCTCATTACGCTAAATAGGTTTTTACTTAATTTTTCGCTCATTTATAATTTGCGCCCTGCCCTCAAAGGCATGAAATAAATTTACATATTTTCCAATTAACTGAAGCAAGACAGTCGGAAAATGTAAGAAGAAAAACGAGAATATTTTAGAAACTGATATTATCATGCGGAAAATAAATGAACACAAGGAAGAATAACCTGAATTATGCATGTCTAATATTTATGAGAATCTCTTGATAACTAATTGAAATTTAAATTTAATTACCAATTCGATTCTCTCCCTCGTATTCATGTTCAATCACTTCCCTGCAAGCTATTTATGTCGCGTATTATTTGCACAAGTTGGTGAATAAAAAAAAGACTTAAAACATTTTATTTTCCCCGCAATCATTCATTTAACATTCAAGCATCGAACGAATCGTAGCCGAAAGGGAGGAAACGGTCTGATAATAGAGAATTACTCAAATATATTGATGCACACCCCGAAATTGAGTCTTCTGTTGATCGATCGTTTAAGTTAGAATTTCGAAGCAACTTCAGGATGGAATTTTCTTTCTCGCAGCATCTCCCGGTTCGTCGACTCACCGACAAGGAGGAATATTGCATTTTAACTTTAATCCCTTAAGCATGCAGTTTGTGTATTTATGGGATTTACGTTCACATCTCCCCCTTTGCTTTTTACAAGAAAACATTTTCATCATCCCTGATCGCTTTCGGAGTAATAAGTCATCAACCGTAATGTGTATTCATCTCTTTATGGATACAGAAGACGTTGTTAAAGTTATCAAACATATGGAACCCTTGAAGCAATATTGAAAGGAGCAAACAGAAGCTCAAAATCCTTATCATAATTACTGCAAATACTCGTGCTATTGATGGATGTCGATGAAATCTTTCGTTTGGGGTGATGTCTTGTAAAAAGCAAAACACTGAACAGAGATTCTCTGATTGCTCCCTTTTTTTCTTTCTTATCGCCTTAAGTCATTGCAACCTCAATTTGTGTGCAAATATCATCAATGTTGCTGACATCTTCCGAATATTTACAAACATTTGACGTTCTTTTATTATCTCAAATTTCCAATTAAACTAAATCATTTTTCAACTCAACCAGTCGTCATGCACGGGATGAACGAAATTAAATTTCATTTGGAATGTTAACATCATTTTTCTTAAAGCAATTGGACGAAAAATCCATTTCCTTTTCACTTCCCCTCGCTGATTTTCCAGACAATTCTCAAAAAAAAAACTCTGAAACTCATTTTCATGAGATAAGAATGAATAGAAGCGAGAAAAAATAGAAAACTTTTTAACAGGATGTGTGTTGTCTACATCTATGACTAGTAAAAAAAGATTTTAAATTTCTCTCTATTATCTACCATTAAAATATTTTTTATACGATGATCAAATATTTGATTCACTTCTTATCCGGAACTGGATATATTACATTTGTTTGAACTGCTTCGTTCTTTTAGATACGATGCCATGTTGAATATGAGAGAATGTTGAACAATTCTATGACCATGACAAGTTGAAATTTGATAGTTAAGCACAAGCACTATTTCCATGCTCAAATAAAAACTCGTCTTTATTTTCTATTTCATTCGTAATTAAATATTAATCGTTTCCAAATTGATGTTGATTTTCATTCGTTAAATCAACAAGGAAACAGAAAACTTTCTTTTCTCCCACCATTTTTGCACTTATCTGCAGGCAAGGCACATTAAAGCGAAAAATCGCCTTGTTGTGTAGAAACCACCAAGGAAATTAACACTAGAAGAATGAAATAAAGAATGGGAAATGAAGAAGAGCGGTGATGGCAAAAGCAACGATAACAAAACCCAACAAGAAAAAAAAGTTTTTCATTACATATTGTTTGGCTTTTAATCACTCTTTGCCTTTTCACAAAAGCAATTAGTCTCCGTTCTCGAATGATGGCGTGCAGCTTGAACAAAGCTCAAAATAAGCAGAAAATATTCAATAAGTTAAGCTTGTACAAAATTTAATGAATATGAAATTCAACGCTTAAAAGCTTTTATAAAATTTGACTGGAAAGTCCATCACTCATTTCGGATCTATTTTCTTGAAATGACATTTTCATGTTCGACTGAATATAAAAATAAACGAACGAATCGAAATTACACTCACGTATCGAATTATTTATTATACCGACAACAATATTGATGGACTGGCATTGTCAAAAACAAATAATCTAATTGGATTTTAATACGTGAAATATCGCTTTCAGACACTGCAATTTAATTAAAATGGCAACCGCTTGCCAAAAATTCTGATTGATATAATTTTTTTCTTTATCCAACTAATCTTTCAAACAGACTAAGTAAATAAGTAAGTAAGCTTGTTTGAATATTTATAAAGCTTTCCTTCTTCTTGATTTACATTGTTAAGTTTTCACAGAAATATTTTGTGGATAAAGAAGAAAAGGAAAATATTTTCAACCTGCTGCCAGCATTCAAATGCTTTCAACTCTTCATTTTCTATACAGAAAGAATTCTTACTTATTTATTCAATAAAATTCTTTTCTTTATCTCATAAAAAATTCTTGTGAAAATTTTCGACATTAAAAGCTTCTCAGCTTAAGTTCTTCTTATTTTGTAAAATAATTTCCGCTACTTCTTCATCCATAAAATTGCATCAATGGAATTTCCGTACTAATCTGTGTAAGTTTTCATCTTCATCGTGTTCTCTATGAATATAAAAAAATGTGATTTATCTTTAAGATTGCACAAGAGACAAAAGCTTCCATCATAACACAGAATATTAATGTTTTCTTATCAATTTTGTCAAAGCAAGTCACGTTTTCGCATCTACAAATAGAAAACAAATTTATACTTTCAATATTTCCAACTGATATCATAAATAATGAGCTCGAATAAGCAAGCTTTTTCTTTCCTTTCGAGAAACGTCGAGATATTTATTTTTATTCATCTTAAGAGGAAAAACACGCTTAGATTATTTGTATCGACATGACATCAACATGGCGGTTTAAATTGAACAACTCCTTATTGTTTCTTATTATTCATCGCTTGTAAATACATTTCGAATTCGACCAAGATTGTTGTCAAACACAATTGTAAATACTTGAGCAGTGGATTATAAATTTTAATGTAAATTTAATCTCCATTGTAGTTTGGAAAAAGTGGAAGGAAGAACATTCGCATAAAATGAATAAGACAATGTCGCAATCTTACTTAATCCTTTATTTGTTCATTCTTCGAAAGAAAAGAAGTATCTAAGTATTAAAAAGTTTGAAGGAAAAGAAAGTTTTAGACTGAATCATTTCCATTCTTGTCTCACATTTTATTTCATTACTCTCTGCTTCTGTTGATTGTCAGTTTGAGAGAAGAAAATTAACATTCATGACAAAAAGTGTTACGACAGACTTTTCTCTTCCCAAGCCATTGTTCCTGACAGCATTTAACATTTTACGGGAAAAACTCAACTTACAATTAAACTAACGTCGGGAGGAAATCTTTTCCGAAAGAAGCACTTTTCATGAAAAGATACACAAAGGTACTTAAGTAATTAGAATAATAAATATTTATTCACTTTCACTCCCAAAAGCTTTCGTTGAATTGTAGATGAAAATTTTAAACTCCCTCGAAACATGAAATCGTGCCGAAATTCTCATTTTAGCATCATCATTATGCAATCATAAAAGTATTTTTAGTGTTTCAGTTGTAAATTTATTCAAATTCGTGTTTAGTCATAATTAATCGTGTTAATTAAGCAGATTAATTTTTATATTTTGTTGAATGTATTCTCTTGTTAGCTTAAACATGATTCATGATGTAAGTTGTCTTGCGACAAGTTAGACTTTAGTAGATAACAAAGTTCTCTTTTTTTTCTTTATCTTCGATGAGCAAAGTCTCATCAGAACAAGTAACAGTCGTAGTTATTTTCACTTCATCGCTTTCTATGAACGTAAATTTCATCCATAAAAACTGTCAATTAAAAATAATTGATATTCAATATGATACTGCTGACTGACTTGATTTATACTAACAGCAGTATGAATTCAAGCGATTAATCTGATTTAAATGGATTTAATGACAGCAGCTTTTGATGTGCACTTGAATTTCATCTCTTGCAAAAGCTTTACAATTTCTTTTTATTTTTGATTGCAATGCATATTTTGTGGATTTAAAATATTTAATTGTACATTATTCAATATTTACTTCTTGAACTGATGCTTAAGATAAAAGGAGAATCACTTTGAATTTGAATGAATGAAGCTTTAATGTAAGAAGTATTAAAGGATCAAGTTTGTGAGATGGCGAAGATAAAATCTTATTTTCTCGTGCGGTTTTACGATGGAAAATTCCAAAGTCATTAATTATAATTTTACCACAAATTTTTCATCTCATCACTTCAATGTTTCTCATTTCACCCTTTTTAGTCTGAAAAGTTGTAAGATGCAACAAGTATTAATTGAATGAAATTTATAATGTGTATCAAATGCAATGAAATATGTAAATCGGTAAATATTTGCGGAAAATAATTATTCAGAATCTTTTCGAAAAGAAGAAATCTTTTTCTTTCTATTTACATATAAACGAACATTAGATATCTTCTTTATTCATCGCAACATAAATGTGTAATGAAGCATGCAACAATTTCTTTGGTAACGCACAGTAGATGAAACCTCAAGTCCCGAACGATGGTAAATAAAAGGGTGAATGAAATCAATTTTGCATGTCATTTAATGTGAGAAAGGAAGGAGATTTCTTCAAAATGACTTTCGAATTTCTTCTTCAGCATCTTCGCTTCCTTAAGTAATTTATAATTTGAATTTCATTAAACTCACTTCTTTAAACTGCTTCTCCCACTTACGACTTAAATTTTTTCTAAAGATATGAAACTTTTATATGAAACTTTCGATTCGTTTTATTTTATTTTCTGTGATGGAATAAGCATTGCTACTTGAATAAGTACACAAAATTCAATTGGATTTGCATCGAAATCGGATTGAAGACATTATTCTTTCGTTCTGAGTCTCTCACTTTCTCAGACGTTGTTGTTTGCAAAAAAAAGCAGAAAAATCGAAAAACCCTTGAAGAAAATCCAGGAGCGAATGTTCTCTATCAAAATTGCATTTCAGCATTTACTCGCGTGAACATTTATATCGTTTGATGTAGCAGTTTTTATGCATACTGATTTGATAAACTAAATGTAATGCGACACGACTTTTATGTCAAGATAGGATTCGAGAAAAGAATTTTAAAACTGAAAATATAAAATTGAAATCGGAGTTGAAGCGATTACAAATCTACTTTATTCGTACAATGCTGTGACGATGTGATTTGTTCTGTAACAAAATACAAACTGATTTCTTGCTTTCATCCTTCATGGAGAACAAGAACAAAACATCGAAGCATAGCAAAGCTTTTTGTTCGTTGATTCGTGGAAAATTTTCTTTTTTTGAATTTCCTTTTACATAAACTTTGATATTTTCCTAATACTTATGCTTCCTTACTTCGTTGATTTTTCCTTTTTTCTTTATTTATAAAAGCTTTTTCTTAGAAACAAGAAGAAACGACAAACAGAATCGCAAAAGAAAGTGAATTCAAGAGGGACCATTAGCGAATAAAGATCTCAATGCTCTCATATGGATCTAAACAAAAAACAGAAAAATCTTCTTGTCTTTCTTATTGGAGAATAAATATGAGAGAAAAGGAAAGGAAATGAATATTAAGGTATAAATATATCAAGTAAGAATTTGAATAAAGAAGTATTGTTAACTTTTATCTTGTTGAACGGAAGGGAAAAGCGGCATGAAGATTTCATTCCTTCGCATTGTTATTTTCTCATTCCACAAGCTCGACTAAATATTGAAATCCTTGCGCTTTTGTATACCTTAGACTTTTGTTTGTTTATGCACTGATGTACATAAATTTTGTTGAGAGAATTTTAAAATGTTGGAATATTTTTTTAAGGTATTTAAATATTGAGATATTTATTGAATCATAAATATTTCCAGTAAGATTCCCTGAATGATTATTTTAATTGGAATTTTCCATTAATTCCGATATTAAAATGAAAAGTTGGAAAATATTTTCAACAAAAGCACAGTCAGATGATGAGAATTTTCAAGTTTTTTTGTGAGATATTTTAATAGCAGAAACATAAAATCTTTTCATCTTTTGAGGGAAATTTCATTTAACTATTGTTTTTATGTAGATTTTTAATCACAATGGCAGGTTCTTGAAAGAAGAAGAAAATCTTTCTGAGATAGCATTTAAAATTCTTGTAAAATTCAATAAATTCAATCTGTGAAATTCATTAAACAGAAGATTTAATTAACCTTTATTAGTCATTATCATCTCTAACGTTAGTGACATAAATCGAGAGTCTTCTACAGCTTCGTTCGTTTCCCCTTTTTCCATACCACGCCACCAGCATTTTCTTGCTAATATAATTCAATTGGGAATTTCCTTAATATTTTAAATTAAATAATTTCGCTTTGCATGTGTATAAATCTGAGTTTTCGTATATTTTATCCTGGCTTAAAAGGAAAACAATTGGAAATAATTTATTACCAACTGAAAATGTCATTTTCATGCCTATAGCGAAAAGCGAATTCATTTCGTAAATGAAACTGAAGCGATACGAGAAATAAAAAATTCGCTAGCAGGAATGTAAATCAAGAGAAAACGCTACACTTATTGACAGAATTTTAATCGTTTGTCCGCGAATTTTTCACTGCTCTATTTTTATGTCTCTTTTTCTGTTTTTGGTTTAACCATCACACATGCCGAAGGAATTTCAATTTGAATAAATGTGCAGTTTTCATGCTATAACTTTATTCACGATTCATATAATGGAACCATTGGCAATACAATAAGCCATAAACATTTCACAAAAATTCAACAGTCTATCAGAAAGCGCATCTTTTGCAGTATTATGTACATAATAGAATTGAGAATGGCTTATCCAACCATACACTTCAATGAATGAAATAGTTTTCCTCTCGTTCTTCTCTTACTACCTTGTTTTTCAAAATATCACGAATTTTCACCTATTGTAGCAATGCACAGACGGTGTCGGCTTCCATAGCAACATTATTCTCAATAATTAATATTTCGATTGGCGATAAATGTGCAAGCATTTGTTGGCATCAATATTTGCTTGAATATTTTGCACATTTTTTGATTATTATATTGAAACACTAGCGTGCTATGGAGATGACTCATTTATGGGGAAAAGGAAAGAAGGATTTCAAAACGGAAACTCGTTCATGTACAGATCAGATTTTAATTATAGGTGCATTTTGTTAGGACGTTCTTTTATCTCTCCCTCTCACTTCCTCTATACAATTATCTTCAGGCATTCCTATGGAAAATGTGAAAATCTATTGAATATGGTAGAAAAAAGAAGGAATTTCAGCCTTGGTTTGTGTTTCCGACACATGAAATGGAAATATGTAGTAGCAATTGTATTTTTAGCAGCAATTTTATATGAATCATTCATAGTTTTAGATATGCTTACTTACATTCATAACATGAATTCAATGAACAGCTTAATACTCAATTCTGAAGCACGCATTATTCGATGTGATATTCAATAAAAATAAAAATAAAAGCGCTTCAAATACTAAAACAAAGCAGACAAAAATATTGATGGATAAATGGAAAGGAAGGAGAAAAAATATCACATTTAGATATCTTTCTAATGTTTTAGTTTTGAGATGATTCGAGTTGGAAAAGTGTCATATGAAGATTGAAAATTTCCGCAATTTGCTTTGAGGTCGAAACCATATCCTTATCAAAACAGTCATAACATAAAAATGATACTGTGAACATGAGTAAGCATTCCAAAACTAACATTTATTCTTCATCGAGTTGAGCAGCTAACAATTCCACGGGTTATTTGACAGCAAAAGAAATAAAAAACCATTTCATAGTTTATGGATTGCGAAAAAGGAAAGAAATCTATTTTTATGGAATTATTTGTCTGGAAAAATGTAAATTGCTTTCCGGATTTTATGTGCGATCAAGATTTCTTCCATTAAGCTCCTTTCACACAAAAAAATACTGAAAAGAAGAAAGAAGAAATATTCACGATTATTTTTCATTCTTATTAAAACGCTTATATGTGGCGATGAAGTTTGTTCGTGAGGAAGAAATTAAAGAAAAAAAAGGAACGAAAGAGAGACGAGAAAAGCTTGCACGCTTTCTCCGATCGAGTGACAATTACAAGCCTTTTTGTTTGTGCTCATTCTTAGGGGGAGGTCTGAGTAAAGCATTCACAAAAGTTAGTTTTAGTCACCACAAACAGCAGTCAAAGTGTATGAGGCATAAATAAATTATTCAAATGAGCTTTCCGACCATAAAAAAATATAATTTAAACGCATACTTTTCTTCTGTGATATTTTGTTGTTTACTTGGTCAAGACGTTAACTGAATTGAACGTAACTCATGTTTTGTGTGGGTGGAGAGAGGGAAATTCTAGAGTCAAATGGTTATGGGGCGGCAGGGCAGGAAGGATTTTGTCATTATGCCAGAGCTGAGACATGCAATATTATTCTTTCATGAAAATTACGAATGAAATATTGAATATGCGTGACGCTCAATTTTGCTTTTAGCTTTCCAAAAGAAATGTATTCATTATTTATTATTTATTCAATTGTCTGATTCACGATTCATGATTAGATTAGACTTTGAATATATCATGTCGTCAGGGTTTTGCCTTTTCCAACCGACTAATGCTTGGTCGAGTGACACAAGATTGATATAAGTGCCGTTGACAATATTTATACATACACAGAACTACATTTCTTTATCAATCTGTAAACAAGACACAGATATCATGTTAGAAGTGCTGTAATTATTCTAATGTAAGTAAAGTATTTAAATTGGTAGTTCTGATATCGGTTACTTTGAATACAAAACTCCCACCACAACATAAAGCTAAACTATGGAAATAAAACTTTCAAACGTTCACCTGATCAGTTATTAAAATATTCTTCAAACATTTAGCCTTTGGAAGCACGAAGCTCGTTTATTCAGACAGAAGAAATTGTAGATATATAAAATGAAATAAAAAGCATGAACGAAACAACATATAAATTATTTGTACACGGTAACCAGGTGCGTTACTCAAAATAATGTAGAAAATGTATCACTGAGTTATTAGTTTTTTGTTTGCATTCAAAGAAATTTATTGTTCGCATTCCACCATAAAAATGAGTTTTCATTTGATAAATATTGTCGGGGTGCTCAGTCCCAGGCTTAATTGCAAAATGGTTTACCTTCTTTTTTTTGAAAAAAGATTCAAAAAACAAGAAAACATTTTTTGTTATTTATAGTGAAAAACATTGGAGCTTTTCACGCGGAATTTTTCAATTAAGGAGAGGAATTTAAGGCTTAAAATTGTATTCGTTCAATTAAAATTTTGTTTAACGACATTTTTATCATTCCTTGATCCGCATATAAGCAGAAATTTTAATAATATTTTCAGTAACAACGTTAAAAGCAAGCTTCAATGTCAATATGTTTGCCTTCGCTTTATGGAAAATGATTAATTGATTTACGGAAATTACAGTATCGATAAGTATCACAGCTACATAGTGAAATATTAGGTTTGAGATTAGATTTTGAAATAATACTGATAAGATTTTAGTGAATTTGGTTACAAAGCAAGGATACAAAACTTAAACTGTTTCCATGATTATATAATTTGTATCCAATCAAGCATTAAATTTCAGTTTGATTAAAAGATATTTAACATATATATTGATATGTTAATATCGTTAAATATTTCCTTACTGAATTTGAAATCAAATTAATGCTGGAAACCTTTTTATGCTTCTGTCTTCTCAATATTTTCTCATCTTATGAATAAAATTAATATTCAAAGTTAGTAATATGATAATTTCAGAAAAAAATATCACTTAGAATATTCCTTAATTATGAAAAAGTGCTTGAAGACACATCGACTCTACAATGTTCCTTTATCTCAAATTAAATTAGGATAATTTTACTAACACAATTTATATGAATATATTTTAGAAGTTTTGTGATGACTTTTAGATAACTAAACTTTGTAGACTTTGCTTCACTTGTGCAGATATGAGTGGAATGATACATTTATGGGTGAAGACGAACATTCTAAAAATAACGTTTAACGATAGCAAAAATCATGATGGAATTTCTTGATAAAACTTGACATCATTTTTTTCTTAATTAAGGTAGATAATATTAAATTTTGTTTTAATAGATTCAACTCATGTATGAACTTCTAAGTAGATCATTTTAGTTCCAAAGTAAGCATGACAACGTTTTCAAATGTTTTAATTGACAGTATTTACATGAAGATTTTATGAAGAAATATTTTGTCAGAAATGTCTTCTAGAAATTGATGAGACGAACTTACAGAAAGTTCACTAAAGTTTTAAATATTTTACTCTCTCTAATCGGTTAGACTTATAAAGTTAAACCTTTAGTTAGGCTTAGAAACAAAGTGAAAAATGAAGAACTTCAAAGTTATGCTCGCCAAGTAAAGTTGTGTATCAATTTCTTCATTTATTGCACGATATCAATGTGAGATGCTCAAGAATCTCAGATGTGGTTTGTGCTGTTGGTATCGTCTGGAACAAGGTCTTGAACAATTTGTTGATACTTTGCAATACACATTTTTCTCAACACAAAACTTTTAAATCTTTAAACTCGATTCAACTATGCTTGCTTCTCTTCTTCTTCGGATATCTTCTAATGTTACGATTCTATCTGTTTTCATTTACTTTGTGTCTGTAGTGTAAGTAAAAGTTTTGATTTTATTGCTTAGGAAAAGGAAACGTTTTTGTCTCTTAGAAATGCGGAACTGCGTCACATATTAAGATTTCTGCTATTTACAAATTTAAATTTTATGCTCTCGCTTATGCTTACAGATATTTAAATCAGAACATTAGAAGTTTTATCTCGTTGTGTGTGGGTGCTTGTTGTTGAAAAAGGAAGCTGGGATACGGATGCATGTTTTCTGCAAAGATTTACGTAAGTACGTTCCATCGTAGACAACAGCTGGGTATTTATGTAATCACATTTCTAATCTGATGTATTAACATGCTGCTAATTATGCTAGCACTAAGCATGCACTAATCCTTATAGCAATTGAATAATTACAACTTAGCTTAAAACTTTTGCAATCATAAGAAATCCTTCATAAATTCCAATGCAAATTATATGCTTTAAACAGAATGATTTATTTGACCAAAAATGCTTTTGCATGCATTCTGTTATCATCATAGCTTTATGTGACTGTCACAGAACGCAATCATGACTTAGCAAATATTTAAGTAGATGGAACAAAAAGGGGAGAAATTATTTCTGTAGTTTATTAGCGTTTTTTTTCTCTTTTTCATGCTAACACCCGCATGGAATAATCATCATCGTGCGCTGACAAATAACACACTCATTTCACAAGGCATAGAACTGGAAAAAAAGCATAAAACATAAAGAATGACGACGAAATTAATTGAATTAGAGCACACATTTTAATTTTCATTATTGTCCCAGTTCAAACATATCTTTTCCATTTGCCCTCAAACGTCGACATAGACGATGAGTTCGCTTCTCTTTGTTTTCACTGCCCTGCACATGAACATAAAAATGTAATCGAGATGAGAAGGAGAGAGAACAGAAAAAAGAATAATTTTTTGTAGTTCCAGAGTTCGCCTTGATAACCATGGAATGTGCAAAGAGACGGCAAAAACAAAAAAATGTATAATTTAGTCTACGATTCTGGGTGGTTGTAATGTTCTGCATATCTCTGCGACAACTTCTTTCTCTTCTTCTTCTCCATCATCTTTTTTCATCTCATGGTGGTACATACAACCTGATGTACGTGCTTTGTTTACCTAATTCCCAAAAGCTAACACAAAAAATGTCATAAATCAATTCGGCAACGTATCATTATTTCATATAGTCGAATGCAAAATGCCATTTGCCTCCCATTCGTTTGGCGATGGTGTGTTGTCTCTACACTCGTATTCTACAAACACTCTCGTCTCATCTGTTGTCAATTTTCCGCAAAATTTTACAGCCTCAGCGCTTTTCTGGGAGTCGTTAGAAAATTCAAATTTTTAAAGCCTTTTTACGCATTTAACTTTTCTTTCTTTTTCATATTTTTGTAGGCGTTGTTTTGGAAAGCATCCTTATATTACCCATCCCAGGAAGGCAATAAAACTTCAACTGCTTTTGGAATTTCGAAAATATTTCTTTAATGTTGGTTGTATAGCGAGTTTTCCCCAACTTTGGGGCTTGAAGACAACATAAAAGGAATCAGAAAACTGTATTGTCAGCAGCTTTAAAGAATGGCTGGTGGGTAAATACTTGAAAAATAAGCAGACTACATACATTTCCTAAATTACTTTGATATACATACTCGATATAGAAGCACATCTTCAAGGAACACAAGCGAGCAACTCTTGAACAGATTTAACTTTGCCCAAAAAATAAAAATTGAGAGAAAAAGAAAAACACACTCGAAACCTTTTTTATCATTTTAAGGCTTCTAAAATGTTATCATTTACAGCATGTATCCGAAACTTTCCTCACCCCACAATGAACAAGGATGTTACTTAGTTAGAATATCTTTCATCATGATTTTGAATGTCCTGCGAACATGCTATGAAGCCACAAAAGTTTCTATTCATTCCCAACATAACACTGAACTAATGTCATCATGCAATGACATAGAAATTCTCTTCGTATTTGCAATCAACTCCAAATGCAATATGCCAAGAGAACTCAATGCCCGGCTAATTACACTTTTCCATTTATTTTGTTTCCATTTTTTTTTATCGAATTTGTTTCTCACTTTTATAATGACTTTTTCATTCTAAGCATTTGGTGTCATGCGAAAGTATCATGTTGAAATAAAATATATAGAACATAAAAAAATGTATGTGTAACATGTTTTTTGTATCGAGATACGTGATGTTCATGTAAAAAACCTAAATCGAATTATTTTATTTTCTTGGTGTGGCTCAAAGTTCTCATTTTTTCACTTCTGACTGTGCTTGGCTTTAACAATTCGAGAGAAGGATCGAGGTAGTGATGATTATGGTGGTAGTTGTTATCAAAATTCCATTACTTTTAATTTCATTCCAGTCATTTCTATATGCCATGCATATCACGACATTTAAAGAATAGTTAAAAAGGAATTGAAGGGAAAAAAAGCACAATTACTGAATTTGAGAATGTCATTCCCTGGAGGTTTTATCAACGCTTAAATTCTTATCTTGCAAGCGACATTAAAACCTTTTAGATTCATTAAGATCATCCCCTAAATGTGATGGAAAGAAATGCTTGCAGTAATTAACATATTTTCATTACAGTATCTAACACCGAGGAATTACTTTGGAGAAGTTCAAAAAAAAAAGTTTGATACAATTGTCGTGAGGCAACAGAGCAGTTAGCAAGAACTTTTTCTGTTATGAAATTTCCTTTGTAGAAATGACATAAATTGTTTGCAGAAACAATTAAAGGTTCTCAAAAGCGACTGAAACAACATAAAAAAAGTGTAAGAGGTACATATGAAACCAACAAAACAACCGAACAAAAAAATTGCGAAAAACTTTTACCTCAATTTTTTATTAAAATAAAAAAAAGCAAGAACTGCCGTCACCGCACAGTTGATTTGAGGAAAAAAATGAAATTTCACGATGATTAAAATAACAACATAAAAATAACAGGAAAGTAAATATGATTTATGATTTTCATTTGTCATTCGTATTCATGATTTGAGCTTTCCTTCTCCCTCTTCCGTCATTTCGAGTGTGGTTTGAGTTCCTGTTTGTTTTTCGTTTAATTTTGTGACGACGAAGTCGATGTGTGATCTCCGCCGCATTGTGGCAATGAGAATGCAAGCAAAAATGTTTTTCCTGTTAAATTAATTAAAAAACAACAGTATTGAAAGCGGTAACAATATAAAAGCAATGCACATACATGAATGAGAAAATATTTTACTCGCTAAATTAAATTTGAAAATTGATACAGTGCCAGGAGTTCTCCTTTTTTTTGGTATTGTTCCGTGATAAAAGTTCAGAGTTACTTCGAAATTAATATTGATTGTTGCCGCTGGTAAGCTTCACGTTTTTTTTGTTTTCGGTGAAAAACAACAAATAAATGTTTGTGTTGTTTTGTCAAAGTTTAGCGCATGAGCGAGGAGGGCAACTCATTGCTAGTGTAGAAAACGGAATAGGAGAATATTTGTTGATACTTTAAAATATGTGCAAAGTTCGTTGGTAACACAATTTCCATCTGAGAGAAAAACTTTATCTGGGATGATGTTGCTTCAGTCAACATAAACTGCAGTCTTTAGTTGAGAAGGAAGAATCTTCAAGCTCCCCTTCAAAAGCATTTCCATAAGCAAATAAATTCTTTTAAGTTCTTTAAAGACCCTCAATAGATCTCTTCATGGTGGATGGAATATAAACTAACTAAGGTTTAATTATAAAGTCAAATTTATGCAAGCAGTTCCTGCAGTAAACAGCTTTTCGAAAATTGATTTTGAACCTTTAAGGTAAAAATAAATTTTATTTTGTAAACAAAAAGGAGGAAAAGAAGGAAATTATGAATATTTGATTTGCAAGCATTATAACTTTTCATTATGAAAACACATGTAGAAGTTGGAAGCTTCCAAGGCATATTTACATGTGAAACTTTTCATTAAATTCTCAGGTCACTTAAAGTTCTTTCCAACTTCATTTAAAGACAATTTGATGCTGAAATTTCAAAGACGAGTCATCAGTTTTATCATTTGCTGTTTTATTTTGTCTTACATTATTAATTATTTACAATGTTTACATAACTTTCAAGTTTATTTCTCTGGGAAACTTTTTTCCCATCCTTTCATTGAGTTTAACATTTTTTTTTGCTCGCTTTACATTCAACTTCTTCCTTTTACTTTAACTTGAAACTATAGTTTAATAGGTTTTTATGATATCTGAAAGTTAAAAGGTGGATGGTTGGCTCTAAATATTCTCCACTTATTTTTATTTCCCAGCTTGTCCTCTTGAGAAGAATTTTTTCCTTTCCTCATGAAATAAAATTTAAATTTTAAGACTCACGGGAAAGTGCAGGGAAAAAGAGGAAAAAAAGTTTGTCTGCAAAATTCCTTTTTTTTATTTTTTATTTTTATTTTTGTCCTTCTACCTCCAACCAGCAATTTTTTATTTTTTTCATATCACTTTCTTCCTGCAGTTTACGAGACAGCTAACGACTACTATTGTGGGATTTAACTTTATTCCTCATTAAAAAAATATGGGGTTTCTTTTCGTTTATTTTTTTCCTACTACATACTCTTGCTTATCGTTCTTATTCAGTTTTTCTAGGAATTTTCATTTTTTTTTTCGTTTCTCATTTTTATTTCGTGTATCATGGTTGTAAGTATTGTTAGTGAATAAAATTTTTTAAGAAATATATGAGGTAATATATTCATTTTATTGTGTAGAACTGTCTCTTCTTTTAAGCTAGAAAAATTCTCATTGAAATTTGTGTTGTTAATGAAAGAGAAGAAGAATATTGTGAAATGGTAATTGAAATTGTGAAGGTGTGGAAATGGAATTTTCACTCTTTTATTGTTGAGTAAGATTTATTCTTTTTGCCATCTCTTGAAATGATTTTGGCTTTAAAGAAACCTAGGGTTCTCCCCATGACGTGACTACCCTAAAGAAACGTCAAAAAAGCTTTTTTTGTTCATTTTGATTGAAAATATTTTGAATTTCGCAACATAATAAAAATAATTGAATTTGTAGTGAAGTTAATTAGTTTCTTATTATCGAACCACATCACTTACAAACTTACATTCCCAAATTACAATTAAAATCGAGGATAAATCCTTGCTTTAATTTGTTTTTGTAAAAATATTATTAACAAACTTTGTTCTTTATCTAAAAATGTATAACAATTAATGATAATATGTCCAATGAGTCTTCTGCACATAAAAAATCTTCACAGTTTGATTCACAGAAACTTTCTTTTGTATTACGGATCAGTAGTAGGAGTTGAAAAGATGAATCCAAGCTAATCATTTTACAGAAAACAAAAGAAAGGATCGCCTGAATACTTCCACATTTTATACTCTTTAAATTGAAACCACTTTGTAGAGTTTTTCATGTTTTTCTCATTTTTTTTTCTTTTCTTTTATCTACAAGCAGTTAAAGAATGAAACAAACATTGAAATATTTCAAGCAGAGAAAGATGCGAAAAGATTTCTTAGTCTTAAAATGTTTATGTTTTTTCCTTTCTTTATAAAGTTTTTCCTTTTTTAAAAATTTTCTCTATTTCCATTTCTTCTTCGTTTTTCTTTTTTTATTGCTGTAAAGATCAGAAGGATCACAAATCTGCCCGAAATCTAGTTTGTTTTAAACAAGTAAGTTATTAGTACAACCGTTTTTACTGTAACGATGTTACAGATTATAATCTCACAATATAAGTTGCTTGCAATATTCTAGTATCACCAATTTTATCGTTTTCATCGTATATCGATGCAATCAAGCATGTCTACAAAACTTAAGTGAAAGGACATAAAAAAATCGAGAACTTAAATCAATATCGCTTGCATCTTATGTTTTTTTTCCATTACATTTATGTTTGACATGACATTGCGCGATTGACGTGAATGTTTGTCTATAGAAGAAAGAGAATGAAATTTTTTTTATATCCTTTGAAAAAGTGTGCATGTTCACTTATGTTCATGCGATAGATTCAACAAGTTTGAAGAATTTCCTTCTTTTTCTTATCTTGAAGTACTTTATGCATGTCTTTCATTGTTCACAATTTGAAAGATGATTTTTTGAAGCGTCACATTAATAAACTCACAATGAACATGTTGCTTAAGACAATTTTTTTCTTATCTTTAAAACTCTCGAGAATAAATCTCACCATGAGTTCAATTTTTATACCTACAAAGTTTTTCCACTACATAATCATGCTACGGTATATAATTTCATCATTTTTTTCATCAATATATCACTTGTTTCACTTCACTTAAGTTTCATTAATTATTTTTTATTTATTTTGACTCAGTTTTTAAGTTTTCTTTTTTATCTGTTTGCCATATAAAATAAAAACAGTTTAAACAAATTATTTATTCACTCAACTTCAATGACATTTGCATTTACTTATGTTGTTATGTATTTATGTACAGTAGAAGTGTTTGCATTAAGTATAAAAAGAAATTAACATATTCATGCTCTTATGTCATGACATTGTACTGACGAAACAAATCATCTAGTTGAATGTACTATCATCAACCACCATGGCAGTAGTAAACAAATCAAGAGCCAGTTTGCGGTTGTTTTAATGGAAGAGCTGTGATCTCCACATTTGCCTATTTGTGTTGAATTGAAAATTTAATGAAATTAATTTAGTGAAAATTCAGTCAACACTTACGTCCAACATTTGTAAGATTTGCCAACGTATATTGACGTTCGAGAGAAATGTTAAGCCCTTGATGGTCACGATAGCACGATTCACCAATGTATAATTGAGCTGTATCAGTCGTTGATTGCTTAAAGCTAATGCAGACTCCATGTTTAGTGCCAGTTTGTCTTGCAATAATGAAGGTCGTCTGATTCTCGCGCCAACTACCATGACAGGTATATTCTAAATGATAAAGCAAATGGTCAGCATTATTTGCCAATTAATCAAACTGCCATTTTCACTGTGGTTAGCCTTTTATTTCATTTAATATTGTTTTGCTATGTTACGTTTGTTGCAAAAGAAAATGAATGGATTTTCAACCGACAAAAAGAACCACAAATAATAGCAGAGAAAAATAGAAAATTGCAAACGAAACCAATATTCACCTTCTTCAATATCATCATTGCATTGTGGTGAGACATCAATTTTATTTTCATCGAAGCATCCGATATTTAATTGTCTTGACTTTGTATTTACATTCACACCACAATTTATTGTTGCGTCACGTCGACTCCGTGACGGGTCATTGATGTTTGACTTTATTGTTACTAAACTCACTAAATCTGTTACTATTTCTAAGCTAGGATTATTATTATTATTAATATTATTATTATTATTACTATTGTTGATGAAGTTGTTAGTATTGCGCTTATTTCGAACCAATTTAATAACTTTATCATTATCATCATCGTGTATGTTTAAAACATCACTACCATCGTCCGCAATATCGTTGTATGCACCACTAGAAGGATTCGCAATGAGTTCACCGCGTCTGTCAGTTTCACTCGACTGCTCATCTTTTCCATTTCGCAAGTGTTGTAAAGAACGTCGTTGTCTTAATGATTTATTACGATCATTGAAGTGCCAGCTTTTAAGTGAATCTTCTTCATTTCTAAAGCTCAATGACGTGTGTGCCTTGAAGTTATTATTCGTTATTCTACCGTCTGACGATGATAAATCATGAAGATGATGATGATTGTTGTGGAGCTTTGAATTATGGTTGCGCTTATGACGTGAAGAAGAAATGTATGGCGGACTTATCGTTCCTCGTAACGAGTAAGAGCCATCAAGTGGACAAATTTCTGATTCGGGATTTGACGCTAGATATTTGTTTGTTGTTTTTTTTTGTTTTTGTGTCGGTAATTTTTCATTTTGATTTGAGACGACGGACAAAACGAATGATGAGAGAGAGAAAGAAGAAGACAAAAAAGATTTTTTTAATAATTGTGAAAAATGACTGGTGAAGTGCTAAATATTCAAAATGAATTCATTTATTATGACGTAACTAGTAAAAGCTTTTGAATTCTATTTTATTTTTAATATTTCATTGCAAAAATTGTGAATCTTGATGATGCTTCTCATTTTCTCTTGAAACTTTTTAACTTTCTTCATTATTTTAATTATGAATTGCATCTCATAAAAACAAATTAAAAAGTTTGAAAGTAAATGAAAATTAATTATTTACCTAATAAAGTAATGAATGGTAATCGAAGTTGATCAAAATGATCAGCTGCACAAGCGTCTTCCAATCGATTTGCTGGCGTTCCCATTTGTAATTCAGCCACATGTGCATTGCGACGATAAAACATGACACAAACGAAACCTGATTTGCTGTTTTATTATTTTTTAAACAGGAAAAAGAAATTTTTAGCGTATTCTCTTAAATGACGTAGTCAGAATAAAAGTTTTCTTACCATCCCATAGCATGATGAACAACAGCCATCATTTCAACAGCAGTTTGTTTATTGATTTGTTCGCACAACACTCGAGTTTCCAAATATCCATTTTGCTTTACAATATGCATCGATCCATCACTGAAAAAATGTTTTGGCAGTTTATTTCATTGAACGTTTCTAGTTATTTTATGCAATCCATTACAAGAGTCAGTCACTGTTTTTCTCTCTTTCTCACACAATTTTTCGTTCGTTTTCAAAAGGAACATGAAAATTATTGTGGGTGGAAAGGAAACCGTTGCAAACAGGAATGAGAACCGGCAAAAGAAGCAGCATCATAATGGATTTTTTTGTTATTTATATACACTTTTTTTTTTAAATCCAACACGGAAATAAAAGAACGAACGAGGGAAAACAAGCCAGAGAAACCGGAATGAAAATAAAATTTTTCGTGAACGAAATTTATAAACAAGGATTTAGAGTGAGAGAGAAAGCAACAAACTCGAATGCATAAAATTGATTCTGTTTATGGATTGAAAGAGATGTAACGTAAATTTGCTTGGGATGTGGAAAAGTGCCCGGCAGGTGGTTGGAATTTCGACTTACTTTTGGTGGAAGGTATAAGCCAGACTTCCCGACAATGTATGCCAATGTCTTTGGTTCTTGAACCATGATGGAAAATCACAGCGCACAACAGGAGGTGCTTTCTTTAGTGTCATTATACGTGACCCAACCTATAAATTATATCCAAGTACGAAATAAAAAGAGACGAAGAAGAAAGTATTAGTATCGTTATAAAAACAAAATTCAATATCGCTTTTTAAATCCCTTCTCCGAAACAAAACTTTTCTCATCACAACGAAAGCTTTTTTTTCTTCCTTTCCCTTCCCCCAAATGTTTTTTTTTATTCCCTTCTTCATCCCCATGGACAATGAAATCTATCTATAACAGGAAAAGGCATTAAAAACTCACTTCAGCACTTTCTAGTCCATTGCACGTTGCATCGCCAGATTGTGCTAGCTTATATTCAGCATCTTTCGGTGAACCTCCTACATGAACATGAAAAGCGCAGATGAAGAAGAACGAGAATGAGAAGCAAAAAAAGAATAGCAAACATAAATTTATTTTAATGTTATTTTATATATTTTTTCTATGCTACATAGAATGTACATTAAAAATAATATTTTTGGGGATTTCTTCCTTCTTCTCCCTCATAACTTTTTTTCTTTCCTGTATTCGTGGCAAACATGCAATTTAGGACGACTATGAAGGCGAATGAAAAAAGGAGAGAAATAAAAAAGTTTTCATACCGTATTTGCCATTGTTAGTGTTGATTTTCTCATACACGAAACATCGGAATCGTTCTTCGTTTGATGTGGCATGATTGTGAGATACAAGTCCGACTAAGTAGCGTGCATTACCGTCTTTCCATGCCGCTAAACACGTCAATTCCTCAACTGTGAGTGGATAAAGAAAATAAATGAGAAATTTGCGAGAAACGAAAACGATGTTTGAGTGTGGGTTAATTGTTCGTTTAATGGCTCACCTGTACTTTCAGTGCCCTGCACATCAGGACATGCTTGAAAACTAAGCAACATTCTGCTGTCTTCTGTACAGCTATCGATGTTTGAAACCGGATTTTTACATTCGCCATGGCCACGATTGTATGTGAAAGTAAAAGGTCCTGGCAAAATGGAATGTCGTTATGAAAATTTTATCATGAACACAGAGAAGACGATGAAAAGCAATTTTTCATACCTCTAATAGGGCATTTTATGGGCTCAGCATCTACTTTGAACATACTATACAAGAGAGCATCTCCAGGTATTTGATCACATAAGTTCTGCAATGTTTCACGTCCACGACAACCCATACCTAAATCACAGGTGCGTTTGTTGATTATAGAAGATTGTGAACAATTATTTATATGTTAAATTGAAATATATTTCAAATGGAAAACTTAAATGAAGTCAAATTCTATTCATTTATTTAAATTAACTTAAACAATGCTGTTTTATCAAATGATAAATGAGAGGGGAACTAAAAAGGATTTATTAATTCAAGAAATGAAATCAAAGAAAACCAAAACACTTATGCAGTAAAAAATCTTTTTAATGAACTAGTCACGATAATTTGCAAAATTATTTTTAGCAGTTCTTTAAATATCTTTTTAAATATTTTCATTTTTCTTTTAAATAATCTGAACAGAAAAAATATTTTTATAAACTAATTGAAATAAAAAACTGTGGCATTAAAACAAAGAACTTATAAGAGTTATTAAAAACCAATGAAAACTTTCTCCTAGATAGAGCAAAGGCGAATGATCTATTTTAGAATTCATTTAAATGTAAGTTCATTGATTATATATTTTGTTAGATATATGCATTTTATAAATTATTAAAATGAGAAAAGCAAGATATCTAAGAAAGAATGGAAGTTGAACAACTGAATAGCAAATCGATGCATCATAATTTCAATATTTGACATTTCATAAATATCTTTGAATTTGAGAGGATTACAGTAAAAGGAATCTTGTTTAGCATGCTAATTAATATTTGAAATTAATTCGTTGATAAATCTGAAGACAGATTGTGGGAAGGGAGAGAGAAATTGAATTACAAATATCCTTCTTTTGAGGTATTTGCAAATACCCAAACTTTGAATAGAAATTTGTAATCAAAAACTTGTTCAAATGTTAGTTATTTGATTTTAGTCAAGAACTAAGAAATTCAATCATTGAAATTATGATTCAAAAGCAATTTCACAACCTTTTGGTTTAAAACGAAACTTTTATGAAAGATTCTTTGAATATCTTCTTTGTCAATTTCAAATCAAATGTAAATTTAATTGAAAAAAGTTGTCAAAAGCTGTCCAAAAAACCAATAAAAAATATATGCGGATAGGAGGATATTAAGCTTATGAAAATTACATAAAAAAATACCCAAATATAAATAGAGAAAAGAATAAAAGAAAATCGATGGCAACATTAAAAAAATAATCAGCAAGGCAAACCCATCCCAACATATTAATTTCCTGTTTCGCTTTCCAGTTCGAAAACTTTTTTCTTTCTACTTTTTTCTGGTTAACAGCATAATTGATGGGGAATAAAAAAAGAGAAGAACGACAAGGTATTTATTTCACTTTGCAAGCAAATCATTGAGTTGTTTCACAGACTGTTTACCTTTTCAATAACAAAAACTTTTGCTTCTAAATCATATAGTATTCATGTTGGTATGAACTGTCGAAAGATAAGATTATGAAATTTATATTTTGGGTAAAAAACTTCTCACTTAGTCTATCTCCTGTTTTTTATTATTAATATTGTTTGAACTAATTTTGAAACATATAAATAAGATACAAATACACATAAACACACATATCGTAAGAAAGAAATGAATGCACATAGATGAAATGGTGAAAAAAGTTTATGTCAATTAGTTAAATTGATATTTATTTAGGTACACGGAGAGGAAGATACGAGTTGAAACTTTAAGCTACAACTGATGACAATATTTCGAAACAACTTCCAAAGCAAATGCTGTTAAAAATCCTATTAATTATGTTGTTCAACCCTTTTCACATTACTTTTCATTTGCTTTGTTTCTTTTTTCTTCCATTGTTATTAATATTTTTTCTCTCGTCCTTTTTGATTCATCTGTAAGCATTCTATTTTATATAGAAAAATGATTCATATGAAACAAATAAAGTTAAGCAATCTAAGCAGTAAAAGTCGTTGAGTTGATAATGATGATGACCAAAATGTGTTCTTTCGTAAAATGAAAAAAAAAGGCTCTTGTTATTGCCACGCTTTCTATCTCTCTTCTTTGCTATGTTGACGTATCTTTTTCCGGAAAGTAATTTTTCACTTCGTCGAAAAACTGGATGAAAGGCAGAAGTAAAACGGGAAATAAAGCATTTGAAAATTTTTCTTTCTTTCTCTTTTTTTGCTGAATGTTGAAGAGCTTCATTTTAAGGATCATGTTTGATGGAAAGCACACACAATTTTATCTTTTCCCTCCGTCCCTATATTTGCCTTCTTTTCCTCGGTACTTCTAAACTCTACACCATTTGAAACGAAGTAGATATTTGCCCTATGATGGACTTTCTGTCATGCTTTCACATATCATACTCATACTTTATGCCATTGCTAAGAGTTGAGTGGAGTTGTTTTAAGGTTTCTATGTTACAGATTTATATACCGTTCTTGAAAAAGCTTTTTGATTTCAAATCATAAAACACATAAAATGTTTAAAGATTTACGAGTTGAGCTTACAGTCACACCCACACATTCACACACAAACATTGAGAATTTAATAATGACATGAAATACATTAACTAAATACATGAAGTAAGTATAAATGTTTGACGATGATGACTATTAATATATTTAGATGACTTCAAATGAGAATGTCAATTCATTTATGCAGCAGCAATACAAAAACGATGATGATGGTTTGGAATGGAAAATCATCACAAAAATTTATTTCGTTTTTCTTTTCGATGAATATTTAATTAACAAAAATCAACTTTGCTCGTTTCACGGTAAAAATTCTATTTATACTAGCATCAAACAAACATCAAACGTTGACTTTATTTACGAAAAATTCTTAATGATGAACATAGCAGAGCAATTTGAATTTAAAACTTAATAAGTCAAACATAAGCTTTCATTTAACGATGCTTTTATGCTTTTTTCCATGTATTTATTTACGAAATTGAATATTAAATTGAATTGAGTCAAAATTCAGCAAAATTTTATTAATTCAACATTCATTGAATGCAATCCCGAAGGCACAGAAATTTTAATCATTGGAATAATTATTTGCATCTCCCGAAATTTCATCTTTGTACTTGTTGTTGCATACACAAATGTCATGAACGAAAATGTTTTTCCAATTTTCCAATTTCGATTCGGTAATCTAAAGCTAGTTAAAAAAAAGTTGCTGGCTCGACACAACAATAACATAAAACATGAAAAGAGAGAGAAAATGGAAAATGGAAAAAGTAAAAGAAAAAAAAGGCTAAAGAAGAGATTCTCGCTGAAGTTAAACGAAAAACTTAAATCCATAAAATCTCAGATTTATGCAAATAATACGTTTCTCGTAAAAACTTCAGAATTGCTTGTTATCACAACAAAAGAGGTGAAACAGAATATAACATAAAAATTGTTTACACAAACGGAAAGTGCTTTGAATGGCAAACATAAAATTAGATTTAAATTATCGAAAAAGGTGTTGTGTATGTAAATTCACTAATCAGTAGTTTTCTCTATTGGGATATTATATTCACGTATTCATTGGATTATAAATTACCCTAAACTTCCTAATTCTCTATTCAAAACATCATTTCTAGCACAGCTCGAAATTATTGATAAAAATCTCTTCTCATTCCTCAAAACGACGTGGGATGTGCTACGAAGCATAGCTTTTCCGTTTATGCTTTTGTTTGATTTAATAATTATAAAGCACGATCAAGATTATGTCTCTTACATAACCAAGAAGTTTTGCTGCTGAATTAATTTCATATTCAAGATAAATACAACTCGATATCTTAATTGAGTGTGCGTACATCAAAATTAGGTTTGAATTCAAAAATATTTCGGTTTTCTTTTCTCCATTAAATATTCAAAATAAAGAAAAGATTTTTTAATAGATATGCTTCTTTTTTCTCTCTTTTTATTTGACAAACACAATAGAAAAATAGACAAGGACACAAAAAATAGTTTTGTCAGCTTCACAAAAAAATATTTTCCAATCAAAATGACATTTGAATGAGCGAGCTTGTTATGTAAGTTTATTAAAATATTGTTGACATTATTACAAATGATTGTAGAGATAGAGAGAGAAGGAAAGATTTATTCGATGTGAAACGATTTAAAGTTGAGGATTACAACATTTTCCTGCGTCTGACAGAAATTTGACATGAAATGAAAAATTTGTGAATTTGAAATTTTTATTATTTCTACAGAATTCCGCATTATGCATTTCATGTTTCATTCGCGAGGCTTCAGAATATTATGAAGCGTGGGTGGAGGGAGAATAAAAGGCTTTTGGTTTTGATAGATATGACATATTTGAGCACGATATTTATTCCTGCTGACGGTGATTGGAAATATTATTAATAATATTCATCAACTACATTATTAAGGAATTTCTCTCTCCATCTCTCTCCTTCAATCACATTCTCCTCGTCATGACATTTTGTGATGGAAAATAAAGAATAAAAATGCTTTTTACTCTGATTTAGCGTGATCTAAAAAACAAACTCATAAGACTCTATGAACAGAAATCATAATAAAATGGACGCCACAGAACTCATAATCGTAATGTAACTCAAGAAGTTTTTATTTTATTTAATATATTCACTGTACGATTTCGTTGAATATATTTTATTAAAATATTAATAATAAAAAATATGAGTTTCATATTTGATATTATCTTTGGTTTAGATATCTATTTATATATTTTGGTTTTCAAATTGATTCTTTGGAAACTTATTAACTTTTATATGCATAGAAATTTTTTATTTATTTTATATGAAAAACAATAAAAATGAAGGAAAAGAATTTTTTTTTTGTTTTGTTTTGGACGTGTTTTGCTTACAATCATCATTGTCGTCGGATCTGAAATTTATGTTGGGATGGGATGCTTTTGCATTCCCCCTACTTTGATCACTTTTAATTATGCTACGGCTTGTCAAGGCTGACGGATTAAAATGGTCCTTTTCTTCACACTCACTTTCTTTATATTGTAACACATTTTTATGTTTTTCATAGATGACAACACACCGATGACAACGTTTCCTGTTATAATATTTAAAAGCGTGTAATTACAACATGTATTAATCAATAAGATGGTCAATAACAATTTAATTTCTGTCAATTTTCCTACTCACTCTCGCATGAGAAATTTATCACCATCACTTGCTATACAAGATCCACGATTACTCATTGTCGATCCTTGTATATCTATTGTTTGGGGCACACCTGATTGAAACCATGAGCCTTCCCATTGTTGTGGAAACACACAATTTGAAGATGCTGGAATGGAGATAAAGTCAAAGAAGAAGTAAATATCAATTACTGTAAACATCGCTTGTTCAACAAATCGAGCATCAAAGCATTATAAAAGTTACAAAGTGTAATGTAATCCTATAAACTACGCCCATCACCACTAGTGGCATTTAGTATGATGAGATTTAAAAAGCAAGAAGAGAAAAATAATGAAAGTCACACAAATAAATAGTTACGAAAGCATTTATATCGATTGGAATTACTTATCGTTGACAATCAATGAACCAAAGAGAAATTATCTGAAAACAAAGTTTTTTTTTGCTTTCACAGTTTTCTGCACTAATGTGCTGAATATGCTTCTTTTTTTTTGTTTTCTAAATGACTGAATATCTTCTATTTAATAAATGATCGTAAACAACAATTTCATTCGTGTTACAATTCATTATCACAATAACAATAAATAAAATTTTCCTCGTTTCGTTTTTCATCGAGTAATGTCTCGAAAGGTCCTTACACTTGATCACTCTTTCAAACGCACACAGGCATGTACATTTGTTTGATTCGGATGTAATAATAATAATGGCAATTGGTGAAAGCAAAGAGAGATTTACTGATGTCAACAATTTTATAGAAAATGCCCTTCAATTCGACATGTTTACGCGAATTAATAGCCGTGATGTTGAACAGGCGCTTTTCAAATGCATCATTTGTAACAATCTTATTAATATCTGCTTCATTGATTTTATTCTCATGTTGTTCTCGCTCAATCGAAGGAATAAAAAAGGGGGAAGAGTAGAAAAGATTTTTCGAAAATCGATTTTGAAAGTAGCGAGTAAAATATTTATTGCCATGCTGTGATGTAAAAGGAAAATGTATGTGTATGAAGAAAGGATTGCGAGAAAAGCTGCTAGAGCGTGGAGCCAAAGTAAAAGATCGTAAACATGTTAATAGTTCTATTTTTATCAGAGAAATATATGAAACGAAAAATTTTCTTACACTTTTTTATGCTTTCTCATATATCTTTTCTCTTTTCAGGCGCAATGCGGGGGTGAAGATCCAAGGGTACATAAATTTTCATATTTCATATTAAAGAAGCGTATAAACTTTTTTTACGGTCGTGAGTGCTTTCAGGTCAAGCTTTTTTTTTGTTTTGGCACCTGAAGGCTTCCAAGGATAGGAAAATGCTTTTCTCATCCTTTTTACTGGTTTCGAGTTCTCATGAACATTTTTTAATTAAGAATAATAAAGGATGTTGAAAAAGTAGCGTTTGGAGCCGTAAAAGACAGAACTGGCAATGAAAATGATATAAAACTCTTCTCATTATCTGAATGTTTCTGTTCTAGCCCAAGCCATATTTAGTGGTTTTAAAAAGCTTGTAAAAAGAAGAAAGGCAAAGGATGGATAAAAATTTGCACTATAAAGCACATAGAACCGCTCGTGTAATTTGCATATTAATGAGTTAATCCCTTAGTAAAATAGACTCTCGACTTTCTCTAGCAGTTTGTATGAAATGTTTCCAATTATCATAACGATGAGAAATTTAAATCTTTTTTCTTTCTTTTACTTTCCTTCCACTCAACGACTCGACAATGTCGTTCGCCTTAAGGTGATTTTGTTGATTTGTTGTGGCTGGCTTGAAGCTTTTGAATATTCAAATGAGCATTTATGTTATTATTTAAAATCTAACGATGGGGATGAATGACGTTCGATTCAAAAATAACAACATTTAAGGTTTGTTAAGTTCACGAAACGTTCAAACGTTTCCTTTCTCAAACACGCGCGAATGAACTCAAAATAAACTTAACAACCGTTTAATGAGCATTTTATGTTTCTATTTGCCATCATTTGCATAAAATAACTGCATATTCAAATATAATTTTACATTCTTCGCTGCTTCACGTAGATATTTATTTGTTTATCATTATTTCTACCCTTGCAAAGTTTGCGGTAAAGTTTCCTGCTTTCTTTCCTTCTCTCTAACAACGTGAAGCATTGCTAAGTATACCCACGTCTCGTTAAAATTTTGTTTAACTTTTAGTAGTGAGAAAAAGGTTTTTTGATGCGACAGCAGAATAATTTTAACGTCGTCGATTATTGATTCATTGTGCACATTATTTATTATTCTTTACCTTCCAACTTCACAAAGTGATTTCATTTCTATTACCTAAATAAATATCTTGTCAGCATCAAAAACGTTTTTAATATCAAAGGAGCATCTGACTCTTGTTTTGAAACATGTTTAAGTTGTTCATAAAAAAATATCCAATTATCAAAGGATATAAGAGAACAGTGAAGCTAAACCAAGCCACACTGCACCACACCACTTCACTCTATTCTGGTTTTTTTTTGTTTCTCCTTTTCTACTGTTATCCTCATGGTTGAAATAAATCATCTGGTGTGAGCATGTATGGTAGATTTGAACGATTTATAAATCGTCCATCATAATGGATTTCGGCAAAGCGAGCAAAACGAAACGAAGAAGTGGTGAGAGTGACCGGAGGGGGCCGAGACAGAAACACTCAAAAATAACGTGGTGAAAAATAAAGCAACATAACAACAGCGGATATTATATTCTACAGAAGTACTGGCTATAACTCATCATTCATTTTCTCATTTTTTAAATCAGAAATATGGAATCTAAACGAAAACATCCTAAGCCCTTTTTTTCTTCTTCAAAAACAACAACAGCAAAAAAAAACAAAAATAGAAAACAAAATAAGGGAAAGAGAAGAAATATTCACACCATTTATTCGCAATCATTCTCGATGTCCGGGGAAATGTTTTTCTTTTCTCGCATCAAAGAACCTTTTCATGGAAAATGCGTGAAAAATATTGAGAGAGGTCAAATATCAAGCAACAGCGAGCATATATTATGCGATAATGTGTACATTAATCTCACATCCATAAAACTTAGAATTTGATAAATTTATGTTTGATTACGGCTCAAAAGATCCTTGAAAATGTTAGTTTTTCTTCCTTCATCAGTTCCACCCTCTCTTTCCTTCATCCACTGGACACACAACAAAGTTTTTGTGCATTCAACGAGAAATATATTTATGTCGTTTTCACATTGCATTAATATTTATTGGATAATCATAGAGTTTGCCATTTGAGAATAGGGAAGCTTAAAGTCAATTATTTTAATGCAACAATTTCCTAACTGCACCTGGTGATTCCTCTTCTCTCGTCTTTTATTCTCCTTTTTTTTTGAGTCTGGCATAACATGAATACAAGTCTTGTATGTGTCTGTATGTAAGAATTGAAGATTGCAGAAATGTTGCTTCAAGGATCGAAACGATGGAAAGAATTCAAGCGACATGATTTTATTTTCAAGACTGCATTAAAAATAATGTTAAGACGATGAGAGTCGAAGGAAGGAACGCTCAAACGCTTTTTTGATGATCTCAAGATTGCATGTTCTTTATGGTTTTATTAAATAAGAAATTGCAAGCCCTCAGCGATTCAACAATCTCATGAGAAGAAGCACAGACTGAAAGCAGTTTAAGCAAGCACAAAAAAAAACTGCAAGTTATTTTTTCTTCTTTTGAGTATTAAATGTGATAAAAATGATGAAAGGAGAATAAAAATCATGAGTGGTTATGATTTTCAAACGACGCATAAGAATGTCAAAAGGAGTAGATTTACTTTCTCATCTCATAATTCATTAATGCAACAATAACTTTGTAGATGAGAAGTGCTTCTGTGATGTTATTTGCTGAAGCTATTTGCGACATTAAATGCCATAAAACCCCGCATCAATGTCTTTACATAGGCGGCTTTCTTGATCCATCTTTCTAGTATTCATTTATATAGTTAAGAATCTCCGTTAATCTCCTATTTACAAAGAAACCTTCTTAAGTGTTTCTTCGTAAATATCTGACAAGCAAGTAGAGAAGAAAGCTAAGGATGTCGTTAATATTATAAACATCTGTGACTGATTCTGAACATAAACCTTAGATAGCCTTTCGTTCTTTATTCTCTTGAATTAATGATTAAATTATTGACTTACTTAAGCTTAATAACTTTATTAAAGAACGACAGTTGATTACATTTTTCCAGGATTTTTATGATCGTGATAAATTTTGCTTCCCCATTTTAAAAATGTCCAACAAAATTGATGATAATTACTCCATAAATTTCGATTATTAAACAACAATTTGACAGTTGTCAAGTGAAATGGTGCGAATTTTAGTTTCTCATAACGAATACATGACTCGCAATTAACACGCCATACGGACAAAATATGTATCGAGCTCACCGAATCAACTAGTAAACGGCAAAGAAATATTTCCTTTAATATTCATTTCATTTCATTGTTGTTTGTGTTGTTGTTTGGTAATGAAGGAAGGAAAAAAAAGGGAAAAAACAATTGAGATAAAAACATACATAAATTCGTTTCTTTAAGGTTTCAGAGCCATAACATTCTATCGTTTCTTTTCGTTACAATTTACTTCGTTGACTGTTGGATATGTACTTGTTCACTTCCCTCTCTCTCACACACTCTTTTTCATGCGAAAAGTGTAATTAAGAAGATTGTTTAGGATTGGAGATTTTCTTCTCAACTCATTCCAAAGTTAGAATGGCTTCCTTTTATGCCAGATATTCCGTATTTTCATTGAGCGTAGAAGAAGAAAAGAAAGAAGCAAGAAAAAAGCACAACAGTAAGTAAAATGTTGTGTTGCTTCTTATTCTCGAACTCATGAACTGCCAAAGAACGTTGTCATATATGCTTTTATTAGGATGAATGGTGCTTTCATATCATACGTTTCGTTTTGCCTTTTCTTTAAATATCTATTTAGAGAAAGGAAATGTATGGAAAGGAAAATTGAGGCTGAATATTTTATTCGTAGAAGAAGTGGAAGCAGACTTACGTACATATTTTCGTATTAACAAGAATGAATGGTAATCCCGCATGAACTCACTCGTACATTTAGACACTTACTTTGTTGTGTATCGGAATAATTGCCATGGTACAATATAATTATTTTAATTGCCAGTTCACGCAGGAATACGTGGAAAAATAAAGAAATGGAATCGTGGAGTGGGTGGAAAAAGGCTTTTTGTAATTTATAAAAAAGAAGAAAATGAATGGAAAAAGTGTTGGAAAACATAAAGCGACCTTTTGGCTAACGGGATCATACATAATTAATCCCTAAATTACGTACTTCCAATGAAGTTAAATAGAATTTTCATTCTACTAGCCCTTAACCTTTTCTATTTCATTCTTTCATTCGTTAAGTCGGTGTGAGTTGTTATACTTAATGCCTTTGACATTCACTGTACAACTTTAATTTGTGAGTTGGAAAGGAAACGGACAATTAAATAATTACTTGATTTGAAAAGGCCGAGTTAAGATGCAAATTAATTTGACATGGTATTTGAATAATTCACTAAATTGCATTTCAATTTCCAGTTGTAATGAGAAATTTGAAGTTTGAAATTGAACGCACAATTATTTCATCGTCAATTGAACATCACATGATTGGATTTTCTTTTGAAAGCCTACAACTAGCCTCACCGTTTCAAACCCGACCCTTTCATCTCACTTGAGATGACCTCATCATGAAAGCTGCCAATTTATGTGGTTTTTTAAGATCAGTTTTCTGTTGTTTTGTGTACTCTCGCTGTTGGCTTTTAAGATATTTTCTCTTCATCGAGCACAGACGAGACTTCAATCATCTGATTGTAATTTAAAGAAAAGAGAAAAAAAAGGCGAATGAAGCAGAAGACGGGAAGAAATCCGTTCTATTCATTTTTCGTGCTATTAAAAATCAACTATCTCTAAATCAATCATCATTTCACGATTTATTTCTTCTTTTTTTCCTTTCAAATGCTTTCTCTCGTTTCTTTCATGTTACTCATGAAAAATAATTTAAGCAAGAACGATTTTAAATTATCGAAACCACTACAAGCAAGTGCTATTATGCGCGTTCTTCGCCGTCTGTCGAATGAATCGAAATGCCTTCAACAACAATTTGTTAAAATTTCTTTATTAACATAACTCTCTTTCAGTCTTGTACCCAAAGCGCACCAGACGAGCGATGATTATTTGAAAATATTTCTCTTTACACTTCTTTTCTTTTTCCGTATTTTTATTTCTTTTAATTTTCAAATGAAGCCATCATCTCGTCATAACTACAATAGCTTGTCAGTGAGTTGGAGGGAAAAGATATTAAAATTCATTTTCATTTTCTAACTCGCTGGCAATTACTTCAACAACATTGAGTTGTAAACGTTACGTATAAGTAATTAAAAAAGAAATCATTCTTTGGTTTTGCGCGAGCTTGGACTTTCATGACTTTCAGAATCAATAGATTTGAATACATTGTGGAAGGTTATTGAGATTTCTCACTCATGTCAATAAAACTGAGAGAAACTTCAACTTTTCAGTTAATTGTCAGTCCATTATAAATTCTTTTGAGACTCTTTATAGCATAGAAATCAGAATGACGCAAAGGGAGCACAAACACAGCATGAAGAAGGGACAACATTTATGGTTTTGAAATAGTTTTGATGAAACTGTCTAAGTTTGTATTCATCTTAAATCGACCTTCGTCAATATATTTTAGAGATTAACACTCGATCTCTTTCATTCGAGAAGCTCTAGAAGTTTCCATTACTTAAGTTTGATATCATAAATATAAAGTTGAGCATTATTCATAGCGCGACGAAATGCAAAATGGCTTTCAACCTCAAGTTTAGTCACGCACTTTGAAATCACGTTCAATGCATCATCGCTCAGCCAAAAAAAAGAGCATTATGAAAGGTAAGAAAAGGCTTATTTATAATATGCTTAAAGGTTGATGTTGGTGGAACGAGTTGATATTAAATACTCGTTTGATTGAGTCTTCAATTCAACGCCAATTTAAGTATAATATTTCTCCCATCGTAAGACTCTTTTCCAGCCCCCTTTCCGATTAAATTATGCCAAAAAAAGATTCTTATTTTTTATTTTATTTCATCTTGAGTGAAAACGAAGAGGAAAGAAAAAAAGTTCAAGCCAAAACAAGTCTGAATATAAATGGGAGGCAATAAAAAAAGATTAGCAGGTTGAATAGCATGTCTGGTTAAGATGAATAGGGGAAGAAGGAAAGAAAAATAAGAAGAGAAGAGATTCAACCTTTTAAGACGTTGATTCGAGAGAAAAGGAAGCTAATCTTGAATGTGAAATTATTTTCACATTCGTATCATTCATATGATGAATCTCAGCTGTTTGTGTAAAGATATGAGAATGTTATCAAAAGCCCAAGCCCTTCTTCACACACTTTAAAGCTGCTAGTACTTGTTTCAGCCACTTTGCACAATTTATGGTTATAAGTAGCATTTGAAAAGCATCGTTCTAAAGTGCTCTTCATCTCGTTGCTACCAGATAAATGCTTTCAGGAAAGAAAACTTTAAAATATATCGCATTTTTCACAGCCACCCTCACTCTCTCTGTCTTCCTGTTTGGAGGAATTTTTAAGAAGAGAAATAAAAAAAGGTAGAACATAATAAATCTGAGAAGGATTTATCTGCAAGTGAAAAATAATTTATACGCTCTCGTCGTCATTTCTCTTTTTCATCTGACGTCTTTTAACTTCGACTGTGTATTTTCTAACCTGTAGTTAAGAATATTTTACATTTTAATGTATAAATATCGAAATTCTTCTTTAAGAACGCAATGAAACGTCTTCATTTTAAATATTTCTTTTCACATACAAACATTTTAATTTATGGCCTTCTCCTTCCATGGTGGAAGATGGGACGAGATAAATTAAATCGAGAAACGAAAGACTCTTTCTGAATGTGTGTTTAAATATAGCTGGAAGCTTATTTGAATCTTCTTAACAATTGAATAAAAATGAAGGAAAATCAGCGTGAAGGTTTTTCTTTTCATCCCTGTGGGGATTATTTTTAAAGGGAGTTTCATGTTCTAATAGCTTCGTTCTATAAATTAAATTCAATTCTTTTGTTACTGATTAACTTCTTTCATGAAAATTAAACAATTAAAATGTTTAAGTAGAAACTGTCATAAACAAATTAATCTTGCAAAGTCTCAATAAATAACAAAACGATCAACAAGAATTTAAAGAGAACTGAAAATATTTTAAAGTTTCTTTCTTTCTATCTTTTTTAATAATAAACATCCACGTGCCCATTATACTTCAGAAGGCGGGGGCATTTAAAAAATGCTCTCCAACCTTCATCATCCATTGTCTGTTCATCTCACTTCACTGTTGCATAAATGGGGAAAAATATTTACTTCATTCATTTAAATTCTCTTTATGCCATAACAGAATGTTGTTAATAAAAGAATTTATATAATTACAACATAATCTTGCTTGAAAATATATTTAAGATGCAATGAAGGATGGTTGACGGATGAAGAAGGATGTTCAAGAATTTTTTTTCTCGTTCCTCCTACAACCTCATCATAATCAAATGTTATATTAAAAATATGTAAATTACATTATTAAATCAAGGAAGAAGAATAAAAGAAAGAGAAGAAATGCTTTGGGGCTTTCAAGAATTTTGGGATCATAAACATGCATACCTTCTTGTCTCGACTGTAGACATTCTATCGATGTAAAGTTCAGCAACACTACAATTAGTATGACTAGGAAGCTTTGCTGCCAGTTAAATTGATTCCATCTGAAGTCTTCAAGGACGCCTTTTAACTTCCGGTCTAGTCTACTGCTATAAATTCCACTATTATTTGAGTTATTGAGAGCTATTGACGTCCTCACACAACACGAGTGCGCTCTTCTAACGCTCGATTTCATTCTTTGATCACATGACAAAATATGAAATGATCTGTTCCAAAAGCGACTTTTTGTCGTCGATTTGCTGTGACTAGCAATCTGGAAATCAATGAGAAGTAATAAATTAGATTTATATTGTAATAAAATTCTCGCACATCGATTTGGATGATGACTGTCAATCAAGGATCACAAGGTGTGCGTGGGTGGGTGGTTGGATGGATTTTAGTGAGAAGAGAAAAATCAAAATGTTAACGATCCGAAGTGTGATTGAGGTCGAGTGATTACTTCGATGTTGTAGCATGAAATCACTTTCTTTTCAATGAACAAGTCGAATTAAAAGTCAAGTATCAATAATCGGTCGTAAGTCGTTATCTTCTTCCCCAGCATGAAAAGGGAGAATCAGAATCATTTTCCAACCCTCATTTATGTTGCGTGGATGAGAAAATTACCTGACTTTTCTTTCTTTCACTGAACATTCAACCTTCTAATAATAAATACGGTTTTCGTTGAAGCAATTTAGCTTAATTAAATATTACAATTAATTAGACTTTCTTCGGACTTTTGCTTCTCTTTCATTTCTCTTTTCAATCGCGCGTCTTATAGCAATTTATTTTAAGTCAACGCTTGCACGAAAGCATTAATTTTGGGACACGTTTTACAGTCGATGGTGTCGAATATCATGTTTGGACTTGACGCGATTTTCTTTGTTCATCGTTGGCCATTATGAGTGTAATATTAACAGCACACGGCATCGTTCAGTTTGGGTTATAAAACTTTTTTATGTTGGCGAGCATAAAATGAAATGATTTTCTTTGCGGGCTCTCATATTCTACGAGAATGCTTCTCATTCAACCACAGCATGTACATGTTTATATGAAGGTGAAAAACGAAAGCAGTTTCCCACATCCCTTCATGTTGTTCATAAAACTTTGTCGAGGTGTTTGTTTGAATTACGGCTATCCTTACTTCAAAAAGAAGAAAATTATGTCAGCACTTTTGAATCTGTCATAAAAAGTTAAACGACTTATATATAAAAAAATGAACACATGTAGATTGATGATGGCGCACACATGGACAGATCATTAATTTCTTGAAATGTATCAAATTATAACAAAAAAAAAAAATTATTTCCCATAGTTTTGCTGATGCGTTGAAATGTAGAAATTTCGAGAATTTAAAATTGTAATTTGATCGTTTGTTAGTTTCAGTTCCAAACGAAGTTCATCATTACAGTTGCTTGTTACATATTCCTTCATTCATACAATGTTCCAATCATCACATGTAAATCATTTATAACCGATGAGAATAAAAAAATATCATTTTCATTAGCATGACAGCCTTGGGAGGTCTCAACCGTAGGAGTTTTCACTGTAAAGGTATTCCGATTGTACTATTTACGCCTGATTATTGAGATGTTGAACATAGCTACGCGTACAAGCTCGTGCAGCAACCTCGTCATGTACCTTTATAATTTTTGATTAATATGCTCGTTCACTTGTAATAAATTATTAAACATTTCTTGTTCATTCCCTGATCTCGTTTTCTTCATTTTTAAGATTTGCTTTTATTCCTTCATTCTCCTCCAGTCATCTCGTTAGTTGTCTTATGAATCGTTAAGAGATTTAGACTAAGAAGAAAACTTGTGGTTACAGAAGAAAAAGAATAAAAAAAATTGATGGAATTTATATGAAACAGCTGCTGGGGCATTTTAAAAAGTGGAAAAAGTGGCATTTGTAATAATTTCTTTCTCTCCATGCTGCCATTTTTATCGCTTCATATTCAATATAATTTATTTTTTTATGGTGGAATTACATTTTTCAATAAGGAAAAGTGAAAGAAATAATGTCATTCTCATGAAAAGTTTCATGTTCAAACTATTGAGTTTTTCTTTCCCGTTCGATCGAGTGGAAAAAAAAATGCAATTTGATGAAAAGTTTTGCTTATGCTTTGCGCTTCTCTCATTTCACAATTTAGATATGTTGAAGCTTTGAATCCATGCAATAAACTTTTTTAAGTAGCTTCTTCTATCGTCTTACAACAAACTTCTTCATGTCATACATTTGCATTCTATAAAATAAAAATAATAAAACAGAAAATTTCTGGTTTACTTCTTTAACGAACGTATGACTTCACAAGGTTGTTATTCTCTTATCTAAAAAGTTGCCAATTGCTAGCACGAAACACAAAGACTTCGATGCAAGGAATGAGAATGAGAGATGGTGAAGCAAAGATTATTGTGCAGTTTGAATTTCAATAAAATCGTAAAGGAAATTTTTATGAAAAGCACATATTTCGTTGCACAACGATATCACGTTGCTTTTATTTCCTTCGGATGTATAGTAAAACAACTATAAAAAAATATTCTCCCGATTACATTAATTCAGATATTGTCAAAGTTGGAGTGAAATGCAATCGAATTCCAATAAAATATCAATTTCCCTTCTCAGATCCAATACGAATTCACAACGCAAACGCTCGTTCTTCATGCTGTTATGTATCAAGTGCATTCGATCGTATTGTCAACCATAGAAATGTCTTATTGCCAGTTTCAGTCTTGCTTTCTTAGCGAGCTTGAAAGAAGAGAAAAAAAGCGATTGTTCTTGACATCTGAATATAAATCTGTAGCAATTTGAAATTGAGCGGAAAGAAAGCGGGAAAATTTCTTTCTTTTCAAGATTTCCATTCTCTTTTTGCTTCACATCAATACCATTCCGAATGTCATTTGGTTATGAAACTTCCCCACGAGAGTCTTTTGTCTTTTTTAAGTTGAAATTGCTTTATCATAATAATATCTGTGAAATGTTTATAGATATTTCATATTTCTTGTTTCTGTTTTATCGTTGAAAGACGTTGTCGATGACAAAATAGAACGGAATCTGTTTTCTGTTATCGAGTGATTAATATCTATGACAACGACGTCGACAAACGATTTTATCAGCAATAAAGACAAATAAAAGACTTTCTTTTCAAAACAAAAATTGGCTTGATATGACAAACAGTGGAATTGCTTTATGTGTCTCGTGAAATGAAAACGAGTACGATTCGTAACAATTGTTTGCCTTTGATATTATTTCAATTTCCAAAGAATTTTCTGCCATGTGTAATCACCAAAAACGCGCTCAACCTTTCGAACAACGAAATTTGTTTAGCGTTTGTTTATTTAATAATAAAATACTTGAATTCACATTCCACACCATCTTTGTAAAATGCTGATATCAATAATTTTTTTCTGACAACAAACGAAGGAAATGTAAAATGAAAATAAGCAAGATCGAAATTATTTACGATGTCTAAACAATATTTTAATTTTTCATTTGAGTTTGTAGTTGTGGGAGAATTGGAGACTTTTAGGGATTGAATAATTTATGTAAAAGTGTGATGGGAGAACATTTTATATCTCAGCTCGAATACATAATTTATGAATAAAACCTTTAAAAGAACTCCAAATGAAAGAGAAATAAAATGTGCGTATCTAAGTATAATAAAATCATTTTCCTCTCCTCATTTTACATCGATACCATTTAAAAAAAACTTTTATCTTCAAGCGATATTCAATCTCATCCTCCGCCCTCCTTCCCTTGGTTTTTCTGAGAAGCAATGAAAACCATCATTGAATAAAAACAAAATAAAGAGAAACTCGCAAATAAAATTCCGACAATAGCAAAATCGTAAAAAAGAAAATCGAAATCAAATCAGTAAACAGCTGTGAGTTTGTTTCGTATTAATCGTATGTGCATTATTGTATGTAAATTTGCAATGTTTTCCTTTATTTCCCTTCAATTTACCTCTTTCTCTCCTTTTCTTCTCACATTCATTTCATTGAAAGTCGTAAAAACACATTCAGTGAGATAAATATCACTACGATCTTCGGTCTTATGTCTCTGCTTACTTTTATGTTGAATTTCGCACTCGACGAGATGGAACATAAAATGTTGTTATTGTTTAACAGACAATTTTACACTATACACAATTGAAGTGAACAAAGTGAATAGAGAGAGGGAGAGAGAAGAAGGAACACATTTTCGATTTGAATACAATTTAGGTTTGTTGAATGCTGTTTGCACTTTATTTGCGTTTGATTAAATTAAAGTGTTTTTATTACTTCTGTGTTATTTGAAGGAATGCTGGCGGTTGTTTGAGATGACCAAAAATGTATGAAATAAGAAGTGTTCGTAGTGAACTTGATCGTGTTACTAAATAGCAGATGGAGTAATTAATTTCACCGCACTACAAACATCTGCAGTTTCCCTTTTATGAATTTCATACACACATCGTTGGCTAAGCTTTTAATTATCAAAGAATTACATCATCGCATGTACTTTATTACTTATGTTGTCAACCAATTAATATACCCGGAAAATCTTCACTCATCTGTGTGAGTTGCGATAGTAAAACTTTATTTATGTTTACAACGTTTTTCCTTCATCTTCTTCTTCTCCTACTATCGAATATTTATCCTCCTTTGTCGCTTTCTAGCTTACATCTAACACCTCATTCCACAGAATAAAAAACATCAAACAAGCTCAACTTTATTATTATCATTTTGGGACTAGGCTCAAAAACTTGTGCTTAACAACAGCCTGGAATTCTTACGCTCACTTCACTTGCTTCACCGGCTATTATATTTAATAACATAAATATCTATTCCGATACTTTCTCTCGACAACCACAAAATTTATAACTTAAGTTCGGAACAGTAGCTGAAGTAAGAAGAGACGAATCTCAATCTATATAACGAGCATTAACTTTTCAAAAGGATAAGAGGATTAAAGTATTAAGTAGAGTGGCTGATATAAATTAATTCATAAAACATTCTTGCCGTTTTCATAGTTGTTCTATTCTGTTCACCAGAAGAATTAAATGTGTTCGCCTTTTTGTAAAAATGCCTCCCTCGAGCTCTATTTTGTTACTTCTAAGCTATTAAAAATGATATATTCAAAAATAATTAATGCTACTTTGCTTGCTTTTTCATTCGACGATAAATGTTGTTGTGTGATTGTGTTAAGAGAAGAAGAAAGGAACTTAATAATGAGTTTGAGTTGTTTGCGGAATGAGAATAAACTTTAATATTTGTTGCATCCTATTGTCTTCGGAAATGACTTAAAACAATGGACGAAGGAATTTATCGAATGTAGAAATGTAAAGCTTTTGTGTTAAATGAAAATCTACTTCGTTCAGAAGATTCTAACAATTGAAAGTAGTTTTTATTTCTTACCAACTTCATGCTTCACTAGCTTCCCCTTTTTATTCGAGCTGATCTCATTTCAGATCAAATGTCAGTGAAATAAAATGAACAGCAACAATGACGAAAGTGATAAAATAAAAAGAATTCGAATGAACTATTCAATTGGTGCGAATATAAAAGAGATTTGTAATGAGACGCTGTCATGTTGTCAATTTGACATCAAATTATATTCAGTTTCATTTGTTTTCGGCTTGAATAAATTTCTCGTCTTTCTTTCTTATTTTGCCATTTTTTTCTTCGCTCGTTATAACAAAGTCAGAAGCGCCTCATCAAATAACAAGTGACGATTTCTCATTCTACGAGACTCTACAACTGTCTACAGACACAAAATGGATTCCCAATTAATCACTCTAACAAATTTCCGTGCAAATAAATAGATACACAACTTAATTAAGTCTCGTATTTGGACCAATTGTATTTAGGTGCAAAATGTCAATTAATTAAAAGTTGATTGCGAGTGGGTGCAGTGTCTCGATGTATATTTGTGTAAACAAAATTAACTTTTCAGACTAATCGTGCCTTTTGTCAGAAGCAATTAAATTATCATTTTTCCTCGTAACATCAATACATAATTTATGTATGGCTGCTTTTCAGAATTTTCTTATTCACTAAACACTCACAATGTGTCGTTTTTATTGCTATTGTGGTTGCTGCTATCGTTCAGGAATTTTCTGCTATTCAAATTTCTTTTCTTTCTTTGCATAACAGTTTGATGTATAACAAAAAAAAAAGGGGAAAGAAAAAAGTGAAATAAAAATCGAAGACATATAGTTTATGAACTTTGGCTTTGTTTCTTGTATCTTGAGAGTTTCCAGAAGCTTTTTTCAATGTGCCTCCCTCGCTCTTGTGATGCATGTCTTTAACCAAGGGAACTTCGACTACATATTTCACTCTGACGAATGGGGGAGTGGGGGCGAAAAACGACTGTGGGAATGAATTTCAATTTTCCTAAAAGTCTTTTAAACAAGGAAAAGATTTTCATTCGAAAGAAAGGAAAAATAATTCCGTTGCTTTTTATCGCGCCTCGGAAAATCTTTTTTGTTAATGTTTTGTGTTTCCTTTTTGCGGCTCTCTCCGGGGGTTGAAGTGGTTTGATTTATTCTGGTGAAGATTCTTCACGTTTGAAGAGATTTTTTTTATTATGTTTCGTTTAGTTAAGACAAAGTCTGCTTAATGTGTTCGTTCACTCAAAAACAATACGCAATAAACATTTCACGATAAAACTTCTTTCTATGAATATTCAAAAAGCTTTAAGATAGATAATATCCCCTTAATTATCATTATTATATCCGACGCGCTTCACTCCATCTCAATTGTTCTTTCTAAAAGAGAAATCTCGAAAATCGTCCCCCACCACCAAGCACTTCAACTGTCTTATTGCGTGGATATATTTTTCCTATGAGTTAGAAGCGGGAATAAGAAAAGTCAAAAAGAATCATTTGTTATTTTCCATTAAAATTTCATAAGAGCACGGAGCTTGGTAGATGATTGTCACAAGAAAAAAAAGTGTAAGAAAATATATTTCGTCTTCCATCACAACGATAGAATTTTTCCTAGAAAGCGAGCATTTCTTTTATTTTCTTCTTTTTTTTTGACGAGCGAAAGAAATAATTTAATTATCCTCATCATGAAAGAAATTGTTACAGTTCGTCGTTCGTTAGTAATGATGGGAAGAAATATAAATTAATTTAAGAAATATGTGAATGCTTAATAGATTTTCGGAAGCGTTTGTTGTTAAGTGGAAAAGGTGGATGGAGATGACATTGCTTTAAAAATTTCTCCACTTGTTTAATATTTTATCCTAGACATTTATGCCCGTCGTGCAGATGTTAAATGTTAAAGGAATTAAATTTAAGTGTGGTAAGGAGCGCCATCTATTGCTAAGCTTCCTAAAACAAAAGAGAGAAAAGATGAAGAAAGAGAGAAAAGCTCGCGCGCTTTCTCTCCTTCTGCCTTAATCTGCTGAACAGAACTGGTCATTTATAACAACCTCATAGTCATTAATCTTCAACCATTTCTCAAATCATGTAATTACGCTCTTAAAAGAATTGCAAAAAATCTTCCCAGAAATTATTCTTCTTGCCATTTGATCGATGTCAGTTCTCATTTCCGTGAAATGTGTGTGGGAAAAAAGGAGCAAAAGAAAAATCCCACGAAACGTAAAGTTCTTGTAGCAACATCATTCTGACATTAATAATTGATTAAACATAAGAATTTTCCATTTGTACGCTCCTTTGAATACTGAACGCCCATTCCACAGAGCGCACATAAAATGGTTAAAAAGGAAATTTTCCAATCTCTTTCCTTTCATTCGGCATTTTTCAATTCCTTCATACATATTTATAGGTTTTACTCTTGCTACATTCTTCTTCTTCTACTCTTCGCCTACATTTTCGAATGTTTTTCTTGAAATATTTTCTTTTGTGCGTTACGCAGCAATTTTGTCGATCGTAGAAATGCTCCTGCCCCGTTAAGCAATACCATATAGACCCATAAAAATCAAAGAACATGAAAATTATGTATTTTTTCCACCGAATCTCCACTTCTTATCCCTTTCCTACTTTTAACGGAAGAAAAAGGAAATAAATTCCATACATGTGTGTGCTAGATTTTGTTCAATTTATATTAAAAGTATAAGGCGTAAGAGAAAAAAAAGTTCATGACAAGGGAAAGAGTCGAAAAATTGAAGACTTTTGCTCTCAACAAAACATCGTCAAGATGAAAAAGTAGCGTAAAAATCAAAACAAATTCACTGAAGTGCGTATCCATGATTCCTTTTTTTCCTTACTTTCCTTTTCTCCTTTTTCGTTTCTCCGTGAAGGTAATAGCAATGATTATTTATAATTCTTACTCTTATTCTTCTCATACAAATCTTATACGTTATCATTGTGTAAAATCATTTCGCCCCAGTTAAGCTTAAATCTTAAATCGTAGCGCTTGGGGAATTCAATCTACGTGTTTTATATCCTTTTGCTTCCACCTTCTCCCCATCCCGAGGGCTTTCTTGATTATCGGCGAAATTAAGATACAGGTAAAGATTAAGGATTGCTTTTATTTATATACATGTTGTGTGTGCCATTATCCTTCTTGGATTGCTCATGATTATTGTGCTAAACATTCAAGTGCTATTTGAAAAGTATGCTTTATGCTTGACGCTCTCTTGCTTTTTCCATTAAAAATTCTCAACGCTATATTCACGTTTTTATACTTTATTTTCCTCGCCAAATAAGTCTCTGAAGAAATTCTCTCGCTCTGCTGTTTTTATTTTATTTTCCCCCGAAAACACAAAAAAAAAAGAAGAACCAGAAATGAAAGAAGCAAAAAACGTTTTCTGTGCGGATTCCAAATTGTATAAATGTTGCTGAATGTTTGTAAATGTGTGAGTGTTTGTGTGTATGAAGTGGAAAAACAATGCTCGGAAAAACGGAATATTGATTTTTCCCTCCGTATATTTTCATCAGCATATAAAATTTTATGAATAAAACTCGTGTGAATGGAGGCTACTCTCATATCGTTCATCACCGTTGATTTACGTTTACGGTAACATGTCATTAACCTTCATTATATCTCCTTAATCAGAAGCATTGTTATGGAATTGGGAATTATTTTTTTAAGCTAATATGTTAACGCATTTAACAGCATATTTACCTTATAAGCGTTCAAATCCTCCGCCGCCATTATTCCACAGCGAAAACAATTTTTCGGTAGCTCGGCTGAGAGTTTCTCTTCATTATCGAATGAAAAATTAATCACAAATCAGTCTTGTAAACGCTGCATTAAGCATCAAAGGTTGTCGTGATTATCATAATTCCACTTAACAATATACACAAATATAATAAAATGTCTTTAAAATGCAGTGAAAATTCACAAACTTCACGGTTTTTACACCACCCAAAAATTTGTGTACGTCTGTGCTTTGTGCAATTCACAGTTTGACTGAATATTACTCTCATTTTTTGTTATGAGCATGTGTAATTCAACGCCATGACGTTATATTCGTTTACTTTTTGGTGCCTAGATTTCTCGACCAGCTCATGTTTTTCACCTCTTGCCTGCACAAACTAGATGATCTTAACTGTGTATTGAGATGGAAAGCGACAGACAACATTAGCTGAAGAATAAAAAATTCATTTCGATGCTCAATCAATGCATGATTGTCTTGCTTTGTGAATCTCTCGTCTCCCTGGTTTAAAAAGCGTACTAGATTACCCTTTAGGTGATATTTTAAAGCATTTCTCTTTCTTTCTTATTGGAAAGGCAGTTGTAGCGATAGTTATGTATGATACATTTTAAAGTAACTTCAAAGTATGTATGAAGAACAAATCCGATTAGGTAAATAAATATTTCTGAAAATAATTCACACATGAAACCACATCATTACGATAAATCAAATTAAATCATTTGTAAAATAATAAACAACAGCTTTCTTGGAATTTATTTCTCTTTCGATATTTGAGCCTATCAAAAAGACTCCTTTTCTTTATTAGCTTTCAAATTGTATAACATATCCTTTCGTTTTATCGTTGATTAATTATTCTAAAGCATATTTCCTTCATAAATGTATGTAGTAAAAAAATCGATTACCTCGACGACGTGGATGATTATTATTAATATTTTTTTTGAATATTTAGGGGGGTATTCTAATGTCAAAAGCTTTGAAAACAAAACGGAAAAGAAATAATCGTGATAAAGCAAAAGAAAGTAAAAATTGGGGTAGCAAATTTGAAGGGCCAACGATAATTGGTTCGATAATTTACATAAATAAAAATAAAGGTGAAATAAATAGAATGAATATTTCTAAAAAAAAATCAAAACAAACAACTAGGGAGTAAATTAAATAAATAAGGTTTGATAATTTAAAAATTTTTATATAACAAAGCAATTCCTTCATTTAGTAGACTCTCTTTAATTGACCAGCGTTTTTACGACTCTTTATAATTGTATAATTGTATAAATGTAAACTTGTAAACACATTTTTGATGAAAATGTTATTCAAACAAATGGAAAAATGTTTAAATATCGATGAAATTGTATAGACGATCGTACCTGCAGAACAAACATTTTTACATGTATCTTGTGTCTGTTTACATTTAAAAACATTATTTTGGTCCGTTGAGGAAACGAGGGGAAATTTTTTTTTCATAAATGCGTGGAGTGAGTTCATATTTACAGATTACCGTTTGTGATAACATAAAAAGGAAAAGCAAAACCTCATTTCGACCATTCACTTTCATTTGTATTAGCTTGAGAATGAGCTTGTAAATAATTCAAATTCAAGTTGTTGTATTCGTATCAAAGCGCTGTTTCAAGTGAAGCAGTCGCATTGCTGTTGCTTGGCTTAGGCGATGTTTCTTTAGGCGGTGGAATGATTCCACTTTTCAAATTCACTGTTTTGTTGTTATTATTATTGTTAAGCGTCGCAATGTTGGAAGCATTTAATGTTGTTGGTGAATTTACACCAAATAAAAATTGAGCACGTTGTTGTTGCATGTTCATAGTTGCTGCCTTCATATGTTCACGAATCTCATTCTCTGTAAAATTGTTTTCTTGTTGCTTAATGAACAAGTTTTCTTTAAAACTTGTAACTTTGCTAGCTTCTAATGCTTTCTCTTGTTCGACCTCTGCTTCAACTTCAGTCACGTCTTTAATTACAATTTCAGGTGATTTCTTCATTTCGATTAAGTTTCGTTGTTGATTATTATTACTAGTTGCGCTTTCTTGCTCCTCGTCGTTAGCTGCCTCGGGAATAGATGTTGAGATAACATCCGTTCGTATATTTTGCATTCGCCAAGTATGCTTCTGCTTATTATTTGTCTTTGAAGGCGAATTGGTTAATAAATTCGATCCAAACTGACCTTGTCGAATCATTCGTCTTGTTGCGAATGTTTTTGGCGAGCTACTCAAATCTAAAATGTTCATACTGTTATTAAGACTTCCCGGCGTTGGCGATGGTGATTTTTGAGCATTAGTTTTCGATTGTTTCAAAAGTTCTACTGCAGATATTTTACCAGAACGTGTTGAAGTGTTTTTATTGAGCAAAAGTTTCTTGAAATCCATGAGACTTGTCTTTGGCGTTCCAAGTCTATCAGAGCATGTTGATGTTGATGGAATTTCGACATTATTTGTCGACCAACTATGACGAGAACGCGACTGTTGTTGTGGTTCGAAAACACATTTTGGTGTCGATCGGCCAGAACTGATTGGTGAATTGCCATGAGAACGAATGCCGGGATTTTGCAATCTCAATCTCGATCTTAAATCTTCTGTCAGTGACGTTTTTGACGGAGACATTGTGCTAAAATTAGGATTTCGTTGAGGTGTTGACGTAGAAAAGACGCCGTTGTTACGTGGATCAATGGGTGACATGATGTCTTTGGAGTCAATTTCCTTCTCTTCTTCAATAATCCTTTCATTTAGTTTCGAAGGAGCAACAGGTGAAAAGAATTCAAAGCCTAACGGTGTTGTCCGCAATTGATTCTTACGATTTTTATTAGGCGTTGAATATAAACTTTCAATATCCTTTGATCGTGTTTCCTGACTCACATCATCGCGAATCTGATAAGCATTGTCATTCGAATATTGATGATGGCCTGTCTTCGATCGTGTTTGAAGGGTCCAATAAATGTTATTATTGCCCCGTTTTAAAGCAGAACCATCAAAATCATTTTCTTCCGGTGACCATTGATAAGCGGAATTAAACGAAGACGACATCATTTCATTGTCACGGTAAAAACGTTGATAGTCTAAAATCGAAATGGAACTTTTTATTGTTATCTGAAGAAATTTTCAGCGTCTTTCTAATTCTTTCCAACAATCATAGCTTTCAAGATGCTTTTTAATAAAATAAAAATGTACATCCAATACATAAAGTGCATTAAATTGAGTGCAAACAGTAACGAAAACATTAAACTGGTTTTGAAAGCTTTGTCTTGTTAAGCTATTTTCTCCTTTTTCCTTTTTTTTATGTTTCAGTGCATTAAAATGCATTGTGCGAGCATTCAATTACAAAAAAAGAACAAAAACAAAGCTTTAGTGTTCATGTTTATTAGTTAATTAATATCATGGCATAAGATTAAAACATATCAGAAACACAAGTTAATATAACCATAACAAAAATAATAAATAATTAAAACACTCGTTATATACAAAGTTATATACAAAAAATGACATTTTATTGTGTTCAATAAAAGAAAAAATATAAATATTGTGCAGATTCTCCATAATATTTTTCAAAAACATTTAAAAACACCAAACACACATAAATTTCTTGTAACTAATTAATGGACATTCGTTTCATTGAGGGAAGTATGAATAAGTTAAGTCACAATTTGAAATGTTTTTCCATTTAAATTATGAGACTACCAGCTGCCATTTGTGACTTAAATTGCAGACAACTCTCAATCTCGATATGAATTTTGACAATTTTTATATGAAAACAATTTTTTTTGCTATCATCCAAAACATTAATCAATCATAAACAATATAGACTGACGTCAAGAGTCCACTTTAGATTGTTATCAAAATTGTGTGCAGATTAGATGGAAATAAGCAGAAAATGTGGAGGGTTTAGAAAGACATTCACCAATGTTTGTGTTGTGTATTTATGAATGAATAGTGAAAGAAAATAAGCTAAATCCTGATGACAACAAATAAAATCTCTTTTTTTTATGAACAATAATGATTTCAGATGAGATTTTTCCCAATGTTAAATGGACGATTAATTAAGCGAAGATTGACAATGATAAATCATTTTTTCATGTTATCCTTAATGAAAATAAATACAACTTAATGGAACTTTCAACTTGAGCTTCAAGTTTTTGTTTTCATTTGACATTCATGTTTAGTTAGTAAATTAATTAGCCACAATAATAGCAAAATTGACATTACATATCTGGTAATAAATGCATTTTGATATCATTGAATTATTGTGACATTTTGTACATAGGAACATGAAATTTTAAGGAATGTCACAATAATTCTAATGACACATTTGAACAACTTTAGTGCATGTGAATTTAAAACAAACATTTATAACAAAATGAACATTTTCTTGTTGATTTTCCCCCAAAATATTTACAAGAAACAACGAAATTTCTTTGTAGTTTAATTCTTTCGTTATCCTGAAAGGCAATGAACTCAAAATGCTTCAACCCCAATTCATTTCGTTGCTTTATCCTTCTTTAATGTGTCTAGAAAATGTGCGTCGAAATTGAAATTATTCTCTCATGGGACATGATGTGAAATTCACGAAAAAAATAATCTGAAGGGTAGAAAAAATTTTCAGCTAGCTTTGGTGATTTTACCAAATTTCAGTGTCGAAAGATTTGTTACTTTTGAGAATTCTTGCTTTATGGTTGTCACTATCAGATGGTATTGTGACTTTATTAGAAGACGGAGAATGAATCGTGACGAGTGGAGTTGTTGATATAACTTCAGCACCTTCATCAAATGGTGAATCAGTCATATATTCGTTTAAATCAATAAGTTTAGGGGGTTCAAGTGAGTAACGATTTGAAGGTTTATATTCACTCGTCTTCAACGATTCATTCAATTCAAAATCTGTTGAAATTATTGTCGTCGAAGATTTAGAAAACTCTTCAATCAATTTCTCGAATGATCGCGTGACAGTTTTACTTATGTTCAAGTATGGCTCGTCATCGCTATCTGAGAAACTCTTATTTTTAATGTTGCAACTTAAAGATTCCTTAGATTTTGATAAATCGTTGGGATCGGCATAAATGGCTGCCATACGATAACTGTTACTACGCTTTACATGAGCTCGCATCGTATTTGGGTCAATGTTTTCGTTCAATGTTTCTTCATGAGTTTTAAGCTCGATTATTTCTTTCGATATTTTTGGGGTAAAATCAACAATTTTCGGAATATTATTTTCTACTTTCTTACCTTCAAGTTGCTGTTGTTGAGCGAATACATTAACAGCGCTTGAGGGAGATGGAGGAGAGTAAATTGGTGGACCATTTCTCAATGGTGCTGAATCTTGAATGTTCACATATGCGCCTCGAACTGCACCGTTGGCAGAAGTTTTTGATGAAATCGAATTAAGATTTAATGCAACCGAACCATTGGGTCGAGAAATCTGACTAATGTTGTTTGTCGTCGACATTGAGTTCGTATCAGTCTTTGAATTTTCAACTGCGTTTGTTTTCAATTCTAATTGTTTCTTGTTTTCGTTCGCAACTTCACTGGATTTGAGATTTCGTTGTGATACAACTGGTCGAATATTATTCACTGGCCTTCGATAAATACCTGCACTTGACTTTCCTTCTTGCGCTTCAGATTTCAGTGATGAATTGTCTTTTATGTTATGATTCTCTGAAATATTTTTCGTTGATGATTGTGAACCACTCACTACGGTCGTTGTTGTTGTAATGGATTCTGTTGTATCTTTAACACATGGGCCAGGGGAAAATGTTGTGATTGCGCCTTTTTTCCTTTTCAAGCTATTGCTGTCAAATATCGGTTTGCCATGCGCATCAAGTTTCACAACAGCACCCCTGTTTTCACTCCCACCATTCTTTTTATCTTTATCGATTTTTTCATCTTTCTCGTTTGCACTAATCGCCAATAGATGGCCGTCCGTTCGTACATTGCATGGCAACTCATTTAGTGAAACATATTCGGTCTCTTCATTAAGATTTCCAGACAAAACCGTTGCAAGATTACGCTTTAGAATATCACTTGAATAGTAAACACCGTTTGATGTTGATGACGTCTTTTTAGGTGTGTGTATGTCAGCAATTGTCACATAATCATCTTGTAGATCATTTTTAAGCGAAGCAATTTCTTTATTCGGTGATTTTTTCAGTGGATGTAGAACGCCTTTTAGTTTCCCTAGCATGCTGTTCAGTGGTAACAATGGCGACGTTTTCCTAGAAATCTTAGTTTCAGATTGCATAACAGTTGCATAACCAGTGTCTTTGTCCAAGTTCAGGAAATTTTCTTTTATTTTTATTTTCTCGTCTTTCATCGTCGGTTTACTTTCATCATCACTAGGAGATGGAGTAATGACGCACATTGATGGAATTCTACTTGTATTGATGTTTGTTTTAATTCTTATTCTTTCTGTCCTTTCAACACATTCTAAGTCAGATGATTCAGAACATTCAAATTCGGAATAAGTGTGAGTATTCTGATTAGTTGGAGACGAATTTGAATCAATTGGTGACGAGCTTGTGTTGTTGCCGCTGTCTGGTGACTCACCTCGACTTATAATATTTTCTTGTTTATGTTGATGAACCAAAGCCGACACTTCTTTTTGTAACAAAACGCCGTTTCGCTTAATTGTTGCACCTTTCTCGAGTGTGCTTCCAACAGTGCTTGTTGAACAACTTCGAACCAATGTACTCGAACTTGTTGAACTTCCACTACGATTTAACTTCCCTAATGAACTCTTACGTTCGGGCACTGAAGGTCCCATTCGATCATTCTCATAATGAGAAAGCACAGCTGTGCAAACCGTTCCCGCTGAACTACTCGTCGTTGTCGATCCTTTTCCAAAAAGTTCATATTCGTTTTCAGGAGAGATCACCGTTTGATTGCCAGAACTTTCAAATGAGTTTGTACTTGACAAAGCCATTGAAGAATGCATTGGTGTGATCGGCTCTTCTTCTTTTAATGTTTTTAATCCCGAGTCAACATGGAAGCTCGTGTAATAGCCTTCAGTGTCACAGGAATAAACTGAACTTGTTTCACCTTCGTCATGCAATCCATCAAACATTTGCAACTCTGGAGTTGCCGTTCCTTCACTTGTGATGCTGCTTGAAGCTGAAGTATTTAAGAATCTTCTTCGACTGATGATAGAACTTGGGGGACCGGAAGATGTTGTGTGATTATTATGATTAAGTGATGAACTTGAAGCACTCGACTTGGGATGTGTCGTTGTTGTTGTAATTTCACTTCCAATCGACGTTCGACCAGATTCTGAACTTGCACTCCAATTTCCACTTGATGAATGAGGTTCGTCTTTATTCCCAAATCCACCACGACGATGTCTTCGAAGCACTGTCGGTTCACGCATTTTCACAGGCAACAATGTCGATCCATTTATTTCCGTTTGCATCTTTGTGGTTGTTGGTAATCCCGAACTGACTGTCAAACTTCGTTCGGATGAAGAGTAAGATGGCTTTCGTTCATGTGAAAGTCGTCGATCTTTATCGTTTATCTTCTTTTGTCTTTTGTTAATCGCTTCCAAGACATTAAAGTCATCGATATCATCGGAATTCGGTTTGTGTCTGAAGCTACTTCGAGTCGTATCGTCGCTTGTACCACTTAATCGATTAATCATTCGCAACCGACTCTTTCCCCATTGTTTCAATGAGTTGAAATGTGATGAAGAGCGTTTCACCTCAATTGCCAATGAATCTTTCTTCAAAACGTCGCTAGACTTGCTACGGGGAACGATTGTGACTTCACTTTCATGACAAGCTAACATTTCGCCTTCATCCGCATGGCTGAAAAATAAATTATTATTATTGTTAGTTGGAATCATAAACTCCAGTATTATCGAAAGGATTTATAGCCGTAAATTGAAATTGAACTCAAACAGTGCATCAAAATGATTGTAAATCCCATGGAAGTCATAAAAATGCAAAAACGGAAATTTCTGCAAAATAAACTTGAGGCGTTTTATATGTTGGGCCATTCACTTTACAGTCTTTTGCGGCTTTTAGATTCAGTAAATCTCTCAGGGAGAGTGAAAACTTTTCACAAGAATTTTAAATTAGATATTTCTTAATTTGCTTTTAAGAAGTTTTATGACGGTTTGGGAATAAAAATGAAGACAAAAAATTTTATTTGAAAGTTTGGCACGCTTTAAATTGTGATTAATTAAGGAAAGAAAAAATCTGTCATTTCAATCAAATTAAAATAATGACTCAGAGATAGTTCAATAAAAAAAGCAATTGAAACTTTTCCTCAAGAAATATTTGCAAACTAATTAACATATAAATAACGTCTGCCTCGATTAACGACTCAGTTTTGTTAATTAAAAGAGAAGGAAAAAAAATTTATCGCAATACTGGAGTTCAATAAGAAATTATTTCAATGCAGTTAAAATCAGTTTTCATTTATTGTCATGAAAAGCGAGAGAGCAAAAAGCGTTGTTAAGCTAAAACTCGCATGCAACATTCGGCTATTTAAATGTTTACAGCAGACTTTTTCTAGGGATCTGTTCATTGTTTATAACGCTTTGTAAGTCGCACGCCATGCTCTAAAAAAATCTTTATTATAGTAAACTCAATGAAAACAAACCCATTATCAGATATTCCTTCGATTTCCTTTTGATCGGTTCCAGCGATTGTGTTACGGCGATTGCCTCGCGGTTTTCTAGAACGCGAACGTCGTTTAACGGAATCCGTGTTGCTGCTGTCATTTGCGTCTTCTGTTGCATGCAATCCTGTTTGTACATGCAACAGAGACTTTCTTGCAGCTGATTGACGATCGAATCGTTTACCACTTGTATCAACTCTAACGATTTGTGCGGGATATCTAAAAGTTATAATTTGAATGTTGAATAAAATGTTAATGAGGATGACTTGGAATTTCATAAATAAATTATTACTTTAATGCTAATATCAAGCATTGTTCCTCAGGCGATGGTAATCTATGGTCAAGTGGCTCATCTTTATCATCTTCTGATCTCCTGCTGTTATTGTTATTAACGCTTATCACTGTAACATCATCAGTACAGTCGAAAGACGTTCCCGCGCGATTAGAAACTAAACTTTGTTCCGCCATTGATGTATTGTGTCCAACCCTTGCAACGCAATCTGGGGCAACTGTTATATCTCCAATAGCTTCGTTTGATGTCCATTTTCTCAACTCTTTTACAGCAGCAGGCTAATCAATACAATAAATCATACATCAATGAATAGTTTTCAAGAAATCTTTCGATCTTTGTGTCTAATATTTCAAACGCATATATCATCATTCTATTTAAGGCGCAACAACGAAAGGTCAACAAATATATAGATAGCAGTAAAGAAAAAAGATTTCTTTCTTCGTCGTCGTCGACTTAACTCAACTGGTCCGAATTTCTCGTCGCAAACAGAATCGTGACAAAGAGAAATGAAAAAGCTTACAGAATGTTGTGTTGTGTCAAGTTGTCAGTGACAAGAAAAACACAATAAAAGTGGGAATCAACAGAAAAGTTCGCTTCTGCTTGATAAAGTCATGAAGTGAAGTCGGGAGGATAATTAATGTGGGAGTAAATACGATTTTGGAATATGTGAATATGTTAAGCAAATGCTGGCATGTGTTGCATGAACATTTATGACGTGGTTTTCATGTAACATTAAATTTACTACTCAACTGTTGGCAATCAATGGCAGCCATAAAAACTCAACAAAAATGCGTTCATCTGGTTTCATGATATTCAATTATTAACAAACTACAGTTAACCAGAATGAATAAGAAGTGATTTGGTAATGCGATTAAGTTATTTGGGTTATCATAGCATATGAAACTTTTCTTCTCCAATAAACTTCTTTTTGAATCTTCATTAAAATTTGTAAACAACATTTGTGTGCGACTATGAAACATGATGCTGATGATGATGATTTACATTAAAAGATTTATTAAACAGAGTGATAAAATTAGAAAGAAGAAATGTTTACCATGTTTGTCTCGATTTCAATGTCAATGCTGTTCTTCATTCGACGTCGCACTTGTCCCAAAATAGGTGTGCAGATGAAAGCATCAGAGCTTCGTCGATCACGATGACCTAGAATCTTATCCATCTCTTCAATCGCTGGAACAGGCGTTTTTGCAGCATTCTCATACATTTTCTGTAATGTATCTGTGCGTGATTCAACGGTGAAAAGATTCGTAGTGATAACATAGTCAGTCTTGAAATGATTCTTAATCTGAACAAATGTCACTAGGTCGCTTTCAGCTGTATTTAAAAAGAAGAAGAGAATAAAAAAAGTTCATTAGCAAAGTTTCACACGAGAAGTAAAAACATTTTTATAAGAAGCTTTCATCACTAGACAATTCTTTTTCGAGTATTGTTGCTAACAATCAGTTTCATTGTGGAAAACCTCGAAGTTTGAGTTTCCGCTGCTGAATTGTTTTTTTTTGGAACAATTAATTAAAATAAAATTAACAGTTGAAAGCCAAACGATCGCATTAACTTGAAACTTGCGGGTTTTTTTATATTTTGTGTCTACAATTTACGAGTCAACACTCAACAGAATGAATTAAAAACAGTCGGCACGACGTACACAAAATACATACGAGATATGCCAAAATTTTGTGTTTTTCTCTTTGAAGATTCTATGAAATGTTTTACTTATTATGGATGACACGAAATGGTGATTTTGAATTTCAAATTTCATGAAAGCAAAGCTAAGCGTTCAAGTCACGTCATTGTAAAACCAGATTTCAGATTTCTGCGAAACAGTAAAAGCCACTGTTTATTTAGTTGTCGAACTAGTGCTAATCCAATTACATTTGAACTTGAATGTGCTCATAAGTTGAGCATAGCTACAGTAGACCCAATTGTGTTGATTCAATTGCGCAATTATTTATTTAAAAGTTTCTTCTTCGTCGCGACCGCATTTGGGTGCAGCTTTTCCACTTACATGATCAAAATAATTTTATGAGCAAACTTCATGATGTTGTGTACTTGAGAATAAGAAAGAAAAAACAAGAATGAAAGTTCAATGATCATTGTACATTTATTTTTCTTAACTGCTGCCATTATTGGTTCTTCAACGATCATTAAAAAAGTTAAAAAAAAAGTTGACAACATGAAAATATGTTGTTTGTTGTCGAAGACGAAAGAAAGAAACGATTGAAAGTTGAAAACCACATTTTGATGCTGTCTGACTGTGGCTTTAATGTAAGCGAATAACGAGTACAGTGAAATCTCTCTGATCTATGAAAAGTCCTTTCATAAATCACGGAAAAGAGAAATCTCATCATATGCATTGGAATGAAGTGTTAATCGGCTTATGATCAATTTTTCTCTTAAATACAGTTTTGTATCTCTTCCTGTACCGAACATATTTCGATTGTTTGCATCTCGTCGCATTAAAAGAAACAGCAAACAAGAGAAGATCATATCTTGAATGAATCTTGATTTAAGACTTGAATGTCGATATCAGATAAAATTATACAATGGTGGCTTTGTCTTTCATAAGTATTCCCCGTTTACTATGAGGAAAGTTGGGCGCAGTTATGAGTTACGTCGTTGTGATTTATTCATTTTTTTCACCAAATAACATGCATTTAACGAGTTTCTAAAGAAAACATTAACATGAAAGCAACTTAATTAAGTTCGCTATTTAACCAGCCATCAATATTTTATGACATAACATTATTTCAACCCCAGGCAATATTTCTTCTTGTTCAATACATAGCCGTTCTCGTTTTTCCACCCAAAAAAAAAAGAGAAATAAATAAGTAATTCCCAACCACGTCTGATAGTACATTCATAAAAGGTAATGGTGAGTTTACTTGTATCTTAAATGGTGCTTAATTCATGTTGAATTGAATTTCTCTCGAATTAAAGCGACGCGAAAGGCATTAAAATTCTTTTTTTTTGCATTGAATATCAAATCCTCGTTTATTACATGAAAGAAAATTTATGAGCTCATTCACGAGGAACACGAGAGTTCACACAGAACAAAAAAATGAGAGTAATTTATCATTAAACTGAATTAGTATTAATTAAGCTACAAAAATGTTGAACCATTGAGATCATTGAGAGTGAAGGTCAATTGACTTGACTTGAATCAGTTCCTTCCCTCGACGACTTGATCTGTCTCAATGGATCGAAGACAATAGACGACGTTGTTTTAATGAATAATAGGAAATACTAAATTAATTTCACATGCTTTCTGATGCATAATGCATCTGCCTTCGTGCATTTAACAAAAGAGAAACGACGGCAGTGTCGTTGGGTGTTGAACAACAATACACCAAAACCCTCCTGTGACTGAAAAAGGATTTGACAATCACTTATAATGCATTCAGTAATTATTCAAGAGCTGTTTGATGTTCACCATGAAAGAAATTCTTTTTGTGAAGCGCCTGACATAGAAAAAAAATTTAATAACTTGAAACCTAAACCGCTCGACTGCATTTTCCAAACAAACCGTTTTCGTATCCGCTGCTTTTGCTATTAAGCATGAGATTTATCATGTGTGAGTGAACACTTTGTAGGCAACTCAATGAAGTTCATTCGATGTTTCTGTTTACCGTCATACGAAAATCATTACAGGATTAGGAAACGCACACCAGGACGGCTCGTTTTCATTACTTCCCGGAAGGATATGACAATTAAAACGCCAAGGAAAGAAATGAAACAAAGTGGTGCGCAAACGACGAGACGAAAGACCAACACAACTGCAACAATGCAAACACATTTCGGACTTGAAGGAAAAAATTGTTTTTTGTTTTATTTTTCGGAAAGTGTTGACGACGATCGATCGTCGTTTTCAACAATATTTCTGATTGCGCTTTCCACAATGTCCATGAAGTGTTGTAAATTGACGAAAAAAGAAAACGAATATCAAGAACATTTCGTCTTGCAGCATAAGGTTCATGTTTCATGAGTTGAACTCTCTTATGTGCAATCAAGATTTTGTTTTTTTGGTGAAGAATTTGGAAAGCAATAAAAAAAAAGAGAACGAAAGAAGAAATCTCAAGAATGAAATGAACATGAAGCACTTCTCTACCTTTCCCCCATTCAGATTTTTTTCGATTCTTTTAGAGTGTTTATTTTAACAATCTTTTATACCTGCATCATCGTTCTCACGATTTATGTTTTGGAAGTAACGTACATAAAGCGAGAGCATAAAAAATGTTCATTTACATACCGACGATGCATTAAGGAGTTGCGAGATTCTTTCGTTTAAATGAAGGCCTTCTTACGATGATCTTTCTCGATTCAACTTCAGTCAGTCGACGACTGTTGCCTTTTTTTATTGAAATGTTAAATGTTGCAGTTAAGGAAAGCATAAGATTGTTATTTTGTTGAGGATTTAAATAAATTATACGCACACTAACGAGAGAAATGTCATGAAATGCTTCAAAGATGAATGAAGAAACCCGATAAGACGATAATATGACTTGTGGATCGGCTTATAAGTCAAAGACGATAGAAAATGCCTCAGAATTATTTTCCGCAATTTATTTATCTCTTTTCAAGTCCGATAATTCTCATTTTTATTATTTTCTTTCTCTGCTTTCTAATTCTAAGTTCGAAGAAGGAAATTTGTGTGTTTGTAGAAAGCAAATTATCAATAATACTTACGAGACGAGAGTCTTGGTAAATTGTCTTATCTCAATGCTCGAAATGTCTTGTTTGTACAAGATGACGATTAAACTAGGCCGGTTCTATGACTGGCTATGAAGCCATCAATTTAAATATTTACGGTTTGTAAGTAATTTTAGATGTGAGTTTATTCATTTCATCAAAGAGAAACTTTTTTTCTGTTTTTGGATCTTTCCGATTGTTCATATTTAAGACAACATCATAATTGAAGCGTGGATAATTTTGTTAATGTAAAGTGCCTTCAATAATTCGACATGATTTAAACGAATCAAAATATCATACCGTGATATCACAAATCAACTTCAATTAATCGTGACAAAACATTCAAATAAATCCAAACTTTAGTTTTGTTGTTTTCGTTTGATTGAAATCGTGATGTAACATTTGGAATCATTTTTTTTATTGTTTTCGCTTGGAATTCTTCAAACATTTTTCTTCATTTCTTAAACTTTATAGATATTCAATCTCTTATGTTTCAAAATTGATTTGAAAGAGCTTGCTTTGTATCACAGTTGGGCATGATGAATTTAAAAATTTCTTCGTTTTTCTTTTCTTTAATTCATTCTTTTTGTGGAAGAAAACAACCTTCCGCGATTGATGATGATGAAAATGAATTGGTAACTTGCTGTGAGCGTCCGTCAAGCTCGAAAGTGTCAAAAAGAGAAAAAAATTAATCGCGCAAATCAATAAAATATATCGTGAAGTTGTAATGGCGCCGTTGATTTCCTATTAACTCCATTTTTATATGACACAACTAACCTCTTGGGGCAAGTGATTGAAATCATCGAAAACTTCGCGTCAATAATATTCAATTACACAAAGCCGCTTGACTTTCAAAGAAATGAAAATCTATTTGACAGTGAAATGCAGGGAGAGTAGAAACAGAAACAGAAACTAAATACAATTTATATTTATTAGTGTCATTAAATGCTGAGAAACTTCATAAACAAACTCAAACACCAACGTCGTTCAATCTCTTTTTATCGAGAATTCATTGAGTGAACAAACAAATCAAAAAATCACCGCAAAAGAAGAACGAAGGAAGAGAAGCAATTTCATAACTTTAGCTTAGAAAAAGATGTTACAGAAAAATCTGTTTACAATCACATACAGACACGTCTTGCTCGGATTTTATCACGATTTTCATATATCTCGTTCCAATAAAATTCTTATTTAGCTCTTCCCCGAGACTCACTTAATCTGTTCTGAAAAGAGCAGCAGACGCCACGCCATTGATTCGAAATGGATACAGCAGAAATCATTCTTTCATTTTATATGCTTTGATTCGAGTGCTTTTGCAGACCAACTAAAATATGCGTGAAAAATTGCACTACCGGGAAAGTTTATGTGAAACTGCAGCAAGAAATCTAACCAAGATTAATTTAACTCAAATAACGTGCAACGATGTTGAAATTTTCAACAGTAAAAGCAAAAAAAATTGCACAAGAAAAGCATTTTCTGCGGTTTAAAATTACCGCATGATGAATAATGAGATGCATAAATATGTTTCTTATTTTCACGCGCGTTTTCGACTGAAATTAGAAATAGAAAAAAGTTTTTTGTTTAAAAAGGAATAACGACAAGTGCATTAAACTAAGTACAAGAAATTATTTTTTTCTATTTCAGAAAACTCATTATAAGGAATGGAAAATTCTCTTGCTTTACAGATTTTTTATTATTTTCTTTTCTTATCTTCTTATGTTGAGTTTGTTTAGTAGACGACAGAAGGTTTCACTTTGCACTCGTTACATAAATGCAGAAAGAAGAAAAAAAATTCTACCCCAAATTACATTTTTCATCTTTTTTCTTTTGAGAAATGTCTCAAACATGAATTAACCTGCTCATGACAGATACTGACGTACATACATTTGGATGATTTTAAATGTAAAAGTCAATGGTTCTAAGAAACGACATGAGACTTGTCACATAATTGACAAAAGCATCGTGTGAAGCTCGTTTAAAATTCTTGCAGGTTTTTTTATGTTTTTTTATTCTTTTCGACCGACTGCTGATAACTCGATTGTATTCAAAGGTGTTTCTTACAAATGACTTTGTTTCATTTCATTTTGTCGTGAAACTTAGTTTCGTATTCCTTCCTTATCTTGACTTTTTGCATTTTAAAGCGACACATAAATTTTTTATGGATAAATTTCTACTACAACAAACATTTGTAAATTGCAATCGATTTGTGTTTTCGTTATATTGACACCAAACATTTCGTCACGAACATATTCGACGTTGTTTCTGCTTCCATAATTGTCTCTATAAATCCCAAAAACCCGAAAACTGCAGCCTAAACTATATTCATTTATATTCTCTCTTCGATAGTTCCAGATGTTACATTCATGTTCTAAAAAAATCCGCAGCTGATTTTTTCGGGTATTATGAATGATTCATGTGTCTATTTTGTGCTCAACATATGTCTGGGGCGAACGAAGGGAGAAATGGGAAGTTGTTTGAGTAATCGATGTGGTACTTCTTGTGTTGTTATTGTACGAATTGGAAAATTTACAAATAATAGATTTTTAAATGTCGATGAATTAATTTAATTAACCTGAAAACGACTACGATAATTCGAAGCACACACCCCATGTTGAACGTGAGAGACAATCGTTAACGACAACAGTACATAAAGGGAAATCCCTTCGTCTTTATCTACTTTTCCGTACATCCAAATATTTAATCAAACAAGAATTGTGTGTTGATTGTTAACTCATAATACGTCTGACTATGCTGCGGTTTGAGGAACGTGAATAAATTTCAAATTTCAAGCTTATGAAGTTTAATCCAAAGCCGCAGAAAATTTCGTCTTTCAAATTACAAACGCAGACAGTTTCGAAGATTCCTAGGAAAAAAATGTTGTTCGTGTCTAATTATTTCTTTTCCAAATGAAATGAAAAGCGAAACTCTTTTTTTTCGCATGCAATTCGCTTCTCTTTTGTGTCGCTTTCAGATATCCATCGAAGTCTTTAGCGAAGTTTACTTTTTATTTATTTTTGTATATTACGAAAGCAACGTTTAAATTCCCCGAACCATGACATACGATTCATGAATTTCCGTTAATGTTTTACATGTATTTCACCCATTTTATGTTTCCAATTCACTGTGTTTTTTTTGTTCAGGTGATGAATGTTGAAAATTAATGAAAAACAATTTCACAACATTTTATCTTAACGATCTGGTCGAGAAAATCTATTAGAGAGTGAAAAACTGCAGAAAAAAAACAGACATTGAATTAAAAGTTTCGTGTTTTGATTTCAATCGACGTCTATCAACCTAATTTTTCACTGAAACTTCATCCAACTCGTTTTATGTTCATTCCCTTGAGTAATTTCACGATTTTTTCTTGATGGTTTTCAATTGTTTCCAATTTCATCTTTTCACTTTCTGAGTCCAATGAGATTGGCAGCAAACAAAATAAGAAATGATTGGGAATGAATGACATCATTAAAGTTCTTTTTCGTCGTCTGTCTGGATCAAAGCATAAATCGAGGGCTTGTGAATCGTGTGATTGTTTCAAAGGTGGGCTAAGACAATTGATAAATATCAGTGCACGAGTATAATGAACCGTATCGGCAGAAAGTTTTTTTTCTTTCTTTCTTTTATTTTCCATGTTGTGCGTGGGAACATTTTTCCGCTTAGTAATTGCGTTTATGAATCAACAAGAAAAATTTATTTTATTGCAAGCGGGTTAAGTTACTAGTTGAAATATCTTTCCATCCCAACATGCAGCATTTACCGAAAAAACATGCAAAGAGGATAACGAAAAATTATCTACATAAAAACCGGTTTTCGACTCGAAACAGGTTTGTGGTTGAACATTTCACATTAAAAACGGACCCAGAATCGCATGGAAGTTTATGATTCCCGCCAAATTACCGATCTTTTTATTTATCTGTCAGTTCCGCAGAAACATTTCATAATAAACATTAATTCAAATTACGTGTTTTAAATGCCTTCTCGCCTCGCGATCTTGTTCTGCCTTGCCTCGATTATTCTTGCTTATGTGTATAAGCCGGCAAATCATCGACAGACGAAATAATTAAAAAGAAAATAAAATGAAACGAAGGCCTGCGATGATTCAGATTTCCATTTCACTTCTCACATGTGTTTCGACTTCATACTTGCGCTCATGAACTCGAAATCTTCTCGTAAAATTGTTCAACTTGGATGCCAATATGAAAACGATACTAATTACTTTAACATGTTGCGTGTTGATTCAACGACACATTGATTGTCTACTATTTTGTTTTTTCTCAAAGCATTACGAACAAAGGTCAGGAAAATCATAAATTAAGTTCCATACAGCGAGCACGTTGTACAAGGTACACATATTGAACTATTTGTATGAGATTTAATGTTGCTTTGTGTGTGTTCATCGTTTGATTCTTTTTATTTCTTCTTTACTTTGCTCGATGGTACACGGGTATGCGTTATAATTTATATACGATATTTATTAAAGCAAAGCAATAAGATTTTAAGTTGAGAATGGAGGGAAACTAAAAGACTTTTTAACAACAGAAAAAAACCTTAAAAAAGAACAACTAAGAGATAATAATAAGAAGTTGATGATGGCTAAGGTATGCGTCAGAATGAATTAAAGTTTTTGAACATAAAGCAGACGAATCGTTGAGTGTAACAATAATAGCTTCTTCCTGCTACTAACTATTCTTTCCTGAAGTCAGATAAGTTCCCCTAAAGAATGATCGTTGTTCTCCAACCCCCATAATTTAACCTTAATGTTTCTTTTTTCCTGACTTTCGTAAAACTATTTTTAGTGCGGAACGTGAATGTGGAAGTTACTAGACATCGTCTTCATCCAAATCACAGATTTTTCCCTTTTTAACACCAACTAATGCATTCTAAATTGTGAATAATTTAAAACGCTAGAGGAATCTTATTTCTCTCGAGTCGGAGTCATTAGAATAGAATTGAAAATAAATATTTCTCTTGCGAGACGAGAGATTTCGAGAATCTTCTTGGGCAATGATTTTTAATGCTTCTCTCAAGATGAAGAAATAGATTCTATCGAAAAAATAACATCATAAAGATAGTTGGATAAATGGAAGATCCATGAACTAAGTTGTAACTTTCGAAATGTTACATTCAGTTAACATAAACGGGTTAAAGTTTATGTGACTACATTTCAGAATTAATCCCAGACGTCTTTCAAGAAATATCTTTGTTTTTCTTCATCTTAACAGTTGCATCGCGTAATATTGGTCTTGTCTCTAGACAAACATTTTGAGAGCTCTTAACTCTTTTACAATCGCCCACATTCCCAACACATCTCATTCCAACTTTCTTTTGACTTTTTGTTTAACATGTAATAAGAAATTAATATTTCCACTAACAGCATTTTTTCTTTCTTCTTTACAATTCTTTTTATTCATAATTTTTTCATTTCTTTCTTATTTCAAGATTCCTAATTTATCGTTTTTCATAATAGAAAAATATTTCTTCTCCAATCTTCGTGTGTTATTCATCGTGTTTCATTTAACTCTTTCAAGTACATATCTCAAGACATTATTCTTAACCTTTTTTCATCTGTCGGAAGGCTTCAACATGCCCACGTCTAAATTATCCTTTCACAAAGACTAACAATTTGCTTGCGTAATGATTTAACGAGAATTGTGGTTTTTACAAGAATTTTAATTGAAACTTTACACCAGTAGAAGTCTAATGAAAATAGGAAACTAATTATTAATTGATCTGATTCAAACTTTTTTTTTTCTTCTCCGATGTTCATTATTTATATTTTTTGCACGTTGCGTTGATGGATGGGATTAAAAATAATTTTCTAAAATAGATATTTGATTACTTACGAACAACAACAAGTTTTGCATCATAAGATGGATCGTCGACTTTATTTTGAAGAGTATTGATTTTCGTTTTTAATCTCGTTGATCTTTCGCTTATACCTTCCAATTCTTTATTCAATTCCGTAAAAATTTCCTTCGACAGTGCCAATAACGATGCTAACTGTCGCATAGCATTGCTGAGGGTTAAGTTTGTAATTGTTTCCAACTCATTGTCCCTTAAAGGTGACGAGCCTGACGTTGACTTTTTACTGGCAGATGATCGACGTGCAATGTACTTAGGTTCTATTTGCCGTTGCACAAATGGCATTTTGAACAATAATTTTGTGACTTTCTTCACAAACTTTAATAACTTTTTCGTAAGGCCTCTAATCACTTCACATCATTATTAAATTCCAACAGATCTTAATTTCGACACAGCACTACCAAGGCCAGAATTAATTGTATTCACACAAAAACACAAAACAATTACATGAGAAACTAAGCACAAATACCGAATGCGTCTTACGTTGTTGAAAGTTGAAAGCGGTCTGATGTTATTTTGCGTTTTACTTTATGTTTTCCATTTGGACTTTACTTTCGATGTGTGATTGTTTTTGCCTAAAACTATAAAGTTATTATTTTTCTCATTTTTCATTAATTCATTCCATAAATATTTCAGCAGATTGAATGATTTTTATAAATTATAAATGAAAAGTCACTACCAAGTAGTGGTGCATAAAAGAGTGTTTGAGAATCTTAACATATATTTTTATGCTCGTGTACATGCAACGTATTGTCTGTTAAAATCACATTTCTGTTCATTTGGCCTCTATCCAGTGGAAATTTGTAATAAAGTTTCTCTATAACGACGATGTTTCAGCCTGCTAAAAAAGTGAAGACGAAGCCTTAAATATTTTTTTCGAGAAATAAGCCGAGGGTAAAAACTAAAAATATTATAAACAACACTGAGTCATAAAATGTGGGATCAATTTACATATTAGAGAAGGGATATTTTCGCTATGTAATTAATGCTAAATGATATCCAAACTCACCCTAAAAAAATTAAATCCAAGGAATACACATCGATGCCTTTCAAATTTATTACATCGTGATCAGTTTTCCGCTTTTTAAAACATATTTTTTTTATGTTTATTGCATGCTAATTTATAAATATTCCATTATAATCTAAACTTCGTGGCTGATAAGATTACACGAGTACCAAATATCGTGAATTATCAATGTATTCTTCAACACCTGCGTAGAATTTAAATATTCAACGACTACTGGAAATTTAAAATTATCTCAACTGTTTTGACCGCCCTCATACGGCGAATACGTGTAACATAAATTTAGTCAGCTGACCTGTAAAAAGTTTTATTCTTATAAATTTAAGTAAACTCCTAACTGGTAATAACTTTAAAGACATGGCTTTACACTCAGCTATTAAAGGAAAACTCATTTCGGTGATTGGTGATGAAGTAAGTTTAAAAATCCTTCTGTAAAGTTCTTTTTTTCGAAATATTTACATTTTATGAAATTTTGTTTTCATCAGGATACTTGTGTAGGATTCTTGCTCGGTGGAGTTGGCGAAATCAACAAAAATCGTCATCCCAATTTCATGGTTGTAGATAAAAGTAAGAAAATAATTTCATCAATTGGAAGTAGCAGCGAATCTAATGTCATTATTTTTCCTTTGTAGACACACCAATCAGCGAATTGGAAGATTGTTTCAAGCGATTCGTGAAACGTGACGACATCGACATCATCTTAATTAATCAAAATTATGCTGAACTCATCCGTCATGTAATTGATGCACACACAGCTCCAATTCCAGCAGTGCTGGAAATTCCTTCTAAGGATCATCCATACGATGCAACAAAGGACTCAATCTTGCGACGTGCCAAGGGAATGTTCTCTGCTGACGACTTGGTTGGTGTCAACCGTGGATAAATCTAATTATTTATGTTATCAACTTTCAATAATCATGTATCAATATTTTCGGTAAATAATTTTTTGCATTCCGATCAAGCGAAGTTTTAGTGAGAAATCAAATACAGTCAGATGTCGTTAAGTTGAAAAGGAATTCTTTTTTTTTTCGTTTCGTTGCTTTTCTGAAAACTATAAAATATATGTAATGTGATGTGTGCATAAAACATGTTAAATAAAAATTAATGAAAGATATAAGAAATATATTTGAACTAATTTTTCTTTTCTTTATTAATCAAATGTTCGCTAGATGTTCTTTGTTCATGTAAAATTTTCATCTACATTTTCGTGTTTTCATTTGCGTTTTCAGCACATTTTAATTAGATATCTATTTACACTTAATGAAAATTTATTTTTTGTTTATCGAATTTTCATTATGACTGAAATATCCTAAGGTAGGAAGAATCCATTATCGTTGTAAGAATAATCATAGACGAGTACTTCTTGCGAAGACTATTTTCTTGCATCCTAAAAATTAATATTTATGAGTTTTTTGGCTACGTGTGAACAGTTTTTAACAATTGATTAAGTTCATTAAATCTTTCCCTCCAATGTTAACATCATCTATATTGCAGTTCCAATGTAATAAAGAAAAAAATATTGTTTTCCTGTCAACAGAAAACACTTTGTCTTGTTTGATAATAAAAAAAAACTCCGAACAAATATCATCAGAAGGTTTTTCCATTTAACTAACTTTTAATAAATTCGAGTTTGTTGATTTCTCGAAAAGGAATTGCTATGCAATTCGTTCCATGAGTTCGAGGGCGGATGAGAGATGATAAAATTTCATTTGCAACTGCAAACATTTATTTCTCTCCTGAATGGATGAATGAATTTGAATTGAATGAATTTATATGGAAAGCTTCTGCAAATGTTGAACATTGCATTAGCCACAACATTCCGCCTTTATTCCCGCGAACAAATTGCATCATTTTCTCTGCTTTTCTTCAATATCTATTCAGTTAATTGGTTTAGTTCCATACTAAACGTTTATGTTTGTATAAATATTGGAGTAGCTTTTGGGAGTTCCAGTTCAACCATCCACATTTCTCGTAATCATCATCATAATATTTTTTATTCTTTTTGTTACATACACCAATGAGCTTTAAAGTTTTATTCTTCTTCCTCGTAAATGTTAACTATTCATGTTCATCTTCCGTCACAACTTTTTTCAGAACGTTATTTTAGAAATCAGGAAAATTTATTTGCTACTGAAGTCAGAAAATGATGAACAAAAATCACAGCAGATAATTAATCATAATTTTAATAAAGTTGCTTTGATTTTTCTCATTCAAAGGGAAAACTTTTACAAGCACAGAAATGTTTTCTGGTATACTGGCAGTTATAATTGAACAGGGTTGGATATTTCTAAAATTACAACATTGGGAAATTTTTTAAGTCAATTATCTAAGCGCAACAATCAACAGAAGTTATTAGTTTTTGGGTGGTTGAAAAATATTTAGGATTTTTTTAATGTCGACTATGAGGGTGGTTTGGGTCGCTAAACAAGATGTAACAGAAATAACTGATAAAAAAATATGCCAGAAGCTATTTTCCCTTTTTTACAGTCATCGTTTTTGACATGTCTCGTCTGCAACTGGAAATGACTGCATCTGTCATGGGAAATGAAGATGAAATTACTAGAGTAGATATTTCTTAAACAGACAACACATAAAACTCATTTGGAAGTGACTTTAGTTTACAGGATATTTACTGCTTCATGTTTTCATTTTTCTTCTTTAGAATTGAAATGTTTGTAAGGTAAACACAAGAGACGCTCATTATTACAATTGTACATAAAACTTTCAATAAAACTATGTTCATGTTGATGTTGTAGTTGCTTGCTGTTAACTCAAATTGTTATTGCGGACACCTGGGAAGATGAGAAGAATAGAAATTTATTGAACAAGTGTAATCAAAACATTTGATTCCTCCCATGATGATAAAGTGGAAAAGTTTTTCGACATGTTTTCAATTTAACAGATTCTCACCTTACGACCGTCGATGATGCATAGTCGGAAAACTTTTTATCGATTGGAATTCGATCGTCATAAAGTGTTGGTGCTTGGAGAATAATACCAGCTGTTCCAACTAATACCGCCAGTGTAAAAATCCATAAGAAAAGACGATCCAACACCATCGCAACATATTTCCAATCTTCTTTTACTTTCACTGAATCTTCAAGCATTCGAGTATGTTCTGCGATGAATCGAACACAGAAACATGACCGATGAAGTTCCGTAGGACAATGTTGATGAGAATAACCAGGATTCTTCATGATGGGACTTTTAACACGATCCGGTTGTGTCACAGGCGGTGGATCAACATCAATAGTTGACATTGACATTGTAACTTCTTCTGACTCCATCGAAATCGGACCATGAATCTGACAACTTCCACCAAATGGACCCGTATTTAAACTAAATTCATCATTAAATAAAATTATCAAATTAGTTGAGTTTTGATTCGAAAAATTATCCATCTAAAGCACCACCATCCAAAAGCGAGAAAAGAACTTTCGATTCACAACATAACAAAGAAAGAAGACATGAATTGAAATGATAAGAAAACTATTAATATAAAATCCACATGAACAATCGAGAACACAATAAAAACTATAGAAAAAACCAACTGAATGAAAGGATAATAAAAAATTATTGTCATTCCTGATTCATCTATGTAGTAAATAACATCTAATTGGTATTCATATCTCTTTCGAAGGAAAGGTTGCATCTCAACACAGAACGAATCATTTGTTTATTATTTTTTGTTATTATTTAAAACACACATTTAATGAGTTCTTAACTTTTAATACCTGATCGGTGACAAATCTTCTTTTGATGGTGTTCTACTATAGTGTGATACATGATTGAGATTTGATGACGAATTCGTATAGAATGGATAGAAACTTGAAAGCAATTTTCTATGATAATTTAGATTGATTTTGATGATTTATTGTTTTTGAATGTTGCGAGTTTTGTTTACGTTTCGTTTTTTAAGATTTCATTTTATTTAATTTTTGTTTCGTTTTGTTTTTATTTTGGTTCAAAAATCAATAAATTTTGTTCATAAAAAAAAGAAGAAAAATAGAAAAATTTAAATTAATTTTATGTCATCATGTAATGCATTTGCTTGACGAATGGCGACATCGCAATGATGTTTGAGTGATGAGCTTTGGAAAATGAAATTTTCCATCATCTAGAGACGAATCTTGAGATCTCATCTCATTTCTTTTCTTTCTTTTATTATTATTGTTCAAAGAAAGTTGACAAAGTTGAATAATATTGCGCGCATTAGAAGATTTCCCCGGTGGCGTTTTATTACCACTTCAAACGACGTCTTGAGCCCGTCAGAGTAATCTCGTGTAATTTTCCCCACAATTAATCATATTCCATGCTCATCATCATAATTGTCAGTCTCATCATCTTGACGATGTAAAACTTTACAATTGAAACGTCAGTGCCGTCGCCATAGTATGAATAATAAAAGCGATGAACGCTCGATTACCTGTTGGTTTCGAAGACGTATTTTGGTCGTTTCATGAACAGAAATTTCGGTAGAAAATCTATGAAGAATACTTTGACCCAAGAATGCATGACGTGAGTTTGAGGTGATCTAAAATGAACGTTCAGCACCACCACTGTAACGCATATACTGGAAGATAAGATGCACAATCAATCATTTCCAACATTAAATATGTTATGAATAAATTTCTCACCTTATCGATACCAATATCATAGCAAATATCAGATATTTGCCCAACAGCGGCACAACCAAACTGTTTACAGTTACACAATGGGCGATGTTGTTATCGATGTTAGCATTGCGGATAGCACACAAAAAAAAATATCCGGAAAAGCGTAAACGAGAAAATGAAAATAAATAAAAAATTCAATCAACTAGAATTATTTACAAACTGATTGAATTTACCTTGTTGGTGGAATGATTTCAACAACCAGTAGAAAGAACACGTGAAGACTAATTAAAATTGAAATTGAAAGCGTTACCTAAGTGATGACAAAGTAAATATTTTAATCGAATTAATCAACAGAGAATTAAGATTTATGGCTTTAAAATCAACAACTGAATATTAATCACGGTATCCAAGTAAGTAAACTAAACAAACTTACTTTCTCTCCACTATCTGATGGTAAATAAAATGTTAATACTGTGAGGAAGGAAATTCCCATGCAGGGGATTATGATGTTGACTGTTGTGCCAAACCAGCAAGCGGTTCAAAAGGATGGAAAAGAAAAAGAGAAAAAAATCGTTGTTAATATTTACTTTGTAACTGAATTCAGTTTTGCGAATATCCCGTGAAGAATTTTCTTTTTTTTATCAGGAAATAAAGAAATAAAGAAAGAAACATGAAAGCTTTACAAACTGCCATCATGAGGCTTAATGTCGTATTTGTCTTGAAGATGACTTCTGCTTGATGTTACTGACTTAGACACAAGGACAGTTGCACGCTTACGTACCTGTGTAAAATAACGTTTTTCTTCTCATAGTGACGTTGAATGCTGGAATGTATCGAGGGAAAAATAAAGAAATATCGTGAGTAAATTTAATCAACTCTCGATGAACACATGAGACAAACTCACTGATGTCTAAGTAGGGCTCGTCGCAGCATGTGTAGAATTTTTCATTGCTATAAAAAGGACAAAGTAATTAAATTAGTGGAATGTTGTGTCGAGCTTCGTAAAAACTAATGGAATATTGTTCCATTCCCAAAAGTATTTATTGCTTCATCTTTTCAAGAAGAACTAAACGAAGCTGTTTGTTAACGAATTGTTGTTGATGTAAATATGTTTAACTATTTACCGAACTGCTGGAACTTCAAGGATGTCCCACTCAACGCTCGAATAAAACTCTGACAGATCCACTCCGACATCCACAATATTGCTGCCAAATTTCTCATCCATGTGCCGCAGGTCAACCTACATACACACACACATTATTGGTTGTAGAGTCGATATATAAAATGAACATAAACAGGAGTGTTATAATCGTAAAAGAAAGAGAGAAATGATCCATAAATATTTTTGGATTTAATGGTTGTTGTATGGGGAAGAGTGAAAGGAAAGTTACTGAAAGTAAATAATTTAATTCTTTGCATAATTCAATTCGAAAATGAATGACATGGAATTCCATTTTCTATTCAACATTACAAATAGCGTAACAAATCTCCAAACAAGTCAATTCCAAACTTTATGAAGTATTTAAACCCACTTTAAACATCCAGATTTATTTAAATTTGTGGGAATTTTATGGTATTTATAACTTAAATACCATTTAAAATAAATTGGACAATGAGCAATGCATATCGAATCAAATTATTTATTTCCATTGTAATTAAATTAAGTGGTGAACTGTTCATGCAATAACAAGTCAAGCTTTACAAGCATTATTTTTTATTTTAACATGCTTCATTACATTACGTGATAACAAAGCTCTAACTTCATAACGTAATCCATTTATAGCATTCACAAGCAAGTACAATAAATATCAGGTGGCATACAAATACGAAAATATAGACGTTTCCGGCAGGGGAAAGATTGAATATAATGTGTATCATTCTGATTAAAAGCTGGTGTCGTTTATAATGTTTTGAAATGTGTCATGAACACTGATTTATTATCGTTCTTGTCTGCCAGCACCTGTCTAATAAAAAAATTTACAGTACAAGCAAATAAAGTTTCATAAAAGCTGTTTAACTTAAGTCGCACGCTATGTTAAAAAAAATGAAAATTTCACGACAAAAGCTAATGACGCGAATCATTCTCTATTAGATATGCGTGGGCGCCAATGAAACTTTTATTTCGTAAATTGAAGCACCTACAGATGCATAATTAAGTTAACTTTCAAATACGTGATCTTAACAGAGTACAAACGCTTCAGTGTAAGCTTGTTTTGGGGGGTGGGGATAAAGACAGCAAGAAAAGATAGAAAATAGAGAGGTGGGTGGGTGGATTGGAAAAATCTAATGTCTTTTGGTAAGATTTACTTTTGCTTATTTTTTATAATAAGCGGATGTATTAATGGATGTGAAATTTCTTTTTTTCTTTTTTATCTGGTGTGATTCATGGGGATGAGTGAAGTAATATTTTAAGGCGAGAGTTTTCAGTGATAAAATATTTACTCAACAAACGAGAAAAAGAAGAATTTATTTTTGGAATACATCTTATACTAAGTAATACATAGTCATATACATATCTCATCGTATATTTTTCTTTTTCTTTCTTTTCCTTTCTTTTCCATCACATAGAGTCGCTTGAGGAAATATACATGAGAAGCTTTCGTATGTAAATTGCGAATTAATGTGAACTTTTAGACCTTGTTGATTGTACATCACTACGAATGCAATATTTAGATTCAGATTGAAAATGTTTGCTTGCAAAACTTTAATATTAATTTAAAAAATGCATGAGTGGAGGTGGCAGATGACATAAAACTTCAACTGAAAGCATTATTGGGCACACAACTCCACTAACGAGCGAACAAAAAAAAGAATTTATGAGAGAATAATCAATAATATGCTGAATTAAATTTCATTCACGGTCTTTCAGTTGCATTTTGAATAATGTTGAAGATTCCGCAAGCAACACTGAATCGTAATATTTTATCTTCACAGTTCATAAAAAAGCTTCCTGTCAGCAACAAATTATTCTCATAATTTATATTAAAAAAAAGTATACATTTTGAAACTTAAATATTTTGAGGAAGAAACAATATTATCAAGCAGTAAAACCTTTTAACATTTTCATAGTTTTATTCATCTCATTTTACAAATACTAAGAACATTAGTATTCTTGTTTATTTTAAGTATGATTTTCATTATCGTTTTCAAAACGAATTTAATTAATTTTTTTTTGTTTTATATCGTTTTATGTTTTTATTTTGAATTTGAGTTGTATGAGAAAGCAAAAAAGAAGATCTCTTGTAAATCTTGTAAATGATAGCAAACATAAATAACTTAATTTAATATTCTTAACGAGAAACAAATTTGACTGAATAGAAACAACTTCACTCATAGAAATAATAAGAAAGTCACAAAATTTGCGGAATGAAATTAAAGGAGGAAGTTCGCAAGAAGGAAAATTTTCCAACATAAATTAAACGATGAAAGATGGATGGGGCGAAAATATAAAATAAAAATCATACAGAGGCGTGGAAAAAGAAACAAAAAATGTTTGAAATTTGTTTCTCTTTTCAACCCAGGAAATGTTGTTTTATCATAGGGAAATTTAACTTTAACAAAATAAAGTAAATGGAAAAAAGGCGAAACTTTATGAACCAAATAAAAATGACGATGAAACTTTTTAATGTCTTTCTTTAAATTTGATTTTTTTAAAATTTAATATTTTTCTCTTTAAATTTTTTTCTTTTTGAAGTTTTAATTTATTTATATTTTTACAGCCCATGCACACTGTTCTGCTCTAAATCAAATATCTCTAATTGACCAGAATTTTACATTTCACAACCATCTAGATGTTTTGTGCATGCAAAAAGAAAATGAGAAGAGAAATGCTGTCACTTCGACTCTTGTTTGATTCATTTACTTGTTTACTTTTTTTTATTACTCATGATTAGGAATAAAGTTTAAACATTCTATACTTGATTTCTATCCTAAAATTTCTTATTCCAAATCAAATTTTACTTTTTTTTATCTATCGATCCATAATGTAAACAATAAAATAATAAAATGAATGATGTGTGAAAACGAATTTAAAAAGAAGTGAAACAAACCCAACATAATTCATTAATTCACTCTACAATGATAACTTAAATAAATGAGATTAATGAAAACAATACTTAAATGAAACAATCCCAATAGAATTCATGTTAAAGTTTCGAGTCAAATGTGGAAAGGTATAAAATTCAAGTGGTCATTTAATTCGAGACACTCCACCACAGGGATTGTTTGCCATTTCCCATTCAACATAATACAAAACAAAATTTAAGCCTAATTGTTTTCATATCACTTTAATGAAATCATGAATGAATGAAGTTATTTCATTCACGCAAACAAAACCTTTTCCCTCATTCCAAGACCTTGGAATGAAACCTTATCGAATTCCAATCAGACAATTGTGCACTTATACGCAATCAAGTAAAGCTCATTCAATGGTAAAAAAGTTTTCCCGTGTGGCAAAAGACATGAAAGGGAGAAAAGTTTCAGACAGGAAAAAGTGTATTGAAGGAAACTCCTTGAAAAGGTTTGATCGAAAGTATAAATTGAATGAGATCAGTTGGTTTTCAACTTATAAATCTTTTCATTTCATATTTTTTGTCGGCATGCTTTCCGTCCTTTTTATGCTTCGTCAATCGACTTTCTGATATAAGCAAGAGGAAATGTCAAGATGTTTCTGTTTTCTTTGAAAGCTCTTGAAACAAAGAATAAATTATGAAGCCACTTGGTAATTGTTTCCGTAATAAAATTTGCCGTTTCATTATTATAGTTTCATGATAAGATGGAGAAAAAAAGAAGAAAACTTCCGACATTTCTCATGCTGCCAGCAGCTCTCGTTTGTTCGCTTCATTCGATCCTTTTGTGAAGACAGAAAATATTTCATGGAAATTATGAAACTTGAAATAAAATAAATTGCAGCATAAACATTTGACTAAAGGATATTGTCGAGTCGAGGGAAAACACAGAAAAAAATGTTGAAGATTTGATGAATATAATAAATTAGATTTCTTCGCAGCAGCGAGTAGCAGTGAGCAGCTGCGGGAAATAATGATAATGTAAATACCCTAAAGAACACCAATAACAAAAAAAAACCGACAGTAAATTGTGGTTCATCAAAGAAAATCCGGAAAAACAAGATACATACATACGTCCGGAGATTGAGTAAGGAATGAGTGAAAAAAACTGTCTGAAGTGAACAACATCAGGCAATAAGAAATATGATTCAGTAGACTTGAATACGCTTTCCCTTATCCTATCCCATTTCGCATTTATGTTTGTTTTGCCTGGTAATGCCTTTCAGCATTTAAGCATATACTTTCATTTCTTTATTTTTTTCTCATCTAACAATAGCATACAGAAACAAAGTTTTGCTAGTAAATGCAAAAAATATTTAACCGAGTTGAGCTTTGAGCTCCTTCAACCATTCTCTACGGTCGCTAATTTACATGAGCTTTCATGGCACAAGTTAAATTTACGGTGAAAAATGGAAGAGAAAGTTTTCGAAGATAAATAAAAAACAGAGTAAAATGTAGAATTAATTTTCGACGAAAAGTAAAAGAGAAATACCAAAAAATAAAAGATAAATACAAAAAATAATCTCAAATGATACTCAAGAATTTAATTTATTTTCATTCTTCTTTTCTCTTTTCACTTCGTTTAAATCGAAATGAATTTTGAAAGCGGAAGCAAAAATATTTCTAATTTTCTTTTAAGGTTTTACTGCTTTTAAAATGATTTCTTTGTTTTATTTCTTTTCTGGTTTGTTTGTTTTTATTATTATTGTTTGATCGATTTTCTGCTCAGCTATTTCATTTCAACTTCCACGTCGTTGTTGGATTATCATTTTATAGTTTAAAGTGACTTTTTGTGTAAAATTTTCATTTATCTTTTGTTGTTTTTCATTAATTTTTTTTGTTTGGAGTTTTCTTTTTTGTTTTGTTTTGAAGAACTTAAAGAAAAAGGAAATGAAGTCAATTTAAAGAAAAAAGTGGAAAGAAAGCAAAGAAAGAGAAGAAATTAAAAATAAATTGAAAAGACAGCAGCGAGACTTAAAATCAATTAAAGCTTTGAATCTTGGTAAATGTCTAGGTAAAGATATTGAGTTAAAATGTATGTTGAAGTGAAGAAAAAAAAGTTGACGACAGTTATAAGGGTGTTAATTTTATACCTTTCCAATTTGATTATCTCTTAAGTCCACTCTAATCGAAGCAATCTTGGAGAGGGATAATAACGTAAAGCTTCCTTAGCATTGCTTTGCTCTTATTTAATTTCAAATGATCGATCAATAATATAGAACATCAAGAAATATAAACACTTTGTAATTTGACGAGGGTCTCAACATTACAAATGCGTAAGCAATAGATTGAAACAGTGAAAAAAAGAATCGACAAATTTTCACCATGAAGATAAGAGATATATTGAAAGTAATTTCTGAGGGTCGTTCGAATGAAAAATTGTGTGCTCGAGTGGTGGAAGAATGGTGAATGATACACACCAAAAAGAGCTTCATGTGTAAAATGAGGATGTAAGTAACTTCCGAGAAAGCAACCAGGAAACCCTTCGACTCAAAATGTAATTGAAAGAATATTTCTTACATCAAACTCAAAAGGAACACAAATAAGTGTTTTTACTTATAATGTTACTCAACCAAACATATTTAATGTGAGAAACAATAAATTTCCTAATCTAAACTTCCACAATATAAAGATTATATTACAAGTGAAAGAATAATAAAAACAATATGATAATGGTAATAGATCGAATTCTATTTTGATTTGAGATACCAATCGTTCAACATGTAAACTATAAAATAATTTGAGTTTCTAATAAATATTGATATTAAGCACCACCTTGAAACCATCATACGTCCAACTGCCCAACTTCAATACGCAAGTTTGTATATCGTATGGAAAAAACTGTAGAAATATTGATATAATGTTGTACTTAGTAAAGGCTCAACTATTTATCTTTTATGTTTATGTAAGTATGTAACTTATGCTGTACCTCAACATCGATTGAGCAGCTAGACTTGTAGACTGCAGGAGGCACCCAATTTACTAACCCATTATGATACACATTGGCTTTTGTTATAAGAGTTACTTCGTAATTTCCATCAGCACTGCAATGAAATTATATTAGTTGATCAATATCGATAATGTTTCTTTCATCGACATGTTGCGTACATTCATTCATTACATATTTATATTTATGTTGCTTATCTCTTAATGATTTTTACATCTCACTTATTATCATACTTAAAAAACTTGTATTAACTTTTCAACAATCTGTTTTTCTTATGAAACTAAGATATGAGTAACAACACATTGCTTCAAGCATCTTTGCTTATCTTCTTTAATCTCGAAGCGTTAAACATTTTTATTCAATTTAAATCTACTTAAAAGGAAATTCTCATTTGATTCGAGTTCACAAGAAAATCTTCTTCTTTATTTTAACATTCTATCAATGTTTTGACCTTTATTAGCTTTTTGGGAACCTTTTCCGTTTTGTTAGAATGTCATAAAAAATGTAAACAATTCTTCCTTTTTTTATCCTCAATGTCTACTTGACTTTATGTAAAGACACTTGAAAATCTTGTCAAAGAATTTTCCACTTGAGTTCAGGGTTATCTTCCTTTTTTTATTCTTACGACTCTTCAAAAATAATAACGCTTATTGAGATATACTTGAACTTCTGACACAAAATATTTTAAGATCGATCAAAATAAAAGTTGTAATGTGGGGGAGAATCTAACTATAGCTAGGTGAAAAGTATCCACTTTCAACTCAAGTGGTCCATTATTTGTACTATATTGGCCTTTTATCAGAAAGAAAAGTGTGCTCTTCGCTCTTTTCATTTTCATCTGAAGTGTGAACTGTGAAGCATGAAAGAACCCAACTGAGTACTCTTTTATTCCTTCTTTAAATGATGAAATTCTTTTTAACGAAATTTACAGACAGGGGATGAGATAATGGAAAGAATGTTTTTAAAAATTGCCTGAAATTTCAGCTTCTTATAAAACTTTTTCTTTCTTTTCACAAACTCAGCACTTAAATAAAATTTACATAAATGAATGGCACAAAGAATCGATTTTTCTTTTCTTCTTTACAATAAATTTAAATTCTCGCTATCTCACATCGCTAATTTGTAACTCAATCTTATTCATGTCTTCTAAACACTCATTAATCTAAATAAAAAAAAGTGTTATCATTATAGCGACTTAAAACATCCCGTTTTATTCCTCATGAATCGTGCTGATTTAATCATAATGATTATTCAATGACAGCACAACCATGATTTGCCATTTACATTGCGTTAACAGAATATTTTTCATAAATCGCTGTATTGTTCTTTTTTCTGTTGCCAGACATTGCTTTAATGATGTGTAAATATGTGATTATACATGTTTATATGCTTGTGCTGTTGTTTTAGTTTAGTTTCCTTGTAATCTATCATACATATAAAGTATAGAATGATGCTTGAACTCTTAAATCGTGCTTTCAGCTAGGGATCTACAAACACTTCTTTTCATATGTTTTTCCTCTCCTTTTCGCTTGTTTTTGTTAGTTAAAATGTTCTTTTGTTATTTCTCTGTGCTTTGCATTCATAAATATCTTTCTATTAAAGTTTGTAAAGAGTTTTTATATAAATTTATGTCATAAACTAATGGTGTGGTGGATAAAAACGACACAAGCTGTAAGAAAAATGAGGGCAAAAGTCTTTCGGGGGCAAAAAAAAAGAAATTTAACAATTTATCGCATGTAAGTATCAAAAGGTCTTCATAGCTGTTGCAAAGAGAGAGAATAAAAAAGGAGTAATAAGAAAGATATGTAAGGGTGACTGAATTGTGGAGATTGCGGGAACTAGTTAGAGAGATAGAGACTTTTGAGGGGTGAGCTTTAATGTTTGTATGTATAAATGAATTTTGAGCATTTTGTGATAAACTTTATAAGTAATACGAAGGCGAACAATCATCAAATGAAAATGGTTTTGTTTTGGTCAAAAAAAATAAAAATAATAATGAAATAAGAAAGAAGAAAAAAAGATAAAGGATAATTGTAATATATTATTAGATATATAGACGATATACGGTTAATATATAGATATATATATTGAAAACTTTTTGCAAACATAGAAGGTTATTATATATAAGATATGATATAGAATTGCTCTGTAACTGTGAAATCTATTTACAAAGGAAAAGTATAACTGGTTTCGTTTGGATAATTTTCTCTTGCGATTTAACATCTTCGATAAACCTACCTTGAAGCCATCATAAGTCCATGAGCCAAACTTTAACACACAAGTCTGTTCGTCGAATGGAAAGTACTTTTTTGCGCAACATTTTTTCATATTTTGGTTTATTTTTTGTTTTGTTTTTGAGAGGGTTATCGAATTGGAAGATTGAATAATACGGTTAGAAGAAATCTCATCAAGTAATTCTTTTCATATAAATATTTGTTCATTTATGCAAAGTATTATTTGTCTGTCAATATGTAATTTATTTTTCATTCAACTTACTTCCACATCAATCTCGCAGGAGCTTTTATAAATCGCTGGAGGCTTCCACTCAACTAAACCTCCAGAATATATCGTGGCTTTTGTTGCGAGTGTTACTTCGAAATTTCCATCAGCACTAAAGATATTTCATATATTTATATAATGCTATTTATATGTTAAATGTTATAAATTTTTTTATGTTTATGTTAAAATAAAATTATCTAAATAATTTCATTCTTAAAGTGCTAAAATCTTCTTCATTTTTTATCTCGTGTACATTCAATGGTGATAAAGTGTGAGGAAAGCCCTCCCTTGTCGACACTTCAAAGCTGCTAAGTGCCTGCTTAATGCTTACACAACCTCACCAAAAAAATTTAATTGAAACAAAAAAATGTTCTTTCTGAATCTGAAGTTTTTACGTCAGTTCCAAACCATAATTTCAAAACATATATAATTAGATATGATGGAAAACACAAACGTTAAGAGAATAATTAAGCTTTAAAAGTAGCTAGGAAACAAAAACTTTATCGTCACAGTATTAATTAAGTTTGAAAACTTTAATTGCTTTCGAAGGTTATGAAGCAGAAAGGTGTTTGATTAAACCTACAAAATTTTCTTTTCATTTCTCACTTATTATGCTTAGGAAGTTATTTTTCCATTTCTCCTTACAAATCAATTTCAAAACAATGAAATTTTCCTTTTTGCTTGATAAAAAGTTGTAACGAAAACCAAGTTCTTAATCTGAATTGATGGAAGTTTTCTGTTGTTGCCATCTTCATTGTCGCTTTTGCTTTCTCTTTGTTGTCTGTTGTGTTAGGTTAGCTAACAAATTACGTTCATAAAAGTTTTATTATGAAAACGACTTTTGAAAAGCTCATGAAAAAAGCTTTTGGAATTTAGAAATAAATTTTCAAGGATATTTTGAGATCATTACGTAGAATTGTCGATGAAATAAGAGTTTAAGCTTGCAGACAAAAAAAGTTATAAAACGTTTTTATTCTTTTCGCTTTTCTTTTTGCACATGATCATGCATTTTAAATCGCGTCATTTAAATTACAATGACGTCGATAAAGAAAATGTCAACGGATCGGAAGATTGAATACATCTCTTCAATTTCTTTCATTTCTCGCTCGTTTAATCTTAAAAGAGGGAAATAAATAAAGATACATCAGTGTTGGGTGTTGACAGAAAAATTTCAACTCTTGTTTGTTTGTTTCACAAACTGCACTTATTGAGTTGAGAATTGCGGGGGTGGGATAATGTTTGGAAACAAATTTCCGTTCAGATATTTATATATTTGACAACTATTGACAATTTAATTGATTGAATTGATATTGACATTTTAAATTTACAACATAAAATTAAAATTAAATCGTAAAGTATGTAAATAAGTCTCAACTGACGAATCTTCCATCCCTGAGATACATAAGAAAAGTTTTACTAACGAATAAGATTTTTATTCCTTCTTGGAAAGATAAACGGAAAGTTTCAGATGGGAAATCTTGAAATGGATGTGAGACGGAAAAAACTAGTCTACGAAAAATGAATCTTCATTCAAGATTCCATTAAGCTTCTGCTACATAAAATTTCTCAATGAATCATGCTTCAGAATCAAATCGCTTTCCTTCGCATAATTTTCCTTCTGCTTATGAAATGATTTTCATTTATGATTGTGCAACTTCTCGTCTCGTGATGGCTGAATATTCTTTCTCATTTCTTTATCGACGCTTCGTAAGCTTTTATAATTCAATATTTTATGTGCAAAAATTAAGATGTTTGAAAGCAATCAAGTCACTTTATCTTTTACTATTCGTTCTTATCGTTCATTCCACCTTTGATTTATCTTCTTCTTTCTTTTACGTTCGACTTCACTAATTGATTTTCGTTTAATGTTCACTCAAGGGTTTTATACATTCGAAGGATTGAATATAATACAAGAGAAGATTTCATTAGTGTAATGAACTTTTTTCCACCATTGCCAGTCGAGCGATCGAACTTTTCTCTTTTTTTCGCTTTATTAACTGTCTCTTGGTGTGAAAATAAATAAACCCAAACTCACTCTTTGATATGATTACATTTAATAAAAGCGAAAGGTGTTTTCATTAATCCAATTAAGCTGAACTTTATAAACTTTTTTATTGATGCTGAAAGCTGACAAGGCGCTTAAACATTAATAATTGTTTACTGCTTTATTAAGACTTCGCTGACTGAATCCTCCCTTCATTCGCACTTAAATCAACGTGACATAGAATGATGGATTGATTATTGATACTCACTTATTATATAAGACTATGTCTGGTCGCCATATGTGATCGCTTGGAACATGCAACATTTGCACGTTACCATACTCTGCTGGATTCCATCTTAGTTTATAGTCATACCATGATTGTTCGACCCACTGTTTAGCAGATAAAAAACATACAGAATTGCGTACGTGAAGGAGGATGATTTAACATTTCATTGTCGAAAAAATCGACGCAGTAAAATATCGGAAATGGAGGAAATTTTGATGTTGGAAGGTTGAAGAAGGAGGCGGGAAAAGGAACAAATAAAGCAAAACGAGAAAGCAATCCATCAATAATTTCAATATCGTTTGTGTGAGATTTACAGCATCTCACATCGTTCAAATTGATGAATGTCTTCTAAACGTTTCGTTTTTAATGCTTTTCTTTTCGTTTTCATTGGGATTTTCAATAATGGAAGAACAGCAGAATATAATATAAAAAGAAATAATTACAAGATTTGTGGTCATAATCTGGTTTTTAAGATTCTGTAACGAAACGTGAAAAAAAGAGAGAAGAAAAAAGAAGCAAGGGATGTGAGATAATTTTAAATGACTTTGTTTGTTGTTAGACGATGTTAGTCGGTTGATGTTTAAAAACTTTCATAATTTTATGCTTTCATACATTTTCCTCTTCTCATAGCTTCATACTTTCCAATGTTTATTTGAAATTGGTTCACTTAAACCTCAATAAACAACTTAATTGGGTGATTTTTCTTATTTTTACGGGACTTTTGAAAGTTTTAAAATTTCTGTTGCCATTTTTAACAATTTGTAAGTTAAAGTGCATCATTTTAAGTAGCAATAAAATGGAGCTCGTCCCATAAAAGACAAATCATCCAATCGGAAGAAATTCAATTTCCTCAACAAAGTTGAATGAAAGGAAAATATTTTAAAACTCACCACATCAATAAGTTGTGATAATTTGAGCTTGATGCATACTCGAAGAACATCGGATGTATTAACTACTGGACGAACGAGCTTATTGTAATTGCTTAATAAATCATCGTAGAGACGCTTCGCGTCGGGATTTCCTGCTACCGCTCCATTAACCACAAGAGCTGAGAGAAACCATAACAACCAATGATGGTTCACTTTTCTCAATATTATACACATCGGATCACTATTAACAGACTTTCAAAGTCTGTTTATATGTTTCCTTCTCTTCTGATATCCAACTTTGACTTCTTTTTAATTTATCGAGTTTTTCATTTCATTGCAAATCGATTTCTTTTTATCTTTTGATTTCATAACTTTTTCAACAGCATCTTCCACCAACGCCGAAAGTTTTATTACTTATTGTTCTGAAGTCATCACTGAATCGCGATAATAAAAGAATGAAGAAAAAAAAAGAAACAACTTCCATTAATATTCGATTTTCATTCCATCGAAAAGCACAATCAAATAAGAGAAGAAAAAAATAAAAATAAAAAGCCACCCAAATCAATCGGAAGCATTATACCCTAATTAGATCGGGGTAACTTTTTAAACCTCATTAATTGAATTGAATTATGTACGGCTGATGCTTTCAAACGTCGTTCGAGCGTATGGCTAAAAGTAATTTTCATTTTGATGAAGGGCGATGCTGCAGAAAGTATTTTCGAAGCACAAGAAGAATAAAAAAAGTCAAGTCATTGGTGAAAACGTGTTAAGCGGGAATGAAGTGAAATTGGATGTTACTCCACAAGGAGAAACTTTTATGATGTTTTGCGAGTAAACTTTCAACTTCTTTTTTTCTCTTTTTCTTTTATTGTGTTTCGAATTCTAATGCTTTGCGTGTAGATGTCGAAAAAGGGTCTTTACTTCGGAAACTACTAATCTTCCTCTCTGAAGGAAGCTTACAAAAGTTTAGGAACATGTCTATGCATTGAAAATACTTCTGATTCTTATCTCAACCCTGATCTTTGAATATGTCCCACCCTCATCTCGCGAAGAAAAGAATTTTCTCGAATTACTTGGAAAAGAGAAAGGAAAAGTTTCATACTTCGTAGAAAAAAAGCAATAAGTTCATAAGCTTTCTCGATAGCTTTCTACATGTTCTTGAGCTTGGCTTTTTGCTTCTTTATTTTTCCCCCTACACCTTTCAACACAATATGTGCGTTTCGCTTTTTCACTTTTTCACGGGTTAATCTGATACCATTCTTTGAGCTCTCAAAATTCATTAAAAGAAAGGAGAAAAAATCGTTGAACCTTCAAAAGTAGATGAACAGTTTTCACAATGAGCTGAGAAGTGAAAGAAAATCGTTTTGATGCGAGGTCGAGCTTAAGGCATGATTAATATTCAAATTATGCTTTACAGTCTGGCACAGAACTTTATGGTTTAGAAAGAAGGGAGTGAGAGGAAAATCTAATAAGCTGGGTGAGGAGATTATGCTACGGGTTAATTTTAAGGCTTCTCCATGTTTTTTTATTTTCACTCTTCATCTTCCCCTCACCATACTTTTGTGAATTATTCAAAAACAAATTTCTTTTCTTTTATTTCCTTTTACCACTGCCTTTCGGTTTAAAAATATTACAAAAGTAATTAAACTTTCTTTTCGCTTTTCTTTCTTTCTCGTTATTTTTTCTTCATTCGATTTACATTACACATAAATTAGAAACTCGCTGCTAATTTGTAATTGTCTGGGTGCGGGTAGCTTGTTTTCTTTTTATTTTTTATTTCCCTCTTCAAAGGCAAGTAATAATTTTCCACAAAATTTCTTTATCGTCGTTGTGGTTCATTTTTTACGATTATTTTCATGTTTTTTCTTTTTCTTTGCTTCTCCTTCCTTCTCGAGGGAATATTTCCGATGAATATTAATATTTATCATATGAAAATGTTTTTAACGAGAAGTGAGGGATGGAGAGAAAGGAGAAAGGCAGTGGTTTTGAGAAATAAGAAACTCCGTGACGTAAAATCATTTTTGACAAATTAAAACTTCTATATCACTGACAATATTAAAGTATTTATGAACATAGCAAACAACCTAAAATGTTTTCATTATGTCATTGAGATTAACGGTAAGCTTTTAAGATGGATTCGTGCTTGCCTTAATTTTCCAAGGCATATTTGATTAAGGAAATATGTAACAAGGAAATAAATATCCCAGGAATGATTAATTCACTTTCTTGTGCTTAAAGTATTTAGGCCGCATTAAGTACGACATGAGATAGAAATCAAGAAATAATGTCGGAAGTACGTCAATCCACAATGGAGTTAAGAACAAAATCAAGCTTAATAAACATGAAAGCTTCTTTGTTGAGAAGGTGCGATTGTTATTTAAATTACGACTTCATTAACAGTAATTCTTAATACAATGAAATCACTTCATTAGACAAAACAACAGCAAACAACAATCACATTCAAATCAGTTTTAATTTATTGTTCCCTCACATAATGTTTTGCGGTTTGTTTTCCTTTTGCTTTCAGAATAACAATAAACAGAATAAACTTCTTTCTATTCTCCTACAACAATATATCTAACAAATAAGCTCAGTAGGTAAACGATTATTCAATGTTTAAGCATTTTCAATTCAATTCCACATGAATTTAACCATCTTAGCACTTGAATGAAAAGGTTTACATTCCCTTTTCAAGGCTGATGGGATAACATCATCATCATCGTCGTCGTCACGGTGAGAAGAAAAAAAAAAGAAAAATTTTTGGTTTGACAGAATGAATGAAAAATGTGATTAAATTTACTGTCTCATTGTTAAATGGAAAACGACACTGTTGAGAATGAAAGAAAGAAAAATGAAGAAAAACGTCTGCTGTGTCATTAATGATGAGATGGAAGAAAGAAAGAAGTATAATTGCATTTGATGGCAGAACTTATTTATTTAAGATTCTCTTCATCATTTTCTCCAAAACATCATCAACATGAATGGCGCGTTATTCTGTAAAATGATTAAATGAAATGAGCGAAAGAATCTTGAATGGAATGACAATTAACTTTCAAGAGGCGGTTGAGTGAATTTATAAACATTCAAAGCCAAGTGCTGTATCGTTTCTCAACTTCCTTCATCTCTCCATTATTTATTTACAGTTTGATAACAATGCTGAAACACCAACCAAAAAAAATTTTAAAGCCTTTTCTCATTTCCTTTCTTCCTCAACTCCCACTCGACAATTTTCATTTTATTGTTATCTCGGAAAATCCTTTAATAGAATATTCTGTTTATATCAGATAAATTATGTAGAAATTGTACCGTAGATATTCGATTCTCTGTCTCTATACACAAGGGCATGAACTTGTCTTCACCCTTTAATAAACTTCAATAGAAGAAGCTTAACACAATTTAAAAGGCGATATTTAATTTAAAATCTTAATCTAAATATCTTCACATAAATGCTTAACAAGAACATAAAAAAATTATTAGATACACTTTCATGTTCTATTTTATTCATGAATGTTTTCGCTCTCTATTAAAGTAATTTTAATTTCCTCGCTTAACATCGACATTAAGCACAGATTGTTTTTCATCACACTGCGAGAATGGCTCGAGGGAAGAGAATGAGCATAAAACTTTAACATCAGCATCATGCGTTTTTTTGTTCATTTCATACGCATTGTTATCATTTTCTCTCCTTTACAACATTTATTTTTCACACAACACTCTGCACTCTTATTGATCTTCTCTCGTTTCGTGATCAATAATTGCTTTGAAACTTTCTTTGTTACTGATGCTGAAAGTGGCGAGCAACGCCTTTATTTTCTTATCGCGATGCTTCGTATGAACTAGGCTTTGAAGAATGGCGAATGGCAATGGTAGTAAAGGAAGAATTTATTTATGGTGAACAATTTTTAGCACTCGCCCTCGTCAACATAAATTTATTTTTATTCCCACACCATTTTTCGGTCTTATGACTCTTTTCTTCTTTATCTCTTTACTAGCACGTTTCGAATTGAAATAATAAAAAAAGCTTTATGAGCGACTTAGTTCTTTACATTCGTTTGGAATTTTTGTTCTCGTTTTTAAATCAGGACTTTTCAATGAATGACACACAGATGATAGCAGAGCAACATTAAAAGAAATCCATTTCGCTTCGACATTTTACACTTCACTTCATTCCCATTTTTTTCTATGCCTTTTTTCCTCCGCACTACATAAAGTTAATGTTATGAGACACAAGAAAAGTAAGTCGCGAGCATCAGCATATCATGAGAAATGGGAAGAAGATATACGATTACATAATCCCAACTTGAGACACGACTCGAAAAACGCTTTCTATCCTCATCTTCACATAATCCACAGTATTCAAGAGATGATTTCTTCAAATATTTTTATCAATACCTTTTTCTTCATTTCTTCTTTTCAACATCAAACACACACAACCCACATTACGTAACGTTTTCTTTTTCCCAAAAATAAAAACGAAGAAAATCAAACTTGCTTTTCTTACATGGTTCTTCTGTAAATCGCGGAGATGACAAAAGACAACACACAGCTTTTCGGACGAACGAAACTTCTTTTATGTTCGGCACACAAAACAACAAAAAAAATATTTTCTCATTGCCACCACTCTTGAGTATGATGTAGAAAAAAAAAGCACAAAATTTAATATTTTTTTATATAAAATAAAGAACTGATATTTAGAGAGTAAAAGGAGAAAGAAGGGACACTGTCTGAGTTGCTTTTAACCACGAACTGATAGCTGTGAAGACAGTTTATGTCTTTGCAGCTTCGACGTTCGTTGCTCACTGAAAATGTAAAAATGAACTACGCCAAGAGAATCATAAAATTGCTGTTGTCTGCCTTTCACCTCTTCTCCTCTTCTCAAACCACCCACCACCCTCCAATCGAGTTTTGTGCCATTTCGAGAGCGATTTTACTATCACCACACTGCAAATATAGAACAGCAGCCACCCACTTCTTTAAGCAGAATGCTGAACATACTAAAAAGCTGAGAGGAAAAAGGATATAAACAGAGAAAAAAGAAATGTTAAAAACATCCCTCTCTGGAAAACTTTTCCCTCGCTCTCTCTATCTCTCTCTCTCTTTCTCGTGTTTGATTGCATGTGGGGGAGGAAAAGCTGCTGAGAGAAGTTTTTAAAGCATCCTTTATTTATGTAACTGCATTCTTATTTATTTATGTGCATATATTTATGTTGATATGAATATTGTTTGCAAAGGAAAATATTTAAAAGAAAAGTGCGTCAAAATGAAAAGAGAATTGACATTGTAATAAATATCAATGCTTTCAGAATTTTTATGAAAGAATTTACATAAATTTATGTTCCAACAAATATCATATCTTGAATAAATAGAATCATTTCAGCAACATAAATCTGAGGAGCTTTAAAATCATTTAAAAGGAAAGAAGAAATTCGAAGAAAAACCAAATATTTAATTTTCTTTGATTATTGTTTGGTTTTCATTTTCATTTTCAATTCAATGTCTGTACATTAAATATCTCGTTGCTAATTATGTTAATTTCAGATACTTATCTCACTAACACAAACATCGATCGAAAATTTAAAAGTTTTTCAATCGCTACAGATAAAAGTTGAATTTAATCTTTTGTAAAACTTTTTCAGCCATTTATCGAAGCTGATAAGATAATTTGATTGTTAAAATTGGCTTGAAAAGAAATATCAGTTCTGCATTTGAGTTATTTGAGAAAAGTTATAAAGACATGAAACTTATTTATTTACTTTTTGTGTTATTTCGATGTTCAATCGCATCAGTGATAATTCAAGAGGATGAAAATATTTCGCCAAATTTCAATGCTGAACGTGATGTCTTTTTTCTACTCTTCACACGTTTAAATCCTTTCGTTGGTCAGAGAATGCAATTGAATGATGTGAATTCAATTCTAGCGTCAAACTATGACGTTCGAAGACCAACTCGATTCATAATTCATGGATTTCAAAGTGATAGTAATACACCAGCAGTGAGGTCGATTTCAAATGCTTATCTTGAGAATTCTGACTTGAATGTGATTGTTGTTGACTGGGGTGTTGGTGCCAATACACTCAACTATGCTACTGCTAGAGCTCGAGTGAATGAAGTGGGACCGTTGATTGCAACATTTTGTGATTTTATGCATGTGAATAATTTACTCGATTTCAATCGCACGTATTTAATTGGTGGAAGTCTTGGCGCTCATGTTGCTGGAATGGCGGGAAAAAGTTTAACTCGTGGGAAATTCAACACCATACATGGAGTTGATCCAGCAGGGCCATTATTCAATGTCAATGATCCATCAACTCGCTTAGCTGTTGGTGATGCTGAATATGTCGAGTGCATTCACACTGACAGTCGCAACTTTGGCATTGGTGATGCCATTTGTGACGCTGATTTCTTTCCTAACGGGGGGAGTAATCAACCAGGATGTTTGAGTAAATACAAACAATCTATCAGGGCTTGGAATTGAAATTTTACTACAGAGAATATTTTAAGAGATTTAATTGAACATGACATGAAACATAATTGAGAATAATTAATTCAATTTCATGAAATTACAATCGGAATTTGGATTGAAAATGTTTTGATATAGGAATTAGCATCAATATCGATTCCAAGCTCTACTTCGAATGCATTTCATTTCTTAATCAAATAAACTTTTCTGTTATGGGAATATTCAGCAACTCTTTGTGATCATGGTAGAGCGTTTGATCTTTTCGAGGAATCATTGAAAGCAAATGAACTTTGGGGACGTCGCTGCAGTGATGCAAATCAAATTCCAATTGGCTGTACTGGTGAAGGTGCTTACATGGAAGGTGAACCAAGTAACTTTAAAAATAACATCAGAGGTATTTTCACTTTACCAACAAACAACAATTCACCATTTGGACTTGGAAGATTTTCAATTGAAATCAAAGTTCAACTATCCGAAGTTCTTAAATAATTTATAAAAGTTCCGAAGAGAAACTTTCTCTTACTTTCTAAGAAGATAAAAAAGAAAAACTCTGAGATGGAAAATCAAAGAGAAAATCAGAAGAAAAACTAAAAGAGAATCAAAGAAAGAAAAAAAAAGTTCATTCAACGTATGTCGTTCTATTTTACTTCTAGAATTTTTCTTTTTTTCCCTTCCCTCGGTGATTCTGTTGAGAAATGATCTGAAATTTATCTCTTTGTTATTGTTGTTGTTATTTTTGTTTTTCAATTGGATTATCTTGTAGGATATAAACTAAGCTTAGTTATAATGTTGTTTTTGTAAAGATCATTTAAATTAATGTTCGTGACCTTTCATCATCTCATGATGATACTGTTGAAGTCACAACGGATATAAAACCGTAGAAAATTTCTGTGACCTAGGAAATTTATCGTCTGAAAACAGCTTGCATAAGAAACACATGGCACATTGCATAATGAGCATGCGTTAATCTCAACTTTTAAGAGAATCCCCAAGTAAACACTAAAAAAGTCATGGTGTGGGGTTGGAGGATGTCGACGCGACCTTTCAAATCTTTCTTTGCCCTTTTTTTATCTTTCTTTCATTCCTTCCTTCAACGCGGTGCAAAGTTTTTTCATTTTGCTTTCCATTCATAATTTGCTGAAAGGTCTTTTTTTAAACCGCATAATGTGACACTCGACGATCGTTTTTAATCAAAGGAAAATTATTTCGTTAAATTACCGACGTACTTTACTTAAACGGTAAAGTCTAAACTGTTGTGATTCATCATCATGCAACGATGATGAAGACGCTCTTGAGTCAGTACTTCGTTGACAAAGCACAAATTATTAACATGGAAACATGTTTAACTCTCGAAATGAGCGACATACGTGTAGTTTCAAATATTTAAAGACAGGATGTTGATTGTTTGTCAATGAATTGATTTCAAACTTTATAGTGTCAGCAGAATGTCAATTGCTTCCTAAACCTTTCATTTCGTCTAACCGCAAACAAGATTCAATGGATTTTGAACAGTTCGATGTAAATTTACATAACATTCTCAATAGATTGCATGGTGATTTGAAATGTCTGCTGTCGTTGTTTGTATTCATGAGTCTAATTTTTCCACTCGCATTGGAATTTTTGTAACGTCATGTTATATACATCAACTCGTCGTCCAAAGTATCAATCATTTTCAACATCATTTATCATAAAGAAAAAGATTAATTGCATGAGAAATGTGGACTTTTACAAATACGTTGATAAATCACACAAAAGAATTCTTTTTTCGACGAAACTTTCTGGTCCTAATAGGTTGATCCCTTTATCTTCCATCATGCATTCGTAAGTAGGAGCTTATATGGAAAGAGTTGTGTGTTTATGTGCTTTTGAGACAAGGCTGGGTGTGATTTGAATCATTCTGATTAAAATGTACATAAGATCCAATGAAAGGAGATTTTTCTTATTGCTTTACACAAATTTAAGATTTTCATCAGAGAGAAACTCATCGAAGGCTGTTTTGCTACCGAAATTCGTAGAAAAGTAAATTTTAATTAATAAGAATGTTATAAAAGCGTTTCTTAATTTCACTTTGCGTTAATTAATTATTAAGTTGAAGTAATGTTTTAAGAAAAAAAAAATTCTGTAATAAATTTAAAACAGTTTTAAAATTCACGAGCTAAGATTATGAAAATTGATCTTTTGACTTCATCACTAAAAGGCTTTGATAATAATGTTGTTCATTAAATTTTGAATTTATTAATCATTCATTTGATTTTTTATTAAACTGATATTTAATCTCATCATGCATTTGATTGTTTCTTACTTCTCGGCATATAAATGTGCGTCTGGTCCCTCTACAGTTGCTTTCTTGGTATACATTTTCAAGCTTTACATCGACGGACAAACAACGATTTTGTTCGAATGCATTTTGATAACGAATCTCCATATCAACATTGATAATCTTTCCATCATTGATTGAATACCAAAACAAACGATTTATTGATGTGGCACCGATGTGGATCTCGCTAAGATGTTCACTGTCCAGTTCCNATCGACAACGATTAAAAAGAATTTGACCATCCTAACGGATGAAAGTAAAGTTTCCTAAAAGCTTTTTAAATTCTTGAATATATTCAACATTTCTCTTCATCACTAAAAGCCTGCGATAATAATGTTGTTCATTTGAATTTTGAATTTATTAATCATTCATTTGATTTTTAATTAAACTGACATTTTAATCTCATCATTCATTTGATTGTTTCTTACTTCTCGGCATATAAATGTGCGTCTGGTGCCTCTACAGTTGCTTTCTCTGTATACATTGTCATCGTTTACATCGAAGAACAGACAACGATTTGGATTGAACTCATATTCATAACGAATCTCCATATCAATATTGATAATCTTTCCATCATTGATTGAATACCAAAACCGTCGATTTATTGTTGTGGCCCCGATGTGGACCTCGCTAAGATGTTCATTGTCAAGTTTTATGAGTTCGATCATCTCTTTCTCTTCGTCAACTGTTTCAGGCAGAAGCAGATCCATGCCAAACATTCTGCAAACACTAAACGCATTGATCCAGTTTCGTTTGACGGTGCTGACGTAAAGGGACTTCGCAAAATTTGATGCATCTGTAAGAAAACGAATCAAAAAACTTTTAAATCAGAAATTTCATGAGATGATTGATTCATCACGAACTTTCGTTTTCAGTTAAAGGCTTAAGAACTCCTTCCTTATTAGTGATAAATTTAACGTCAGTTGTGGAATTTTCACTGTCGATGGCTTCACAGATGAATGGATGAACACTTTCGCAATCGAGTGTGATTGAAGCAAGATTTTGATTATTGTTATAACCTAAAAATAAGAAATGTAAAGATTGTTACAGCAACAAGAGATAATTCCTACCAACACCCAAACAATCGTGTTTGAAGTGATTGTAAAAATGTTTTAATGTTCCCCGATATTCCACAAGCTTCCCAGAAACGTGCCACTCCGCTCTGTTCTCTTTTGATCGATAACCAGCTATCGTTGCATCTCTCCATTCAACTGAATGACTAAAGGAGCCACGAAGACAATAATAAGCTAATACTGCTATGAATTCATCAAATTCAACTTGATTTTTTGGTGATGCAAGATTCATGTTGAAACTTTTGCATACCATTGAAGCTTCATTTGGTGTAGTTAGCAAGCCTTTACTCAAATAATATTTCATAGTTTTGTCTGTAATGAATTAAAATCCATAAATTAAAGTGGATCGAAAATGATTTGATTTAAAATTAATGCTAACTTTTCACAGTTTCCGAATTGCCACCTTGTTCGTCCTTGATGATTTCTTTAATTAAATAATCATTTGAAAATTTTCAAAAAATCCGCTGAAAAATTTTCTCACCGGTTTTGCCGAGATAAGTAAAAACATTGTCAATCACTTTTGTCGATTCAACTTCGTTAGCTAATGTAATGTTCCTTGTTTTATCATAAATTTGAACTTTGATAACTTCACACATGAAATTCAGTACAGCCTCACATGAAATTGACCCAATCGACAACTTTAAAGTTTTTGGTGCTGAAAATGATAAACATTCATCCTCATTAACCTTTGGAGAAGAATTCGACTTGATAAATATTCCGTTATAGAATTTGAGTGGACTTTTTAATGATATTTTTGCTAAGTTCCGACGTTCTTTTTCAGATTCAACATTTGCCAGTTCCATTCCATTAGATTTGCACGTCCAAAGGGCATTCAAGAAATCTTCTCGAATTGTTTCACTCAAATAATATTTCTTGACTGTGACTGTCATAGAATTGTTCGGCAAGACCGTCGAATTGATTTCTGTGTGAAAAAGGAAAATGAGATTTTGTTCAAAAATTGTTCACATATTAACTCACCATAATCGCCAACGTAACTCAAAAAAGGTGAAATGTCACTTGTAACGAATCCATTTTGATAACATAAAAATATTAGGAGAATTGTTATTCCGTTTATGTTCAACATCTTTCCGCTTCGGAGTTTCGTTGAGAACTGTTCTCATAGCTATGAGATTCACTCAATTTTACAATCAATTTCTTCTTCAAATATTCTTTTAAATTTTTTTGCTCATCATCAAAAATTCAAGTTCTTATCTTATCATTGCAAAAAAAATTAATAACCTCTTGATCTTTATTTCAGAAATTGAATGTAAATTTATATTCTTAATCTGTTCTGATTAATAGTGATGGGCGCAGACATCGAAAAATGTCATCATGTCTGGCAGACACCGAAAATATGTCTGGAAGTCATGTCTACAAAACATGTCTGGAGTCTGCGAGACATTTTTTCGAAGACACAAAGACATGTCTTTGAAAATTTGCACAACACTGCTGATTACAACTAAAGCAGCGAAACAATCGAAGATAACAAAGCTTATTTTCAAAAAGAAAACTTTTTTTACATACATTTCTCTACTGCTGTGTTTCCAAAACAATTCGAAAGGGAAAACGTCAATTAGTTTGTAAACTTAAAAAGATATAATTAGAAAAACATAAAAATATGTCTCAATATCTTCCATCGACAACGATTAAAAAGAATTTGACCATCCTAACGGATGAAAGTAAAGTTTCCTAAAAGCTTTTTAAATTCTTGAATATATTCAACATTTCTCTGAAAGAGTTTTAAAATTCACGAGCGAAGATCATGAAAATTGATCTTTTGACTTCATCACTAAAAGCCTGCGATAATAATGTTGTTCATTTGAATTTTGAATTTATTAATCATTCATTTGATTTTTAATTAAACTGACATTTTAATCTCATCATTCATTTGATTGTTTCTTACTTCTCGGCATATAAATGTGCGTATGGTGCCTCTACAGTTGCTTTCTCTGTATACATTGTCATCGTTTACATCGAAGAACAGACAACGATTTGGATTGAACTCATATTCATAACGAATCTCCATATCAATATTGATAATCTTTCCATCATTGATTGAATACCAAAACCGTCGATTTATTGTTGTGGCCCCGATGTGGACCTCGCTAAGATGTTCATTGTCAAGTTTTATGAGTTCGATCATCTCTTTCTCTTCGTCAACTGTTTCAGGCAGAAGCAGATCCATGCCAAACATTCTACAAACACTAAACGCATTGATCCAGTCTCGTTTGACGGTGCTGACGTAAAGGGACTTCGCAAAATTTGATGCATCTGTAAGAAAACAAATTAAAAAACTTTTAAATCAGAAATTTCATGAGATGATTGATTCATCACAAACTTTCGTATTCAGTTAAAGGCTTAAGAACTCCTTCCTTATTAGTGATAAATTGAACGTCAGTTGTAGAATTTTCACTATCGATGGCTTCACAGATGAATGGATGAACACTTTCGCAATCCAGTGAGGTTAAAGCAAGAAGATTGTTTTCATCATTATCGTAAAAGCCTAAAGATAGGAAATGAAAAGACTACTTCAAGCAACAAAGGATAATTCCTACCAACACCCAAGCAATCTTGTTTGAAGTCACTATAAAAATCTTTAAACGTTCCGCGATATTCCACAAGCTTCCCGGAAACGTGCCACTCCGCTCCGTTTTCTTTTGATCGATAACCAGCTATCGTTGCATCTCTCCATTCAGATGATTGACAAAAGGAGTCACGATAACAACAATTAGCTAATACAGCTATGAGGTCATCAAATTCATCTTGACTTTGTGGTGATGCAAGATTCATGTTGAAACTTTTGCAAACCATTAAAGCTTCATTCGGTGTTGCTCTCAAGACATTACTCAAATAATATTTTATAGTTTTGTCTGTAATGAATCAAAATCCATAAATTAAAGTGGACTGAAAATGATTTGACATAAAAAATTTTTCTTACCAGTTTCGCCGAGATAAGTAAAAACATTGTCAACCACTTTTGCTGATTCAACTTCGTTAGTCGATGTAATGTTTCTTGTGTTGTCATAAGTTTGAACTTTGATTACTTCACACATGAAATTCAGAACAACACCGCATGAAATTGTTCCAATCGACAACTTTGAAGTTTTTGGTGCTGCGAATGATAAACATTCATTCTCATTAGACTTTGAAGAAGAATTCGACTTGATAAATATTTCTTCAGTGAATTTGTGTGGTCTGTTTATTGCTATTCTTGCTAAGTTCCGCTGCTCGTTTTTAGATTTAACATTTGCGAGTTCCATTCCATTAGATTTGCATGTCAAATGGGCACCAAAGTAATCTTCTCGAATTGTTTCACTCAAATAATATTCCTTGACTGTGACTGTCATAGAATTGTTCGGTAAGACCGTCGAATTGATTTCTGTGTGAAGAAGGAAAATAAGATTTCGTTCTTGAATGATTCACAATTTAACTCACCATAATCGCCAACGTAACTCAAAAAAGGTGAAATGTCACTTGTAACGAATCCATTTTGATAACATAAAAATATTAGGAGAATTGTTATTCCGTTTATGTTCAACATCTTTCCGCTTCGGAGTTTTGTTGAGAACTGTTCTCATAGCTATGAGATTCACTCAATTTTACAATCAATTTCTTCTTCAAATATTCTTCTAATTTTTTTTTGCTCATCATCAAAAATTCAAATTCTTATCTTATCATTTTAAAACAACTTGATTAACCTCTTGACTTCTACTTCAGAATTTAAATGTGAATTTGTTTGAATGTACTTAATCTGTGTTGATAACAAACTTTTCATGGATCTTATTTGGAAAATAATTTTAATCGCTTTAAGCAAAATTTTTGCTACTGCTATAATTGCACAACCATTCGAAAGGGAAAATGTCAATTAGGTAGTTTATGAACAAAAAAGCACAAAAAGCCATTTTGCAATTTATAAATATGTAATTCGAAAACTTTTATCAAACAAAAAATATTGTATTGAGTTCATTTGGCCTCATTGACTCAGGGTGCTTATGTCGGGAATCTATTTCGTAGATCCCAGGTTCGAATCCCAGTATCATGAGGTAAAGTGAAATTTAGATATTCCGGCCGATGTCAGTGTCTCATCTGAGCGGTAGGGTGGTCTTGGAATCTATGTGCATCAAATTGATATTCGTATCAAGGCGATCAATGAGAGTGCAGAGAATCGGAACGCTGCTGACAATGGAACACTTATAAATGAAACTCTGGAAGATAGTTGGCTTTGTCGTTGGCTAACAAAAAGTTCAACTATCTCTCGCCTGAAACAGAAATGCTTCATGAAAATTGATCTTTTGACTTCATCACGAAAAGGCTTTGATAATAATGTTGTTCATTTAAATTTGAATTTATTAATCATTCATTTGATATTTAATTAAACTGACATTTTAATATTATCAATTCATTTGATTAGTTCCTACATGTCTGCATATAAATGTGCGTCTGGTGCCTGTACAATGGTTTTCTTTGTATACATTGTCATCGTTTACATCGAAGACCAGACAAAAATTTTGTGCGAATGCACGGTGATAACGAATTTCCTTTTCAACATTGATAATCTTTCCATCATTGATTGAATACCAAAACAATCGATTTATTGATGTGGCACCGATGTGGATCTCGCTAAGATTTTCATTATCAAGTTTCATGAGTTCGATCATCTCTTTCTCTTCGTCAACTGTTTCAGGTAGAAGCAGATCCATGCCAAAAATTCTACAAACACTAAACGCATTGATCCAGTCTCGTTTGACCCACGACTGCATTTCCCTGAAGCGTTTTAAACTACGTAGACTAAGAAAACGAATCAAAAAACTTTTAAATCAGAAATTTCATGAGATGATTGATCATCACAAACTTTCGTTTTCAGTTAAAGGCTTAAAAACTCCTTCCTTATTAGTGATAAATTTTTCGTCAGCTGTGGAATTCTCACTGTCGACGGCTTCACAAATAAATGGACGCATAATATAGCAAGAAATTGAAATAATAGAAAGATAACTTCTATGGAGATTGTTAAAATCTAGACAAAAGAAATGAAAAGACTGCTATGTACAGCAATAGTTGATAATTCTTACCAACACCCAAACAATCTTCTTTGAAGTCATCATAAAAGTTCTTATTATTAGGTTTTGTGTTATCAATGATTCCCTGATATTCTACTAGCTTCCCAGAAACGTGCCACTCTGCTTCGTTCTCTCTTGATCGATAACCAGCTATGAATGCATTTTCCCATTCAACTCTTTTACAATTGGAGTTACGATGACAATAACTATTTAATACGGTCATGAACTCATTAAATTCAACTTGACTGTGTGGTGATGCAAGATTCATGTTGAAACTTTTGCAAACAATTGAAGCTTCATTCGGTGTTACTTGTAAGCCTTTACTCAAATAATATTTTATAGTTTTGTCTGTAATGAATCAAAATCCATAAATTAAAGTGGATCGAAAATGATTTGATTTAAAATTAATGCTAACTTTTCACAGTTTCCGAATTGTCATCTTCTTCGTCCTTGATGATTTCTTTAATTAAATAATCATTTGAAAATTTTCAAAAAATCCGCTGAAAAATTTTCTCACCGGTTTTGCCGAGATAAGTAAAAACATTGTCAATCACTTTTGTCGATTCAACTTCGTTAGCTAATGTAATGTTCCTTGTTTTATCATAAATTTGAACTTTGATAACTTCACACATGAAATTCAGTACAGCCTCACATGAAATTGACCCAATCGACAACTTTAAAGTTTTTGGTGCTGAAAATGATAAACATTCATCCTCATTAACCTTTGGAGAAGAATTCGACTTGATAAATATTCCGTTATAGAATTTGAGTGGACTTTTTAATGATATTTTTGCTAAGTTCCGACGNTTTGAACAGTTCGATGTAAATTTACATAACATTCTAAATAGATTGCATGGTGATTTGAAATGTCTGCTGTCGTTGTTTGTATTCATGAGTCTAATTTTTCCACTCGCATTGGAATTTTTGTAACGTCATGTTATATACATCAACTCGTCGTCCAAAGTATCAATCATTTTCAACATCATTTATCATAAAGAAAAAGATTAATTGCATGAGAAATGTGGACTTTTACAAATACGTTGATAAATCACACAAAAGAATTCTTTTTTCGACGAAACTTTCTGGTCCTAATAGGTTGATCCCTTTATCTTCTATCATGCATTCGTAGGAGCTTATATGGAAAGAGTTGTGTGTTTATGTGCTTTTGAGACAAGGCTGGGTGTGATTTGAATCATTCTGATTAAAATGTACATAAGATCCAATGAAAGGAGATTTTTCTTATTGCTTTACACAAATTTAAGATTTTCATCAGAGAGAAACTCATCGAAGGCTGTTTTGCTACCGAAATTCGTAGAAAAGTAAATTTTAATTAATAAGAATGTTATAAAAGCGTTTCTTAATTTCACTTTGCGTTAATTAATTATTAAGTTGAAGTAATGTTTTAAGAAAAACAAAATTCTGTAATAAATTTGAAACAGTTTTAAAATTCACGAGCTAAGATTATGAAAATTGATCTTTTGACTTCATCACTAAAAGGCTTTGATAATAATGTTGTTCATTAAATTTTGAATTTATTAATCATTCATTTGATTTTTTATTAAACTGATATTTAATCTCATCATGCATTTGATTGTTTCTTACTTCTCGGCATATAAATGTGCGTCTGGTCCCTCTACAGTTGCTTTCTTGGTATACATTTTCAAGCTTTACATCGACGGACAAACAACGATTTTGTTCGAATGCATTTTGATAACGAATCTCCATATCAACATTGATAATCTTTCCATCATTGATTGAATACCAAAACAAACGATTTATTGATGTGGCACCGATGTGGACCTCGCTAAGATGTTCATTGTCCAGTTCCATGAGTTCGATCATCTCTTTCTCTTCGTCAACTGTTTCAGGTAGAAACAGATCCATGCCAAACACTCTACAAACACTAAACGCATTGATCCAGTTTCGTTTGACGGTGCTGACGTAAAGGGACTTCGCAAAATTTGATGCATCTGTAAGAAAACGAATCAAAAAACTTTTAAATCAGAAATTTCATGAGATGATTGATTCATCACGAACTTTCGTTTTCAGTTAAAGGCTTAAGAACTCCTTCCTTATTAGTGATAAATTTAACGTCAGTTGTGGAATTTTCACTGTCGATGGCTTCACAGATGAATGGATGAACACTTTCGCAATCGAGTGTGATTGAAGCAAGATTTTGATTATTGTTATAACCTAAAAATAAGAAATGTAAAGATTGTTACAGCAACAAGAGATAATTCCTACCAACACCCAAACAATCGTGTTTGAAGTGATTGTAAAAATGTTTTAATGTTCCCCGATATTCCACAAGCTTCCCAGAAACGTGCCACTCCGCTTCGTTCTCTTTTGATCGATAACCAGCTATCGTTGCATCTCTCCATTCAACTGAATGACTAAAGGAGCCACGAAGACAATAATAAGCTAATACTGCTATGAATTCATCAAATTCAACTTGATTTTTTGGTGATGCAAGATTCATGTTGAAACTTTTGCATACCATTGAAGCTTCATTTGGTGTAGTTAGCAAGCCTTTACTCAAATAATATTTCATAGTTTTGTCTGTAATGAATTAAAATCCATAAATTAAAGTGGATCGAAAATGATTTGATTTAAAATTAATGCTAACTTTTCACAGTTTCCGAATTGTCATCTTCTTCGTCCTTGATGATTTCTTTAATTAAATAATCATTTGAAAATTTTCAAAAAATCCGCTGAAAAATTTTCTCACCAGTTTCGCCGAGATAAGTAAAAATATTGTCAATCACTTTTGCTGATTCAACTTCGTCAGTCGATGTAATGTTTCTTGTGTTGTCATAAGTTTGAACTTTGATAACTTCACACATGAAATTCAGTTCAACCCCACATGAAACTGCTTTAATAGGCAACTTTAAAGTTTTTGGAGCTGAAAATGATAAACATTCATCCTCATTAGACTTTGAAGAGGAATTCGAGCTCATAAATATTCCTTCATAGAATTTGTGTGGTCTGTTTACTGCTATTCTTGCTAAATTCTGACTTTCTTTTGTGGATTCAACATTTACAAGTTCCATTCCATCAGATTGGCATGTCAAAAGGGCACCAAAGTAATCTTCTGCAATTCTTTCACTCAAATAATATTCCTTGACTGTAACTGATATTGAATTGTTCGGTAAGACCGTCGAATTGATTTCTGTGTGAAGAAGTAAAATGAGATTTCGTTCTTGAATGATTCACAATTTAACTCACCATAATCGCCAACGTAACTCAAAAAAGGTGAAATGTCACTTGCAACGAATCCATTTTGATAACATAAAAATATTAGGAGAATTGTTATTCCGTTTATGTTCAACATCTTTCCGCTTCGGAGTTTTGTTGAGAACTGTTCTCATAGCTATGAGATTCACTCAATTTTATAATCAATTTCTTCTTCAAATATTCTTACTCACTGTTCCGGCTAATGCAACACTCGAACTATGTACACGTTTTATCTAAAGCTGATAGTTACTTTCTGCTGCCATCCGGNATTGTCAACCACTTTTGCTGATTCAACTTCGTCAGTCGATGTAATGTTTCTTGTGTTGTCATAAGTTTGAACTTTGATAACTTCACACATGAAATTCAGAACAACACCGCATGAAATTGTTCCAATCGACAACTTTGAAGTTTTTGGTGCTGCGAATGATAAACATTCATCCTCATTAGACTTTGAAGAAGAATTCGACTTGATAAATATTTCTTCAGTGAATTTGTGTGGTCTGTTTATTGCTATTCTTGCTAAGTTCCGCTGCTCGTTTTTAGATTTAACATTTGCGAGTTCCATTCCATTAGATTTGCATGTCAAATGGGCACCAAAGTAATCTTCTCGAATTGTTTCACTCAAATAATATTCCTTGACTGTGACTGTCATAGAATTGTTCGGTAAGACCGTCGAATTGATTTCTGTGTGAAGAAGGAAAATAAGATTTCGTTCTTGAATGATTCACAATTTAACTCACCATAATCGCCAACGTAACTCAAAAAAGGTGAAATGTCACTTGTAACGAATCCATTTTGATAACATAAAAATATTAGGAGAATTGTTATTCCGTTTATGTTCAACATCTTTCCGCTTCGGAGTTTCGTTGAGAACTGTTCTCATAGCTATGAGATTCACTCAATTTTACAATCAATTTCTTCTTCAAATATTCTTCTAATTTTTTTTGCTCATCATCAAAAATTCAAATTCGTATCTTATCATTGCAAAAAAAATTTATAACCTCTTGATCTTTATTTCAGAAATTGAATGTAAATTTATATTCTTAATCTGTTCTGATTAATAGTGATGGGCGCAGGCATCGAAAAATGTCATCATGTTTGGCAGACACCGAAAATATGTCTGGAAGTCATGTCTGCAAAACATGTCTGGAGTCTGCCAAACATTTTTTCGAAGACACAAAGATATGTCTTTGAAAATTTGCACAACACTGCTGATTACAACTAAAGCAGCGAAACAATCGAAGATAACAAAGCTTATTTTCAAAAAGAAAACTTTTTTTACATACATTTCTCTACTGCTGTGTTTCCAACATAGACACAACCCGCTTGCTTGCTTGCTTGTGTCTCTCTTTTCTCTCTCAGCTTGGCTTGGCTTGGCTTGCCTCATTTCTCTCAGCTTGCTTGCTTGGCTTGTGATCCGGATATCTCTCAGCTCGTTTTCTCGGCTTGCCGAGGCCTTCAGGATATTTCAGCTTGCTTTTTCGGCTTGCTTTGGTGAGCTGGCTTACCTTGTCCCGTGATTCTCCATCGTCCCCGTTTCTCTTATTTNGTTCATTGTCAAGTTTCATGAATTCGATCATCTCTTTCTCTTCGTCAGCTGTTTCAGGCAGAAGCAGATCCATGCCAAACATTCTGCAAACACTAAACGCATTGATCCAGTTTCGTTTGACGGTGCTGACGTAAAGGGACTTCGCAAAATTTGATGCATCTGTAAGAAAACGAATCAAAAAACTTTTAAATCAGAAATTTCATGAGATGATTGATCATCACAAACTTTCGTTTTCAGTTAAAGGCTTAAAAACTCCTTCCTTATTAGTGATAAATTTTTCGTCAGCTGTGGAATTCTCACTGTCGACGGCTTCACAAATAAATGGACGCATAATATAGCAAGAAATTGAAATAATAGAAAGATAACTTCTATGGAGATTGTTAAAATCTAGACAAAAGAAATGAAAAGACTGCTATGTACAGCAATAGTTGATAATTCTTACCAACACCCAAACAATCTTCTTTGAAGTCATCATAAAAGTTCTTATTATTAGGTTTTGTGTTATCAATGATTCCCTGATATTCTACTAGCTTCCCAGAAACGTGCCACTCTGCTTCGTTCTCTCTTGATCGATAACCAGCTATGAATGCATTTTCCCATTCAACTCTTTTACAATTGGAGTTACGATGACAATAACTATTTAATACGGTCATGAACTCATTAAATTCAACTTGACTGTGTGGTGATGCAAGATTCATGTTGAAACTTTTGCAAACAATTGAAGCTTCATTCGGTGTTACTTGTAAGCCTTTACTCAAATAATATTTTATAGTTTTGTCTGTAATGAATCAAAATCCATAAATTAAAGTGGATCGAAAATGATTTGATTTAAAATTAATGCTAACTTTTCACAGTTTCCGAATTGTCATCTTCTTCGTCCTTGATGATTTCTTTAATTAAATAATCATTTGAAAATTTTCAAAAAATCCGCTGAAAAATTTTCTCACCAGTTTCGCCGAGATAAGTAAAAATATTGTCAATCACTTTTGCTGATTCAACTTCGTCAGTCGATGTAATGTTTCTTGTGTTGTCATAAGTTTGAACTTTGATAACTTCACACATGAAATTCAGTTCAACCCCACATGAAACTGCTTTAATAGGCAACTTTAAAGTTTTTGGAGCTGAAAATGATAAACATTCATCCTCATTAGACTTTGAAGAGGAATTCGAGCTCATAAATATTCCTTCATAGAATTTGTGTGGTCTGTTTACTGCTATTCTTGCTAAATTCTGACTTTCTTTTGTGGATTCAACATTTACAAGTTCCATTCCATCAGATTGGCATGTCAAAAGGGCACCAAAGTAATCTTCTGCAATTCTTTCACTCAAATAATATTCCTTGACTGTAACTGATATTGAATTGTTCGGTAAGACCGTCGAATTGATTTCTGTGTGAAGAAGTAAAATGAGATTTCGTTCTTGAATGATTCACAATTTAACTCACCATAATCGCCAACGTAACTCAAAAAAGGTGAAATGTCACTTGTAACGAATCCATTTTGATAACATAAAAATATTAGGAGAATTGTTATTCCGTTTATGTTCAACATCTTTCCGCTTCGGAGTTTTGTTGAGAACTGTTCTCATAGCTATGAGATTCACTCAATTTTATAATCAATTTCTTCTTCAAATATTCTTACTCACTGTTCCGGCTAATGCAACACTCGAACTATGTACACGTTTTATGTAAAGCTGATAGTTACTTTCTGCTGCCATCCGGTTTGGCTCCTAAATATATATTTATTGACTTGAACCTGTACACTCATCAAGAACATTTAAATTCTCATCTTATCATTCCAAAAAAAATTGATTAACCTCTTGATCTTTATTTCAGAATGTGAATGTGAATTTGTTTTCTTAATCTGTTTTGATTACAACTAAAGCACATAAATTGAGTACATATAACAAAGCTTATTTTTAAATTTTTTTTATTGATCCTATTTGGAGGATAATTTTAATCGCTTTTATCTACATTTTGCTACTGCTATAATTGCAAAACAATTCGAAAAGGAAAATGTTAATTAGTTTGTAAAAAGCACAAAAAGCCATCTAAATATCAAGTAAATAATTCCAAAACTTTAGAAAAACATAAAAATATGTCTCAATATCTTCCATCGACAACGACTAACAAGAATCTTGACCATCCAAAAGAAAACATTGAACTTTCAACCTTTTGGTAATAAATTTTTCGTCCAAGTCATGCACTTGACTTCTTAAAGAAGAAAAATTCAATGTTTGTTGGTGAAAATCATTCAACTGAATTAAAACATGAAGCAAAAATTTAGAGCTAAATTAAATTGTCATTTATTGGTTGTCTTAATCACATTGTGAACAGACAAAACCACAACATTAAACTTCATAGTGCATTGCACGGGTCATTACGTCAATATTTCTCGCTTTAAGAAAGAAACTAAAGTTGAAATCATCGTTTGGATGAACATGACAAATTGATGTCCTTTTATCTTCATTTTACAAGAAGGTGAATTATTATGTTCGTTAATTTAATAAGCACCGATGACATCTTTCAGATTAATCGCCTTTGGTATGTTTAACTCGAGCAAAAATGGTGTTAAGAATTTATTACACCAATAAACAACAATATACTCGTCCAAAATTGAACTGCTTGCTGTCGATTTTCAATGCTGAGATTTAATCTTAATTCTATAAAAACATGTCCCCATCCAAAAGGATCCATTAGCACTCATTCTAAGTGGTTCGTTTACTATTGAGTCGAACATGTTTTTGAAAGAAATCATTTTGCTTCTTCTTTCTACGATTTCTATACGTCAGTCTCACACTTTGTTTGCCCATGTACCACATATACCCACACTCAAATGTATGTAGGCCATGATTTATAGCTTCCTAAATCCATGATTCATTTTATCAATCGGTCCTAGAGACATAAAGTCGTTAACTTTTGTTCACTTTTCTACAAATAGATCTAGGAGTGTCCACATACATACAAATAATTTAACGGATGAAAGTAAAGTTTCCTAAAAGCTTTTTAATTTCCAAAACATCTTTAACATTTCTCTTTTGTTGTAAACTTGATACATTCAGTCAATCTATGTTCATTAACTTTATGGATTTGAGAGTAAAACTAACGACACACTTTTCCATTCATTTCCTTTCCTCTAAGTTTTTCGGTCCTAATCCAGAAGAAAGAAAAGTTAAATGTTTGTTGTTAAAGTTAAACATTCGAGTTGAAAATTTATTTACCGAAACAACACAAGAAAGCTTCTTGAGTAGGACGGAAGAATCTCTAAAGTCTTTGTCATTAAAGTTCATCACAAATTGCAAAGGCAAATTCAAACTTGTAATAAAAAATTTACTGCTTGCAAGGTCTTCCAGTTTTGTTCTTCGTGATTTTCTCAGATGTTTCATAGTCGTTATTAAATATCACAATTTTTTTAGTTTAAGAAGATCAAGAATCTCATAAATGGCAAACAACTTTTAAATTCAACTCATGCTTGATTCTGATCTGTTTGAAAACTTTTAGAATCTGCTGAGGCAATTTTCCGAAATAAAATGGTTTAGCGTTGTAGCATTCCAATGAAATTCAATGAAATTCAATGCTTTCTTGTTTACCAGAACAAGATTTTAGAGAAAAGAAGGAAAAGTAGCATCAAAAGCCCCAATAACCATAAAACTTTACGAATAAAAATATATTTCAGAACAAAGAACATGGAAGCAAGCAACAACAAAGTTTATGAAACTTTAATCATCTCCACATTATTACCCGATGAATGCTCCAAAAAACTTACCTGCAGTTGAAAGAAGACAACAAAAAGTTTCTCTCTTTTGTCGATGTTTTATTATCGAATATATGGAGGATTAGGAAATCTCTGAAACAATTTTCATCCTTTTCTGTATATGAAATTGAATCTGAAAGTTTCAAGGCAAAATAAACATTCGATAGTTTTTTGAATTAAGTTTATCACATTGAAATTTTCCCAGCTTCATCATTTTCAGTTTCCTTTTCAGAATAAATAATTTTATGACGTAAAAGAGGGAATAAACCTTTTTCAGATACTTTTTATGTGAAAATTAAAGAACAAGAAGAAAAGTTTTCGAAGCTGCGAATTTACTGCTTCGGGGGTAACATAAATCGATTAATTTGTGATTTTAAATTATAGATGGAAATTTTGTATCCTGTGGTTTTGATTGCTTTCTAAGATTTTACGACAAAATTGTTACAAACTTTTCTTACCTTAGATTTATATCGCTAGCAGTAAGAGAATGAAGAGTGAATTATCTTTAATACTTTCGAGTCAACATAAATCATGATTAAACGTAAGTAAGAAGATTGTAAAACTTTTAAGAATTGAATTCTCTTAAATGCATTTTGTAAAACACGCTTTATCAAGACAAGTTGAATTTAATCTATTAAAAGCGATAACATTTCTCTCTCCATGGTCCCTTGGAAATAACAAAATAAAAAGCTTGTTTAACGATAGTTGTAAGCAGCATCCTGGCACCAATGCTTATACTTTATGTACCGAATATGATGAAGGCAAAGTTTCCCCATCGATATGTGAATTATTTTTGGGATTTATGGGTAAACGCTTGAGGGAATCTTCATTGAAACTATCACTTTTCAAAACTTCTTTTTATGAATTATTTTAAAGCAGTCAAGTCAGTGTACGTCGTACACACATTGCAGCATTAAAATGTATCGATTGACAACAGTTTATTGACTTCCATGACACTTCTGATGTTATGATTGTGACGGATCTTGAATTCGAGATTATATTACAATATAATGCAAATCAACATCAACAACACCAGTCGAGACTGAGATGATTCTTTTCACTGACTGACTCATGCAATTCAAATCTATGGAAATTATTTTCTGCACATTTTATGATTCAATGTTTAAAGAATAGAAAACAGAAAGCTATAAAGGAATCGAAAGGATTTTCCCAAATGTATATTGAATATTCAACCAAACCGAGCTCTCCATCCGTTGAACTGTGAATACATTATGTGTCTGTTAAAAAAAAAGGCAAAAAGCATATCGGAATGAAAAAGAGAGAAAAAATATTTGACAACACAAATTTATTGCCGCAGCCGTAAAGATATTTCCAAGTGAAATTTATTTATTTATTTCTTTTGCGAACGTTTCTATGTCATGATGTGGCAGAGAACACAGCATTTTGTAGGTGTAAAAAAAAAGTAAGAAAGAAGTCAAGAAACGGGAAATTAGTTTATAAAATAAAATGAAACTCTCAACATGATTTAATAACGAATGAGATGAGAAAATATTGCTGAAGAAATATCCTGGAATCCATAACAAATCTATTTTCCAAGGGGAAATGAATTAGTTAGGCAATTTATCTTTTCGAGAGGAAAAGCGATACTGAAGACAGTTGCATCGTTAGCAAAAAGAAAGAAGGAAGAAGAGTGATAGAAATCGAAGTCGAGGTGTTAGAAGCCACAACAACATCGCAATGATTGAATGACTTTGTGGCTTATGTTGAGTAATTGCTGAAGGCGATGATAGCAGATAAAAAGTTGAAAATTCCATTAAGAAAGCTACTCATGTATTCAATTAAAAGCAAACATTGGAAAGTAAATCGTCAGTCATGCGGTCGAATGGAAGAGTAAAAAAGGTTTTAAATCCCAAACGGATTAGGCAGAATTGCTTTTAATACATCGGAACGTAGTCATCGCTTGTGATTACGCGTATTTGAGGGATTAAAAGCAAACACGCGCTTCCTTCATCGCTTCTTATTTTCTCAATTTCATGCTTCGTGTTTGATGTTTCATCGTAAAAATTCATCCCTTCACCAAAGCTCTCGTTTCAGATCATCATGAACATATAACGTGCGAGAATTTTCCATCTGACAATGATGAACTGAATTTGTCAGATGTTGCTTAAAGGAGAAGTGAAGCCAAGGCAAAGGAAAGAGAAAAAGAAGAAAAAGGTTCAACATAAAACAAATAACTTGTCATTCTATCACCGCCTTCATATTCGTCACAATCAACTCATCCAAAAATGCTTTAATCAGAACAGTGAAAAACTCACATACAAATAACCAGAAAACATAAAGAATTTTCGGGTACATTGAAGTGCGCTTAACTGTGCTACATGCTGAGGTTGTTAGCTGGAAGAAACAAGAAACAAGGCAAGAAAAGAAAGGAATGTCAAGTAATTTGTGATGAAACGATGAGAATTTTCCGCACCGCGGGAGAATCACGCAAAGAAAAAAAGGAAAAACACTCGGAAAATTCATGAGAAAAATTATATGAAATTTATTTCTTTTTGCTTTTTATTTTTATCTCTTATTTTTCTTTTTCTTTTTATACTCATTTATACACAATCGTAAAGCTTACATACAAATGTGAAGCTTTTGATACAAAGAAAGAATTTTTTTTTGTGTTTCTTAATTAGCTAGAAATATTTTCTACGAGAAGAATTTCTTAATATAAAATATTATAATGTTTCATGTTTTGTTGTTGTAAGAAGAAGGAAAAGTTTTCTTTAATCGAATTATTCTTCATGTCACATCGTTATCGCTTATTAAATGTTTAATGTTTACGGGGGTTTTCTTTGATAGCATAATAAAATAATTTCCGTGTTTGTTACAAGAAAAACAAAAAAGAAATAAAGAAGGAAAATTTTCCTTTCAAAAGCTTTCAGTCAGCGCATCACGGAATTGCTACAAAATATTTTTATTTCTTATAACTGTCACAGTGTACGTGACGTGCTTTATGAAAACATTAAAAATTTCGTCCTAACTTAATTTTCAATTTTCATATCAACAGCATGCATGATTCATGTTGACACTACTGCTGCTTCTTCCACTTATCGTTTCGTTCTACGCGAAACTTTTAGTTAAACATTTTCCCTTGTTATGCATAAAATATGACAAAATTACGACGAAGTGGAAGAGTGAAATAATAAAAAAAAAGGTTAATTTAAGGGTTTTTTCTGTACACGACATTTAATTTAATGTGTTGGCGAGAAGGGAGAGTAAAAAATTATAAAAGGCACAGCAATAATGTCGTGAAGCGTCAGAAATGTAATTTAACGTTTTTATAGTGTCGTCGTTAACAATGGCTATTAAAGAAATTACTAATTGTACAAAAAATAATAATAATAAAGAGATAAAAAAATTGAATTAAATGGCCAATAAAGCAGAAACAATTGCCGCTTTATAATTATGATTGTAAATAATTAAAAGTGATCAACTTTAACGGAAACAGTGTGTGCCGTATTGGACGGTGGCAAGTCAATGTTATCCCAATTGGTTGTTAAATTCTTCTCACTATCGGTGGCTTTAACAGCTAATCCTAATGATGGTGTATTTGATGCACAATGTGGTATGTTGAGGGTGACGGGCTCCATAAATTCAAGTCCTACTGGACCACACATCACCAATGGACTCAGCATCTTCTCACCTTTAATTATTTTAATTAAAAAAGGAAGAAATAAAAAAGGAAAAGTTTGAATTAGAAACAACTTTAAGTAAATAAATAACAAAGAATGCCAACAAGAAAACTAAATAAAAGAAAAGGAAATGTTTCGTGCAATTTATTAGTCACCAGTGCCAAATAAATTTCAGTAAAAACTACGCAACTACAAAATCCATGCACATATCACACAAACACACACAAACACACGGAAACTTTTTTTTTGTTTTGTGAAATTAATAAAAGTTGCATGATAAAAAAAAATAAAAACAAAACAACAACAGTCATCATCATTGTGGTGCATCAAAGTTCAGATTGTGTCAACCAACCATTATCCATGTCCAAAGGTGGACCGCCAACTGACTCTGACATTCTTGGATCTGTCACTGTGAAGTAAATTTCTTGTCGAATGCCAGCGGTTAAAGCATTTGGTGGGATTATCAAAGAAACATTCCAAGTTTTGTCTTCAAGAATGCCACCTTTCTCGTCAAAGAGACCTTTGGTTGTGATGGGTTGACGTAATGGTGGGGCTGATAAGAAACGCGCCCTCGCTGCTGCACGTTGTTCTTTAAGAGTTAATTCACTTGTGTAGGGAGTTGATTGAGCGTTAGGCGGACCAACTGGGAGACTAGCTTGCGAAGTAAATTGAGTTTCAATTGAAGTTTGTGACTCATAAACAACTTCCGGTGACTTTGCTGTAGTAGGCGAACGAATGGGTGGTGGTGGCGGAACGCTTTTCTTAATAATGCTTGAAATGTGATACGGTGGACGTGATGTTTTCTTAACAGACATTTCATTCTCGATTGCTGTGTTCTGAAGCGTTGATTCATTCCCATCGTTTGTGTCATCATCAGCAAAGGGAATTTCAGATTGATTTTCATTCTCTATGGTGTCGTTAGAAACACATTCGTTAGTTGGATGACTTTCATTGAGATGATCTTGTGATTTGTTCTTGAGAATTGTTTCTTCAATAACTTCCAGAAGAGACTTTTCAGCTGTTTCATTGTTTTCATTTGATGTGTCAGCATCTTCGTTTGTTCTTTCATGTTCGTTGAACTCTTCGCTTTCTCTTTTCGACTCGTAAATTGGCTGCGATCTTAAATTACTACCTGTGTTGGTACTTGTCCCACTGCTCGATTTTGACACATAAATCGGCTCTGCCATTGATTGCATTGCATCGATTCGTGACTGATAGATTTGATCTTTCAATTGTCTTCGTGAATCTCTCAAATTTCTTTCTCTCGATGGTGATGACATCGATGTTGGTGTTGATGCGGCTGACGTTCCAGGGGAATTTCCATCAACATGCGATGATTGCAAAAGCTTAACGTTATCTTCTATGGGACGTTCAAAATATTGTCGACGTTTCATTTCATGCAGTGACGGATCGGCATGATGCTTCGGTTTAACTTGTTCTTGGTACATATACGAGCCTCGTTGACTCTGATAAATTGGTTCATCAATCACCATTTGTGAAAATTTGTCCTCGACATCTTCAGCATATCTTGAGCGACGCTTTGTTAATGTCGCAAAAGCTGGTGGAAGTTGTTGATTTCGTTCGTTCATGCTGTGACGTCTGATAATTCTTCCACCACTTTTCTGAACTGGTCTCTCAAGCTCTATTAAAGCACGATTCGCGTAAATGTTTTCTTCACTCGGCGCTCTACGTGAATCGTAATTACCGTAAATTGGCTCACTGCCGGGCTCATAAATTCCACCATTTGATGGATAAAATCGTTCGTGCCGTTGATACCACATATAACGGTCATCTTGAGGAGGATAAAATCTTTGTTGTTGTTGGTAATAATTATAATATTGTTGTTGTTGCTGTTGCTGATACTCCAAGTAGTCTTGTGGTGGTTGAGCTTGATGTTGTGGTGAGTAAAACATTCGTCCACTGCCACGTTCCATCATTGAATGTTGTCGTCGAAGTGCTGAACGTTGTTTCTTTGATTCACTCGGTTCCATGAAACTTGCTTGTCGTCTAAGTGATTTCGTTCCTTTAACAATGACATTCTTGAATGCTTTAAGTGGTGATTTAAGAGGATTTTTCTTCGGTTTTGCTGGAAGTTCGGGTGGCTCTGGTGTCACGTTCACCATATCGTAACGATTTTTCGGTGGAAGATTTTGTCTCGACGGTGGCATTTCGCTAGTTCACATTGAGTGCAGATTTATTATGAAGCAGATGAAAAAATTGGGGGAAGAGAGAAATAAAAGTTTCAAGAAAATTTTCATCATCAATGCATCATCGAACATGCACTAACTTTTTTCAATCGATTGAATTTTTGTCATTTCCTGTTTGAATCTCAACATTCACTCTTTATCATTCATACAAATAACTTTTTTTTGTTCCTTTTAAACTCTTCTTTTTCTTGATTATGTTTTAGTAAACCAACCAACTTTAATATTTATTCAACATAATAAATTTTCATCAACCACCAAAAATGTTTAAGCTTAAGCTAATGAAAGTTTGAGAGTGAAGAAAAAAGGGAAATTCTTTGTGTCAAATTTTACTTTCAGAGAATAAAAGTTTCTAACAAAGGGTTGGAAATAAAATTTAAATATTTAAATAGATAAATAAATAGAGATAGAAGAGAAAAGTTCATTTCAAATATAGAAGAAGAAAATAAACAAAAATTTATAATCAGGAGTCAGAAACCGCTTGGCATTTGACACACAATATTCTAAGCAGAAAGTTTTGTGATGAGATTGTCTGGTATGAAGGCGAACAGGCATTTAGAATGTTGTGGGTGGAGAGAAAAGGAAAACTTTTAAAAAGGAAACTTGCTGATCATTGTGCGAAAATTTATTTTTATTTTTCTTATTGTGTTTTTAAGAGAAAAGTTTACAATCTAAAAAGTGCATAAAGTATTAAAGTTGTTGTGCAAATTTTCTAAATAAATAAATGTGAAAACATTTTAAAGTTTCCTCAGCCGAAATCTTGACCTCAAAAACCATTTAATGTGGAAATAAAATCGTGCACATTGGGAAAGCTTTTCTAAGTGCCGAAAGGAAAACTTTTCTTTTATTTTTATTTTGTGATGAGAAACAAGCTTAACATGAGATAGAAAGAATGTGAGAGAGAATTGCGGAAATTTCATTTCTTGTCTACAAAGCTCTCTAATAAAGCATTGGGAAAGGAACGTGCGTTCAGATTTTTTTGGTAAATTTATGCTAAAGCTATTCATTAATGTTGTATGATTCAACAATGATCCAACCGGAAAAAAGTTAGTGCGATATCTCTGACTCCTTAGTTACTAAAAAAATATATTTTCACATTTCATGTTTCTTTGTTTTGAATGGGGGTTGGGGGTAAGAAATTTTCTTTCAAATAAGAAATGGATTTGAAGCATGCAAGAACGAAAAAAATATTTATGTGAGAGTGGAGAGTGAAAGGATTTAACTTGCCTCACTTAACACGAGAACAATTCATCTGATGGAGGATAAATAAGGTTGGGAGGGAAGATGAATGATAGAAAAGCTAATGACTTGACTCACCTCATGTTATGTGCTCCGATTTGCGGCTTTCTATACAACTCAAAAGCCGAGCCACGTTGTTCACGACTTGCCAAGTCAATGCTGTATTGTGATGGAACTGGAAGATTGCCTGTTGACAAAACGAAAAATTATATTGATTCAAAATACGCAACTCAATTTCATGCATGACATGAAGAGTAAATTAATCCCCAAAAATGTGTATTGTTTGAAAACAATTTTACTAGATGAATGCACATTTTTGAATTGAATTTCAAGAGTAACTGTGCAGACCAACAATAAATATTCACATTCATTAGTTTACAAAGCACTTATTTGTTTAGAACACCAACAACACAAAGCTGGATTATTTGAACATGAATTTAAATTAAAGATGAAAATGATTGTAAAGAGTTCCGCACTGGGTGCTTTGGGCGGAAAATGGAAACAGTTGAAAGTTTTAGTTTAGCGGAAAAAACCGAAAATAATTTTATGCAAATTGTAATTTAAAATTTCTTTTCTTTTAAAATGTTATCATAAAAAGAGCCTTCATTAAGCTTACTCTTTGTAATCTCTAACTTTGCAAAAAGTTTTTCCTAATCTAATCTTAAAATTAATCTTCAAGATTAAGATTAAATTAATCTGGATTAAAATTTAATCCATTGTTAATCTTTATCCCGGAAATTTTTTTTTCACCTCATTGTTGTTATAATTCCTCAATGTTATAATTTATTTCCAATTAAAGCATTTTTCATCGTTGAACGATGACAGACGATTGAGTTAATCGTTAAATGATTTAATAATTATAACTAAATTTGTATGGGGAATTATTTGAATTAATTGTCATTTCTCATGTTAATAATTTATGAATTTTATGTCTGTTGTTATTTACCAAATCCATGATTTCTGTGTGAATAATTTCCACTACCATAATGAGGCTGATGATGATTACCATTCGTATAGCCATTACCAAACATTGGAGATTGCATATGAGGTGGTGGTGGCAAAGGTTGTCCGTAATTAGAATGTGAATTTGCCGGTCCAAATTGGTGATGACTGTAATGTGATGATGCACCACTTCCAACGCCAGATCCATTAGTCATACTTTGATGGTGATAATGTTGATGAGCTTGAGGCTGTTGATTAGATGACGGATAATAAAAGCCATTAGGAGATCGTGGCGAGATTGGCTCCTAATTTCAAACAAAAAAATTAATTAAATAAAATAGCACAAAAGAGAAAATGTTCACTCATTTTTACCCCATTTTCCCACTGATTTCCATTGACATTCTGCTGCATTGGTGGACGATAATTCTTCGGTTTCGGTGGTGGCACGGGTTTAAATGCACTTGGTGGTGGTGGCTGAACAGATGGCGGACCAATTTGTGCTATTTTTGGCGGCTTAATGTAATCGGCTTGTGTAGCTGAATTGTTTCTACTATTTAAATAATTTAAGATGGAATTACTTAAAACAATAAAAGAATAAAATAAGAATGTGTTGAAAGACAGAAAAGCAACAGCAACAAAAGAATGAAAAAACTCAAACCAAAGTGTTGTAAGAAGAAGTCAAAAGATTAGCTTTAAGAAGTTTATTAGGAGCTTGAGGTGGTGGAACGACAGGTCGTCGTATGGGACATGTTCGATAATGAATTAATGTTTGAGGTTGTTTTAAATGTTTTCTACAAGTTATTGAACTGTGCAATGGAAGTTGATAAATTCTTTAATTAAGTATTAAAGAGAAAGAATGAGAGAGAAAGAAGACGTCATTTGTTGTTTCTTTTCTTCATTTAGTGACTTTAATTAATCATTTTTCTTTTGTTCTTTACCTGTATTTGCCATAATCAGTTTTTGTTTCAATCACATGTGGTTTTCTTGGGCTTTCAATTAAAAGATTTGTTGGACGTTGTGGAAGATTGTTGACGGTTCTTGGAGCTGCCATTGGATCATGAATACCGCCAGAAGTTCCATTGAAACTGTAATCGCGTTCATGGACGGGATTTCTTGGATTCGTCGCATAATCTTGTGAGTTTGTGATTGAAGAACGACTCGTGACGCCTGGAACTGACTTCAAATCGTCTGGAGCGTTCGGGCCTAACCGATTTTGTAAGGAATTTGTTGATGTTGTGATGGCTTGTTGAGCTTGATTCGTATTAAAAGAATCATAACTTGACACGCTATCATAACTCGAACCATTTTTCTGTCCTGAATTCTGTCGATCAAGTGAATTTTGTGGATTACTCGAATGATGATGATGATGACTTGGGACTAAGTCACGTCGCTCCAATGAATTTCCATTACTTCCAATTGTCGGCATCTTCTTCGGTTCCAAAGTGTTCAACAATTTATTAGTTGCAGTGTAGAGATCGTCTTGTTGTGGATCCTCAGCTCCACTCATTGACTTTGCAGAATTTCCAAAAAGTCTTTCTTGAGCTGTTCGTCCTAAAGTGCCACCGCTGTTGACAGAGGATGAGTTTCTCGATGGAAGTGATGAACCAGGAGTACTTGATGGTAACGAAGGCTTTGATGCTCGATCAATTCGAGGTGGTAAATCAGGAACTGTTGGAAAAAAATTTAATTAAAAAGCGTACCGTAAAACGTAGTTTGAGAAGTACTGGCTAAAAAAATATTTACTTTGTCCATAGACACCAGAATTTGTCGGTCTCGTTCCATAAAGCGCTTGTTCATCTGTTGGCATAGGTGGTGAAAATCCATATTTGTTATCAACTGTTAATCGTCTTGTATGTGCCGTTGAATGGTCGTAAGGATTCTAAATGAACAAAATAAGAAGAGATTTCGAGTTCATCATGAAAACATGTCATGCATGTGTATGTTGAACTTTGTCTTGTTAATTCATATTTCGACCATCAACCCCATAGAAATTCATCACCAATAACCGTAGCAAGATGGTTGGTTATATGGTCAGAGAAAGAAGGAAATTAAATTATTCATTATGATGGCTCATAAATGGTGCCAATGAGATGGAAGAAATGTGAATTATCTTTCAGTTGTTTGTTAAATATTCTTACCGTGTATGGTGGCGGCATTCCTTCGACCATCTCTTCTCGATCACGGTCCAAATTGTCCTGATTTGTTGCAATCGACGGATCGGAACTTGATTTTACAAGTTGAGGCAAATTGCCAAGTGACAACGATGTCGACGGCCCTGGACTTAATTCCAAGTCTGATTCGGGACTTGAGGCGTAGGAGAGACGGGATGTGGTCATTGGGAAGAGGAAATCGTCCGACAACGATTCAACGGGCTAATTATTTCAATTAAATTTTTGTTCATTGGGCGGAAAGCAGCAATTTGGGTGTTTTATGGGGCGGGTGGGAAGAATGTTGGAAATGACATTTTTTGTTTTTGTTTTATTTTGATGTCGGTTAATTATCCAATCGTAAAAATCAAATCCAAATTAATTTGTCAAACCAAATTTTGAGGCAGCAAAAGGGAGAGGAAAATGAGAATGGGAGATCATAAAAATCAATAAACAAAAAAAAATGTCAAACAAAATGATGATGATGATAATGATGACGATGATGATGGACAAATGAAAATTCCGTTGATGATGAATGAATGGACGCGCGTGAGGGTTGTACGAAAATATTAAAGCAGATCACAGAAACATAAAAATAGAAGAAAAAAATGGAAAAACACAAATGGTTAGTGATAAAAATATTTTATGAAGCTAGTTAAATACAGCAGGGATTGTACGTAAGCTACGTCACAATGAAAATTTGTTTGAATTTTTCCTTTTCATGCTTCATGACGTAACTTAAACACAATCTCAGTTATCATGCTTAATGAATTTATGTTGTTTGAAATATTCTGTCCGCATAGTGAAGATTGTCATAGACATCTTGATTAATATTCTACCGAAATCCCAAAAAAAGAAGGAAATTCCTGTCTAATCTAAGTAAACGAAAATTTATGATTCGTTCTCAACGACAACAGGGTTTATTGTGTTTATGAAGTCAGTGAAATTGTCATCATTCGCTGTGCAATTGAATTGATGTGACGAATCAAGACAAGAAGAATCAATTAATGGAAACTGCGGTAGTTGATTGTGGTTGTTAGTGTCATGCATTCGTGTTAATTCATTGTAGTAATAAGGCGACCTACGCTCCTCGGCATTTCTCAGTGTTCCATATCTTGAGCTACTGTTGTTATTATCATCAACGACATATCGATTCGGTGCAAAGGAATTTAAGTTTTGCATGCTTCGAGATGGTGATCGATAATAACTGTTACTGTGTCGTCGAATTGGAACAATCTGATAATTGACGGGAGCTGGAATGGGCATTGAATATCGGGGCCTTTGATAGTTAGAGAATGCACTACTAGCATGGGGAGGACAATAACTTCGACGAAGTGAATTGCAACAAGCATAAGGACATGATGAGAGCGTGTAAGGGAAATATAAATCGGAAGTGAATCGCGATTCCTTTTAATGTTGCACAAATCACAATTTATTAATTTTTTATATGGAAAACACAATGAAAATCAAAACACAAGAAAAGATTTTTTTTTGTTTGGGAAGTTAAAGAAATTTACCGAAAAGGAAAAAAAAAAGATAAAGAAATGAATTTGAAATTAATTTGCGCGTTTTTCTACTTTCACCGGAATGTGTCAGCGATTATCGAAGAAAATTCTTTCCGAATGTTAATTGAAGTTCTTTAAAACGATTTCAACTAACATTCGAAATGCTTACCAACACCAAAAAGTTTACGTGATAAAATTTATGAAAAGAAATTCTCACCTTTGTCTCCGACATCCAAACAGCGCCAGATTGCTGCTTATCGATTGTCTCTCGAACTTTACGGTACCATGAATCTGGATCATTAAGTGTTATTGTCGTGCTAAAGACATGCGACCACACACGATCCAACTTCTGACTCTGTTCGAGAAGCTTCTTCGAGCTTTTATGTGCCGACTTTGGAATTCCTTGACGTAACGTTTTGATTGAATGTTTTGAATCAGCTTTCAAGAAAATGACGATGGGATAAAATTGCGCATAATTAAGTCGATCGACAGCATTCGGTGTGATGTCGAGAAGCGCATGCTTGCCACGATCCATAATATCGCGAATATTTGACAGTCTCACAATGCCACACTTCGATGATGATTTGTCGTCATCTTGCAATGGTGCTGTAAACTTATCAGAGAAATCTTTGATTAAACGTTCACGTGCAAGATCAGCAACAGCTCCAAAAAGGACAACGGGACGAATAAATCCAGGATGACGAAGCACAACACGTTCATATGCTGGAAACTTTGAAATCGAATCAGAAAAGACGACATCATCCCAATTCTCTCTTGACAATGACTTAGATCGTCGATGATTTGAACGTTTTCTTCGGAAGAAACTCACACGCGACTCTGACGTGTTCAGCTCTTTCTTACTAGCATTAAATTGCGCTGTCGCTAACTCTTCAGCTCTCGCTTTATTCGGAATTATTCCACGTTGAAGTTCTTGATGTCCACGTCCAATTCTCATCACTTGCCATGATCCAACCACACCATTATGAAGCGTGTCAATAACACGAAAAACATCGCCAGCTCTAAACGAAAGTTCACTCTTCGATGGCGAATCGTAATGGAAATGAGTTTTAATATGAAATGAATCACCACGTTGATTCTGAATAACATTATCGTATTCATCTTTACAATATTGCACAATCAAATCAATTCGATCTTGAAGTGAAAGAAGAAACAAAACCGCTTCTTCTCTCGTCACGCCATTCATGTCCATATCGTTAACTTTCAAAAGTTTATCACCTGGAACGAGACCTTGCATCGATGCTGGGCTGTTCTGTTGAACAGCAGTGACAAAGATTCCAACTTCGTTGCCACCAGTCAGACGAATTCCAACAGATCCTTCTTTCTGGAATGTTATGTAGCGTGGCTCGGATGAAGTTTCAACACCTCCAGTCATTCGTCTTGTACTGTAATAATCTTCACCTCTCGGCGGTGGCGGTCTTGGCGGTTCATCAATTCCACTTCGACTTCGAGAATGTCCAGAAGTTGTTGGTGGTGTCACTGGACGGTCAAGTTGCGTTAAAGAAATGTCAGTTAATGGACCACGAGAACGACCACGCGGTGTCAAATTACATTTGTCATCTAAAAGTGTACTCAATGATGGACGTGTTGGTGGTTGAACGTAAAGATTTTGTGTTGAATAAGCTGACGAATTAAAATTGTCATCAATATTTGAACAATTCGATAATTGCTGTTGATGTGAGTAAATTGACGCGTTGTTGTTGTTATTTGTTGATGAAGTTGGTGATAAGTTTGGATCGCGAACAACAGCCAAGTTCAAACGTTCTTTACATCCGTCCATAATCTTCTTCGCTTCTTTAACACTCATCGAGTCATTACAATTTGTGTTGTGAACTCGTGTAATGATGTCACCTTCTTGTAATGAATAACCATTGGCTTGAAGTTGTTCACGCATCTTTGATGAGATTTCTTTGACGAAGATTCGACAGCCAAGCACCAAACCAAAATCTTCTTTCTTACTTGACTTGTTCAACGTGACTTTGATTTGTTGTTGAGATCCATTTGTAAGTCCCATGAGACCCGCAGTTGAGCTGAGACTATGTTGATGTTGATGATTGCCAATAATTCCGGAAGAAGTTCCACTTTGTGAATAATTTCCTTGTAACGATGGTACACGTCGTTTCACAACTAACGTCACAGTATTTCCACTGTCACGAAGAACTTGAACTGCTGTCGCATATTCAACATTCTCAAGTGAGATTCCATTTGCTGATACAATTCTGTCGTTCGTTCTAAAACGAGAAAGAAGTTTAATGGAATTGAAGTAATAATGACAAGCGAGAACTTACTGCAATCTGTCTTCAGCTGGTCCGCCTTTGAGAACATCACTGACAGCAATCGATGGATCACCATTTGCAAAATGTGGATTATCTCGTCCACCAGACTAAAGAAAGAATGAAACGAATGAGTGAGTCATTCATTTAAGAAGGAATTTCGATTAACATACCACAGCAATGCCGAATCCATAGCCAGCTACACGATAAAGAATCACGGTATGATATTCCCAAGAAGTTCGTTCACCCTGCAAAAGATATAAAAGAGAATCAACATGAATTAATGAATGTTGCAAAAGGATGAGTCAGAAGTTTGAAGGTTTCGATAGGAAGAAAAAAAATCATTCATAACGTTTCTCATCTCGAAAGATTATAAAAAAACTTTTTAATTACAAAGTGCTGGTTTAGTTATCAAGTTGAATCTGGTTTTTTCATAAGAAGAATTTCAATCGAGCGTTAAAGCAGAAATTGAGATTTCAGATATCAATGGCGATGTTTGTCGATGAAAAAATGACGACAAAGCAGAATGGAAAGTGAAGAATCTTTTCTCTCGTTGAGTGAATATCGAATGTCAGTGATTAAAACATAATGTGGAGTAAGTCAAGAGGTTTTGTGAATGAAGTCAAAGGAAATTTCCGATATCTTCACTTGATTAATGCTCACTTGCCTCTTCCTTACCGACATTGCTCAACATAAATATTTCATCACCCTGAACGGAAACATTAACTTTCGACGAACCCCAAACAACATTACAATCAGACAGCAAACAGTAAAAAGCAAGAAAAACCCTTTTTTCTTCTTATGCAAACAAATAAATCTCAATTTCCGGCGAAAACAAAAAGAAAAACTTTTTTCTATGTGCTGCTATTTGAGTTCATGGCCGACATTACTTTTATATTGTTCGGGATGTCATAAAGCTTCATCTTAATTTCACTTGATTGAAATGTCACACGATGAAGATTGAAGAGTGTCCAGAATTGGATTAAATTTCTATCACTTTGTGGTTAAATGTTTGTTTATCTTGAATTGTTATTGTTTCACTTCTCGCATTTTAATTAAACTTTTTGAATATTCATTGACAATTAATAACACAAAACAGACATAGTTAGGTAGTTACATCAATGTCGAAGCTTAAAAGTAAACTAGATGAAGTTAAGATGGGGAAAAAAATTCTTTCCGTCGTCGTTGTCGTCGTCTGTTTGTTTGTTCTGTAAATGCCGGGCTCACAAAATATTTCTGTGATGGTAGAATAATTTCTGTGTATGTAGAACGACAAAATCTGTAACTGTGTGTCAGGATGGAAAAACTACTCGTTTGAGGGTTTATTTTCACTCTTGAATGGGCTTTATATGCATCATGCCTTACTGCATCGAAGTATGCATGGATTTATGTATGAGACTTTTGCGATAATCTTTTACACATACAAAGTGTTGGCTTTGAATAAATTTTAACTCGTGCACATGGCAATTAGTAATTTCTCGTTTCTGACAATGTTTTCCATGTGTTGTTTATTACGATGTTAAATCTTTACATTTAATCACATTCTGTGCCTCTCTTAAGCATCACATTCACGAAGGAAGTGAACATAAATCATAAAAGACTGATGGGACTAATATGTATTTAATATGTTTTTATACAACTAATCACTTGCATGTTTCAGTGAACTTTTGACATTCGACGTCGAGAATATTTGAAATTGTTATCAGCTCGCAAATTTTCTCTCAATTTGCTTCGAAAAATTTTTGATGTTCAATCGAAAGGCAATGCTTAGTTAACAAGCTTTATATTCCCATTACTCACAATCGTGCTCATTGAAGTGATTCATATCATTTCTCTTCATTGCTTGGCTTTCGTTTTTTCTTCTCTTCCTGCCACAAAATAAAATAATGCTGATAACAGCATAAAACATATTTTTATCGACTTTATCAAGAGTCATGTTGTTATTCAAATAACAAACAAGACGATGCGTAAAAGATGATTAGGAAGCAAACGTTGAACTTAAATGTGAACAACATAAAATGTGGAATCGAAAATCAATTTTCCGATAGATGCTTCAACAATTTTTTTCTATAAAACGAACATTTATGTTGTTAGGAGGGGAAATGATGAGAAAATCCGATTTAAAGATGATAACAAAATGTTGTATGCTGAGTGCATTCTTATTGATTCATTCAGATTGAATTTAGGCAATCTTTTTATTTACGACAGAAACGTTTTACAACCTCGCGACTAGAGCTTCGTAAGGAATTCCAGTTCGAGATCAAAAGACAATGTCAAAAGAAAAATGTTGAGAAACAAATTTACAAAGTATCTTGAAACACTTTGTTTGAACAAGTGAATTGACTGTATCGTCGGAATCATGTAAAGAGGAAACCACATTAAGAGAGCACAAATGAAAATATCAAGCAGAAGCCCACGCAGAATGGCAATAATCCAATGCTATAAATAGGCGTTTGAGAATGTTTAAAAAGGTGTACATCAAGATTTTGAAAGCGAAAATGATGTCGACGACAGCTGATATTAATAATAAAATTTTTTTACTGTCAATTAAAGTTATTCAGCAAATTTATCATCTACTTGAAAGTCATTTAAATGTTTTTATGTTGGGAATTGAAATTACTGACGCATGAAAGTTTGGAACGTCAAGTGGAAAGTGCACATTTACATGACAAACCCAATTCCGGTTCTTTGTTATATTCATCAGTCGTCTTAGACATTTTGCTTTCGCAACGTTATCTGAACAACGAACTTCCTTTATTGCCTCGAAATTTATTATGAAAGAAATTAAAAATCAATCAAAAATTGATTTTCTTTGTATTTAATGTGTTGCTGTTAGTTTCACAACTTAACTTATCACTTTCAATAATTGCTGGTGTAATTTGAAACATATTAACACAAAGCCCACTTTGGCATTGGCATGTGGTAGCGAACAAAACGATTTTTTTCTTTTTGAACATAGTTGAAGCGTGCTTCAATGACGTCACTGATCAGATATCTCGCTCAACAACAACTCAAGAGTACTTTCCATTTGTCGCCTTTCCAATCATTGTAAGTTTGTGTATGTGGTGATAATTTCGCAATCGTAGAAAGAAACTTAACATTAATACACACACGAGATCAACAATAAAGTCAATATTTTCCTTTTAAATTTTAAAATCGAAAGAGGTTCGAGTAAGCGCGAGAGAAAAGTAAATTTGAACAGTGTTGAGGCATGTATGAGAAAAGTACCACAAACAAGGAATAATAAGAAGGTTCAGCACCATAAAACCTGTTTGCAGTCAATGGCGAAAAGAAATGAAATAAAAAAATCAAAATAAAGCAAGAGCCAAATGATTGAATAAATATTCGCGACTCAAACGATTTCAGGTTTTTTTTTGGTTTAAAATTTGAAAATGAAATTGAAAAGCGACTGAGGGGGTGGCAGTTATGATTGTTAAATTATTAATCATAAATAAGAATTTCTGTCTCATTTAATAATTACTTTAAGCTTCTTTCACAACATTCTTGACAGAATTTCTAATTTTTCGCTTTGTTAAACATTATTTATGAATCATTGAGGTCTAAGTTTTATGAATTAAAAATTTGAGAAGGCAATAAAATGTAAAATTAAATGAATTTCGAGATCGTTCTGATATGATTAAGAATTTTAAATTTCTTGTCTGTCCGTGCATCGAAATCTTTTTCTTCGGCTTACTTTTTAATTTTGTTTAGTGAAGCAAGTTTTTATTTTTATGAAAAGCAACGCTCAGAAGTCTGAAGGAACTCCACATAAACCTTCAATGGTTCAAATGAAAACAGAAACATTCAACATGAAAATATTTCCACTCGAGTATGACTAATGATCGTTTCAAGTTATTTTGGTGCAACCGTGGACAAAGCCAAACGAAAATGATTATTGTGAAAATTCAATTATCTCTGCTGGATTGTAAGCCACAAAAGACAAAAGGAAGGCGAGATCTGTAAATTTACTTTTTTTCAATTATGTTGGTATAGAAAATTGTTATTTGCAACAAAAAAAGATTTTTCTTTTTCTCTCAACCGATGATTGAAAGTGATTGATTAGAAAGTTTAGTTTTAATTGGATTTCAATAAAGAAAAACGAGATTTAAACTTTAATTAAAAAATACCTCTCAAAACAATCATAAAGTTTGAAGGTTTATTTGACAAAGCAACACATAGATTTTGGTTTATAAAGAGTCGGCGTTAATAATCCGCTAAAAGCATGCAAATGCATGTTAAAGCGTGAAGCTAATATAAAGAATTTGATTACTAAATAAGCTCAGATCACTCTCGACACAGATATCTGCATCTATCGATTCAAAAACGCCTTAAATTGTCACTCGAAAAGTCATCATCAACATTCTTCCTCCACTTTTATCTAAAAATTCAATCTTAATCGAGGGAACGACTCGTTGAAATCAAAAATTCATATTTAACTCAACCTTGAATTTAAAAGCTTTTATTTTTATTGCAACTTCATTCTTCGCTCAATATTTAGAAATGTTGAATGCGCTCAAGAAATAAAGAAACGTGTTTTTGTGAAACGTCGACTACAGTATGGAATGCCAACATAATTACTCACAATATGCATTCATATTTGTGCAGTTAACTAAGTTAAAAGAGAGTGAGAGAGAATGGTAAAAATGCGAATGAATGCAATAAAGGGTCACTTAATGTTGAAAGGTTGAATGGCTTTTCGTATTTCGAACTTTACATGAAATTTCAAGGATTAGGTAAGAAAATAATTCATTTGAGAGATTTTGTCATGACACATCAGGTTTTCAGCCGCCATAACTTGTTTCAATAATAATGTCACTTTTAGCTTGTGAAACTTCAATGAGAATGCAGTGAAACTATAAACATTCATCATACATCATACGAAAGTTATTTATTAAATATTTCATGTAATTGCAAGCTTTAAGCTGCTTTTACCTGCGAATCCACAAAGTGATTATTTGGTAACTGCTGACCACTTGTATTTAAAAGACTATCCATTGTTGTGGTTTAATGTTTAATGGTTTCTTTTTCTCCAATATTTATCTTTTATTTTCAATAATCAGATTTCTTCTTTTTATTTTTAATTTTTAAAATTCAACTCAGCACACCTCACTGCTCAAGAATTCTTCATTCTTTTCAATCCAACGATTGTCTACTTCTCTTGATAAATCATTTATAAATGCTTGTTGCATCACAATTCTTGATGTTTGTACATCATTAAAATAAAACCAAAAACGAAATCAAGTTTAATAAAAAAACGTGGCTGTGTTGAGAACTAAGCACGTTGAAGAAGTCTCAAGATAAAGTTTGTTTCCTATTTCTTAAGAAAATCATCCACATAAGAAGACCTTGAAGAATGTACCGAATGAGAGACTCGACATGCTTCTTGTTTAAGAACCCGAAATATTAACGCTCACCAACAACAAAAACAACATTCAACAAGAGATTCTTCTTCTTCTTTTCTGAGTTTATTACTTTTATTTGGCTTCTTATCACTTAGTTATGAATTTAAATTATTTAAAAACACTCTTATGGCACATTCACAAATTGTTTTGTAATTATCCAAATATTCCAATGTTGCTTAATCATAAATAAACTGCTTTGAAAAGCACGCGATAAAGTTTTGTTGTTGACTGATCGAATGTCCAATTCTCACTAACGTTAAGAGTCCCGTCAACAGCACAAGAAAAAGTGCTAAAATGGACGAAATGAAAAATGTTGAGAGTCTCTCGCCGATTGTCTTACACACTTTGCTTCTTAAGCTTCTAAAATTTCTTTTCACCTACACAACAAAACTTTATTGAAGCGTTCATACATGAACGTTCGAGTCAACATGGTGAAGCCAACCACACTGATCAGTTGAGCGAGCGCAATTCTCTTACTTCTCTCGATCGTTTAAAGAAGGATTGTTACAGCTAAAGTTTCATGTTTTGTGTTGCTTATCCAGAGAAAGAACACAAAAAGAATCATAAAGAGAAGAGAAATATGAAGGGCAAGGAATGGAATTACAATCAGGTACAAAAATCCGACTTGAAGAATTCTTTTCTCTTTTGTCTGTTGCACAAACTGACGAAGCTCATGTTTCGAATGAAAATATTTCACTGAATCATTTCATTGTCATAAGTAATAATGGGTTAAGATAGATAGTCAGTGGAAACATTTTCGACATGATGATGATTCTAAACGACCAGTGGCGGCACATAAAATCGTCATTAATATCGTCTAGTGATTTTCTTTCGCCAAAAAGAAGAAATTTTTGATGTTCGAACGTGTGTAGGCTTCGTAATGATTTGAAGATTATTGGCAGTGAAGCGAGCGAAGCTAACCCATCGGTTGAATATCAAATTAAGAGATTCTTTTTTTGCGTTTAATTTGCTGGCAAAAAAAACCTATAAGCGTTCTTCCATTTCTCTTTTTCTTGATGTCCGAAAACAGTTTACAAAATTATATTCTTTTATCTGAACAAAAAACAGAAAACATCAGGCATAAGAGAACAGGTAAAAATCAAAGATAAACGCAAAAGAACATGATGGAGAAATTTGATTTGGAATTTTTGTTTTCGTTTGGGTTCTAAATTATTCAGAAAGCTTCAACAGGTATTTCCTTTCAACCTTTCAAGCAGCAGGTTCAAGCACGTAATGACTGATTCTCATTTATTTTTTAAATCATCCTCCTAGCGGATCTTCCTAAGGGATAACCGGCGACATTCCTTCGTGAAGTTAGACTTAAGCGGCATCAGATTACAAAAGTCATTTTCAATTAGTCACCAGAAGAATGAAAGAAACAACAAAAAAAAAAATAGCGACGCAGAAGGAATTAATCAGATGATGGGAAACGTTTAAAAATGCTTTGATAAATCGATTTAAATTTCTTTTGTGCTACTTAACGTAGAGAGAACTTAATCGCCTTAGTTTCTTGTCGCATTTTTTTAATCATTTTCCATCAGCGATTTTTCAATACCATCAAATTGGAAAAATCTCATAGTCGATTTCTTATACGAATTTTTATGCAAATCAGAATGTTAGCTCGCTTACAGGTGTGCCTTGAATTGTCTCTTTTTTTATATTTTCTTTAAAGTTTAAACAACATTGGTTACATTAATAATCGTTTCTTAATGAAAAAAGTCTGTGATCGTTTTGACGGATAAGCTCTTTGATATAAAATAGTTATTTGGCTCATTTCTGATTTCTCGTCATCCTCATTACGTGATTTCTTCATTAATGTCCATAAAAGGTGAAAATTGTCCCACTAACATGCACATAAGCTTCTTGAATCATGACAAGTCGTCAATAATTTTGTCTTCTTTCGAATCACAATCATTCAAATTAGTCTCAATCTTCAAATTTAGTTTCACGATTTGTAATTAAATAAAATGTCTCAATATTATACAAATGAAAGTTACGTAGGAGATAACATCTGATAACTGCAATCGATTAAGCTTATAATCGGATTTCGACCATTTGATTTTAAATGCGGAGGAATCTCAAGTATTATGAAGTCAGGCTTTTATTTGCTACACTATTAGTTACAATTTAGTATGTAATTACAAATATAAATCTTAAGATTCAATAAAGTTAACAAGCAACGCTTAGAAGCTTAGCAATGAAATTAAAAAGCTCTTTAAAACCATACAACAGTTTCAGTTCATAAACATTTGTAAAGTTTCATAATGTTCCTAATGTGGAATTTCCTCTTTCTTTGAAACATTCATCATTACTTTTATGGATTTATAAGAATTCATCACATTTTTGTAGACATGTATCAAATATTATGTGAATGAAATTTACACCAAAACATTTCTTATTTAATAGGAAATTGTTGGAACGCTAACGCTGAAGATCTTCAACAATAGAAAATTGATCTTAAACACATTTAAATGATAAAGCAAAAATGTTTCATTCCATTAACACCCACACAGCTATTATCGATTCGTCATTGACATTAGATCAGATAGAGATGTTTAAGCGATTTTAAAGATTTCAAACCCACCTTCAACAAATACTGTTGTGACAATGCTCGACTTGATGGCAAAACATGACGCGGATGAACCAAAAAAGGCGTATTTCTCGTTATCACTAAACCATTTCGATCATATACACCCACTCGCGTGTTAAAGTGTTTTAATTTCGACTCGTCTTGAAAGAAGTAATTAGCGGGATAGAAATTCTTTGAGAAAAGATTTGACGACATGTAAGAATTCTTCATGCGATGTTTGTGGTTTTGTGAAGACTTTTTCCGCTTCTTTTTCCCATTGGATTTCTTTTTCACTGTTTTCTTAGTCGCGACATTAGTTTTTGGATATTTCTTTCGATGTAAACATGTCACCAGTTTGAAATTCATTTCAATCTCACGAAATAAATAAATAAAAAGTGCGACAAGCAAATTAATGTTTTGCTTAAAAACTATTTGTAACTTTGGTGAAATGTTTTTACTTCTTGCTCATCAAGCGACACACGACGACTGACTGACTTAAAAATTAATTACTTTCAAGCTCTAATTTCAAGTGTGGTCTTGCGTATATGAAAACAATATCGGTCACAAATACCAATAATTCCAGTTGAAGAACGATAAAAATAAATGTAAAAAAAAGCAAAACAAGAACCTAATACGACCAGAAGCATGCAGTTACATTAAAGCAACAACATAAGTTGATTAGGAAGACTGAAATAGCAAAATATAAAAATCAATTGTGACAGGGGAGGAATTCGACAAAAACAAAGTCATAATTTACGTAAACAATGGCGCACCTGAATTCCGACCCTCGCGGATTTGGTTACGAGCTGAAAGTTATCTTTATCTTTATGACTCTTAGGCTTAAGGGAAGAAAATACATAAATAGTTTTGAGGGGTGATAACCAAATAAATAAAGATAAAAGTTGAAGTATTCCCGTTCCAAGTAATGAACATGTTAATTGCCAACCACAGATTTGGGAAACATCATTGATTAACCTTGGTTGGGATTATGAGATTAACTGGTTTTACGATCGTATATGTTTCCCAATTAAACATTCTCCCCTTAATCTAATTAATGCATCAAATTCTACTTCGTGCACTTTTACATATCATGACATTGCCACGAAGAATCATTTTTCATAGCACGTAATGTCAGTTTGACTTTTGAGGGGAAAGATTCGTGTTGGTGCTGTTTATGAACCCTTATAAATTCTACTCGCATTTCTCTCTCCAGCATCCACAGCATAAAAATTTCAATTGTGAAAAATTTATGTTTTTACGACCACCAGAAAGTTTTCAAATTGTGTGGGTGTATTTGTAAGTGACGTTCAAACATTTCTTTTATTGTCAAGGAACTTGTCAATGTTTCTTAAGATTCATAAAATAATGACGAGCTTCAAAACAAACGTAAATTGATCAAGATTGATGAAAATATAAAAAGAAAATTATGACAAGAAATTTCGCTCCCTTTTTCGACAAAAACTTCCACAAACACACACTCACCGTCTCCGGTGAAATGAACAAATAAATAAATAAATGAAAATCCCCCTTTTGATAGAAAACTCGTGTTTTATCAATGGAAAATTAAAAACATTCGTTTTACTCACCACATTTTCTTCTTCAACCTGGTCTGCTAGAACTTCGATTGCTTCATTCATTGAGCGTATGTTGCGCTTGCCAATTTTCCCATTAAGATTGCGACTGTTTACTTTATCACAGCCATAATCACTGTACGGTGGCGAACTGAAGCGCTTTGATCTGCTGTTGATGTGATGGTTATTATTTGTATTTGGTGGTTGATGATTTGGTTGAATGAGTGGTGTTGGTGAACGGCTGGATTCATGTAGATCCCTATGGATAAAAGAATGACGATAAAAAACGATTTAAGATGAATGGAATGTTTATTGGATTTAAGGAATGTCGTTACGACCTCTTATGTCGAAGTTTAGGAGTGAGTGATATTGGAACGAAGTATCCAAATTGCGGTTGTGAATGCGCTGGCACTTCCGCAATAGTCAATTGATTTTCTCTTCCGGTTGTCTGTTCTGAATTGGCGATAATTTGCGAAAGATTTCGAAGAAATAAATTCTCAGACGATTCCGTCAATTCATCACCAACTTCACTTTCAGTTTCAGTTGTGATGTTATTCGCATCTAAAGCCGCCAACTCGATTGCCATTTCTATTTTTATGTGTCTCGTGTTGAATTGAAATCGAAAGCCGGCTTTTCTAGCAGTCGTAGACAAAATAATGACGCAATTTACAACTTTTCGATTTGTATTTCTCGTACTTCTATTAATAGAATTCAATCTTGCACGCGAGTTTTTCCGCGAAAATTGGAAAATATGTCGCCACGTTTATGTTTACAGTCGACAGACAAGAAAAACACTTCACCGTTCAGTCGGTCGTTTGCCAAAAATAAACAAAAAAATTTCACTAACTGCAATCTTCTTGTTTTCTTTTTAATTTTCACTCTTGTCGACAAAAAAAACGTTTAGTCACGTTAAATTATTAAAACTAATCAACGATGATTCAAAGTTGATGAGTTAGAAGAAAATTTCCTGACTCGACACGCAATTATTGAAAATGTTGTTAGCGCAATTCAATTCTTTTAAAACGTCAGTGGGAATGAAACTAAAACTTGATTTACAAACTAAATTGGTCACTAAATCTTCTTAATTATGTTTAGAAGAATCTTTTTAATTAATTGTTCGTAACCAACGACGACTGACAACATAAATTGATGATCAAGATACTTCCGAAATGATCTGAACTTTCATACGAACTGAGATGTGAATCGAAACTGAAAGTCACACGAAATATTTTCACATTTCTTAAAACATCTCTCAAGTGAAGAGACGTGTGATATTTTAAGAATTAAATTTTCACATCTTTTAGCTGTTCTTTCGGTTGGAAATCTTTCTCTTATACGATGAAAGTGGAAAAAGACGCATTAAACTCGTTGTTTTGTGATGTGAGGGAGTGCGTTAATGAATGAGCTTCTCACAAATCTAATTGAAGTGGCTTAAAGAGTATTTGCATTTCATTTTCATCTCTGAAAAACTGTTCAACCTCAACCGCTCAGTCAAAGTGTTTTCCCAGTTTTATGTTCGAAATGTTTTTCATGTTTTATTTTTCATTCCACTCGGTGAGAAGTTGTAAAAGTTGTATAAACGTGAAGAACAAATGTTAAGAACATTTTGAAGATGTATGATGCATCATCTATCGATTAAACAACATTAACATGGAACATACTTACAGATAAATTGTCTGATCATTAAAATTAATGATCTGAGATGAATTTCTTTGAAAACTATTAAAGAATGTTCCTTGAGATGATACTTTGTTACTGGGGATTGTTCCAATGACATGACGAGGTAAAATTATTAAGATTTTCAACATTTCATAACAAAACATTTTACATCATCTCAGATATTTATTATTTTGATGAAACACTCCAACATAATGTTTTATGATCGAACATTAAAATAACATATAAAAGCATGCTATTTGCCAACACCCCAAGCCGCAACACTTTCGAAATTCGTGTAATTACAAGAAAGAACAACGAGAGACTCCCATATGGGATCGTCTTATGTATTGTTATTGATTTAAATTGAATTCTAATTGCCCATATTCTCTAACTGTTCCCTTCTCCCTCATCAAGCATCATAGCTTCACTCAATTCATCTAATGAAATATCAAAGTTTAAGTTCACTTAGATTGCGTATTATTTGATTTATCGTTTGATTTTATTGAGGCCTTTGGCATCGAGAGCACGGAAAAGTTACACAGCAGCTTGCAGTATCGTTTATTTATTCATTCTACTTTCTTACAACATTGTTTACCTTTCTCTTTTCTCTTCTCGTTTTATTTTAAAAGAATAAAAAAATGTTTTTATCGCCTTAAAAACATCCACAAAGAAAGTCAAAAGTACATGAAGAAATGAAATTTTTATTGAGTGGAGAACAATAGAAAGGAAAATTCTTAAAATATTCAGAGAAGATTTTTATTTATTTCGTTCGACAAAGTTTTTTTATAATGTTGGGAAAAAATTGACTTGAAAGTTTGAGTTCTCTTCAAACATTCAAATAATCTTGAGTTGGTTACAAGAATAAAAATATTCGAAATCATCGTGACTTACCTGTCATTGTTGCTTGATGAAGCAGATGATTCTCCATTAGAATTCTTTGGTGAGTTTCCTGCAATTATAACAACATGAAAGTGATTTAAAATCGTTTCGTTCTTTTTTTTGTGACTTTAAATTTAACACTGAGATATTTAACCGAAACAAGAGAATCAACAAAGTCGTTCCCATCATTAAGCATCATAATCAACAATCGTCTCGCCTCTTAATTTATTTCAGGGATGATTTCGTTCTTCAATCATGCGAACCATTTAATTCATCTTATCTTAATTGTATCACTTTATACGCTTCTGTCTCCGAATGAACGAGAAAGCAAGGAAATGTCGGAATGCTGGTAAACACGATGGTAGAAGAACTTTGAACATTGAAGGAATGGGATGAAATAATTATCAGTCAGAGAACAGGAAGGCGTTGATTATTGAATTAAACCACACAGTGAGTGCTTCAAAAATATCTCTTACTTCACATTAAAAAACAATTTAAAGAGACAAGTGTAGCATACAAACAAGAGCTCTTCTCAACTGCTATTAAATTTATGTTGACATGCACTTTGCTTCCACCTTTGAAGGTTTTCTGTTTAAAATTTAAATTCTGATCTCGTCCCTTTTACTCTGCACCTGTTCGCTGTCGAGTTTAACTTTACGAGCCTTCATAACTTTTAAATTTTATGCAGAAAGATTTTAATGAACTTGAAAATGTTTGATTTAGGGAGAAACCGGAAGAAAAAGTCACGACATGCTTGCAATTTGTATGTGCATGTAATTACTCGACTTGTTGCATTTTTTTCGCATTTGCTCGCATAAGCATTAAACCTGTTCGCCTTACTGACTCACTCTCATGATGTCCCACTGACTCTAAGGCACATATTTGCTAAAGTCTTTCGTAATTTATTGTACACATTTATAAATGGGAAATTGAAAGTGGAGGAAAGTGGCATACGCAAGTGAATGTTAAATCTTCAGCTTGCAGCGGATGTTGATGCTTTCATCAATAAAAAATTGATTAATTTCCAATATAAAAACAAGTTTTCTTTTAACAAGATGTATAAAACATTTAATAAGAAGAAAATTAAAAGTTTTTCTTTTAAAAATTGTGTCATAAAATTGGTGAGATTGTAAACAAACTTTACATAAAGGAGATTGCTGACTTCATTAACTAAGCATCGAGTCATTACATATGACGACTGCAACAGCACGTCCAACATCATAAACAGGTTGCAATCGGATAAAATGGAAATAAAATCACTTTTCTTTTGCAGTAAAAGTAAATGCAGGGGAAAAAGTTGCATAATTATGTGGATCTAAAATAAAAATATCTCCGTTCAAACTATTTCTTTTTTTTTATAATGAAAAATCACCAATTCAGTCTCAATTAAACTGCGCTGCTTTCAGTCGTCAACTAAAAGTCAACAACGATGGTTCAACTTCAACATTTCTCGGTTTTAATTTTGCTACTTTTGCAAAGAACCAACTCACAGTTAGACTTCGATGACGAAGAAACCGACGAGAGCAAAAAAATTATTTTGAAAACTAACAAGCTCAATTTTCATTGCGATTTGCATTTGTTGCCTCAACAAAAAAAGATTATGTACTTAACAACGGTACCAAGCAGTCGAAAGTATAAGATTTCTTTCGACTTATACAAATGGCCAAAAAACAAAGAAGGTTTCGTCATTGTTCCATACTACATTTCACGGAATTCACACTTTTGTAAGTTAATAATTTCATAAATTTCTTTTTAACTTAATTTTGTTACATCATTTTAATGTAGCTAGCGAACAGATTCATCTAATGAGATATGCAATGGATGCAGTTGAACAAGAAACTTGCATTCGCTTCCGAGAGCGAAAGTATGAGAAAGATTTCGTGAACATTTTTGCTGGAAAATATTGCAAATCGAATCTTGGAAGAACTGGTGGAGGGCAAGAGCTGTCATTAAATAAATTGAAGTGCATGCAGAAAGGAATCATTATTCATGAACTTTTGCATGCACTTGGCTATATTCACGAGCACAATCGTCCCGATCGTGATAAGTATGTGAAGATTTTGTGGCAGAACATCGATCCAAAATGGTATAAAGAGTTTGACAGAGTCAGCCCAACAATGCACAACACTTACGGAACTTCATATGACTATCATTCAATCATGCATTATGGTGCAAAAGCTTCTTCAAGAAACGGCTTGGCGACTATCGTGCCACGAGAGGAACAATATTTAAATTCGATTGGTCAAAGAGGCGGATTGAGTGTCGGTGATATCCAAAGAATTAACAACAAATATCATTGCAATGTCAAAACGCCAAAATTCATCAACTATGGCTACAAACGACTTAACAGTGACAATGACAATGACTTTCTTAGCTATAAGATATTTTAACTTTTCGGTAGAGTTCAAAAAGATCTCATTACGAGAATTCTATTAGAGGTACTCAGTTTTTTGTTGTTTTGTTAAAAAGTGATTAACGTTTTAAAGAGGCTGACGATTTGAAGTTAAAAAATAGTTAAGAGTTGAAGTGTTTAAGTGAATTTAGTGATATGGGAAATAAATCGAAAAATGTTAAGGAAAAAAATTGTTTTGAAACTTCGTTTTTCTTCTATCGAAAGATCTGAAACCATTGACATGACACCAGTTGATTATTGTGAGTTAATTGAAAACGTTTTTCTACTATCGTGACCTATTTAGAGTCAATCAAGCATTTCATTCTCTCACGATCAAAAGCCATATTGCTTCATAACAAAGTCGAATTCAAAGCAATTTAATCTGCAGACCGACGAATGCGTTTATCCACAATTATTTTGTTATATTTTTTTCTGTAACTTAAGTTCAAATCTACTTTATTTTGTCACAGAAGAATGAAGCTGAAACATTGTGTTGTTCGATTAATTCCAAATTGGAGTGGAGAAAATTACTCAAAGTCAATTTTCAGTCACACAAACATAAATTTTGTTTTTTTTTTCATTCTTTTCTCTCTTGTTGATTCAAATTTTGAATGACTTCACGACTGATTGCACTGCAAATTTTTCGCTTTACTCAATACACAATCGAATTAAGAACACAAAATTTAATTAGTCGTTTTAGTCATAGTTTATCCAGCCACAAACAAATAAATTATTCTGTTGTTCATTTGACGGTTAATGATCTTTCATGTGTCATGTGTTGAACGAGTTTGTTGATTATTTTCGTTTTTCTCTCTCCCATTTATGTATTTAAGTGTCTTTGGCAGAAAAAGTAAAATTTCCACGACCACTGACGAAGCGTAATTTGAACTCTAAAATTTTAAATAATTTTATTATGGCAACACAACGTGAAACGCGAAAAGTCTGCTTGAATTAGCAAGAAAACAAGAGGATTAGCTGTGCAATAATTTGATTCGAAATCAGCTAACACCGCCGCTATCGCGATTGTTGAGAACTTTAATATTTACAACTCTGTTACGGTTTCTGACTCTCATTGTCTTCCATTAATTTTTATATGTGTTTTTATCATTAAAACTTCTTCTTCCCATCTCATTCCCATTTCGATTCCACGTCTTCTTTTTTTATTTTTTTAAACTTTGATATCGTAGAAAAGACGAAGAATAAAAGAAAGAAAAATAAGGAAGTTTTGTTTAACCCTTCTCGTGTTTTAGACTTTCCAAATACTTTTTCAACTTCTTTTTTTATAAAATCAATCAAATTTTAAATTTATGATAAAACTATGTGCTTTAGGCGTCGCTGTTTCTCGCTTTGAAAAGGGTTAAATGAATTATTTTTTTGTATGATGTTTTTACTGTATAAATGACGTGAAACTCTCATTTTTAATTTCTTTTATAAGAACAATGAGAATTTACGTCATTGATGTTGAAACATTCATAAGTAGATTGGAAATTTATTACTCTTTCATATGTTACGTTACTTACAGACAATTCATTTCGTTTACAAATTGATTGTGAACCTTTTTTTGCTTTATTTTTAAACGCGTAAATGAACATAACTAGAAAATTTAATAGACCAAGTAATGGGAAAATGAAAACAAAAAAAATACACAAAACAAACTAATGTGCTTTGTGGTACAATCAAAAGAGATCTCAGATCTGTGAGACTAGATCCATGTATGTAGTTAAAGCAACGTACGAGTAAATGGCGGAATAATAACATAAGAAGATTTTCGGTTCTCTTTTGGGCTTCACAATAATAAAAATGGTAATGAAATTGATGTCAGAGGTGACTGAGTTGGTTGGTCAATTAGTCAGATCGCTAATGCTGGTCGTGATTCATCTTTTGGTTCAACTCACGAATCCCTGAACATTTAAATCCGGTCATTGAAAGAATTTCAGATATAAATCTCCACCCAAAATAAAACTTTTGAATCATATGTGTAGACGAACAAAAACAATCATGAAAATAAATTTGTTTATAGAGTAAACTCATAGGAATAACAAATTGTTTAAAATATAATGTATGAGAGTTGTTTCTTTTCGTTTTATTATCGATGTAGTCAAGTGAGATTGAAACATTAAAGCAAACATGAATCGAGAAAAGTTCTTCTCTGGATTCGTTCACCGCGACGATGCTTCCCCTCATTTATATTATTTCCTTCTCATCAAATGGCCTGTTGTGAGATTGAATGAGAAGCCCAGACGAATGATGAGAACCAATGAGTTTCAAATTTCAATATCAGTACGGTGAAGCAATCTCATCTCGACCGGGAATATTTTATATTAACTTGAAGAAGGAAAAGAGTTTCTTCTTCTTAAATTTCTTTCTTTTTTATCACAAGCTGCAAAGAACTTAAAGAATCTTCTTTTTATTAAGAAGACATGCAATCCAGATGTAGAGCGTATGATGTTCTCGGAGATTGGCGGCAAGCATAACCCAAACATAAACTCGATCTTAATTTTCATTCTATTTTTATTAACGCACGTCGTTGATCAAAAGAAAATATTGTTCTTGTTTATTGTCTTCTTCTCGTAATAAAATTCACTTTTGTTGACCTTTAAATGATTCTTTTGCTCTGTGGCGATTTATTAATATTATTACTTTATATTTGTGCAAAAAACAAGAAGAAAACGACAGAAAAAAGTAAACGAGCTGCTGAGACACTCATACAACCAACCGAATTAAATTGAATAGTTGGGCAATAGAAACGCCAACATAAAACATCTACTTTCGCTTGTAATTCTTGTTTTAAATCGAGAGGATACTTGTTTCGTTTTTTCCTTATTGCGAATGTGCATGAGTCATATCACGTGCTTTCTATTTTCTTTTTCGTAATTCACCGGCAATTCAAATTGCATGAAGAACGGAACTCCCGCAATACGCCCAATTCTACCCTCACAATTTATAATTTCAAAAAGAAAATTCAGACAACACACCAAGAAAAGAAATTTGTGTGCATACTGCCAAAGTTGCATTGTGGATATCAGCTTAGGGATGAAAATGGGAGAAGGAATTGAGTGAAACATAGGGGTTGATTATCCAAATTCAATAAATATGTGAATGTGGCTGTGACTGAACTTGTGTTGGTGCCATTCCTTAGCGTAAATGTTTTGGTTTCCATTAAAAAGTCTATTTTCTAGTTAGGAATGTTTAAGTGCAGTAGGAAACAAACGAAAGATAGAAGAGAGACTGAAAAATATTTCTTATACCTGAATAAACAAACCCAAGGACCAAATGTATGAAAGAAAATTCTCCCAACCAATACAGAAATATGTGCAATGGAAGAATAGACAAGAAAAAAAGGACCATTCTGAATAGATTCATGATTCATATCAGAGATTATTTCGATTCATTATAGCTACAAGAACTTCGTTTGATGTTAACATTTTTTTCCTCGTCTCTCACTCACTCAAATCAGACAACTTCCTGTTTCAAGAATTATTTTATTTTACATCAAGCAGAGTTTGCTTTCAGCCTTTCACGGTTGAAAGAGTTTTTTCATTTAGTATTTGAATGCACTTTAATCATACAATTTCAATTTTGTTAATGAATTAATGACATTGATCAACTTTTCTTCAACTTGACTTTAAATTGTTTAATTTGCATAACGATTATTACTTGTCATCAATAATAAACAACAAAACTTACCATAATTTAAACTGTCGTTAATTAATGCGGTAATCAAATCTTTACAATCGGTTTCTATTGTGTAGCAAAATTTTTTGAAGCACTTTAATCCATCTTTTGAAATTATATCAATTAAATATTGACACTTTTTATCATTCAATTCGTTTTCACTTTCACTAACATTGCTTTGAAGGAGATATTCAAAATCATTTTTATCAATGATCGTCTCCTCAACTAACAACTGCAAAACACTTTTGTTTGATAAAAGATCGTCGATTAAAATTGATTTGTACTTAGTGAGGAGATCACTGATTTCTTTTGTATGATCCGTCATCGTGAAAATTAAGACTCACTAAAATCCACTTAACATTATTTATTAATTTTTCATGTCTTATTCAAGAACATTCGAATAGCGTCTCTTCGCTTTTAGAGTGCAGAAGGAACTGATGTTCTTGTTTTTGTTTTTTGAATGCTTCTTTCTTCTTCTCACACAAATGTAACGACAAAAAGTCGTGTGTACACATGTTTTTGTAAGTAGTTGTGTAAGAACAAGAAAGAAGCAAAAAACGGCTTTTCAAAATTCAAAAATTATTTTTGCGTCATATTTAGGCATGTGAAATTTCCTACCCCTTGGATTTTTATTATTTCTTGAAGTGAAAACGAAATAAAAATTCTAGAAAAATGACACATTGGGCGATTGAAACCCTCACTCCAGACCCAAATAGACAGCAATCAATATTGTCAAAGTACTTCAATCCTGTTGTATGTGGAATAATAGGTTTTGGTGCTATGTGTGCAATAAATTATGGAACTAGACGTCCAATCCTATCAGGTTTGTTTTCATTCATCAACATTAAAAATTATGTAAGCTGCTCTAACTTTTAATTTTAGGTATTCAAATGCACGCACTTGCGGCAGCTGTCGGCGTTGGAATTGGAGTGGCGGGTGATAAATATGGAGGAGAACGTTATTCGGAAAGAGACGCAGTTTTGAAGCATTACATCGAATTACATCCCGAAGACTTCCCAGAACCTGGTAAGAACATAATTATGCTTTGTGTTTAATGAAAGAAATTAATTTCATTCATTTTTAGAACGCAAGAAATTCTCTCAAATTTTGGAACCCTGGGTACCAATTCGATAGATCATCATCTAATTTAGATTTACAAACAAACGAGAGTGTAAAAAACTGAACTCGTTAACTGAGAAAATAAAATCATTCGTTAGAAACTTTAGTTGAAATTTTTATTATCTTAATTAATATTGCGAAAAAAAAACATTCAAATCATCATAGTACATAAATCTAATAGCGTATCAATTAAGAGTACGGGGTTTCCAAAGCTTCCACGGAATCAATCCATTTTTCTTCTTTTTTTGTCCTTTTCAAAGTCATATCAAACTCAAACGCTCTCGTGATGTACACTAATCTTAACATGAACCTAATTGTATTAATCATGAATGTCGACATGCTTTCAAAAGTTCATGTCGCAAAGTTTAAATAAGATCACAAAACAAAAAATAATTAAAAAAAAAACATTTTGAAAAAAATGAGAGAAAGCAATTCGACAAAAAATGCACAAACAATGAGATCAAATTTAAAGATTCTGGAGAAACTTTTTTTTTACTAAATGTAAAAATAAAATTAATTTACTTTATCGTTGGGATGTGGCAGGGGGGCAAGACATATGAGAGGGGTATGAGTTATCATTTCTCATATCGCCTTCCAATTTCTTTTTTTAACGTTAAAGTGAGGGAGGAGCGATGTTGAACAAGAAATAGCGTCGATTTGTATGCTTTGGTTAAATATTCTAAAAAAAATGAATGAAATTGAAGCTATCAGGAATTTGTGGTTGGGTCTTGATGGTATCTCATCAGCGGTGCTTTCTGGTTCGTTTAACTCTCGGGAAATAATCTAAAAGAATTAATTAAATTAGCATCTTAAATGTTTATCAAGAAATTGTTATTGTAACAACCTGTGAGCGTACGTTGTCCTTTGGGAAGCGCTTGGATAAGTTTCGAGGTCGTCTTCTTAGAAGTTGAGCTTTGAGCTGTTTGATTGCTTGAAGATGAAGCCTCGGTATCAGTTGAATGATCTCTAATCAATAGAGATCCTTGGAGATCGTGATTTCCCTCTTGTTCCGGCCACCGCTTATGTTTTCTCGCTTGGTCCTCACTTGCACTGTTTATCACGCCAATGACTGAATCACATTCAAAGCTTTGAAGAGTTCTTAGGCTTTCGTTCTCTAATTGCCCTAATTGCCTTTGTAACTCATCCCTGTCCACTGTTGTGTTGAACAAATTTCTCTTAACTTTACGCTTTTGCATATCACTTATTGCTGTAATATTATTTATGTTGGTTGTTTGCAAGAGCGTTTTAATCGTCATAGTTACTGAACTTTCTTATAATTAATCTGAACCGTTCTTGATACTTCGAAACTCTTAAAATTACTTTTAAAAGTCACATCAGCAATACATGGATTCTACAAATTATTTTGTATATGAAAACAATTTTTGTATTATTTTTTATTTTCTTTTTTTCTGTGTAACGCAAAATCCAATATGGCAGCCACAACAAACTGATGCGCGTTAAAATTTAAACACAATATGGTCATGCGAACTGCTACTTTTATTGTAAAATGAACTAATTTATTGTAAACTTTATGTCCTGAGTTTATAATTTTGATCTGATTAAGTCTAAACTCGAATAACAAAAAATTAAAAAGATATCTATGTAGGTCTTATTATTATGAACTTTATGTGAACTTTGTAAGTTGCGCATACGACTAAAGTTAGCTTCAATATGTCTGAATGTCACTTTTATGGGATTTGTGTAGTCAACGCTATTAAATTTATTAAGAAAATTCGGTGAAGATTTTAAATGTTATTTAAAGATTTATGAAATGAAGATTAAAACTAACAGTTTAAAATAATTTTAATAAATGTTTCAACCAAGAATTTTATGTTTGAATTTCTGTGATTTCTATAAGCGCTTACAAACCATAATTTAGTACATACTTCCAAACTCTCACCACTCTCAACGTAAATTCAAACGCACGCACACTTCTTTACAAAATTCATACCCCAGTGGCGGCGTTTAATTCATTTATTCATGATCAGTGGTGTAGATGAAGGGAATTGTCCCAACAGTTGGTTGAATAGAAATAAGTGATAGATGAACGAAATGAACCGCTTTAAGGATTTAATTTTGAAGCATGAACCACCCTGTCAATTCATATCTTTAGGCTCCTTATTGACTCAAAGCTAAGCATCCTTTAAAAATAAAATATTTTCTATTAAAAGCTTTTCGAAGCTTTCCGTCTATAATCTAATTAATTTTAAAATTTAAAATATTAAATATCAGTCATCTCAAAATACCATTGCATGACATGAGTGGGAACTTTCGAATGTTAAAATCATTAAATATTTAATATTTAACAACAAAACAACAACGAAATCTGATTTAAACAAATATCTACTGCATAGCATGTACGAAAGAATGTTCTATAAAAGGAACAAAGACAACACGATTCGTCATTTTAAATTACTTGAAAGCGTGTGTCAAACACGTTGTTTTGTGCTTATATTATATGTATCGAATAATAATCAGCTGGAGGATCCTAGGTAGGAGTTCTAAAATATTTCAATGTGCGCGACAAGGATCGCATGAGTTGCGATAGGAAAATTTTCTTTTCGAAAATTTTACCAAAGCTCAGTTTTTATTTAAATCTGCTGATACTAAGTTTAGAATTTTATAAATACCACGAAAAAACAATTTGGAACATTAAATAGCAATAGAAAAAGTTGAATTAAAGTTAAAAATGTTAATAATTTCAGTGTAATATTAAAACACATTTTTATTTAATTGTTTTATGAAATAAGTTGAAGCATATCGATGTATAAAATATTTTTATCAACGAAATTGGTTGAGACTTACATAAAACATTGTGAATTTTTTTTTCCAATTTAACTAAACGAGTAAAGTTTAATCAATTGAAGCTGCTCATGAATTCTTCCTGAAGGGCAAAACTATCGATCTTAGAGATATTGGGTACACCACCCCTTTTTTTTCTACATAGACAGAAGTAGAAAGAAAATCGCGTGAAAAAGTTTATAGTAGGTCATTCAAGGGAAAGAGTAGCTTCAAGAGCGAGAACTCTACAAATACAAAATACAGAATAATGAAGACTTGAAGTAGCCAAAAAGCACCTCGACGTAAATAAACTGTGAGCTACTGTGAGTGGTGAATAGTGTGATGAGAAGTTGTTAGATTTGTTTCTCACTTTTTTCCGTTTTCAAAAGTAATTAATCGAAAGCTTCGTGCTTCGTAGAAGAAAAAAAGTTGTCTCGAACTTTTTAGTACTTTTATTACTTTTTCTCTCTCAATGATTTCACGAGATAAAAACCTGTATACTCAGTGGTGCAACTTTTCTTTCGCTATCTGGAAGAAATCAGCTTGAAAAAAAGCAATGACAAATTTGGAATTGACATGTAAAACCTTTATCCAATTAAATTAAATTAAATGTTGAAAGCACATTACAGATAAGAAAATTATAGAAACAGCAGTGCAGTAATAAATAATAATCCCTAATGAGTGTTGTGATTTTGTGATAACGACATAGACTTACTTAACCGTCAAGGTTCAGATGATTTAATCAGTATGAAGATAAAATGTTTTTGTAGTTGCATATTGTAGTCAAATTTACATAATTAACCAGCGATATAAAAAAAACGCGATGTCGACGACCGATATAACTGATTTTAGTGATTTGCAAAATATAAATTACTTCGACAATGAGACCTTTGCACCCAACATCACAAACCAGACCTCTTTGTATGACACGCTTGCTACCGACCTGGATGGTTTTCAAATCACTATGATTTGTCTGAAGAGTTTTATTTTCGGATCAATCATAATTGGAGCTGTGCTTGGGAATGCATTAGTGATATTAGCCGTACGAAGAAATCGGAAATTAAGGTAGACAAGGGCTTAATATTTGAATGGAAATATGAAAAAATAATAACAAAACAGAAATGATATTCCCAGGGTTCTACTGATAAAACTTTTTCTTTCCCATTATTTAATTTTCCAGAGTAATAACCAACTATTTTGTTGTATCACTAGCGATGGCAGACATGTTAGTGGCTCTTTGTGCTATGACATTTAATGCATCGGTAAATTTGTCAGGAGGCAAATGGCTTTTTGGTCCGTTCATGTGTAATGTTTGGAATAGCTTAGATGTTTATTTTTCAACCGCAAGCATATTGCATCTGTGCTGCATATCGGTAGACAGGTGAAAGATTATTAATCATTCTTTTTTCCTTCATTTTACGAGCAGACATTTTTTTGCATTACTCATTTAGATACTTCGCAATTTGCCGACCTTTGGAATATCCTCTATACATGACGAAGAAAACTGTCGGACTTATGTTAGCTAACGTGTGGATTCTTCCAGCTCTTATTTCATTCATCCCAATCTTTCTTGGTTGGTATACAACCAACGAGATTCTCCGTCATATGATTGAACATCCTAATGAATGCAATTTCAATGTTAATAAAATTTATGCTGTTGTTTCAAGTTCGATATCATTTTGGATACCAGGAATTGTCATGATTACTATGTATTATCGGATTTTCAAGTAAATATTTTTGTATCATTCGTTAATGACATTGACTAACATTGTAATTTTGTCTGTAAACAGAGAAGCACTTCGACAAAGAAAAGCTCTCAGCCGCACAAGCTCAAATATTTTGCTGAACAGCGTACATTTACAGAATCAATCTTATAATTACCAACCACCAAACAATCGGTTAAAATTACAAAATTCCCGTCCAAGTGACTGTCAAGAGCCGAATCTTATTATAAAGGAATCCCAGCAAGAAAGCCATAGCGAGATAAGTGACTTGGATGTAAGTTTATCGTGTCAATGGAGAAGCCATTTCACGTCTCATTGCTTTTCAAATATGACATAAGAAACGTTAGCTAAAAGAAAGAGAGATAGAAAGAGAAAAGCGCAAAGGAAGGGAAATGAAAAGAAGGAAATCTGTAATGTTTGTCTTTTTCATGAACGCATCTTTTAGCCTTTTATAAGTATGAAGTGAACGATATAAAGCCTTTTGTGAAGGAAAAGCTTAAAACAGCGTGACGCGATTTTTGAATGATTTCATTGAATACCTTGACATATGACAAGCTTATGTATCTTAATACTTTTCTTTCGCTTTTTATTTTATTTTTCATTCTTTAACAGTTACCAGCTATATTATGTCAAGATTACCAGGAATACGATGAGCTTAAAGTTCCATCATCGCCCCCACGTCGTTTAAGTCGCAGCAGCATTGATTTGAGAGATTTAGAGCACGAGAGAGAGAAAAGTATGGCTCAGCAGAACACATCAGAAAGCGTCTCATCCATTTATCACTGTTTTGATACACACATGCGATATTCGGGCAGTGAGCCCATAAATACGAATCTCAAAGCATTAGAGAATCAATTCAACATGAAATCTAATAAAGAAGATGGTGCTGATAAAGAAAATGTCGAAAGTAAATCTTCCGTAAATCAAATTCCTTTCACGAACAACTTTGAACATTCGTCAACTACAAAGGAGAATGACAACATGAACTCGATAACTTCAGCCTCGATAATCAAAGACAATCAAGTTAATATAAGCGGCTGTAGCTTAAACAATTCACAAATCAACAAGAAGCAGTCAAAGAAAAAGATTTTAGCTGCGAGTGATTCAGACTTTTTCTCTCTTCTTCGCTACAACTCCGAGAAGTTACGTCGAATCAATTGCTTCTCGATTAGTACAAACAACAATGGCAATAAACCGAAGAACATGATCTACGCATTGAGTGACTCTGATTTCTTAATTGGTGTAAATGATAAAAATAAGAACCTAAATTTAAATAATGAAAGAAAAAGTCAAGCAATAGTAAACAAGAGTGATATTTTTAATTTTTTAATAAATCAGAAAAGTATTGATTATAAAAATTTATTAGACAGCAATTTTGCACAGAACAATCAGAAGAAGTCATCGGATGTTGACTACAAGAAGCACTTTGATAATCCTGATTTATTCAACATGGAAAAATTGAAAGCTGTATTCGGTGAGACTGCAACAGATTCAGATAAAGCGAAAATTATTGAGTCGATTAGCTTGAACGATGACTTGAGCGTGGAAAAGACATTATTAAGGAAAGAGACAGTTTCGTTGCCACCGATGATCAACAACAGTCAGAGTATTGACACTGTGCTTCTGAACATAAAGAATAATGCTGACAAATTGTCGAGTGTGAAACCATCTTATGATTTTTCTAAAAATACTCTGCCCGTACCGCAGACCAATCACAATGATGATGCTGATAATGGAGTAATAATAACAGCTTCTTCACCCACTACTCGTATTATGTCTGATAGTTTGAAGAAATTAAATGAAAGTACAAGCATACTAAACGTACAAGAAAACCTGTCCGAAGACAACAATAAAGGCTGTACAAAGTGTTACGATGTAATGAATCCTGTCAGCATGGAAGAGAAGAATGTCACAAGACGAAAGCGAACCCCTTCAAACGTAACTTATAACGTGAATGTTATCAATTTTCAAGCAGAAGACGAACAGGATCAAACATCAATAACTGGAGGCTACGGCAAACGTTCAAACAGCTCAACAAGTAAGTTTTCATTGGATGTGGAAAAATATTTTTCTATATTCCAAAGCTTTAATCGCTTATTGTTCGAGTTATGCTTGCATTATTCTCGAAATCATATATACATAGAAAGCTAAAATATTTATACATGTATGTCTCGGATGAGTTAAAATATTTCCCTTATTTTTTTCTGTATCAATCTTTACATTTGCTTAAGTAAAAAGTTCCAAAACTGGTTTGGTTTTCTTCTTGTGCTTTCTTTCAAAGTCTTTAGAAGCTTTTTAAAGTTTTTTTTCGTTTCAATACTTTAGTACTATGTATCTTTTATTGATGGAAGCTTTTGGCATTTAGATAATTTTAATTAAAAAGATTTATTTAATTAGTTTAATTAGTTTGTATAGTAACTAAGAGAAAGGGAGATGAACAGAAAAAATTTGAAGATTAACCAATTAATGAGAAAAAATTGCCAACGTCCGCAAAAGAATATGAACGCAGCCACTGAATCTTACAATCGTTTACTTTGTTACTTTGTTTTGCAATCATGTCAAGGAAGAAAAGTTTTCAATGGAAATAATTTTTCCCACAATTTGAACTTTTGATATTCACCGCCAGTGCAGAAAGAGAAAAAGTATCAAGTGTGTGGGTGTTTAAAATATTTTTTTGTTGTTGTAATTTAGGTTTCTAAAGTGTTCTCAAAAATCCAAGCTTTTCTCAGCTGTCTTACAACAAGCTGCTTATGTACTTAGACACCAATTCTCAGAATGTTATCGCAAATTCCACTCACAGGAATGTTAATTTATTTTCTTATTAATCATTCTTCTTTAACTACGCCTTTGCTTATGATATTAATTAACGGCAAATTAATTGAGTTTCATCATATTTTGTTGTGACAAGTTTACATATTATTTGACAATATTCGCTTTAACGAAAACTTACTTAGAAGTAGCTTTGATATATGATACCGCATAACGCATGATTTAATTTTATTGAGGTTCAATTTTGCTTGTTAGGTGAAAAGAATTTTCGTTGCAGTGTCTGAAAAGTTGAAAGTATTATGTCAACGTCTTCTTTAATTAATAATCATTAAAAGTTGTTGATATTAAGTATGATAAGAATATCACAAAAGTTTTCACACAAATGTTTTTTTTTCTTTATAAATTTTAAAGTCGTTTCGTTCCATTCCGTTACGTTTAACATCATCAGTACGTTTATTCAATAGAAATTTTTTCTAATTCTGATATTGCATTAATCATTAGATAATTATTTTTAGCTGAAATGTTTTATTATTCTGCCGATTTCTGATCGATAAATAAGTCGTTTTAAAACGTAAATAAAGTTGCATTAAGGCACAAAATTTGTTGCAAGCTTTGTCGTTATTTATTCAATCTTATGATGTGTAATGAAGTAAGACTTATCGAACATATTTTCTTATCAACAATAGGCTCAAATCTTATACAAACAAAGAAACATGGAGATAAATGGTATAAAGTTATAGAACACAACATTAACGCAAATGATTATTGTAGTGATTTGGATGAAAATGAATTGACTGATGAGGAAGATTTAAATAATAACAATCTCAATAATCAATCATTGTTGAGTAATTACAAGTTGAGTGAGAGTGCAAGCACAGCACATTCGAATTGTGTTCGAGATTTTTTCGATTGTTTGAGATTTAGACGTAATTATAAGCGAAATCGAAAGAAAGTCGCAAAAGGTCAGTCATCTTTGCAAACATCTTCATTTTACTTTCACTTTTTTTTCTTTTCTTTAACATTTCATAAATCTTAATAAATAAATCACAATTTTCAAGTTTTTGTTGCTTTTTTGTTTTGTAAGTAATATCTACTTATTTACCAACATCTTAAAGAAGAAGAGAACAAAAAATTGAGAAAAGAAATTTGTCCGAGGGAATTTACATTTGCTGTTTAGAAGGAAAAAAAATACATAAATATAATACTAAATGTTGCGGGCATTCTTTTTAACAATTTGTAACGAAAAGTATAATGTAGGATAAAAATGAAGGCCTTTAGCGCCTTTTACTCATTGTCACAAATTATCAAGTGGTTGAAGGAAATCGTAAAGAAATTTTTGAATTTTGCCAAAGCCAAACTTTCTTCTATCCATAATTGAGTACGGTGGTTTATTTGACTTTAGAAAGCTTTGTCGAAGTTTCATTATACTTACATCTATCTAGAAAGAGATAAAAGCTTTTGACTGATTTACCATTATGTAGATTATTCATATTAACATAAAATATTCCTACAACAACATCGAATTAATGTTTATAATACTTTTACCAGGCGCTGGATCAACACGGCCGGCAAAGGGATGGCGAGCTGAGCATAAGGCGGCACGAACATTGGGAATTATAATGGGTAAATATTCCATGACCTCATTGAATATTTATTGAGTGTAAAGTAAAACTAAATCTTTTTCCACGTGTCTTAATTAGGAGTCTTCTTACTATGTTGGCTTCCTTTCTTCTTATGGTATGTGATAACATCACTTTGTGGACATGAACTATGTCCAAGTCCGGATGAACTCGTTGCTACTTTATTTTGGATTGGATATTTCAACTCAACACTCAACCCAATTATCTACGCATACTTTAACCGGGACTTTAGAGACGCTTTCAAAAACACCCTTCAATCATTCTTTCCATGTTGCGTAAAAAAGGATTATTATAACTCGAACGTACATTATGTTTAGCGCGTATTTTAGAGATAAATTTTGTTGTGAAAACTCAATGGAAAACATTAGGTTGTGGTAATTATTTATTTATATATATATTTTACGATATTTAAGTATTATTCAATTGTTATGATTTTCTATTGTTGTTGTTGTTGAATATTTTGCTCACGTTTTGTAGCTCGAAAATAAATAGCTACATAAACCTGCCACATATTCCCTCGTGATATTCACTCATTGTTTCAATTAGCATGAATTCATAAAAATAGAGTTCGATGGGCATAAACTCCAAAACATCATTGTTAATTTATGAAAACATGAAAATTGTGTAACACCTAGCGAGAACACATTGAAGAACATTGAAGAAAGAAATGAGAAAAAAATATTATGATAATTATAATGAATGTGTAAAGATTGCAATAAATATAACTTGAAATAAAACAAACGTTCATTCTTTTATTTTCATTACCGTAATTCGTAAAAGATAAATTAATGAGAAATATTTTTCTCTGGAGCCATACAGTTGAGGCTTGCTTTGTAAGTTATGTCACGTAGCTCAATAATGATCCTTCAAAGAAGAAAATTTCTTCACGAGTATCAAAGCGAGATCGTTTAAATGGAAGATTGATGAAGAAGAAGGTTAAATGTAATCACAAACTTCGACTCATGACTCTACGTGTGGATGAACTTTCAAACGCTGAAACAAAGTTAATAAAGTAAAAGGAGATAATCTGTTGATGTAAAGAAACCAACGTGATGCGTGCTTAACAAACTTTTCTCTCTCTTTCCCCCAAATCCATCTGAAAAAAGGCTTCTGCATACATCTTATTTCTGTTGATCATACGTAACGCTTTATTGTTACTTTTCTTTTGGATTGTTGTTATATAACTGAGATAAATATTTCGCATTATAATGTTTTTATAAAAAAAATGTTTTTTTTTCAAAGTAAAGCTATTTATAAAATATTGCATATTTTTACTACTCTTTCATATTCCTTTTATTTTACTTCACCTACATTAACTAATAATTATGATTGATTGATTGATTGATTGCATGATTGTATGAACAATTGGTCATGTGATGTTGTTGAACAAATGATAAACTTTATTAATCCGCTTTATAAATAAATTTATTTATTGAAACTCATACATACTTAGTTCTCAGAGTAAAAGCATCCACATTAATTCCATTTCAAGTTGTTGATTTAAACTTCTGATGCAACTTTCACTAACATCGTTTATTGTTATCAGAATTGAAAATTTTATCATTTTACCATTCCAAGTGCTTGCCACTTCTTTCTACAAGCATACATAAGAATATCTAATCTTCAAAAGAATAAATTGGATTAGGAAAATAAAATGTTTCAGACCTTCATTGATATTTTTCTCCTCTTATATTTCTCGGATTTATTTCTTCAAACTTTCAAAAGTTGTTGATTGAAAAACTAATAAAATTACCACTCATTCTAACAAATTTCAATTTTTTTCTCTCGATTTTTTCTTTTTTGTTAATCTAGATAGAAATATTTTCAGTCTATGGAATTTTATAAATCATAACTTATACTAAAACATCGAAATAAATTGTTTTTTCACAATAGGAAACGCTCATCAAAAAAGCACGCGCAAGCTTCCCGCTGTTCAAAAGCTTTTCACACAAAACAAAACTAATTCTATTGAAATTCATGGTAAAGTTTTCCTTCTTTCAGTTCAAAAAGCTTTCAAGAACGTTTCCGAATTACCAATGTACTCATGACGACTATAGATATTTATTTTATACCGAAATTGAAAATGGTAGGTACATCAATGGAAGCCATTTATTGGCATATATTTCAAATGTTATGTTATTTTTCATGTTCATGTTGTGAATGCAAAATCTTGCTAATATCTATTGTATTTATGCTTCTAATAAATTATATAAAAAATGGTGAATACACTTCGTACATATACATAATAAAGAGGTCAACTAAGAACTTTTAAAGTATCTCTGAAACACTACATAACTTCATTCTATTGAATTGTACTAAAAACCTTGCTAGAGACATTATGCATGGATAAGTTCAAGCATCTCGATGGACTTTGAAAAACGACAGAAAGGTCAAAGCTTGAGATAGGCTAGAACGATGATTCCTTCACTTGCTAAACAAATGTTTAGGGATTAAAAGTTTGTGCCATCAACATACCTGACATTATCTAAGCATAAATGTCAATTGAGACTTCAAACCTTGACGATGTAAGAAGTTTTCTCACTCTGATAAGCTTCGACTTAATAATTTGTTTCACAATGTTCTTATGTATGTTGTGACGATACTTATCTTGCGATAAATTTACATCAAAGTAAGATTTCTCATAACATAATTCTTCTCTACATATTTTATACTTAATCCTCTGCTTATGTGTTAAACTTTTATTATTTGATTTTCTTTACTTTCCACTTGAATTGATTCTTCCTTTAAATTAAAACAACAATTAAAAAAGCATCGAAAAATCAAACAAGCATATGCTAAACTTAATATAAGAGAGCACCATAAACTTTCTTAAGTATATTTTCTGCCACTTTTCATCCCCTAATATATTTTCATCTGATGCCATAAATATTTACTTTTTTTCTGTGAAAAATAAATAAACAGGATACAATCTTCACTTTTACGTTAGGGGAAGTAAAAAGAAAAAAAAAATATGAAAATTCTTTTAAAAATATAATTTTCGTCTAACATTTAAGTTTTTGTCAGTTATGTATATGTTTATAATGTGCCCTCAGTACGCGCACCCGCATCAGCTCTTCAATATTTTCCTTCTTTATTAAACATAAAAACAAAATAGAAGACAGTTGGTGTTTTACGAACTTTGCCATTTAACGGAATGTCTCGATATTCATGGGTTTCTGTGATACAAAACACTTAACGTATCTTATGTACGCGGTAAATTTTATTTGTAAACTAAAAAAAAGTAAACTCTTAAGCTTTGTATTTCAAAGAATTCTTTTATCTTTAGAGATTCCCATGTGGTTTTGGTAGAAATTACAGCGACTAGAAAAAAATGCAAAAAGATTTCCTTTTAATTTTGAATATCAGACACGCGTACTTTGGGCCGAATAATCTTTCATATAAATTTCAAAAACATCTGTTACCACATCTTAATTTTTTTTTTCTTTTAAGTAACACCTATGCTCTTACATCTATTAGCCTATTAGATCTTTACGATTATAATGTTTCTGGAGCAACATCATTATTTTTATTTGGTTGTGGACGTAAATAGCTTTCAGTATAGACGCTTTTAGCGCGTGAATCATAACGTGCGTTGAGACTAGACCTCCTCACATCGATATCTAATGGTGATGGTTCTTTTCGCCACCAGCAGAATAAGCAGTGCAATGTGCTTGTAAAAGCCTCCCGAAAATCTCGATTGAAATAAGCATAAATTAATGGATTCAATGTTGAATTTGAGTATCCGATCCAAAACAGGATGGCGACAAATATTTCAGGAATTTTACAGCTATCTCCACACAACGACGCTGTCACGTACCTACGAGTGACATAAACATAAAAAATTATTCAAAATTTTGTTTACGTTTTTCTTTCTTTGCTTTATTTTTTTTTTGGAAGTCCCGAGAGTCTCGGGACATTTTTATTGTCTCACCATGTGAAAAACGGAAGCCAACATGCGATAAATGTTCCTGAAAAGTGAAACAAGTCTATCAAAATCACTTCACATGGAATGAAGCTCACATTACATTCATTCATTCATTGGGTCGGTCATAGATTTTCCCCAATGGTACGATAAACACTCGTATAATAGAAACTACCAACATAAAATCATTTTCTCGAGTACCATTGGTGAATGGATTTGGATAGCAGTAAAACATACCCATAATTATTCCTAATGTTCTGGCAGCCTTATGTTCCCGTTTCATTTTGTTTAAATGTTTATCTTTGGTCGGTGTATGTTCCGATTCGACTTCATGAAGCGTCAATGTTTTAGATGATCCCGAACCGCTGAGTTCACCATTATTAGATGGACCACAATTTGAATGTCTGTGCATTAACATTGCATTACCATGTCTCATTGCGAGTTGTTTTTCTTGCCGATCTGCTTCTTTGAATATTGCATGGTATGTAAACAACATGATTGTGCAAGGTATCCAGAACGATATGGAACTCGAAACAACAGAATATATTTTATTAACTTTAAAGTTACAATCGTTCGGAAAGAGTAATTCATCTGCAAGATGTTTCTTGGTCGTGTACCATCCTAAAGAAAGAAACAAATCAAGAGCAGAAATCGAAAAGGATCTGAATAAATTTTTAATTTTACTTCTACATATCTATCTACACATATCAGAGTCACGTCACATATTTTATCGACAAAATAAATATTTCCTCAATGAAACGACAGAGATGGAAAGAAACGAGTGGAATCTGAATTGAATTTACATTTAACGGAAGTCAAAGTTCATATAAAAAAAGAATATGAAGGAAGTTTATGAACATAAATGACATCCTAATAAAAGGAAGATATTCAGGCCTTGATGATGACTTATAAAATCTTTGAATGAAAGACAGAAAAATCGATGAAATCTGCTAATTTTTCATGATCATTATTTGCTGTTTTGCAATAAAATTGAATGAAATATTTTTATTCCAATTAATAAGTCATGACTTAAAATCGATTTTCTTCTAAAATGATGAATATATTTAACTATATAAAACATCGTTTCATCAACACTTAATTTTGTGGCCTATAAAAGTAAATTTATTTCATTTTCATCCATCAAAGTATATTTTAGCATACTTTAATGTCTTCAAAGTCTGAACCAACGTTGAAAAATAAATTTTTAATGAATATGAAATTGTATTTAGTTACATAAGAGCGTGTTTGCTGGTTTCCATGAAACTCTTTATGAAGATTGCTTATAAGCACTAAAGTTTCTGCATCGTCAATATTTAAAATAATATTACAGTTGTGCAAACTTTAAATTGTACAGGTGCTTTCATATTAAATAGAAAATTGCAGAAACAAGGTAACTAACTAACTAGTTCATGAATAAATTCCCCAAAGCTCGCTTAATCTCTATTACGTAGTCTAGCAATAAACAAAACTTTAGTTTATTAGTTAAACACTTTTTGTAGCATAAACTTTGCCAAAGTTTTCATTTAGGACTTTAATCTTTTTCCCCTTTGATGTAAATATAAACATAACTCATGAATCCAACTCCAAAAAAAACTTTTCCTGTCATTTGCATTCATTTATGTGACATGTCCTGAATTTCTAATTTAAATATCCATAAATATTCTAATCAATTACCGCAAAAAATTGGAACAAAAGACAGCAATGCTGGTGATATCCAAGTGGTTAATATCATGATAGCAACTTTCCTCTTTGTCATGTTGATAGGATACTTTAAAGGTTTTACTATGGCATAATATCTTTAAATGAAACAATAAGAAAATCAAAATAAATTTACTGTTTAGAAAAGTCGTAAAACACTTTAGTCTTCGTCGTACCTGTCTACCGATATACAGCAGAGATGCAATATACTTGCCGTTGAGAAATACACATCTAAGCTATTCCAAACATCACACATGAACCGCCCAAAAAGCCATCTGTAACGTATGCAAAATGATTCTCGTTTTTTATTGCGAAAAGTTGGCTTTTTATAGAATCTTTTCATGAATATTTCATACCTTCCCGTGATTTGAACACTGAAATTGAAAGTCATTGCCATCATAGCTACCATAATATCAGCGAGGGCTAGACTGACTACGAAGTAATTTGTTATGACTCTGAAAATGATCATAAATTAAGAAAAAAGTAGTATGAGATTATTTTAAATGACTAAAACGTGGGTCTTACTCCTAAGATAAAATGAATCCTTATGACAACTTTTCTGACTTGATATCATGGAATTTATTTGTTCATTGAATCATAACAACACCCACCACATCTCAACTCAACTTAACTCACGAAATATAATGACAGTAAAAAGTTTCACCATCATATTTAGTTACCTTAGTTTCCTAACTCTCATTACAGATATGATGACTAGGAGGTTACCGAAAATAGCCGCGATGATAATAAATATCATTAAAGATGCTGTAAAAGCTGTTATCAAAATTTTGATCCATTCTTGATCTATCATCTCTTCAGTGCTGTTATTGCTAATTTTACTGATTGTTGCATTGGGGTATGAAAAGTTATCGTTCGTGCCCATTTTATTTGTTATTGTTTGACTTTGCTCATTGTTATATGACAATAAGGAAGACGATGTTTGAGAAAGTGACGAGAAAGGACGAGATGTTTGTTTACGTTGATTTTTTCCTTCTTTTTTTCCTCTTTTGAGTACGATTTTATGTTGTATTTATGTAAGTGTCAGCTTCTAACGTCTTGCTGTCGATATATATTCGTCGTTCAACTTTTCCGTTGATTTATCTGTTTTTTCTTGTCTCTTTTACGTAACTATGAAATCAATTTGTGATAATGATGAGAAGTAAATAAAATCACAACAAATTCTTCTATCGTAAAGATGCAAGAATAAGGCTTTCATGTTATGTTGACAATGATGACGTAAAAATCTGAAGCGTTTAGGAAAATTCTATTGCTTATATTGATTGATTTGTGCTTGTAAATTGATAGCATGATTTCCACCTGTAAGAAGAAAAATAAAATAAATTGAAAGATTTTTTTCTTCAAACAATTTTGTAAGCTTCATAAAACAACTTAATTGGATAGTTGATTGTGCATAAGAAAGCTGCCGCTTATCGGTTGGAATAAAATGGCGTTTACATCGTAAACTTTTTTAAGTAAATAGCCATAAAATGTACAAGCGTGTGTAAAAAAATATTTGCTTGTTTACTTAGACTTATTTTATTCATCTCCATCATACTAACGAATTTCTTTCGAATGTTTGTGTAAACCCTTTTAATGTTATTTTTGTGTGAATAAGAGGTGTAGCGCAAATTTATCTAAATGATAAGGTTTGAGATAAGATAAATTTGAGGTATTCAATGAAATATTTTAACTCTAGAGAAGTTTGTAGTATTCCATACTTTAAACTCTCAACATCACATTGATTGTAAAACTATTTTTAATGGAATCTAAAACTTAACCCCAAGAAATTTAATAGAAACTAAGTTTAGTGGTAATTCAAACGGAAAATTAAAAACGAAAAAGTTGAAGCATGAGAACCAAAGTGGCTTTAGGTGTGGCTTTGCTTTTAATCGAATTTTCAAACATCACATTGTCTTTTAATATGAGTTTGAGTTCTGATAACGATACGACTATTGAATACATAACTAGTTTCTTAAATATATCGAATTACACAACAACAGAAAGTACAGAAATATCTTTTACTCAAAGCTCATCAACAGTACCAACAACAAGCAGTGTTGAACCTCTCATAGAATTTCAGTTGCCGGAAAATTGTTCATCTTATAAGGTTAGTTGACTTTCCCACCCAATATTTATTCAGTAAATAATCCACCACATTTTCAACTCCTTTTTAACTTTTATCTTTTAAGCTATTAAAAGACCAGCCAAAAGCAACTCAGTCATCGTCAATTAAGAAATGTTGTCCTCTACATCAGAACTATAAGTATGATTATGGGAAGAGATCGTGTGCTAACAGCACATCGCCATTTAAACTGAATGCCATTCAAGCAAAATTCTATGAAAATTGCATTGAAGACGAGGAAGTTAATGTCACCATCAGTATAGTGATTGAAAATAATTGCAAGAAGTATGAGAACATACGAGTTGTTCATGCAGTGACTTTTATAAAGCTTTTTTTATTCTTGGAAAAGATTTGACTAAGAGACTTAAGAAAACGGTTTATAAAAGTCACCGTAAGTGCTTTCTTCACAACAAATCTTTTTTTTGTTATCTTTTAGTGGACTAATTTACAATGAAAACTACAATGACATTCTTTATGTCATCCAAAATGGATCTCTTTTAAGAATCGATGACGACTATGAATCATTCGATATCTATGACCATTACTGTTTAGAATTCGACGAAGACGAAGGCGTGTTAACCGCAATTGTTTGCGAATTTGATGATTTGCTGCTCAAGGTTGGACGAGCGCAAGCATTAATTTTCGCAACGTGCATGTTTATTTCCGTGCCAGTAAGAATGAAGTGAATGCGAATTGTGGGAAATTTCGTTTATTAGGTCACGTATGAATTCTTACTTTGACTTAACATTTTATGTTCAACCTTTTCACGTAGTTAAAAGCTTTCAATCGAGGCAGAACGAATATGAGATTAACAGGAGCTGCCACTTTTCAAATTTAGCTGATAAGTTAATATTCTTTACTGTTTCTTACCCTTGACAAATGAAAGATGACTGGCATATTGGGTAAAATATTTCTCAAGAACAGACTTTTAAAACATTTTTATGAAAAGGATTTAAACGTCATGTTGAAAGCTTTAAATATCCTAATTTAGCATTCAATGAAAACGTTAAATTGAAGAAAATATATAAAAGATTAGAAAGAATTTTTAAAAACTTCTTCCAACAATAGAAATTTAAGGGTTGAACAGGAGAAATAAAAAGAGAGCAGATTGAAGCTTTTAAGAAGCTTTTAGAGATAGAAAGAGTGAGAGAGAGAAAGAAAAAGAAAATTCTAAGTGAGAGAGTGAAAAAATCAGGGTTCGCATGTCATTCGGAAGTCATCAAAGTAGAATCATTAAAGTGAAATTAAATTGAAGAAAAAGTTTTTTTATTTAAAAATAGTTTCATCAACGCCCACGCTAAAGTGAACGAGGGATGGAAAGTATTTTGATTTGTTACAAAAAGATTAATCAATTTAAAAATTTGAATTAATATTTTAGGCTGTTCTTCATCTTTGATGGAATATTTGTCAATTTCGAGTGAATATTTATTTATTCATTAGTTGAAGGAATTATGCTTTGAAGATGATTCATCATTCATATAAGAAACCTCTCAATTAATAAATGATGAAATGATATTCAAGCTGCGAAAACGCTGATGAAAGCAATGGAAACAAATTTTTCCCAATCTACATTCTGAGGTATATTTTGTTTATCATCCAAATTAGATTCAATTAGATAATAAATGTAAAAGAAGAAATCTTTGGCATAATTATTTCCAAATTTTCGTAAATAATTGCGGATCTACAACGGATGTCAAAAATTTTGACAGCAAATCCTATTAAGTTTAATTCACATGATGAACATTGACAATTCCAAAACGATTCGCTGCTATTTTAGAATTCACCGAACACGGTTTTGTAACATGTCACAATATATGTTTGGCTTAAAATATTTTTAGTTAAATGCATAGTGGAAATTGTTACACTCTCTCTTTCTCTCTCTATTTCTCGCTTACCCATATATCCAACCTTTTTCAGTAACATACTTCACATGCTAAACTTTTCATAAAGCAATTTCCTTTCGTCGAAAATTTTATCATTTATCGAACCACAATAAAGTGACAATTCCGACGATAAAATAGTAAAATCATACGTGACATAATATGCGAAGATTTTGAAACGATCATGGAGCAATTCAACGATGATTATCTGCCTTTCCTTTTTCTCTCTTTCGAGTGCCTTCTGATAACAGCCGCGCTTTACCTTATAGTTCCCGAGTTAAGGGATTTACATGGAAAATCATTGGCTTGTCACAGTATTTCACTTAGTTCTGGTTTCTTCCTCCTTGCCTTCACTCAGTTCAGAGACATGAATACATTTGAGGGTAAGCATAGCATATAATATACATTTTAATACTAAATGTTTATCCCCCTAGGACATTCATATAACTTTTCAGGTTACTTTATTCAATTTTGCATCATTGCTTGCTTCTTCTGGCTAACAGTAATGTGGATTGACATTTGTATACATGCTTGGTATTACTTGCCGCGAGGAATAAAGCAAACGCCAAAGGATGACAATGTTCATTTGATGTATTACGCTTTATTTGCGTTCGGTGTTCCTTTAATTCTCGTGATTTTAACCTATAAAAATAAACTAAGCGGCCTACCATCGTATTATATCAAAGGAACGACCAAAGGTGCGTATTAATCGATGTTGATAATGATACCAATCGTTCGATATTGGTGTCTTTTACAGTTTTCGTCACACCATTCCACCTCAACTGCCTTTCACCATCAACATCGCACTTCCCACCTTTAATTAAGTTTCCACATCGATTTCCTTTTTGTTTCTTGCCTCATTTTGGAAGTTACGAAATTCATACTGTTCATTACCAAGTCTTTCACATCATCGAAAGAAAATGAAAAAGAAAATTGGAGATGGGGAAGCTCCACATGGGGAGCTTCAAATTATGCATGCATAATTTTAAGTTACTCCGGCCGGTGTGGAGTTTCCGACTGTCCATGGACCTTCCGACTGTCCATGGACCTTCCGACTGTCCATGGACCTTCCGACTGTCCATGGACCTTCCGACTGTCCTTGGTCTTCCACTCACTCTCCCACACGCGCACCGATCGTCCTATTCAAAAGAATTCTCGGAAATACTCTAGAAAGAATTCTCAGAAAAATTCCTGATAAGAATTCTCAGAAAAATTCCTGATAAGAATTCTCAGAAAAGTTAACAAAAAAAAAGTTACAGACATACATACAGACAGACAGACAGACAGACAGACAGANGTTTCTTGCCTCATTTTGGAAGTTACGAAATTCATACTGTTCATTACCAAGTCTTTCACATCATCGAAAGAAAATGAAAAAGAAAAAAAATATAAGAAAAACGAGTAAGAAGAAGAAATAGGGAAGGAAAGTGAAAGTTTTTAAGGGACGGTTGTGAAAGGCTTTTCTTCCATACTTATAATATTTTATGTTTCCCGACTCCTCTCTAGACTTTTATGTTTAGAGTATAATTTTTATTTCGCTTTTATTTATTTAATTTAATTTAATTTTATTTTATATACTTTGTAACAGTTGCACGTACATCACAAACCTTCTTCATACCACCGATTACTGTCACTTTAATTTTAAATCTGTGTCTCTACGTATTGTCTTACTTTGGCTTCCATAAATTACAAAAGAAAATTAATATCATGACGTTTCTCACGCTGAAACTGAAGAAATGCGCAACGGAGAACAAATGTTCAGCTGCCCGCATTGCACATATAGAAAAGGTCGAAACGATGTAAGTATTTTGCTGTTTATGAAAATCTTAAAGCCTTTAATGGTATTTTGAGTCAAACTACCTATATGTGTCAAAGCAATGGTTTTACCAAAGCTCCTATCCATTCAACCATACATAAGACGAAAGCTTTAAAAGCTTTTATTCTTCTTGATTTTCGTTTCTTTCAATTTTTTTTCGCCTTTTGCTTTTGCCGTCGCCGTGCATGTTTTTGGGAGACGAAAAAAAAAGGCAGAAAAATAAAATGAAATAAAGTTGAAGCACATGAAAGAAAGAATGATGTATCCAGTGGTATTAGTGGCGGAAATTTACGAGTTTCCTGACTGGAGCCCTTTTCCTGGGGAAAAGTTTTCTCTACTAAGAAGACTCAGTTTGACTATTTATTGACATCGACAACACATATTTCTGTTTTCTCGTTATAGCATGAAAAGCACAGCATTTCTGACAATCATTATGACAATTAATTGGATTTTTGAAATTATTTCTTTCTACAATGAGACGTCATCCACTCTATTTGACATCATTAATGCCTTGCAAGGCGTGTTGATCTTTTTAATGTTTGTGTGTTTGCCGCGTCCATTAAAGTTGATTGGACAATGGTGGAATGACAGAGGATCTTTTCAAGTACTTGATAACAACTTTGAGAAGCAGACATCCGACGATATTCAAATGACAACTTTATGCAAGCAATAACAATGACAGAAAAAAATAAAACAAGTAATATATGAGGATGCACGGATATGAGGACGTAGAAGACACAAAATTGAATAAAGTCATGAGATGAAGAAGAAGAAGAAGAAGAGATGGAAAAATTATGCAAAATTAAAATGAAGAGCTTTGTTAGTACAATTACCTTGATTTGTAAGCTATGACTTGCTTTATTTATACAAACACAGTCTTCTTTACTACAATTAACAATTAATAAAGACCTCTCATAGCTTTCTTATTAGTATTATCAATTAAACAAGCTCAAAGCGTTTTACTTTCTTCCATTCAAATTATATTAAGAGCTTTTCCCTTTACTTGGGATTGTTGTCACAACCTCGCCGCTGGATATTTAAAGCATTGATTTCTCTTACGAAACGTTTCTATTTTTCGAGCGCTTATAAATAAACTTTGAGAAAATTTCTATCTTGAAACAGAAAGAAAAAGAGCTGAGCTGAGACAAAATGAAAGAAAAAAGAAATTCTTCGTTTTTATGATAAAATGTGTCTTTGTGCCTTTTTTTCCTTCACTATGAAATCATATCATCATTATTATTGTAAATATTATAATGTCCTAGGGCTGTCTGTAGCGCTGCCAGATGGTACTCATTCACTTTACTTGAAGGCATGAGAGAAGAAAAACAAAACTTACGACAAGTTTTTTAAAAGCGCCAGAAGTCGGGGAAAAAAATTTAATCTCGAGACCTTCGCGTGTCTATTCATGAACGTGACTTTAAAGTTTTCGATTTTTTCTAATTGAGAGAAGGTTCTCATAGCACCTTTTCTTGTTATTATTTTTTTCTGTACTCAAGGAAAAAGGTTAATAAGGCCGTTTAGCAGGCGTTACTAATGACGGGCATCGTCGTCTTTTATTTTGAGGAAGACAAAAATTATTAGTAACAGCTGAAAAAATCTTGGCAACGATTTCAGGGAGGAAAGAGAGCACAACAAAAATAAAAATAAACTTTTTTTTTTTCATTTTAATTCTTCATTTTCCATCATTTCCGATGTGGTCATGATGAGGGTGTATTTGTAATAAAATTTTATTCTTTTTTTCTTAAATTAATTTCAATACAAACAAAATTTGCGAGTTTTTCGTTCTACCTTCACAAAGTTTATGTAGATATGTCGTTTCTGATGAAGACATCTTCAAAATGAAGCTCAATATGTGTTTTCTATTAAATCACATGAGAAAACTGTTTGTTCGACATCACAGAGTTCTGATGTTCATCACTTTTTAGCATCATGTTCAATTAAACTTCTATGAACTCTCAATAAAGGAAAAAAAACAAGTGTTTAACGAGCCACACTTAAATATTGATGTCAATAATAAAAGCGACAAAAAAAAGAGAAACAGAAAGCGCCAAGCATGTATTCTGATACGTTTTTTGTAGATACATAATGGAACGAGCAAATATTCTATTTCAATTGAATCGTAATCTACTTGAAGGAAATTTGCTTTGACGTTATAAAGCTAAAGCTCAAGCACACATGTATAGAAAAATATGTAAATAAAGTAACATAAGTCAAGGACGAAGAAAATTTCATTACGTTCATAGTGAATCATTAATAAATAAAACACGCAATGTTTGAAGTATCAGCAGATCTAACTTGCACAAGCAATAAAAGCTTATTTACTTCGACGAGTGCTTAGAACTTCTGTTCACGTAAAAAATTGGCTCTCGAAAGTACTTTTCTGTCACCATTTCAAATGACAATTCCGTACAAATGTTACTTTTTAATATTACATAGCGTTGCTTCGCACATAATTCTTAATTACGGCATCAACAAGCTTTTGTAAGTTAACTTTTTAAATCCTTTTCTCACCTTCATCTCATTGTTGACTACAATAACGTCATAAAATATTAAAGTTATATCCAAAATTCCTCCCTTTTGAGCAAAGTGTAGTTGAAGGAAGGAAAAAAGAAAACTTTCTCTCGACGTTTAAGTATTTAAACTGTTGAACTCTTCTCTTCTTCACTCAGCTTGGCTTTTTTTCCATGTCATGTTTATCGAAAATTTTCTTAAACAGTTCACACAAATTCTTCACTTTTACTTATCGTTTTTGAAACTCTCTCAATACATATTTAATTATTATTTCGTAATTTATGAGCTTCCATTGTTTATTTTTCTCCCTCCATCAGCGATTGAAAAATTATTGTTTTTGTTTTGTTATTTTTCGTGTTATATTCACATTTTAAGGTTTTAGTGAAAAAGTCGTTAATCGTATTAAATTGGAGTTTAATTCATGGGTGATTCACTGATTGTTATACCTTTCCGGAACACCTTGTCTCACACAATTTTGTTGTTAAATATGCTTTATTACACTGCTGAAACGAAGTAGATGATTTTTTTAATTATTTAGATATTATTTTGAAGGTGATTAAAGTGTTTTTCATTCTGATACAACCAAAAAATCTTTTAAGCACTTCAAAAGTGAATTCATTCTATTTTTTATAAATTAAATCACTGTATACAAAAACAGGGGAGGCATGTCCTAAACAAATAAAAAAAAAATGGAAAAGCGAATCATCAGGAAGACATAAACGTTTTCAATAATTTTCTTTCAGTTTGCTTTCAACTTTTTCCTTCGTTCTTGTGGAGAGAAGGAAATAAAAATTCGAAAACAAATTTGTTCTTTGAAGGAAGTTCGCTAAAAAAAGCTTTTAAACTGGAAATGCACATGCCTTCAGAAAGCGAAATAAAAAGCTATAAATTCTAATTCAAGCATTATATGGCTTTTAAAATCGTGTCACATATTCCATTAGTTTATCACTTTTCATTATTCTCCATCGCTTATGGAACATCGAGGCATGTCGAAGCGTCGTCTACACTGGTTGTAGTCTTAAATCTTTTTCGCAAGAGAATGTATGTAGGCAGTAATGGGAACAGAATGTATAAGCGAAAAGTCTCGTCTGAATCTTCGACTCTTAGGATTAAGTATTAAAGCCTCCTTTCATAATTTACACTAAATAAAAGAAGTTCATTACATTCGTGTCTCAAAATCAATATGTGAATAATATTTTTCTTTTTTCTGCTATTTCATATGTTTTTTTTTCTTGTTCTGCTTCTGTATCTCACAAGGCTTGTATATACAAATGAATTTGGCTTCAATTATTATATATGTACAGGTTTTTCTCTCTAAAGCTCACATTCAACAAAAAATTAAATAAAGTATATTGCTTTACATTGAAACGTTTCCGAAAACATCATAAAATTAAAACTATCGTTTTATTAATAAAATTGTATACATGTTCATTTAAAAGCTTCTCATAATTGCAGCACCGGATTTATTTAAGCGGAGATTTTTTTATTTTAAATCAAGAAGCGTACATCATTTGTTTTATCACTTTCATGCATAATCTCTTTATTTGTTACGACTCATTCACATTTCAGTACTGCATGTAATTTGAATAGTTGCTTTTCTTATTGTTTATAAAATATGCGGTTGTAGTACACAATAATTTTTCCTTGTTGGAAATATTTTTAAATTTCAGAACGGCGAGTCAAACGTTCATCGTTATTTAAGCGAAAATTTTATTGTCACTTGAAATCTAAAAAAAGAAATAAACCGTGAACATGAAAATTAAACTTTTCCTTCGCATCTTTTTTTATTTATTTTATTTTATTCATAAATTCTTTTATTTTTTTATCTCATTTTTTTAAACATTTCCACTTTACGTTATACAATGTTCGATCTTTTTTTAATTTTTTTTTTATTATTTTTTTATTGGCTCATTATGTGAGTCCAAAAGAATTGTGCATTGTATTTGTATCCTTGAAATTTATATTCCATTTTTCCCTTGTAAAAAGTCATCAATAAAAATTACCAACGAAATTTTCCACGTAACCGTACAGACCAGAAAGCAAAATAAAACTGGGGACTATCAAGATATTTTCATTAGGAAAAAAAATTTTACATTCAAGCTGAGAGAACAAGAGAGCTTCGATAATATGAGAGTTCTGTGTGCTTAAATTCGCATTCTCATCGAAAAAGTTCTATTCCGTCCTGTAAAGAAATGCTGTGACTTTCAATCTACGCTAAGGGAAGAAGGAAAATGTTGGAGAGAGTTGAATGAAACGCGAGAGAGATTTCTTCGTTTCCATTTCGTCTTTCCGCTAGCTGAAGAAAAGCACCCGGATTGACCTTGAAAGCGGTCTACGATTCCAGCATTTAACTTTTAATGCAGCTTATATTTTGGCTATAAAAGAAACCAAAAAAGAAAGTTTAAAGCTCTTATAGAGATAGTGAGACGATCAATGTAAACCTGAAAAAAAAAAAACATATTCATGTTCTCTCTTTTATTAAATTTTCATCACATCGTATTTTCCCCATTTTCGTAATCGAAAAGAATTTTTTTTCTTCTCACAACATCTTGTGACGAAAGGCATATTAATAATCATTCATAAAAAAATCATTTTTTTGATGGTTTATTTTAACTCTTCGTCTGATTATTTTTAGCATTGAACATCTAAATTTAACTTTTCATCATTCGCATCTATCTAAGTGTGTTGATGGTGTCACAATTTCTTTTTATTATTTTCTTTATTTTCTCTATAGTTGCAGATACTTATGATACGATTCCCAAAGCATCTAAATATAAACAAACATCATTTATTTATAGCGTTGACCATCAAATGTCACATATCAGTGGCAATGTTTGAAGAAATTTACGTTTCGTAAGCATGTTGTAAAGTGTTTCATTCTAGTTCACGAGTGACATTTTATTAAATTGTTTTGAAAAGTTTCAGATTTTTTTTACTTTTGTTTTGGTTTTTTTTCTGTTACTTTACTTATGTGAACGGAACGCTTCAAACAATTCAGCTAAATTATTCTTTGAGAGGAAGTGATTCATCACGATTTTTTAATTAAAGCTTTTTGTATAATCGAAACAATTAAGCATCTGCCGTCTTATTTTTGTTAAATAATATTGATTCCTTAAGCTGTTAACAACTCTCCGTGTAGTACAATAAATCGCGCAATTTCGGTCATAAATTAATTTAGATTTTTTGTTATTAAAACTTGAATTGATATTTTTGAATGGGGATTTTCTCTGCCATCCTCTTTTTCTCTTCGTCAGCCTCGACGTCGCGAGGTCTTTTCAGAAGAAGATCTAAGAATTTTTTGTTTTCCTCCTCACTTAATTGAATGTCAAGTTTGAGGCATAGCTGCACGATTTGTAATACTGCGTTCAAGTTTTTTCGCCAACCTAAGTACAAATAAACAAAAGAAATAAAATGAGTCGAGAATTGAAATTTAATATTAATGATGACGTCGAAAATGATGTTAATATTTATTAATATTTTCATTTCTCATGAATTCTTGAAGCTTAAACCCTTTTTTGATTAAGAGCTTTAATCCTTTTTCTTTTGCTTCTACCCGTCACTGCTGTTGCTACATGAATCGTGATTAGCTCTTGATTAGTGATTATAGGAAACTCATAAATAATATCATTGAGCAAGTCTGAACGACGTTGATCATAATTTAATAAACAAAACGAAAAAAAATTATTTTCTTAATTAGTATTTTTATAAAGCAACTCAACAGCCGGTACAAAGTAATTAATTTAGTGATATAAATTGCTACATGACATGATAAATCTTCAAAATCTACTTACATTCAAACTCAAATAACATTCGAACTAGAACCTCGACTTGTTTCGTCATATTGAATCGTAAAAAGATTTGAATTAATTGATGCACGAGTTCGATGTTATTGTGGCGAAGATAAATAAAACTTAGGACAGTCGATTGTTTGCAAAGAACTTTTCTCAGTTGAACGTGTTTCTCGACGAGCTCAGATGCAAGTTGTTGATCAGAAAACCAAAAGCTGAGGTGGAGAGAATTTAATAGTTAATTAAATTTTATCATCGAATGATTTCATGCTTCACCTCTCAAACAATTTCCTCCATAGAATGAATAACAATTGATAATCTTTTGTTTCTTCACTTATTTTTTCGATTCTGTGTTTGATTTTAATCACAGTCGATTCACCTCGCTTCTCGACTGCATCTTGCATCACGACATTGCACAGTTTCGTCATGTGTTTCAACAAAGTCTGATCGGAAAAGCTCTTCCTATAATTTATTTCAAATTCCTCTAATACTTGATCAATGTTTTTCCCACTTCGCCAATCAAGTTCAAGGCTGAGACTTTTGAAGTACATGTAATTACTTTTATAGAAGTTCTCATCAGTCATCTTGATAAAGGTTTGTAGTATTGTGAAGAGCTCAGCATTTCCATTTGCACTCGCATACTCTGATGTCTCGCACAAAACGTATCGTGGCAGTTTACAATCAGTTTTTTGAAGGCATTTGTCAATCTCAATCATCAACCGCTCCCCGTCGTGTGTATCCAAGCAATTATAAATTTCCTCAATTGAAGTTTGCAGCTCTATGCTTGTGATTTCATTTTGAACTTTATTAAGCTTTATATTCATTCGAAGTTTATTAAATTCTTCTGATTTCCTTTGAGTTAGTTCGGAAATGAAGCTTTCCATTGCATCTGTAAATGTTTTTGAAAAGAAAACAAAAGGAAATTGAAAATAGTAAATTAACAAGAATGTTGTGACAACTTGCCATTGTTTTTGCTGTTAAGTCTAAAGATCTGTAGCATATTCCATACTGGATAAATGAGTCTGTAATGATTTTTAAGTCTAACGAAAGTCACAGCCATAGTAAAAACTTTTATTTGTTATTAGGTGCAATTTGTTATTGAAGAATTGTAAAACTTACAGCTGAAAGCGCTTTTTACAAGTTGTGGTTGTCCCTAACCGCTTAATGTCAGCAATTTTCTTTATTATCTGCTATCTACCTATGGCTTCATCAAAAACTTATTTAATTAAAATTGTGGCGAAGCTTTGACTACCCTGAAAAGGTCCCATAAAGTTTCTGAATTGTTCAACCCATTAAACTTTCGCGTGACATTAAATTGTGAAGGGATTAAATGGGATTTTTTAAAATAAATTTTCAAGATTTATGTTTTTTAAATGATAATTTTCTGTAATTAAAGAGCAATAAATTTTTGATGTAGTGACACAGTATTCTGATTTATTAATTTATTCATCTAACCATTGCATTTAAGCTTTACACTTTAAGTTTAATTTATTTTGTTGTGTTCCATTTCATTTTCTCTTCTTGCTCCTTCTCGACTTCCTTCAAGTAAGGTTCCAAATATTTATAATCTTCTTCATACTTCGTCCACTGATCTTTAGGTAAAATAGTCTTTGTCATCGAAAGATCCAGTGCACGTATAATACGGAAAGTTCTTTCATCGTAGAGATGTTGTGGAAGTCGACGAATTGCTTCTTTGACGTTTGCATCTTCATACAAGAGATCGTCACGATGTAAACCTGAATAAAAACATTTATAGACATTTTAGGACAATTTGAAATGTCTTACGTACCGTATTGATTAAATCCAGACAAGTTATATGCCCATCTTCCAATAGCAGCTAAAAACAAAAATTAAAATAAAATTTATAATTATGCAATATATTTTGTCAATATTTGAAGCATAATGCTTTCTATACTTACAAGCTACTAAAGGACCACGGCGTCCAACGTAAGACATGATATTTTTGAGTCTGCAATAACCAACTTTAATATGGAAAAATCCAAAATTTGTCTTGTTGATTTTTCAAGAAAATCAGAACGCAGAAATGATTGAAAAGGCCTGTAGTGGGTTAGCCGATAATAGCAGTAAGAAATTTGAAAAAGGAACGAAAAAAACCGTTAAAATAAAAGTGAAGAAAATTAAAAAGTTCTTTGTGAAGAAAATCTGAAAAATTCTAATGATAAGAAGAAACAACAACATTCAATAACTTTTTTACTTTTTTTATTTATTTTCGTATCTCTTTGCTTTTATTAAACAGAATTTCATACATATTTGAATAAGGCACCGATATGATTTAAGGCAAATTATGGAAGAAGAAAATAATAAAAAAAAATCATTCTGCTTAAATCTACATCGAGCTCAGTCGATTTTCAATATTTTTCATAAGCCATTCTTGCATTCTTCTGCCAAAACACTCTTCACATTTTCACTCGAAACATTGGCGAGGGCATTAGTTATACGCTCAAAGTTATTTTCATTGTAAGGCTGTCCAATCAAACTGGAAACAATTGGCATGTTTTCAGTTGAGTTTTTGAGCATTAGGTCGATGTTTTTAATTAAACCCTTGAATAAAAAATGAAATCACTCATGAGAATCGTTGATTAAAACAAAAGGAAAACTTTTCACTTTAACTACCTTTTCAACATCAACATTCAACTTTATGTCGTGACTTTGTTCGTCCGACTTTAATTGAATATTTTTCTGGACAGAAAAGTTTGGTGTTTTGCCATAACGCCAATCCCATGAGGCAAAGTTTTCCTTCAATTCACTCAAGCCAGGAAACCATTTTTCAGTAGGATTAATCAATTGGAAACCTCTTTGTTGCATAACCAATTCACGACCGCCATCACACAATTTCTCAGCTGGCGTACGCAAAAATTCATATCCGATAGCTGTCAGCAATTGCTGTATGTTCACGTTCTTGTTGACATCGGCTAAATTTTTTGTAGCAGATCGAACAGATGCTGTTGCTTTGCTTTTGATTTCAGCCTAAATAATGACAGAATAAAATAAATTTATCAGCAAAAAAAGCGACAACTAAACAACAGTAAGAAAAATTGCAACAGAGCTTTGAGTCGACTTTTTCATGTTATCACCAGACTAATGTGATAAGGAAAGAAATAAAAAACCTTTCAACCTGTCCGTTGACCTATTTTATTGTCAAGCTGACAATATTGATAAATAGTCTCGAGAATTTATATATTTTTGTCTTCTTTATTTTTCTTCACAGATGTTGCGACGAGTGAACAGGAAAAAAAGGGCAAACGAGATAAAATGCGACTCTCTCCAACCATTCAGTATTATTGTTCAAGTGGAAGATTATCTTTGTTGACGGTCACATGATAAATTGAAGATTTTCCAATTGATTTCAATTGTTACAAAATACTTCACTTTATCACTTTTCCTACCTTTTCATTCTTCATTAGCGATTCATTGAGATGATTTTTATTGGAATTCACCAGCAATGTGCAATGATGATAGCAATTTGGATGACCTAATTTGGCAGCCGTCCCCGAGATCTAAAGATAGAATTAAGTGAGATTAATTTCAATTCATTATCGGTTATTTTTATCTGAACGAGGGTTCAACTGTTCCAGTTTTATTCAGTTTTCAGATTTATATTTAATTTTCTTAATAAACAACAAAAAGAAAAAACATTAAAGAAGAGTCGAATGAAGAATTTGGTTTTTGTGACTCAGTGTGTGTGAATGTTCATTTATAAGTTGTTGTCGAGTGATCATGATAACACGAGAATTTTTCTTTTCATTTTTCTTCTTTTAATTCTCTTTTTTTTCGGTGTTATTCAATTTTTGTTTCGAAACGACAAATGTGTTTGAGTAGGAAATTTCCACTGTTTCAATGTAGAGTAGAAATCAGTCGATGAGAACAAGTTCAGTCAATGCTTATGAAGTTTTTCTAATACTTAATTAGAAACAAACAAACAAACAAACAAAACCAGACTAATAGACAGTCAAACAAACAAGTTAATGGACTTTGTTGTCAAGAGAAACAAACTCACTTTCTTGCCATGCAGTAAAATATCATCGCGCGGTGAGATTTCCGTGTCGATGCCATATTCGCGATAAATCGCTCTCGTTATCAGATTCAAATTGTACTTTCGGTCGTAGCGTTCGCGTGGTGTGAAGAACGTGCAGTTAAGATTGTTGCGATCGTGGAAAACAGTTCCGCCTCCGCTATTTCTTCTCGCCAATTCAATGCCAGCTGATTCCAATTGACTCACATTCGTTTCGTTAAACGGGTTCTGATGACGTCCAATTACGACGCAGGGATCGTTTAACCATAACATGAGAACGTGATGGTTACCAAAGTCGTAGTTCTTGTAAATCCAGTCTTCAAGGGCTAAGTTTGTGAAAATATCGTACGATTGTGATATAAACACTGATTTTCTTATCGGTTCGATTTCCTTTGAACCTGAAGAACTTGAAAATTTTTTGGTGGACATTATTCGCGTATTAGCACCCAAAAACATCCCAAGGATGTCCTTGGATTGACGCAATGTACGACTGGTCATCATAGCAATCATCTTAATCGTGCACTTTGTTTAAATCACTTTAATTCTTCTTTAAATATCACAACTAATAGAAATCTTTCTTTATCTTTTCTGAAAAAAGCTTTCAAACAAATTTATTGGCAGTACGAAAATATTGTTTTTGATTTTTTTTTCTTAGTTTATTTTTAGATTTTCAGAATTTTTCTTCTTTGACTAGTTTTTCATTTTTTTTTTTATATTTTTTCTGTTTTCTTTCTTATTCTTCGTCCTAATTAGAGTTTATTGTCATCCACTTTTTGGGTTGTACTATTTTTTGAAGCCTTAATAGTGAGATATTTATGAGTTTCTATGCTGCTGTGAAGCCACTTATCAAAGATTCTTTGCATTATGAATTGTACTCTTTTTGGATAATATTTAATGTTCTTGAGGAGTTTGCCTTGTTAAATAAACACGAATGAATCAACTTTTACACTTTATGACACTCAAATAAAGTTCTTATTTACATGTAGAGTAACATTCAGAGAACTTTAGACTTGTTTTCTTGAATTCATATCACTTAATAATCTTTTCACACTTTTACACTTGGCCTTTATATACTTGGCAATGATGACGTGAAGCTTCGAATCGTTTTCCAACGGAAATTACCAAAGTCAAATCCATTCGAAAACGTCGAAATTTAAGCCTGTAAAAGAAAATTCCGTGAATTTGCCCAGACATATTAACAAAATATTTTATTTCTATTTTAAAATATTGCCACATCCAAATAAATCGAAAGAAAATGTCTTTATCAAACTTCTTTTTCGGTGATCCAGAAGAAGATCCAATATTTAGGTAAGTTAGAAGGCTTCAAATCAATTAAGAGAAAAAGAAAAAAAAATGAAATATTTCTAGAAATTTTTTCGATCCTTCATTTTTGTTTCACTTTATACTTTTAGTCACACTATGAATTCGATGCGCCAAATGCAAAATCACATGATGAGTAACATGTTAACAGACCCGTTTCGAATGTTTGGAATGCCCAGTTTTGGTGGATTTGGCCTTGCACCACGACAAATGCACAGTTCACCTTTTCCTGGGATGAATTTGAATCGACTTCTTGCAGGAGGGCCAGAACATGGTGTTTCATATAGTAGCAGCAGTGTTTTCTCTGTGACGTCTTCAGGAACAGATGGCCGTCCACAAGTGTATCAAGAAACAAGCTCAGTTAGAAGTGGACCCGACGGCCTCAAGGAAACTCGAAGAACTGTTCAGGATTCCACAACAGGGAAGAAAAAAATGGCAATTGGTCATCACATCGGCGAACGAGCTCATGTCGTTGAAAAGGAACAGAACTTACACACAGGAGAACGTGAAGAGCGCGAAGACTTTATCAATCTTGATGAATCCGACACTGAAGAATTTGAAAGAGATTTTGAACAAAAATCTTTACATAATGCACCCGGTCGTCAAAGATGTCAAATTGAAGAAATTTCATCAGAACCATTGCTTGCTATTCAATCGTAAGTAGATTACATACATAACTTAATATAAAATTAAGTCAATGTTTAAATTCATGGTTGACGATTTCGTAAATTTCTGTAATTCAAAAGCCATTTTATGTCATCATCTAAAACGACTTTGATGTAGAAAAAGAAAACGAAAACGAAAAAATGAGAACGTCTGCTGTTTTATCTCATATAATTTCCATTCAATAAATTATCGAGAACATGAGAATCAAAAGAAATATAAAATTTCAGATTAATGAACCTTTTCACATGTTGTATCTTTGATTTCTCTCACAATTTCATTAAATCGATTTGTAAACACAAAACCAAAACACTTTCCGTCCTTTGATTATAAGCTTCACTTTTTTCTGATCAAGTTTCATTAACGTGATGTCTTTACATTGAAAGTCACCTTACCATTCAACTGGAAAAGAAAATATCCAATCAATCGATTAACAATCACGAAAATAAATAGAAAAGTTCAAGCACGTAGAAAAGGAAACTTAATCGTGTTCGTTCTTTCTTAATTCAGTTCCGAAGATATTCAGCATCAACAACAACAACAGCAACGCAATCGATTGGCAACACCAAGAAGATCCTATCAAATAAGACCGTCTCCATCACCGCTTACATTGCCGTCAACATCAAGGCATGAAACATCGCCAAGGTTTGTTGTGTTCTTGAATTAATGATGAAATGGTCAAAAATAATTTTGGGTTGATGTTTGAGAAATGTTCACTGAAACAAACCAAAAGATTTCTTCAAACCGTTTCATAATCGGTAATATTTAATAATGATCAAACAACCAATCTTTCATTACAGCTTGCACCCTCATCCATACAACCCACAACAAACGAGAAAGAATCGTTCGTCGAAATTAAAGGGTCAACAAAGCAGCAGTCATCATCATCACCACTAAAGCTTCTTCTTCTAATTCCTCCTTCGTTCTACAACATAAATAAGTAAATAAAAGATGTGTGGGAGGGTTTGGGATGGACATCTTTGAAGATGTTATTCAACTTTCTTTTTTTTCGATCCCTTAACTACTTACTCAATCGTATGAAGAATTAATCGAATCATGTGAAGGGTTTGAAGATGTTATTAATGACATGTGTTTGATTTCGAAAGATGAAAGAATTTTTTTTGCTTAAATTGTTTTCGTTAAGTTACAAACAAGAAATGAAAGAAGAAAGAATTGGGAAAATAGAATTATAAATAATTAATTAAATAGGAAGATGAAAAGTGTGTCGGGCATTTTTGACGATTAGAAAAAGCTTTTAAGATGATTGCAATGACACTTTCGATAAATTTAATAATTTTTTTCTTCTTTCTCTTTTAAATTTAATTTCTCAGGAAGGTGAAAATGTTCAGTGAAGACGGTAAAGCCTTTGTTGATAAGGGATAAATAAGCTCACAAGATATGTGTGGGTGATAACACAAATGACAGGAAGCATGAAAGAAACAGTCAATAATGCTTGTCGATTTCAATGAACATTTTTATTCAAAAGAGAAATCCTTTAGCTAGTAAGTTTAAATCAATTTATGTCTAATGTTTTCTTCTTCTCTCAATGTATTTGAACTTTTTTCCAACATTTCAATGCAAATGAAAGAAAAGAAAAACGAGTGAGTGAGAGGGGAAGAAAATCAATTCCCGGGAAAATAATTTTGCGTGAAATAAGTTCGAGTTTGAATTCCAATTATGAATGAAAAATTTATTTTAAATATTTCTCGATATACGAAAATAAACATGAAAAGAATGTGAAAAAAAGTGCACAATCAACTCGTTGTAATTATTCAACTCAGCTTTTTATTCTTCTCCACAGCGTTTCTCAACCTTTTCCCGACAAAATTCAAGGAAAATTTAAATTTTACAGATTTTTTAATTAATTTTTTAAATTGTTTTAATACTCCCTTGGCAAATTTTGTAATTCTCGCGGCACATCGGGTTGAAAATGACTGTTTTACAAGCACTTTCAACAACACATGACAACGATACAACAATTTTTCATATTTTGAACTCGAGTGCCACAAATATTATTCATGATTTATACAAACCTGGCAGCGTAGAGTGTTGAAGCGGAAGGAAAATTCTTCCCCACTTTTCCTTCGACACTAACTCAACTCCCCCGCATCGACCTGATATAAATAAATCCTTCGACGGTAGAGACAGAATTTTTATGCAAAATTACTTCTCAGCAACTGATGCTTCTTTCTTCTTCGTCCTATTCTTCTCTTTTTCGTCTTTCTACGCTTCCTTTCGAGCAGATTAATGAAGTAACATTGTCATCCTGCCAAACAATCAATTGAGCGTTGGAAAATGTTTTAATGTATTCCGTCCCTTGAGGAGGTCGAGGGCGGCTGTCGACATCACCATGAACCCTTTTTTTGCTTCTTTCTTTATATTGAACAATAAGCGGAAGCAATGAAAAATTTAACGAACTCAACTTTGTATTTCCACACAGGTCTCAAGCGTCTTGCTTTTGTAATGAAAGTCAAATTAATTGGAAACTCAACTTTCTCATTTTTTTTTCTTCCTTCTTTATTCATATTTCTTTTGAAACTCAAAGAAGGCAAACGAAGGGAGAGAGAAATAAACAATCTTAATCAAATTTATAGGAGATTTTGAAAAAAGAAAAGAAAAGAAAAATGAAAATAAAGCTCGGAGCAAAGTACTGAATAATCTGAAGTTTTAAAGTAATTTCTTGATGCGATCCTAGAAAATCCTTATCGTTGATAAATCCACCACCACCCGACAGTAAAGATTTCCATTTCAATTTTCTTTTCATTCTCTTTTATTTTTTCTTGATATTCAAAGCACAAATCCTGATGGAAATTGAAATTATCGTATGAAGAGAAAGAGAAAAATGGGAGGTCATTGTGAATGACATGTCGCTCGTATAATCCGAGCGGAAGGGAAGAAACGTATGCGGATACAAGCGAATCATCTGCGAAAGGGACCATCAAAATCATTTGTAAGTGGATTAGGGATGGATAAACAGGATATAACCGTACATAAATGCTGCTTCCGTTCGTTTAACAATTTCTTCCTCAACAGATCTTGTTACACCTTTTTTTTATTACATGGATAAGTGCTTCGATAATTATTTTTATTGAGCGTTATGAAAACATTTCTGCTTCGAGTAGAAATCAACATTGAAACATGAGATCTTAAACAAAACGTTTCTTTGTCTTATTATTAGGTTGTTTGCTTTTGTGAGAAAGCTCATGAAAATGAAATCTACCAATTAGAGGTACAGAAATTGATATAATTTAATTAATATCGATTTCCTTCCGTCGATATTAAGATAAGGATAAGAAAAAGCAAACATAACTAACTAAACAAAATCTACCATGAAAAATGAGGGATTTTCCGAGGTGAATACATTGTGAGTAAGAAAACTTTTCAGATCATTCTGTAATTTTTCTTTTCTTGCTTTCGTGCCGTGATTTTCTTTCTTTCATTTCAAATTTTCTTTTTTGTCGCTGTGAGAGTTTTTCTTCGTAATTTTTTTCTTCTATTTATTGTATATATATCTACACAATGTATTGCGATGGTGACATTAAGCCTTGATTCATTTTCAGAGCTTTTCTAGGTTGAACGAAGGATGAAATGTGAGTTACGTCCTACATTAAGATTTCCTACTGAACGGATTTCGAAAGGTCTCATTGTGGTTTAGAGGGTTCTTCTATTAATTGCTTCTTTTTCATCTTGATTTCTTATAAAATCATCCACGCAACACACGATATTCAGTTATCGTTTTATAACGATAAAAAAAAGGAAAATATTTTCAAGAATCTCGTGCCTACGCTCTCCTCTTACATTCTCTTCGACATTACTAGCACCCTTCCATCACCCGTTCATTGCCTGGAGCTTTCAGAGTAATTTTCATCTTTTTCTTCTTCTTCTTTTTATTTATTCATTTTCGTTATTTTCGTTATTTTCTTACCCTCACTTTTTATCGTATGTATCACGATAATGTGGAAACATGCATATATGTTATTAGAATATATAAAATATTTATAATAAACAACATTTCAGCCACAGCTTTAAGTTGTGTAATAATGAAAAATGATTTCGCAAGGGAGAAAAACGCCTTTGATGAATGACTCTATGTAAAAGATATTGGAGGGAATAATAAAAAAGAAAGCGAAGCTTTTTCGCTTGTAAGTTAGATATCTGAACTGAATAAATGAAGCCAAGGGAAAAATGAGTAAATAATTTTTAATCCTTTTTATGCTTCATCATTCGTTTCAGCTTCTTTACATGGTTGCGTTTGGTGTATGTGCCTTGACATGTCCTCATCCTTCCTTCGCTTTTTTCTTTATCTTTTGACCTTATTGACTTTTTTTTGTGTCTTCTGTCTTTTGCTATTTTCTTGCTTGACTGCTTGCTTACTTGCTTCTTGATTATTTTTTTCCGATTATCATCACCACCAGTGCTTAGTAGAAGTGACAAGATTCGAACGAAACAAACAATTATGATTAAGTGTCAACGTAATTAGTAGCAAGCTTTTCCACCCCATGATGTGATACTCGAAAAAGTTTGAAGTGCAACAACAGCAAATGAAACTTCTTTGAACCAACAATTTTATTTTCTCATTCTTTTTTATATTTCCCCAATGAATGGAATGTATGCTTGCGACCGTTGAGTGTCTCCTTGAGATACTTTAAAGAAAGTAAACGAAAAAGAATAAAAAGAAAGAAATGCTCCAAAAGAATGTTTCGCTTCCATCGACTTGATTCTCGTGCTTTTGAATATTATAAGTTGTTTTGCGTTGTTCAAGCACATTTTTCATGCCCAATAAGTCTTGTAAACAGTTGTTACGCTAACAAACACAATAGAGAGTTGCTTGAAATGAATTGCTTGAACAAATATAGAAGAATACTTCACGCTTGTCGTCGTCTCCATTCGCATTTTATTTACAGGTTCAACTGATACAACATTGTTCAAACATGCTACTTCCCTAAAATTTGTTTTTCATTTTATACATGATGCTAATGTTAAAAGTTTCACTTGTCAAAGTATGCTAAAGAGGGATGAGAGAGTTGTTTAGGCGAGTAGAAATAGCAGAAATCGAGAGGAAAAATGGAAATTGTTTACATCGATAAACTGTCGAGGGACCAATTTCAGTGTTTTTGCATGTAGATTTACAAATATCTATGAATGAATGGTTGCTTTTTAACATGGGACTCTCATCTTATTCTACCTGCTGATCAATTTATATAAAACCAACTTTTAACCCTCCCTACGACTCATCGCTTTGGGTATCGTAAAGACTTCAAACAAAATAAAATACTTCGAGACAGCTTTAATACTGAAACCAACATTATGCATGCAAGGCTATGCGGGATTGAAAAGTTTATATCTAAATGTTCTAAGAGAAAATAGAAAGATGAAATCAAAAAGATATTCATCTCGTCACCTTACTCATACACGTATCAACTCGCATCGTACCGTTCCGTACGCTCATAGATATCTTCCACCCACATCTAACTTTGCAGTCTTTCTTTTGAAGAATTGAAAGGGAGAGAAAAATAAAAAGGAAAAGCGAGGGAAAGGAATATGGGAGAGCGATATATATCTCACACTTGAGAACACTTGGGAAACTTTTCATCTAAAGCAGCAATATATCAGCTATGACACCTTCAACTTCTCGTCCGAAATTCAATTTATGTTGGATCGAGCTTAATCTTCAACTTTCTTATTCTCCTTCACCCCCCGGGGCCATTCCCTTTGCATTTCACCTTCTCAAACAGGCTTTATCCTTCGCTCAAACACGTGATAGAATCAGCAGACAAATCCTTAATCAAAAACGAGCGTATAGCATGCGAAAAATCTAATAAAGAGTTCTGCTTTTCCTTTTGCTTGCTTTTCCTTTTTAGAGGAAACAAACTTTCGAGAAGAATAAATTTTTGGGGTAATCGGATTTCGGGTTTGTTCGAAAAGATGCTGGGTGAGATATTTATACTTACGTATGTATCATGAATTGATTAGAAAGTACTTGTGCTAAAATAAATTTACCACTTTGCCGTTTTTGATAACAAGGAAGGAAAATGAAAAGAGAACAATGAAAGATAAAAAGAAATATCGTTTTATCATAATTATTTTGGCATGTCAATTAAATCAAGATGATGTTTTCAGTTTTCAAGAAAGGGAGACCGAAGTGTGGCTTGTTATTTAGTAGAGAAGCGGAAAGAAATAAAAAGGCAAGGAAAAGGGATCAATGATTTATGTTGAGTGGAGGTCAAGCCTCCCTTTATCTTCATTAAAATAAGAATAGGAAAGAAATGTATGAAGGGAACGAACGAAAAGGCGTTGCAAGAAAGAGCTTTTTATACGAGAAGAAAATATTAAGAGTCATGTTGTGAGTTTCACCTCATTGAGCAAACTGATTTTTTATGAACATTTGATTCGGTTTTATATCGATTTTTCTTCTTTCCCCTCAGAGAGCTTGAAAGCTCTCTCAAGAGAGCTTTTAAATCATCCTGCGAGAGACGCTGTCAGTCATGCTGTCAGTTTACATCGAAATATTTTGAGAGATAAAAAGTCGTATGTAACAAATGATTTATGATCTCATCTTTCCTTTGATATCTCAATGTTGTGCAGTCGTAAAGTTTCCCAAAGTTTAAAAGCTTTTCTACTCATTTTTTGTGCTTCATTTTTCCACAACTATTCCCGTTGACATGATAATAAAACATGAAAATAGGACAATTCGGGGAAAGTTACTCAGATACCTTTTTTTCCCTTTCGCAGCATAAAAAAACGAAAGCAGTAAAGTCAAATCAATTGAAAATTCGTCTCACAAGCGAAATCAAGTACATAAAAGAATCTCACGCTTTAATAGACGATTCCACTCCATAGACATTTCGTCGATATACTTTTCTTTTCCTTAGTCATATCGTGTCCCTTTGAGAAGAAATTTATTTAATTTTGCGAAAAAAATATATAAATGAAACGAAAATTTTCGTGAATCTTTGATGCTTGGAGCTTTGAGTCAATTTTCCGGAATGACGAATAAAAAAATATATAAAAAGAAAAACAAGAAGAAGGAAATAGACCATAAAGAATCTTTTTAAACGAAACTTTCGTCTCGGTTTGAGCTTTAATGTGATTAAATTATGAATAAATATTTAACTTTTCATTGCTTTCAATTTTTACGTAATTTTCCGTTTTTCTTTTTTGTTTCTAAGCAGAACGAAAGACGAATCGCACACGTTCATGATTTTTCACGATCGCTAAATTGAAACAGCTCAATAAAGAATTTTTTTATTCTTTCTGCACGATGAAGCCCTGGAACGAAAGCTATTATCTATTTAATATTTTCATTATCAGCATGAGACCTAACGCCGCGTGATATATTTTCAATTTCACTGAATCGCTCATGCTTTTCATATTGTGATGGCATGCGAAATGTTCCAACAAGAAGAGAAATGATTGCGTTGAGAACAAGAGAACAGAAATTTTTAATAATTTTTCAGATGATGATGATGATAAGATGAAGAATAAATATAAGTAGGAGAAGATTGTGAAGTATTTTCATTTTTCATTAAGTATTTATATTTTATTTCTCATTATATATCATTATACTCGATACATTTGCCTTGTTGGTTGTTTGCTTCCTTTTCTAGGTATTTTATTTATTATTTTACATCGAAAAAAAAAATCTTTTCCTTCCTCTTCCCGGCACAAAAGAATTGAGGGAAAGAAAGATTATTTAAATTTTAAAACAATTTCTTTATCTTTCTTTTCCTTTTTCTCCTTCCTTAAGTGATGCTTCGCTTAAGATGCTCGCGATTTTTTTTTTCTTTATTATTTTGCTTAATTTATGAAACCGAGAAAAAGGAGAGAAATGTTTTTTATGGAATGACGATGACAGTAACAACAACATCAACAAAAACAATAAAATGTGGGATGGGGGAGGAAAAAGGGAAAATGAAATAAAATACTGGATATTCATCACTTCTAACGAACATTGAAAACACTAACTTTGAAGACAATTGTTTGTTTCTTTAACTATTTAACGATTTATTGTGTTTATCCATTTTCATCAGAAGAAAAAATCTGAAAGACAAAGATATAAAAGAAAAGAAAAAAGTTGAAAAGTTGAAATCTATTAAAGAGACGTTTGCTTCATGATTGTTAGTAACGACTCCCTCACCATTTCAATTTTATACGATGACAATAGAAGATTATGACGCCCCGAATCAGCATGATGAAAGAAAAAAAAAGCTAATTTTATAATTTATATAAGGATTTTCATTTGTTCGCTTAATGACGCGAATCTCTTGGATAGAATTCAGCCAAGATTGATGCTGGAATTCGCTTAAGCATCTCTTTAGGGAAGATACGCAACAATTGCCATCCAATGTCCAACGACTCGAATACGGTACGATTCTCGTAGTTTCCCTAGTTATGATAAGAGAAACGAGCAATGAAGAGAAAAAGAAGAAGAGTTAATTAAAATTCAAATTATTTAGATGAAAAGTCGTAAATGTAACAACAACATGAAGAAGATTCTAGGTTCGTTCGCTTGCTGATATTTAATAAAATTATTCAAATATCTCGAACATTTTCTTATCTTAATTGTGAAATTCTTTAATCTTGTCTTCATTTCGTTGTAATCTCTGAAAAGTGAAATCAAAAAATCAAACTTACTTGGGCGATGAAATTCTTTTCGAATTTTGTCAAGAACTCCAAATAAAGTAAATCGTCAGGTGTCAAAGCTTCTTCACCAACGACAGCTTTCATAGCTTGGACGTCTTTACCGATAGCATAGCAAGCATACAATTGATTTGACACATCTGAATGATCTTTTCGTGTCATGCCTTCACCAATAGCTGACTTCATCAAACGTGAAAGTGATGGCAACACGTTAATTGGTGGATAGATTTGTCTGTTATGAAGTTGACGATCAACATAGATTTGTCCCTCAGTAATGTAACCAGTCAAATCAGGAATGGGATGGGTGATATCGTCGTTGGGCATAGTCAAGATTGGAATTTGAGTGATGGATCCGTTACGTCCTTCAACACGTCCAGCACGTTCATAAATTGTGGCCAAATCAGTGTACATGTAACCAGGGAAACCCCGACGTCCAGGGACTTCTTCACGAGCAGCTGACACTTCACGCAAAGCTTCAGCGTATGACGACATGTCTGTGAGAATGACCAACACGTGCTTCTCGCATTGATAAGCCATAAACTCAGCGGCTGTCAAAGCAAGACGAGGTGTAATGATACGTTCAATGGTGGGATCGTTAGCCAAGTTCAAGAACAGACACACGTTCTCCATCGAGCCATTCTCTTCGAAATCTTGCTTGAAGAAACGAGCAGTTTCCATGTTCACACCCATAGCAGCAAAGACAATAGCAAAGTTGTCTTCATGATCGTCCATTACAGATTTTCCAGGGACTTTAACAAGACCAGCCTGTCTACAAATTTGAGCGGCGATTTCATTGTGTGGTAAACCAGCAGCTGAGAAGATTGGAATCTTTTGACCACGAGCGATGGAGTTCATGACATCAATTGCAGATATGCCAGTTTGGATCATTTCCTCGGGATAAATACGAGACCATGGATTGATGGGTTGACCCTTGAAAATGAATTTATTAATTTTATTTGGGAAATTTTAATTCAAAAATCTTACTTGAATATCCAAGAAATCTTCTGCAAGAATTGGTGGACCTTTGTCAATAGGTTTTCCTGAACCGTTGAAAACACGTCCCAACATGTCTTCGGAGACGGGTGTACGTAAAATATCACCAGTGAATTCACACACTGTATTCTTGGCATCAATTCCTGATGTTCCTTCGAAGACTTGAACTACAGCTTTTGATCCACTCACTTCCAATACTTGACCTGAACGAATTGTTCCATCACTCAAACGTAATTGAACGATTTCAGCGAATTTTGGGAATTTTACTTCATCGAGAATGACAAGCGGGCCGTTTACACCGGATACGGTTTTGTAAGCTGTAAGATTTTTAAAAGATTTTTGATTTTAAAAGATTTTTTCGACGTCATGAGAAAATTTAATTTCTGATCACATGATTTGTCAACAAACTGATATTCTCGTCAATTAGAACATTTTTAATTAACATTTTTCTATAATTAAAGCAAGAAATTGGAGAATAGAAGAATCCTTAAAGCTTAAGGATATTTACTTTGTGATGGAATTTGCAAAGGATCGCAAAAAGGAATTTTATCGATTTTTCTTGAATTTAGGAAAAATTGTAATCTTCCAGAATGACTGACAATTCTCCATTAGATCAATAGAAACTTTGAACTACTACATTACTTGACATGATAGACTGATATTCAAATTATCCTTACTACAAATATTCTTCTTTTCTCATCACAAGACGTCTTTGATAAGATTGATAATAAAAAAAATGTAACTTACTTAATCGAGGCTGTGAGATGAAATCGCGAGATACTGCTAATACATGCTCTTTTGCAGCTTGACGAGCTGTTAAATCTGATGAATAAGACATCTTTTAATATTTAATTCCAGCTCCAATCTTTCGACGAAAATTAATTTTCTACTCTGACTGTTTTCTGTGCAAAAGATGAAACTTAATCACATGACCCTTAAAACGGAGGGAAGGTGGAGAATTAATTTTCATTTTGGTTCGGTTCTAAAATTTAAAACAAAATTGCCGTTGAATTTTATAACAGAAAAATAAACTTTCCCTCCCTGTGACAATGTCTTTGACGTTAAGAAGAGAAATTCTGTCATGTATGGGAAAATGAGTGATACTGGGATGATCAATAATTTCAGTTCAATTATTAAATTACATTTCTGTGATAGTTTTCTCTTCGAAATTTCATTTTCAAGTTTAAATCCAATAAAAAAAAATTTCGGTGAATTTTTAACGTAATAGTGAAGACACATTAGTGATTTTGAAAAAAGGGGAGTTTAATAAGTGAAGACACGTTTGAGTGGAATAAAAATATTTTTTGTGATTTCGCACATCTCATTATCTTTTTTATTCTTTTTTAATAAATCTTGCATTTTAAAAGTGTTTTTAATCTTTTATCCATCACCTTGATTTCTTGTGAGATAAGATAAAAAATAGATAACAATTTAATGAATCTCTAGAATGCTCAAAATCAACGATAAAGTTTCGTGACGAGTTTTAGAAGTGCTTTGACAATCTTTGTGCCTTAACCAATTTTTGTATTTTTTAAATTAATTAATAAATCTTAAAGTGTCAAAACGTTCTAGACTTCAAAATGCTCCAAGCACCAGCTGTTGAGAAAGATACTTTGTTAGCAAAGAATGAAATTCCTATCATTGACGTCTCATTTGGTAAGCTCATTCATTCAACTCATTATTCGCACTTGATATCTTTATTTGCACCGAAAAAAATAATATTGTAATAAAAATATTTTTCTTCTCTTTAAATGAGTCACAAGCAAAAGTCCCATTTCCGACACTTCACACATATTCGTCGGCAATCACACTCAATGACGACCTTAGACATTCACTAATACGACGTGTAAATTGCGTGTGATTTCTCTGAGCATAATGAAATGCTTCTTATTTTATTTTTGCAACACGTTAATGTGTATAATAATTTTAAATTATTTAGAGTAAAATTTGAGCTTCATGTCATTACTGATATTTCTCATTCATTCATTTATTTTGTCGGCCTCACGTTGCCAATTAACGACGTCTGATGTTTGCTTTTGTTTTTCTTAGGCACTGAAGAATTACCGGTGAGGTCGGTAGTGAATCGTGTCGCCGTTCAACTCGCAAAAGCATTGGAAAACAAAGGAATGGCTTTGTTAGTAAATCACGGCATTTCCGAAGAAAAGGTTTTAATTGCACAAATCTCTTCTCATTGCCCATCAAAATTAATGAGTCAATAAACATTTTTCAGTTGAAAACTGGGTATTCACATTTGGATGACTTTTGTAAGCTGCCAGAAGATACAAAAGAATTGTACTTAAGAGATGGTACGACAGGAAATCATGGATACGTAAAGCCAGGTCAAGAGCGATTTGATGGAAATACGAAAGACATTCGCCATGCTTACAATATTTGTACACTTAACTTGAAACTTCCTGAAGAGGTAATTTAAGTTGTTGTTGATATCGAATATCGCGCCAGACACTCGCTTGTTATCTTAAGAATTACTCAAACCACAAGAATTTGTATTCTTTTTTTTCTCATCAATCAGCCATTGCCAGGATTCCGCGAACACATTGCTGAACTTGCCAAAGACTTCAAACGTTTAACTGGTTTAATATTACAAGCATTGGCTGTGGCGCTTGAAATGCCATTAAACTTCTTCGTCGATAAACATTCGCACATGCTTGATGGTGAAGGAGAAAACGAGACAACATTTCGGTATGACGATGAAGAAAAAGAAGCAAACATAAAAATATTATCCAATACTTTATATTAATGCGATTCATTTCTTTGTCATGATTCAATTTACTGTTAATAGATTGCTTTATTATCCACCGGTGATTGTCGACGATGAACAGAATGAATACTTTTCAAAAGGTTCTTCAACATACTCACATCAAAAGATGAGCTTCGATGAATCGAAACTTGGTTCTTTGGATTTGAAAGATGATGAATTAGAGGAAACGCGCATTAACAAAACTGATGTGAATAAAAGTGTCACACGTTGTGGAGAGCATTGTGATTACGGGACATTTACGCTTTTAGTGCAGGATTCTGAAGGAGGTTTGGAAGTTCAATTGCCTGGCAGTGAGAAATGGCGTAGAATTGGACATTTACCTGGAGCAGGTAAGAGAAAAAAAGAAGATACTTCGCGATAGGAAAATTTATAATAAATTACTTTACAAACATTTTTTATTGACATATTTAGTTTTCATCAATGCCGGTGAATTGTTGTCAATTTGGACTCAAGGAAAATATCCAGCGCTTGTAAGAATTCTTTTTATTTTCCTTCTCAATTATTAGGTTTGAAAAATATTTATTTTAATTTCACATCAGCGTCATCGTGTTGTGATTCCTGAGAATTCAGTTGCACGAACAAAGGGACGACATTCGATTGCATACTTTGTTCATCCTGACAATTTAACGCCAATCATACCAATTGAAGTTGGTCCACCACCGTCCACAACTGGTGACACTTCTGGAACCAAACCGAAGACAAGAAAGCAGTCATTTAAGGAAGCAAAGTTGAAGTGAGTAAAGCTTTTTAAACTTTGAGTTTTTAATGTCAGTGGTTGGAATTAATTTGAAATTTATAAGAAATTAATTAATTAGAGTGGAAGTTATTAATACCTTCACAGACTAGAACTAGAATGCCATGCAAATGAGGCACAAATTCCAATTGTTGCTTCAAGAAACTTTTTCTAAAAATAATTTTTTGACGTCATAAAAACTGAAAATAAAAAATTCTTCATTCGTATTCATGTATGATAATTTAAATCTTCTTGTCATTCTCAGAATTTACAACGCTTATCAACACGTTCAACGACGCTTCAAAGAAACTTACGCATCATAACAAGGAGATATTAGCGCCAGTCTACATTTTTAACACTTAATATTGTTGCGAATATTTTTTTTTCAATTTCTAATAAAATTTTCTTTCAATTTTTTTTCGAATCTAATTAAAAGTGTTTTTATTTTTTTTCTTTAATTTTTATTATCAAAACATGATTTTAAGTAGCAATAGATTAAACATTGATAGTTATTTAAATATAAAATTACAAATACTAATATTAAGATCATTTCTTATGGCATTGAGAGTCTCTGTCGTCATTTCCGGGTTCATTGTCGTTTAATGTTCTTTTCAAGAGAAATTACGAACAATTTGTCAATATTTGGGACTTGTTTTGGAAGGGAAAAAGCTTAGCATCAACTAGGGAGTGTGAGATAATAAAATGACACTGAAGAAGAGGTAAACGAAGTTGTTTAAGAGTGACATACATCACTTCATCGAGGGATTATTTTGTTGTCATGTCAACTCAACACCTGATAAATTGGCTAAAAGTAAACCGCGAGACGACGATATTTATATGTGTTTAGTGTCAACATCTGAAAGCTCATACTTCAAAAGCTTCTGTTGACATTTAAGTAAAAAATATTTAAATGCATGACGTTAATGTGACATAACATTCGTTTCACTCTTTTTCTTGAATGAATGTTCTTGTGCATGACACCTCGTATGTTTGTATGGGAAATTGATTCAAGATTTACGGCCGATTCCAACAGCATCATCATCAATTTTCATAGTCATAGGTAATCTATACGAGGCTCTCTTTTGCAGATAACAAATTATAAATATTGATACAAAAATCCTCTTGATTCGAATCGCAATCAATTTCATCGTCGGCTGATGAACATTTATCATTGGAATGGGATTTGATGGAAATCTTGACATTTTCTTTCGTCTTGTAATTACTTTTCTGCTTATTTGGATAAGAATTGATAGATAAGTTAAGATTATCTGCGTTATTTACATTATTTTCGGAGGCTTTTGTATCTATTTGATTATCTTCTATGATTTCGTATTCAGCTTCACAATCAGAGCCCACCTCAGCATCCAAACACTCGACTTTCTCTTCAATGACAATTTTTACGTATTTTATGACATTTAATGGAGCTCGCTCGATTGTTGTCAAATTTTCAACTTCTAAGTTAGCGATTTTCAATCGATGAGCTTCGATAGAATTTCCAACATTCCCGTGATGGTTCGATGAACTCAAATTTGTTGATGCTGTGTGAAATGTTCCCTTTCTGGCGCTATCCGACCAACTTGTCGTTCTCATCAGAGGCTTACAGCCTAGCAACCTAACAAAACCTTCACGAAACTTTGACGACATTAAATTATAAAGAACCGGATTCATCGCTGAATTTAAATACCACATACAGCGGCAGAAATAAAGAACCGAGTAATAGACTTCAATGCCTGTTGGAATAAATCAAAAGAAAAGAAAAATGTTTCATTCAAGAGAGATTAGGGTTGGTTGTTGCGGTATTTTTGGCAATTACATCACGTGAATAAAATAAATATCTTTTTATGATCATGGAGAAAGCTCTCAAAAGCTCTCAATCAAAGCTTTTTTCAGAAATGCTTTAAATTTTTAATGAAACAAAATATGAAAATCGAATAGGCATCGTAAATCTCACCTCGTTCGGATGATAGTAAACTCATAATAGTTTCCGATGGAACCAATATAATCCAAAGCGTGAAAGCACGAAATGGAAGCAAACATGTAAAGAAGGAAATAACGACCGCAGCGAGCATTAAAATCACTTGCTTTCGATATTTTATGAAGTTGCTTCTGTTGCCTTGTGCTGATATCAATGTTGGATTTACCATCAAATGTTTGGCAATGACCGAATAGAGAACTATTAGGATAAGCAGCGGCACAAGAAAGAATATCGTGATGCTTGCGATGAAAAAGAAAGATGGCCAGAAAGTCTCCACAGTAGTAAGACAAACGGCTACCTAAAGTCGAAGGAGATAAAACCAACTTATTTATGTTGATAACATAAAGAAATTAAACTCACAATGCTGCCATCATAATATTCTTCCATATGAAAGTTTGCTATTTCCAGAATGGGACTAGAAAAAAAAGGGAGAAAACTTAATTGAAACATCAAGAAATAGTTTTCGATGAAAACGATGAATTTCCAATCGAAGGAACTTTAATCACACACTAAGTTGAAATCAAAAGAAAACATTGGTTGAGTAAAACAAAACAAAAAGAAGATTTTTAGGCTCGTCAGAAAGTTTTGTGTCGTTGAGATTGAAGGAAACAAAAAGAAAGAAAAAGTCGCTTTTTCCATCATCACAGCAAGGACTGTCTGTAAACTGAGTGACCTTCTACTTGTGGCACACTCCACGAAAAATCCCCGAAGCGAGATGGAAAAGTTTTTTTTTCTTTCATTTTTCTTCTTTTTTTAACTTCACAGAGACCACCTAAGGCAATTGCTGCTGAGTCACATCATCACACTCGTCACGAGTGGCGAACTGTTGGTATCTTCTGTCTTTCTCCGACATCATGCTTCGCTATGAACGATGACAAAGAAGGAAAATCTTTATATCCAAATCATTGACTTAAAGTTCAATCTTATGTTTTCCGGAAGGAAAGTAAAATCAATCAACTCAATCGAATTATTTGTCGTATTTCCGATTCTTGTGCACTTAATCAGTTTCTTTTTCTTTTACTTCTTTTACTTCACTTGTGTTAACGATAAGACATGACCTTAAAACACATTGTCACGTTTAGTGACCTTTCACATGTACGACAAGAACGACATACGTACCTTGTAAAAAGTCCGGCTACGAACCAGCAAACTACGCAAATTATCATCGCTCGTGTCTTTGTACAGACATATCCAGCTTTCAACGGTTCACATATTGCATAATAACGTTCAAATGAAATTGCCAGAATTGTCAGTATGCTTGCATGAGCCACGGTAAGCTCAATAAACGGCACCAATTTACCTAACCATAGAATTGTTGTAAGAAACCAGATGTCATTGTCATAATTCTTATAAAATTCAATCTAACAAGCCATTCGATCCCTCTATGGTTACAATTGAGGGTTGAAAGACGTGGAATTATTGATAAATCAAATCATCTACATATCGAGCATTGATACGAGACGTGAGACGACATCAAACCTCAAGAGTGTCTGGTTAGATGGAAAGAACAAAACTAAATATTGAACTTACACATATGTTCGCCCAAAGCCCATGTTTCAGGTACTGAGTTCACCTCAACTAGAAAATAAGATTCGGAAACGTCAAAACAAAAAATAATTCAGATAAGAGTTAGACTTTCTATCTTTTTTTTTCTTTATTCATTACCCAAGACTGTAGGCGTGCAGATTAACAAAACCAATAAATCGGCGACGCTGAGATTTATCAAAAAGATGTTTGTCGAGTTTCTCATATCTTTGGTTTTTAGAATAACAATTGGAACCTGGTAACAAGTTGTGTAGGCGTGAGAAAAAAATACAAATGGAATTGAATTGAATATCAAAAAGGAAAGAAAATTGAGAATAAATAACGATTGGTGTTGATGTAATTTATGCATTTATCTGGCAATTCGCTTTTGTTTTTTCTTTCCAGTTTTACAAATTCACAAATGCTAAAAATAAAACATTTCGTTCTCTCTTCTTACTTGCTTACTTTATTCATTCAAGTAATAAAAGGATTAGATAGATATGCGAATTAGACATCACAAGTGATTTATGATTTATTATCATAAACAGGAAAAATACTTGAAATTGTTTACTTAATTTTCACTTGAAGTATCATCCAAGAGAATGAACTTCAGTGTTAAGCTTTTACTTAAACAAATAAATTACTCTGACCCAATAGTTGAAATTGTATTTGTTCTACTTTTCTTACGCAAAAAGAATTTTTTACCGAAATAAAAAAGAAAATTGCTTGCTTAGGAGTGGTTTTTAATGAAACTTTCCTCCAATTTTCGCAAGCAGTTTATCTTTACGGTCATTTACCATAATGTTTCCAATGAGACCAAAAAATAGAATAACGACGCAGAAGACGATCGAGGTAGTGCGAATATATTCAGGAATGCGAGGCTCATAATTGCTGATGTTTTGGTCCGCAGAAAAGTTTCCATACACGCTGTTATTGTTCAATGGTGCCAACAATTTTATGTTTTCACTGGCACTCGTAAAGTTTGCATCCCTTAAATTTGTGAAATTGAAAAGGAATTCAGTTGCTTTTATCACTTTTTCAGAAAATAAATTTTCGTATCCGATGCTTGTCTCATTGTTTGTTGAATTTGATGCTGAAGATGATGTTGATGACGATGGTAATGATCCGCCACCCGCCCACCCTTTTGAATTAAAAATATGTGAACGAAATTCATTATTGATGTCTAATAAGCTCTTATTATCTATTGTTTTTAGAGCATTTTTATGCTGCTTAATGAATTATGGCAGTTTGAAATTGTTTTCACAAATATCTCCTTCACCGAGTGATTTATTGATCTTATATATTTTCTTTCTATTGCTTTTCCACGACACTCTTATCAGCGATATTTTTTCGTTACTTTCTTTTTGTCTTTTCTTTTCTTTTATTTTTTATTTTGACTTTTCAACACACAAGACACAAAATTTTTCTCCTGATGGTAACAAATGTTTTGCAAGGGACGACTACGAAGAAAGGAGTGTGGATAATAAATCTTTCCTACTTGTCAATAATTGAGATCATTGATAAATCTTTGCTCTGATGATGTCTGGTTTCATTTAAAAGACATTCGCACAAATTAAGCGACACTTGGCACGAGGCATCAAATGTCGTCGAACGGTGTTTAAGGTTTTTTAACACGATTTTTTCATTAGATCGCTCTGCACGTTTCAAACTTCAATGGAAATTGTTTTTAAATTGTTTAACAGAAATTGTGCAGTTTCTTTTTGGCATCGAATAGCAAGCATTGTTTCACTTATCACACCCGTAACTGTCACCACATTTTCTGCACAAAACGTATTTTAATATACGAACAAATAATTCTTGTCAATTACAAAGTTGTTAAAACTTTCTACTGCACATATGTTGCATATGCTACAAAATTGAATAAAAACGAGATGGGTCACAATGAAAGTTTCTTCTTTTATGAAAACTTAGTTTTCCTTTTTGGCACATCTGAACAGTTCCACGGCAGTTGCACGACTGAGAGTCTTGTGAATGTTTCTTTCTTTTCTTTCGCCTCCTCCTTCCTTTTTCAACAAAGCAACTGCCCTATTGTATTGTGGAAAATGTGTATGCGTCGAACAAAATCTTCTTTACATTCCGAAATGTGTCGTGTAAACATTTTTTTTCATTCTTTTTTTCGGGATGAAATGCTTTTATGCACAATCTTGTTATTCATTCTTCATGTTTTTTTTTCGGTTCATGTTTCTTAAGTAAATAGTTTTTCTTCACTGTCTATACTTGATGAAAATGTGGAAAAGAGACACTGAAAACGTGGAGAAGATTCAAAAAGAAACAAACGGAAAAAAATGATTCATCACATGAGTGTACTTAATGTATCAAATGTCTCTCGCACCGAGTGCCGAAAATCTTTATATTTTATGGTCGTTTCAATTGTTATTTAAGGATCATAAAACATAACTTTATTTGCAATTCATTGATTCATGCTTTTCTTTTGTTTCTGCTACGCTTTTTTGGGGAAAACTAGGATAAATATTTTTTTATGGCTTCTCTGGATCATGGATGGCTAAATAAACATCATCGTAACAATGAAAACATGTTTTTTTTTGGTGCATTAAAAAAATGTTTGTTGTCGAGCCAAATCTTATAAGCGATGTAGAAATGAAAACTAAAGAAAGAAAAAATATTTTAAAATCTTCTTCGATAAAAGTTGTCTCCGGTCAGTGTTTGCGAGAAATTTATAAACGGTCATAAGGTTTCTTAATAAACGCCAACTCAATCACTCCAAAACATTAACTTCGTCGTCGTCTGTCGTAGCGATTTGTTGTTTTTTCAATTTTTTTACTTTTTGGAAATGAGGTCTTTGGTTCCTTTTATTTAAAAATAGACTTAAATCGACCATATGTGTTCAGTGAGTTGTCAAATTACTACAATACTTGGTTTTTTATGACTACTCACTTTTATTTTTCCAGTTATATTATTCACACTTAATTAAAGCTTAAAAAGTTTTAAATAACTTACACTGTAGCTTGTACTTGTCCTAAATTGATAATATTGTTATACGTATTTCCTCCAACAAATGAATTAAGGTTACTTATCAATTGCATGCGTCGGCATAAACGTATTCGAGTGAAAATTATTTATCTATGCATTATACTGATCGAGACTCGGTCATGAAACAGAAGCTCGTTTACATAGAAAAATTTAAGAAAAAACATATTTGTGATTATATAAACATCAGACGTCATAAATCATTTGCATCAAGTGCATTACTCACAGGATTTCAAAAAGAAAAAGAATTTATATACGAAACAAGCTTTCTCTGCTGATGCTCCAAATACAAATAGATCTATTTATGTGCATCATTTCATAATCTTAGAAACATTGAGAAACCCAACACGGTGCAATTAGATTGAGCTACATATCATATTCTAATTTGTAAAACATTAAACAATTTTAGAAGTGTTGAGAAATTGATTTATTAGGATATGCTTATTTTTGTGTCGTTTAAAGAAAATTCGTCATACGTAGAAATTCAATTAAAATTAGATTTATGATTTCCAATTTTATGATGTGATTTTCTTATTTTTTAGATTCTAAAAATATCTGCAAAAAAGTTTAACGAATATTGTAAATTTAAAATAATTCTGTAGTCGTGAAAGCGTTTTGAAAATCGTCTAATCTAGTACAGACATATATGTCTATTTTTTTCACGTGTGGTTTAATATTTAATCATGCTTCCGACGTCGGTTGAGACCTTTTCTATCATTACATTGCAAAGTGTTTGCATAGAAAAATAATCATTCTAAAAACCATCTTATACCTATCATATCATATTCTATATCTCTTTTCCAACCTTTAGAAAGACCGATGGAGTTGAAAACTTTATTATCGGTTGGTTATAAAACAGAAACTTTATCAAAACATTACTGACGTTATTGAGTTCATTAATCCAATAAAAGCCGATTGTGTAAATATGCAAATATTATGTTCATTAATGTGAATAATATTTCATTAACGAAACATGCACGAGTGAATAATATTTTGATCTGATCTTCTTAAAAAGAACGTTATGACAAATGTTTGACTCTTGACTTGTAATTTAAAGAAAGGTTTGAGAGAGTTGAACAAAATTATGATAAAAATAAATCCAAACAATTCGAATGCTCTATGAAATGATTAAAATCAGAAAATATTTAATCTATATGCTGCTAAATTGTGAGGCTGTACAAAATTCACAGTAAATTTATTAAATAATTTATTCCCGGATTTTTCATTCTCAACTTTTTCTGTCAATTTTTTTCTGATGTGTGTGAATTAACAGTCATCTTGATCAAATAACTAAACAAGTGAAGTATTTGACAGTTTAACGTCCTATTATGTCAACACGAATGAAAATTATATGCCTGTTCATTAAGAGATCGCTTAAAGTTTGAGTAAATATTTATCACTTCATTTATCACTTCATCTGTTTCTTTTCTCAAATAAGCATAACATTCAAATCGAAATAAAAATAAATCATGATTATCAATGATGCATTTTAAGAAGAAATTAAAAATTTTATTTTTTAAAAAGAGGAAGACAAAAGATCAGAAAATAAGATAATGAATGCCAAATTTAAATACAATGGAGTTCAATAGAGGTGTAATAGAGGTCTTTACTCAGTTTCAGTTTAATAGAATGTTAGATCAACTTGTAATTCAATATACAGGCACGCATTTTTCAATTTTAGGTTTATTGCCATCGTCCGGATCATCTGCAATTAAATATATAAAAATAGATTGAAGAATATGAACTGAACGTTAATATTAAAAAAAATTTTAGTTGTTCAGAACAATCTAGATCCCCTTTTAAAGGAAAAACAAAGGAATTTTTGTCAAAAAACTAAATTATATTAAAATATTAACTCAAGCTTCTTAATTACCTGAGTCATATTTTGGGCAACATTCTCCTTCTGTAAATGTTGCTTTAGAGTCAGGGTTACTTGGTGGTTCACATATTTCAAAGTCTAAAGTTATAGGTTTTCCGTCATGACATTCGTACATAGTGCATCCTCTTCCATCAAAAGGTCCCAAAATTGTGTCTCCTTCATTATACACTTTATTATTGTAACGACATTCTATAGGAGCAAAAACAAGAAAATACATTTTTATCATTCGGTAGTAAGAAACTCTTGAAAAGCTTTTAAAGTATAGATAGGAACATTATTATTAAATAGCTTTCGACATTACTCTTTTCATCAGGTTCGTTTGAGCGTTCCGGTTCATCAGAACTGTCTTCTGTGATGGAAAAAAAGAGAGTTGTTCAGAAAAAAATATTCAAAAAGTTGAATATTAAAAATTACTTTCGTCTATTATCAGTTTGCCGCAATCCCATTTTGGACAACATTGCCCCTTAATCATGATTGCGATGCATTGAGGGTGTGGTGGTGGAGGGCAATACGTAGATTGATAATATGTAATTGCTCCTTTGATGCAATAGTATATAGGGCATGTAATCCCGTTGAATGGACCAGTGTAAACGTAGTCTCCATCAGAGTACGTTACTCCATTGTAAACGCAATCTATAATCAAGCAACGCATACTTTAAAGAAATCTCTTTATCTTTCAATTTATCTCGAAACTTTTGGGGAAATAGCGCAGTTAACCAGGAAGGAACCACCTTGGAATCGTAGCTAGAAGAGAACCACTAGTTTCGAACTTAACTTTCCACGCTATTTTAATTATTTATAGTTTAAAATTTAATAGAGAAATACTTTGGGCTATACTCTACTCGGAAATTAATTTCATAATCACCTGAAGGGCAATCCCATTTCGGGCAACATTCTCCTTTGATAAATATTCCTACACAATTAGGATGCGGTGCGAGATCGCAATGAGTAGATTGAAAATGAACAATTTCTCCATAGTCGCAAAAGTATTCAGGACAATATTTCCCATTAAATGGACCAGTGTAAACGTAGTCTCCATTTGCATACGTCACACCATTGTAAACACAATCTTTAGGAACAAAAAAGTGACAAATTAAGTAAAAAATTTGTTATTGTAGATATCTTATTCATATAAATTGGAAATTAATTTCATAATCACCTGAAGGACAATCCCATGTTGGACAACATGTTTCTTCATAGATAGGCTCACAGTTGGGATGCGGTGCGGGATCGCAAGGAATAGATTGATAATGAGTAATTTGTCCATCTACACAATGATATACTGGGCAATATTTTCCATTGAATGGGCCAGTATAAATATATTGTCCCTCAGCATACGTTACACCATCGTACGTGCAACCTATAGAAAAGGAAAAAGAAATTATTAGGTCAACAGGTCGTCAACAGATTATAACGTATTTCAGAAACTTTTGGACACACCCCCAGAGCAATCCCATTTCGGGCAACATTCTCCTTCAATATGTATTCCTACGCAATCTTTGTATGGCGCCGGCTCACAAGGAATAGATTTATAATGAATAATCTCCCCGTCTACACAATGGTATACAGGACAATATTTCCCATTAAATGGACCAGTGTAAACGTAATCTTCATCTGCATAGGTCACACCATTGTAAACACAATCTTTAGGAACAAAAAAGTGACAAATCAAATAAAAAAAATTTGTTATTGGATCTAATTTCATATAAATTGGAAAATAATTTCATAATCACCTGAAGTGCAGTCCCATTTCGGACAACATTCTCCTTCAATATGTATTCCTACACAATTAGGATGCGGTTTTGGATCACAAGGAATAGATTTCGAATATACAATTTCTCCATCGATGCAATAGTATACAGGACAATATTTCCCATTAAATGGACCAGTGTAAACGTAGTCTCCATTGGCATATGTCACGTCATCATAAACGCAATCTTTATAAACAAAAAAGTGAGAAAATATAAATCAAATTAAATTTGTTATTGGATCTAATTTCATATAAATTGGAAAATAATTTCATAATCACCTGAAGGGCAGTCCCATTTTGGACAACATTCTCCTTCAATATGTATTCCTACACAATTTGGATGTGGTTTAGGATCACAAGGAATAGATTTTGAATGTTTAATTTCTCCATCGATGCAAAAGTATACAGGGCAATATTTTCCATTAAATGGACCAGTGTAAATGTACACTCCATTTGCATATGCCACGCCATCATAAATGCAATCTAAAGAAGGAGAAATTATTATGAAGAATATCAATTACAAAAACTTGTTATACTTGTTACTTGTCCCCCAAAAAAAGTGAATTTATTAATTCTATAATTACCTCTAGGACAATCATATGTCGGGCAACATTCTCCTTTATGAAAGATAGGTTCACAGTAAGCATTTGGAGGTGGATCGCAAGGAATAGATTTATATGGTACAACTTTTCCATTGATGCAATAGTAAAGAGTGCATCCGTTTCCGTTAAAAGGTCCAGTATAAACGTATTTTTGATTATTATAATATGTCCCTTGGTGATAACATCCTGTGTTTGGAACAACACCTGTAGAAAAAATATATTAAATAAAAATAATTTTTACTCGCTTATTTTTAAAATTATTTTACGCACTGTCTTTAGGTGAACAATTGACTATTTCACTAGAAAATTTTAAAATGAAAAGTTAAAAAAATTGATTAATATATGTTTAAAGCAATAAAATATAAAAATTATTTTTTTATAATTTTTTTAACGATATTGAATGAACTTACACGTTGCCAACGAAGATGATGCTTATCACGAAAGCAGTTATAAAGTTTAAAGTATTCATCATCTTCCAATTGTTGATTGATAATGAGAAGTCTCAATACAATTTCTTGCCTTTTTATCTTTGATCTTGAAATAATTTCCCCTCGTATAGTAATTAATGATAAGAATTAAGGGAGGGGTGAATTTTTAAAGAAACATCTGTCAGCACGTACCCACGTTTATATACTAAAGTTTTCAACTTTTCCACTTAGTAAGTAAAGGTAGGTAGTTATAAAATTTTGCAGGAAACAAAAAGATATGAAGAGTTAAAGTCACGAATTGATTTTTTATGATTTTTCGGCGGTGACTTCCCCTAGTTCAACCTATTTTTTTCAATTTTTCCTATTTTTCAATTTTTCACTGTCTAAACTTTATATTTACCATGTTAATAAATTCTTTTCATTCCGCAAAATATTTTAATTTTATATTAAGAAAACTTGGCTTGTTCATCATCATCAATTTAACGGTTATGGAAAATTCAAAGAATAATTCTATGTTTAAGAAAGTGTCTTGAATATCAGTATAAAAATCTATTACAATTTACTGCTTTATTTACTTTCTAATTAGTAGAATCTCGTTCCATCGAATATTAATTTTTTACTCTTCCATATTAAAAGTAATATCATCTCATTATGTGCCGTTGTGTTGCCGGATCTTGCATCTGTTGGTAAATATAGGATTTGTTCCATTTAATTTTTGAAATCTTATAATTGAAATCCAAAGGAGAAAAAATCGATAAAAATAGACAATTTTAATGACTTCAAGTGACAAATATTTCCTTGCAGCTGCTTCTCCTGTGCTATAAATGTAGCCATATGGATTGCTTGTGTTCTTTTAGTTGCAGTTGCCGTCATTGCGGCAGGTGTTTATTTTGGTGTCCTAAATATCGATAAACAATCGCCAGGATTTGCTAAGGCCATCAATGATACTGTTTTTCCAAAACATTAGAGTGCTATGACGACGCTCAATCATTATGCAAACACGTGAGTCAAACACTTTGGTGTTGTGGACTGATAACAACATCCCACTCCTTTCTTTTCAGCAAGTATTTTGCATGCTTAAAATATGCCTAAATATTTAAAAATTATAAGCTCAGAAATATTTAACACTGTGCCTGATTGAATCTCAGATAATGTTTTTAACAATTATTATTAATTTATATTTTTAAAAGCATACTAACAGAACATAATATACCTACATATATGTAGCTTTTCTAATAAGTTTATAATTAATAACATTGAATTTTAATAAAATATTTATTGCGCCAAAAACGGATGTTTTAATTTGAAATATGTACTAGAATTTATATCAACAGAACGTAACTTGTTCACCCCGGACTTATAGAAAACTGAAACTTCGAGAAGTTAATTAATTAAGCTCTTAAACAAGGTATAAATATTAAGTAAAAATAGTGAGTATACAATTATTTATGTTGTTAAACTATCGATCGTCAGTTTATATGCTATAATTTGTTGGATTTAACATAGTCTGATGAAAGAATTGAGAAAATTCTGAAATCACATGAGAACACATTTTCCGGCATGTAATTTAATGCTTTATTTGTGAAATAAACAATTTAAAGTATGAAAAAAGTTCAAATTTTCATAAGTTCGTCGTTATTCTCATCTTTAATTAATTGTCAAGTGTTTATATTCAGCTTTATAAATTATATTATAACCTCTTATCCATTCATGTTAATATATTTAAATTTATGCAAAAACTTTCTTCTTCCAGATGTTTCGTTTGCCATCAGTGCTTCGTGCAACATGCTCTCGTCAACTTGCATACAGAACATATGCAAAAGATGTCAAATTTGGAGCAGAAGTGAGAGCAACTATGCTTCAAGGCGTTGACATTCTCGCTGATGCTGTTGCTGTCACCATGGGCCCTAAAGGCCGCAACGTTATTCTAGAACAATCTTGGGGTTCTCCAAAAATCACAAAGGACGGTGTCACAGTTGCAAAAGGTATCGAACTTAAAGATAAATTCCAAAATATTGGAGCTAAATTGGTTCAAGACGTCGCTAACAACACAAACGAAGAAGCTGGAGATGGTACCACCACTGCTACTGTAAGTTGCTTATAAATAATCAAATAAATATTTCATTTTATCAAATTCTCTTAAATTTCAGGTTCTTGCTAGAGCCATTGCCAAAGAAGGTTTCGAAAAGATATCAAAAGGAGCAAATCCGATTGAAATTCGTCGCGGTGTCATGATGGCTGTTGACACAGTGAAAGAAAATCTTAAGAAATTATCACGTCCTGTAACAACACCAGAAGAAATCGCACAAGTCGCAACCATTTCAGCGAATGGTGATCATGCTATTGGTGACCTTATCAGTGAAGCAATGAAGAAAGTTGGAAAAGACGGTGTCATCACAGTCAAAGATGGCAAGACACTCACAGACGAACTCGAAGTGATTGAAGGAATGAAATTCGATCGTGGCTACATCTCACCATACTTTATCAATTCATCAAAGGGTGCAAAGGTTGAATTCCAAGATGCTTTAATTTTGTTATCGGAGAAGAAAATTTCAACTGTTCAGTCAATCATCCCAGCTTTGGAATTGGCTAATCAACAACGTAAACCTCTCATCATCATTGCTGAAGATCTTGACGGTGAAGCGCTCAGCACATTGGTGGTAAATCGTCTTAAAATTGGACTTCAAGTTGCAGCTGTGAAAGCTCCAGGTTTTGGTGACAATCGTAAGTCAACTTTATCTGACATGGCAATCGCTACTGGTGGAATTGTCTTTGGCGATGAAGCAAATCTTGTTAAGATCGAAGATGTTCAACTTTCTGATTTTGGACAAGTCGGAGAAGTTGTCATTACAAAAGACGATACTTTGTTGTTGAAGGGACGAGGCGAACAGAGCAACATTGATCAACGGGCACAACAAATCAGAGATCAAATCGAAGACACAACATCTGAATATGAAAAAGAGAAACTTCAAGAAAGACTCGCTCGTTTAGCATCGGGAGTTGCTGTATTAAAAGTTGGTGGATCAAGTGAAGTTGAAGTGAATGAGAAGAAAGATCGCGTCAATGATGCATTATGTGCCACAAGAGCAGCTGTTGAAGAAGGAATCGTACCTGGAGGTGGCACCGCATTACTCCGATCAATTCCAGCTCTTAAAACTCTGAAAGGTTCAAACGATGATCAAAACATTGGCATTGAAATTGTTTGCCGAGCACTTCGTATGCCATGCTTACAAATTGCTAAAAATGCCGGAGTTGATGGTTCAGTTGTCGTCGCTAAAGTTGAGGAAAACACCGGTGATTTCGGATATGATGCAATGAACAATGAATATGTGAACATGATCGAGAAAGGCATCATTGATCCAACGAAGGTTGTAAGAACAGCTTTAACAGATGCTGCCGGTGTTGCTTCTCTTCTCACAACAGCCGAATGTGTCGTAACAGAAATTCCAAAAGAAGAACCTGCTGTACCTATGGGTGGAATGGGCGGTATGGGAGGTATGGGTGGTATGGGGGGCATGATGTAAATTACGCCACGTTAATTAAGCAGCTCATAACTTCAGCCGTTACATTCTCACATGTTTCTTATTTTTTTTATTCTTACAATATTGAGAGAAGAAAAAAAGGGAAAACGACAGCATTTAAGTTTTTTTTTAGTCCATAGTATGATGTTCCAAATGCATTGATAATAATTGCATAGATTACCCAGTTATCACATTGAATGACTTTTATTCAAGAAAACTAATATTAAGGATTGTCTTTGGAATGTCTTATGACGTTGATATAAATGGCATTTTTCACTATGTCGCCATTTCGTCAATAAGGCATTAAATTTACTACAAAAAATAACTTCTGAATTCAATGTTCAAGACATTGGCAGTTCTTGTAATGTTAAATTCACAAGTTGTACTGACGTTTATCGAAGTAAATAAAACAAAAGTTTAAGTATGCGCGAGATGAAGAAATAAAGACTTTGTATAAAAAAATAAATGTACGATATGTTGTTAATTTGGTTTCTTTATAGGTTTTCATGAAATTATTTATCATTTTTAATTTTGTCTAAAAACGTAAGAAATCAAAATTGAATGATTTTTAACGGAAATTTTGAATTCAAAAAAAAGCCTGTAAATAGAAGATTTTCTTTACCTTTATAAGTCATACGAAACCTGCTCAAAAAAACTTACCTTTATAACTCAAGTGAGATTTTTAAGAAAATATAAATATTGAAATATTTGTAAAATGTCTATGAGAATAATACAAAATTTCACTAGCCTTGAGAAAGAATTGGAAACAGCAAAAACCAATTTAAAAGATTTAAATGAGAACATTAAAAGGATTTACGGAAAGCAGGATAATTTCAGGTCTGTTTCAATGACTGCAATTTTCAATACATTCTGTTATTAAAAAATATTTTTCTTTAGTGACAAGAAACGCACAACTGGCTCATTTGATGCCGGAAAGAATCGTAATGACCTGAAAGTTCAGCGTAATTTTGAACCACCATTTGCGAAGAGACGTTCAGATACATTCAGTAGATTGGGTGTAAAAGAAGACGATGATGATGACTTTCCTAAGCCGAAAATTTCATCGAGAGTTATTAGCAAAGAACATCCACCAGTGACACGAGAGAATGCTCTAGCTATGCAGTCGAAAAACACTGATTTGGCTCGAAATAAGAGAATGTTCGGAAGTCTCCTGGGAACCCTTCAGAAATTTCGAAGTGAAGAAGATCGGGGAGTTCTTGAGAAAAGAGCAAAAATTGAGATGAAGATAGAGCAACAACAGATGATGGTCAAGGAGCAGATTAAACATGAAAAAGATACGCTTATTGCAGATCGTAGACGAAAACAGTTAGAAATCAAATCTTTAGAGTTGAAAATGATAAAATTGCGCAATTTAAAGACTTGGGAAGAGCACAAACAGTCACTGTTTAAGTTCATTGGAACGAAGTCAAAACCACAAATCTTTTACCTTCCAAAAGTTTTCACACCAAAAACCGATGAGTTATTAAAGCAAACACAAGAAGAGTTACAGAAGACAATTGATCAACGAAGACGAGACGTTGAAAAAGAAATTCAAGACATCGAGGAGCGACTCGAAAATGATCTTCAAGCATTAAAAGATGGAAAACTAAAAAAATCACATGACGCTGAATCAGAAACATCCGAGACAAACGACACAAATAATTTTTCCGATAATGAGAATAACGATGCCATGAAAGATGTTGTAAAGAAAGACGAAGATAACAGCATTGGTGATGGTGGTAAGTTATTTGTCAGAAAACAAATTCTTAAATACATAAATTCTCTTTTTTCATTCTCCCAGATCGTAAGCGCAAACGAAGCATTTCACCAGAAAAAACATTGAGATCTCAAGTCGTCGTGAAGAAAAGAAATCACTGATCCAATTTAATTCAATCCAAAAATAAATGAGAAGAGTGAATGAAAAATAAATTTCATAAATAGCTTGTAATCGATTTCTCCTTATCTTTGATCCAATTTGTTGCAACCTGCAACTATCAAAAGAAAAAAGAATGAATGAATGAATGAATGAAACTGTTGATAATAATTCAATAATTTCAATTTTCAATTGTAAACTTTTAATATCCATCTCTCATTCTTTTGTGCTTTTTTAATAATAAAAGATGAAAAATTAATTCGTTTTATAGACGATGCATTGGATAAATAGAATAATTTTGATTACATCATTCAATCAAAAGTTTTTCATTACAGATTTTACCCAGTCGCAAATAATTCATTTGCTACCTGTGACGTTCAGTCTGCATAAATATTTTCGCGACCGTAATTTCCATAATTAACTAATTAATTTAAAACAACATATATTCGGAGCTTTGTTATATGTGCAGCACATGACGCTTGTATAAACATTTCACTCATAACAAAAATTATCAAACTTTATATAGGCATTTATGTTTTAACAAAAGCGGTGATTCCGGGACAACAAACATTTTGAAACAAATGAAAATTTTTCATGCTGCTTTGGTAATTAATAAACAATTTTCCTACAGTTAAAACTTCATGATGTCATCATTAAATGAATAGATTGAAAAACTTTACCATACCTCACCATTTAAATTGTTGATTGTTCAGGAAGAAAGTGAACTGATACATCATTTGACTCTCTGCTTAATAATTCAAATGAAATTGTCTGAAAAATGTTGTAAAACGAAGGATTTCCTTTCTCATAGGAAATTGTTGGAAGTAAGGAGAGAAGAAAAATAATTTCAGACATCATGCGATCTTTTCATAACGAAATCATATCTTATGCTTATGTGATGAGAATATATGAGTGAAACATATTTATGCAAACGACACACAATGAACTTAAATTGCAAATGAACCAATTTATAAAATTTCCGGTGAATTTTAAGACGTGTTTGAAAGTTTGAAAAGTTTAGACGATGATCAACGTTGATTAATAATTTTAACGTGAGAAGTTGTTGTGCTAACAAAGTAAGAGTCTGGAAGTCATCATGATGAAATGTTTCATTTTTCAAAGCCAGAATAGAAATCAACGAGAGTCGAAGCGAAGTTTTCTCATTACAAAACATAAGCACTAAAAGTTAATCATCACATCAATGGCTTCATATTGCAGCTATTTTACTTTGTATCCTTTGTGAGTTGACAACTCCACAAATCATCAACGCAGAAACTTAAATATGAATTGTTGATGACAATCGTACTCGTAGCAGCATCAGTAAGCAGTATAAGCAATGTCATAGTCATAATTATTATTGCGACACAACTTTCAATTGCTACGAGCGTGCAATGAAAAATTATTTTCTTTTATTTACCAAACAAGGGTTGAAGATGAGAGGACGGGAAGGCTGATGAAAGTTTTTATTGCCGTCAAACCACACTCGAAAGCGAGGAAGATGAACACTTACATGAAGTGAATTTGAATCCGAAAATATCATGCAAAATTATTATCGTACGGTCTTCATGAATTTTTGTGTCTTTCTTCCTCGTTTTTTCATCGTGTTTTGAATTGAAGTCGAGAGTATAAAAGTTGTGCAATAAAAGTTTTCATCAGAAATTTACCTCACATATATTTATAAAGCGAAAAGAGAACGAGAGGAAAAAAAAGTAAAGAATGAAATGAAAAATATTTCACATAGAGTGTAAAAGAAGCTCAAGCAACGTTCCAATTTGTGAACAGCAATGTCCGGCATTCTCGTTTATTGGTGAAATATGTTCCAACTTTCTTCGTCACACAACTTGGAATTGAAATGATTCGCTTGGAGTTGTTACGTTATTCATGAAGAAGCCGTAAGTTGAACAATAAAATTATCACAAATTCAGTTCATGTACGAATCGAGAAGTGATTTGCTCAGGAAAGGAGAAATGAAGAAAAATAAAATAAAATTCCAATTTTTCCCACTCTCGGAAATGGAAAAATTTAACTTGCCACAGTAATTTTTATATTTTTTTCTGTGCTTCTTGCATTCTCCAACAAAAACCCGACAATACTTTAAAAGAAAGAGAAAAAACAGGCAAAATGTGTAATTCAATAGAAAAGCGACGATGAAAGCTTTTTGGGAAATTAATAACTTTTCAAATAAAGCTTTTTATTCGAAGTTCGAACATGAAACCAGCGAACAAACAAAAACAAGAAAAAAAAACTAAAGTGCAGTAAATTCTTCATTATTTTTCCATCTCTTTTTTCTTATTTTCCCGGATATGAAAAATAAATATTAAAAAGGAATAAAAATGCAGCAAAATGTAAGTGAAGGGATTGTGCACGTAGAACGTCTCAAAGGACCTCAACTGACTCGACACGTTTCATGGAAATGTCTCTTGCAGCTTTGTTCTACAACATCATCGTGGTGAACCCACCAGAACGTCATTTCAATCTCATCCAAGTGCACAAATATCTCATGAAAAAGCTTTCTGCTTTCCATACATCACACGAATTTTTTTCCCCTCACTCATAATTGTTTTCTAATTTGTCATGATAACAGAATGGAGAAGTGAAAAACTACAGTAATTATTTTCGAGGGCAGAAACTATCGAAACGACAATCGCGTCCGTAAGCCGTCGACGACTATCGATGTGAGGGTTTTTAATTTATGATCTATTAACGAGTCGCTTTATCATCAGCCAATAAATTTCATCTCGCTTCAGTCCGCCCGGGTTTTTATGGCAATCAACTCTCGATTTTATCGTCACAAAATTATTTAATCGACTTTCATGGCATGATTTCTATTTTCGATCATCCCTGTCAAAAATTCGATGATGGTGGTGATGATAGCGGTTCAGACAGTAAACGGCAAGTGAACACAGGAAGTATAAGCCCACAAAGCGTAGACAATTCGATGGTCGATTAATGTTTCATGTTCACTTTTCTTTGTTGATATTATCAGTCAGAAAGTATTCTCATAAAGCGCAATTGGAGTCATCCACATCACTGAGTAATTGCGTCATTGAAGATTAAAGATATGAATAAAGACATTAAATGAAAATTCGTATTCTCTGTCGTAAAATATTGAGAGGCTTTTCGCATCGCATATTTATCCATGGCCAGAACGACAATTTGAATTGCCTTCGCATAATCATGTTGTTGTCTGTTCAACACAACACAAAGCTTTGATGGAGATTCAGAGATAAGCTGAACGAGAAAGACAAAGCCGGAAAAGTCGCAAACTTAAATTTGCTGCAATTGCAAACAAACAATAAATCTTTTTATCATCTGTGCACTTGCAGTGTATTGCTTTCGAGTAGTTTATAGATTTTAATCACAGCCCATTTTTTCTGCTCTTGTTTTCACTTCCCAAAAACGTGAGACTTTTTATAGATTTGTGGTGACAAGAAAAAAAAATTGTCGGTTTAACTTCCCTTTTATGAGTGTGCACAGTTCACACACAACAGAAATGTCCATCCAGTCAACTATTGACAGAACGGAAATAATCATGGAATAACAACATACAACATGCACAAAACATTCAATTTGGGATCGTTTGAGTCATCCACCGACCAGACAAAAGCTACGAAACGAAGAGGAAAATTCCGATTGTCATGTGACAAATGCCACTGGTTAGTTGGACGTTGTTCATTTAGCATGACGTTTCATTTTTGATAATGAATGTACAGAGAACAACTGACTTGAGTTATCACAAATCTTCACTGCAATAATAAATCACGAAATAATTATGTAATTTCACTATTTAAATTTCGTCCCTTTTTGTTAGAAATTTATTTCGAAATACCTTTCAGTTAACTCTCGCAAGATAAATGAGATCACCAACATTATCAACAACAACAATAACAGCAACATCAACATAAAAAATGTGAAAAGGTTGAAAACTTCCCTAGCAACTTCTCAAACTTATTTAGATTGAAATTCTTATCGGTTTCTTTAGCACCGGAAATTAGAAATTAAAATTTTATAATGAAATAATTTCCCTTGAGACGCATCGCAAGATTTTCTTTGATCCCATCCGAACGTCACTCATGAGTCATGAATCTCCCGAAAGAAATCTCACTTTTCGTGTTAAAGGATCAAATCCAGAAGGAAATTGAGGACAAAATGTAAGCATGGCGTTTGACATAAGTAAGCAAGTGTCAGATCGACCGACAACTTTTCCACTATAGAATTTTCAAACAAAAGTCTAAGTCACATAAAAGATTTTTCCATTTCGATCAAATCGGATCCGGTTGACGTTCATACATAAAGAAAGTGAGTGAATGAGTGAGCGAACGAGTGGAAAATAAACGAGAATTAAAAATAAGTCAGTCATTGATAACATGTAGTAAAAAAAAAAGAAAAATAAGGAAACAAAACTCACCATCTGATGAAGAACTTTCGATGTGGAGACGATGAATGAATAAGGCAGCAGATGAAAAATTGGATGAAGTTGGAAAAGGAAATCGATTTAGTTGAATGATTTTCGCTTGGTTTGATTTCAAGCTCAAACTGTGCCCAAAAGTCACAAATAATAAAGTAGTTTTCTTTCCATTATTCAATTTTTCTTTCTTCATTCACCCTCCAGCTCGAAACTTCTCCAGCTAAAAGAATTTCCTCTTAGTTTTCTGGATATTTTGGTGCACAATATCATTTCTAGTTTTCTCAATTTCATTTCCCTTGCAATGCTTCTTGCCACATCATAGCTCAAGGGGGAAAAATCTGTATAAGTAAAAGCACCAAATAACAACGAAATAAAGAATTGTTGTATTCGGAAATAATTTATTTATGTTGAATGTTTATATTTATTTATTGCATCGCGTTCAAATAAAAGCGAAAAATTAAAAAAGAAAACTTTTTTGTGCATTGTGCAGCGGCTTTTGTAAATAAATATACAAACATGCACAAAAGAGCAATGGAAAGCTTTAGTGTGAAATTGAAGATGAAAATTCGGATTTGTTTTTGGTTGATGAAATTTATTTGAATTTAAAAAATTTATACCTCGAAAGAACAAAAAGCGAAGAGAAACAATTTTATGCAATGTATAATTCACCCCTAGAGCGAAAATCTGAGAAAAGTGAAGGAAATTTTGTGGGGATTTCTTGGCTGAATGCAATTTTCAGATAATTTTCCATTACTCATTTGATTCGATGGGAATTTGGTTTTTATGTTTTTGAATTAAGCATATAAGCTTACGAAATTTGTTCCAATCATCTCTCGTAAAACTATTTTCATTTTTCTTTCTCTTCGCTAACATTTCCACCACTCTCGCTTCCCATTTTTAAACATGCTGAACGATTGAAGTTGATCTCATAAGCTTTCTACAGTTTCACAATGGCATTTCTCGGGTTTTCAAGCTTCATGTTGCATAATTTGTAAATGGTTTTGTATCATTCGCCAAAAGACTTTGATTTAAATACAATGCAAGCACAAAGAAGATCATCAGGGTGAGTGAAATGAGAAGGGGAGGAAGAAGGAAAATCGAGGGGGTGAAGTCGTAACCGAGAAATAGTTCTGCTTGATTAAATCCAATAATTTTGACAATAATGTGTTCCATCGAGCGTACCATGGAGATTTTCTACATAAAATTTTACTTTTTTTATTCCTTCGACATTTTCGGGTTTGGGATTTAATTTCTTTGTGTGTGTATGTGTGGAAACTTTAGTTTGAAAATTTTAAAACCCATGAAAATCGTTTTATCATTGACTAACTGACTGTAACCTTTTAATCGTACTTTTTGGTTTTTTTCTCTCTCGTAATCGGATAACAAAGTTGTTGGAGAGATCTAAATTATAGCTTTGTCTGTATGTAAGTGACGCAAGTTTTATTATGTTTTTTTGGTAGTTTTACAAAATTATCGAAATAGTGGAAACCATTTAAAGCTGTTACGTTGTGCTGTTAATCGATGTTGTCACTTGGTCAGTTGAAATGAAATGATTAAATGACTCACAAAAAATTCTCTTTAAAAATTTCTACAGTTGAAATACCAGGAAAAATTATTATTAATAAGCTACCTAATCAAAAATTTAAAGCATTTCCCTGCCTTGTTGGAAACATTTCTCATTCCCCTAACCATCAACTTGGTTTTCATCATTATTGTTGATACAAATGTGAATAAAAATAACAAAGAAACTCAAACTCAAGACAATGTGGGTGTAGGTAGGTAACAAAGCTTAAATTTCTTCTTTCAAAAATTGAAAATTTGTTGAAATTTTTTGTGCCGACTTCAACCTTTCACTATGAGATTAGAATTATGTCATGAGATATGATTAATAGTTGGCTGCTACTCTCGGTAAAAAAGGATACAAATTACTAAAGTAGAAAAACGTTTCCGCATTTTTCACATCTCTCATTCCGTTTCCTTGATTTTTATGGAGGTTGATGGTGTTGGGGTTGTAAGCGTATCCTTGGGATATTTAACCTCAACCAAGGAGCACCAGAAACCATTAGCATCATAAATATTTTTCAATTTTTTCTTACTTCTTCATGCCCACCGTCGTCTCTTTTGCTTCCTTTTTTCCCTTCTCCATTCCGATGAAGATTCTTCATTCACTTCTCTGTCGGTTAACTCGACGATGGGAAAAAAAAGAACGAAACAGAAAAAAAAGAGGAAAACATTTTTTTTACTCTGCCGCTTTTACCGATGCAGAGTTGAAAGCTCAGCAGAATGTACAAGAAAAAATGTACGAAGAACGATCTTCTTTATCCATCTCAAGTCTCAAACTATTTTAAATAACTGGAATTAATAAAATTGCTAAAGACAACTCGCTCATTTCCTTCGTTTGCATTTTATGAAAAGCTTTTTCGTTCTTTTGTTTACAGAAAGCAGAGGAAATTTTCTTTCTTATTTTAATGTCATCTTTTCCGATTCACACTTCAAAGTTGCTGACAATAAGAATATAAAACACTTTGCTCATCTTGCACAATTTCAATTATAAAAGCAAACGAATAATTATTATAAAGAATTGTTGTACACAAATTAAGAATTCACTTGAGGGCGGGAAAGATTCTTACAGACGATAAGAATAATTGTTATCATCATATTATTATTATACGAAACAGTTTAGCAAAGCGAGTCTTTAAATTATTAAATAAGATTAAGTCTCAAAAGACTTGTTAGATGCTACTAACTAATACTTAAAATGATGATGATATTTTCTCATAATTCTTTCTTTTTTTCTCTCTCTTTCCTTGTCTTGGATAAGCAAGTATTCTTAATTAAAATGTGGCTTAAGGAATATGGAATCTTTCATCTGTGGTTTTCCTTTTGAAACAACAACAACGACAACGATGACTTTTAATGAGACCAACTCGAGTGTCGCTTTTACTTTTTTCACCCTTTTCATGGCTCTGCCCTTTCCACATCTCACAATTCTGTCAAAAATTTCTGCAAGCATGTACTTCACTATCATTCGTAACATTCCAAGACGTCTTCAAAGCATTAAGCCTTTTGTTGTGAAAGTTGCGACGAAAATACTTCACGAGGAATTCATATTAAAGATTCTTCTTTCCATTTCTTCGGTTTGGGTTGTGTTAAAATTTAATGTTTGTGAAAAACGTTTTGTTACTTATCATTTGAAATGAATGTGACGATGCTAAGTAAAAAAGCTTTTAAATTGTCGATTTAAACTGAAGTAAAAGGATTAACGTTCGCTTGTCTCGCTCAACATCCATAAATTTGCGCAAATTATAGTTTTAAAATATGCTTCGGTGTGTAGATTTTCCATAAGCAGTGCTATGTGGTTAGAAAAAGGGACTCCAATAATGTGTCAAGATGAATATATTTATTTGTCGAAAATGGTAATATTCACAGTTTTGCGCTTTGAATGTGAAAGCAGATTTGAACACAAAAAAACAATTTTGTATGCTTGAAGGTTTTCTTTTTATCGTCTTGAATCAGCGGCTAGATTTAGTCAGAATATATTTCTTTAATTTATTTTTTGATAACTTTATATGATTTCTACTTATATTTAGATTTGTAGAATTGGCAAATATTTCAAAATTATAACAAAGTTTTAAGCTTACAAAGTCATGATTTTCAGTTGACGTGGAAACAAACAAATCTGACGGCAAAAAGTAAAAGCTCAAGCACCGTGAAATTTCATTCTCCAACTAAATCTCAGACTAAACAATCTACTAAAGCTAGTTTTACAATGAGAAGACATGTTTACAAGAGCAAAGAATGAGAATCGAAAACGATAAACTTGGCATGGCACCAGACGCTGCAGGACAACAATAACAAGACCCACATAGTAAAATTCAAAAACCTCAATAAATCAATTTATAAATTGAATTTTCTTTAAACATGCTTTCGTGCATTCACTTTCGCTTTATATCGTATATCCCAAAGTTCACATTTAATATATCTGGAAAACCGAGATGAGATGAACGACTTGAAAGTAGAAGAAAGCTTTCTTCATGCATGGTTAACCAGAAGTAGTCAAAGTATTGGATTACCAGCACTTTGCTATTTATATGGACATTAAATGCATTTGTGTGTTTTGAAATTGCATAAATATTGATGTGCTCATATTCAAGTTATTACAAATAGATATCATGTTTGATGTTCCATATTAAAACAATTCCATCTTTTGCCATCATCATTCATGAATATAAATAAATAAATAAATAAAATTCATATGACTTCATGTTTTCCTTTTTCCTCCCAAATTTCTGTTTATTTTATGGCATGAAAATCTTCAAATCTTCAGTTCAAAATGCAAATAGACAAACCATAGGTCGTTATAGTGAAAATTCAATTTCATTTTTTCCTTCTTTTGTTTTTCATCTTCAATCTTTAATATTATGAAGTTGAGTTTGCTTAGAGATGTTGTCACGTTACCAAAGTTATCAGATTGAGAAAATCACATTTTAAGAACACCATAGAGAATGTAATCCCTTTAAAGTTATTTTTCGAGGATATCTGAGGGACGAGATCGAATTCTATCTAACTTAAAAACATCCTTTTCAAATGTACAACATTGTACACGATGAAAATAGTTCAAGCATCACATTAGAGTCAGAGTTTACACATCCAACTTGTACAAATTTGAAATTTCAAGTCTAAACAAACAAGGAAAATGTTTAAAAGCAAACATAAATCTTTAAATCTCTTTTGGTTTATTTTTTTATTCTATTTTCATCTTATTCGCCTTTTTAATTTTCAATGTTTTCTCGCCGTGCATCCGTTTGTGTGGTGTAAGCCATGAAATATGAAGCGAAGATAATGAAATATATTTTCTCGGTCTTACTTGCTTTTCCTCCGTTCCGTTCGTTTCGTTTCGTTTCTTTCTCATTTATCGCTCCTTTTTATGCTACCAAATCGACCTACTATTGTGCTTCGTGCAATCATATAATATTTAGTTAAGCCCTACTCATTTGCGGAGGCTCCTTTGGAGATTCGTTCTCACTCCCACCCCTTCCATCTTTCTCCTGAATGTATGTTTGTTTGTACTTTTTACGATGGTTATTTTTTCCCATTGGCAATGAATTGAATAAAAAGATCTTTCCATGTTCATAATTTTCCGTTTTTTCGGTAGATATTTTTCTCTTCAACTTCTTCGTTTACTACCCATTCTTGATGTTCGTCCTTTTTTTTTCTTTACCCTCTCCATCTTCATCTCCTCTTCTCGGAATGAACCAATTATTTTAGTATCAAAGATAACTGCTCTTATCATCGCATTCCCATATTATGTAGCAAAGAACTATAATATGATGTTATATGTATGGTTAAGCGGAATAAACATTTCAATGAAGAGTGAAGAATCGAGACTCTAGACTTCTTTTGCTTTGTTGTTTTGCTGGCATTTTTCTTCGAAATGTGAAAGAGGCTGACGAAAAACAAAAATAAAGGAAAAAAATGAGACAAATTTATTCATTCTATGTTGTCTGAATGTAGAGCTGGAATGGCATGGCCAATTCAGAATCCAACTCATCATCATCATCATTGTCGTCATAGGTTGAAGCATAGAGAATCCCCACTTCGGTATGGTGATAAAACGCTTAACATTTTTCACAATGTTTCTGCCGACATAATTTCTTTCCTTACGTTGTTTGTTTTGAAGAAAATGAAAAGAATTTGCCCTTTTTTTTTTTGCTCAGTTTCGTTCTGTTCCATTGCGATCTCCTTTCGAGAGTTGTTTATTCGAATAAAATATTTGCGACTCCTAAAGATGTGGAGAGAAAAAAAGGGAAAATACAAAATATAAGACGTGACCTCTAAGAAAGCTTGGGCAAAAAACAAAAAACTTAAGCAAAGAATGAAAATATTCAAAGATGTGTTACATAAATTCATGAATTTATTGCTTTGCACATTCATACCGACATTCGACTATTCAAGTTTCATATCAAATTTATAACAATAAAAAGATGACAGCGAATTGTCCACACATATATTTGCTTATGACAGAGAATTTCTGGGCGACTTGTAAAGAAGGTAAAGGGAACATAACAATGATTTATCTTGGGGTCTTTTATGGTTCACCATTAAAATCGCATTTACTTGCATTATTCACATTTACGTTGAAGAATTCCTGCAATGATGAAAAAAAAGTAAAGTTTCGATATCAAATGAATCATTAATGATGCAATAAAAATCATTTTATTGATAACTGCCGTTTTGTTATAGCTTATGAGAAATTTTCCATAAAATAAAATTAAATTTCAATTCATGAATTTTCTTATTATAGAATGTAGAACATTTTTGTTTGGATATTTACCTTCATATATCTCCTTATTGCCTTTCAAAGGTACAAGCCAAAAAAGAAAAGATGAGAAAATAAATGACAAGGAAAATCTCAACACGACATGTCCTTTAACAAGCTTTCTTTTTGTATGACATAAGTAATTTGAATGGTCTTTATTTCCCAAATATCTGTGATTCTTTCTCTTTTTTTATCTTCCCTGTTCGGTTTTCTTTTTTTTCTGTTGATGCTTTTTTTGTTATTTGGTATTTGGTTAAAGCGCTTCACCCTCATGTAATGCTGATTGTAATAGGATCCTTGCTTTACCTTCCTCTTTGTAGCGTTTTCCCCATTAAATCTCATAGAATTTGCACCAGGTAAAGGATAAACAATTTGTCATGAATAAAATTGTATATAGATGTGTGTGTGTGTGTGTGTGTGTGCATAGCTTTACCTTTCTTCTCAAATTAAATTTGCTGAAGACCATGCATACCAAATAAGTTTCTACTTCTACTTCGACTCTTCTCACTCGCTCGTATATAATGTTTGTTGAAAAATGTTTGAAATATTTTTCGCATTTAGTTTCGACCTAAAAAAGCATAAGATATGTTCAGAAAATATAATGGAAAAATAAATGGAGGATAAACGTTCATCCAATCTTTGAAAAAAAAAGAAATTTTCTGCATATCGTATTCCATCGGCGTACGATGGTGCATCATTTAATTTTCGATAAATTCGAGATTATCATTTGAAAATAAATTCTCATCGGCTTAAAGTCAAAGAGTCAGAGATTAGTTATAATGATAGATGATAATAATGCGATGGTAGAGCTATCAACAATTAAAAGATTAATGAGCTTTTATGTGCATTAGTCATGAGTTATAGTTGAGGGTTGGAAAAAACTTGAGTTGAACGAAGGATATCTGCAGAAGCAAGTTTTTAAATTATAATTTAAAGAGTGTGAAGCATTTCATTTAATTTGTTGAAAGTAATACTCTCTCTGTGGCTTATATCACATATTTTCATGAAAACAAACATATGAACAAGTTCTGGCTCCACAACACGAATGTGGAAAAAAAGAATGAGTGAAAAATTCGAAGAATAACATCAGTAATAACAATGATAAGCTTTTATGAGCATTTTGAGGTCAATTTTCCATCATTTCAAATGAATGCAAAAGAAGAGAAAAAATGTTTAATTAAATCTCACATTTTAATTTCTACTTTTATGGTAAAATGAAATCTGATAAAGTGGCAAAATGAAATCATAAATAATTTCATTGCAATGGTTACAATACATCCGAATTAATTACCGATGAATGAGGCAATGCGGAAAACATCAAAATAGATCGATAAAGTCAATTTTCAAGTCGTGCAGTCAAAATTCAATACGAGGATTATGAAACTATCGAAAACAGTAATTTGATTATCCGGAAAATTTCCCGAAAACTTCTTCTGTGACTTTATAATAACATGAAAGTTTCGGAAAATTCTGCTTCTTCTTCCCCCAACTTTTCTCCCTTCAAAATGAAAACTTTGTGAAAATCAATTAAAATTAATACTTTTAGCATCTCACTTCCTTAACTTTATTTTCAATAATAAATTACACTAGAAGTTATTATGAGAGAAGAAAGAAGCTCAAGATTTTTCCTAAGAAAACTTCCCACAATGCCAGCAATTCATCGTTCGCTGAAAAACCAAAAGAAAAAAAAAAGTAAAATCAGAGGAAACAACTTTTCCTCATCGGGAAAAGCGTGCATGTAATAATTTTATTAACTGTCTGCAAAAATTCTTCTCTTATGTTTATAAATTCTGTTGAAAAGATTCATCAAAAACGTTTCGAGAATATTTTTAAACGAAACCCCCACACCGCTTTTCTTACTTTTGTATTGATTTGTATGCGAACAAATGTGCTTTATATTCAAATCTCTTTCTCAGCTGAGAATGGAAAATGTTAAAAAAAGAAGGAAGATGAAGATTGGGGGAAAAATGGATCCGCACACATAATCACAATTGTTTTTTCAAAGATTATAAAAATTGAATGGCAAAAGCTTTATGATTTATCGCGATCGCATTGATTTTCCTTTCTTTCCTAAACATATTTCCGTTTTTTTTCTTGCCTTCATTCTTTCATCTTCCTTTCACTGTTTAAGTACCATGAGAGGCTGTTCATCCAGAAGCTGTCGAATGATACTAAGAAAATACAATATAAAGCATAAGCTGTATAAAATGATAATGAATTATATTTTGATTATGGATTTGGGGCACCTTTGAAGAAATGTGTACAGAATAATAATATGATGCTTGAAAGATTCTTAACTTCAATCGTTTTCTTCTTCCCTTCATTCACGTTTTACTTTACAAATTTTAAGAGATTTCTTTCGAGAAATTTCTTCATGTATGCTATCTTTATCCCACCATTAGTAACACTAAGAATCTGATGTGTTTCAAGTCTGTAATTGACATAATTTACTTATACAATCACATTTAAAGCAGCAGGAGTTTCTCATTCAACTCACAAATCTTCTTGTTTTCGTGAAAAAAGCCACACAACAGCATCTTGATACTCCCACGCGCGTTATTTTTAAAACGCTTTAATCTTTCGCTTTTTCAGTGAAACTCAACTTTTCCAACGCGCTAATTAAAAGTGCTTCAAACTTTAAACTCAACATATATACGAATGTCAATGCAAACATCTAATTTATGCTTTTTACAAATTAATTGCTGTTTAAAAGCATTGCTGTGTAACCTTATGTGGCGAGTCAACAAAATAGCAAAGCAACACAAAAATATAAAAGCATGAAAAACTATTCTAAACATTTTCATTGAAAGCTGTAGGGTAACCCGGAATAAGGGTGGTGGAAAAACTTTATTCAGCGCTCGATGAAATAAAAAAGAAGAAAAATACATTCAGATTATATTTCACACACAACATGAAGCATAAAATGTCCCGACTAAATTAAAGTCACATGGAAAAAAAAAACTTTCAATTCAGTCGAGCATAAAAAAGAATTATCCGACTTTATCCCAAAGCCGGGTTGAAATTATCATGTAAAATTTTATGCGTTGATGATATCGTTGCTGAAAATTATGTACCGGCTCATGATTCTTTTCCGCTATTTGAGCACCCACATAAATATGATAATTATGCGCTGTTTTTAACATAGACAACTTTTCCTCTTTCCCTCTCCTCGTTAGTACGTACGAGCTGCTGGGGGTTAAACAACAACGATAATGGCTTTATTTTTTATTCCAGAAAATCAAAAAGCATTCAATAGAAACATAAACGAATTTTATGAAATATGTTGAAATAGTTGAAAAGCGGAAAAATATGTAAATCTGTAAAATTCATAAATTCAGTTTTTTTCTCGCTTCTTTCTCTCCACATTCAAGTTCTGCCGGTTCCAGCCTTAACAGAGCTCTCATAGATACTGAAGCATGATGCATTTTATTTAATCATGCTCTTTCATTTTTCATCTAGTGGTTGGCTATATTCACAACATGATGCACACAATGCACGATGTTACATACATCCATATAGCTGAAACAGTTAAAAAACAATTCATTTGTCTACAAATAAACTGATTTCGTTCAGCTGCTAGCTGTTTTGGTGGCTTTAAAACTATTTTGATGTTCCCATAACACCTTCAATTAGTTTGTACTTTGTTTGAGATTACACATTGGCATGAGATATTAAAGAATTCTGAAAATGTTACAAATCTGGAGAGGAGAAAAAAGTGCAGGGCATTTAACCACCACAAAGAGTTCAAACATGTGTTACAAATTGTTGTGCAATAAATTTTCCTTCCACATATCCAATTTGCCCCCAAAAATTTTGTAATTTTATGGAAATTCAATGTTCTGAGATGTTAAACACACTTTTGTTGTGCAAATCGTAATTGAATTTGTTATCTCGTTATACATTTGAATAATCAGATTTCTATGGGGTTTTACGCCATGAATGAACGAGTGTTTCAAATAATGAAACATGATCAATGATAATTTTCAATGATAAAGCAGAAAATACTTGAGCAACGAACGAACAAGCGAACGAAAGACTAAAATGAAAATGGGTTTGTTTTTCCTTGTCGTTTCTCATGTAGGATGCGAACGATTTCGTTACAGATTGAGCCTCGATGTTCCTCGTTCAATCCATTCTATACATCATTTTAAGATGGCTCCTTAAAGCCTCTCAAATTATTGATTTATGTACTCATTCGAGAAATTTTCTAGTCCAAATGTAATTTATTGTGCGTTTAAATAACTATGCTGACAGTATTAATTGATCAAATTGTACGTTGAAGAGGGAAAAATCGTCATGTTGATGGTGCGAGTAAAGGATTCGATGCAATAGTAGCAATTAAGAATATCAAGAAGTAAAAATCTAAATTGATTATAATAAAACCAAAGTCATATTTTATTTCACCATCTAGCGACTTTATGGCATGTTTTCCTCAAGGAATCGTCCTATTAAAAGCTGAAAATTTATGATCATTACTTTCCGAAATGGCATTCACAGATATGTATAAAGACGTAAGAAGCGTAAAAGCGAAGAGAAGAGAAAGCTCCCCAAAGTTTATGTTAATTCGGTTGATAGAAGTTCAAAGACACTCCGTGGATAAATAACAGTTAATGCTGTTTTATGTCTTCTCGAACATTATTCAATTGAATTCACCTGTCACCTAATGTGATTGGAATGAAAAACTGTTGCTTTCTATCATTTCGCTCACTGAAATTCGTTCCGTTCCATTGTGCGAATACAAATTTCGTTTTCTCATTTTCTCCTCCACGACTGATGAATAATGGAAAATGTTTTCATTGCAAACGTCTTCCAGTTTATCGAAAGTAATTTTTCCCAATTTCGTACAACTTTCCAGCTGCAAATCCGCATGCGTGTTGTAAAAAAAAGCCGGGAAATTTTTTTTTTTCTTCTCGTCTTCTTTTATGTGTTTCTTAACGAAACAAAGCATGAGTTTTTTTTCAACACTTGAATTTAAAGTAATCAGTAAAGCAATGATAAATCTTTGGACTCAACTATGTTTTGAAAACAAGAAGATTTGTTTAAGATTTATAGTATCTCGTAAATATCTATAAGACAAAGAATGCTGGAGAATCTCAACTCCCAATGAATTGAGAGAAGATTTTCCAGACAAAGCGCAACATAAATATTTATGTAAGTGGATGCATAAAGTTTGTAAAAAGCTTATATCCAGTTGTCATGCTCTGCTGAAGATTTTCGAATATTCTCGTAGCTCTTTCAGTTAAAGCTTCAGTTAGATTGAGTCAAACGAGTTTTACTTCGGAGACTCCATGAGAGTCGCAGCATTAAGCTGATATTGTTGCTCGGATACAAAATACATTTTTTACAATTTGTAATTCAAAAGGTATTATCAGACTCGATAAATGTTTTTCGAATAAATTCCATTTTTATTCTTCCTTTTTATTCTCCTGCTTCAGCTCAGAGAGGCTTATTGTTTCGATTGGCCCCACATAATTCCACTTCAGCATGAAAATGCGGAAAGAGGTCGTTTGTAAAATTACATGTTAAGACTTAACCGTGATTCATTACGTAAATAGCAAAATATAGCATGGACGATGTCACTTGAATTTAACTGCTTTCAGTATTTCACAAGCTTTTCGTTTTTATTTCCTTCCCTTTTTTCTCACTTAGCAACACGACACAAATTTGGTCGATGAAAGTTAGAAAGCTTCCTTCTTGTGACACACAACTAAGTTTGACTTGATTTAATAAATGAAAGAAATTTTTGAAGCCACTAAAATATTCAATTTAAAATGTAAATTTTGTCGCCTTTATAATTAAATTTCATGTTCTAGATATAATTTTATAGTAGTTGTTATCTATGTGTGTTCTCACTAAATACCGAGTGTTGAAGCCAGAAAGCTTTTACTCATATGTTTATGTCTATAGGAAAACTGTAATAACAAATACGTCAAATGTGTAAAAGTGAGATAACCGAGTAAAGTGAACAAAAATCACAATAAAGAACGATTAATCAACTGTGACAGCCCCAATAAAGTTGAGAAAAAAGGGATGAGAGTCTGATGTTTATGTTAAAAAATGTTAGCACACAAAACCCTTTTTACAACATCGAAACGAGCTTGGAGCTATCCTCTTTATTGCAAACGAACATCATTTTCTGAGAAAGGAAAATTTAATTTCTGCGTACAACTTCAATATAATTAAAAATTCATGGAAACACCAAGTCATCCGACCAACGAATTCGTTCTTACATTCATATGTACATATATAGATCCAACATTGATCTAATCATGTAACTTCAAGTAAAAGCTTTTCTAATGAGGGTCAAAAACCAACATTTCATTTCGCATTCATTCTTCCATTTGTTGGTTTTCCTCGGAACAATTTCTTCCCTCAAGTCTTTCTCAATAAAAAATAATTGTTTAAGGAAACTCGTTTTCTTCTCGGAAATTAAATAGAAAACGGAGATTTTTTTTCTTCTAAATTTTAATAATTTTTCATGATGATCATTTTGAGTTTTTGATTGCGTTGCAACGACCTCATTGCAAAGCTTTAAGCGATTCATGAGAATTTCTTGAAATATCATTTTGAAAAATTTCCACAAAGCTTAATTGAAAAATATATTTTGATTAAAATTATTTCAATGAATTCCCAAACGACGAAAGAAATCGTAAAGCTTTTATGCTGCTGACGTCGCTTTTGAATGATGATGGCGATTAATTACGAGTTGTAATTACAGTGAGTTTGACGTTGTTCAAAACCAGGTTAACAAGTGTTTAGCTATCTCTGTTGTGGTGAATAAAATGATTTTTTAACTCATTTACCATCAACCCTGTGAACATTCGTTCTAAATATTTCTACATTTAAACATCTGAAAACCCCGATGAATAAGTTAAGAACAGTTTAGTGGCGTCACAGTGATTCCAAATAAACTTCAAACTGATTTAAACTAATATTTCAGCGTCAAACATTTACAATTATTAATAATGGAACATAAAAAACCTTTAGAAAAGAATCAAAAGCTTTTATCAAGAATTTATGGCAGAAAAAGCAAGATCCATGTCGCTTTATGCCATAAATAAATCCAATTGTTTATCATTTTCCTGTTTCTATTACTCGATGACACGAAAGACTATTTCAGTAAATTTATTACTATAACAGCATATAACTTCAAGCGCCCAACCTCAATCCACACAATAGTCTTTGCTTATGTTCATTTAGCGAGAGTAGAAAGGAAAAGAAAATAAAAAAAAACAGAGCGAAATAGAAAAGCTTGATTTTAATTGCGAGAGGTTAATTTTGATTATATTGCGTTTACTAACAATTATCAAGTTAATCTATCAATAAATCACGTTAATGATGTTGTGTGAAATATATTACGCTTTCTTTTCCTAGTAGATATTCTCATTGATTTCAGCTTTGATTCACGAAATCATTTCTTGGGCGAAGCAAATAATTGCCTCCGTCTTTTATAACGTGAGTCATAAAGAAAACTTTTAGTAATTCATTGTGGAAGAAGGAAAATAGATGAGATAATTGATCAGTAAGCCTGTGAATGAAGTATGTGCAGAAAATTATTTCCGTTTTCTTTGGCTTTCCTTTTAATAGCAAATACTTTGATATGCGTGTTAAAGTTTCCGCTTCAAATTCTATAAATGTAGAAAAAATCTGGAGCTACCCACCATTATGTTGAGCTGATAAACATGCTTTTGCTGAAAGAAAAATGTCGTACGGGAAATTATCATTTTCTTCTTAACGACTCCTCACACACTGCCGACGGTAGAGAGTGTGAGAATGAAAAAAAAAACTCACATAATTTACATTTCAATTCAATTATTTACGCATTTTTATGCAAATAATACATTTAGCATGATGTCAACGAAATGATAAGCACTCGTTATGAGGAATAAGTGAAGTGTCTCGTAGCACAATTTTCAAATTGAATTATTTGCTTGAAAATTCGTCTTCTGTGTTCGCTTCATCATAAATAAAATGATTATTTCTCTACGCCATGTAGATATCTGATATCATATAACTTTTTGAAAGCCCTCGGGATACATTTTTATTCTACTGAAACACATTATATGTTTTATCCACATATAATTCTTCTCCCTCTTTTGTAAATGTGCTGATATGTACTTTATGATTCAATTCTCCATTCGAAAGAAAGAAACTTCTTCTTGCTTTCTTTCTTACTTTCTTACTTTATGGTTATAAATAAACCACTCAATGTTGCTGCCACTGATATCATTTCTACCGTTGGATTTTTTTGCATACACTAAGATGAAAGATAATGTTATAGATCTGAACATTAATACATTTTCAATAAACATGTCTCAATAAATACGATTCAACATGAAAGAAACTTCTCTTCTCCTTTTCTCCATCAACAGTTTTTACATTTGTTTCAGTGAGTTAACAGAAGAAAGAAGCACAAAAAAAAAGGTTGAAGAGACTGATTCGAGGTACGTGTCTAAAAATACTATTCCGTTCTAAAAAGGAGAAAGAAAAAAATAAAGTAAAATAAAATGAGAAAAAGTCATCTGAAAAGATGAGAACGAGAACAGAAAAAAAACTTCAACCCTGAAGCTATATTTTTATATGAATGTTCACGAAGTACGCTCGAATGAATGTCAACGATAAAGACGCCAAAATCCTTTTTTTTTGCTGTTCCTTTTTGTTTTGTTTTATGTGAAACTCTGTGTAATAGTTGATTCTATGATATCAAAGGTTACCAACAAACAGAATGAGAAAAAACGAGGAAAGAAAGAGAAAAAATTCACATCGAATTTAGAATCAGATGGAAACAGTTAAAGAAAGAAATCAAATTAAAGACTAATAAAAAATCAATTAAATGTGAAAAGTCCATTAATTTGTCCTTAAAAAAGTTATGCTTTACCAGGTTGCTTCTTCTTCTTCAACCCCATAAATGCAAATAATCAAGATTAACTTAAGTTATCAACGAATTGATTTTCGACGCAATTTCATTTCATCCTCTACTTCCAAAGCATAAAATGGTTGAAACTGACGAAGGTGAACGAAATTGAATATAAAGATTCAAAAGAAGAGACTAAAATAAAGATAATAAAACGAGAGAAAGCATCTTTTCCGTTTCCTTCCCTGAACTTCCGAAAAAATTCTCAAGATACCTCTTCTCGAGTACTTAGAATTGTAAAAGGGTAAAGAAAGCATTTCGTAATTGCGACGGAGAAAAATAATGAATCGAATGAGTCACGCACCTCATTTTATATCTTCAAATAAAAGTAAATTATGTGAACCCCGCCGCTGTCGTATCAGGCATATGTATTTTACTTACAGATAGTGTTATCTATTTAAACGAATAAAACTGATGATCTCAAACAGCGAAGATCTCTTCCTGCGTCTCAATAATCTTGAAACATTAAAACGTTATTTAATTTAAGCTGCCACGACATCAAATTTCATCTTCGAATTACCGTAAGTAGCTGCAGAGTTATGAGCTTTAAACAAAATCTCTTAAAATAATCCTCAACAATGCTGATTATGTCAAAAAATATGTGCGTCCCTTCGTCATTAAAAATTTTTCATTTTCTTATTGTCATGAGAGAAACAGCTTGAGCTTTTCAACTGACTCAGCTCCTCTGAATGTCAGGAAAATATAACAATAAAAATGTTGGCACTTTTATTATCTTTTGACAAACACATAGCAATTTAAAAGATAATTGCTGGAGGAGTGGAGTGAAGTGGAGCGGAGTGGAGTGGAGAGTTACACAGTGGCGTGGAGTTGTGAGCTTAATTTATAATTTTATTAATTCCTTTTTTTCTCTTTCAAAATAAATCCATTCATTCAGCTTTCAAGAAATTATTCCGCTTTTCCGTTTGTGACAAATTTAATTTAAGACAAAATAAAATAAAAAAAAGGGGAAAAAGTTGAAATCTTGCGGCTTTGCCACGCGTCAAAGCATGTCTTAAATGTAAACATAATTCAAGTCAATGTGTGCTAGATTACGTCAAGAGTCTTGTAAATTTACACATAAGGAATTGCATGAGGAAGGAAAATGAACATTTTCTTACGTGGAAAAACGGAAAAAAAGGAAAATTTTCTTTCCCGAGTATTTCTTCATTTACTTAATGTTGGTGTTAATTAAAGAAACTTTTTTTTCCCTTTTTAACTGCTTCTTTCTCGGCTTCAAGTTGATTATAAAGTAAACAGAGGATATTACTTATAAGCAAATGTAACTAAATGTGTTTACTAATGTTTTCCGAAATTGAAAAACTTTCTTTCGTATCTCATGCAAAAGTTGAATTAGACTTTTGAACTTATAGTTAGTTAAACTTGTAGTTTAAACAACTTTACAGAGATGCAAATGAAATATTTTCGTTATAAAAATTGCCTGAAGACGTGCGAATTTTGCAACAACGACGTGACTCTTTCAATATAATTCGTCTTTTAAAATCTAAATGCTTCTGAAAATCGTGAAATGAAAACTAAATGATGTTAAATCTTCATGAAAAGTTCTTCAGGCAATAATCAAGCTTTAGCTAATCTTTTTTCACTTACTCTTGAGACGTTCTTCCGATAAACATTGAAGAATGCTTTCAAAAGGATTCTTTTATTTCGCCAAACTTAAAAGGGCGGAATCTCAACCCTCGCCTCGCTTCTTACTTCGTTTTTCAGATTCCTTTCTCTCAATATTGTTCACAGCCATGCCCATTAAAAATAATGGAGGAGCGAAATCGTTCTCTTTATTAACTTGAATGAACTTAAATCTGTATTTCCTGTTCACATTTAATATTTCAACAGCATTAAGTGGGGAAATGAGATAAATAATTAAATATTAATGGATTGCCTGCATTTCACAATTCTTTTTCTCATCATGTTATATACGTGGATGGTTCTACAATGAACCGACATTATTTATTCCTGTGAACAATTGTTTGCTATTAGTTTTCAAGCTTATTAATACATTTATTTATTGTTAGAAGATGCTTTATAAGAAAAATATTTGTGACTCAATTTGTTATTTCCGGTGAATAGTTAGTTGGAAAGATGAAAAAATAAAGAAGAATGTGACGTGTTTAATTGAATTAAAAGAAGAGTTTATTTAAAGTCACTCAGTCACAACCAACATACAAGAAAACGAATAGATTAAAAATTACAATAAAAAGTTTGTTTCAATTCAGAAAGGTCACGATGATGATGATGAGGCGTCGTCATTCATTCAATTCTTATGCTTTTTATTGTTGACGACACATTTATTATTAAAGGAATTTCTTGTTTCACAAATAACTTTTCTAGTTTAGTTGAAAAACTGCAATTTTGAAGATTCAACTATGTTGATAAAGAGAACACGAGAGACAGAGAGGGAGCGACATGAAAATATGAGCTCAAAAGAATATAATGGTATTTATTATAATCTCTTGCCCTTGACATGCGGGTTAAAATTTCATTTCTGAATATCATCATATGAGAATTTCAGATTTCTTTTCCCATATAAAAATATTAATGTGTGTGTTTGTACGTGGTGGATGGGATGATTACAAACAATTTGTTGAGGATGAAGGGAGAATTTTCGCATCATGCATTAAGCATTCTTATGGTGGTGAAAGCAAACTGTTGAAGTTGCAGTCATTGAATATGCTTGAGGGGAGGCATTTGAAGCATTTGAAGTAAAGCGCACGACGACGTTATGTTCATGCAACGCCTTTCACATTCACATTTACCACTGAAATCAATTTCAATTTTGCCATCTACACTGTTTTAATTGTTAATTGACCTTAAATGTCCCCAATTTCGTTTAATAAAATAAAGTGGAACTGTATACTTAACCCTTATTATTCAATTCCCATCTAATGATGCTTCATCGTCATCAATTTTCGTCTCGGTCGAACGATTAAGCTGAAAATTTGCTGATCGACAATCCTCTTCGATAAGCACTTGGGCAGCAGGGGTTTTATGTTTAAATCTCTCCTGCGGCACTAGTACTTAGGAAAGAACGCTTGCCTTCTTGTCTGCATAATCTTGTGCTTGACACTCTCATCTTAAATGAATTTCTCAACTTGTTTTCATCTCTCTTTTCTTTCTTTCGTGTTTTTTTTTCGTTCATTCTTTAAAATGTGGCATAATTTTGCAGTCATTTGTCACAAGTCTTCAATACGAGTTTTTACGAGAAGCGAATGTTTCAGATAGATAGATTGACAAGCATTATGCTTAATATCAACCATAATCTAGCGCATATATTTTACTTCAAGAGAAACTTATCACTTTAAAAAGATTTCAGGACTTTTCATCACTCAAGCTGAAAAAGTTGGTGAAGAAAAGGAAGAAAACCTTTTTCATTCTTTCTTTCTTTTTATTATTTGATATTTTTGCTATCACAAATCAAAAGAAGTTTTATTATTCACTGTCAATATTATAATAAAGCACAACGTGACCGATGGGTAGAGCATCTGAATGCATACTGATGAACTGATTAAAACTGACTGTTTACATATTTTTTTCTCAATTGAACTTATATACGAAAAGATACATTTAAAGCCATATTTTTCCATTAATTCAAGTATAATATAGTCAATTCCGTTGAGAGTGAGAATATTTTATGCTTTTATCAACGAACGAAACAACAGAAAAGGAATTTGTTTTTATTAAAATTGACAACTGTATTCGTTGTGAAGTAAATAAAATTTATGTTTGATGTGTTATTGTGTTGTTGCTTTTTATTCTCAGCTAAGCATCACAAAAGTGTTTGTTTCATGATCAAGAGAAGAAACAGAAAAAAATAACCGAAAAAAAAGAAAGAAAAAACAAGCAAAACGAAACTCTACACGAGATAATTTCTTTTAGGTTCAGAGTTGATGGGACTCTCGGAACCCTTATCATTGAGTTAAATGTTAACATGTACGAGAAAGATAGACAGAGAAGAGTAACGCTTATGAATGGAGTGGCAATGAATGAACAATAAGCGTAGCATTGGACATCCCACATACTGCTTGCTGTAAATACGCACACTGCCGGCGATATAAATTAAAAGAATTCTACTTCTTTGATATTTTCATTTGTGAATTGTAATATTTTATTTATGTAAGTAGTCGTCATGTCCGCGAAAAGCAAATTTGTTTGTTCTTTCTTTCTCCCTCTGATTTCAAATTTTTGTTGCCTTAGACAAAAAAAAATCCAAAAATCTTCCTTATTAACCACAACCAGCATGTCAACATAAGCATTGATCAAAATAGATTACATGAGAATAGACCAGTACATGAAATTTCCTAACAACAATTGGACCGAATCGCTTTTCATACTATTCACATCTAATTTAGTTATTTTGAAGACAGCGGATATTCCAATCAACAGTCATTGGCATCATTAAACTATGTGGTTGTTGAGAGTAAATTGTATTAAGTGCATGTGACAACTTATTTAATCTCATTTGCATTTCGATGGTCGTCGAGAAGTTTTTCATTTTTCTTTATTACTAAAATTGGAATATTTCTTAACCATTATTGTCATGAGTAATTTAATTGCGATAATGTTGAGTGGTGCTAAAGCGGAAAACAGTAAATTTGATTAAATTATTTTACAATCCTTCATGTTGACGTATGTTAAAGGAAATTATTTAAAAATGTGACACTTTAAAAACTGAATTTTTTATAAGTAAGAATTTGTAAACAAAATTTTGGTGATTGCAAAACATTTTTAATAACAAGCCAAAGGTTGCTTTGAAAGTGACCTTTCAACTTATTTTTCATCTAAATTTATCTAACAACAATCGCACTTTGTAATCATATCAAATTCTTCTTACGCAGGCTAACGAATCTAATTATTATTTAATGTCAACTGCTGATTCAACTATACGTAAAAGCGTCATCGTCATCCCATGAGTGACAATTGGTACGCACGTCTCCTGAGTAACTTTACAAAATAGAAATTCTTTCTTAAATACATAGAAATTTGAACTGAACAAAAACACATAATTTGCATGCTAAAATTTTTCTCACAATTTCATGTCTTTATCGGAGCTTCTAGAAATCTGTTCGTAAATACTGAACGTGTTTATACAAAAAATTCTGAAAATTGACATTCATGTAAAAACTTTTCGGAATATAAATTTTTTGAATTTCTCATTACTCCCATGTGAAGTATTGTCAAGAGATGTGTTCCTTTCCTTCATGCAAACATAATTGATTTCATTATTTCAAAATCACGTATCTTTTCTCTTATTTTTAAAGCGATGGATGATTGAACGCTTACATGCTTGTGTTTGAAAATCAAGCTTATATCGTGCGATAGAAAAGTTCTGGCACGAGCATAAATTCAAGATAAGACTAAAGGATTGGATGCGTGTCTTCCCTCCATGTCGTTCCGAATATTTCCAATGATATTATTTTTCATTCTCGTTTTTTTACACGAACTTGGTTGTTATTTCGATCCAATTGGATTTATCGGATTGTGATTTGAGAATTTTCCGAATTTTCCGAATTTCTTTCCTTTTTCTACTTCCAAAAAAGATATAAGAAAAAAATTCTTGAAGGTTTTCCGTTCTTTCGTCATGGGAAACAAATTTCGTTTATTCCTTCATGAACGAAATTGCAAATGAAATTTTTTTTCGTTTTTCCTGTTAACGCTAACGAGACGAATTACATCGAGTGCTTGCTTGCTTGCTTGCTTATTTTTGCTTTGCTTTTCTGTGGCTTCATTCTGTGGAATTGAATTCATAAAACAATTTAGCGCAACAATTGCTTAACAAATAGGTTGATTTATTAATGAACATTAAAATCCAACCAATGCATGTTATCATGTAAATTACGCAAACGATAACTAATTAGATGTAATCATTTTTAATTAATTAACTCAACATTTTTCATCGTGCGCTTAAGTTGACGGCAGGAGCTTTGAGCGTCTCCTGAGGCTTTCAAATCGCTTCAAATTTCAACAGCGAAGAAATGGATCAACATGTTTTACTTTCAAATTAAATATAAAGCTTTGACATCGTAAAACAGGATCCTTTAAAGCAGGTCGTATTAAGGTAACATGTCATAACAATCCTAGTTCAATAATTTGATTGAATGTTTTGTCTATGAAAAATGTAAAGCAGTTAATGTGTCAAAGTTCAAATTTCAAACAATCTCGGGGATTGTGTTGCTGGTGTGTGTCATTCCAAGATTATCAATCACATGATGTCTTCGTTGAGTTTACAAATTTTCATCTTCATTCCTTCATCAACATTCAAATGCGCATGTGAAGTGGAAATTGCTGGAAAATGATTGCATAATCTACCCACAACCATGCATGGGAATCCTTCCACATTTTACATCAAGGTGGGGTTGATCTCCCAGTTGCATTCTTTTTCGTTTAGTTTTAGTAGCACAATTTCATTGATCAGACGTGTTATTCCGTGTTCGCGTGGATATAAAAAGCTGTGAAAACAATTGTAAGCTTTGGTAAATGATGCAAAGACATCATAAGATTTCCTTTGTCACAAATGATTGTGCTTTTAAATATTTGGATTTGTGAGGCAGATTTCCGAGAATAAACAATTTCTAACGTGCGTGGGAATAATAAAAATATAAGAAAGGATTTATTGAAAATTAAATTATGTTTTGAGGCTTCGTGTGAACGTCAAAGGAAATGACTAATCGATGAATTTTATACGATAAGGAGAAATTATTGTTGAGCATAGAAAAATTATGCAAGTTGTGATTTTTCAGTGTTTAATTACATGCTCGAATAATTAAAGTGAGTGGGATGTTATTGTGACAAAAATCTGATGCTCGTTATGAGTTAAACTTGAGATGATATTATAAGAAGATAACAAGAAGGCCGAGAATGTGAGAGTGAGAGAGGGAACATTAATTGTGTTGTAGCAAAAGTGTCGCACATGTTCATATAATCTTCTATAACTAAAGAAATTACATGTCTCCAAGCACAAACTATTCAAAGTGCTTTTCATAATCAAGGATACAAATTCATTAAAAATTCAATTGAAACATGAATTTTTAAAGAAGCACAAAGGCAAAAGGAAAGGAGAAAAGCTCTTTATAACCCATCCGATCTATCCAATGTTTTGTTTGTTTTCTTGTTTTTCTTCGAAGTTATTTCGCAGAAAATTATAAAATAATTAAAAATTCATCACAAACAACAACGAAGCAGAAACAATACTTTACAGACTACCCACGAATAATAACACAACATCGAAGAGTACGCAAAATTTATATGAACAGAAAATTGCTTAATTTTTCTCGTGTTAGATATTTTTGTTGTTTTTTTTTCTTCTTCTCAGCTCCTTCTGTGAATCCTATTTTTATGTTTTCGGTGCTGGTTTTTATGTAAAGAAGCATAACTCATTTATATTATTATATATGTACATCGTTATTTTGCCGTTTAATGCCGTTCTATACATTAAAAAGCATTTTATTTTATATATTTTCCGCCGCTTATGTTTGTATTGTTGAGTTTGATGTTCATCGCTGAAGGATACCAAAATGTTGAAAAAAAATATATGAAAAAATAAAACAAATTCAGCTTTTTGTTTGAATAATTTATAATCATTGAAAAGGCCTGGGAAGTTTTGAAATTAAAACTTCCATTAACTTTATTACTTTAATCAAAAAATCATCATTTTAAATGGAAAAACAGTGGAGCCATTAATTAATTTACAGGCACATAGCAAATTAAATGAACGAACCGAAAACTCCTTTCATGGCAGTTTTGATTTATTGAGTTTGGCGCTTTATTGATTTTTCTGTAATTTTCATTAAAATTTTATCCTAACACTTTGAAGTTTTCTAACTCATTTTGGTTTAGCGAGGGATAAATTTTAAATTGATGTTTTTTTTTATTTAAAAGGATAAACGTGAAGAAAATCAACGAATAAACAAAGTGAATTCTGTAACTTGTTATTATTTTAAGACTGTGAATTAATGCGACAGCATAAAAAGTTTTACACTCATTCATGGATTGAAATTGAAGGATAAGAAAAACAGAAATGAATTGTAGATATTTTAGAAAATTGATTTCTTGCCATTTCATTCTTCTTCCTTCATCTTCTCAATGTTCTGTTCGTAAAATCATTTCAAGAACTACGATCTGCTTTTTCCCGTAGACGAGAGAAAAAAAAGAAAACCCTAATTCGATCAAATGAATCTCAAATGAAAAACTCATAAGAATTAATGTGTTTTCATCCTTCCTTCGAACAAAAGCTCTTTCGTTCGTTCATTCGTTGTATACATGACGGCTTTTCTACAAAAAATAAAATAAAAAATGGTCCACATAATGAAAGAACTGTTATGTATTTACCAGAACTAGAGAATGAGGAAGAAGGACGAAAAAAAAAGTTAAACATATGCTTGGAGGAATGAAAGGAAATACGATTCTACGAGAAGGAAATGGAGCTTATTTATTTTTTTACTAACTCTCTCACTCACTCTTGCAATTCTAAGCTAATGTGATTCAATTCGTATCCAAACCGGCAGTAGCACAGTAGCATAACTTAAACATGATATTTTTTTTCAGAAAGTCAAGAAAGTAAAACGACGAAAAGTTTGTTATAAAAATATGGAAAAGGAAAAGTTTAGTGGCCACTTGAATTACCGAAATACATAAATAAAAAGTGTTTCGACCGAAAAATATAATATTCAATAAGTTTAAAAGGAGATATAAAGCGACAGATGTAATATCTGTAAATTAAATACATCAGATTATGATGGGTTTTATTGTCTGCGTGTGCTATTTCTTTATGACAATTGTGGATATTTCAACAAGTGCTAAAGATGGTAAGCCTTATATGAAAGAGTGTGACAAGCTTGAAAGAAAGTTAGTTTAATGGAACAACTTTCCAAAGCGTTGCGCTATGTCTTTTAAGCGTCAGATTTATTAGGATTTTCAAGCTTCAAACACGATATTTTTTCTCGAAAACTCTCAGATGAAATTTCTGAGCTTTTTGACCTTGAAGTTCATCACATTCTTTCATGAAATATCTCTCTGGAGAAATTTCTTTGAAAAGATTATTTTCCTCGGAAGACGACAGCAGTTTCCGTCTCTTGAGCTCTTGGTAATTTAATGTTTGTGAGTTTGTTCAGATAAAAGTTGTTAGACTTCAATAAAGGATATAAAATAATAGATGTTTATGTATCGCAAGACCAAAGGTATCCATAACATCTTATCAAGATTTTCACGATAAAAGAAATAAATAATTTCCTGCAGCATAAAACACGTCAAAAAGTGATTTAATATTATTGTGAAACATCGTAAAATTTATCTCTATTTTCTATTTTTTTTATAATTGAATATAGAATGGCAGAAACTTGAAACCCTTAAGTTGAATATTCTTGGAGCGGTGAATTAAAAACTTCATAAACTTTAATTTAGTTTCTGTTTGCTTTTTTATTGAAAGCATCCAATTTTTATGATGGGTAATACAGAGTTGCTTATTGCTTTATATTTTTTTTATAGCACTCGGATGTTTCCATCAAACACAGAAAAATAAAAACTAAATAAAAGTTTTTAAACATTTGAATTTCACGCTCAACGAAATTTTTAGATCGCGACGGGTCATTTCAAATTTTGTTTATTGAGAGTTCATTAAAAGATTATTTTAAAGTTGCTTTTGAAAAATTTAAATTATTCCCAACGATTCCCTGCCACAAAAATGCATTAACGTACTTATAATGCATTAAGAGTTCTGTGAAAAATTACATTATTTCATCCCATTAATAAAGCATAAACAAAAGCGGAATAAACAACTTTAAACTGTTGTTCGCCTATTATACAATATTCAAGAATGTTTTGCAGCTTTGTAACAAAAAACTTTTTCACATCGTCAATGTCGTCGTTAAACTCTTGAAATTTTCTTTTCTTTCTTTATTCAATTATGCGACATCTTTTTTATCTCTATAATTTGATTCGTAACGTTAGCTCCTACGCTGTCGTAATGGATTTTTTTATCACATAATGGACTCAACAGCATTATCTTCGATTTTGCTTTTCGAACATGAAAGGTTTTTATGGGTCATTTGTGCACTAAATAAGGTGATTCTACCGTTTCCATTTTATAAATAATGAAGTTTTTCCGCTCTTCCCTCTCGCTGTTGCGAATGAAATTTGAATTTGAGTATTCGGTTTGTCGCACTTTTATTTCAATTTTTTACTACACTTGGACACGACCCCTAACCATTCGCAAAAACAGAAAACCTGTTTCACAAGCTTTACGCAAATTTATCCAATTTGATTGTGGCTTGCACTGGAAATGTAGCTACACTGGATTAATGACCAAACCTAGCCATATGCTTACATACGAAAAAGCTTAAATTTCATGTTCATGTGCATGATGTTCACATTTATTGATGTCGGGTTTTGTCGGAGGCAAACTTTCATTTTAGTGAATTTTTTTACTACTTGTAAGACAGAATAATTAATGCTTTCTCATCAAATCTCTACCTGGAATTTGCAAAGCATAAATCCTCAAAATCTTGGCTCGTTTTTATGTGAACATTCTGTTGTTTCTTTTTTACTTACCTTCAAGTCAAACCAAAGCATAGTTTAATTTTTACAAAAAACATTTAAAAAGTTTCTTTTCAACTTGTGAGGCTGAGCTGAGCTTTCAAAATAATAATAAAAAACAAAAGTTTTAAGTTTTTATCGTATTCAGCTTTCTTCATCAACATTCCTGGATAGCCAACTAACCAATAATAACGAGCAAATACTTTTAAAATATTAAATGTAGCAAATATTTGAAGCTTTTTCCATCCATTGACGAAGTCGAAGTCAAATTTGCTGAATAAACCAGTAATGGTAGAAGCAAGTACTTTTTCTCATTTCGTAAAGTGTTTCCCTCTTTTTTCCTTCACCGCCCTCCACAATATAGCGTACACAAACTGATTGTTCAAGTTATTTTGTAAATATAAAAGAAATTTCTCGTTTTCTGCTTACATCTTATGTACATTTTTCGAAAAGTAGTACGAGCGGAAAATGTATTGATCCACACAGCACTTACATATTCTAATGAGACCATTGAATGAATGCTACATTAGAGAAGAAGGAATGGAAAACATGATATTTACTCGAGCAATGTACGAGGATAAGTATTGAATAGCGACTTCCTCTTGAATTGGTTGAACACTGAATATTGTTAAATTACCCTTGTGCTCATTAAACATGCTTCTATGATGGCGTAGTTCTTCCGTCTATTTTTCGCGGAACGACTTGAAGAAGGAATTTCATTATAACGAGAAACTTATGAAACTGTTGATGATTCGCGAGATAGAAGCTAAAACGACGATGATGTAAATTTTATTGCTCGATTACATTTTATCGAGCTTTTTTAAGATTCTTCGACAATCAGAGAAGAATATTTTTTATCCATCGAACAATTAATTAACAGAAGTTCGCTTAATTGCAAATTCAATGTCTTTTCCCCGCCAATTCAATTGATTTTTAATGGGAAGCAGCTGAAAACGAAATGAAGTATGCTATAATGTGTTCTAGCATTTGAATAAATTTGTTTGAGAGGCAATAAAAACGTATTTAAAATGGAAATTCTCATAAAAGGAGCGTTTTATCGCTCGAAAATTGATTTCAATGCTTTTTTTGTTATCTCAGCACATCGCTTTTGTTTGCATCCGGAAGGAAAGTGAAATTAAACTGAAAATTGCGCTTTAATAGAAGTGAATGAAGCAGCACAAATCTACATCAGATTCAATTTACCTTTCAACTTTACGTAAACGTTTCAGGTGTCGAAGAAAGTTTATAGATGAAAACTTTTCCTATTCGAAAGCATGGCCACTTACGAGATTGGTTATTAAATGGAATAGTTTGCTCATTTTTAACTAAAGTGTTAAAGTTTCAACATCAAACAGTTTCATTAGAAATATTTGTTTTCAATATTTATGTTTACATTAATTACATAATATGTTCACATTAACAAAGTTGCCTGTCAAAGTTACATTGAAGATGAATCTTGTCTATCGTGTTTTAAACTTACTCTTAAATGTCATTTCTAATAAAACTACCCAACACTATTTTCGAACGGTAAACAAGTTTAACATTTCCAACGATGAAACTTTTGCAAAAACTAAAAAGTTGCAACTTATTTTCGAAAAATTTGTTATCGAAACTGCATTTGAAGTTTTTAACATTTACCTAACATTTTTATTGCACACAAGTTGATCGATTTATTTAATTCTATAATGTTATTATTTCTTGTTACTAACAAGACTATCATAAAAAGTGACTTTCCATTTTTTTTCTTTATAAAGTTGTAAACTAATATTGAGATATTTCATTACATACAAATAACCCGTAGCTAAATTATTAAATAAATGGAAGGGCGTTGATGAAGTGCAATCGGTTTCAACAAATTATATTGAATTACATCGAAATGAATTATCATTCAATCGGAAAGCAAAGTCTGGCTCATGTAGGTATTTTCTTAAGTATACTTATGTATTAAAGCTTTCAATGCTATCAAAATATCATTTGATGTCTAATTCATGACACGATAAACCCCTCAAGCAAACGACGTAATGTGACAAGTAAGTACACACAAACAAATACTGGATATTTATCTGACATTAAACATCGTGTAAAATTCATTTGTGTTATTTATTTACCAATGCTTACAGAAGCAAACAAAATATTCGACTCTGTTGTCAAAACAGTAAGATTGAAGAGATCATCATTAAGATTATGATTAAATTGGCGCGGGAAGTTTCTGCAGAAATCTATTTCAGGGTAATGAATGTAATTGAGCTTTGCTTCCATCACAACCAGAAAAACATTATTTAAGATTCCTTTTTGATCCTTTCAAACACGAAAGGATTTAGATTCAACTTTATAAAACTCCTTCCGTTGTTTTTTGTTTTGTTGATTTTAAAAAAAAGATTCAAGTTGAACTTTGCAACAAATCGTGAGTTCTTAAGATTCATTCCAAGGGATTACAGCGGAGAAAAGAAAAAATAAATATCAAACACTTTTTTCTTATTGTATATTAAGGGTACGAATGCAAACAAAAACCAAGCAAATCTTTAGAAAAAAAAATAAATAGCGAGAAATCTCGAGGGCATATATCTACGTCGAAATTTACAAAATCTCAGATATGAGATCAAAAGTTCTTCAGAGCTTTGCTTGAGAGTGCCATGAGAAAAAGGAGAAAAAAAAGAGGAAAAAAATAATAATTTAGTTCATGACATGAATTTCTATGAGACTGAGACGGAGCTTCAAGGCGTATCATTTCTTCTTTCTTGGCATCACCATCATAATTCTTTTTGCATCAAAGCACTCGGTTTTCACTTAAGTTGTGTACAGATATGCCGACAAGAAAAACTCCGAAAAACTTAAAAATTAAGCTATAATAGAAGAGAAGCTTAGAATACAAAGTCTTTCAATTAACATACATTTTAAACATTTAAGCAACGAGAACAAGCGAGTTTTATACGATAAATTTTCTATTGAAGTCAAAGGAAAAATGGAAAAGTTTAGAAGAAAAACATCATGTCGAAGAGAGAATGTAAAGAAGAAGAAATTGAAAGAATATCACGTAATTGAAAACTTGAAAATCTGACGCTTTATAGTCTAAAGTTTATGCGAAATACATTCAATGATAGAGAATGGCTTTGAATGTGAATCTGAATATGTACAAAAATACTCATATTCGATGAATAAAGATCCGTTTGTACATGAAACTTCTCTTTTCAAGTGCTAATTAATAAATGCTTTGTGTTCATTTTCAATTACAGTTCCTCTTTTTTCGATTGAAGCTTTGATAGGAGAAACAGTTTATCTTCCATGCAATATAAGCACACAAGAAATAAACGATGATATCGAACTTATATTGTGGTATCGAGAAGACAAAGGCACTCCAATATACAGGTAAAGACAACATTTGTATCCTCATACTTAAACTTAAAATGCTTCTACAATTATCACAACAATAAAGTAAAAAATGTCTCTCGCCTTCTTTTTGTTCACAACTTTTTTATGTTTTAATTTCACATTCGCATTTCCTTCACACATCGTTTCATATTCTTTTTCACGCTCCCCTCTTTTTGAATGAAATAAAAGCATAAATTATGGTTTTAATTATTTTTGAAACAAAAGGTGAAAAATTCATGCAAGTTGCATTATACTGAGAACTTTAAAACGAGGACAAAATGTTGAAAATTTATACAAAATTACCTTCGCATCATGAAAGCAATCTTTTGGAAAAAATTCTCATCTTTTAAGAAGAAGTTTTTAATGGAATGAATGCCGAAGGAAAACGTATAAAAATATGTATAACAATCAAGCAATTCATTTTTATAAGAATGAATATTCATATCATCAGACAAAAGCATTTTTAAGTATATCCTCGACACAAAACATTTCATAACTTATATTTATAAGGAGGACAATGGAAGAAGAGCGATAAATGGAATAATGTCGACCCATTTAAGCTCAAGTGATGAATACCTTTGTTTTCCATTTATGTATATGCGAGTATGTTGTATGCTCATACTCAACTGTTCAGTATACGATACATATCAACGTTATTGTCAGTGAGATTGACAGCAGATCTATCAAAAAATTAAATGAATCAATCAACATTAACGAGATGAAATGAATATTTTATAGCTTAGGGATCCAAAGTTTCCATGCTCATATGTCAGTTGTGTTATCGTTAAAATCGTTATTCAAGCATGAAAGTTAGAAATTTACTTATTTGTTTAATTTTCATGTTGAGGTTCGCCTTACGAGATCACTTCCCTCAGAACAACAGAATTTACATGAATGATTGAAGGGAAATGTGTCATAAAAAAGCTCAGTCGTAAGCTTTAATGCAAAGTAATAATTTCTGTCATTAAATTTACCTTTTCATTCATTCCTCCAATGTGACAAAATAAATTACTTTGTAAACCTTTTTTTTTTCGTAAACAATTCAACAAAACGATTTCCCAGTTCCATAAATTTCCGCATTTTCTCGAGAGTTTTATTGAAGTAGAAAAATTCATTGTAAGAATGAAAAAATATTTTAAGAGCGTGTTAACGATTCAATGTTGATTTTATCATTAGAAAAAGCTTTAAAGATAAATTTCTCTTTGTGACACAGTTTACGAATGACCAAAGACTGTAAAAGAGAATCAAAAATTTATGTCAGTGCAATGAAAAAGCTTTTTTGGTACAAGTACTGTGCTTTAAACATAAGCTTCTGTCATGTTCACTACTCAATTAGTTGTAATAAAGATAATGCATAAGAAAAAGAACAAAAATTCATTTCAAAAAGAGCACAAGTTAAAAGATACGATTTTCGTCATGAAACTAAATCCATATTTTTGTGTTTTCTTGACTTTACGAGGGAAATTTATCAAAACCCATAAAACGATAAATTTCAATTGGGTTTTTTTATATATTTCTGATAGAAAAAATTTCTCTCCTTTTTCCTTCTTTTTCACAGTGTCGATATACGTGAGCGAGATCCCAATGCTGCAAAGCGATGGTCTGACGAAACAGTGTTTTCCAATAGAGCGTATTTTTTATTTGATAAATTACCTGGCGAATTAGCTGTGCAAAATGCTAAAGATTCAGATACAGGTAAGTGTGTTCAATTGAGCTGATCGAAATCATCGAATAAATATTTATCCTTGAAATAAAACAAATGAAAATTATTTATTTTTCAGGTGTTTACCGATGTCGTGTAGATTTCAAAGTAGCTCAGACAAGAAATAGTGTCGTTAATCTAACAATAATTGGTGAGTTAAGAGACCTTTTGTTTGTCCCTTAATTAGTCATTATGAAAGTTTTTTATGTGATGTCAGAACTTAAATAAACACAAGCACAGTTGATTGCTGTCCCTCTGAAGCCTCAAGCAATAAGTAAACATTATGACGTTACGAGTGTAATTAACGTTTTAAATAATTGCCATTAATGTCACGGAAGTTTTTACTCCTTTCACTTCTCTCATTTGCTATGAAAATCAAGCAGAAGCAATTAATAATTGATTTCTCGCTACTGCCGTGTTGACCCAATTGCATAAACATCGTCATTTTTCCATTTACTTCGTGCAAAGTCATTCAAAGTAATAACAGTGCTCCCTTATGCTGTTTTTCGCATAAAACATAAATATTTTCAATTAGGAAGAAAGAAAAATTGTAAGAAACAAAACCGAAATCATTTCAGTCGTAAAGAATTGTCCCTAATTCTAATAAACCTACTGATGAAAGAGGGTCAAGTACTCACCCTTATTTGATTTCGCTGTTGTGATGATTTATATGATGCGCAACCTCAAATTAGTCAGAAATCTCGTTAGATGAAAGCTTTCGTGGAAAGAAAAAAGTTTTTTTATTCATCCGCAATGAGAAGGCAGACCAACAATACGATGATGATGATGCTGATAGAAACGGCAGCAAACTAAATGGAACGATTTTATTTATTTACCGAACATGTTACTTTTTCATTAATCAAAAGAGCGCTTTTATGGAAAAAGGAAAAATATTATTTCAACGATAGATGGCTTTGATAATAACATTTTATTACTGCTGTTCAAATAGTTCTTTATTCAATAATCATAACTGATAAATTCCCCTTCAGTTATGAACTGAAGCAAACTGTGCACACACAAACACACACACGTCGTGAATGAAAAAGAAAAAGCAATACGCGAGCAAGTAAGCAAGTGAGACCAAAACAAAAACTTTCTTTTCTTCTTCCTTCTATCTTCGCTCACTCATCTTGCCCTTAACTTTATTATCATATACTTGATATATGTTTCGAAACACACAAAAAAAGTAGATTGGGAGGGAAAAATGTAGAAGAAAGCTTTTACTGATGTGATGTGAGATGTTATATAAGTTAGCTAATGTACATGACCGAGCTAAGTAGAAAAAAAGAGAGAAATAAAATGATAAAAATTTTCTTTGCTTTCCCCGACTGACTGATGAGGACGAAAAAAAAAGTTTTTCATTGGAATCTTCGAAAAAACAGTAAAAAAAAGTATCTATAGATAGAAATGTAGGCTGTGATGCGATGAAATAAGTTTGAGATGGTTAAATATTTGTATTTTATCATTGACACGTGTAATGTGTTTCAATGTGCTCTTTAATAAAAATAAAGTCAATTTGGAGAATTTATTGCGTCTTCATGACATTATCGGTTGTCACTGGGATGTTCAAATCATTCTCATGCTGATTGTAACTTCTAACAATGTTATTTCTCTTTTCTGCTGTCGTCAACGAATGTTGTTGATGCTGATATGTACATTGAGCTTAAAAAAGGTTTTAGGGGGAAAAAGTTTACAAAAAAAAAAGAGAAGAGAGTTCATCTTAGTAAAAGAAAATATCTTTAATTCAATTGTGGTTGGAGTACAAAAAAAAAGGAAACAACAGATGATGTTGGCTAAGGTCCTGCTAGCTTGTCAACGGGGGTAAACTTAAATCAAATATAAGCAAACAAGGAGGCAAGCAAAATAAAAAAGGAGTTGAAATTTCACATGCAATTCACAGAATGCCATACACAATACAACCACCCACAAATATTCCAACAAATGTTGTGTACATTTCTTTTTCTTCCTTCTCTCTGTCCGTGTTCAACTTCAGCCGCACATCTAGTTTATCTTTTTCGCTCTCATCGTTCGATTTATGTGAGGTTATTTGGTATGCTGGACATTCACGTATTACGTTCTCCGCAAATTTATCACAATAAACCCTCAATTTTGGAAAGTGAGTATCGAGCCTTCTATACATATCTACTTAAGAATAAGAAGGATGAGATTGGAAAAGAAGAAGAAATATATAAAGAGTGGAAACGAAAACCAGAAAAGGAAAATAATGGCATCACATACATGTATTTATGTGTATAAAATTTGCTATAAAATCATCTGAAAATATTTGTTGGTCGAGACATGGATCAATGTCGAATGATGTTGGTTCACATGCTGCTGCATTCCCATCTAAATAATTCAGAGTTGAAATATTGAAAGTATATTACACATATTCAAATAGCATTCTTTGGAGTGCGCAGATAAGTCTTAAAATAAATTTCGTTTAACGTCCTTCTTCAGTGTTCCAAAAACTGGGTTAATATTCTTGAATGTCTTGATAAATTTCGGTCTGCAATTTTGCTATGTTCAAGATAAGAGACTGTGGTAGAAAAAGACGAGAAAATTTAATGGGGTAAGCTGTCGTTTTATGTACATTCAGATATAACAGCGGAGACTAGTTGAATTTTCTGCTTTTCCCTTCATATTGCTTGATTTCAAATCATTTTCCTTTTTGCTTTTTTACACCTTCTATCGTTGCTAAGGGAATGACTTTCTTTTGTATGCATAAAGGACATTTATGAAATTGATTTTCAATAAATTTCTTGGTAAAGTTCGTTATCAGCAATTCGATTACATCGACATACGGTTCATAATAAAATAAAATCGTCAGAGAACTGCTACGGACAGCAATTATGCCAAAAATTAATCATCGCCATTCCGTTTCTTATAACAGCGTTAATTAATCATATTTATCAATTAATGACAATATGATTACATAGAAACGAAATAATGTTTGTTTTTGTTATAAATCACATTGGCTTAACTTCTTTACCCAAAAAAAAAAACAGAACAAGATCGAATGAATGTAAAGCACTCACTCACAAAAAATGTTGTTTAAGAAAAAGAAAACGTAAATTAGAAAAACCAAAATCTTCATGATGGAAGAAAATGAAATATTTTTTCTTTTAGCGATTCTTATTCTTAAGTCGGTCGCTTTCATGTCTTTTTGTGTATTGAAGCAATCATTTCTACCTTAATAGTTATTTTCTTCCTTCCTTTATATTTCTTTTCGTTTTTATTATTTTTTCTGTTATACTTTCAAACACTGAATGAATCAAAAAAAAAATTTCCTTCGATTCTAAATGGATAGGAAAAGCTTCTGTATGTGGTATTTTGAATGAAACGAGATTTCCTTTCGATACATTGAACTGGTCGTGAAGAAAATGTACAAAGAAAAACGTTATTTAGATGATAGATTCGAGAAATGATCATAAGAAAAGGTGTGGGTGGGTGGCGTCATTCTTCAAATTTTCGTTTAGTATTCATGTGTTTGTTTAAAAAACGTCTTAGTGAGAATTTCAATTCCCAGCATGTTGTAGAAATACTTTGTGACACCGTTGAAAGCTGTTCCACTGTTCTCCGTGTCTTCCATCAAGTCAAGAAAAGTTTTTTTTTTCTTCTCATTTTATGAGATTTCGTATTATGACGTAGATTTGAGAAATGACTTGAGAAACTATTCAAGTTTAATTTAACTCAAACTTATACACTCTGTCGCTTTCTTCACGACTTTAATAACAAATCTTGACGTGATGGTTGCGTTTCCGCTCTTAAAGCATAAAGCAATATTGATTTTCAATCATTTCTGAATATGTCTAACATAATTAAAAACAAACAAAAACTTCAACATTCTCGCAGGGCTGAAAGATAATAACATGAAAACTATTCAACAATATTATTAAAAGCTTTGTTTCTTGTTGGTATGAGTTTGTGGAGTGTAAAGCATAAAGGGTGGTCTGTCGCTTCGGTTTATGTCGTGTCGAATATCAACCGATATAAATAATTTTTGGTTTAAACTCAAATCTCAACGATAAAGCATGTGCTATGTACCGAGGGAATTCATTTCTCACGATTAAAAAATACATTACGACATGAGCCTTGGGTTGAGCATACATTTGTCTCCTTTGTGACTTCAACTTTCATCCTAGTCATTGTGCTATTGCGTCTTTTGAATGTCCTTAAAAGCAATTTCTCTTTAAGGTTTGTATGTGAAGTCTTACGTTATTCTTGCGACAAAACATTTTTCATCTTTCTCTTTTCTTCTGCTTTATTACATACACAACATAATAATTTTTTCTTCTCGTATGTTATGCTTTCAGTTAAATAAATCGCTTTTCTTCGCTCTTGACATTTAAGACTCTGCAGTTAAAAAGATCACAGAGATAAAGTTGTGGGTGGTGTGAGAGAGCACGAAAGGAAGAAAAAGAATAAAATTTATAGTTATAGCATATTTTACTTCTGGGTCATTTGTTTTTCTCTGCTGATGCATTTTCTGAACTAAACGTTTGATTGCGAAGTGCATTACATAGTTGCAACTTGCAACCGACAAAAAGCTAGCTTGTGCCACTTAAATAAAAATTTATGTTTGCTGTTCTCTATTTTATTCCACGAATTTTTGTTTTTGAATAGTAAATAATTTAATAGACTTTTTCTCGTGACTTATATCAGTGTAAAGTTGATTTTTGCGAATCAAATGGAAAAAAGTTTTTGCAATCTCTCAATAAATACGGTTTCGGGTACATAAATATCCACAAAATGAAACACAGAAAAGGTTATAAAAATAGTTTAAAGAGAAATCAAATTAAACTTTTCAAAAGCACAGCTAAAATCGTACAAAAGGAGAGATAAAATGAGAGTATTATGATTTCATGTTCGTAGAATTGCAGATTTTCATTCGTATGTATATTTACGAATGTTGCCGTTCAGACGAAATGCTTTTGACTCGAAGCTGATTCGAATGGAGAGGAAAAAGTTTTTAAGCTGACTGAATTGCAAAAAAATTTTCTGCTTATTTTTCATTTAACTTTATAATCATAAATCTCGGAAAAATGTTTAATGTCTGCAGAAATGATACACTGCCATTTGTTTCTCAACTCTCTACTTATTTCCAACAACTCTAAATTCCTAAAGCACAAAAGTCAAAAGAGTTTATCGCCATTGCGAGCTTTTAAAACTTTATGGAAATTCATTTGATGAGTGAATCGCTATAAAAATATGCGTTCAAAAGCTTGAATTTAATTTAAAACCTCAATTTCGTTTTTCGATGTTCATCCTCCGTATGCTCGTGAAATGTTGTGTAGAAATCTAAACATCACATTGAGATTTCAATCATTTCAACTTCAAGTCTATTTTGCTAAGAGCGTTTTAGTGTGCAATGCGAGCACAAAAATGAATAATGATGAGATGGAAGTAAATATTTCGGAAAATGTAAATTTAGAAAACTTACTTCGTTGGTGCTGCGGTGATGTGAATGTTCGACCAATTATAATTCCCAAGAAGCTCATATTTTAACTACGAATGGAGGATGGTCAGAAGGGAGAGAAAAAAAGGCAACAGGAAAAGTTTTAGAAGTGAATAATTTTCACAAAACATTCTCTAGTTTGAGCGAATTGTTAGCCGTTTAGTCGTGGTGGGAGTATGGATGACGTGGATGAAAATAAATATATAAAAGTCTAAAACAGAATGTTGAACTGAAACTTTTATTTATTTAATTTATTAAAGGTGAAGTTATAAAAGCATGACAGCGAAATTTTCTTCCTTCACAATAAAAGAATGCTTAATGTTAGTCGTAAAATATGAAGAAAGAAAAACGAAGAAGATTCAAAACATCTTAATTTGAATTTAATAGAAAAATAATATGACAAGAAAAATCCGTTTCAAGTACCTTTAATCCTGTTTCATTCCACGTCTTATGCTTTTTTTTTTCTTCGAAACTTTTTTAATATCATTTTATTTGATGTGGAAATTACAAACGAAGCCAGCCAAACGTCAGTTGGAAATATGAATGCGAGTTCTTCAATCGTAACTGAAGCATAGCAAGATGCGGGCGCTTCGAGAAACATCACCGTGATGCTTCTCTTCTATTTTCCCCCTCGATTCCTGCGATGTTTTTGTGTTCACCGAACCACAATTCAACCTCGACATGAGGAAAACAAATATTGATTAAGGAGTTATTAATCTCGCATAATCTTTATGTTATTCGCAATCCCCTTTTATATTCAAAGCTGACAAAGCGAAACTAGCAAAAAATTGCCTGAAATTGCTCTCACATTTTTGGTCACATGAAAGCAATCGAGCAAAAAAATAAAACTAGAAACACAATTGAATAAACGTTAAAGAGAACAAAACAAAAAACTCAAAAGCTGCTTCTCAATTTACTTTTCGAATCAATTTAGTAAAGCTACACGATTGTGATAAATTTGTTATGTCTCGCTTGATCTATTTTGTAAAAATTCAATTTTCGCTGCTGCTGCTGCTCGTTCAGCATCAACGTTATCAATTTTAAAGTATGCGCTCGCTGCTGCTGCTGCTGCTCGTTGCAGATGATGAAAATCAGGTTTCTTTCGTTCGCTGAAAACCTTGAAGATGAATGTTGTTACAAAGTATAAAAACATATAATATTCAGGAATATTATTGCCGCGTCATCCGATGAACACATGGGGTTCACGAACGAACTCAATGTGAGAAATGATTGAAAAAAATGAAATTTTCTTCTGCAACTTTCTATCAAAAGCCGTCACTGTACTGTTCGGTATGTCACGACTGAAAAAGAAGACTGCCTGCTTCAATTAAATTTCACGTACATTAACAATTTTCTGATGCATCATGATGAAGATGGGGAAAAAGTTTGGATAAGACCACACATGATTAGACACCATATTGCCATTTTGAGTACACATTTAAGTATTATGTATTATGTTCCATTCATCAAATAAGGATTATCTTTGTGTTCACTCATGGGAAATATGCGATGATATATGTAGGTACATACGTATTTATGTTTTCAAATATAATAATGGTGATAAAATTGTATGACAAACAACGAGACGCTCTCAAACTTTTCTTCGTGATGGAAAAACTCTCTCGTTGAAAACGAAACATTTCTAAATTTCATTTAAAGATTAGCTACTTTAATCTCCTTTCTAACACGTTCTTACACCCATAAATACATTATAGATTTCACCGAAAATTCAATGGTTTTAGCAATTGCTTGATCTGAAATAAAAAGGAGAATTGTAAGCAAACGATATAAAATGGAAAATGTGTTATAAAATTAAATTTATTTGAAAACTGATGCTCAGACTTTACTGACAGTCATGGGGAATAGCAGATTGATGGTTTTAGTCGAGAAAGTTTCTCGTAGTTGAAAAGAGCGGTTGATTGATAGAATTTTCACAGAGAAAAATAGTTATTCAATAAATACATCAATTGCAATTGAATCTAAAGAATGAAAGAAGGAAAAAAAAGCTCCATTCGTTTTTCCATTCGAGTTTCTTTTCCAACTTAACAGCGAATCAGAAGGAAAAGTTTTCTTTTTGCTTTCTTTCTTCAAACGAGTTTAAAATTGAAAAAAGAAGAAAAAAGATTTGAAATGAAGAGGCATGCGACAAGATAGCGTGCTCGCTCAGCAAATGTAAATGCCATTGATTGCATTCATATGAACATAGCGAAACTAATTCGGTTTTTGAGTAGATAGAGATAAAATTTAACATTTGTTTGTTTTCTCCAACTTTTCTCATAAAATTGCAAGTTTGGATGAGCTTTTCTACGGTTGTAGGTGGGGGTGAAACAAGAATGTTATGTAAATATCTGTGATGGGGCACATTTGTCGCTTCTGTCGTTTAAAACATTAAAATTTTGAAAAACAAGAGATTACAGATTTTGTTCGAGAGAATGTTTCTGTTGTTAAATAAATCTAAACACTATTTGTTTTGTGCACAATCAGTAACCCTAGGGGTTGAAGAGTAAGAATTTTATCGGTTAGTAAACTAACAAATCTAATAAACTCATTAAAAACTAACAAATGTTGTATGAAAAAAGAAATTTCAGCAAAGTCACGAGAAGGTTCTGATTTTGAAAGGAGAAATAATTTATTGGATGGTTTGAAAATGCTACACACTCAGCATAACAACATCTATCAGTTGCTATTCAAAGCTTTCTCAAGAATGACATGATTACGTCTCTTTAAATTTAACTTGATTGTGCTTCCACTATCAATTGAGAAATCAATTCTCATACAATGTTTACATGTTTGTTGCGCATTTTATTTGTTATAAAATGCAAATTGCAATGCACATGTGTGGCTTTCCATTCGGAGGTCAGTCACTTTTGTATAGTTCTCGTTTCACAATTGATACACTTCAAAAAGTCGGAGTGGTTCAATCGAGAAACTTGACTATGAATGGATACTTTTCTGACGATACATTTCCTGTTTTGTTGATTTTTCTTTTCATTCTCTCGTTTTCCGACTTTCATTTCAGTTCCTCCTGAGCGTATCAGTATACGTGATGAATCAAATACGGAGAGAAATAGTGTCGTGGGACCATACAGCGAAGGTGACACAATGAAGTTAAAGTGCGATGTTTTTGGTGGGAGACCGACACCAAATGTCACATGGTTTCGAGACGACAATCTGTTATCGAGTGAAACTGTTCTTGTGCCCAGCGGGCGACACTTGAGAAGTGAAATTGTTGTAGAGCGCTTAAGTAGACAAGATTTGAATTCTAGATTTACCTGTAAAGCAATAAATCATCATAGAGCGACACCTGTAGAGGCATCCGTCCAATTAGACATGAATTGTAAGTGAACCAAGAATAGTTGGCATTAAAAATCTTGGAGCATCCTCAAGAAACTGATCTTAATTTTTTATTTCTATTTTATCAACAGTTGCTCCATTAAACATTCGCTTACTTGGAGCTCACCAGCATCAACCTCTCTCAGCCGGACGTAGATATGATTTGTTATGTCAAAGTGCTGGATCTCGACCTCCAGCTGTTATAACATGGTTTCGAGATTCAGAACGTTTAGATAGGACAACTGAAACAGTATGTATTGTATTTAAATATGTATTATGATTGATAGAATATTTGAACGTATATCTTACGATTATACTTTCGTTTCTCTACTTTCCCGTGAACCTCGACATCAGCTTTCAGATTTATTTAAATGCTCGACAGATGCGATATAATAATAATGATAAATTCTCCTTTTTTCTCTTCTTCTTTCTTGTATCCCAAAACATATATGCACACACGTATGTACATAAGTACACGGTTGGTTATATCCATAGACTTCAATGTGCAGATCGAGGCAACATTTTCAATTCCATATCCTACCCTAATATGATGACGACCTTCTTGTTATGTTCTCTCGCATCACACATCATAAAAATGGATCTGTTTCAGTAGCATATTTATCCCTTTAAATCCCTATAGGTGTCATTTTTTTCACATATTTACCAAGCTTTGAAGAAGTGAGCCTACAAAAAATGGAAAAGAAAAAATAAAAGATGAAGAAGAAAGAAAGGGAACCAAATATTATTTTATATCGTAGCTTACATCCGCTATCCTCAGTACATAAGTGGAATTTGCGAAAATTTATACTTTCATATGTGATATATTCAAATATTATGTAAATTCTGTCCTATGAAAGGAAAAAAATTGTTAGCCATGTTTTTCTCGTTTTCTGTTCACATGTGTTTAATAAATAAGAAAGGGAAAACCCAAATCACAAAAAAAAAGAAAGATCGATTGATACACTGGAAAATTAAGTGGATGTGTGTACATATTTTATGTGTGTGGGAGTATTTTTTATTATTTCATACGTAATAACATGTCTAAAAAAGAAAATTTGATTTATTATTAGTTCGTATAGTTTTCCATTTTCTTTATCCTTCTTCATTTTCATGTTTTTTTTTTGCTCTATCTTTCTTTTCCATTCACAATTTCAATCATGATGAAAAATTCATTTCTGCCAAAATGAGAAAATATAATGAAATAGCAAAATAAATATCGTGAAATTTAATTTCTTTTTTGTGTTACAGACATCAAGCGATGGTAATCAAACAACCAGTACGTTATCAATTACGTTAAGTCGTTCTGATGCTGGAAAATATTTGTCATGCAAAGCATATAATCATATGTCACCATCAGAAGCGCTTGAAGACGGCTGGAGATTAGACATTCAATGTGAGTAGTGGAAAAACTTTTTCTTTTCAACTTTTTTTTTCTTTTTTCGTTGAAACTTTGAAATTGTTAAAGCTCAGATATGAACTTTATCAAAGGGGCGCCATGTACATGTATAGAGTGTCCTTTGAGAAGTTGACTGTAGCTATAAGGTTCATGAGAAAGGTCGCGAGATAATTTATGAAAATGGTGAAAGGGCGTCATGAAAGCTTTTAGAGAAAAAAAGGAGAAAAATGAACATTTAGAAAATGGTGAAGAAAGCGCGTTTTATAATTCATCTAACATCACTAATTGACCGTTTTTATCTAATAAAACTTCTGAAGCGAGGGTAACGAAAGTCCAAAACGAATATTAAGGAAGGAAAGGAATGAAAAAAATGATCATTATTGAATGAAATGATTATCCAATGAAATCGTTATCAGCTCTCTCCACGTTGCCTCGTGATGAGAAAGACAAATTCAATTGAGTTTGTAAACTGATTGTACGACTACTTTGCTTTTGCAATCCCCAAAAGCTTTTTATAGCATAAAAAGGATCTCACAACGAATGTGTTTACATAGAAACTTCAATGACTTTTTCAAGAAGTTTTTAAAATTGTCTCTTGCCTTTTGTTTAAAGTCGGAGGAAAAAAAAAGGAATTAAATTACACCAGACGTTATTTTCATTTTTTTTTTCGTTTCGTCTTTCATTCATTCATTGTTCCCGTGCCAAACAAAACAATTTTCTTCAGTCAATTTTCCCTATTCATCTACAATTTTTTTTTCTTCCTTTTATTCTCCGTCTCCCGTTCGTTCTTCATGAGAAGCTAATTTAGTAAAGCAAATGAAATTAATTTTTGTTTTTGTCTTGTTCTGTTGCTCAACTGAATTTAATCCACTGTAACATTGCGCCACTGAACAAGAGAAATTCGACATTTTTTTCCCATCGATGCCTAAGCTAAAAGCAAAGCTTTCAAAGCTTGATGCCAACAAAATGTTTATTGATTTTCTATTAGAATTTTCTCCCTTCTGGCTTCTTGGTTTATAAACAAATTATCAAAATGTTCATTCATTCCTTGGGGGTAAGCTTTTCTTATTATTCTTCATTTCCTTCCCCGTAAGACGTAAAAGAGATCAATATTCTATTCTAGAAGGAGAAAAGAAAATGCGATGCGAATCAATAAGCAATAAATCAATGTTGCTTTTGTAGTCACTATTTGCCGAGCGAAGCCTCTGAATCTGTAAAGACATTTTCAATAACTAAAGACATGATTCGTTCGTCCGCCGCACTGAAACTGACTTTTTGATAAATATTGACTTTTCATGCTGAAGATAAATGTTGTACATACATACATAGTAATATCTTTTGGGTCACATACATGGAGTCTCCTCCATATCAAGCATTACTCATCGTCATGTATAACCTTTTTCTTTCATAAAGAAAGGGTAAAACGAGATGCGAGAGAGTCAATTAAAAATTTAATAAAGATCCGTACGATGATAAAAAGGTTTAATATTTTCACAATCACTTCCTGCAAATTTTCCTATGAAATTGTACGAAGAATTATGATCTAGAAAGAAGGAAAAATCGAAAAATCATTCATCTATTGCTTGGATCCAGGCTTGGATGTTTTCACGTTTCATTGAATGTATTAGTTTCTCTTTTTTCCCAACCTCTTGTGTCATATTTTATCACTTTTTTAACAGTTTTTAATGGACGTATGGTTGAAGCAAACGCTGAGCCTAAAATGGAGGAAAAAAACCATCACCATTAAACGAAAATCAATACCATAAACACAAATTGGAAAATAATTGATAGAACTTTAATGGGAAATGTGCGACTTTGTAAATTATATGTAATTGCCTGCAATTCAAATATTGACAGAATAGAAAGAAGAGATTTAAATTGAATCAAATTACAGCATACAAATGAGGTTTCAATTGAATTAAATGTTGTCTTAATTACAAAATAATTTATCTGAAGCATTGCTATTAATTTTCGAAAACAAAACTTGTCATTTTTCAACTAAATATGACCACTAAGCTTGCCCTATGGTAAGCAATAAATAATTAAAAATTGTTTCCAATTACATACTTCCAGATTATTGTTTGATTTACTCTTATTTAAATCCATAAATAACCTGGATAAACATGATGATATTCTCTCGATTAATTAACAGATATACCAGAGACGACCGTCCGTTTGGGCAGTTCATTGGATCCCGAAACCATTCGTGAGGGCACCGATGTTTATTTCGATTGTATTGTCATGGCACATCCAGCTGTATATAAAGTTGAATGGCGACATAATGTATGTTGAAAGTATAATAAAAAAGTATTTTTTGTGTTTATATTTTCATTTCGTTGGATTTGTCTCCTTTTTTTTGAGGGTTTTTGGGATTTTTTTTCTGTTGTTGTTGCTTATTTGGTTTCTTCACCTTTTTTATTTACTATTACGAGAAAAAAAGGATTTTTTCATTAATTTTTCATGACACTCTGTTTTGTTTTTCTCTCTTTTCCTCGCTGGTTGCTGCTACTGACGCTTCTGCTTTCCAACAACTTTGTGTGATTCTCGATGTTTGCTGCCGTTGTTTCTCACTATTTACAACATTTAAAAAAACAAAAAAAGGGTCGTATGTTACCGCACAACATTTCCCAAGGTGTTATAATCAGCAACATATCGCTAGTGTTGCAAAGTGTTTCACGTACGACGGCCGGAAATTATTCATGTGTTGGCTACAATGCTGAAGGTGATGGGGAAAGTTTACCGTTTGAATTGAATGTGATGTGTAAGTAATTTTTCCATTTTTTATCCCTTATTGTATCTCCTGTCCTTATTTTTTTATTCGTCGTCGCTTTTCGTTTACGTTGTTATTGTGCTTCAACTTTTTTTTCTTGCTCCTCTCTTTCTAATCCAATTGATTTGGTAATTTGTAACTAAAGGAATCTGATGTGTGACCTTTTTATATAATTTTCTATTTTTCTTTTTCTCTTTTTCTTGTTCATACAAAATATCAAATTTCTGCTTCCAATTCAAAAGACGCACCAACTTGCGCGCCGTACGTATTCAACAGTTACACTTGAGGGGATGGAACTGTTAACAAGTCACGTAACTTCTTTCTGATCTTCACTTTAATCAGGTTCTTCTATTTAAAGACCATTTACAGTTTTCAGCGAAGAAAATGTTAAACTTTTTTAAAGAAATTCACAAAAGTTTAAAATGAAAAGATAATGAAAAGAAAGTTACGTTACTTGTTTAAAACTTGCTTCCATCGGTGTCACAAGATATCTCTAACATTTCCATTTTCTCCATTTAGAGGACAGCCTCGAGTGTACGGTGTTGCCAAGCAAGAAAATGCTCAAATCAAGTGTATCGTTGACGCAAATCCACCGGAAGTTGATTTCAAATGGACGTTTAACAATTCAGCAGAAAGCATCGATGTTGCTGCTAGTCATGTGTCACGTCATGGTAAGAGAAATGAGAAAAAAAAAGAAAAATCCCCTCTATAATTCCGGAAAACACTCCAATTACGCCTTAAATAGAAAATTTTAACTTAATTTACTCTTGTTGTGAAACGAAAGCGTGCGCGTATCAAACGACTGAAGGCGAAACACTTGAGTGGCGGAAAAGTGGAATATTTTTTGTAATTAAAATATCTCCCGCTGCTTTTTCATTATTTCACAGGAACATCGTCGTTTGTATCATACACTCCAATGACTGAATTAGATTATGGAACATTATTGTGCTCAGCTACCAATAAAATTGGAAAACAAAAACATCCTTGTATATTTCACATCATAGCTGCAGGTATGTCGCATGTGTCTCCTGAATTTAACACTTTTCATCTCTCTTTTTTTTTGAGCTTTAGCTCAAAATGTAATAAATGATTCTTGGGGAAAATATAATATTTGTCAGTAGATGGATGGATGGATGATGATGATGATTGAGATGGCGTAGAGTGAGAGATGAAAGCGTGAAAGTAAATGATGGGCTTCTCGTTGACGATGCGAAGAATCGTTAAAAAATCAACAGGAGCTCGGAAAACGAGATCGTAGAAGCATTAAAAATGAACGAAATTTCATGATGATTATCTTGACTAAGCTACAAACGCGAACAAACTCCGCATTTAACACCCACCATCGCGGATAAAATGTGAAAATGAAGCATGGGCTTTGATTCAACGTAGATACTTTCATGCTTTTATCGGATGTACAGATATATGTAGACATATATGTAAATTTAAAAGATGAAGTGAATCCGTACAATATTTCCGCGAAATTGAACTTTGAGAAGTTTACATGAGAAGAACACTGAATATTTAACTTTCCTTATCAAATTTCTGAGAAGCTCGCTCAGTTTCAACAAGGCAATTTGAAACTTCAACAACAACGCAAGACTTATTTATGTTTTCCTTATTTATTTCTTTTTCTGCATTCGAATTGTTTACATATGAGAATTTATGTTGAAAAGTGATCGAATTATTTTATGTAATGAAGCTTAAAGTTTTTCTTCCATTCAAGTTGACGTAATCAACAAAAGATTCAGATACAATGCACATATCAATATCAAAATTTTATTAAACAACCATACGGTGAATCATGAAGTTAGAAATATAAACATTTGCACAAGAATGAGGGAGAAAGAAAAACATTTTCCCGGCTAAATGAATGAAAACTAATGCAAGCCATTCATTGATACGTGATGAATATTTTCGTTTCGTTTCAACAACATCAAATAACGAATGTATCTTGTAGATATCAAGTTTTCCATATCAGATTAAATATAACAAATATTTGTAACATATATCTAAATGAGGCCTTCATTCTGCTTGAGGGGAGGTTATATGATGATCATACATCTTTGTCATAGTTTGAGGCAAGCATATGTAAAGCTTCTCTCGCAAATAAGAAAGCACAAATTTATCTACTTTTAATTGATATCAAATTTATGTAGTTTCCATGTTTTGTTTTACTTAATATTCTTATACTCGTCAGAACATGCTGAGCCTAAGCCTCAAGCTTATCCATGCGTGTGTGAGTTAGTGAGAAGGCGGTCATATATCTATGTGTTGCATATGATTGTATAAATACACAAGCCGTAAACTTTATTAAGGCTCGGTAACATTATAGATGTGTATCATGCATACTGAACGTTTTGGTACTTTTCGGTGTACAAATATCTAGAAACAGAAGCAGAAAATCCCAGCAGCAATGATAAACAACATTTGATCCTTAATAGGAAATCTTGTTTACCAAATGTAGATGTAAAATGCGAAGCATATTTTTGTTTGATGTATATAGGCTCAGTCACGGAAAGCTTTATGTCATTACATAATTTTGCTAAAACTCTCGTCTCATGCATTGAGTATGTCGAAAATTCTGCTGATTTCTGCGGCGAAATGTGTCGAAATGAAACATTTTGAAGTGAAATTGTGAAATAACATTCTGCGTTCAATTAAATTTTGTGGAAACAACTTCTCATAGTGTATCGCGTAATTCGGATTTGAAGTTCAAAATATATTCATTTATTAATAAATGAATCAATGAAATGGAAAATATTGTGGAATGTTGGGTAATTAAACAATGAGCGTATTTTTGTAATTTGAATTTATAATTTATTCATTGCAACATAATATCCCGAAAGTTTAAACACTTCGTTTTCAATTTTAATTGCTGCGTTTTCATTGAAATTTGAACTTTGTCACATTTTTGATTTTTTTAATTATACTTCGAAATCAATCGTCAATCAAAAGGTTTAATGATTTTCAAACATTGGCAGTTAGTGAATGAAAAATTTAATCAATTTTCAATATAATTAGGATTAAATTTGTCAATAGAACCTCAAATTCCAAATAATTTACAATTCTGATTAGTTGCTCGAAAAGCTTTCAGAATAGTATTTCGTCAATGATACAAGCCAAAGCTTTCTGATAATTTTGATTATGAATAAAATTTTCGCAATTACGAAGTGAGGTTCATGACCATCGCTGGAAGCAAAAAGTTTTGCAAAATAAACGGATACTCATTAAGATTTTATCTGCTTGAGAAATCGCCTAAGAACCGACCTCATTGTCTTACCTTTGTCACTAGAACAAACTTTCTTAACTACTAACTGTAAGAACGATTTAATTTTATGTTCAGAGCAATTAATGTTTATGAGAGAAGAAAGCAATGTCTGAAGAGGAACACTTTTTGTTCCTTCTCTGCTCACTTTCAAAGCTCGAAAGCTTTGAGCACCCCAAAAACATAAAATGACTGTAATGATGTTATAAATAAGCTCTATTTTTTTTTCACTTATAAATAATTGGTTCCTTTAGTCCAAGATTCAGATTCTTTTTTTTTCGCTTCCATTCCATTTATGTAGATGTTTTGGGAAACGATATAAAAAGAAGACACCGAACCCAGAAGAGATGTAAGTTTGGTTGCTTGGCTGCTTACTTTCTTTTGAGCCAACAACCAGAATAATTAAACGAGCAAATGAGTGAAAGCGAGATAGAAAGTGTAATGAAGGTTGTCGCATTATAACCACGTAAATCTCTTGATGCAAGCGTAATAAAAAAGTTGTAAATTCCCTCAAAAGTTGTTAAACTCACGGTGAATGAATTTGGCTCATGCACAAAGAGAAAGAAAGAAAAATGACTTAATTTCTTCAACACAAATTCACCGACACGATTTACCGAATGTAGAAAGAAAAAAGGCATTCGAAGACAGTTACACATTTTCTGTGGTAGAACGAAGTGTAGTTGCTCTTGGATCGGAGAAAGAAGTAAAAGTTTTATTATTTCAATTTACGAGAAAGGGAATGGAAGGAAGAACGAAACAGACTTGAAAGTTATTTTCCCAAGACGTATAAAAGTAGCGAAAGAAAAATTATTTAATAATATTATCATAAGCAAGGAAGAAAAAAAATGAAATAAAAAGGATGCAAAACACTTTTACCCGAGTGAAATGTTAAAGTAAAATTGCTGAGGGTGTTCGCACAACAGCGCAAAGAGACTTTTTAGGAGTTTAATAGAGTTTCATGTTTCGCTTTCGTAACGAAAACTTTTCTTCCTCCTTCGCTTCGTTTCGGGATCATAAAAAATTATTTATTTTTCATGGAAATTGTGGAACATTAAGAGGCGGAAAAATCAAAGAAGCAACTTTATCATTTGCTATTCATTTGCCAACAGAGTGGTAATTAAAAGCTTCTTGACATTCCTTCACTCAACCAAGAGCGTCTTTAATTATCGACTTAGGAAATCGCTTTGAAATTGAAAGCAAGTTTGAAAGAATTTCTTTTACATTTACCAAATGTCTTCATACATATGATGCTTGTTCAACGACTTCATGGGCTAAAGTTTACGTCATTCTAGTATCACTTTTGGTTTGAAAACTTTGTCACTCTCGAGTGAGTTTCTTCACCTCGAACACGCATACAAATATTTCTACTTTAATCAACAGCATCAGTAGCAACATCAATTTCGGTTATTTTCTTTCTTAACGAGAACTTGAAGAAACTTTTCAAACATTCTCTGATCCCTACTCGTCAATTGTAAGTCAAGTGTCGTTGAAACGCTCATACATTCAATTGCCTGAGATCTCGACTCAATATCTTGTATAAGTTGTATTCACTCGTTACCTCCATGAATGCTTTCATAATCTAATTTCTTTTCCGAATAAAAACGATTGAATTTAAATAAGTTCACTATGCTTTTTATCTCTCACTCGCTCTCCTTCTCCCCCTATCAACTTTTGTTGTCATGTTGCGTTTATATGGGGAGCGACTAACCTTTCGTTGAAGGGAAAGCTCATTGTCAAAAGTCATACTTGGATGGAAATGTTGTTACGAAAGTATTTTTTTTCGGATACCTCGCGTTCAGTTCCATTTTTCAAATTCTTTATATTTCCCTTCGTGATTCTCCACAGGATGCTTTTATTTCACATAAAGATATCACATTCATGCTGTTGTAAATGTTTTTTTCTTTTCTCACTTTTTTTTCTCTTCTTTCTTTTTTATTTTACTTTTTTTTCTTCAGCGTTTGCCGTAAGTTAATGTTTCAAGTTGGCTTTTTATTTAAAGCGTTTTGTATTAAAGAATGCCAATTCGAAGCGCTTGTCGTCGTAAAGTTATAAACGTTTTAATTGAGTTCACACAATTTATGATTGTTCCCTCGCCTTGAACAGTTTTCTTCTTCCTCCACCGACATCGAGAAGCAAAATAAATTAAATTAATATGAAATGGTTCGTTTTTCCATAACTTTTCGCTGCTTTTTTTACTCTCCTTCATCTCAGAGTTTTCGCTCTTCGTTTAGGTACACACAAAAGCGATGAGAATTTTCCGTTTTTTTATTTTACTTCATCGTTCGTCCTTGTTTGTTGATGTAATGGGAATCTTTCTCAGAGCCATTTTACATTTTGACTTGTTGTTATCATTTGGTGGAAGCGCAAATTTCCCTTTTCGTTTGAGGGCGCGTTAGGGAAAGCGGTTGTCGCTTGTTCCTGCTGAACAAACAGAGCTTCTGCTTTTTTTACTTTCTCTTTCTCCTTCTTGCTTCTTCCATGCTGCAATGTTTTCGGTCGCACATTTAAAATTCTAATGAAAAAATAATAAACCAAATAATGGAAATTGAAATGAAATTTATGATGAAAATTATGCAAAGTCGCTTTTTTTCTCGTTTCTTGTTTTGCTTAACATCATTTCTGGTCGCACTCTTGATTCATCTCTAACGTGATGGTGTTTACAGAAGAATAAAGAATGAAGAATGAAGCCACTGACAAATTTAATGATTTAGATGTTTAGTGACAGACTCTGATTAAATTTTCTCTCGCTCATCATTTTTCATGTTTTGTCGTCTTTTGTACTTATTTAAATGTGATGTTATTTATAGGGCGGCCCGATCAAGTACACAATTGTACCATCACTAACATCTCAATGACTTCGATGAGTATACGATGTTCGGAAGGTTTCAATGGCGGCTTAACACAACAGTTTATGCTTGAAGTTCGCGACTCACAAACAAGTGAATTACGCGCTAATTATTCATCACCAGTACCACGGTTCACTGTCAACAGTTTGATGCCAAGCGCAATTTATTTGGCTTCTGTTTACGCTTTTAATTCCAAAGGTCGTTCGGATCCAACTGTGGTACAAGCGGCAATGTTGAGAATGCCCGAAAAGCAGCCAACCGGTGAAAAGGGTAAGAATTGCTCTAGATGAAAAATATGTAAAATATGGTTTGCTTTAAAATGTAATATTAGTCTTAAATTTCAAAGTTGAACAACGTCCGCGTTCGAATCTTTCCATCAACCCTTTGATTTCCATAGCCATCGGCATTGGTGCTGCTATTCTAATCGGCAGCTGTGCCGTCATTTTAGCTTTAAGAATAACTTGTGGAAGAAGAAATCGAAGGAAGGATGTACATCAAAATACGAACGTTCGTGTAGCATCACCCGGACCGAGCTTGAAAAGCGTTGGCAGCAAAGATTACGATGGAAATGAGAGCGACGAGAAGAACCCCGATGTCATACCCGAAACCATTGATTCTGATGATCAAGTATGACAGCCTGCCATTTATTAAATATCTTTTACTGTAACTCATAAATATTTTTTGCATTTACTTTCCATTTTCTTCTTCTTTTCATTTTTCTCTTGCCTGAATAAAAAGGTTGAATTTTTGAAGCGTCGACAACACATATCAACGATTGATACAAACAGTCCTAGTCGATTATTATTAGCATCAAATGTCACATCAAATAACAGCAGTTTTATACCAAGTAGCACCATACAAATTCATAAGAATCATAACGCAATAGGCTATTGCACCCTTCGTAATGGTTCACTCCATGGACAACCTCAAATGAGTGCGACGAACAGCATGTCCATGAGTCCCGTTCCAAAGGCATTTCAAAATCCTTCAAATACATGTACGCTTCCACGTCATCATAATAATCAGTGGCCCTCATATGGCGGCACGATAGCGGGTGTAAGAAATATGTCACAAACGATAACTATTAGTGGGTCGCAACCACAACCACCATCAACAATAGCGATGCACAATCTAGGACCGAATGCTCGTACGAGAATGTGTATCGGTCTGGCGGAAGACGATCCGGAAATTCCCTTGATGCTTAAGCGAGAGAGTACTGTATGACTATAGGATCATAGAGCCGTTGTCGATGACACGGCTCTATGAAACTCAAAGTAAATATTCACAATTAGTGCACTGAAGTAAATTAAATTGAAAAAGAATGAAAACAAGAGAGAGAAAAAAAGAGAACAAAATGTTGTTGAAATATCCCTTTTTCATTAGCAAAGTCAAGAAGGAAAATCGTTCGTTGTTGTATAAAGAAAGATAATAAAATAACACTAAATTGTCAAATTGGCACGTTTACAATTTACAATTATTTTCAATTGGCTATCAACATCAAACTGTTTCATGTACTAGAAGGAACAAAATAAAATAAAAGCAAATCTATATTCGGAAGTATTAAACTTATTTTGAAGACGAGAGCGTTGGTGTCGATGAAGACAACGAGTAGAAAAAGGGAAAAAAATGAGAACAAAATAACAAGAATAAGAAGATAGGAAAAAGAAAGTCAACTTGTGATAGAATAAAAAGAATGAAGGAGAGGCGAGTCGAAAGAATATATAAATAAGTATAAATAAGTATAGCTGAGGGAAAATAGCTGTGAAATGAGCTCGCTTCTGTTCGAAAATCGTTTCTTAAATGTGAAAAAGGGACGGCGTGAACAACTTGCGAAAAGCAGGAGATAGAAAAGAAAAATTATATAAAAATTGATTGGAAAACTTTGACTCCCAAAACAAAGTTTTCAGTTTAATGTTTATTTAATTTGATTTTCGGTGATTGAAGGACTTTAATGATCTGCGAAAATGTGAAGAAGGAGGCAACTTAGTGTTTACCGAGCTTTTGAATTAATTTTCTATTACGATCGACTTACTCAAAGGGAGAAATTAATTAAAGTCAGTAATATCAATTTCAAAGATATTGAAAAGTAAAACAAAAACAAGAATAAAAATAAAATAAGTAAAAATTTTCAATCAAACGGTATAACGAGTGGTGTAAATAATGTAAATAGAAAATATGTAAACTCTTGACTATCGCTAAGTAATCTCTTTTTAGTTACTTAAATTAAATTAAAAAAATATGTAAATCGTTTTGAGACGTGCCAAATGTTAAATTTTCCCATAATAGTTTATTGAACTTCATTTATGTTCTCATGATACTTATATGAACATTTCACTCTATCAACAAATCGGCAATGAAGGATAATTGAGACTTTAGACAACTTTATCTAAATCAATCAAAATAAGATGCCACATGTTCTCTGTTGAATTTTGTAAATATGGGTTTTTGATCTTTGTACAAAATAATAAAAAGGAAGAAAAAGAAAAGTCATAATAAATAAATCATTTGATGCATGTCAGACCGATATTTGAACCATAATTGACTTAGTAAAGTTAAATGGAAAACAAAGTTGTGAGAACAAGTAAATTGATTTTCTAAGTTGTTCGAATTTAATTCTTCTTGTCTGATGTGAAATCATTCAAGCAGACAAGCAAATGCACGATTTTCTACTTAGATACAAACATACAAACATATATATTCAGAAACAAGATGCTTTCGATACTTCCCCTCATCGATTGTTCAATAAAATAAATATATCGATTTGGAGAATATTTTCCATTGAGTTTCTTATGGTTCATAATCGATTTAACATTTCCCCGCACATTTATTCGCACTCTATGTCACTCATTGTGTGTAAATAAGCATCGTTGATAGTGAATTAAATTATAAATCAAATAAATGAAAATAAACACATGAAAAACTTTCTGAATTCATCATAATTAAAACTGAGATAAACATTGAAATGGAAATTTTCTGCTTTTTTATTTATTTGTTTGCAGTCTTGGCTGTGGGTAAAATTTGTTAAAATATTTTTTTTTACTTTTCAGGTATTTATTTATTCAATCTACGAACAGTCGCTCACGCTTAATATTGTGAATTTGTTTCTGTCATGGCTTTTAAAAATATTTCATTTATGCTTCGAAAAACTTTTCCAGCTTTGCAATTTACGAAACATAAAAGTGTATGTTAATTTTCAACTTTAGTTTTGCTGTGTTTTCCTCCTCACTATTCTCTGCTAGTCTCTAGGAATGTTTTTCTTTTTTTGAACGATGAAAGCAGGCAAGCGAAAGATAATTAAATAAGAATTTTGCATAAAATCCAATTTTACACTGAGTTTTAACAGTTTTTTATTTTCATTTAGCACATCTGCAAACCAGCTATTCACAGATGTTTCATCTACCTTAAGAACAAAAGAAGAAAAGGATGAAAAGAAAATGAATCTTCACCATTTCAAAATTAAAACTTTTCCCATTAAGTCCTTCACCATATTTTTCGGAACATCAAATGATTTCGGTTGTAATAATAGGATCGGGGAAATGGGCTTCTAGAAAATTTGTAACTACTTAAGTATCAGCTTTCGTAATTTGCTTAAACGAACATAAATAACGAAGCTCTTGCGTTTCACCATCACAAGTTTCAGAATCAACTCGTTGGAAAGATTTTTTTTTTCATTTTCGTAATTTTTTTTATTTTCTTGAAAGAATTTCTACAGCACTAAGTAAGTTTAGAGACTAATTTCTTTTTGTGGTTTAAGAAACATTAAAGAAGGTTACAGTAGAGTGAACATAACTTCACAAACTTATTAACAAAAATATTTTCTGAGCATGGTATAGGAAAGATAAAAAGATAACGTCAACACTTTTTCTGACCCTTTTCCAATTGCGTGATTTTCTCAAAGAGATTTTAAGATATTGAATAACATTCGACTTGCCTTTGGCTCCTTTAGCTTCGAATAAGTGAATTAATGACGTATAGAAGAATATTTGTGTAAGCTTTATGATTTTAAAAGGATCGTTAGCTTAGTGCTTTGCTTATATAAACGTCAACCTCTTTGATGAAGAGAGAAGTGAGTTGAGTTGTGAGTTTCCTTCAAGGGTTTTATATTTTAAGGAAAGTTTTGTCTATTTATAACTCGAATATGAAACAATCGTTCCATAAAGTTTTGATTTAACTATGCAAATCATCTTATTCCCTTCAATTCAAAATTGCACAATTCTCTTGCTAACGACTTCCTTCTTATTTAATATTGTACTTACTTATATGCAATATATAAGCTACATGCTTCATTAGCAACTGTACTACGATGTTTATTTTACAAATTCCAAAAGTATGTATGAACAAGAGAAAAATTTACATACAGAATGAACACTTAATTTTCATGTCAGGATTTTAAACCGAAAAGAATAAAAGAAAGAAAAGTGAAAACTTTGAAATGAACAATTTCTGTTGACTGGAAAATCGTTTCTCTTTGTGTTTTGTATTTGGGTGTCTGAAGGGTTGTGTTTGTCTCGAAAATCTGCCTTGTAATTATTTCATATTTTCTCACTTATTAAATTTTCTAAACGAAAACTGCTTAATAATTTCTCTTCTCCTTTTCATCTTTCTCCCCCCTTTACAATCACGCTTGTTTAAATTAAGGAAAGCTTGTATGTTAATGTTTGCCGAAGACTTCTTCACAGAAAGATGCTTTTGACAATCAAAAGGTTTCCTCCATTACATTCTAAGAAAAAGAGAAAAGTTTTGTTCTCTTGTTGAAAATTGTTGGGAGACTTTTCCAGGGAATTATAATCAATTCCTAAATTAATTTACATACCTGAAATACAATTGTTTCTCCAAATTTCATTACGCGGAAAATAACGCAAAAGATTTCTCCATTAAACATCCTACACAATTATAAAAATATGTTGATTATTTCAAAAGCATATTTCAGATTTCTCAAGCATAATTTTTATTTATGAACAGGTTCCATTAGGCAGCAATCATAATTTATGTAAATAGTTACAAATGAAGGGCTCGAATTTGTTAGCATTTGGAAGTTTGTAAAACTCGATTTGATTTAACTACCAGAAAATTCAAAGATTACAGAAAAAAAGTTAATTAAAAAAACATTGATTCTCTTAATAACTTCAGTTAATGAGGCGCGATGTAAATGGAAAACGATTCTCGTAAAGTATTTCCGCTAACGAACTCCGCTACTTAAATGACGACTTCAAAAAGGTTTCTCTTGCTTCCTTTCTTTTTCTGTAATCGCTTAAAAAAACAAGTGCATTAAAAGTTTAATACCTGCGCGAAAACGTTTTCATAAATGAGATATTTTATTTTCCTCATTGCAAAATGAAACTTTAACCTTGTTTTCCAATTAAAAAATCGGAGGTTGCTATAATCTCTGCTTTAATCGGATTTACTGATTCTGTTTTTCATCGGCATCGCGAATATTATTTGCTCAAAAGCTATTTTTGGGAAGTAAATTAAATCACGTAAATTAAATAATATCCGGATATTGAAATGAAAGATGAGATGAACGGATAATGTGCGCGAAAGGCGTATGATGGATTTTATAATTCATAAACTTGATGTTTCCAAGCACTTTCATCTTTTAAAAAGCTCGTTGAAGTTGAGCTTTTTTTTATTATTTGCGTTCATTCCCGTTAGCATCGTTTTAAAACTTTTTCCATATAAAGACTTTGATCTTAATGAGATTTTAGAAACGTCATGTTGAATACGTTATCTCACTTAGTCATAAGTATTTTAATTTATTTTATTAAAACTCTTGACTCGTTGCAGTTAGAAGAAAAAGCTCTGCAATAAAAGTTATCACAATGTCTTTTCAGTGGTCATTTAATTTAGCAAATTGAACGACTTTTCTCATAAATAACATTATCAAATTATAATTTTCAACGGGAGAAAACCTCATACCAGACATTTTATAAATTTATGTTCGACCAACTTAAGAGATATTCCGTTGGAAATCAAAGTGGCGGTTGAAGCTTACTTGTAACTACCAAGGAATGGAAAAAGCAGAGTCAAAAAAGAGACATTTGTGGTCGACATTTAATGCTTTCAAAGCGAAAACTTTAAAATCTTCTATGTTTGAATAAAATTTTCAAAGTATAGAAAAGCAAATCTAAATATTTTTTATAAATTGTTTTTTATTGGAAACTTTTTCTTCTTATTTACACAAAAACATTTCAAACTTTTCATATTGCTCCGCTTTCGATTTCTATCATGATTTGAATGTATTTCAGTTCTTTTTCATTTATTACTTTGTAAAAGATTTTTGTGTTTCGTGTCTTCAAACGATTTTGAAACAACTTGAAATGACAGTGGAGATTTTAAGAAAGTTTGAAAGTAAATGCTTTGCTTAGCTATGTCTTAGGGAGAAAATTTAAATAATTTGTGTATTTAAAAAATTGACTTTTGTTTTTTGAGTCTAACAAAATTAAAATGTAAAAAAAGGTAAAAAATTAAAATTGGAAAGTCAAAGGTTGATGGAATTATTTAGAGACCATCGCCTGTTGGATCTAACAACCATGGATATGAATTTGGACATTCCATGCACGTAAAAAGACGAAGAGTCTCGCCTGGCAACTCTCTGGTGTTTAATGGGCAGGCATTCGGAAGTGAACAGTAAGGTTGACCTTTGACATCGCACTTTTCTTTCCATTCTTGGAAGTCACGGAGTGAATTAAGCTCGGTAGGATTTTGCATCCATTGAATGACTTGTAACATAGTGACGAAGAAAACATCATTACGGCCTAACATTTCTTCAATGAATTTAATTAATTCTTCACGGTATTCCTTCTTTGATTTCAACCACGAGGCATGGAAATGAAGACCTAAAGGTGCACGGTTGGTATTGTAATGACGATTGAAGTTGTGACGTAAAAGTCTTCCGAATTGTTCTCCAGTTTGAATATTTGAGCACGAATCAACCATATGACAACCTGGCAAAGATTCATCAAATGTTGGGTCATCACGACGATCCAATTCATTCATAACCATCTCCCAAACTGGATGACTACGGGACGGGCAATTGTGTGCATTTCCGTTGCATTTGTGGGGCATGCGGAAGTAAAGTGTATATGGCCAAATTGGCACACGTCCCAAAGATGCTGTGATGGATGCATCATACACGAAAAATTGATCTGCCATCATTTCAAATTGTTTATTACCACCGACACGCAGATATGGAGCACGAACACCAATAATACTTCCATCAGTAATATTGGCAAAGCGTTCAATAATCAAACGGGCGCCAGCCATCTCTGCCAACCAATCGTCGTAAGTTCCTTGTGTCCAGTATTTCGGTTCATCCTTGTGTGTAAGCGAGAAAACAGAAATCTCATGACCGCGACGATGCAAGTCTTGCACAGCTGAATAATTGGTGTATTTGTGTGAAACGAAATATGTTCCTCTGATTTGACAGCCATTGGGATTCTGACGTTGACCGTTAAAAATGTCTTCATACAAATCAATGTTGTCGACATTCACAGCACCATTGAAAGTGATGGTTATCATTTGTGGCACTTGTGATGGTTCAATATTTCCAGGAATACGAGTTCCATCAGCTGAACAGAAGCAATCAGGCAAGACGCATTGAGTTGTGTCACAATCGGGTGCACGATTTGGATCTAAATCAACAGCTAAATGAAGAGAAATTGGTCATGAACAAGCCTATCAATCATCTTCATTCTAAGCGATACTTACTGCACGCATTCTCATCAGATTCATCTTTACAGTCCGGTTTTCCATTACAAAACAATTCCTTTTCGATACATTCTCCATTACCGCATGATAGCTTTCCTTCCGGGCAAACTGGTTCATCTGTTTTCAAAATCGGCAACACTTTTCTTGGTTCTAAAGTGATGATACGATGCGAAGTGATGACGATAAATTGGACAAAGAGAAAAGCAAGAATTAACAACAAAAACACATTATAAAATAACAATTCAACAACGCCACCGTATTTATCAGTGCTGATGTGAAAAAAACAGTGTTTGTGTGAATTTTTTTCTTCAGGGATTGTTATCTATGTTGCTATAGAATTTATGTGTTGTTAGAGGAAAACTGTCATGTTAGTTGACTGTAAATATATGTGCATGCGAGTGAGTTTGTTGTGTGGATTGTTCATGCCAAAGGTTGGCTCAGGCGCAACAAACAAAAAAAGAAGAAAATAGAAGGTGAAGAAAGGGAGAAAAAAATGAATTTAATGAAATTTCAATACAGGAAAAAGAAACGACGAGAGATTCTTCCGTACATTAAATATGTATATACACACATGAGCATGTCAGATGAAATGATTTATGGGCCTAACGGCATTGCAACCACTCACAGACAGGAAAGGAATTTATGATGAAAACTTTTCTGTTCAATTAACATATTAGTCAGTGATTCGAGCTCAGCTTAGAGAGAGAAAGATGCCTGAGAGGTTTTTCATTTTTTTACTTTTATACATAAATATATTTTACTTTTTTTTTCCACACACGCATTAAGTAAAAGATTTATAAGCAAAGTCGCAAGAGGTTGGCAATTTTTTACAGCTTTTAACGAGACACATGAAGGAGTGAAAAAGAACACGACGAATGGCACAGAAAATGAATTTCAATGTGATGTGATTGTGCAATTATGTAAATTAATTTTGTGTCTTTTTGCACATTTCAGATGAAAAATATCTCGGAGTGGTATTGAAAGTGAAAGCTTACAGCGTTGGAGTGTGTAGCCGACGAGTGTTTCACATTGTAAGCAACGATTAAAGATTAACTTGATAATTATGTCACAATTTTCTGTCGTAATTTTGTGAAATCAGCTTTTAATTGACACGTTATTGTTTCATTATGCTATTGATATTCGATAGATAAGAACTTATAAACTTATTTACATAGTTACATGTTACGATGATGATATTTAGTTGGCAAAGTTTCAAATCTGATTTTCTTCTTCTCTATCAATCAAACATATTTACTTTTAGTATTCCCAAAGTTAAACACATCTCTGATTTCATCTTGAAACAATTCAATATGGTAGAAAACTTATCAATCTTAAATACTTCATTCCGATACATGACATTGATAAGAGAAACTTTGAAATTCAATTCCATTCGATTGATTCATACAATGTCCCAGTTACAGACATCAAATCTCCTGACAGCCTAGCAATGAATAAATAAACGACATTCAATGTAAAAATAGCAAATCATGTTGAACGATAAATTCATATGTTGTTTACACCCACATAACAAGTGTAAAAAGAGTTTTGTTTTATCTTCCTGTCACACCCTCATACCGATTAAACGACTTCAAAGCGAGGGTAGTAAAAGTATCTCTAAAATTTTGTGTCTGACTTTGACGAACTCTCAAATGCCATGAAAATAATTAACCTTAAAACTATTTCATCACAACAAGGAGTGCATAACGAGACTCCCTCATAAGCTTTCTCCCACGTATCATGTAGAACATGAGAAATTTGTTTCCTAACCCAATAATGTTCAGAGATTTTGAATTTTTGGTTTTTGAAGAACGGCAGGCGTAAGTGCATTGAATGTCATTCCATTGTATCGGATTATTGCTTGAATATTTTAAAAGTTATCGCCATATGACCTAGTTTAAAGATCATGAGACGCAAATGGTATTAGATGATATTGTAGATTAAACTTCCATTGCTTTTCTATACATATCTACAAATCGATTTGAGTTTCTAATCAGAAACTGTCTAGAAACATCTAACAAGACGAGTGCTGAACTCTTTCAAAATATAAACATCTACAAGCATTTCTACATCTCTTATGTATACATTTAAGTCTGCAATGTGCATTTCCCATTCAATTATCATGTTTGAGTGTCTCCAACAACTTTTGCCATGTTATAGAGTTCTGAAGCAAAAGCAGATCTGTTTTTTGTATTTAAAAGAATTAAATCGTTTATAGAGATGTTCATGCTTCCTTATTTTCTTGAAATTAAATTTTTAAGTGTTATTTTTTTTGCTCATCTAACACGTTCAGCCAAAGCATTTCCACGATGCTCATAAATTCACGTAGATACTCGCGAACCTCCCAACTTTATGTGTTTTTCTATTTTTCGCACGGTGAAATTTTTCACTTATTTTCTACGTAAATAGATTTTATGCTTCCTTTTCATCAGTAAGGAAAATGGGAGTTGGAGGGAGCTTAAGTTGAAGCTGGAAAAATAACATCAGTAGGTACATATATATCCTTCGCCACATTAATGAAAATCCCAGACCAATTTGCGGGGAAAAAGTTTTTTTTTTTCGTTTACATTTTCGAAATTATAAAAATATTGCGAGGAGAAAAGAATGAAGCTTAACATTAAACCACCATTGTAAAAACGACCATAACAATATTTAATTGCATTCGCCTGAAATGAATTTCGCTCTCACTCTCAGTTTGAATCACAAATTAAATTATTAACTTTCTTTTTTTGTTGTTTTTTTTTTCGCGCCCCTCCGAAATAAACGAAATGAACAAAATATATAAAAAATGATTAGAGTACTGATAGTTATGTAAATTATATTTATGCAGATAAAAAAGAATGTAGATTGTGAATGTTGTGTGTTTGAATGGAAGGTGTCAATCAGTAAATAAATACAACAAAATGTTGGGAAAGACAGCATCATCATTCATTTACTGATGTTGTGAATAAACACCCGATTCTTGTTTGGATAAAACATTATTTTTCTCTCTCTTTTCGCACTCTTATCGGAGATGAAAAATAATAAATTACATTAGCATGGGTCTTCTTACAACTTAAAAAATAAAGCAAAACAAAAAAGATACAACAAAATGAAAAATGTCATTTCGAAACTTACTTTCCTTTTTATCGCAATTATCTACTTTAGCTTTCCAATCGCACGTCTGTTTTTCAATGTCAAATGCCAAACCGGAAGGACAGGTAATTTGTTTCAGTCCGGCACGAGTACATCTAAACCCGAATGATTTCATTATCAATCATTTCGCCACATTAATTTCAGTAAGTTATTTTTTATTTGAGTTGATTCGGGTATGGGAGGTTTTTTTTTCATTTCATTTCGTAATCCAATGTTAACCAGTTCCAATACACATAACAGCAACAACCGCATTATTGTTAACAGCAATAATAATGCGCCAGGCAACAAAGTTAGAGAAATTCATGGTGATTTCGTTTTCATATTTTTCATGTTCATAATTTTTTTTTGGTCGCGCAGTGCAGAGGCAAAAGATGAAAAAAGAAGAAAAGAAAAAAGAGAAAGAAAAAAAACGATTATTTAAATATAATCTGCAAATAAAAACTTTTTTTTTTGAAATCGCTACAATCCAAAAGACATTAAATATTAATTGAATTTACTGGCGAGAAACACTTATTTAAGATGAAATGTTAAACAACTGCTGTTGGCTTCACGTTCATCCCATTTGCTAAACACAGCCGATTAATAATTTACAAAAAGCTATTATTAACAACTCTGATGATGATTTTCACAGTTACAAGGTTTTACTTTTAAATTTAAAGACAAGTTTTTGGTGCAATGCTGTTGAGATGGAGGAGAGCTTTTCGACGCTGTTTTTCTGAAATTCTTTCACAAAACTTTTATCTCTAACGATTCGAATTTTTTTTTTCCTTTTTTTCTTCTTCTTCTCGTCTCCCCGATCACATCACGATTTGCTTCTCTATCAAAGTTGAATCTTTAACGAAAAGCTATTTCAAGTCGGGAATGGAGAGAAAAGATTGTTTGCTCGCAAACGAGAAGAAAAACTTTCGTGTCATTAAATTAGATTTTCCCGTCATTTGTGTGTTGTTTGTGCAGTTCATGGAGAAATGCATTGAGCTTTTTAAGTTGTTAGAGAAGAGAATAGAAAAGCCACATAGATGTAAATAGAATTGCAATTCGCAATCGTATTGAGAAAAGGAAGGAAGTATAAATGTTCATGAATTTATCTTTGCCGCTTTCAGTTCTCTACACAATGTTGGGGATATGGTTGGAGAGTAATGATAGAAAATTAGTTACACTATGGTATTTTATATGCGTATACATTATTAATTGAATCCAATTACGGAAGCGAGGGAAAACTATTTGGAAGGATAAGGTGGAATCTGATTTGATGCTTTTCCTTCTTTTGTTTAGATACTTATATATTTAGTAGAAGGGAGCATAGGAAAAATGGCACTCGTAAGAGCAGAGCATAGAAACAAACCATTTTATGAAAGACAAACAAGAAAGTTACATCGTTGATTGAATGTTTTGCAGCAATGTCAACCTAAAACTTACTCTCTAATTCTTTACAGTTCTTAACGTTCGTCTTCCAGTCACATGTTTGACGTTCAATATCGAATGCCAAACCGCCGGGACAACGAACTGATGCTAAGCGACTTATACTTCTCCTCTCTCCAGAATTATCGCACCTTGATATTCATAAAATAATTGAGTATTTTTTTTGTTTTTGATATTGTTGAGAAACATTTAGAAAAAGGAAGGAAGAAAAAGGGTTTTTCAAATCATTAAATAGATATTTGGTTGGCATGTGTTGCGATTTGAGTATCACAAAATCATTTGTAAAACTTTTCTTTAACGCCATCATTTCTACTTTACTTTAATCGCCATTTTGGAGAGTAACAAAATAATAAATTATGAAGGGTAATGGAAGTTTTATTTAAATGGTGTGAGAAAAGGAAAATATCCCAAATAAAGGATTTCCTTAATCAAGATTGAATTTTTTCTCAAATTTATTTCTATTGTGAAAAGTATCTCATCTTAAGTTCCATTACCCTAATATTTTCTGTATGTCGGTCTAGGTATGTATATAAATTTTTATATAAATATCTTGATAGACTTCTGATCAAAAAAAAATGGAAATAAAAATTCAAATTTTACTACGGCCACATGTGTCTCACCTTACAACATCACGACAATCGCCTTCTGATGATAAGCGGAAATATTCGTCGCCGGGTCGATCTTGACACAATTCATCGATGTTTTGCTCTGCATTCTCGTCGTCATCTTGTCGTTTTACTCGAACGTCAGCAGTTGCTATCGTAAAGAAAGGAACAATAGAAAGAGTTGTTATTTTTTATTGCTTTCTTCTTTTGCTTTAAAAATCTTTTTAAGTTTTGGCCTTTTGTTGCTGCTTTTTCTCATTTATATTTTCATTCTTCATTGTCTTTGATGCGTGTTTACGAATGATAAAAAGGTGAGTTCATTACTCAGATTATTATCTAGTCTCTTGTTTTGTTTTTTATTGTTCATTCTTATTTTTCTTTTTTTTATCCAAGAAATAACAGAGGAGAAAAAAAAATGCAAATGTCTTATAAGGTTTTGAATATAAAGCTTTAGATACTTTGAACGACGTGATTGAATTAAGTTTGTTGGTTCTTAGGAATTTTGTTTGATGTGGCTGGAATGATTGTTAAGTTACGTAATATTCGTAAACATTCAAAATGTTAGATTAACATTAATTGTCGATATAACTTATAAATTAATCTTGACTGCTTTTGAGGCGACCATGATGAAGAAGTAAAACTTAAATCACTCAAATAATCTTAGCCATGAAAATCGAGTAAACAACTAGTAAGCAAAGTCAAATTCTCAGAAAACCACGTAAGCATGCTTTAAAAAAAATAAATTAAACCTTGACATGATGCGCTTACCAAGAAATCTTCTCACAAATCTTGTAGTTCGCCTTGAATTTTTTGTTTTCACATAAATAAGAAGCAACACATTCATAATGCAGATAATAAAGACAAAATGAAAAGCCATCTAAAAGAAATCGAAAGTATGAAGAAATTTTTCTTCATCTTTATCTTCTTTCTTTCTTTCGTTTTTGTTTTACGTTTTTTCATTTTTTTGAGGGTTTTCAAGCAAATAACGAAGCATTCGAAAGGAGTTAAATAAAATATTTCAATCGATAAATTCGATTGAAACTTTTGAAAAAGTGAAAGCAGAAGATGATGTTGAGATACCGAAATCTGCTATAAATATCATTTCTTCCCTTTCGTTTCGATTTGTTTTTTCATTCCTTCAAATATTAGAAATCTTTTGGGGCGATTTATTTCTCATCAAGGTCGTCGCAAATAAATCCTTAATGAGGAAGAAGAGCTTTTGATGTTTTCCTTATTTGCGCTTACAAAAAAGCGAGTAATCGAAAGGCGAAAGGAAAACAGATTTTTCAAGTTTTCTGACAGTTTTTCATCAAAAGGAATAGCAAACGAAGGCAAAGAGCGAGAGAAGAAAAAAAATCGGCAATTAATTAAGGAAACTTTTATTGCTAAAAGCAAACTTACAATTTGGGTAAAATCAAAGTCACAATAAATCAACCTCTAGAAAATTTATTTCTGTTTTCTCTTTCACTAAATATCTTCATCGTGATGGCGCCCGGCCCTATAGACGTTTTCAATCAATGAAGCTGTGTGCTTACGTTGCCAGATGATATAGAGAGGGAGAACGTGCATAAATTATGGCACCGAATCCACTCTCAATCCACGTCGCATTTCAGGATGAGTAATCATCGAATTAGAAGGGAAAATGGAGAAAAAAGAAGGAAAATTTTCGCAACATCATGCAGACGATGATGCGGACGATGAAGTGTTTTTTTTTCTAGTCGATCTTCTTCGATAAATGAAGAGAATTAAACCAAAATAAACTCAACAGTGTACCATTATTTCATACACTTTTTTTCATCAAAAAGCAATATGAAATCAATTAATTATATTATTACGTCTTCGACATGATGAAGAAACGAACGATATGGTTGCACGCCGTTATCAAGCATGAACCTTAATTGAAAATCTTTCACACGATATTTCTTTTTTAAGATGAAAGAGAAAAAAACCTGAAGCAGCTTTTAATTGAAATAAAAGAAGAAGGAAAAAAATGTGGAAAATATTATTTATTGGTTTGTTGTAAGCACCAACAGCGTTGTTGTGGCAATATGGAGACGATGAAGGAAGTAAAGTAAACTCGAATAAGTATGAGAAGGAAATGGTGGTTGAAAGTTACATAAAGAGCGAGATTAACAAAGCAATTGACTCATTTCAACATGTCAACGACACTCTTGACCAAAGCTAAATATTCTGAGACATTCTTGGAAAATTTTACGAAGCGGGCGACGATGGCATGCATCGTTAATTGATTTCTGGTGTTTTTTCTTTTTGGTATGTTGTTACTCTTCGAGTTACTGGTGAATGACAAGCAGCATTTACACAATGTTCTTGACTTGCAAAAATATTGTCGAGTTTGTGTGCGAGAAGCATTGCAACCAGTTATATAATTTCCATTTCATTGGAAACCAGTTCTCTTTCTCAACAACACTCCTGAACGAGCGAACTTCTTTTTTTCCATATATTCATTCATTCGTTCGCTTCTCAACTTCTCGCTCGCTTTGTCTTGTTTTCAAATGTCAACATTAAACTTTCTCTTATATTCATAATCAATAATATTCATAGCAATCTCATCATGTCTTCACAATCAATGAGTCTGTTCGATTTTCCAAAATAAAATCACATAGTAAACGATGAAGATAAATAAAAATGTTTAAAAAGACTCTCCAACGTGGAGATTTGTTTCACAAATTTAAATAAATTAAGTATGTAAATTTAAAGCAATCGACCAACATTTAAAAAAAATCGAAATTTATTCTCGTGAATCCGAAATCCATTAAAATAACTGTCAAGGATAGTTTCTAGTGCCACGCCATTTCGAGATAACTGTTTGGTTGTTTTCTTCTTCCACTTTAATATCACCGTTTGGTTGCCAAGCAATATAACTCAAGTTCATTTGTTTCGGTTACGGTTTGGGTGACATACCCGCTTATTATTTCTGACACGTATAAAGCTTTTCGACCATTTCATTTCTTATTTATTTAAGCTTAATCATCAAAATAAAAAGCTGTAACTCACCGAATAACAACAAGGATGATATTAATAAAAATCCTGATAACCGTTTCACACTCGCCATGTTAAGGCTGTGCTTCACTAATTGCGTATCCGAAAATGCGCTTAATAGACACTTGTGTTGTCAACGACACCAACCCTTAAATTAACAGTCTATTTCCGTAATTCCACTTAATTCGAAATCCACTTTATATCATTTGTGCCGTTCCGAGATCTAAGCCGACTCAAATGTACGATCCAACTAAGTGATCGCCGTCGTATTGAAGGTCTATTTATTAAGACTTTCTCTCCCGTGAGTGGGGCTTGATTCGTTTTCTTCTTCTCTTGCATGCGGCATGACGTCAGGTGTGTTAAGCGTGCTTTGGTGGGATTGATTTTAAGTGAGTGGGAATTTGTTTTGTCTTTCATTCTTCTTTAGTTTTCTCATGAGATTGTAGCTGTATGTAGTTTGCTTAATGAGGGGCAGAAAAATGAGAAAAACAAAACAACAACCTCGAAGAAAAAGAAAAAAAAAGATTTAAATTACTCAAATATCTGCCAGAAGCTTAAAATTCATTGGAATCAATTTGTTATTCAAGAATATTGTTTCGATAAACAGAGGAGAAAAATGTTAAATCAATATTTATCGGAACAATTAATTGCTGTGAGTGAAATTAAGCGAATGTATTTAAAACCGGTTTCGTCTGTTCAAGGACAACAAAAGACATGCAAGAAAGCAGTGTTAGACGACCACGACGACGATTTGATTTTTAAATAAAAAATATGTAATGAAATGGAGGGAGAAACGTTTGTTGGCTTTATTTCACTTCTCGATTTCTCTCAGGTCTCTAAAGCACATAAATGTCTTGTTTAATTGTTATTGACAATTTAACAATGAAATGATGTCATTACAATCACCTCCCTAACAACATAAAATCAAATTAATCCCTTCTGCATTGTTCTTCATGAAGTAGAGTTTGCTTATATATTTAAAACAACTCTGAACAACTCCGAAATATCTGAATCACAACAACAAACAACGAGAAATGTTCAACATTCTCTCTTACTTCGTCTTACTTCCCCTTAATTCACATAAAACATTTCTCTTCAATTGCAAATATTTTCTTATTTTCGACGCTTGAAATAATATTGATATTATGAAAAGCTTTCGCCTTGTATTCCTGAAAGCGTTTTCAATAACTCAGCATAACACAAAAATAATAAATATATCATTTTGGTTAAGCGAAATTTTAATTTATTGAAATGGCGCTCTTGGTTTTTCCAAACTTTTATTCTTCCTTTTGTAAGCTTATGACGTCACGTCAATGAAAGAATCTTTCCAAATCAGTGCTTTCTTTAAAGCATCTCCTCCGGTTTATGTTTTTGTTTGTTTTTATGAGTTTATCGAAGTGCAAGATTGAGACATCAAGCATTAAAGTACAACAATGAACCCTTTCAAATGTGAAATGATTTTACGATGACCCCGTTCCCTTCTCGAATCCTGCTTGTGCAATACGAATTTATTTCGCTTTCAGAAAAGGGTTTCAAACTCAATTTATTGCTTACAATGCTTTTGTTTGTTGTTGTTTTTGGGGAAGAACAAAATCAATACGTACTTAGGTTCACACTACTACTGCATCAACGTTCACGCCACACCGCAACATGAATAGAACGAATGTGGTTGGGACTAGGACGAGACGGAAAAAAAAGGAAAGAAGAAGAAAAAGTAACAAAGTTTCAGGTAGAGATAATTATCCTTAATCAAATGCAGAAGCACAAAAAAATAAAACAACCGCTGTTTTTAAATTACATTTCGTGTATGCATTATGAGCTTATAAAAGGGAACAAAGCCATTGCTTTTTAAATAAACGCGACGACGATGCAGTGGTGCAGCAGTTAAGGTTTTAAACTTGTTAGCAATCACCATGAGTCGTTCAGTTTTTCCATATCATGTTTTAATATTCAGCTTAAACTAAATACTCATGGATTTTAATTTCCCATTGTATGTAAGTACTTAGTGTATGTTGTTGGTGTTTAAAAGAAAAAAAAACTTTAACACCAACTGTGGGGAGAAGTAAACGATGAAGCGGGGAAAATTTTCCTACAGGATATAAAGAAAAATTAAGAAATGTGAAAAGTGGTGTGTTTATTCAATTATGAAGATCTAGTTCACATTCATATTCCCCGCTCACGATAATCCTTTAAAACTTCAACCTTCATCTCGTCCTTCCCTCGCTCATATATCCTTTTGATGCCTTTATTCACACAACAGCGATTATGATACGTTATATGTCGAAATGTTTTAATTTCAAACACGTGTGTAAATTTAACGTGAATCATAAATTTTCATTTATGACATTATTAACAATTTGAAAATCACAAATTGCTGTGAAAATTTAATTAGAATCCTTTTAACTCTTGAGTAGATGTGTCATAAAATTTTAATCAATGTTCAGATGGTAGACCTGAAATATTTATTCATGGAAATTACTTTTCCGTTCGATAATTTTCCAAATAAAACAAGAATTTTGCTTTTTCATTTCTCATTTCTTAAATTCTTTCAACATTCAACTCTCAAAACTCAAAACCAACATGCCACGTATCTATGAGAAGGATGAGAAAAACAGTTTTAAGTGCTCGGTCATTAAAATCGCTTTTCTGTTTTCGAACTGATAAATTCTCAACTGCCGTCAATGATGATGATTTATTGCTGGAAAATTTCATTTAAAACTCATTGTGACGTGATCAAGTGCCGAAAAGCACGGGAAAAAGTAACAGTCGAAAAACTCAAAATTTAATTTTAAAACCATGAGTTTTTGTTCTAAACGCGGAAAGCGTAGAAAAATACAAATTCCATTAGCTCAATTAGACATTTTCTACATTGAATTTCGATTTGAATGTAGTGAGAAGTGCTTTTCAAGCAATTCTCAATGGTCGTTGAGTGAATTCTTTTTTTGCGTGGTGAAATGGAATCTCAGAGTCGAAGTGATAATGTTGAAGGCGAGAAATTAGACAAGAGAAGATTGAAGGTAAAGAAAATCTGGAAATCTAAAATCGCTTATTACATCACAAAACACTTTCATTCGTTCGTGAGTTGTGAGCATGAAGATCTCATGCCACACATTCTTCAAAACCCCGAAATACGTATAATCGGCTAATGATTCTTCTACATGAACACGTTCATTCGACTAGGCTGGTAGAATATGTTTATCGACGTGCACGTCACAGTATTGAATTATTTTTGTTATCGGCATGTTATTATCATGTAAATGTTTAATGTCATCGTTGAACGAGTGGGAATTAAATTTATGATAAATTATGAGAAAATTCTTATTGTGCAAATACCTTTTTTTCCAATATCCTGTTTATTTATACAACGCTACGGTTAAATTGCAACTCGAGTTTTATAGCAAATGGGATTTGTTTGAAAGTTATGTCAGTAAATCGTGGTAGATAAATTTAAAAACTGAATCGATTTTCAAGTGACTTCCTTTTTCAACAATATTTATAATCATAAAAGATGAGATAAATAAAAAAACAAAATACATTTAACAATAAAAATCATGATTTAGTCGGGAAATTGATTTTCAAAAATTCTCTGCTTATTCACTTTTATTTATTTATTTAAACATTTATTCCACCTTTCCCATTTCCACAATCATTCTTGCAAATAAATAATTAGTTATTAGTATACAATTCATTCTTCTCAACCACAAAATTTTGGTCACAAAATGAATCAATGTTGAGATGTTTATTTTGTTGCTGTTCGTTTATCTTTCTACTCTTTCAGCCCAACTGGATGCAGATGTTGAAAATCGAAATGGTTATGTAATGTCATGACAATATGATGTATTGTTTTTAAATCTATATCCGTGATATTGCGTGATATTATTTAAGAAGTTTTTTAGGGTAGAAAAAAAATAAGAAAGATCGATAAAGTTGTAAACCATTTATTTAACATCTATAAGAGTCATCGATTCACCATTGCATAAAAAAGAAAGAAAGAAAGAAAATTGAAATTCTCGCTTGCTGCTTTCTTGAAATTAATTTTCTTCTTCAATTTGCCTTAACTTCGTGAAAAAAAGTTTGTTTTAAGCACAGAAAGGAATCATGCTCATGGTAAGCACAATTCCTTCTTTTACTTTTCTTCATTGTGGCCTTTCTACCTTTATTCCTTTCTCATCATAGTGTTGTTCAGGTTGGAGTCGAGTGGCACATTGTTACGAATTGATTTATTTGATTTTTTAATTTTCCAACGAACAAAATGCTCTCAGAGGATACTTTCAAGAGCAAAAACTTGTTCAAAAAAGCTCAACTAAATTAATAAATCATGTTAATGACTCCTTTGGAAAAATTCAGCAAGATACTTTCAGTGAATTTATCGTGTTTTTATTATGATTTCAGTAGTATAAGAAGAATGTGAAAATGCTTCGTTTTCCCTGTTCAATGTGAAATTACTGGTAGAAAGTCTAATAGATTCTAAGGTGGGATGTGGATGCATAATTTTCTTATTAAATTTCACATATTTTCGAACCTCTGCTCATCATTTCACCGCGAACACCCCCACCCGTCCCCCCAAAAAAAGCATTTCTTTCTCTATTACATCCAACACTTTGCTTATTGCAAATTTCTTTCACTCCCATTCTTCTCGCTGTAGGTAATATTTTCATTTCAATTTAGCAATTCACATGTTCTGCTATAAAGCATAAATTCGTGAAACTCTCGTTTGTGTACAATAGAGTAAGTGAGAGAAAATTTTCTTTCCTTCTACTCATCCCCAAAAATTTCTCGAGGCAATAAAAATAAATCTTCCCTTTAACAACAGCAGCAGCTACGCTTTTACATTTTTACTTTTTTTTTTCTTTCTCTCTCTAACTTTTCTTTCATCATGTATTTTCAACATTCTAAGATATATTAAGATTTTCACATTTTACTTCCTCAAGAATGCTTTTTCTTCCTTTTTTTGAAGATGCTGCGTTGTGCCTATTACGTACCGTTGGGAGTCAAATTCCAGGCACAAGACAAACGTAAAGAATGTTGATGCTTGTTAGAAAAGTGGCTTCGCAATTTTAAACACGAGGAACTTTTCTCTGATTAATTTTCGAGTCTCTTTTCTGACATTTTAAAGACCACATTTGTTGAAGTCTAATGACTTCGAGTTCTGTGATATTTAAATGAGAGACGAGAATCGCCAGAACAACTTAAAGATAGCAAATTGAGCAAATAATAAAGCATTGAACCCTCGTTTGAGCAATAAAAACTTGAATTACATATTTATGAAGCTACCATCAACGAAAACGTTTCTCTACAAGCTTCATAAGATGAATTAATGGTCAAAATTGATTTTTCAAACGATCTCAAACCATCTTCCTTAAGCTTGTATTCTTTGCAACTAAATTATCATCAGGTAAAATGTAATCAATATTTTATTTTCTCATTGGCCATCCTCCCACATATCATTTCGCTCATCGGAAAATGAAAGGAAGATGAATTCGGAAAAAGAAGATGTTTTGACGACTTCCTAAAAGTGTGGGAAATTTATTTAAAGCTTTTTAAAGAGCTTCAATTTTGTTTCAATTCTTTCTTCCTTACACACAGATTGAAATCTGAGATCCTGTTGTGTCTGTAATAAAATATGAAAAGCGAATTTTTTAAAAAGCAATAAAACTCCAACAACAAATATCAGCTTTATGTTTGAATTCTCCTATGAATCTCTGTGAGATCTTGTTGACACATAATATTTTGTAGAATTTTATGAGCATGTATTTTTGTTTTATGAGCATCAAATTGCAAACGTGTCGCTTTCACGAAACAAATCTTTGAAGCGAAGACTTATGAGAGTGACTTTATCAAATAAAATATTCAAAAGAAGACATTAAGACATTTTCCATATGCCTCTATGTTCTTTGATATTATCAACACAATCCGGTAACATAAGTTGGAATAGAAACTTTCACAATATTTCACACAATTGATAAAAAGAAATTCTCTCCAAAGTTCTTCCTTCCAAAGTTATTTCGCAAATTAATAACGAAAACTTATGCAAATCGCAATAAATTTCCTTACCACCCTCGCCTCGTATCTACATAAAATATTTAAGTTTATCTTCTAGAAAATAAATAAATTGATGTACCAAAATGAAAAACACTTTCGAAAAGCTTTTAGTTTGATTTCTTACGAAAAAAAAAAGAACAGAAAAAAGTTAGACACTTTAGGTATTGAACCTTTGAGTGTTTTGAAGCGAAACGAAAACTTCTCAGAGTTCAAAACAGTTTTCCTTGACCTTGAATTATCATTAGGTCGTGTCGGAAATGCTAATCAACCCTTGGAGAATGTAGTCGAATTTTTGTGTTCAATTCTCTTGGAAGAAAAGTTTGGAAAACTTCAATTCATCACGAACATTAATCGATTATGAGAACTCCATCATGTTACTTCATTTTCAATGATGAACTTACACTCACTGAGCGCTTGCGGTCAGGCACAGGAGATAATATTTTTTGAGTCCCTTGTCGGGTTTTAGTTGAAGAATGTTAGGAACAAACGACAAATAAGATTTTTACAGCCTGAGAGTGACGGAAGGAAGCCCTTAAATGCTTGAGGGTCATGAGGGTCATAAAGTTCAATTCTTTGTTATGAACAGAAGAATTTATTGAAACATTTCGTTCGAATATTTCTGATCTTTCACAAATAGTCAGTTAGAGTTTTCCCATTCTTAATCTTGTTTATAGAATAAACAGTCATTTCCTGACTACTCCTTATGCTCAAATTCAATCTTAAATCACATTCTTTAAAGTTATTCTCACATCAAAACTTCGAGCATTGTTTTAAACCGAAAAAAAAGTTGATTTCTATTCAACAATACAAACTGGTCTTATCGCAGGAAAAGCTTTTTACAACCAAGACTGAAAAGGTTTAGGAACTCTCGATATATATTTTTTCTTGCAGAAGAAGACGAGAAATGGCTGGGTGAGGGTATGTATATAACAAGATAAAAAACATTTAAAAATACATTATAGATCATGCAAACAAAAAAAAAATCTTCTTCTTCTTCTGTGTCTTCTTATGTTTCCTTTTCCTTTATATTTTCCTCACCATATTATTATCAGCGTCATCATCATAATAAAAATATGTATCTTTCGTTCACTTTTACTTAGGGATATTCTGCCGTCGTATATTTTTATGAGTGAAAAACCTTCCTGAATACATTATAAATGTGTTGTGCTTGCTTTTCATTCTTAGATGCTTGCTTTCTTCAACAATTTCCTACTCTATGCAGGGGACCAACCTGATCTTTGAAGTTGTCTCTGTTTGTTCACCATGAAGCAGCACAGCAAAGAAGAATTCCATTGGACCTAATGTTGATATGTTTTTGACATCGAATCACCTTCTTTTTCTTAAATTTCTTTAAAGATTTATATTCTAAATTCCATGCTCAAAGGGAAAATGGCAAAATTATGGTAAGTTAAAAGAAAACGTTAGCGATTCACTTCTGTTTATGGATGGAGAAAAGAGGAAATTCAGAAAAACTTGTCATTGAAAGTCAGAAAAATTTTCAACAATATTTGAGATGAAACAGGGGTAAAACGAGAAAATCATCATCCTTTCTTTCAAATTATAGGCATAGACAATATTTCATAATGATTTACAACATATTACCAACGACGATAGTAAAATGCGAGAAATGTGAGAATTTCCTTCTTTTTCTTTTCGACAACTGAAGTAAAACAAAGAAATTGTCTAGTTTTGGTTGCCTGTATTAAGTTTTGTGCTGACATTACCCTTTTCTGATAACCAATAATGACATTTGATAATATTTAGCTGAGCGTGTGAGAAGTTTTTATATCCACTTGATTATTGTTTCAACTTTTTTTGCTTCACAGAAAAGCAATGGAATCATAAAAATATTTAACTATCGCTCTCAAACAAGCAACTTTGAGATTTATTGAAATAAATATTCTTTCAGATTACGATCGAAACAAATTTTGACATTATTCTGAAGAATTCATCTCTTGACTACTTGAAGAAGAAATCAATATGAAAAAGTTTTGTAAAGAGAATCATGCAAATTAGCTGTATCATCATATATTTTTATGCACCATATAAAAAATGTCAAAAGCACCAGACATCTTTTATATTCCTTGAACATAAAAAGAATCACGGAAGGAAAATTTTATAGGAAAATTCATCAATGTGAAATAAAATCAAAAAGATGAAATTTCTTTCATTCTCCTCTCAGTTTTTTTTGACAGCTAATGATTCTACAATCATCAAGAACTAGATACTATTACAACTTTCACAGAAACAAAAACGAACGAACGCCATAATCCCAAATGATATTAATTTGAACTTTTCTTTTTGTCGATGTCATGAGGCTAGAAACATAAAACTTTTATGTTGCTACCTTCCATGTAAAAAAACTCTTTAAGATCAATAAATCTAATAAGTTTGCCGTTCAAAAAGTTATGCAAATAAAAAATTCCATTAAGGGACGTATTAATATTGGTACAGATAATCTACGATCGTGACTGTGTCTTCTGGGTTCATTTGGGTATTGAATCGTATTAAAATTTGAACCATATTACTATGTTATCAAAACACATAATTATCTTCATAATCCTGAATTAATTTTTTATATTCACATTCAAGTCTTACAAAAAAAAATAGAAAGGGGAGTTTGGATAAGAATTAATGTCGAAATATTTTTATTTCTACTTTGTTAAATTCTTGATAAAGTTATCATTGCTTGCAAGGTTTGAACGAAACACTTTCTTTTCATTGCTTAACTTCTTAAGTAGAAGGGAAAGATCTTGATACAAGTAATTATTGTGTTATACAATTTCTTAGACATTACTCTTTCCAGTTTTCCTTCAAGCAACTCGTATTGTTTATTGTCAGAGAAAAGGCAAAAGCTATGTTCGCTGTTTCTTTCCAGTAACTTTTCATTTTCAAAATAAAACAAAAAACTTAAGAAAATACCATAGCAGAAGTATTTCGCTCCCTTATAAAACAAAAACTATTTCTGTGAAGGAAATATTTCTCATTTCACAATCTTTTTCAATTTTTCTTTAAAAAATGTTCCTTTGGAAAATTGCAAAGTTTTATTGTTTTTGCAATTTCTCTTCCTTTTCTTTTTTTGTGAAATGGAAGTTTTTAATGGAAATTTCATTATTTATGCTTTTTGTACTTTATTTTTCCACATGAATAATTGCACTGAATGTAAGAGTGAGAATGGGAGAAGTCAAGGAAGGAAAAGAAAAGAAGCACCATCGGAATTTTCATTCGACTTTTTTATTTATAAAAATATATGCTTCAATGGACGGTTTGAATTTTTGTATAAGATTTTGAGTTGATGAACATAATTTGTATGGTTGTATAGTTGAGTTTTAATAAAACATTAAGTTGAGAACTGTTGGATAATATAAAAATTAAATAAAATTAAGGTTCACATTATCACTAAATGAGAAACATTTTTTTACATTCAACTTAATTTAACTGACTTATTTACACGTGCCTCACGTTCATGTTTATCAGTAAGTATTTTTTTAATATTTGGTGAATAGATACGTCTCGAAGTCAAGCTGAAAAACACTTGTTACAACAACAAATGAATCATTAAGCATACTATTAATAACTTATGGAAAGGCTGAATTGAAATGTTAGAAGTCTCACGTAAAAGCACAAATGTTTTTGAGCAAAATTTAATATACTTTCTGTTACCGAGACACAAACACATTCAAATTCATCCATTCAATTGAGCACTATTTATTAAGGTCTTTCGATCAAATTTTATCAGTTCTTTTGTGAAGTTGAGAGATCAATCAACAAAATGGTGACTAAGTTAAAAGTTATAACTTGTGTCGTGGCGTTTTTAGGTTTTCTATCTTCTTTTTGCCACGCAGATCAACCGTGAGATTTCTTGATATCTGAAAGTTATTGTTAGTTTAAATCTGATCTTATATTAAATGAATGTAGAGTTTTCTCCGTGATCGGGCCTAAGGTACTTCGTTCTGGCCATCCTTATGAATTTTCTATCGTTTCAAGTGGAATAAAAAATGCAGTGATTGTCAACGTCAAACTCTCTGGAATTGATATTAACGGCAACTATGTTGAACAGAATATTATTGGAGTGAACTTGAAATCTGGTGCCCTGAAAAATCTTAAGTTTAATGTAAGGTCATCATTTTTCTTTTAAATCAGCTATTAGAAAAATCTCTTTTTGTTATCTAATTAAAGACTGAAAATTTAAGAGATGGTTCCTACAAGTTGAATGTCGGTGCAGCCGATCGCAAAACTGGTGAAACCTACTTTAGTAATCGACAATTAACGTTTTTGAAAAAATCACATTCAGTATTGTTGCTAACGGATAAATCCATATATCGACCAGGAGATGTGGTAAATTTTAGAGTGTTTTCAATTGATTCTGAGGCACGGCCATCTGATTTGGTCGGGGCTGTCGTAACGATAAAAGATTCAGAAGATAATGATATTAGAACATATGCGAATGTGACTTTTGATAATGGTATGTATCAAGGATCATTAGCGTTGAGTCAGATGCCTAATTTGGGAACATGGACGATATCATTGGAAGATACATCTGAGGAAGGAGAGGTAAATTCTTGTAATCATGAAAAATCAATTAATTCATGACATAAAAATTGTTATCAGACCTACAGAAAAACGTTTGAAGTTGAAAAATATGTACTTCCTGTTGTCGCTGTTAATATTATTCATCCTGAATCGGTTGGAATTCCTGAGCAGAAATTTCCCGTAACAATATCGCCTGAATATACTTTTGGTGGAGCAGTTAAAGGAAGAGCAAATGTGAAATTTTTTAACTCATACTATTATAGTAATGACAACCAAGCACTTTATACAAAACAGTTTGATATCGATAATAGTAGTGTGACTTTCGAGGTTGACATTCAAAAACATTTGAACATACGTTACGGCAGAAGAGTTGCCATAGAAGTTTCTTTTACAGATGATTTAAGTGGAAAAACAGTTGTCGCTACGTCAATAATGCAAATTAATAGATACTCTTATCGTTTGGAAGTTATTGGAGACTATTATTATCAAAAATCTGCAATGAATACGTATACAGTTTCGGTTCGAAGCTTCAACAGTGAAACTCCTGTAAGGAAAATAATTTCTATAACTCCTAGTATTTTATCATCATCTATGATGACTATCTTTGTGTTTCGTATTTTAATTTATTCTGTATTATATTTTTTTATTTATGTTATATTATTGCTGTTTTCATATATCTTTAGCCACCACAAGGCTCTAAAGTGAGCGTAAGTATTGAGGGATATTGTGCATGGAGAGATTCCAACTGTGTGCGGGAGACATTTATGGAAAAGCAATATGAATTAAACTCAGATGGAACTGTCGTGATTCAATTTTTTGCACCACCTCAATTTTCTTATATCTATATACGGGTATGGAAAACTCGGAAAAATGATTCTCAGTAACTAATAATTTTATTTGTAGGTCCGCATTCCAAATGATGCAAGTTCTTCAAAATACATAAGACCCGGATCTAGTGTTTCCATTCCTAGATGGAGAATTAGTTCCCTCACCAAAAAGTATGAGAACTTCTAAAGTTATGCATCTTAATGAAACAAACATTCACGAAGTTATTTTATTGCAGCCCTAAGATCGGATCGCGTTTGAACATTCTTGTAGAAACAACGTTCGATCTCGAACAATGTTACTGTGTTGCAATATCTAAAGGAAAGATAGTAAAGAATGTTGCCATAGATATGATTAATAATGAAGGCATCTTGAGCTTCATTCCCGACTTCACTTATGCACCAACTACCAGATTTGTTTTCTTCTACNCAGAAAAGTTAACAAAAAAAAAGTTACATACATAAAGACAGACAGACAGGGTTGAAAGGCGACGGAAAAATCGAAGTCCATTTTTTCCACTTTTCTCGACGTTTCATGCTATTTTAAGCATATTTAAGCAAAAAAAATTTTCCAAAAAAAAATGTCGAATACAATACGGTGACCTCACCAAAGGTGGGCCTCCGTAATTATATTGTCGGAGTTATTTGTTGCTATGCAAAAATTGAAGCCATTTTATTGTTATTGAAGATTCGTCGAAAAAAAAGATGTCATTTTGACAGTTGTTTCTGTTATAAATAGAACGGGATCATTCAGCATTCAAATATTAACTTATGAAAGACTGAATTAATTTAAGTGCGAGAACTCACGTAAACGCACAAATGTTTTTGAGCAAAATTTAATATACTTTCTGTTGCCGAGACACAAATACATAAGAATGTAGACTTTCAATTGAATACTATTTATTAAGGTTTTTTGATCAAATTTCATCAGTTCTTTTGTGAAGTTGAGAGATCAATCAACAAAATGGTGACTAAGTTAAAAGTTATAACTTGTGTCGTGGCGTTTTTAGGTTTTCTATTTTCCTTTTGCCACGCAGATCAACCGTGAGATTTCTTGATATCTGAAAGTTATTGTTGGTTTAAATCTGATCTAATTAAATGAATGTAGAGTTTTCTCCGTGATCGGGCCTAAGGTACTTCGTTCTGGCCATCCTTATGAGTTTTCGATCGTTTCAAGTGGAATAAAAAATGCAGTGATTGTCAACGTCAAACTCTCTGGAATTGATATTAACGGCAACTATGTTGAACAGAATATTATTGGAGTGAACTTGAAATCTGGTGCCCTGAAAAATCTTAAGTTTAATGTAAGGTCATCATTTTTCTTTTAAATCAGCTATTAGAAAAATCTCTTTTTGTTATCTAATTAAAGACTGAAAATTTAAGAGATGGTTCCTACAAGTTGAATGTCGGTGCAGTCGATCGAAAAACTGATGAAACTTACTTTAGTAATCGACAATTAACGTTTTTGAAAAAATCACATTCAGTATTGTTGCTAACGGATAAATCCATATATCGACCAGGAGATGTGGTAAATTTTAGAGTGTTTTCAATTGATTCTGAGGCACGGCCATCTGATTTGGTCGGGGCTGTCATAACGATAAAAGATTCAGAAGATAATGATATTAGAACATATGCGAATGTGACTTTTGATAATGGTATGTATCAAGGATCATTAGCGTTGAGTCAGATGCCTAATTTGGGAACATGGACGATATCATTGGAAGATACATCTGAGGAAGGAGAGGTAAATTCTTGTAATCATGATAAATCACTTAATTCATGACATAAAAATTGTTATCAGATCTACAGAAAAACGTTTGAAGTTGAAAAATATGAACTTCCTGTTTTCCTTGTTAATATTATTCATCCTGAATCGGTTGGAATTCCTGACCAGAAATTTCCCGTAACAATATCGCCTGAATATACTTTTGGTGGAGCAGTTAAAGGAAGAGCAAATGTGAAATTTTTTAACTCATACTATTATAGTAATGACAACCAAGCACTTTATACAAAACAGTTTGATATCGATAATAGTAGTGTGACTTTCGAGGTTGACATTCAAAAACATTTGAACATACGTTACGGCAGAAGAATTGCCATAGAAGTTTCTTTTACAGATGATTTAAGTGGAAAAACAGTTGTCGCTACGTCAATAATGCAAATTAATAGATACTCTTATCGTTTGGAAGTTATTGGAGACTATTATTATCAAAAATCTGCAATGAATACGTATACAGTTTCGGTTCGAAGCTTCAACAGTGAAACTCCTGTAAGGAAAATAATTTCTATAACTCCTAGTATTTTATCAT